AAATTATAATAAAATATTAGATTTAATTATATTAAGGATCAGAGGCGCGTTTTTTTATTAAAAAAAAAAACTATCCTTCTTTTTTATTATTAAGGGTCCTACTTTACCAAAGATTATATTTATAAATAGTCCCTTATTCTCCTAAAAATAATAATTTTAAAAATAATCTTTTTTTTTCTTATAAATAAAATAATACTTATTTTTATTTAGGCGCTCTCTTTTACCTCCGAAGACCTACTACTTAAAATAGCTGCCTCTTTTTTCAGAATACTTGTATTTTATATATAATATATTATTACCCCGAGAATTAAAAAAATTATTTTATAAAATAAAGAAATTATCCCAGGAAAAGTTTCTTTTCCAAGAGAAGTTTTTCTTTTAGAAAAAATATTTATCTTTAAAGAATAATCTATTATATAACTATAATATTTAGTAAGACTCCTTATTTTATTTTACTAGTTATTTATATTATTCCGCCAGGGCACCTGCTTTAATAAGATTTTTTAATCTTTTATTAATTAGTAATTCAGGGGCCTACTTAATATCTTTTTATAAATCTGGCTGTAGTATTTTAAAAAAATAATTAATAAAAAACTAGTTAATATCCTTTTATATAAGCTCTATAAAAAAATATATTTACTTAATACAGCTTAAACAGATTAGTTAAAGTCCTACCTTAGTTAAACAAAATTATAAATATAAATCTATCCCTGGTTTCCTTTTCTTTTTATTTATTTTATTAAAAAAATCTTAAAATTTTTAAATATTATTCCCTAGAGATCCTTAAGGCATATTAAATATTATAAATTTTTAAAAGGTTCTAATAAGCATGTCTCTACATATAAAACTTTTGTTTCTTCCTCGGAGAAAAAGCAAGATTTACTCTTAAAATAGTACTTTAAATTTTAGATAAAAATTATATATTAATATAGATCCTTATCTTTAAAAATCTCTAGTTCTTTAAGCTTAAAATTTTCTTTTTTTTTACTTTTTCCTAAAATCTTTATTAATATTATTAATATATCAGAAATCATCTATACCAGCAAAAGGGCCGTAGGCTAACTACTAGCCTTTTAATAGCTGAAAAACTATTTAGAATAATAGTCTTTAAGTATTTAGGTAAGAGAAAAATTATTATTTAATATAAAAAGTTAAATTACTTCCTCTAAGGTAAAAAAGAGGTTATTTAAAAATATTTAACAAATATAATATCCTTGTTTATTATAAAATTATCCACGCGCAAATATAATAACAGTAAAACAGGAAGTAAAATAATTAAAACTATAAAAAATAATTATAAAGGTTTTGTTCTGGGCACTTAATTTCCTTAAATAAATATACTAAGGAGTTCAAAACACCTGTAATACGCCTGTGGACCGCCTACTACGCGCTAAGAGATATAAAAAGTTAAAGGACGGGTATATAATAAATAAAATTAATTACTTGACCTCCTAAGGGTCAAGCGGGTGATCTTTTTAAATAAAGGATTTCCCGTGTATAACACTATTGCGGGAATCAGTTCCCGAATGCCTCGGCAACCCTGCGGACCTCCGGCGGTCCGGTTATTCCGTGTTCCGCGCTGAGATAAGCGCCGGTGACAATTTTTTAAAGATTAGATTCTCAGGGGGTGCCTTACTAGTTTTTCTATTTATAGATTTAAATCTTTCTAACTCCAAAATCAAGGCTCACAAAATCTCTATTTTATTAACTCTTAAGGAAGCATTAGACTCTCTGTTTATTTTTAAATGGCTAGCTGCGATAAAAATTAAATACAATAAGCTATACTACAAGGGTATCTTTGAATTTATTTTTAAAATTAAGTAAAAGGGGTCCAGGATTTTCTACAGGAAATAGGTTTATAATATCAAGAAAAACAAAAAAGGCGTTATTTTTTACTTTAAAGCTAGATAGGTGGCTTATAATAATATATAAAAAATCAGAGTTAATTTTAACTCAGCTTATACACCCGTTATCTCTAATATTACAGTTAAAATAACCCTAACTGCCATATTAATTTATAGTCTTAAATAAAAATAGTTTAATATTATTACTATCTTCCTGTATTCTAAAATAGACTAGGAAAATATTTATATAATTTAACTAATAAGATTTAAAATTAAAGGTAAGTATTTTTACTATTTATGTAAAATAATTTATAATTTATATCAGGCAGGCCATCTCTGAAACAATATAATAAATAAAAAATTAAAATTTATAAGATTTTATTCTCTCACAAAAGACCCTTGCCTTTATTTTCGCCTTATAAATAATTTAATTAAAATTATTATCTCTTATATTAATAATTTTATTATAGCAGTAAAGACAACATCCGAAATTAATATATTTTATAATAATTTCTCCTTATTATTCAAAAATAAATATTTAAGGGAACTTACCAGGTTTCTTAGTAGCTCTATTAAGCAGGACTAGGAGAAAAAAATTATTATTATTTCCTAGAATATTTTTATAGATATTATTCTTAATTATATAAATATAACTAGGTCTAGCAGAAATCCTATTCCTATGTCTCTTTTATATAAGAAAGCCGCGGTTTTTTTTATATCCTCTAATAAGGTCTCCAGATTAGATTATCTCTTAAAAATAGATTCATTAAATTAGCTATTAACCAGGACCTGTCCTAATATTATCTATTATCTTATATATCTTTAAAGGCAGGCGGCAAATCTATCCATAATTAATTATAAGATATGCAAGTCCATATATTAATATTTTAACAGAAATTAGTATAATCTAGTACTAAGCCTTAATCACACCCGGGATATAAAGATCTATATTAATACCACCTATTAAGATTATCTAGATAGTAAATCCTCCGAGGGATATATTATTTTTTATATAGGATCCCCTGTTTCTTAGTCCGCAAAAAAGCAGACTGTAATAGCCCTATCTTTTATTATTACTAAGTTAATTATATTTAACTAAGTGATAAAGGAAGCCTTATAAATTAAAAAATTAGTTATTACTTTATTAATTTAAAAAGATTCCTTTAGTTCTGATAACTTATTTTTGCCTATTATTATCTCTACAGATTTAGATAATATAATAATAATTATTAAAAAGTCTAGCTATATTATTACTACTAAATAACTTAATAATTAGTACTTTTTTATAAAAAATTAATTCAAAAAAAAGGTTATTACTTTCTTTAGAGTTAATATTAATTAAAATCCTACTAATAGCCTAATTAAACCCCTGGATCTAATAAAATTTATAGTATTTTAATTTTTTCTTCACCTTAGACCTTGCGCATAATATTTTATACTATATAGGCTATACTACCTATAAATTTAATAAATCTTATAAAATTTAGTAAATTTTAATTAAATCTTTTATTATAATAGCTTAATATAGTAAATTTATTCAGTTTTTATTTACTGTAGATAGCTATATAAAATTAATTAAATTAAATCCCCTCTTTTATTCTTATTTTTTCCCCTTATACTATTTTAATCTCCTTATTTTTGGCCTAATTAACTATACATATTTTTATTTAAGCTATACTTATGGTATTTTAGCCTAACTAGCTATATATATAATTATAGACTAAATCTTTATAAAAATATTTTATTATTTTTTAGCCTTTTAGGTACTTACTTATCTTAAAAAAAATATTTTACTTTATTTTTTTAATATTTTATTTCCTATATAAAATAATTTAGTCTCCCTATTTTTAAACAATAGTTCTTTACTCTCATAAATACAGAAGAGAAAGATCTACTATAAATTTAATAAAAAAAATATTTTAATCTTTTATTAAGCCTTAATATACCCAGATCTTCCTAGCATATTTTTAAATCCGGATTATAATATTTTATTAATTTATTTACTTTTACTTCCGCCTGGCAAATACCTCTACTATTATTTTTAGTTTATTTTATTTCTTTTTAATAAACTAAGAATCCTCCTTTCTATATAAAGGGCTAATAAATATAAAATCTATAAATATAGCTCCCTGCGCAAGATCTATAAATATAAGTAGGCTAGTATTTAGTTATTTAAATTAAATATAAAAAAGAAAGATTAGAATCCTTAATAATATTTTAATAAAACTATAAGTGTGCTTAATTTACCTGTGACTATTTATTTATTAGTTTATTTTTTTTTTGGTATCTTAGTTTAGATTTCCTTATATCTAATATATTAAGGAGAAGACCTCTCCTGTTTTTCCTCTTAAAAAAAAAATAAGCAAGACTCGCCAAAATTAAGAAAGTAACTTTATATCTTAATATTATAATTATATAATACAGTTTTCTGTTTAGATATCTTGTTTTATTATCCTATGGGGATAACGCGAGCCCTAATTAACTAAAAAAATAAAATCTATAGGTAACTTTAGTTTATATCCTCGTAATAATAAAATTATTATTTATTTAATTTAATAAAATTTTATATAATATTTACAGTTTCAGAGTGTAATTTTTTAAATAAAATATTTAATTTATTTAGGATTATTTTTTTATTTCTATTTTATTATTTTCTTTCTCTTTTAATTAAATTATATATTCCTATGTTTTATTTCCTTAATTCAGGCAATTTCTGGCTTTATTTTACCCTGAGGGGGTGTGTTGGAACCTCCCACTATGTTAGCAGTAGGTTCCGGGAGTTGCATGGCTTATTCCGCGATACAGGTCATGTGACCATGGCTATATAAGCCATGGTCCACCTCATGTAGGTAGAGAGATCACAAAAAAATTCTATCATCATTCTCTTTGGAGTTCGTTCCCAATATTTTACCTCTCTTCCCTTCGGAACAGGCAATCCGGGATACAGAGGCGTGGGTATTCACCTATGCGTGCCGAGAAAGGTTCACCTCCATTCACTGCTTCATCTACTCCCTCCACCACCTCTCCCACTTTGTTATCTTCCTCTCTCTTCCATCCTCATCTCTCATCATTCATCCCATCAGGCTGTAGGTTAGATTCATTGTCTTATTTGCCTGAGGCACCAGCTTGATTACACTTTCTTTATCACCACACAGTGTCCTGCATCATCGCAAAGGCCTGTTCCACCCCAATCGAAATAGAACCATGTGTGCTAACTCTCATACAGATGTCAACTGAAAAGGCAGATGAAGTGCCTGTCCATCAGCCAGACGTGGAAGGCGATGTGCTGATACCAGTCTCCTCCGCGAGGCATAGCGCTTTCATGGGGCATAGGCCGGTGCTTGTGAATTTTATAGATGGTGAAAACATCATTCCTAACTCCGACAAATCTGTCACCACTGGTATAAACGTCCAGCTGCGCCTCGAAGGAACCCCCGTTGCCCCCATGTTGAAGTTTGCCGTCACTGTAGTCAAACAGACAGAAAGTTCCTGTGCTCATATATTGCACAATGCCGTCCTCGAGTTTGGGGTTTCCCCTAAGGACGAAATTCTCGACCTCAAGTACAAGACACAGTTCACAGCAAAGCCCTATGTCCCTGGCCCCGCTCAAAGGCCCAACAGCAAAAGAGGCATGAAAGAGGAAGCTTGGTCAGATTCCGAAGAGGAATGGTCATAGTCCGAAAACTACGTCGACCCGTGCGTCATAATTCTGACGTTCAGGACAAAAGGCGGCGTTGGACATCGATTGCAGTGCAGTCCAACCCTTTTCGATAGCTCGGGCGATGAAAAGGCACGGGTCCTAGAAGTACTGTCTTTCATGTCTTCATTTACCCACTGCAACGAAATCAGGACCTTTTCATGTCGTCTGCTTGTTACCCCCGAGCAAGCCGATGATTTCAATTCTGGGTAGTTCTTGAAAGGCCTGCTTGATACGAACAGCCGGCTTAAGAAGCCAAAGGCTTGGGCCCCGTACCGAACCCGCAGCGGAAGCCTAGCTACGGGGTTTGGAGAGATGAGCTCGCGTCAGTGGATCCTAGATAGATGGGGCCCTGGCGGTATCATTCAGATTCCTGCCGAGAACTACTTCCACGATTTAGAGAAAACCCAAATCAAACTCTGCTACGCCGCAAATCTGGAGTACCAGCTTTCCTTGATCCAGGTTCAGCGTCTGATGAAGTTCTCCCACACTGTCACATTCGTGAACTTTGGAGAACCTATGGAACAGGTTATAGCTGCAATAAGGTTCTCTGAACGCTTCTACAAGCGATTTGCCTCCCAATCCTTCCAAGACATGAAGCCGGTGATAAGCGAAGGAACGCCGTGCGCGATCGAGTGGAGGGATGAGACAGAGGAGTCTCCCCGCAAATGTACTGGCATGGTTTTCCTAGACATCTTTGATTTTCCGTTCCAATCGGATCTCATCGTCTCTGTTACTGGAAGGAAACGCACGGGTTCAAAGGGTTTCTTGAATCAGTATCCCGTTTCAGATGAAACCAGGTCATACCCCTGCACGTTAGCCTTCGAGACGCTCGATGACTGCGTCAGGACCCAGATAAATACCATCAACACGATGTGTTCTGATGCCCGGAAGGAATGGCACCAGGCCATCCTCAACCACGAGCCCAGTGCTTTGCCGCGAGTAAACGTCTTTGACGGAATACCCGAAGACGATGTCGCGGCGGCATACAAGGAGATAGCTCAGCTGAAACCGTAGAACCAGCCTCAACTCGACTGTTTTGAATTGTTGAAGTCTATCCCATCGAGGTTCGCTGTCATCAAAGGGATATTTGGTTGTGGCAAGACGACCGTACAAGCTGCCATGGCGATACTGTGTGCAAAGCTGGGATTCAATGTTCTCCTCGTTGCCCCTTCGAACGCCGCTCTTATTGCGATCAAAGAAAGACTGGCCGCGCTTAACAGCGATACATCGGTCATGAGAGTTTTGAAATCCCAAATAGAATACTGGAACTCATTCCGAGTGCTGAAAACCGAGAATGAAGATGGCGAGGAGGGCGGTGACAATGATACGTTCGTGAAAACCATTCGAGCAATTACTAATTCGAGATTATCCCGCTACGATGTTCTGCCTCAGCACTCGTTACAGAATCGAGTGCATGCCTTGGCTTCCGGTATGCAGAAGAATGGCCAGAAGCTACCTTTTGAGCTTTCAGTTGGGCCGAGGCAGCCTACGAAGACAAAGGACGCAGTCCAGATTTACATGGACTACCTGGAAAAGTATCTTTTGCCATCAAAAGATGCTGACACTGCCCACGGCAATGACACCCCTGCAGACGATTGGAAGGCTGATCACAGGAGAACTGCTGCCGAGATAGAAGAGAGGATAAACGACAAGAAATTATTTCATCGTGCAACCAAAGAGTTATCTATTAAGGCTCTTACAGACGTGCAGATCTTCTTGTGCACCAACCAGGTTGTTGACACACACCTTGTGAGGAATTTCGGAAACAAGCTGGATGACAAAAAACACAAGTCGAGGGGAATCATAGTTATTGCCGATGAAGACGGTCAGTGTCTCGAACCAGAGGCGTGGATCCCTGTCGCAGTCTTGAAGCGGTTTGCGGATATCAAAGCAATGGTCAGATTTGGCGACCGCCATCAACTTTCCCCCGTCGTCGTCAGCCACAAAGAAGAGTGCTATAATGAGTTCGCCTCCCAGCTCTCAAGGTCTCTACTAGATCGGACGCTCCGGTCTGCTGAAAATAAGCTTTCACTCAATATTCAGTATCGCATGCGCCCAGCGCTGGCAGACTTCCCCAACCGTTACACTTATGAAAGGAAGCTGGTGAACGGACCAGGCACGAAGGAGATAGAAATTCCTGCCCAGTTCGACAAAGCGCTTGTGTCCTGGATAAGAAACATGCATCCGGAATTTGACTTCCGAGGGTTCACTCGGCGCTTGGTGGGCGTCCACGCCCCTGGCGAATGCTGCATTGACGACGTGTCTCGATCCCGCTACAATGATTCGACATTGCGTGCTGTGATGTCTCTAGTTGAAATGATTCTAAAAGACGGTCCCATAGACACCTGGACTTTTTCCATCATTGTCCCCTACGCCGCCCAACGCACGAGATATATCAAGCAACTTGGCAAGTTATATGCGGCTTTGAAAATGGATTTCGAGCATCGGCCCAAAGTGTTAACCATCGACTCCGCACAAGGACACGAGAGCGATGTGGTCATCATTGACTGGACAATCTCATCGAGTGACACACTGTTTGACATTGGTTTTGTCACCGATAATCGTCGGACGAACGTGGCGCTGACACGAGCTCGCAGCTGTCTTGTCTCCGTCGGGAATTCCGACCTGGCATCTGGAAATCTGTCTAATAGGAAGAATCCGTACGGTGATGGTTTCTGCCAGTACGAAATCGTTCAACACTGGCTGGACATCAAGGCTAAGGGTGTCATGGTCGAAATGCAAGATACCACCGCTGAAGATGCGACCCCTCAGGAATTTGAACTCTCCGCTGGAAGTGCGACTGCTTAGGGATCTGCAGCGCCCCTAAAAGGAAACCAATGGAGGCACTGTTCGAGGGTGGTAAGATGCAGAGTGGTAGGCCTTCGATGGTTACGCAATGCTGATATGATATCTGGGGAAAGCGAAGAATTGTTTTGATTTTTAATGAAGCATGGTTATTCCTCAACGTTTTCCCGCCGCTGGTATGTTTTTCTAGGGTCACTTGCAGAGTATTTCTGATTTTCAATGGAGAATGATCACCCTTGGATGTTTACGCATCGCTGATATGGTTTTCTGGGTGACTTGATGAATGCTTCAATTTCATATGAAAAATGAATTTTCTAGATCATTTCTTTCCACTGCCGTAGACAGAAAATAATTTCTCCATGGGTCGGCATTGCCTTTATGTACTCATCCTTCAATTGCCTTTTCACGCAAGAAGGTAGAATCAGTCAATGATTCATTCAAAACTGTATTAACCTAGTAAATCCTGAGTGTTCAACAACACGCTATGCAGACGATCCTCCGAATTGAAAAGAATCTCGGATCTAAACCACCCGATCCCACTGCAGTAGACAGATCAAAAAGCAACGAGACAACTAAAAGACCAGAATGCGATTACCACATGCCTACCGCGTGCTTACTGCGCCCATATAGCGCCGTATACTTCCTGCACCCTCTTCTATCTATGTGGTTCCCTTTCGCGCATCCCTGACGTAGAGCGTACCGGACCTCCACCTCATACTTCCATGTAATCATCGTCTTCTTCCTGCAGTTCAAGACCTTGTAGCAAGCGTTTTGGCTCCGCAGACGCCTCCTGGATAAGCTACGTATGGCGTGAGTACGCCTGTTTGACGCATGTATTCGGCGACATTCCCGCAATATATGGTAGAAGTTTCGTGGTGTCCAGGTGCAGCTCCCGAGGCAGATCGAAGCTCGGGAATCTACCCTAGAACTTCGGCAGGGTGACATCTCCAGCATAGATTGGGGGTAGACTCTTGTTCTAACCACAAAGAAAATGTTTATAAAAGAAATATAGTTAGTTATTCATCCAATCTTGGGAGAACTAGTAAAGGCTAGGTACTCACAGCACAGCTTGTGCTATGCGGTTTAGAGTCCTTCATCAACCAACGTTCGCAATCGATGTCCAATGGACCAAACCAAATACTATCTTGGACAACATGACAGCGTCATCAGACTTTCAGGTGTAAGGCCTGAGCTGGGCTTTACCATCACTGTGTAGAAGCCATTTCGTCATTTCTATGGAAGGATCGTCGTGTGTCTTATATTTATCCCGGTCTGTACCCCACTAGAACCATGGTAGATATTTCAAGAAAATAAAATCCGGAATCTTTGTCTGCGCAAGGTGGTTTGAATGGTACGAGATGCAGGCATCGGACTACTTTTCAATTCCAGTCATGGATTACTATTGAACTTGTTATTTCAACGGGCAAATACGACGGTCATTGGTCTTGGTCGAATTGGCAACTTGTGGTGAGGAATCCGAAATATGCAGCTATCTGAAAACCAGCTTAGGGCCCAGTGAACAGAAGAAATATTGTGATAGCCTTATTTTGGTGAAGGGAGAAAGGCCAGCAGCACTGACTTGGAAGGTTAATTCACTGTTCATCTTCCTGGAAAGACTTTTAGGGGCTTCAGATGCATAGTGAATTCTTTTCTTCGTCAGTGAGAACAGTCTTTCACTGCATCCCATCTTCCCACAAACCTCATTTCGTCTTATCCCATATCTTTTCTCCTCTGCCAACTATCCTCCACTTCGAACTTTTCTTCTAGCAGCTCTCTCTGGAGTGTCCTTAATTACCGGGACCTCTACACTTTGCTAGAAACGTGAATGCGCAGCATAGATTTTGTCTGATTGGGCCCTGAAGATCCGCAAACATCTCAACGTAAGTCATTCTTTCTGGAGTGGCAGCTCAGATGCACTTCCTCATCCAAATACCTAGGAATTCTCGTTCAACCCTGTGTTCCACAGATTTCCAACGAAACTGCGAAGTCACAATGGGTTCCGAGCCAGGAGACGACCCTGTCCTATCTATCAACAAAGAGCCATTACAGCTCAACATCGCACCGTTCCAAAACGACCATGGTCACTTGGACTTACTTTCCGAGCCCAAAGTTCGTCGAACTACCACCCCGTGCCTGGTTCAGCCAGGCTACGGTGGCAGCCCGCGAGGGCATATGAGCACTCGCGCCGGTCATCCGCCCGGTACCCTTCTGTGGGTTCGCGAATCCGGACCCAGTTGCGGGAGGCCATTTTGGTCACTCGCGCTGGGGCTCGGCTCCCTGCCGGTCAGGAGTATGGAGACTCCCGCGATCCTTCTGTTCGTTGACGTTCGCGGTATGTGTCGGGGGGACTGGGGCAAAGATGCAACAACTGCCTCTATCGTGGCCACGTGGCATGCTCGCTTCAGCGCTAAGTTTGGCAGTTTTACCAAGCATGCATAAGTTTGCATTAGAAACCCACACTACCAAACGCCAGGTGCCGCTGCCCTCCCAATCTGAGGCCAAGCAGGATGCTCAAAAATTGATTCCTGTTTCCTCTGCAAACTTCGAAGATGGCAATGGCACTTGGCGAAACTATGCCCAATTCCATCTGAGAATCATAGAGGCTGATGGAAACCCCACCAGCGCATTTCTCCCGGAAACATGGCTACGGAAGGCGACTGGTGTGAACGTTCGCGTAAAGTTTCGAGGAGCTAAAGTTGCCGTCCCCTTGACAGACGCCTGGGTGGTTTCTCTCCTGTTAGACACCAGGGCAACTCCTTCGAAGCGTGGGGCTACATGGAAACACGATTTTGACGCGAATGGTTACCCAAAGCAGACGCATCCCGCGCGGTGAACCTGCGATTGCTGAATACCGTGGAAAGTTGTTTCTGCCTGTCTTCAGGGGTTATTATCTGCTTTGCGGAGAAATATTGGCTCTGCAAATGCCTTGGATTATCAATGCCATGCCACTAGCACCAGAGAAGTTTGAACAGGCTTATTTCAACTGCCATCCATAACGTCAACCCCGCGTGGACACCGCATATTCGCAGATGGAAGACATTCCTAAAGCTCCTTGCGCGGCCAATCGGACCGTCCCTCCTATTCTGACTGTCAGTGCTGAGGCATCTTTGACTACGTCCCAGCCACCCGGGATGTTTTGATCGAGTTTACTGCCACACTTGAGAGTAAACCTCTCCGTCGAGCTTTCCTCGAGTTTTATGCGCTTGACCATGTCACTCGCTAAGAGACTAGAGATACTTCATTCAAGGACACATTTAGCAAGACAGCAAATAAGTCAAAGACGAAATGCGGGATAGCTATATTGTTGTCCATTTCATCACCAACGACGAGATTGGAATTGGCCTTGATTTTGACGTGACGTTTTTTAGCCGTGCCGACAGAGGCCTCCTATTGTTCGCCCGAAGTCTGGCGCAGAATTCCCCAAGGGTGCAACAATTCTGAAGCACGTTGCATTCCGTTTAAATGCAAGATGGGTAGACTATATCGTGGCTACTCAGGGAACTGACAGTAATTGCTTATATTGATACATGCAGTTCTATGTGGCTGGGCAGTTAGGCAGCCATACCGAGCAACCTATGGACCGATGCTTCAGGTTCCAAGACTGAGCCTCGGAGGACTCTCAAACCAAGAGAAAAGACGACGAAGCATATGCTTCGAAACCAGGTGCTTGAATTCCCCAGTGATGCCTCGAGGTATCTAGCTCCTTACCAAAACCCACGAGCGAAGGCAATGACTCAATGAGGAATGTTCATGGGCCGAGAATATAGGCAACGGGAAAGCAATAGCATCAAGGAGCATGATGCTCAAGCTTCATTCGCAAACCTGGAAAAGGCGAAATTAACTTTCACATGTGCCTTGTTTCTTGAAGTGAGAGCTCAGAATTGCCCAGTCAGTTTCTGCCAGCCCTCAGCATGCTACCTGTATCAAGGTATCAGGCTGCATTATAATTAAACTTCTGAAGTTCAACTCGCCTGCTTCTGGGGATAGGGCACTCGACCCATTTGCTCCTCGGGATAGGACAGTCATCAAGGTTGGATTGAGGCCACCGAATAGATTCGGCCTCAAGAAACCGTTCTCCACTGCCATCTTGGTGCCGACCATTTTGAATCTTCTTTACGAAGCCAGTATGTTCGTCTACATATAGGGTGCAAGCTTCCGCATGTGTCACAACTTTCTTCCGTCCAAGTCGGTAGGAAGGTTTACTTTACTGGAGCGACAGCCGCAGGGGCACCGCGACAGGCAGATGCGATGATTGTTGCTAAATCAACACGCTGGCCCTCGTCAAATTATACATTATTTACCTGGTCCATATCTTGGATGATGAAGCAGACTGTTTAGCGATTTCCAGGCACCGGGAAGACTCTGACATTGGTAGGAATCGCAGCGGTTTGCCGACTGTTCGGGGCTCAAGTCATCTATACCACCCCAGCCCACTTTTACAGGGAACGCTGCTTGTGATACTGTAGACAGGTTCATGCAGATGTTTGCTGTTGTTATGGACCGTCTAACTTCAGAAGGTCGGGCCCTCAAAACCCATGGAAGAGACGTCAGAAAGAAACCAGACTACGATGAGGAATATGAGAATTTGGACCACTTGGAATTGACGGAAATGGGGCTAATACCACACGTTTATGGTACAGGTACAATTGGGGACCGAGGGCGAGTGGGACTTCGAGAAATCGTACGGCACTCCGTCCAGATCGCTCAAAGGCCATGTCATTTAACAGACTGCTTATCGCTTCATTTCCGTCGGAGGATCAGATCGCCAAGTCAAGGGGTGACCTATATAATCTAATCGAAGATGGCACTTTAGATCCAGAAGGCGACGAAGTCGGTATGCGCCAGAACAAAGATCTCAGACAGTTTCCCGGCGCTTTGAAAAGACAGGCGCTTCTTGCTTTCAAGAAGCTTGCGTAACTCGTCGAAGGGACTACATTCCTCATTTCAACAAATAACAACGCTGGAGATGTGATGATAAGAACAAACTTTGGAAAATGAGCCAAAGCGATCGTCCAAATTCGCGATGAAGACTTTAAGGAGACCGAACCAAACACTTGGGTATTCGCTGCTAAACCCGCCTTTGCTGATAAAATTGTCGGTATTTTAAGCTGCGGAGATGAGAAGCTGCTGCGACCAACAGTCACCTTTGCATTTGACACACCGAAGTTTAACGGATTCTCCTCTCAACTGGCTTTTTCTATGGCAAGCCGTCTATCGACGATCGGACCCCAACTCAGAAACTGGCCGAGCAGCTCCGATACTGTGCTGTCTTTTCAGAGCTTCCCAATCGACGTACCTACAGTGGTGGGCTTAAAAATCATGCATCGACGAATGAGAGTGAAGAGAACTGGAAAGTCCAGATATAACGATGCACTTCGTCTGCCTGGCGCTCAAATAGCTCTCATGAACTATCGACTGGGTGAGTACAGGCGTGATGTGAGGATTCATTAGACCTTCTTCCGCATGGTACAGCTGGGGATCCTCAGATCAGAAGATGTTCCAGCCGTGTCGACTACGAATTAAATGCAGGGGAAGGAGCCATGTCTGGTGATCTACGATTGGGTGATCTAGGGCGTCAGTAAAAAAGGAATGGTTCTCGAAGTTGCATGTAGGCCCCGATGGTCCGACAAAGTGACTGCGCAGCGTTATAAAACAATGGTTGGCAAAAGTCTCAATTAGCTGAAATTTTTGAATAAATGAAATTCGGCAGTAACAAGCATCGTCAATCTTCCATGTTAAAACAGAAAGACGGAGAATTAATTAAGCAATCGTTTGAGGACCGACGCTCAATGTTCACAACTCACTAATGCTCCATATTCGACCCCAAACTCCACACGAACCGTCTTCCGACCAGGATGAGCTTGATGGTGAATCCATTCTAAATATTCCGGGCAACAGTAGGAGCAGAAAGTATACCCTACAGCGCCAAGCACTGACGGAATGGCTGACATCTCCGCTTGTACATGTGAATCAGATCGACGTGGTTCCCTCGGCATTCCGGGATCAACGCCGTCGCATGTTTCCCTCGCAACCCTTTCCCCATCGGGTAATGGTGCTGACTATCACTCGGAGACCCTGGATACGATGGCCATACGCAGCCAACATTTAAGTGCAACCACCGTCAAAGTCCTCGGGATTTAGCGCTTGGTCCGCAGCTAGGCATCAAATCGACAACAACGTTTGATGTGGTTATGAGGCGTTTCCCTACAATTAGGTATGTAGTGGTCGGCGCATGGAACCACTTCGAGACATCCAGTTCTGCCCTTCTCTCCTTCTCGGCCTATTTTTCAAGCTTTCTTGTGGCTTCCGGACCTCCTATAAGACTCCTTGCAGATGTCTTCATTTTCAAGGAATGGCGGGTGTTGGGGGCCGTGATCAGCCAGTGGTCCGGTGCCTCGGTTCCGTCCCCGCTTCCGCATTGTTGGGGAGCTCAGCTATAAATAAGCTCCACGTCTCCAGGTTCGGACTTCTATAATCGGCCAGAAGACAACAATCAACATGGCGGCCAAAATTGTACTCCTGCTTCTAAGCATATCTGTTTTCTATACTATATTCCACTTTGCCGAGATCAATGGTGCGCAGAAACTGTCGCTTGGGGCGATCGATTCGAAGAAGCTGCCTGGAACCAATGAGCCGTTGAGGACTGTATATACGGGCGTCGAATCAATCGATGGACTGCTGACCGTTTTGACGACTTTCTTTTGGCCGTTGGCCGATGCCAGCGATCCGGCTCTTTTCCTGCATTCCATCGGGTTCTCCGGAACGTTTGGCTCCGCCTGGGTCTTGGTGACTTTGGAGTCTTGGAGGAAGGGAAATTCTTGGACTTTTGCTGCCTTGTGAGTGCCCATCACCTTTTCTTAATGCGTAACAAAATTCCCCCATGCAAGAAAGAACGCAATTGAGGATTCACGCTGACATGCCATATCAGTCCCATGATCTTCGGCCTCGTGGCCCAAGTCCTCACGTTCGCTTTTGCGACGCCCCTGTACTGCATTATCCAACTTCTCACGTCGGCCACGGCGCGCAAACCAAGCTTTGAAACCATCAAGGCCCCTCGCGCTGTGCTGAATGCTCTCCCTTTCATCTTTATCCTGGGTTACGTGGTGCCGTCGGCGCTCATGACCCTCCCACGCTCAGAAACCATCACCGCGGACTTGAAGCAAATCTTTATCGCCGCGTGGCAACCCTGGCCCGCATATGTCGCGATTCTTTCAACCGTCGTGCATCTCGTGTTGTCTCCGTTCGTTGCGGATGACCAATCTGCCGACAGCGGACGCGCGACATTGCGTGCTCTTCGACGCGTCTATGCCTTTGCTTTTGCGAATACGGCCATTACGCATCTCATTTCTTGGGTTGTAACGTTGGCCACGGTCATCTCTCCGGCTATCGTGGATGGTCAATACCGAGAGCTGCTCCACCCGCTCAGGGTGCATGAGATCCCGCTTCCGTGGGCAACGCCGCTCCTGCAGGTTGAAACGCTCGCGGAGGGAGTCCATGCGTTCCTCCGGTGGGACTATTTGATTGGATCGGCGGGGGTGTTGGTCTGGTCGATTAGTTTGTATAAGTCGGCTCATTTGACGGCCTATGGCCGCGTGGGATGGTTTGGTTTGGTCGTGAAGACGGTGTTGTTGAGTGTGTTTGCGGGTCCGGTGGGTGCGGCGGTCGAGTTGATGTGGGAGAGGGACGAGCTGGTTTTTAATGAGTTGGGGGGATTGAAGAAGGAAGTGTCGAAGCAGAAGAAATCAAGCTAATTGTACTCATCGGGTAGCTGCGGTTACCATATAGTAGGATAAAGAGTGGTAATTTGGGTGATCTATTTGAAAGAGATCAGAAGCTAGTTTAATTTATGTGGATTGTTTGATATGAAACGTTGGACTGCCACAGCAAGAATGGAAAAGAGAAACATGAGAGAAATGATAACCAATCTGATTGTATGCCGCAACGCACCAAACACGTTCTCCCAAGGCACAGGACGAGTTAAGGGTCGAATTAGTCAGCTTTAATCGACTGGTTCATCCGTGACCATGAGGAAGTATCCAAATAAGTAAGCATAGTTGCCAAACTCCGACATCTACCGTGATTTTGCAATTTGAATTCTTTCTCCCGAGTCGACTTGATTGACGCTCTGATCCCTCCAAAGCTGAGCCCACAGAATGGCGGCTGGGGCTTCGGCCACAACGACAGAGATCGCATTGCCATCATAAGAGTGCCTAGCTTTATGGCATTGCAGGCGGTACAGGAATCCGACGGAGTAGACGGTGCGGCATTGTTGCTGTTAAACCGAGCCAAACTATCAACAGCTGAATGTAGAGAATCGACGATACCCTGGATAACCCGTTCTCTGTTTGTATTGAGATGCTCTGTATCCTTTGTTAGTACAGAACTCCGAGCTATGAGAAGCAACGCATTACCTATCATCGAACTGGGAAAGGGCAGACCAAGTGTCATGATAATGTCCTTGCTTCCCTTGATCGCAATCACGGCAAGTCTTTCATACACCTCACGCTCACCAAGGAGCCCAGATGCACAGAGCCACATCATGAGATCGCGGGAGTATTCGTTTGGAATGGAACTCTGCATGAGCTTGAACCAGCCCCAGCCAAAGACCTTTATCACACTGAGACAGCCATAGTAATCGGCCAAGATGACAATTTTCGTAAGGAACTCAATTCCAACCTTCCCGGGAAGAGCATCGATCTGCCAATGCAGAATGCTGAGCATGACCAGAAGTGCCTGCGAGTCCCAGCCGTGGACTTCGATCTCAGCAGAACCCTGGGGGAGGGTAGAGCCCTCTTTCCAGGCATCCGACAAAGCTGCCTTGAAGACAGGTGACGCCAGAGTCAGATGCTTGGCAGACACCTGGTATCGGACTTCCTTGTCCTCGCATTTGGTTTCGTCAGTTTTGTCATTGTGGATCTCCTCTATGGGTTCAATTGTTCCTGATGAGGGTGATTCGTTTGTAGCCGGGGTCTCCTCATCCCAGACAGCGAAGGGGGCGTCGGCGTCCTGAAGGATTATGGTCACTTCGCCAGTGGGGTCGATGATGTGCGATGTCATTGTTCACACTTGTCTGTGCCTGGGATTAGCTCCAACTTGCAGAAGAAGAAGGGGATTAACAGAAGAATAGAACAAAAGAGAGTTGGAACAACCAAGGGATGTGAGGTGAGATCGGGCTGCGATGGAGGTGAGATGAAGGTAAGATGAAGAAAGGTGGAGTGAGATGGAGAGGGGGAGGAGGGGAGAAATGGTCCTAGATCCCACCAGTGGAAGGCATTTTGATCGAGGAAGAAAGTGAATGAGCTGCTTGATCCGGAACCACTGTGCCTATACCACCGTAGGCTACATCACTTACAACCACCAAGTACTGCAACCATCTCTACTAGATCCTCAACAATTTCATGTTACTCCTTTTTATCATAAGTAGCATGTGTCTGGAAATAATAAACATGTGGACTACAGTTATGCTGTGTTGAATAAAATGAACCCTTTTTGAAGGTGTGTGATATTGATGTGATTTGGCGTTTCAATTGTCATAAGTGGCAAAGATGCTGTAAGGTGGTCAATCTAGAAAGGTTGGCAAAACAAGAAGTAATGTGTGTTTTCTCTTCTTTCTTCCTGGTAAAGCAAAAGAAATGGACGGGCAAATCCGGAAATGAGCACTTCATGGTAGTGACAAATCCAGGAGTCTAGAATCTCGACATAAAATGTGGAACCGGTGATGGCCTGGGTGCCTGAGTATCCAAGTCTTGGCATGCACAAGGATTTATGCATGGATTGTGCAGGGGTAATGCAGCGGAATAGTGATATCATCGCCGAATTAGCTCTGGTCCAGGACTCCATAATGAACGGAAATATCCACTTCTCGCTCATTACCTGCCGTGGCCTCTTCTCAATTAGTCAGGTGCATCGCACGACCGATCTGGAGGACAGATATAAAGCACCGCAACCCCGGGATATCCTTCGAACAGACAACAACAACATCCACGCAACCATGACCGGCAAGATCATCATCCACCATCTTCGCATCTCCCAATCCGAGCGAGTTATCTGGCTCTGCGAGGAACTCAACATCCCGTATGAGTTGAAGTCATACAACCGGCAACCTCCCACCATGCTGGCGCCACAGGAGTACCGCGACCTGCACCCCGTCGGCACCGCGCCAGTTATCGAAGACGGACCGGTCGTTCTGGCCGAATCCAACGCCATCTTCGAATACATCCTCGCAAAGTACGGCAAAGGCCGCCTGGTGCTGCAGCCGGACCACCCGAACTACGCCGACTATGTGTTCTGGCTGCACCATGCCAATGGAGGCCTGATGCCCTCGTTTATGGGCGTCATGATGAGACGGCTTTCCGGACAGCCGGACGACGGCTCGCGGCCGAATTTCAGTCAGGAGCGGTTTGATCGCAGCATGGCTGCGCTCGAGCAGCAGCTGGGCAAGTTCCCGTACGTTGCTGGGGAGGAGTTCACTGCAGCGGATATTTTGGTTCTCTTTCCTTTGACGACGGGACGGATGTTTGCGGGTTTCAGTCTGGATGCGTACCCGAATGTTGTCTCTTATTTGGGGCGAGTTGGAAATCGCGAAGCTTACCGGAAGGCGATGGAGAAAGGAGACCCTGGACTCGAGCCTCTGTTGTCGGCGAAGACTCCTCAGCGAAGTGCTCTTTGAATTATATGACAGAGTTGAAGGAACCAATTTGTACAATATTCAATTTATCTCCCGTTATTGATTAATTTGTGGATGAAGTGTAATTGAAAGTAACTGATGACGGACCCGGATGATAGAGTCTCAGAGTCCTGATGCAGAGAATGATGACAACTAGCCTTGATCATGGAAGTGAGAAAGGAAGAACGAAAAACGAAGGAAACGAAAGCAGAGCAGAGTTGCACCAAGGTCAGGGTGAGAGCTGCAGTGTCCTTAGTAAGCACCAAACAGAGCAGATCGATCTACTTTTCACTTTTTACCACTCTGCACTCGCCAACTCACTCCCTACAATCCTTCAAATCCATCTCATTTCATCATCAGGACCTATACCACTGAATCACCTGTTCAACGAGCCTATCAGTCTATACTGCACCACTGATACAATGACTGCAAACCTACACATCATCGATCCAGATGGGGAGGTGACGATAGTCCTCCACCATCCAAACGCACCATTCGCAGCGTTGTACTTCGACAGTGAGCCTGAGGGTAAATCCTCCGTGGAAGGCACCAAGACAGACAACCCAGAACCCAATGACAACAATGATCAAGATAACGAAGGTGACAATGATGAGGAAGATGAAGAAAACGACGAAAATAAAGGTGATGAGCAGAATCAGGGTCATGAGGAAGGTCAAAGCGATAAGGAGGTCGGTAACGACAACAACGGGGATATCGATTCCCCAGACGGCGACACCTCTGACTCTAGACAGGAGCACGATGAAGTGCGCTTTCAGGTTTCAGCAAAGCATATGATCCTCGCATCACCTGTATTCAAACGACTTCTGAAGGGCCCTTGGAAGGAAGGCACTGAGCTTGCAAAACAGGGATCAGTTGAGGTTGTGGTCGACAGCTGGGATAGCGAAGCCCTTCTGATCTTACTCAACATCCTCCACTGCCGTCATCGAGATTTGCCCCACGAGATGAGCGTCGAACAGCTGGCCAAAATCGCTGTTATAACCGACTATTATGACTGCCATGCATCCGTCGAGATCTTCACGGACATGTGGGTGAAGTCTTTCAGACCCGCGTCCTCAGATACCCCTTTCAATGAGATGATCATGCGATTATTCATCGCGTGGGTGTTCCGCCGACGGGAGGCATGGGATCAGGTTCATATAGATGTCATGAAATGGAGCCAACGTTCAATTCACTCTTTCGGCCTTCCGTTTCCAGATCGCCTGATCGGTAATGCCCCCTCCCCCCGCCCAAATCCAGTGACATGTAGCTAACTGTGTCGATAGATGGACTCAATAAAGGACGAGAAGACGCTATGAATACCATCATCGACTCACTACATGGCAGTGTCACAAAGCTGATAACATCCACCAATGAAGGCGAGAATGGTTTCGACAAGCGTTGCTTTGACTGTGGCTCATCCATGCTGGGCGCTCTGATGAAGCAAATGCATTCTGCATCATTGCTTTGGCCAAGGCCAATGCCCCCATTCGATGGCTTGAGTTTCGACGGCCTTGTGAAGACATTACTGGTCTTCGAGAACCCCAAGGCATTGAAGGTGGCTTGTACAAACGACCCCCGCTGCCAAGTACCTGCACTTGCCTCAGGAGTATGGGGGATAGCATTTAGAGTGAGACTGAGGAGCATCGAGTTAAACGACCTGCAGCCACCACGCCCAGAAACCGACGAACCAGCTGCTAAGCGTCCCTGTTTAGAATCGCCTCTTGCTGCTGACAGCTGATCCTTTCCTATTGTTGCCTGTTCGCTTGTCTTTTGCCATGATATCCGAGGATAAGAAGGGCTTAATATGGATACTACTTAACCGTACGATGCTGTCTTCTCAATTGTTCTCCATGTTTCGTGGAACAAGGTGTGTCGTGAGGGAGAATGTCAGCATGCGATAGGGGTTTGCATTGTGTCTTAAGCTCTGAACCGATCCATTTCTAAAAATGGTTATTAGCATTTTAGAACCATTGACAAGCCCCGAAGACTTACAGTAAGAGACATGTTCACAGCCCATCGGAAAGATTTCAACAGCCGTAGCTCCGATTCGACAGCCGCCTTTATCATTAAGGGTAAATCTAAATAATCAAGTATACGCGTCATCGGCCTACCTAGGAGCCATATTAAGACGAACTTAATATCCCGTAAGGGCTCTACCTCCTAACTTATCCGCCCAGCTACCTTTGCGGTCAACCTTCAAATGACGAAAAAATGCTAGTACCGCTATAAATACTAAGTCACCCCAGACTACCATAAAAAAGATAAAAAGGATAATCCAAAAGGCCCGATGGCCTTCAAGATTCCTTAGAGACATCTAACACCTGTAGTCTTTACGTGATAAGTTAAACCAAGTTAGGAATGTAGCTGTTGATTCGGAGCCACGAGTGTTGAAATCCTTTCGGTGGGTTGTGGATGTATCCCGCACCGTGATTTACACGTTCACAACCCCAAACTTTTAAAAGACCCATATCAACCTGCCATTTATCATAATGAAGCGGGACGAAAAGCTGCTCGATGTCTACAAGGTATACTGCAGGGATGCTTCCAATATTTCGAGAGTTGCGGGTACTGAGAGGGAGAGAGGGTTGCATTGTACCCGAATATCGGCTCCCTCTTGGGGTTCTTCCCGGATCGCCGATGGCTGTTGGGTCGTCGTCATAGAGGTAGTAAAGTACATTATTCAAGCTAAAAGATCTCAAACAAGAAGCCAAAAATGCGCAAGGCATGCGGAGTATGCTAGCTGTCCTTGTACCTGTTCCTCTACGCAGCCAGCCCAGCAGCTCTCATTGATGCTGGAGGCCAATTAGCCCTTATGTAGCCTAGAAGATAGGATGTCTTCAAACATGGTAAGATAAGATAGATACTTTAAGTTAGCTCATGAAGCGGTAAGTACTTCTGTCCTTCTGCTGCACTGCCGCACGCGCAGTCTGTTTGCCCCCGTCCCCTGAGGAGCCATAATCGCTATTTTGTTCATTAGCTGTAGTCGCCCCTGGTCCGGGAGCGAGTGATCCGTGGGGGAGGTAAGAGGTAGGTAGTTAGCGGGTACTCAAACAAGAAATGTTCTGGATGTGAGAGAGACGACTGGGCGAGAATTCACCACGGCATCTTTGCATCAGCTATAGCTTTCACCTCTGGCCACAGCTTGGACCTGAAAGATGTCATAAACACTGAAAGGCTGTTGCAGGACGAATGATAGTCTGTACGCGTGCATCCTTTGAACGAGGTAATGGACCTGAGCAGGCCATTGTAACTAAGTCCATGATAGGGCGATTTCGGTTTCGGAGACAGCCCCAACGTGTGCATCTGTTTGATCAAAGCGCCTAGCTTGTATGAGGTACACTGAGAGTAGGCTTTTTTTGTGTTTGGGATGCGATCTGGAATGCGGTTTTGTGGTGTGCGCGCCTGCTAACACCGGCTCTGGTGAGCTTCCGACCTCTGTAGAATTTGTTGGCAGATGACTACCGTCATCATCAAAGCGAGTCATGTGGTCGGCTTTTGAACGCAGTGCATCTACTATATGGCCAATGGACTTCTCTTTTCTCATTCAAATCCACTGTACACGGCATTAGAATCATTACTCTTCCAGAAGCGGAGATGTGTTACCTATAAATGAGCCCGAGAATGGAAGGCCAAGTGTTGATATTCGAGTTGTGCTTTCCCGGACAGTAATCCGGTCGAGGTTCTTACAGTCGTCGGATTGACCAAAAAGATGGCAGATGTTTAGCCACAACATGAGGTCTCGCCCGTAGGATTTCGGAAGAGGCTTTTCCATTGCCTTTATCCACATGTGCGCAAATATCTCCGTGTTTGCTATACATTGATAGTATTCCGCCATAACTGCCACCTGGGCAAGTATCTCTGCATCAACTTATTTCGGTACGTTACTGAGCTTGCCGTGGAAAATATTGAGTAAAATCAAGAGAGCTTCGGAATCCCAGCCGTCCACATGGATTTTAACGGAGCATTTTTCTTGGACAGTGGAGCCTTCTTTCCACCTTTCCGAAAGGGCTTTTGCAAAACCGGTTGTTTTGATGGCACCGGATAGAAGATAGCTGTTTGGTCAGGAAAAGTGGATGAACTTCGATCCAGAGGGGGTCGGCGACAAATCAGAGCATCTAAAGGTATGGGGAGGGTGGGCCCATGAACAATTGGTTAGCAATGACAAGAGCTCTGTATGATTCCGCTAAGAGCTGTTTGCATTAAGTGTTGATGATCACAGGCTCCTCGGTCTCTTCCCGTCTCAATTGAAACGAGCGCGCCGATTTACCTAGAACGAAAAAAACAGTTTAGATTCCTCCATGTCTGTTGATGACTTCGTCCATGCTTCACGACAAGACGGCACGTTTGTGTGCTGCTATAGCACAGAGGATAGCGCCATGCTTCTCACGATCCTGTCTGGGGTAATCTTCCTAGGGAGATCAAACTGAAGAGAAAGTGCAGCATCTGGGTCTGCTCCAACCGGGAGCAGGTTTCCGAGCAATCGTCCTATTGTTACATCGATTCGGTCGACAGCAGAGATCGGAGACGGAGCAGGGAAGATTGTCTATAGTTAGGATATTTATTGAAAGCCCATACCATCACCGAGGGAAGAATACATATTATTTAGTGAGTGAGAATTATTTCAGCAGTTGTTGTAGTCCAGACTTCTGCGCTACCATTTAATTGCCCGCCGGAGACTTGTGACCAATTTAACAAAATGACGAGTTGAACCAACGACGTTCCGCTCATTCAGAGGTCCATGTCTGGGCGTAGTTTTGCGAATGACTCCGACTACCCGCTTTCGATCAGCAGAGAGGGAGGTCGCTGGGATTTAGGGAAGATAGTGAAATCGGAATGCTTTCGGGAGTTTTGTATCCACCCTCAAAATTAGCCAAAGCTAAGTATTTTGTCCCATCCCGCTTCCGTAGAAAGAGGGTGATACTCGCGCCTTCTCAGTAGTCAGTCTTCAACCACTCCATCATACTCTGGAACATCCAGGTTTGATAGGCGCCGTGGAGCGGCGTGGGCATCAGTAACTTGGAAACTCTCGTCACCGAGTTTTATTGTAGCCTGTGACCATATTAGTTGAAATATTGGAGATCGTAAGTGCGAGCGATAAGTCAGACCTTGTGGAACGTGCTTCTATATCCGGTGCCAACAGAAGGGCGTCACAAATGGCGTTTGCGTACTCAACTGGCACGTTCTTTTCTTCGTATTCTCTTGAAAATGGGCTTTTGACACGCTCAGTGATATGTTGAACCACCTTTTCAAGAGAAGGCAGCTCTTCCGCGCTATAGTCGCGATTACGCTGACCATATAGGCTTGACTTTGTGCGGTCATGAAGAGCAGATTATGCAAGAGGGTTAAGAAACGACACAGAAGACATGAAATATCGACTTTTCCACTCAGCCAACAAGGGTCAGCTCTAATAGGAGAGGTAGGATGCTGGCTGTTCAGCGACAATATCAGAGTAAAGGATCCTTGAAGAAAGCAGGTTGTATAGCGAAGTGCTGAGGGACTAAAAGCATTCGCAACTACGGGTCCTAGCAGTGCCTAAGTCATTCACCATACGGCTCCTCCTTTCCCTACTTCTTACTTGGATCCTTTCACTCCGTATACTAGCAGTGAATCAGCTTCCAGCTCTTGTGAATGTTCCAGGACAGATATGGTTGCCGTGGTAGTCGTAGTAGTGGTATTAGTTAACGTCCAGTTAGGGGCTGCCTGATCAACCCTGAAGACCTCCCTCCCGAGGGGTATAGAACATGTCTAGCTATGGAAATTATATACAAAGTATAACCGTAGAAGGCAACTCCTGCCCATAGGCGACCTGGCAAAGCCAAGACATATGATCTGGAATGTGGTGACAGGTCTATTTTTATCCCGTCAGCGATTAAATGTGTTTGTTTGCTTTGCATCATCAGCAGAAGTACGTGACCGTACGACATCGGGTTGGGCTCGGCTGGCCGCAAAACCAAAAGGCTATATCGAAAAGGGAAAAAAACCCCCCCCCCATGTAAAAAAGCAGCAGACAATGTTCATATTCTTGTTGGAGAAGACCTGACTTTTGAGCCCTGCCTCGGCTCCTGGAATTTGTTAATTCGTCCTGGGTGCAACCATGGAGATATATCTCCGGGTGCTGTTATTGTAGGGATACGAGTAAGCCGTTGGTCAAAAACTAGCCTACTGCAGCTACTACAAATCTAAAACCCATGAAAAGCCATGAAGACACGAAGACATTAACAAGAAACGGTCAAATTCAGGCAGCACTACTCCGTACTCCGTATCCCATTCCCGTGCAGCAGCCAGCACAGCGTGACCGGAGATGGCCTGATCAGGCAACCCGTGGGGAACCCCCGCTTGATGTGACAGCTGGCGTCTCACCGCCTGCCCGAAGAATCCAGGAGCTGCAGGAGAGCGAAGCGACGGCCACAACGCACTTGTTTCTGTTTTGCTTTATCGGGTTGTCCCTTTCCCTAGGAATGTTCATGGCCAGTTTGGCTTTCCCTCGTTAAATACAATCTACTAGTTCAAAGCAGCTGAATACCATCCTCTTGTCCCGTGTATGCCCGTCAATATCATTCCAAAGACTCCTCCGTATCGTCAGTCTGGCTGTCGATCTACATGGTTGCCTATCGAGCGGGGCCGTGATTGTCGCCAAAGGATTGTTCGGCCAACATACCACTTAGCATTTCGTACGGAATAATACCTAGCCAGCATGCTTGCAGATACAGATATTCAGGCCCTGGATGCCGGTCTAGAGTCGGTGGCCCGCCAGAGCGAACAGCATCATGACAACCTGCGCAATCTCCTCCAGCGCTTCCATCTCCTTCTCGACGATTATAATCGGTTGAAAAGCGACTATGAAGAGGAGAAGGAGTCTCGTGAGAAATATAAAAAGCTGGCTCGTGGTCAGGTAAGGGTTGAAGGGCTGCAGCTGGTTGGAATAGGCTGACTGGCATATAGGAGCGGAACCCATTTGTTCTGGTGCTAGTTGATGGTGATGGCTGTCTGGTAAGCTTCTTTCCTGTTTGATCGAGAAGGATGATGCTCATAATCGTAGTTTAAGGAACATCTTGTCAAGGCCGGCAGTGACGGTGGTATCACCGCGGCCAGGCTCTTGAGCGATTCCATCAAAGAGCTGATCCAGGACCGACTCGGAAGTCAGGCCGATCAGTGCCGTATTATGGTCCGTATCTATTCTAATGTTCTTGGGCTTTCGAAGTCGTTGGCTCGCTCTGGCCTCTTGGGCTACGAGGCTCGGTCTCTATCGCCGTTCGCCGCTAGTTTCACCCGGTCGCAGGACCTTTTTGATTATGTTGACGCAGGGGATAAGAAAGAAGGCGCAGACTATAAAATCAGAGGTAGGAATGCAACGAATCCGAATGCCTACTCAATGACTGACGATGGCAGAAATGTTCCGGCTATTTGCCGATAATAACCAATGCAAACATGTCTTCTTTGCGGGATGTCATGACGCAGGATACCTGTCTATGTTGACACCCTATCGTGGCAAGTCCGACCGTATTACCCTGATCAAAGCCGCGTCGTTCCATGCAGAATATGCAAAGCTTGACATCCCAATCAGGGAGCTGCCGGCCGTCTTTGCGACCTCCACTCCAGGTGGAAACCATATCGGTAACGGTAATGGGAATGGGAATGGTCTCAGCCTCGGCCCTGCGTTTAACAACCACAATGGCCAGAAGAGTATACCAACTGCACCTTCCCGGCAGATCTGCAAGCACTTCCAAAAGGTGAGATTTGACCCCCTCGCGATACTGACCGCCATTAACCGTAGACAGGGCATTTGCCGATTCGGCAACGAATGTATGAAGGTCCACATAATGCCAAGCCAACAGCTTGCTCAATCAAAACATAACGTGCCACCCCCGATGTATTCTCCCACCAAAGTCCGAGACGAGGCATACTATTTCAAAAGCCTACCGGGCACGTGGGGGAAGTACAAGGATCACATCGCAGTGAACAGCGAGGAGGAGCGTATTGATAGCTATTGTCCTTTTCCTTCGACGGACGCCTGGGACTCCTATAACCGTCGCATCAAGCAGCAGAAGCTGTGTAATAGACAACAGCTGGGCGGGGACTGTGACAATTACGCCTGTGAGTTTGACCACGGTCCTGCAAGCGAGGATTGCATTCATGTCATGCGGTACATCTTAAGGCAGCACGTATGCCCCAGGGGCGGGCGCTGCCGATCCATCAAATGCTATCTTGGCCATATATGCCAAAAGGACGGCTGCCGGGGGCTTAAACCGTGCAAGTTTGGCCGTCATGCACACACTATCAACCTGAAGGTGGCGCAGTGGGTATTGCCAATCGAGCAGGCCGACAATAGCGAAATGGCCGACCCGAGTGAACAATCCGACCCGTCCTTTGAGGACAACTCAACCACCACCACTGATCAACCACTTAGTCCGTCGTCCCTACTCGACGGGATTCTTATCACCTAGCCGCGAACGAAGTCACCAAAAGGCCTTCTGACCAACACGCGCGCTATTTGTATCTCTTTCAACAAACCTTGGTGACACATTGCAACAACGCCAATCTGACCTATGACCGTCGACATTATCGCTTGAAACACGGCTAGCGTGTTTCATATATGGCGGTCCAACTGCCTGCCGACATATGGCAGTATAAATCACGATTCTAGTAAGAGTCGTTCAACATTGGGAATACCAAAAGGTGAACAGCAAAGCATACGCGGGAGGGTATTGGGGGATGCAATCGGCGGGGTCTATTTCAGAATGATTTACGTCGGTTACTGCATTTATGCAAGTAACTACATTTAGGATACAATTTCAATGCATTGCGTTTAGTTTCCCACCTACTCCGTAGTTCGTGCCGCATTCTTAATCGAGAGGAAGGATTCAAGAAAAAATGGCAGTTCACGCCCAGCCCAGTCCAAGCCCGCCACGCACGAAAAACAAAAAAAGCACAGACTTCCAAGAAACGCCCGCCCGGCCACCACCCAGAAGAAATTCCTTCCTGGGCAAGCCCGAATGCCACATTTGCGCCGCTGACGACGGTCCATCAACGTTGCTTCGCAGATGCTACGGAGTTCTGCTGCTCGTCTTCGGACGTTTGATACCCCGAGGGTGTCAACGGGGAATATGCAGAACAGCGTGAGCCACGCGGACTGCGTTGTTCCTTGTCTGTTCTAGGCTCTAGGATCTGGGCATTACGGTGATTGATTTGGAATGACCTATACAAAATAGAAAATAAGACCTATCGCAGAGCATAAGGAGATGTAGGTCGGACAGATTCAGCGCTATTGTCGGACTCGAAAGAAATGACTCATGCGATCCTGATGGCCTGGTTGCCCAAGGCAGAGAGGAGAGCACATGCCTCCGCCAGCCCTACCGCCAAGCCCGCAATAAAGTGAGAGATTAGCTAGCATCAAGTCCACCTCTAGCGACTAGGACCGATTTAGGTAAGAGGGAGCTCGCAGGGTAGCACGGAGAAGCTAATCCAGGCTAGTCGCGAGCAACAACAGTGACATCTCGTGACGGTGGTACAGGAATCCCTCCCTCGGCTGCCCGTGTCTAATTGCTGACCGTTTCAGAATGTGGCACATCAGCCCGGGCCAGTTCATGCGGTGCTCTCGCTCTCGACTCTCAGTCCGCTAGAGCGAAGGAGGAGAGAGTCATGACTTCATGGTGAAGGCGGAGAAGGAACGCGGTCCGTGGTCCGGTGCGTGGTCTGTGACGAGCGAAGCTGTCAGAGTCGAGTCGACGTGCGTTTGGGGTCGCAGGACATTGGACGGGGATTCGAGTCCCGACGGACGGGTGAGCGAACAAAGGACCAACAAAGATGGTCGGGACGATGGCGGGGAGAAGTAGCCTGTTTGGGGAATTTTGTAGGATCTGAGGCAGGAAAATGGTCGACTGTCTGGGGATCTGGGGGGCTGGTTGGCTGGGGAGATGGCTTAGCGGGCCAGCGTGATAATAGGGTCCGGATATAGGGGCAACGGCCCCAGAAAAAAAGGTAAAAATGCTCGTCATCCGGGGGAAAAGTGGGGGACGGTGGATGTAACCCTGTAGCTACGTCGACATGAGCCAGCCCGACAAAGGTCTCATGATGGGGCATGTATAGGCCCGAGAGTTCGTGTCCGACCGTGGATGAGAGCCCGGGAGGCCCAGGGGAACTGATCTCCCCAGAGTGACAGGTCGATGATGGCAGGAAGGAAAACGAGACTGAGCTGGAGGGGACTGGACTTTTGAGTGGACTTGGAATATGGGACGAGGCCAAGAAACGGACTCAGAAGGCGCTGACGGCCAAGCCCGAATGGCTCGCCTTGACTGGAGGAAATTGTGACAGTTTTCCCCAGTAGTTAATTTTATGGAGAGCAGGCTCTAATCCATTTGCTATTTTGATTGTGCAACCACTGCGTCTCGAGCCTAAGCTGGTGTTCGTCCTCGACAATGTCGCGTGCTGCTGCTGCTGGTCATGCCCATGAATTCCCAGTCCGTAACCCCCGCAATCCCCATGTGGAGATGCCATTCCAAGGCTTAAAGCGAAAGCCAAGTAGTCATTCAACCGGAGAACAGCGCGGGGGAGACCAGGGAATACGAGAGCGTCCACGGATGGCTGTCAAATCACACCGAGATCCAAGCCGCTGGTTGTTTGGTGGCGCTGCGCCAATGCCGTACCAGGCCAGTTTGAATGCGATCTCCTATTGGGGTACAGGGATTTGGTTTTTTTCTTTTGGATTTTATTTCATTTTCAAACTGATTCTGTGCCAGACCATCAGGCGACGCAGTGAATGCTGGCCGGTGAATGGCGTCGTGACTGCCAGACGCGGTCCATGTGCTTTCGCTACCCCTGGTCGCCTTCCTTTATTTGATTTTCTCGTCTCTTACCTTTCCTGCTTTTTTCTTTTCTTCTTTTCATCTCTCATTTAAATCCCCTCCCCGGCCTTTTCCCCGTATTCTGATTTCTCCCCTCCTTCCCCCGTCGGATGTGATCACCTCCTGGCTGGCTTTCGCCTTCTCGATAGCTGGTCGCCGTCACCATGAAGAAATTCTACAATGTTTACTTCCTTTGTAGCTTCATCACCTTGGGTGTGTTGTCCCGATGCCGTTCAGTCGTCTGAGGCCTCAGCTGATCTCTCGCAGGTGGTGGGCTGTTCGGTTTTGACATTTCGTCGATGAGTGGTAAGCTTTGACGTCGTTGATTTGGTCGATACAGTCTTCTGAACTTGTCGCAGGTGTGCTTGGAACCAATGCCTATACCAATTATTTCCAGGTCGGATCCGGCCAGTACAAGCAGGTAAGCTTCCGACTTCCATTCAATCGAATTGCGCTCATCATTCGTCCTATCTAGGGTGCCATCACTTGTGCTATGCCCTTCGGTTCTCTCGTCGGTGCGCTGAGCTCCAGTTTCATCGCCGATAAATACTCTCGTGTCACTGCCATTCAGTTCTCGTCGATTCTGTGGATCATCGGTGCAATGTACGTTACTCTCTATGCCACTCTGCATTCTCCGGGAATCGTCGCTAATTTTCCTAGCTTCCAATGCGCTGCAAACGGTATTCCCCTGCTGGTTGTCGGTCGTGTCATCGCCGGACTCTGTGTTGGTATCGCCTCCGCCATGGTCCCTGTCTACCAAGCAGAGGTCGCCCCCAAGGAAATTCGTGGTCGAGTCATTTCACTGCAGCAATGGGCAATTACCTGGGGTATTCTCATCCAATACTTCATTGTAAGGCCCCTGGTACCAGAGTGACACAGACAGAGCTAATTATCGCAGCAATATGGCGCTAGTAACATTGACGGAGGCCCCGATAACCCAACCCAGAGCACCGCCGCGTTCCGGATCCCCTGGGGCATTCAGATCGTTCCTGGTGTCATCCTCTTTGTCGGTCTGTTCTTCTACCCCAAGTCGCCTCGTTGGCTGGCGAGCAAGGATCGCTGGGACGAGGCTATGCAGGTTCTCGCCAACCTTCACGGCAACGGCGACATCAACCACCCCAAGGTGCTGGCGCAGTACCGCGAAATCCAAGAAGCGTTGGCTCTGGAGCAAGAGCAGGCTCAGACCAGCTACCAGGAACTGACCAAGCCGCGTATCCTGAAGCGTGTGATTCTCGGCATGAGTGTGCAAATGTGGTCTCAGCTTTGCGGCATGAACGTCATGATGTACTACATCGTCTACATCATGCAGAGCACCGGCGCCGGCTCCCCCCTGCTGACCGCGTCCATCCAGTACATCTTGAACACTGCGTTGACCTTGCCGGCTATCCTCTACCTTGACAAGGTTGGTCGTCGTCCCGCTCTTCTCGTCGGCTTTTGCTGCCAGGCCATCTTCCTCTACATCGAGGGAGGTCTCCAGGCAGCATATGGCAAGCCGAACCCAGGCACGGATCCCAAGCTGGATGCCATCTCCTGGACAGTCGCCGACCACCCTGCCGTCGGAAAGGCCATCATTGCCATGTCGTACCTCTTCGTCTGCTCCTTCGCCACAACCATCGGCCCCACCTCCTGGACCTACCCCGCCGAGATCTTCCCTGCCAAAGTCCGTGCCAAAGCCGTCTCGCTGTCAACCGCCTGCAACTGGACCTGGAACTGTCTGTTGGCGCTCTTCGTGCCTCCTCTCCTGTGGTCTATCAACTGGAAGATGTACATGATTGTAAGTCACCCTTTCTCACATCTGAATATTCTGCTTACCTTTTACTAGTTCGCTGCCTTCAACACCGCCGCTATTATCCACATGTTCCTTGCGGCCCCCGAAACCAAGGGCTACACCCTCGAAGAGATGGACGAGGTCTTCGACAGTGGCCTGCCTGCCTGGCGCAAGCTCAAGAAGCGCAGTCGTCTCGACGACCTCACCCAGGAGATCGAGCAGGGCAACCTCAAAGTCGGAGGCACCACCAAGACCGCCGACACCACGTTCCAGGAAACCACCGAGAAGGTGTAATTCCAGGCTCTTTTTCTTACTTTGTAGCTCACATCTCTCCATTTCATTTCTTTTCATGCTCAAGGGACACGAGACGGGATAAGTTGCGTGTTAATCGGTGGGACAGATTACATCGGATCTTAGGAGGCGCTGTCTGTCTATCTAGTGGATTTGTTTTCTGAGGCATGGCTCTTCTTATGGGTTTCATGCAAAGATGAATATCTGTAGATGACACTGCACTGATGATTTTGATGGTTATTTTTCGATTCTATTAATGAGGCTTACTTTTAAGTTTATTGAACCCGTCTAGATGGCTGCGGATCGATTGGCTGGGCTGGTTTGGTTTGATGCTGAACTGACTGGTCGTTCTGTTATCGGCCGGATACTAGATAGGGATATTTTAATGGATACTTTTATGGACTTTCTTTCCGAGGCGGGAGGTCATGAGGGTGTGGTGGGTATGAAAGTAGATATTCAGGGGTTTTCGATCTTGAAATGTGTCACTTGGCTTGTAGCTGTCACTTAAGGACTGAACGGTTACGATAAAAGCACCCAAAAGGTACCGTGCCATGATCGACGTAAACAGACCTCAAAAACTGGTCTAAAATGAACCGACCCGTCTATAACCTATCAATAAACCTCTAACTTAAATAAACGAAATACTATAAAATAAATACAACAATTACCAAAATCCCCTGAACCCGTCTCCAGAGACAGTATCCAGGCTACGAATCAAAAAAGCTCCGAATCCTTCTTAATCAGATCCGCCGCCCGCTCGGCAACCGCATACAGCGTACTGACCAGATGGCCGCAGACCTGGAACGGCAGCACCGAGGCGTCGACGACGCGCACGTTCGAGGTGCCGTACACGGTGAGTTTCTCGTCCACGACGCCGCCGGACTTGCGGGGCATCATGGCCGCCGTGCCGACGGGGTGGAAGTTGGAGCGATCTATGGCATTTCGTTAGTACCTGATAATATGGGCCTCGGGTAGGGGAATGAAGAATATGGAATGGAAGGTTAAAGGGGGAAGGGAAAGACTTACAGTTCCCATCAAACGCCCACTCCTTCCACTCCTCGACGGACGCATCCTTCCTGACGACCTCGAACCCAGGCTCCGATTCCTCCTTGACCAACGCACTCAACGGCGCCGTCTGCAGCGCCTTGCGAATGAACTTCGCGACGCCGACATGCGCCTGCACGTCCCAGTCAAACATGAAGTAGTTGGGGTTAATAACGGGCTTCTGCTGGGGGTTCTTAGATCCGATATGCACGTTTCCTCTTGCGAAGGGAAGCAGGGACCAGAACTCCGAGGAGATGGCGGCCTCGCCGCCCGGCATGAACAGGATCTCGGCGATGGGGGTCTTCTGGTTGAAGATGAGGTCGTACTGCAGCTCGAAGAGCGGGAGGAGGTGTTTGGCTTTCATGATGTTGCCGTTGACCTTGGCGGTTTCGGTGGCGTATTTGTGCAGGTTGGAGCGGACGGAGTGCGCGAGGGAGGCGGTCTCGTTGCCGAAGATGTCGTACACGTTCGGGTAGGTGACTGTTGAGCTGCCGGTGATGTTGGAGCGGGTGGAAGCGGCGAACGCGGCGTTGACTTGGTCCTGTAGGTTTTCGCCGACGGTGGGGAGGTCGACTTTGAGCGGGATGTTGTACTGAGAGAGGATGTCCGGGTTGCCGATTCCGGAGAGTTCGAGGATACCGGGGGTTTTGAGCGAGCCGGCGGACACGATGACTTCCTGGGAGGCGGAGACGACGCTGACGGTGCCGTTGCGGGAGGAGATCTCGACGCCACGTGCGGTGGCCTCGTGGGACGACTCGTTAGCCCACACGATGCGGTTGGCGAACGTGTTCAGCAGAACGTGCAGGTTCGAGCGATCCGCGAAGGGGAAGTAGTATGCGCGAGCGGCGTCCTCGCGGACCTGCTTCTCGGCGTCCAGGGTGGATGGGAAGACGTTGAGACCGCGCATCTTGCCGCCGTTGACGTCGTCGGACCAGGGGATGCCCAGGTTGGCGTGGGTCTTGTTCAGCACGGTGGTGAGCTGGCTGGGCGAGGTGACGGAGTAGGCCACCTTCAGGGGTCCTTCTTCGCCGTTGAAGTCGGCGTTGGGGTGTGCGCCGGCAGCCAGTTGCGGTGAGGACGGGTTGGTCAGGTTCTCGCTCTTCAGGTAGTAGGGGAGCAGCGAGGACCAGGTCCAGCCTTTGTTGCCGATGGTTTCCCAGGCGTCGACCTGGACGTCTTCGGCGCGGGTGTAGGCCATTCCTGTGCTGGGTTAGTTCTGCGGATGTGCGAGCTTGGCGGAGAGGGAATACCGTTGATGGCACTCGTTCCGGAGAGCGCCTTTCCAGCTCTCAGCACCTGCTTGCTTCCACCGCCGTATGTCTGGTTCGTCGACTCATACTGCCAGTCGATGTCCGTGCCGAATGCCAGACCGTAGCCGTCAGCGGCCGTGACGTTGGGGTTGTTGTAGACCGAGTCACCGGCCTCGACGACCAGCACCTTGACCTTGGGGTTCTCGGAGAGACGGTTGGCGACGGCGAGACCGCTGGTTCCACCGCCGATGACGATGTAGTCGTAGGAAGGAGACGAGGCGGCCAGGACGGATCCTGTTGTGCACAGGAGTGCCGCGACGGAAATGAGACGGCTGAACATGGCGATCAGGTAGGACGTTTCTGCTGCTGCTGAAAGGAGGATCAGCCGGACGGGGGAGGATCGGTTTATGTATGAGATGGGCCTCGTGGACGTGCGTAGACCGGATCTGTCATGTCACATCGGGTCCGAAGCAGCGAGCAGGTATGGCGAGCGGGCTAGCTAGCCGGTGTGTCCCTTGCATAATGAGACCCTGCTATAGAGTAATCTTTTGTCAGCGGTGCAGAGAGGGTCGTTTAGATTGCGACCCACTTGGTGCGGCGCAGAAGTGAGGTTATTTTTCTGCGTCCTCGGAGCGGGATTTGGTGGGATGTGGGATCGGCATTTAAGAAGCCAAGAAGCCAGATGGTGATAGCAGCCTTCATCTGAAAGATGGCTCAACTCTGTAAATCCCGAGACGGTCATATTGTGAGCAGAACGTGCATGTCAAACCTCATCAAAAGGTAGAAATGCCATCTAATCTTATCATGAAACGGCTCGGGATCTGGCCGGTCCACCGTGTCTCGGCTTGCCGTGAATAATCCTCGCCTAAGCAGCTCAACACAGCAGGTTGACATGCCGATCGTCCCGACATCTCCTCCGTGGGCTTAGAAAGCGATGACTGATGCGCGGAATCCGCCGCTGCTGCTCTGTCAGCCTTTACGGAGTATCCTCTGGGTCAGGGTCCATCGTTTAGTTCGATATTCTCCGAGATTTCGCCTCTGTGTCACCTTGTGAGCATGCTTTTGGAGAGTTATCGGGGATTTTTTTTGTCAGGATCTTGAGAGCGGTCTCTTGGTATTATGCATTTGTTCAACGATTATTGACAATAATTATTGCGCTGCAGTCATCTGTGGCAATCTCGAGAACGAATCCATTCTCGCTGTCTACTTTCCAACGCAATCTGCGACAAACTTCGTCGAGAATCTCCATTCTGAAACTAGACCCCCGTGAGCTCAAGCCCAGATCGAAGGATCATCGCGTGCTCGCCGTCACACAGCAAATAGGTTAAGCCCCGGCACTTGGCCGACTAGACGAAACTAGTTTCATCTTAGTTACGACCGCCGACTTGGAACCTGCAGTAGTATTTCTTCTAGTCTCCGGCAGACTTCCGATATGCAGGGGTAGACACTACCAAATGGGCAATTTCTCACGAATGCGGACTCCGGCATCTTCCTCCGATTGAGTGATTTTCTTTGCGCTTCCAGAGTCTGGTCTGTTCGTTTTTTTGGTATGTTTCTAGTATGGTTGTTGGCAGCAACTCACATGGCAAGCCCAAGATCCACTCGACGTTTCAGTCAATAGGCTTTATCGGGTTAATAGAATTTTGGTTGATTGATTGATCCACTCAAAATAGCTCCGTTGAGTAATTCAAAGCTGAAGCTGATTACAAACTCGTTCAATTGATTATGCTATCAACCACAGGTTAGTTTGTCAAACATTATACTAGGTCGCAACTCCTGTCCTATTTCTTCGGATACGGCCACTTCCAGTTGCGAATATACTCCGGATCGATTCCATTCTCCATCGTCTCCTCCTTCGCCGCCAACTGCAGGTTGATGAACCTCTCGCGAACCCCAGCGGCTGTATTCCCGAGCGACGGTATGCGATCGATCGCATCAATAGCCAAGCGATATCGATCTGTTTGGTTTCTGACCGCAAGCTGGAATGGTGTATCGATATTTCCCTTCTCCCTGTAGCCCCTGACATGCAGGTTCTCTTGACCCGGTCGCTTGTATGTCAAACGATGGATGAGCCAGGGGTACGAGTGGAAGTTGAAGATAATGGGCTTGTTGTCAGTGAACAGCGCTTTCCATTGTCGGTCTGACATTCCATGCGGATGGTTGCTTTCCGAGATGAGGCGGAATAGGTCGACGACGTTGACGAATCGCACCTTCACCTGGGGCAAATGTTCCCGGAGAAGAGAAGTCGCGGCCAGGGCCTCGTGTGTCGGAACGTCACCACACGCTGCCATGATGACGTCTGGCTCTACGCCCTGGTCGTTGCTCGCCCAGTCCCAGATTCCGGCACCCTTGGTGCAGTGTTCGATAGCCTCGTTCATATTCAGGAACTGGATGTGGTCTTGCTTGTCTGCCACGATTACGTTGACGTAGTTGACACTTGCGAGACAGTGGTTCGTCACTGAGAGCAGGGTGTTTCCGTCGGGAGGAAGGTAAATTCGAACGACTTCGGGGCTTTTGTTCGCAACCACGTCGAGGAAGCCGGGGTCTTGGTGGGTGAATCCGTTGTGATCCTGTCGCCAGACGGTCGCGGTGAGCAGAATATTCAGCGACGCCACCTTGGCGCGCCATTCCACCTCGAGGCACTTTTCAATCCACTTGCAGTGCTGGTTAACCATGGAATCGATAACATGAATGAAAGGCTCGTAGCTATTTAGAAGCCCGTGTCGACCGGATAGAACGTATCCCTCGAGCCAGCCCTCACATGTATGCTCGCTAAGCATTTCCATGACGCGTCCCGCGAACGCAAGATTTCCCCCGTCCGTATCTTCATCGAAGTACTCGGCCATCCAGACCTTCTTGCCGGCTTCGTAGACCCTAGAGAGTTTGTTCGATTCGGTCTCGTCGGGGCCGAAAAGCCGGAATGTCTTGATGTTCTGGGCCATCACGTCGCGGAGGAATGTGGACATGTTTACCATGCTGCCTCGAACGGTGACTCCCGGTTCAATGTCACGAAGTCCGTAGACTCGGAAGTCAGGAATGTCAAGAGGTCTGCGAACAAGACCACCATTGCCGATCGGGTTGGCACTCATTCGAGACCGACCTTTCGGGGCTAGTTCGCGGAGCTCAGGAATCAGTCTGCCGGATTTATCGAAGACCTCTTCGGGCTTGTAGCTCCTCATCCAGTCCTCCAGAACCTTCAAATGCTTCTGGTTCGTGTTGACGTCGGTAATGGGGATTTGATGCGCCCGCCAGAACCCTTCCAGTCGCTTTCCATCGACTTCCTTCGGAGCCGTCCAGCCTTTTGGACTTCGAAGAACAATCATCGGCCAACGAGGGCGAAACGGCTTTCCTGACTCCCTAGCCTGCTTCTGAAACTTTTTGATTTCAAGCACGCAGTGTTCAAGTGTGGCTGCCATCGCTTGATGCATACTATCCAACTCGCTGCCCTCGACGAAGTACGGAGTCCATCCATATCCAACTAGCAACGCAGACAGCTCATCATGGCTGATGCGCGCCAGCAACGTCGGGTTGTTAATCTTATATCCATTCAAATGCAGCACAGGAAGCACGGCACCGTCCGTACACGGGTTCAAAAACTTCGTGCTATGCCAGCTGGTCGCAAGCGGGCCAGTCTCAGCCTCTCCATCACCCACCATAGTCAAGGTGATCAGATCCGGGTGATCAAACACCGCCCCGAACGAATGCGAGATCGAATATCCCAGCTCTCCGCCTTCATGAATACTGCCCGGTGTCTCGGGCGTTGCATGGCTGCCGATCCCCCCTGGAAACGAGAACTGCTTGAAGAACTTCTGCATTCCTTTCTCATCCTCCCCTTTATCAGGATACACCTCTGAATAGACTCCCTCGAGGTACGACTGCGAGAGAATCCCCGGCGCGCCGTGACCGGGTCCCGACACGAAGAGAACATCGAGGTCATATTTCTTGATAAGCCGGTTCATGTGCATCCAGGTGAAGGATTGGCCGGCGTCGGAGCCCCAGTGGCCGAGGAGACGCGCTTTGATGTGCTCGAGTTTCAGCGGCTCTTTGAGAAGTGGGTTTTCGCGGAGATACAACATCCCGAGACAGAGGTAGAGGCTTGCTCGGAAGTAGGCGTTCGTCTTGCGAATCTCGTCGGCGGACAGTAGCTTTCCTGAGATTGTGGAGCGAGCGGCTCCGTAGGCCGAGAGACTCAGGGGCTCTGAATTTGAAGCCATTTTCGATCCCTGTTCCGAATGTAAACTGAAGCCTGTGCTTTGTTTAGAATGTGCAGGCTGATTTGGTCATGTCAATGTATGCAGGTCTAAAGGTCGGAGACCCCGTATTGAATCAACATTCTTCTCGTATCCCTAGCATCTGGGACAGTGATCGGGTCATAACGTCTCGGCCAGATGGTGGTCCAGACTCGGCTGAAAAGTCCATGACGTCGTCCATGACGGAATATCGACGTCGCACGAGTCGCGGCTCTGACTCCCGAGCAAGTAAAGAACAAGGAATTACGACTGTATTGAAGCTGCTCAACCAGAAACATAGAAAATCATGACTGCGCAATATGTTTCCTGAGATGAGCGTCAAACAAGATGTAGCGATCTGCGAGATGGGTGGGTCACGGGATACGCTAGTCCTAGAATGGAAGGTGAGCGAGGGTCCCGTCATCCAAACAGAACAAACAGAACAAACAGCAGGCGTTGAGTATGACTTCACATCTCCAAGGATGAGGTTCGTCTATGGGGGTTACTGCAAAAGATAAATCTATATCTATGGATTATTTATGTCAGTGCTACCTTTTTCTTGCAGCTTCAAGGCTCACAAAACTATGTCAGTCTGAGACCCCATGGTCTGCTGTCCAAATATATATCACGGACCATCAAGTTTTACCGAAGCTTTTAACAACATCCAAGGAAGTTCAAACGTATATTAGTGAAGATTAAGCAAAATCAAAGCCAAAATAAACTAAAAAGAAAGTCAAGATAAATTAAAGATTGATTGAAAAAAAGTCCACTACTATGATAAAATGGAGCTCACTATTATCGGAACAAATCACATTCTGGTAACAAAGAAAATAAAACAAGATTCTGTCGTGAAAGCCAAAAATATTGAAGTTCACTGTTGTCGGAACAACTCGCATTCTGATAACAAAGAAAAAAAGAAAGATCTCTTGTGAAGTCAAAACAATCTAGGCACAAAAGATCGCAGCATTGCCATGAACAAAGATACTCGACTGAGATGATACTCCAATTGTCAGACAATAGGATTCATGGCAAAGAAAGACAAGAGCCTCATTCAGATTCAAAACAGTCAATGTCCCATTCATAGACACGTTTCAGACGTCGGGACAACCAAAGCAGACGATGACCCTCGAGACGAGATTCATGAGGACGATGAAATGTAAAAGCTTTCAGATGACTGAGGGAAGCCGAGGGCTCAAACGTAACAACGGACCCATACTTGTGCGTGACTGCAAATCCCAACTCGCTCATGGCGGCCGTGAAAGCACTCCAGGCAAGTGATCCTCGAGGCTCAGCCCTCGAAAGCAACGTCTTGAAGACATCATATGACTCTGGCTTGACTTTCATGGTCGGTCGTTCTTCGACAATCTCGGGTGGACTTGATGCGGAGCTACTCGATTCATCACTTTGTTCAGATGAAGACTGTGTGGGCCGTGTCTTGGGTTTAACCTTGCGTTCCTTGATTTTCAATGACCCGGCTGGAGCTTCAGTCATCGAAAGTCTCTCCGCCATCAATTCCCGCTCTCGCTGAACTTGGGTCCGATTTTCGTCAGACCTCTTGCGTATGGCCAACATGCACTCCTCGATCCTTTCTTCGTATAGCGTGCTGAGTTGGGTCCCGGTATAACAGTCGATCACTTCGTCGACCTTATCGAGGACACGTTCGAGGACTCCAGGGATTCGAATGCGGTCTGGTGGCATAGCCAGGTCTGTCACGTCCAGGCTTTCTTTGATGGACTCTATCTCCGGAGCCATGGCCTTGATACAATTGATGTATGTGCGACCCTTTCGGGGATTGCTCGGAGGGAGTTGGACCGCCTTTTTCAGCGATTTGAATAGGCCCGTGATGACCGCGAGTTCGTGTATGGCGTCCCGTGGTCCCTGATTCTTTAGATCGACCAACGCGTCGTCATTGTTGTACAGGCCAAAGATCTTCTGGAGCCAGTGACCCGCATCGGCGACTTTGGTTTTGGCTTGGTAAAGACGCAGGATGTAGTGGATGAACGGGCTTGCCCTCGTGAAAGCGGCGGGTTCGGTTTTCAAGATGATCCGGGTGCTGTTGTTGGGACCGTCGATCCGCTTCAGATGTTCACAGCCAACGCTCCGTTGCGTATAGCGTTTCAGCAAAGTCTGCGACCTCTCGTATTCGAAATGGATCACGTTGACCAGCTCCTGGAGAATGGCGGCCCGGTAGAAGCGATCGTCTTCCTTGGTCGTAGCGAGTTCGCGGAGAAGACGAGCGATAAAGTCCCACACTGCAGCGCTGTGCACGAAGGTATGCAGCATCTCGAAAAGACTGGTAGACACATGTTTGTCAACCATCGTGGGAAGCAGTAGGTTATCACTGTCACCAATGAGCCCCGGCTGGGTAAAGAACCAAGCATAGATCATGTTAATCAAGTACTCAGGGTCTGTTCGACAGAGCCATGCCCAGTTCTCCAACGATCTCTTGTTATCGGCGGCCATCTCAGCCAGGGATTCCAATGAGACAACATCCTTCTGTTCCCTGATGCAGAGCCCGATTAGCTTCATTGTGCCCGGCCCCTGTGGCTTTCCTCCTGAAGTCCCTTTTTCATTCCCTCTCCAATACACGGCCAGAATCTCCCAAACCACCAAATTCATCATCTGCAAAAACTGCATTTGACGAGCTAGTATGTAGTTGCCGATGACGGACGGCTGGGTGCACCTCGGGAGTTCCTTGTCATTTGATCCACTGCACTGGTGCTCAGGGAGGGAGACTTCTTCTCCATAGTGATACTCCGAGGCGAAACATCTGTACTTTCCATCTTCAAACTCTTCGAGTTCCATCTCGCAGTGGTGAATTGTGGAAAGCATGAATTGTTCATCCCCAAAACTACCGTTTGGACCAAAGAGGTACTGATCACTGAGCCAATTGGTCGCACGATGCTTGATAAGGTCGAGGAGCAGATCAGAGTCTGGCTTAGCCAGGTCTTGAAGATTCCATTCTGGAATGAGTAAACAGATCTCGCCTTTACCAAAATCCTCCGGATCATCCAGCACCAGCCCCCCAGCTTTATGCCCTTGTAGCACCTCCACTCGACCTTCTTGGTCGAGGAGGTGCCACATCTCCCGGACCTCGCTCTCGTATCTGTTCCACTTCGTCGTTAAGTCTTTATGGAGCTGTTTCAGTATCTTCAAAGTATCACCACGGTATACGAGATGAGGCCCCGCATCCTGGCTCGAGGTGTCGGGCATGTTGGATGCTGACATCGGCTTGATTTAGATAAAAGCAAAAGAATAGAGGAGACTTCTCAAAGGTATCGGATAATTGTAGAGCAGGTAGGATGGTGAGCAAACATGTAATCAGAAACGATGGGGATACACAGTAGAATTACTTAATTAGGAAACATACGTAGAGGGATCTGGGTGATTATGGTATTTATACTAATTTAATTTATGGATCCTCACGTGTTCGTTGTTACTCAGATATCCGGAAATCTCAGTTGTTGTGGTTTAATGCTTCATTGTTCTTTAGCGGAAGTCAACAGTATCGCGTAGAGAGCAGAGGCTGCCATCTGCCACCGCTTTGTAAACTTCGCTATGCTCATTCATGTAGGAGAGTTTATGCTGAAATCTAGTTATAAGCTGCCTTTACGAGGTCTGTGCGTTCTGATATTGTGAAGTTTGGTGATATAGTGCACTTTATAGTTAGGGTTAGCTCTGCTTACCTTGAGGGCCAACGAACCAGTAACATAAGCATGAGCATGAGAGCAGCAGGAATAGTTCTCAGGATAGAGCAGTTCTATAAACCATGCTATGCTAGATCTTTATACAGTTGTCTTTCTTATTGCAGCCTTGAATACTGCAGGCATATCAACCTTTTACAGAAGCACACCCAAGAATACAAAGCATTATATTAGGAGGTCAATGCAACCAATCATACGACCAGTTTATGACAGTACCTTATTGGTTCACATCTACCAATCCATGGTTCCTGGACAGCATCCACTTATGCGCCTAAATTTATACTTGCGAGCCACGTAGTCCAAGTTTAAGCGCTGTGATTGGCTGAGAGTAAGTTCACCCCTATTAACCAGAAGACTCAGGGCCTGCATCGAATATTATTATTTGCCTCGGCTTCTCTACGTATCTTCATCAGCTGGACATAGCAGGGAAATTCCTGGTTTTGGTAACCCTCGCTGTGCGTCCACTGGACTCACGGACCTTCATACAGATCCTCGTACTGCCAATCGTAGGACCCAGAGCAAGCACTTGTCGATAGGAAACAGAGAGGCCGCGTATGTCAAATTTGATAGTACAATTGAAAGCGGTATACTCATTCTCACCTATAATAACAATCCATTCTATCCAGTAACCCCACATACTGGGACTTCCCGTTCGGAATTCTCACATCTGGCCGAGGCTTCGTGATATTCGCCACCCGACCTGCCCAGATCATGGCAAGATCTATATTTGGTATATCGACTACGTGAATGATGGAGGAATCCGATGTGAGCTTCGGAATTCCCGTGCCCGAGATCGTTCTGGCCACCTGTGAGGACCCAGAGGCAATCACATAAATACTTTCTCGATCAACCCCCAACTTCATCCTTCTTCTTCTTCTCTCCAACCATCCTCTTCCCTCCTCAAAAATCCATCCAACTTCTTCCACCCAACTCTTCCTTCAAACCAATCATTCCTCCGTACAACTCTTCTTCAAGTAAGTCCTTCCTACAAGCCTGTCCTTGATCCTCCATACTAGAATCCCTCTCACACCTATCCAAGGCCCAATCCTCTCAGCAAACAGTTCTCCACCACCGCCAAGATGAAGGTCCTTGCCTTGCTTGCTGTTCTTCTCTCTTTCTTCATCAACATGATCCACGCTGCTCCCCTTCATACTCCTCTCCGTCATGATACCCCTGCTATCATCAAAGACTTCGAGCAGGTCGGTGCTCGTGTGGCTGAGCTTGACAAAGCCATCAAATCTTTCGGTCCCAAGACTGACGTTGGTACCATCCGCAACCTCACCTCTAACGTTGAGATGGCCATTGTTCACACTCACAACGATGTCGACTGGAACAAGAGTTTCAACGAAAAGGACAGCAAGGCTATGGCTTCATCGGCGGATTGAATTCTTATTGCTTTTGTCTTGCGAAATAAAACGCTTTGGTGTGAGCGCTATGTCAATGGAATTTTAGCTTACCCAATCTTGCTTCTGCATGTACATTTACATCTACGTAGTCGCTGTCTAGTAGCAGTATAAGTAATCACAGTGCCCAGCAATTCGAATTAGAAGAGATCATCACGTTCTAGAAGCTCATTCCAGGGCAATCTATAAGTAACCGGTCTCCGCTCCAATGTCTACTCCTACCTCCTCGGCAAGCCGACCGTTGACGCCTGTCGTATCCGTGTCTCTAGTATTTAATTTGAGCTTGATGCGCACGAGTGGGCACAGTGGAGCCCAAGTGGCCATCCACAGACCTTCTTCAGAGGGAGTGGGTCGATTATTCTTAGCCCTACTCTGCATCCCGAACACGGATACGGCAGGGGATACTCACCGCGATGGTTGAAGATTCAAGAGATCTTCTTAATGAAGATTCCATTTCAATATAAGGTTATCTCCTGAATGTGCCGTTCTCTCTTTCATGTCGCCTATGTTCATTCTCTACATCATATGGTCTGTCGGCGTATTTAGCCCTAGACCGTCCACTCGCTACTTCACGATTTCATTCCGTAACTCATTCCAATTCATTGACATCCAGATCCTTCAGCCAAAATGGGCTCCTGGTCCCTCTACGACTACGAGCCTAGCAAACCCGCCGCTCTCGTCGCTATACTCGCCTACGCCCTCAGCTCAATCTACCACATCTACCAACTCGTCCAGCTCAAGGCCTACTTCTTCACCAGCTTCATCGTCGGCGCAATCAGTACTCTCCTCCCCCTCCTCTCTCCCTTTTCATCCCGCTCCCCCTCTAACTAAGCTATCTGATATTTAGTGATGACAATCGGCTACATCTCCCGCACCATCTCCTCCAACGGCACCACCGCACTAGCCCCCTACATCGCCCAAAACATCTGCATCCTGCTCCCACCCTCCCTCTACGCCGCCACCATCTACATGATCTACGGCCGCGTCGTCATCCATCTCCGCGTACCCCGTCTCTCGCTGATCTCGCCGTACAAAGTCACCAAGATCTTCGTCGTCGGGGACACCATCGCGTTCTTGACTCAGGCCTCGGGAGGCGGTATGATGGCCATGCAGGAGCTGGCGAGTATGGGGCATAAGATTACCATTGTGGGGTTATTTGTTTTTTTTGGGCTTTTTCTGACCGTCACGGGGACGTTTGTGAGGAGGTTGGGGAATAGGGGTACCGCGGGGAGTCAGGTCCCTGGGGATGTGAAGAGGTTGTTGACTGTGTTGTTGGTTGTGTCGGGCGTTATCATTGTGAGATGTTTGTATCGGATTGTGGAGTTTTGTCAAGGGAATGATGGGTATTTGATGCGTCATGAGGTGTTAATGTATGTTTTTGATACGATCCCCATGTTTGGCGTGCAGGTTGTTTTTCATTTCTTTCATCCTGGGGTGATACTGGGGCAGGGGAGGGGGTTTGAGGCGGTGGATGTTGCGATGTAAGAGTTCTGGGTTGGGTTTATATATGGACTTTCTTTCTTTTGTTGTCGATTTCTTGTCATTCTGTCCGAGCCTATATTAGTCTCCTTGTAATTTCATCCTATTGCTACCTATGGATAAATAACTTCTTAGACTTATCGGATCTACATCTCACTCCCGCAAAGGGTCATCCGTCCCCAAAAATCATTGATAGTGGAGATTATTACCATTACTCTATAATCTATATGCAGCATAACATCATCATATCTAGACTCACGCACTACCACTCTCCTCATCCCCCTTCCCCTTCCCCTCCCCATTCTTCCGAATATCCTTCCACCCAATCCCAAACGACACCCCCAGCGCCACAACCCCAAGCCCGACCGCCATATAAAAGATCTCGCCAATACTCTTCGCATACGCCATCAGCACGCCGCCCAACTGCTCACTCGACACAATAGCCCGGAACCCCGTCGCGCCCGCAGCGATGACTTTCTCGACGCTCGCGGTCGGCGCGAACTGCGGGATCTTGTCGCGCAGACCCTCGGCGAAGATCACCTCCGCAAGGGCGAGGAAGATCGCGCCCCCGAAGGTCTGGGCGAAGGTGAGGGTGGCCATGGCGGGGGAGACGTCGGTGGCGGTGACGGCGTTTTGGACGGCGATCATGGGCTTTGTTTTTCATCGTTAGTTTGAGGGTTTGAAGTGGCGGGGGAGGAGCAGTGAGAACATACGACTTGCATGCAGGCGCCGCGGCCGAAACCGACGAGGATCTGGTATCCGACCCATTGGCCGGTGGGCGTGGTGGGTGAGAGCATGGTGAGCAGGCCGTTGCCGATGGTGGTCAGGACGGCGCCGAAGAAGGCCCACGGGAGGTAGTAGCCGATTTTGCCCACTAGAGATGGATTAGCCATATTCCGATTGCTCTGTCAGTAGAGGAAGAGTTAAAGAGTTTGGCATACTCAGAATCCCCGATCCCACAGCCGCCACCAGCTGAGACAGAATATTCGGCAACATATCCACACCACTCATGATGGCCGTTCTACCACGGACCGACTGGAAGTAAATCGGCAGGTAGTACGCCAACACCATCGTCATGCCGAAGAACATCATCGCCAGAATACACGACGTCCAGACGATCTGTCGGCGAATGATCCGTAGCGGAATCATGGCATTATCGCCCTCGTGCCATTCCCAGAGGAAGAAGACGATGAAAGTCCCCCCGGAGCCGCAGAACAGGCCGATAACCGTGGCGCTGTTCCATGCGTACTGGTGTCCACCGTACTGCAGGGCTAGGAGGAGCTGGATAGCGGCGGGCGCGAAAAGCGTGAAGCCGAGGAAATCGAACTTGCGCACGAAGTTGTCGCGGAGGACGGCCATAGGTGGGCCTTTGGGCGTTTGTTCGGGCATTTTGGTGAAGACGAGGAGGATGGCGACGAGGCCGCCGAAGGGGAGGTTGATGTAGAAGCCTGTTTGGTTAGATGGGTTTGGTCTGGATTAAGTGGATTGGACTTACACCATCGCCAGGTGGAGTAGGTGGTGAAGGCACCGCCGATGAGAGGGCCCAAAACGAGGCCTAATTGTCCGACTGCGAAGGATTAGATTGGCTTTTCTACGCTTGTGAAACCAACTTACCACCCATCATGATTCCAATCAACGCTATTACAGTCAGCATGTGTCTCTTCAAAGGCGATCTGAATACTTACGAGGTCGTTTCTGCATGGGCACGGCACCCGCGATGATATTCAAGGCGCCGTTGATCATCCCGGAGCCTCCCATGCCGCCGACAGCACGGCCGATAATCAGCATTTTCGACGACGTAGCCACACCGCAGAGAAGGGATCCGAGTTCAAAGAGACCGAAGAAGAAAAGGAACGTCCACTACATCAGTCAGCATTTTGTCCTGCCATCCATACGGAAGAAACCCACCTTCGAACTAAAATGCGAATAGAACTTCCCCGTCAAAGGCGTAAGAGCCGCACTACCTTCTTAGCATACATCGCTATCCCAAATAGGACTATCTACATACCTTGATATCGTATAGGCACTGCCATACCAAGCAACATCGTCCAGCGAGTGGAAATGGCTCGTGATTTCAGGAACAGCCTATACCCCATTAGCTGATATCGCAACGCCGGACATGTAGACTCACGGTAGATAGAATCGCCACGTCCAAGAGCATCAGAAACACCACCAGTGTCACTCCCGCCAGCACCATAAACAACGGTATCCCCTGGATCCACTCATGGTCGTCGGATGCGTTCTTGGTGGAAGAATCCGTGGATTTCGAGTGCGTGCTGCCTGCTTCGGGGGTTTCTTTCTCAGCTGTATTCGATACGGACGTCATGTTGTTGTCTCTTTTTTCCGAGTCGACATTGCCATCGTGTGCTGGGCGATTCGTGTCCCAAGATTGAGACTGCGATTGTTGGTCCGGCATGGCGGAGATAAAGAAGTATGGAGACCGATAACGCCGGCAGAGGAAATGCGAAAGACTTTGAAGACAGACGAAGTGCCACGAGAGTAAAATTCAGCTCTATAATGGAGGAAGCAAGCTCAAAATGTGATTATTCTACAAACCCAAAGAATGAGCGCTCTCGAATATAAATACCCCCGTGCCATGACTGAATCTGATGCGGAGTCGGGGAGCGCGATTCCCGACGGTGAGAAACATCGGGGCTTCTCCTTTGCAACTCCGATCCCGACCCCTGCTCGCTCGGCCAGCCTCGTGCGAACGGCGCACGCTAGCAGCCAAAGAGTCATATTTGGCCGTCCGATGCAGCTTAGTCGTTTCGAATGTACGGGTCCATTCAGCCTGATGTACGGATTCTAGAGTCGGGTCTTGGATCTGCGCTGATTGATAGCGACCTAAAGCCCGGTATGTCCGCTTCCGGTGCGGACTTCACGCGCTGCCCAAAGCCGCCTTTACGAGTGGAAGTCCGATGATCTTCACCATAACGTAAGATTCTTCCCGGTCTAATTATATACAAAAAGAAAAAAAAAATGTTGTCATGTTCCTCAACACGTGGCAATCAAAGGAATGCCCCCGACATTAATGCCCCCGACAACCACGACGTATCCGACCAGGGGTCGAGAAACTTCGCATCCATCGCCAGCAACGGATCCAGCGTCTCAACTTCGTTTGTCTCGGGCGCATTGGACATGCGCGCCTCCCAGCCCGCTCGAAGCCCGAGAATCTTGTCGGCGAATCGCGTACACGTATCCAACTGCATTCCGTTATTCTTGATCCCCAGCGTCGGAGCCACCTGGGCCATTCGCTCGGCCAGTTGTGCGGTGATTCCCAGCAGGTCGACGTCGCGACGCACCGCCTCCTTGTCCCAGCCCGGGTAGTCGAACATCGAGAGGCGAAAGAGCGCGATAAAGCAATGCGACATGAGAATGTAGACGCTCATCGGGATGTCCGGGAACATGGTGAGTGGGACTGATAGGATGATATCGCAAAACCCTTTGATGGCGTTCAGGCAGCTGTACAGGTGATCGAGTCGGTCAATGTCAATGTCATTGCACGGCTCGGCTGGGGCGTTCAAGAGAGCCGTTTCGTACAAAGCGACCTTCAGATGCAAAAGATACAGCGTCGCGGTTTCTACAGACATGTTAAATTATACTTGCTTTTCGGGATTCGCAATGCTCACTGTTATGGTGCAGGTGCAGCGGCATCCGGCTCGTTAGGTCCGTCAACTGCGATTCCAGCGCCTTGAGGTGCCATGCATAAGGCGCCCGCATGAGAGGAGTAGGATCGTTAAAGTTCCACGTGCCCATGGGGATCTTGTCCGTAATGCGCCGGATCGATACCAGCTGAACCAGGATCGCGTCGTTCGGGGTCTCCGTACTCGCGGAGAGCACTTCCAGGCACTCCGTCATATGCAGTGTCCAAGTCATCGGCTCGGTGAGGCCAACGAACTGCGAGATACTGTACTTCGGTGAGCATACGTGGGACAGATAGGGCGGGCAAATTACGCTGAACTGAGGAAATAACACCCGAGTAACGCTCTCCGCTCGTTCATGGTGCGAACCAGCGACACGTAAATTTTTCGTTTTGTAAAATGGCCAGCCACGTTACATGTAGGAACCGCTAGGTTCGGGTCCGGAGGCGGAGGCTTTTGCAGGCGGAGATTAAAGAGCATGGCGAGGGCCATCTGCAAATAGGTGCAGAGCGACGTTTTGTCCGACGGGCAAGCAAAGGTAACCCTGACCGGTCAGACGGATCAAAGCGCACAAGGACGAAGCTCTTACCAGCCCAAGTAGATCAAAGAACCCTGTAGTAAATCGAATGATTTCTCACATTCGAGCATCATTCGCCTGCCGGCCTCTTCGCGGACGCGATCGCACAAAATCCGCGTATGTGGCGTGCACTTGTTCTGAATCGCTCTGATGCATAGCCATACAAACGGGTACTCTTTCTTCAAATCTTCAGGACGTGTTGTCTCCGGGATATGCATGATTGGCATCCAAGGTAGCTTCTCCGTCCGAAATGCATTGAGAGCCTCCTCTTCTTCGTCAGGGGTCATGTCGGGAACGCTCGAGCTCGGCAGCGGCTCTGGCACCACAGTGCTTGCATCAGACGCCACATCCTCGTTCGCTCTGTCGATGGGCAACAGCGAAGGGCATGTCTGGAAGGGATCAGGCGCCGGTGTCGGCAACGCCTGCGATGGTGCAGGCGTCTTCAACAATGCCATCAAATCTTCCACCTTCTGCTCCAGAAGTTCTGTTCGCGATGGCGCCTTGCGCTTCCGCAGCCTAGGTGCTGGTCGACAGTCCTTCTGCATACGGCGACATCTGCGATGCAATATTAACAATCGCCGCCAAACTCCATGGAACAGTTGCTATTGGCTATACCTATCGCACCCTCGAGTCCCTACCCCAGTCATAACGCATTTAGATTTAGCCCGGGCGCAGTTCAGGCACGCCTGACCGTAGTGTGCGGCTCCCGTATCCTTCTGCATGTAGGAGTTAACGCAGTAGACGTATAGAACGGGATTCGGAGAAGGGGCGGGAGAGTTAAAAGAATTGGGGGTGAGACGCCCTCGACCGGAGCGGCGTTGGGCGAATCCCGGTCGGTCGGGGTTTCGGAAAGCCGACGCAGGATGCAGGATGCAACCCATTACTCGTAAAGCTGTTCATCAACGTGGCGTTTGACTTGTCGCATATTCGTGATGGCCTGGCCGGCCAAATTGAAGCTTTCATTTTGATGCTTGTCAAGACTGCCTCCCTGTGGGTGGGCAGGAGTTGGTTGGGTGCTTTGGCCCCATCGGCAGGAATACCACCGATCGTGACTCATTTAGATTCGGAATTCTCGCACTTCGCATCCAACACGAGAAGCCAAAAAATACTTCTGCCTATGATCTGAGCCATTGGTAGTCGAATCTTACGAACCCGTCCGTATAACCTTAACAAGATCAAGTCAAGAGGAGCCCTCCAGGCTGTCGGTCTACAACGTCCTTCCAGTCCACGTCGGTGTGATTTCGACGTTGTACCCAGACCTCTTCCAAAACCTGCAGCGCCCGAGAAATGTTATGAAACGGTCGTTTTCCCTGCATGATAACCAGCCGCATGCGAATCATTTCGATGTGGTTTCTTTCGGTCGCATCTCCTCCGGCCATGAAGACGGGAAATAACAGAGCGGTTTCTGGATTGTCATTGAGGGGAACGTCAGATACATGCTCCAGGGTTGTTGCGACCTCTATCTGAATTCTGGAACGAATAATTGTCGCCAACTCAGGGGAGCATTGCTCCGCGCGCAGTATTCGTCGATATAGGTAGACGAGAGCGGCACTCCGATATGCGTATGCGACCGCCACAAGGGTCTGTGCTGTGCCAGCCTGACATTTCCAGCTCTTAATTCTGCGTTCGAGCGATGCGCAACGGCTGTCTTCCGACCCTTCAACAGAATCATGCGCCAAGTCAAGAGGATCGAGACAACTAATCTCTGAAATGAATATCAAAATCTCAGAGGCAACACCTAGGTAGGTGTCCACGAGACCAGTGATTCCTTGCAGATACTCCCCTTCTATCAGCGGCCTCGTCCCTAGAGTGACACTGCCCAAGACGTCATGATAAGCGAAATTCCGTAAAATCCACTGCCCCTCCGGGCTTTGCCTGAGAGCATCAGTTCCGCGATGTGTACCCTGGCCTCCTGATGACCAAGCAGACACGATCATGTTTTTGATGCCTTTCAGGTGGCCGTACCATCCAGTATGATCCCCAAGACAAACCTCGGACGTCAATAAAACCAAACACGTTGCCACATTAGCTTCACAACACGTTAGGTTATCCGATACACAAGCAATACTCTCTGTTAGGGACTGCAGCGCAGTAGACCTAGCTTCCAGAGCCGTCACTCGATAAGATCCATCAGTCGCGGCAAGATGTCCCGACGACCAAGCGACCAAGGCATCTGCAAGAGCGGGTGAGTCCATTGCCATGGGTAAGAATGCTGGTCAAGTTAGCTTGAGCTTCGCGTGGCAACGTCCAGGTCTTACCGGAAAGAAACGAATTGTATTCCGGACTGACAGTCAACAATTTGGACAGGACCGTAATATAGTAGTTCATTGCATATCGCCTCCGCGAGATCCCTCCAGGGCTGTTTTCGCATTCTTTCATCCGCTCAGGTGACTTGTGTAACGATTGAGGGATGCGTGGCTGCCATCGTGGATCGGCTCTCTGTGTCCTCGCTATGACCGTTTTCTCGGGGACTACGTGTCGAATGGGTTCGCGCACGCATTCAAGATTCAATCGAGTACATTCTCCACAGACAGGGTACGTGTTTTGGATGCATTTCTTTCTCCTGGTCGATGCTTAGAAGCCGGCATGCAAGGGCTGTGAGGCCATACCTATAACGGCAAGTGAGGCATCCAGTTCTATCGTGCTTCGAGCCATTGCGTCGTTTGATTGGCCTGGATTCATTTTCCAAGATTGATTCCGACATGTTAGGCAGGTCCAGTAGATGGACTTCACATGCATTGAAGACGAGTTGAAAGCCGGGGAGATGAAAGAGAGAACAATCCTCGACCTTGTGCCACTACGAGAATTAAACTATGCGGGGCTGGATGACTAATCGCCCAGTGGAATCATCTGTTCTCCATAGAAATTATCACTCCTACTTCTTCGAATAATTTCGTTCATTCTGAGATTCTCTGCTGCTTCTCCCAATCATAGTCCTAGTCAATCCGAATCACCACCTTCCCAGTATGTGCCGAGCTCCACAAATAATCATACGCATCCCTCGTCTCCTCAAACCCAAACACCCGATCAATCACCGGCCGGATCCCATTCGCCTCAAAACAAGCCAGCATGTCCAGCAACTGCTCTCTCGAGCCCATCACCACCCCCCGAACAATACACAACCGATCCAGCGCCAGGAACGCCGCGTCCGGACCCCTTAGATTCCTCCCCTCCCCCAACGGATCCGGATTCGTAATATGCCCAATACAGTGGATCTGCCCATTCAACGCGATCGCATCAAACGACGCCTGCAGCGTCAACGTTCCCCCGACCTCGACAATATGATCGACGCCCCGTCCATTGGTTATTCTCCTCGCCTCCACCGCCCAGTCCGGCGTACTCCGGTAATTGATCCCGTGCGTGGCGCCCAGCGTCTTCGCTTTCGCCAGCTTCTCGTCCGACGACGACGTCACGATCGTTGTTGCGCCGGCCGCGTGCGCGATCTGCAGCCCGAATGTAGCTACGCCGCCTGTGCCTTGCAGCAGGACTGTCTGGCCCGGTCGGATCGGGAGGAGGCCGTAGAGGGCGTTCCAGGCCGTCAGGGCCGCGCAGGGTAGACATGACGCTTCTTCGAAGGAGAGGTAGTCCGGGATCCGTACGACGCCGGTCTTCGGGAAGATGAAGTACTCGCCGAGGAGGCCGTGGATTTCGCCGCCGAGTTGGGTCAGTAGGGTTCGTTGGTCGAGACGGCCTGCGATGTGGTCTTGGGTGAAGTTCGCGAGGACGCGGTCGCCGATGTGCCATTCCGTTACGCCTTCGCCGATTGCTTCGATCACTCCTGGTTTGGTTAGCTTTCTGGGTTGGGTTTTGTGGGGACAGGGAGGATGAAGGGCTTACCGGCGCCGTCACTTCCAGGGACAAGGGAGTCTGGTCCAGGGAAGGGGTACGTGCCTAAGGCGAGGATACCATCTCTCCAGTTTAGGGAGACGGCCTTGATGCGCACGAGGATCTGGCCGAATTTAGGGGGTTCTTTGGGGACTTCGCGGAGGACGAGGGAGTCGAATCCTTTCTTTTCAGGGAGGTAATATTGTCGAAAGGTTGAGGCAGACATTGCGCTTTTCGTCCCACTACAGCTAGAAGCAGGTCAGAATATATATCCGGACAATTGATCAGAACTGAATGTCTTCGTTGATGCTCCATTTAGTCTCATGGCACACAGTGCCTTTATAGAAGCAACAGTATCAGTCTGACCTTTCGAAAAGGAGTATATCACATCTCATACTCCCTCACGCTGTTTACGCCCACATCCATGGATAGAGACGCCAATTACGCCAATTGCGCGGACCAATCACAAAAGAGGCCCTTATCGACAAGATCCACCTCTCTTATCAAGTGAATGACGTCATTCTCATCCAGGACAATTCCCAATTGAAGCCATCAGGCCCTTGATATATTGCCAAACCGGATTTCCGTGTACACCGTCCAATTTTACTATCACAAGTTGACAATTGCTGTAGCTGGGCGATCGCTGTATTGTCTAGACCGACCCACTCTGAACCAATGGAATGGTCTGCTGGTACCTCGCTCCACCATGGGCTCGCATTCCGGGAAATGATATCCTCGGACGAGAACCGAGTTTAAATCGGGAATTCATAGACCCACGCTCGCGGTATGTGTGGATTGGATCGTGATCTCATTGACAATCAGAGAGGTCTGGAAACTGGAAAGTGAGAAAAAATCTTAGGATGATAGATTATCTTGGAGACTATTTCGTATCTACAATCTCGAGCTCCTCTGCTTTTTCTCCTTCTTCTTCTTCGCATGCTCCTGGAACTTCGGATGCGTCTTGATCGCCTTGACGAACGTCGCCTTCCATTCCGGACCGATAGTCGACTTGTCCTTGATCGACAGCCCTTCCCACCCCTCGGCCAGACGCCGCTGGTCCTCCCTCCACCACTGCAACTGCTGACCGATCCAAGGCCCGACCACGCCCGCTGTCTCCGTCACCTTCTCCATGGGCAACATGTGTCCGCACTTCGGCAGCAGGACATGTTTGACACGGTTATATGCGAGTCCCCCGCTGCCGCCGAATCCCGTGCCGACGCGTTGCGCGGCCTTTTGTCCAAGCTTCCACAGAGAAAGTTCACTGCTGTCGCCGTAGACGAGGAGCACGGATGGTCGCACGTGAGGCAGGAGGCGAAATGCGAGCAGCGGCTCGGAGCAGTAGATGAGTTGGCTTTCGTACAGAGGGCCCAGCATGTCGGGGTAGAAGAGCGGGTCGTGAGGGGGGCTTGGGCCGTAGCCCTTGTTGTTGTCGAGTTCCTCGGGGAGACCGAGTTGCTTGTGGCGCTTGGGATTGGGGCGAGTATACATCGTGAGCTCCTGGTGTTTGGTGGTGGTGAGCGTGACGGGCGGGTTTTGCGGGTCGAAGTTTTCGGGCGTGTCAGGGTGAACGAGAGTCGGGAGGTCGCGATAAGCGTATTGATTCCAGCGGTCGAGAACGCGTTTGTCCCAGATTTTGAAAAATTTGGGTATTTGTTTGATAGCGGCTTCGCGGGAGGGCCAGACGTCAGGTTTATGCAAGGTGGCCCATAAGAGCGCGCGGCCGCGTTCGCCCACGTCCTCGTGCGTCAGGTATCCTTCCAGGAGACCGATGGTTGTGAATAAGCGGGGGTGTATAAGGGAGAGATGAACGCTGTATTCAAAGTCAGCCCAAGAAAGAAGCTAAGGATGGATGTATGAGATCGATTCGGGGATATACATTTGGGCACCGCCAACACTATGTCCGAGACCCATGATCGGTTGAGGCATGTCGGCTCGGAAATGATTGATCATATGAAGCAGGTCTCGGCCATGATCGGCCCATGAGGCTGATAGGATAGGTTAGTATACTCTTCGATGTATGTGATAGGGAAAGGGAGGATAGCGTACGGTCATTTCCCAGGTGCTCCTCGTTCAGAATCCCACTGGCGCCTTGGTTAACGGCGTCGGCCATCCAAATGGCTCGGATGCGATATCCATCATGTTTGCTTCTAGCGACAAGATCTTCCCACAACGGTTCGTAAAGTTCCTGCATCGAGATAAGTCGGCTGCTTACACGTTGGTCTCAATAATAATATACCTTGGGAAAACCAGTTCCATGGGCTGCAATAATGGTCACATCGCCGGGGAGTGGATTCAGATTATCGGTCGGGGTATATTTTTTGATCGCAAGCTTCAGAGGGGCATCTTCCGTTGCGGTTGATCGAGGATATTCCCGAATATACTGGCTGTCAATAACGTGCTCCGTGATTTTGAAGGCCATTTTTGCGGCGTTCAGGGTGGTGCAATGCGAAGAAGAAGAGAACGTGGTCAACTTAAGACAATGCCTGGACATCCAGGTGTTTACATATTTTTCTTTTCTTTTATTTTTTTTTTCTTATCAGTGGAAATAGTACGTCACATTCAGGGTGACTATCACATTATTTGTGGCGCTCTTGCGTGAAAATCATTGCATGAGTGGAGTTCGCCATACGATCCCATTTGGCTATGACGGACGGTTGATAGATAATGCCCCTGTTCCAAAGCGCCGGATGGAGCAAGGTGTTTGTGACCGAACTGGGAAGCTGGCTGATCGGGTCCACCTGGCTGAACCGAATTTAGAGTCGTCACTAGTCAGACTTTTTCCTGATCCAGTATGGATGGGAGAGTCCGTCGATTACTTGCGAAGTGAAGGTCCGTAAAAAGTGTTGGCGTGAGATCAGAGCTGATGATCTTTGCTCGGGATGGCCCAATTATATTGCCACGATCGCAGCATTCCACTTCAGCCCTCTGCTCCGATCCACTTGCCGCAGTTGCCCTTTGGGGAATCGTGACTCGCATTGGTCTTTCAGCTGAATGTTTCGCAATGCGGGAGAAGAAACCATGGTAACTTTGCAGGACTGTAAAGAGCAATTCTTTGTTCATCTTGGTCTGGCAGTCTAGTGAATTTCGGGAAAAAGGCTGTCTTCTCCGGTTGGTCTTTCGGGCACTATTATTAACCAAGGGAAATTCACCAAAGCTCATAGAGAACAGTATTATCTGTAGGAGATGGGAATGAGTGTATTGTGCTTTATCGTGTTAATTCTGGCATGTTTAAAGCATTTGCATTTGACATAGACAACGTTTCATAGGGGCAATACTGTTCTGGCGCCGCAATGACAGATGGGTCAATCAATCCCCCTTGGAAACTTCACAAGGTCCTCAATGGGTGGTAGGGGCGCATATAGGGCGACACAAGAAAGGCCACATTGCTGAAGACTTCAGGGAGTGTTTAGATGACTTTAAGTTCGCGGCAGGGTCCGGTCTCTGTGTTGCCAGGATGGAGTATCCGAAGCTTACTGCCTTCGCTTTTGCCTGAGGCAGTAATACCATGGATAAACCTTGACCAAATCCGTCGTAACTCAAGGACTAAAGTTCAATATGACCGATCGTCCGTCCGATATGATCTGGTTAGGGCCTTATGACTGGTGGACGAAGTGACCAGGGCGGAAAATAAATCCGAGGATAAGATCACGTCGCGTGATTCAAAGTCCCCACAATCAGACTGAGGATGAAACGATCTAGCAGGAGTCCTGCGACGACACGCGATTCTTAGCTACTTGCAGAAAGATGCCGAGATCAAACTTAGACAACCAAGCAATACAGTAACAGACCGAGGTTGCTCGATCATCGCTCGGAATTCCCGACACGGGCTGCCGGCTTTTGAGTTGGATTGCCGATTCCATCCACCCGGTTCTGCAGCGCGTACAGAAAAACTGCTCGCGTATCAATGCTTGGATTCTCTCTCTCACCCTGATCGACACAATTGACAAGCCGTGTTTAATCAAGGACAAAGTGAAACAAGATTATTAGCAGCCAGCTGCCGACTCGTCCCAAGAAGAATGGCATGCCACGTTCGTAGAGGTCAATTGCTAAATACTATAGCACCAATCCCTTACAAGCGTCTTGCACCTGGCAAAGCCAAAGAGTGTTGAAAGCCGTTTTTGTGGCCCGAGATTTGGATCGTCGTCTGCTGGCGTCAGTATGGGTCGAACGCTCGGTATATCCGAGCCAACGTTTATCTTGCAGCTGCCGTTTAAGCTCCGTGCATCCAACTGACATGCACCCCAGGTTTTCCTATCGTTAGAATATCTCTATTGTGATGAAGTTAATTGCCATACTGAGTGCTCTGGTAGCTGCTACCACAGCGGCTCCAGGCGTCGAACCGCTGCGAGTTCAAACGTCCAGTGGCATCGTCCAGGGGACCATCAACAGCACTTATCCCAATGTTCAACAATTTCTCGGCATCCCATATGCGAAGCCACCTATGGGCGAGCGACGATGGCTTCCTCCACAAGAGCTAGGAAATCATTCCACAACCTTCGTCAACGCGATCACCATGCCAGCCGCTTGTCCACAGAGCCTAGTGGCTATGGAAAAGGGCCCATTTGGGAAGTACGCTCCTCAGACGATGGTCGCAGGAAACATTAGTGAGGACTGCCTCACGCTGAGTGTATGGGCCCCAAAAAATGGAAAGAAAAACCTGCCAGTCATCATCTGGATTCACGGCGGCCAGTACCTCTACGGTGGAACGAATGTTCGTCCCTGGATCCCGTCACCGTGGATTGAGCGCTCCCAGGAGCACATCATCGTCGCCATTCAGTATCGGCTGAACATGTTCGGCTTTCCCGCGGCTCGAGGGCTGAAGGATCAAAATCTGGGGATTCTCGACCAGCGGCTCGGAATGGAGTGGGTGCGCCGGAACATCGCGCAGTTCGGCGGAAATCCCGAGCAAATGATTCTCTGGGGCGAAAGTGCGGGGGGCAGCAGTACCGACATCTTGAACTTCGCTTACCCGAAGGATCCGATCGTTCAAGGCTTTGCGTGTAATTCCGGGTCGGCCTTTTTGACGGTCGACACGCGATCGGATGATGTGCAGGGGTCGAACTTTAGCACGGTGGCATCGCACTTCGGGTGTGCCGGCTCCGCTGAGAAGGAGATCGATTGTCTGCGCTCCATTCCCGCTGCTAGAATCATATCTTATCTCGGTTCTGGCGGTAGCAACCTGACCTTCCTGCCGTATGTTGATGATAAAATCATCTTCAACAACTACACGCAACAGTACCTCCGTCAGCACCTGAGCAGAAAGCCAGCACTCTTCGGATCAAACAGGGACGAAGGGACGCTGATGGCTGGTGGAACCGACTCCCCTCAAGCAAGGGAGATTACATATTCGAAATTTCAATGTCCGGTGCCGTACTCGACGGCTCGCCGAGAGGAGCTCGGTCTGACCACCTATCGGTATCAGTATCGAGGCAACTTTTCCAACATCGATGCGCTTCCAACCCTTGGGGCGTATCATTCTTCAGAGCTGCCACTGATTTTCGGGACGGCGGATGATGTGTTTGGACCCAGTACTCCCTTTGAGAAAGCCGTCAGCCATAAGATGCAAGATCTGTGGGTGGCTTTTGCTAAGGATCCTGAAGCCGGGTTGAAGAGACAAGGATGGCCCGTATCGACGAGTGATAAGTTTCTGGCACTGGGCAGTGGAAACATTTCTGCTACTGCATCGGATAAGACGATTGATGGGCCGTGCGAGGAGTACTACTCTCTGTATTAGTGTCTGTATGGTGTCAACTCGCGGAGTAAGAAAGTCCTCAAGATATATATAGCGGAGAAAATGGATGGACTTTGAGAATATCAACAAGGGAGTCTATATAAATAAACAGAACAAAGTGCAAATACCAGTGAGAAGGAAACCAATGATCTCTGCCATGAGAATCAGCCCTACACGAGAAGATCCAGAGAAGATGCACAGAGTAACAGAGACGGACTGTAAACACGGGACAGTCACGCGTCCCGCTAATCCCGATTGGGCAAGAGGCAGGCACATCGGATCAGCGGTGACTTTTCTTTTTCTTTTTCTCTTTCCTTCGGTCTTCCTGCGTCCCCCGGTCTTGTCGTCATTTTCTGATGTTGTTCCGGATATTTTTATTCACATGCCTGCAGCATCAAGGCCAGAACCTTTGTTACCATCCACTGCACGATCTAGATGGCAACCACCGATGAAACCATCTCCACCGGGCCCAAGGTACCCCTCGATGACGTCACGGTCCAGAATGCCGCCCGCACCATCCAGGTACGCCCCTCGTCTACTCGAATGCACAGGACTAACTTTGTATGATCGGTTCTCAATAGAGAGCATACCGTGGCTACCGCACGCGCAGTGAGCTGCGTGGTCTAGGACTCGACGCATCGACACGCTGGGCTGAGGTACTTCATCCATAACCGTCGCATTTCGCACACTCGGCCTAATTAAAGATAGATAATCAAAGACGCCGAATGGCATCTGCTCCATCGTCCCACCGCCCCATCCTCCTCTGAAACTAACAACACCCCCAAAAGCCAAGCCCGACTGAACTGGAAGCGCGCCGTCAGCGTCGCCAAACAAGCTGGTGGCGACGACAACACCGAACTCGGTCCGACGCCTACCTCGCCTGCTGATGATAGTCCGAGATCATCATGCCAGTCCCAGCCATCGTCGCCGACTGCGACACGACCGCATGACCTGCCCTCCGGCACGTCCGCGAAGATGATGGACCTGCAATATTTTCTGGAAATGGTGGACTTGAAACACCGGCATGGAAGCAACCTGCGGAAATACCATACATATTGGATGCATTCACCGTCGACGCAGAATTTCTTCTACTGGCTGGATCACGGCGAGGGGAGGGACGTGGAATTACCCAAGTGCTCGCGGGAGCGGCTAAATCGGGAACAGGTGCGGTATTTGACGCGCGAGGAGAGGATGAATTACATGGTGAAGGTTGATATCGCTGGGCGGTTTCGTTGGGCAAAGAACGAAGAACTAGTGTCTACGGACAGCACGAGGTTCAAGGATAGTTTGAGAGGTGTGGTGCCCGTCGAGGAGGATGCGCCGGGGTTTCAGGGAAATGCGAGGAGTGCGTCGTCTTCGATATCTTCATCAGCGGAGGATTCCGATCTGGATTCGGATTCGGATTCGGCGGAGTCATCAGTCAGCACGTCAAGCGGCGAAATAGAGAAGATGGAGAAAGATGATTATCAGTCTGCGAAGCTGGTGAAACGGCTAGTTCATGCGACGCCGGGAGGGGTGTTGAAGCAACTACGGGGGAAGTCAGCGAAAAGGGGAGACATGTGGATATTTGTACGTGCTGCATCAAATTCGCTGTGCCCCATATCTCTTCTAACATCAAGTCTCCAGGTCGCGGATACCTCATGGCGCTTATATATTGGGATCAAAGAATCCGGTGCATTCCAACATTCATCATTTCTTCGAGGCGCTCGGATCGCGGCGGCAGGGTTGATAAAGATCAAGGAGGGACAGTTGCGAAGTCTCGCACCACTCAGGTACGAAGGCCACTTCTTTCCTGTTCCCAGGTGCTAACCGAAGACAGTGGCCACTATCGTCCCCCAGCCGCTAACTTCCGTGCCTTCGTTCATGCATTACAAGCGCAGGCAGTCGATATGTCTCATGTCTCAATCAGCAAATCTTACGCTGTATTGGCTGGGATCGAGGGTTACGGGAAGGCCAAACGCACCGTTCAAGCACTGCACGAGAAGGTGGATAATTCGAAGTACAGGATGCAGCACACCTTGCATGCGGCAGGACATGATCACGACGATGCGCACGACAGGAAATCGACAGAAGTCCTAAACGAGAAGACACTACCGTTCCGTACAAAGAAGTCAGCTGCTCATCCTACGCCGGACGACCAGCCCGTACGATAGAACTTCAGTAACCCGACATTGACGGCATGACATGACGACTAACGACAAACAAGCATGATAGATACAGAGCAGCGTGTATACCTAATAGAATGCAAACCTCACATCTTTACTTCAAGAGATCTAATCAGAAACCCACTCCATCGACAATCCACCTCATGAATCTATCCGCTCGCAACTTCTGCATGGCCTCTCGCTCAACCGTGACCGCCACATCCCAACCACCACCGCGTTCTTTCTCCGGAAGAACCCAACATGTCCCATTCTCCCTTGCCGAGGGAACATTGACATCATGGACACCGCCTAGTGGTCCGAAATCCATATAGAAATCCATCGGTCGCAGTGTGTGGATTCTCATTCTATTTTCCGGGCTCATCCCCCAGCCTTCCGCATTCCAGGTCATGTTCGTGTCGTCACCCTTTTCCATTGCATTAATCCGCCCTTGGAGAGAAGCCGCAAGACTGCAGATCCGATAGAGATCCCGCGGCGAGATATCCGGCAGCAGGGATTGCATCTGCGCATCGTCAAGTGCAGGGAGGCTATTCGGCTGAACAGGGACGGGTATCGACACGGTAGCGTTCCCCATGTATGTCGCCGGAGTCGACAGTGACGAGAGCTGTCGCAAGTCGGCGGATACGGCGACAGTCCCTCGGTCGGTATGCGCAGCAGCAGCAGAATGATCCCTCGCCCTCGATCCGCAAATCCCGACCACCGCGGAAACCACATCCTCCTGATCCAGTCGCCGAGGACAAGCGTCCGGCGCGACCCGTGCCACGAGCAGATTACACGCATCCGTCAGCATTGCGACTTTATCCCCGTTCAACTGCGCTGTGCGTGTCTCTGGTTGCGCCGTGACGTCCGACGCCGACGGCATCATACTCTGCCAGCTTCGCATCCCTCCGTTCCAATGGCGAAGAGTACATCGGGCTAGACCGCCGAGAGCATCCTCAGACGCAATCTCGCCCTGCTCCCGCGCTTGCGCCCACGGGTCCGAAACAGGCATCTCCTCCCTCAGAGCGCCCGGATCGCGACAGAACTCTGCCAGCGCGCGCACTACAGCATATACTCCGCCGGGGTCCATCACGCGGGTATCCCAACCGAAAACTAGCACGAGCCGAGTGCCGAGAACATTGGCTTTGCATCGCAGCGCAGGTGACTGTTCCGTGGGCGAGGAAATATGAAAGGGCAGGAATGTACGAGGAAGGTGGTCGGATGGCGAGAGCGCGCTGGGCACTGTGTGATGCTGTGTCTGAAGCATCGGGATGTGCTGCATGAGAGATGCCGTGACAGGTTGGATTTCGAAGATATCACCGCTCTGTCCATTGGGTCTGGGTCCGGGACTTGAGGTTGGTTCTCCGGACCGCGCGTTGACGCTCCCCGTAAGGAATGGATAGTGGGAAATGAGACGGAGAATGGCGCCCTCTAGGCGGTTTAGGGCATGAGGGAGTTTGTTTGGTGGGAGGAAGAAGGATAGCGATGTGAAATGGTGAGGAGAGGAGGAGGCCGTGTCTAGAGAAGTTAGGTTATATGGCTTGAACGGGTACGGAGAGATGGTTTCGCAGGATTCAGTCGGTTCTGATGAAAGGAGAGGATTTGCATAGGCCATTGGCCGACAAGAAGAGGAGAGAACATAGCGAAGAGGATACAAGGATCTAGGCCGGGAAAGAGAAGCCCGAGCGCAGGTTCTAGCGAGAGAGCTTATCAAAGGCATTTTGATTAGTATAGATGTCAGACAACAACCCAAGAAGTGCAAGCATCATCGAGAACGCCCGGTCTTTTATTTCCGCTGCTCAACGTGCTCAGCCTGTGACGCGAGGGCTGAAACAGGTTTTCTTGAGTAACATCACCCAGTATTTGGCCGAGAAAGAAGCAGACGTAGAAACAGACGTCTGGATTAGGGTTTGGATATAGTCCTAACCAGGGTTGAAATGACGCCGATCTACAGTGGCAACACGTTCTGTTGCCTGAAGAGGAAACCGACTGGCGAGATAACATTGATCACATTTCCTAATTCTTCTCCATATACAGTAGTAACCGGTCATTCAACCGTCCAATCCAATCCCTCTTCCACCTAGGTATCCCATGCATAGATAATGCAGTGAATGCATCTAGCAGTCCAACTCGACAGCTGCAGTACAGTTAGCCATACTCTCCCGCCCACAAACTCAACCTCCAGATCCACTTACCATTCGCATACAGCGCATACGAATCCGCATTGTTCAGCGCATCCTTCGTGCTCAGCTTCGTCGCCGCATCATACCCGTATCCCAGGTCATCAGTACCGGGCGAGTAGACACCAGGAGCGTGGGTAAACTCATGCAGGGTCGTAGTGGCCTGGTCCTGGGCATGGCAAGACTGCGCCATGGCCGGCAGCTCCGAGTAGTAGATATCGCAGTTGGCAATGACGTCCTGCGACGGCAGCGTGTACGCCAGGACATTAGGCTCGCAGTATCCGAGCGTATCCTCGCAGTAGTACTTCGTGGCACCGCCCGAGGTGGAAGACGCCTCCTTCGCGACGGCGCGCAACCGCTCCGCCACCTCGGAGCGGGTCGACTTGTCCGTCGTCTTGAAGTACTCTTCGAACTTGTCGGCGTCGCCGGACTCCGCGGCGTCCGCGGCCTGGGTGGCCAGGTCCGCCGCGTTGCTGAGGGCCTTCTCGAGCGCGGACTTCTGGCTGCCCGAGCAGCTCTCGAGGCTGGTGCGGCGCAGGTTCTTGGCGATGGCCTTAGCGATCTTGCTGGCCTTGGGGCCGTCGACGTCCACGGAGAGGCTGTTGGATTTGAACGGGATGTAGCCCGACACCTTGCCATCTTTGACGACGGGGACGAACCCCTGGCTGTTGAGCGTGATGGCGCCGCCGTTGGCCAGGTCGGCGGTCGAGGCGATGTCGAATTCGTCTTCGATGGAGTCGCCGGCCTTCAGCGAGGTGATGGCTTCCTTGGTGAGGCCGTTCATGCGGAAGCGGCGCTTGACGCCCTCGAACTGGACTTCGTTTTCTGCATTCGTTTAGCATCGGGTTCATTATTTAGGTACAATGGAGGAGAAGGGGAAGGAATCTCACTGCCGCGGAAGACAGACACCTTCTTGACGGGGGCGCTGTCGCGGAAGAAGTTCAGGTGCACAAAGTCCACGTCGTCCTTGCCGGAGTTGGTCACGACGGCCTTCACGCGCGTGTTGTCGACCTGGCTCAGCTTGACGCTGAGAGAGGGAGCAGCAGCAGCAGCATCGCTCACAGGCACCGCCGCAGCGGTGGAGGCGAAAGCAGCGAGGGCAGCAGAGACAGTAGCGAAACGCATGTTGGCTGTTGAGCAAGAGACGATGGAATTGTCCTGAGAGATGGATGGAGATGAGGATGGAGATGATGAGCTGGATTCTTTTGGATTCGAGTCCTGCTTTATACCTGAGTCTCTGGCTGCTATCTCACGTCTACCTCCTCTTCTTCGACATCGTCGTCCGTCGCAAGTCCGGCGCACATGTCCTTTCCCATCGCCGTATACATTCGACGTCGTATCGAGACCAAAGTCCCCAGCAAATCACAGGCTCCGGGACCTTCCGCTCGCTCACCTCCGTGTCGATCAGGCACAGTTGAGGTAAAGAGAAGCCTTTCGTGCATCAGGGTGACCAGGAGGCAGCTCTTGGCCCGGCGGGCGTCCGACAGGAACGCAGCGAGGGTGCAATCCAGCGCAAGTATTCTCCGCAGGTGAGGCCAGAAATCGACCGAGAGCCCCGGCCAGGGCCCTGCAGGCGTATCAGCCCATCAGTCTTGGCTACGCCGGCGGTGCCCCGGGTCTTGGCTGAGATGCGCTCCGTTAGGGGTTTCCTGTCGCGGCGAAGATCTACAAGCGTGAAGGCACGCCGGGCTGGAAGGATCGGGCCAACAGATGATGTTGGATGGGTTGCTCTATCGCGGGAGGATTCAGTTTTACTGTGTCGCACATGTCAGACGTCAAACAGGGTCTGGACAAGCTGTTCCTGGGCCGTCGTGATGGCGACAGCATCGCGTCGATGGCTCAATCCGGGGAAGGCTCTTAAGCCTTTCCGTGGCTTAAGCCAAAGGCTTGGATGCAGCTGCCTGGGATAGATTGCAGCATGCAGGCCGTTTCTGCAATTAATCAATTGTAGCGAGCTAGTGTCAGCCCAACGCCGCTAAGCTGAGGTGAATACAACGCTGGATGTCCGCCGCGCCGATCGCTCAGAAATGTCCGGCCCTAACGGCTTGGCAAGAGATCACAGACTGAGAGATTATTCACTGGACAGGCTGCAGGGTATCATCAGATCGAGAGGGATCGACAGAATGAGACGTTGTTATCTTGGCTGGTGGCGAGGCCTGCATTAACGATATTTATGTCTTGGACAGACGGGATCTGGTTCTCCCCACTTCCTCATCAAAATCTCCTACACTCCCAGTTACTACTAGTTACTACCAGTTACTATCTGTCTCAGAACCCACTATCCTTCCTCCACCAACAACCAAAAAAAAAAAAAAAAAATAAACTAAACCAAAAACCAAAACCAAAATGCTCCCCTCCCCTCTCGCCCTGCAGGTCATCATCCTGGCCCCGCAGCTCATCTCTCTCTCGTCCTCGCCCTCCCCGGACCTCTCGCTGTCCGCAACCGTCCACAACCCATCCAGCAGCCCTGTCACGGTGCTGCGATGGAACACGCCGCTGGACCCTCGCGCCGGAGTCCTCGGCGTCTTCGAGATTCACGACGAGCGTGAGAACCAGACCGTCCCCATCGACACCATCAAGTTCAATCGCAAGCTGCCTCCCTCGGACGAGGACCTCGTCGAGATCGCCCCCGAGAGCTCCGTCAAGGTCGATGTGCAGTTGCCGCCCGTGAAGCTGCAGGCTGGGCGCGAGTATAGCCTTAAGGCGAAGGGTCGGTGGCATGGCATTTGGGAGGGTGGGAAGGCGGATGTGGATGGGGTGATGTTGGATAGTTTGGAAGGGGTGGAGAGAGGAGAGTTTGAGTCGAATGTGGCGAGGGTCAGGGTTGAGTGATCCTGTTACTTACTTGGTCTTGTATTATCTTGCGTTTAAGTGCCTGACGACGTGTGGGGATGTGGATCAGTTGTTGTAGTGATATTGATGAGACAATGCATATGAACGAAGGTGTTTTCAATTTGGACCAGAGGTGTGTCCTTGGCAATGACTTTTGCTCCATAGTGCTCTCATTCACTCTTAAGAATGTATATTTCCACTATGGTCCAGTCTCATTAGCTTGTCTATTGCAGATCTATATATCGTATGGTTAGCTGACCTGAATGGCGTAGAGGAAGCGACGACGCATTTTGGCAGCAAAACCTCTCAGTGACTGCTGCAAACGATCACACGAAGTCAACTACCTCTGAGATGAAGGCTAATCTCCTTTGGACCCATGCACATTGCGGACTATGGGTATTTACCCGCCCAGGATGCCTCCACGAGCATGGTGCTCCATGTTTTCCCGCCATAGCAGGAGTGATTCCTTCGCCAACTAATGCGCCCCGGGGCTGACCAAGAGAAGGCTAAGTGCGTATACCAGCAGTATCCCACGCAAGCTCTAGAAGCCGCAGGCGAGGTCCTAGCAGTCGTGCTAGTTGATGATTATTAATATTAGGCTGGATATGTCGCTCTTGCTGCGCTCCCCGGCAGGACAAATATAGTTTCTGATACGCTTGACTACACTCTTGATTCACCCTACATCGAGGAGAGTAGTGGACTGGTATTCAAAGACTCGGGACCAGAAAAAGTACGTATAGAGAATGAAATATTAAAATGTTTCTGCGAATGCTTGAATTCTCACGAAAAATACTACTCTAACCACAGTACCTAGCTTTAACAATGCCTAAGAGAATGGGGTTTAAATATTGCCCATTATTTTCAAGTCACGCTACTTAATATTACCGGTTTTTCTCATACTGGATCCTGCTCGTCAGGTGTTGTTAATTCGTGATTTATATATTTGGTCCAGGTCGTACAAGACTTTGGTTAATTCTACTTGTTGAAGACAGCCGGCTCTATTCTCCCGTGCTCACGGATTCGGCATGACCGCCAAGATTATCCATTTGCAGTAAACCCAGCAGACAGCTATCGCAAGTCTTGAATGAAAATGCCAAGTCCGAGAGTGAAACATAGCGATGTATCAGGAGGAAAAGCAGGTTGACGTCATAGTTGACGGTGAGGGGATTGTTAGTAAAGTCAGCTATGTATTAATGGAGAAATGCTAAGAGTAATTCAACTCTCTACATTATCCGGTTATACTCGACTTGGGGGTTTTTATTCTTCTGTAAAAACAGCAGAAAAGAAAGTCAAAGAACTTCCGCTTCAAGGTCGTACACACTAGAGCCGGGATCCTATTGAGAGCCTCTCCTTACTGTACGCCTGGCCACGAAGCCCAGGCGTATAAATACCTCATGAGCCCATATCGTATCTGGGTTGGATGTCCATTTCAGCATGGTGAGTCTCTCATTCAGGGAATTCACCAATTTCCCAGGACGACAGTGTCCCGTAATCATTACTCCTGTGCTTCGTCAGACGGTGGTGACGCGTCAAGATGGCCAGCAAACCACCGATAGCCAGTTGCAAGAATCTCATCCGATACCGAGGGCTCAGCGCCAATCGTATCGAACAAATGAGAGGAATCCGGCGGCAAAGCGATCTCCGTTTCGACGCCACAACGCCGCAAAGCGTCATGCATCTTCGCGGCCTGCTGCCACGGGATCTGCTCGTCTTTCTGTCCATGGATGAGATATGTCGGGGAGACATACTTCCCCGAGACAACGGACGCATAGGGGCTAGATTTACGGATCTGCTCGATAGGAGGCGGCGGCGAGAAAGGAATGGATTCAACCTTCTGCGTGGTCGAGGCTGCTCTCGTCGATGGCAATCCACTCGCGTAGGCCTGGAGGGCCTGTCCGTATCGTAGGATGTGCGAGAACAGTCGGACTCGGGGATTGTTGTCTACGCGCGACGGGATTCCGATATCTTGGTGCCTCGCTTCATATCCGGTGATCTGCGGTTGTGGGGTCATCATTGAGCATGGACTTTTCCAATCCTGGCTTGCTATCAGGGGGAATCGTTCGCGGGAACTTACAGGCTCTGGCTCGATGGCTTTCAGAATATCGGGATCCAAACTACTGCGTTCCTGCGGCGCTGGCAGGTTTCGGAACGTCGTCCACGCTTTCCGGTCAGTCAGCAATTACATGCCTGGTAAATGGGCGCTTGGGGATTCCAGGGTTTCATTCCAAGGCGTACACTCATCCTCAAAGTCGGTGGGACAGTAAAAGCTCACGATCGCGTCAGGAGGTCGGTATGCTGGGTCATCCAGAGTGTGTCCCAGCAAGAGAGCAAGGGTGCCTCCAGATGACCAGCCGACTGCCCCCAGATGCTCGCCATCCAAGCTCAAGCCACGGGGTTTGAACTGGAGGTTTGGCAGCTCACCTCGGGCCCATCGCACCGCGTCCCGCGCATCGCTCAGCGGCCCATTGACGATGTCCACTTCGGGGCATAGTCGAAAGTCGATACTGACCGGGATGATTCCGTGCTCGAGTAGGAGGGAGACTTGCTCGCGGGGAACATGCTTTCTCGACAACATCATGTGTCCGCCTCCGTGGAGTAGAAGCGCTGGCTGGATGTTAGCATGTCCCTTCAGCCTGCAGGCTCATCACGAGATCTCAGCTTACCGATTGGACATTTGTGCTTAGGTTTGTACGGATGATCGGGGAGATAATAAACGTCGGCACAGAGGAGTGGCTTGCTGGTCTTCCAGACTACAGTTTCGAAGCCAATTTCGCGAATAGGTCGATGACCCTCGACAGCGTAGTTCTGGGAAGCGAAGCCACAGATGAGCTGTACAGTTTGCGACTCCAGACTGGGTCCTGCACTGGTCATGACCTGCTCAAACCCCGCGCTTAGTAGGGCGTTGTTCCATCTTGTAGGTGATCCCAGTGCGTGCGATCGGCCGTCCTCAAACAGCCACCAGCCCTCCAGAAGACCGAAGATGAGATCCTGAAAGGACATGCGTATAGTGGTTTCGACCAGACATATAAAGCCATCAGACCGAAGCATCTGACGTGCCTGGTGTAGCGACACGTTCAGGTCACGAGTTGCGTGAATGCAATTTGTTGATACGACAATATCGAACTGCCCGACAAGCTCGGACGGAGGAGGCTGTTCGATGTCGAGGGCAATAAACTCCATTGAATCCTGGTAAGCCTCGAACTTGCGTCGGGCTGCGTTCACAAAGGAGCGTGCGATGTCGGTGAAATAGTACCGGAATTCAATGCCCGATTCGTGAAGCGTGTCGAGCACGGCAGCCGTTGTCCCTCCAGTTCCAGCGCCCAGCTCGAGAATGTGGATGGGCCGTGATGAGCTCCATGTTGCAGTAAGCTGCTTTAAATACTGACATAGCATCAAAGTCATGGTGTGGAACATTGGCGAGTCCGAATAGTATTGGCTAAGAAGCTCCCGGTGACGGGCAATTCCAAAGAGGCGCTGCAAGGGATCGATCTGTCCAGATAGAAATGTCGCCAGCTCTGGACCAGTGACCCGGAGCAGCTCGTGATCCTGTCGATGTTGTGGATACTTCGCAAACAGCTCGTCAAAAATGGGGCCCGATGAAAGACCTTGGACGTCTTGATTGGATCGGAGGTATTCTCTGCCAGTGGAAGCGATGATACCAGCATTCTGTAGAATCTCATACAGGGCATCTTTTATTTTGCCATGTTGAGGTGCGACAAGGATGGATGCAACGTGGTGGCCAGCCTCCATGACACGTAGGTCACAGCCAAGGTTGGAAAATGCGTCGAGCACATAGGAGACTGTCAGTTGAAACTGGAGTGGATGCACTTTGTCCCAGAAACTGAGCCAGGATGTACGCGCCGCAAATTCTGGGAAGCGTTCACGTATACTGTCAAAAACGACTTGCGGCTGCCAGGTTTTATCTTCAACTGCTGATTTGGGCGTCTGCTCAGGAATCGAAATGTCCAAGTCGCCAGCGCCTATATTGGCACATAGTTCCGAGAAAGTGGTGTCAGAATTAAGTTGGATGTCACTGCTGGGGAAACTGAACTCTTTTTCCATGTCCCCTATTAGCTCTTGGGAGAGCAAAGAGTCGACACCAATGCTGGACAGAGTGACGCGAGGATCGGTCTCTTCGAGCGGGCCTAGGTGAGCTTCCAACAGCCCACGCAGTCGATGTGCTACACAGGAACTCCCCTTTGAGCATGGCTTGGAGTCGACGGATTCCACGGACCTATCAAGCACGCTTTCAGAAAATGAATTCCGAGGAGTCATGGAAGGTGACGTGGAAGCGAACGAATCATCCTGTGCTTCAGATACCGATGTCTCCTGGGTAATAGGGCTCAGGGAGTTGCCTCCTCCATTGGGCTCGGCCTTTTCGTCGTTCAGTGCATTGTCTGACGGGTGAAGGGGGACAGCACCGTGGTCGGCGGAGACAGTAGAAAGGATCTGGTTTACCGACTGAGCCGAAGCATGTTGAAATCGGACCCCATATATCGCCATCGCCAGCTTGCCCGTCTGGGGCATGAAAGCCACGATGTCATATTCGGCAAACGCAGGACTTTGTTGGTTCACTCGAGCCACCACCTCCCAGCCTGAATGGCAGGACTCCCACGATCGATGGTGACTGAATTGGATACGTTTGATCTGCGTACAGAGGCGTAACCCGGTGCAAGGACTTGTGGTGCTGAAGAGATTGGCGTGTGCACCTGCTACCTGCAAAACTCCTTCAACCACTACCGGTGGAATCGTATCGTGACTGTAAGAGATTTGAGCGTTTCCCGGTAATTGGATAAAGGCTTTTACATAATGAGACAAGACAAAACTCCGGATGAGCTGATAAATCTTGCCGTAGGTCACAGAAGACCTCAGCAGACGGTAGATGACATCTCCGCTCATATTGGAGCATCCATTCCCTAGCTGTTCTTGTTGCGGAGTGGTATCCCCGGCTACCCCCAAGGTGGCCAGAACGGAATTGTGCTGGATATTGCTTGTGGAGTCCATTGATTCATCCGCTAAGCGCAATCGCCCTGTTGCACGGGGGGTGTCATGCTCCAAGTAGAATGCGAAGTCCCAGTAGAATGGGGCAGGGTCTGCTGCTCTCACTGTCAGTTTGAGTTTCTCTCCGATATCTCGGCCCACTGGACTGAATATGCGAAGGTCCTCCACCAGCACTAGTGATCGGTCGAATTCCCTCTTGCTTAGGCGTGCAAGCTTTGCTGCCTGGATAACCATCTCGCAGTATAGGGAGGCTGGGCAGATTCCTATCCCTGACACTGCGTGCTGATCAACAAGCAATGGCCAAGACGGAGCTCGAGTATCGACCTCAAAGCTTGCGGTTCCAATGCCTTCCACGTTTTCGAACCCCTTGAAAATGACGAGTTCCGTTTCGGAGCGTTCGGGCTCCGAAGATTGACGTCCCGAAGGCTGGGGCTGCGAAGAAGCCCTTGACTCCTTCCATTCCAGCCAATGTCGGTGCTGCGTGAACGAATATGGCGGCGAAGTAAGGTATCTGTATCTCTGACTACCCCCGTTGAGAAATGGCCAGAATCCAACAATCTGACCTTCCTGCCAGAGGATCCGGACCACATCCGAGAGGGATTGGAGAAGAGACGAAGCTGACGAAGAAGAAGAAATTGATAATGCTGGCAGAAAAGTGCTTGTTTTGGAAGTTTCTGGGGGAAGCGCAGCAGCTGCCATCTGGGACACTATGGGATTGAGATCCGCTGAAAGCCATGTACATGCGCCGAGCTCGTTGCTTATCCTCTGGACTGCCGCGTGGAAGTGCACTGGTTCTCGTGTCTGTTGGGAAATTAGGTCCGCGGTCGGAATATCCCAACTCCTTGAAGGCGTGCAGGTTTCGACTGCAAACTCGGGTGGCAGGAATGCAAGATCGGATGCAATCTCGCGTAGATAATGGAGGATTGGCTCCGTCAAGCGACTATGATAGCCGTGGGTGACGTGAAGGCGCTTATGTTTGATCTGCCTCTGCCTCAACGTCACCATGGCGCTCTTAACCGCCATCTTGGAACCAGCGAGTACGTAGCTTTTTGGGCCATTGTAACAGGCGATATCCAAGTCCTTATGTTGCTCAATGACCTGTTGCACTTGGTCCAGCGTTGTCTGTACTGCAAACATAGCCCCCTTTTCGGTCGACCATTTGGTGTCGACCAACTTGGCTCGTCCCACCACGAGCTTGAGGCCGTCATGCAGAGACAACGTGCCGGATACACACAATGCAATGAGCTGTCCTATCGAGTGGCCAAGAGCCCGTGCTACCTGTAGACCGCTATCGATCCAAGTCCGGGCACAGGAATATTGAATGGAAAAGTTCCTCGCGTGGAGCGTCGCCGCGTCGGGGCACGAACGGTCCTCGAATATATCAGGATACAGACCTTTTGCGCCGAGGCCGGTTAGAACACGATTACATCGATCTAAGTGCCGACGGAAGCTACCACATGTCTCATAGACATGTCTGCTAATGTGGGAAGTCTCTGCGCTCTGTCCGGAAAATAAAAGTATGATCGGCTTAGGTGTTTTCAATTTCGTCAGGGTCTTTGCGTCCGCCATCTCCACGGCTTGAAGACTATCAATCAGTGCCGGTATGGATTTTGCGGTGACTGCCCATCGATAAGAGAGGCTGAGATTGGTCCTGCGCGACAGGTTGAAGGCAATGTCTTGTATCTCGGCGTTAGGTATGCCGTCTCTAATCCAGTCCCGAATGTCCGTGCAGTTCTTCTTCAGTGCATGGGAAGTGTGCGCACATATACATATGGGGAATGCAATATCAAGAGGCTCTTTTATACCCATCACGGTCTGGGGTTGGTGCGGTGGCGGCTCTTTGACTATCATCGCACTGATGCTACCGGCAGCACCAAAATTGTTCAAACACGCCACCATGGGGCGTGCATTCCATGGTTGTGCTTCACGGGGAACTATAATGTTGCCTTGAGTATTGCTAATTTTCTCATGAAGCTCCTTCAAATTGGCCTGTGGGGGAATTTGACCATTCCGCAGCATAAGCAGAATCTTTATCAGACTGACCACCCCTGAAGCGCCTTCAGTATGTCCGACATTGGCTTTCACGGAGGTTACGTGCAGAGGGCCGTCCCAGCTGGAACGTCCGAAGACATTTGTAACTCCTGCGACTTCTGGAACGTCACCAACTCGAGTCCCAGCAGAATGAGCCTCGACAAAGTTAACTTCCTTTGGTTCCATTCTAGCTGTTGTCAGAATACGCCTATACAGGTTCTCGTGGGACGGAGGATCCGGGGCGGTAATTGGGTAGTTGTTGCTGTTTTGCCTGACTGCGGAGGCACATATCACCCCAAGAATGTGCTCACCAGCTGCTTGAGCCGCATCCAATCGCTTGAGAACGACAAGGGCAACTCCTTCGCCACGCGAGTAGCCATTGGCATTCGAATCGAACGGGGATGATTTGCCGTTCGGACTAAGGAATGACGACCCGCCCAGATTCTGGTAAACATAAGGGCTACTCATGACTGCTACACCCCCAGCAACAGCGGCCGAGCAGTTTCCTAGTATAAGGTCTTTGCAGGCTGCATCGATGGCAACACCGGAGGAGGAGCACGCAGTATCGAAGATGATAGAGGGCCCAGTCCAGTTGAAAAAGTTGCTGACCCGACCACTCAGGAAGGCTCTAAGGCAGCCGAGAGCGGCAAAAGCATTCGGCGGATGCCCGGCAAGGTTGTCATCGTAATCATTGCAAAAGGTCCCTATGTAGCAGCCGACGTTACTATCAAATTGAGAGTCCGGGTGAAAGTAGTTAGTCGTCTCCAGGGCATGGTAGGTCTCTTCCAGCAGCAGGCGCTGCTGAGGATCCATTGCAGCTGCTTCACGACTCGATCTGCCGAAGAATTGGTGGTCAAATGCGTCCACGTCATCCATAAAATTCCCTTGCATCCTGGACATGGCCTGACTTCGCCAGTGGTTCTTGAGCGGGAAGCGGGTTTCGGGCACGTCGCCACCCATGGACCTGCCAGACAAAAGCAACTTCCAGAACTCATCCGGCGTCCGAGCACCTGGCAGCCTGCAAGACATTCCCACCACGGCTATTGCATTCTCCGGGTATTCGGTGGACTGGGAGTACGTGTCTGCCATTTCCGTCTCGTTAGGCAAGGTCGGGTTGGAAGTTTGGTGTGCAATCTCGGTTGAATCAGAGGTCTTGTCAAGCGTGTTGAACTTATCCAGCGGAGTGTATGGGGCTTGTGTGGAATGGAAGCGATGATCAATGATAGGCCAGGGTTGATATAGGAAGCCTGACTCTCGCGTTCTATCTCTGAGATCTCTTGTCGTTGGAGTATCTCCGCGGCTTCTACCGCACTTTATGGAAGTCGCAACAGCGCCACTGACGTCGATATATCATGACTGTCGAGCAGTGATCATCATTCTTCGAGCTTTCTTTTCTACGGCGCATTTTCCGCCAGTGATCACATTTCAATTGCCCATCTTCTCGATTGGGCTCTCCACGTCGCCCTTCGCCATCGGCTGCCAAACGTCCTTGGTGGCGATAGCCATCTCCACACACCTCCCCAGTACGCTTGCATTGACTCACCTGTTCCACCGGGTCATACGTATGTAGGGCGTCTATACCCCTAGATTAGGCTGCAATGTCCATGCACTCCGTCCAGACATAAGATAGGTCAATGCCACATGCATCTGGCTATTCGCCAGCCGAGCACGTCCTATATATCTTGTTGGACGGTGGCATAAGTTGAAGTAGATTCTGAGGTCGATTCGGAGTCCCAATTCATTCGGGCCCAACTTTCCCAATGTCCGAATAGTGCCTATCACTATCAGTTGTTACACTCCTTGCACGCGTCTACCAATTTCCGCCTTCTACCTATCGCCTGCTCTATACTTTCATCTACATGTTTTAATGCCCCAACTTGCCTCTCAAGAACATTCATTGATAATCTCCGTGAACAAGGGCCCCAGAATGTCCCGTACTCCAACCGACCCCGCCGCTCCCAGTCATCCGTTCAATCGCCGCATTGTCGGCGTCTGGTCGCTTGTGGACTTTCGAACCGAAGCCCTCAGTTCGCTGCCCACCAGATATCCGTTGGGATCGAATCCCCAAGGTCTTCTGATGTACCACCCCAACGGATTCATGTCCGGCCATTTGATGAAGTCTGAAGAAAGCCTTCATTCTTCTCCGACCGGAATCTTGAATCTGGGGTGTGCAGGGTCAGATGTAATCGGAGCCTCGCATTGGTCCATGTCCTATGCCGGTGCCTATCAGGTATCTGACGCTCAAGATTCGAGCCCTGAGGACGCTGCAGTCATATCCCATTCCATCCATGTGACTTCCAACCCTCAAATGATGGGCACCGTGCAGCAGCGGGTGGCGTGCTTCAACGACAGGGATCTGGTCTTGAGTACAACTGAATTGGTTGACGTTGAGGTTAGTATCACATTCTCAGCTACCTTGGTTCTCTGTCCCTGCCCCTCTCTCTTTTCCATCCCCTGCTTTTTTCTTTTCGTCCTGTCTTGATTGGTCAAAGTATTAACCCAAGCAGGGAATTATCATCCGACCAGTGCTTACCTGGCGCCGGGTTCAGGGTTGCACGGAGTGACGATCAGTTACACGAACCAAAAAGGGAGGACCGTGCAGATACCGCTTCAAATCCTAGCTAGAACCAGCAACATGCTTATCATGACAGCATGCTGCTGTTTGTGATTCATGTATTGAGTGTGTACCTACCAGTATTCAAACCAACTAGTTTTCCGCAAAGGAGGAGGTACTCGTGTTTCAAGAGTCCGCCGCTACACCCGATACTGCCATACATGTAGATATCGATGGCACACGCATAGACGTCATTATCAGATACAGAATTGGTCGATCCTGTCTCCTGTCGATTTTGGAAGCCTCCGACACTCGTAAGCGTCCCCCGCTCTGTGGAAAGCCAGAAATGTGGAGGATTGAAGAATCTTGGATAGAAATCCGTGAAGCAAGGGGGAAGTGGGGGAAGAGTAAGCATATGCCGTGGCAGTAGCTATGGGTTCGGCCTGCCAGGAATGGCAAGGATTTGTGGCGAGCACATTCCAGATGATTTCGACCTAATAAACTGCCCACCTTCGGCCCATCAAACGGGCAAGTGTTTGAAGGATTCTGGATAGTATAATAAATAGAATGATGGAGAATATGCATGTCAAAGTGGAGGATAGCTTACATTATCAAGCTTCTCGGAACAAATGAACATAACGCAGGAGTTTTGACATTACTTTCGTCTGGAGTAAGCTAATCAAAATACAGCAAGTTGCTAGTTGAACGCCGAGCATCCCGGCGCCTTTTTACAAGAACTTTGATTGATCAATTGGTGAATTAATCCCTTGAAACCTTGTACCCTCAACCTCATTTCCATATTCTGAACCGGTTATATGGCCCTTGACTCTTTCTAGTTGTAGCTTGTTTTGCTTCGGCCTCCTGAATCTCATGAGTAGCACTTCTACGCCTATCACTTGGTACTGATTTTCAAATGCTATATATCGACGACGGTAGTGTAATAAGCTCTAGCGTGGATGCGAATTGTCTTCTAGAGTCCACTGGGTATTATACCAGGTTAACATTCCATATATATGGAAACTTTCCTTAGATATATCTTAATACAGCGACGACCATCAACAACCCGAAAGATCCCGAGGCAAATCCGAACCCGAAAGCTCCGCGCCGATAGCGCCGATAGCGCCGACGTCCGCTCCGACGTCCGATCCGCCTCAAATCTTTCCGAAGGAATCCGCCTTACTTGAGTCTAGATTAAGACCTTCGGAAGAGAAACATGAGTTCAATCACGCCTCGAAAACGCAGGCGACCCCTGCTCTCGTGTGTCGAGTGTCGCCGCCGCAAAGTCCGCTGCGACCGCGACGAACCGTGTGCTCGATGCGTACAGAATGGGGTCCGATGTCTCTATAAGGCCGATGCAGGCGACATCGCATCTCCGTTCATTAAAAACCGGGGAAGTCAAGTCGGGGCCTCTGCTCAGCTTGATGGCCACACGCCCGTCTGGCAGGAGTCTCGCTATGAAAGGTCAGTAACGGCATCTCAAGCTCAAGAAACACATGTCTTGCAGCAACCAGAGAATCACCATCACACCAGAGACCCTGTTAGCTCCGGCCTCGCTGGACCTGGAAATTCAAGGAATGGACAGGTCCGAGGTATTCTGTCCAAATCTCGCCTGCTCGGTCCAACGCATCCGGTCACTACTTATCGACAGGTTCGTATATAACCCTCTGGCGATCGGAGCTACTGAAGCTAACAGCAGAAGTGCGATAAAATATACCCGGCAGGCGTAACGGAGAACGTGGTTGGCTCGAAAGCGTCGATTGACTCTGCATTGCTATCCGAAACACAGATGCTGATCGCTTCATCCAAGACCTTGGCAAGGGCTATCAAGCGAAGTCAAATGAGCCGGACATTTGATGCAGACGATGTCTTGCAAATTCTGCCAGCTAGAGACGTGGTCGATGCCCTGGTAGAACACTATTTGCGGGTCGTGGAAGGCCCCTTTCGCATTTTGCACATACCAGCCTTTCGAAAGAAGTACTCGTCGTTCTGGGACAATCCGAATAATCACGAGCCACTGTCTACCGTGCACATCCTTCTCGTCGCTTCGATTGGGGTTCGCTTTCATCATGATAATGAGACCGAGCTTTTGTCTCGCGGGCGTCAATGTATTGGAAAGGCGCAGTCATATCTTTCAGAACTCGCGCAGAAGGATCTTGTGTCGGTCGCTGGGCTGCAGGCTCAGTGCCTGCTCTCCGTAGCTTTACAGTATAGCCCGATCAAGCCACAGGCTGCTTGGCTAACCCAGGGAAACCTGCTCCGTACAGCGGTCTACATGGGCTTACATCGAGACGGGGAGCGGTTTCCCAATATGTCCTTTTTCAATGCGGAGATGCGTCGCAGATTGTGGTACACGGTCTTGGAGCTGGAGCTCCAGGCGGCGATGGATATCGGGATGGTTCCGATGGTGAGCCATGAGGATTTCGATACGAAGTATCCGTTGAATATCGACGACAATGATTTCGATGCGACAACAAATCAACCGGAACCTAGGGTCGCTCAGGTCTGGACGCAAGCCTCGCTACAGATCCTGCTCTCGCGGTCTCTCGAGACGCGGTTAAGAGTCGCGCGTTTGATGAACAATTCTTTCACAGAGCCTCGATATGAAGATGTTCTGCATTTAACTAAGACATTGACTGCTTCAATATCGGCCTTAAACAAGGACCTGGCGACGCACGGACTGCATACCAGCTCCCTCCACCAGAACCTAGCAAATTGCCTCACCCGACGTTTCATTCTAGCTCTGCATCAGCCCTTCGCAGCCAAGGCCCATCACGATCCACGATTCCACTATTCCCGCAAAGTCTGTCTCGACCACGCCTTCCTGATCCTGTCCCCTACGCCGAGTTTCGATTTCGACCGCATGCTCCTCAACACGGTGTCGCTCTTTCGCCATATTATGCACTTCGCGGCAATGCTGGTTTGCGTTGAATTGATTGCACAGATCAAGGAAGATCAGCCCGAAACACAACTTCTGTCTCTACACCAGACGGACCGAAAAGGGTTACTTTCTGTCGTCCAACCCGTCTTCTGGATCACAGAGGCCCGGCTTAGGTCCGGGGGCGAGACGAATGTCAAAAGCCATGTATTCTCGAAGATAGCAATCGCCCAGATCCAAGCTATGGAGCAAGGATGGAATGTCCAGGAGCATGTCCTGGCCAAGGCGAAGAGGGGTGCGTCGAAGGCTTTGGAATTGCTTCAGCAGCAATATGCGCTGTGTTGCGGTAGTGACGGTGGTGTTAATATGTCCCTGTCTGTAGGCGACGGTGTTCCGTCCCGGGGAATGGATGAAATCATGGATCAGAAGCCGTACGATGATGTTGGTGTTGAGTTTGATCTAGGGGATACGGCGAATTGGCTTTTTGCGGCTTTGGCTGATATTTAAGCTAGAACCTTGGAAATCAGGCCAATATTTCTAAACCTTTCACTAATATTGCCAGCGGTACATAGGCTTTATACTTAGAATATACTTAAATGCGAGGCGAAGCGAGAAAACACATTCCAAGTTTGCATGTGGTCACAAGAAGTATATACCGGAACCGACTGCCACAGGTATGATATATATACAAGCTAAACAACAAAAGAACAACAAGCAGTTCCGAATCCCCGAACCTATTGACACTGGTCATCATTACCAGCTCCGCCGTCTACACAGCCCTTGGGACAGTCCTTTGTGATTGAGATGTCTCCGTTGGAGCCGCCGCCGCAGTGGTAGAGGAAGTTATCGTAGTTCCAGTTCGCCCGATTCTTGCCATGATCGTCCATGGCCTGCAAGATCTGCTGGTGGTAGTTACCTGTCGTGCGTTAATTTAATTCAATCCGGACAAGATATACGGGATGGGTCGAAACTACCATTCTTCAGGAGAGTAAGGGCACAGTAGTCGAATCCCTCGTTGCAGTTTTCCGCAACGGCCGTGGATGCAAGGACGGCAAGTGTGGCGGGCAGGATGAGCTTCATATTGGAAATTGATACTTGAATTGGGGGGACTTGGTAGGATAAGTGCCCATGAGAAAGCCCACGCTCTTCTTATAGATCCCCTAAAATATCGCGCAGACTGATGTCAGCTGCCCGCCCACATCGCGAGCTGTGTTCAAAATTACAAGGCAACAGAAATGGGTGCTGTTTCGCAAATTACAGCCTCCTGTAGATCCTTTCGATGTTTTACAAAGCATAGCTTTTTCTCTTCTACGGGGTAGGATATGCGAGGACCTAGAAACTACCCCGTATCCGTGCTGGCCCCCACCGCGATGGGTCTTTCTCTGGGCTGAATCAACCTGACCTTGGCCCCCAGCTTACACCTACCCCGTACCCCTGGCGAGGCTTGTCAAAGCTTGTTCGATTTAATGAGCCTTGAATATGAAAGTTTATTAGAACTGCTACCAACAAATGATGTCATCTGTCTTCCCTGCTGTTCCTGGATGGAAAGGACCGCGGGGGTGCCTCACGTTCAGCTACCCGCGAGGCGGAAGGATCACCGTGTTTCAAATGGAAATTATATTCCGAGTTACGCGAAGGATGCTTCGAGTATAGTTACATCATCTGACAATGTAATTGACCTCGGAACGCTTTCGCTGAATGAACTAGACTTGCTTCTGAAACTTGAGAAGTGTTGAATTAATCGTATGATGTTGCCTAGACCGAGTCGAAATTTCAATAAAAGAAAAAGAAGAAAGGAAGAAAGAGAAAAAGAAAAGAGAGAAATAGGTAACATAGAGGAAGGCTGTGGAGTTGTATTATACCAGGAATCATGTCTGAGAGTCGCAGGCTATGCACATCAAGCTGGTCTTTACTAAGGAAATTCACATACTACATTATCTTTAAGAATGAGAGAATTGATAAAGATGTTTACAGATAAATTGCATTTCTGAGTTTCCACTCAACCATGGTGGAACATTATAATAACTCATTCAACAAAGCGAGGTACCATGATGAGAGAAAAAGAACTAGATGATATAATACACATCCGCTCAGGAGGTACACGATGGTATCAAACAGGTCCAAGAGCCATCTAGTTATCACAGTAGTCTCTCTGGTCATCACCTCCATTTTGGCAGTAGTTATTGCAATCCTTGACCATGATAATGTCGTCGGCACCATTGCACAGGAAAAGGGCGTAGTCGGCATTGTGGTATTTGAGGTTTGTACTGCTGGTTCCGTACCATTTCGCCATGGCATCATTCACCTGGGAATGGTAGTTGCCTTTTTTTTATCAGTTACAAATCCAACATTGGGCATTTATTCATGGATCTATACCTTTGCCGATGAGGTTATAGGCGCAATATCTCAGGCCCTTTGAGCAGTTGTCTGCGGTCACAGCAGCGACAGAGAAGGCAATAGCGAAGATGGTGAGCTTCATGTTTGTGATATGAGGTCTTTGGAGAGAAGTATAAAGGCGTGCAGGTATGTGGAAGAAGAGTGGAGTGACTTTCAGTAACTCACAGGGAGGCTGGGATACTTAAATATGATTATCATGAAACCAACCTGGGAAGTCCTTGGCCCTCATCATTCGGTATAAGGGTAGGTAATGAGCATCAATGGGGTTACATGAGCCGAGGGGGGCCGGCCACACGTGGTTTCTTACGCATTTCGATCCTTGAAAGTATTAGACTTGTGATTATTCCTTTCTTTTTTCTATGCGCGAATTCTATTCCTTCGTGTGTTTTTCTTTTTCATTTTCATTTCCCCCTTATCTTCTCATGCGACCTAGATCTAAATTCAATGTAATCACAGGGACCCTCAAGAAGCATGTCATGTATTCCCATTCTTTTTTTGCACATTCTTTTTTTATGATACTTTTTAGTGAAGCCTTGTTTTGGATGTGCGATTTTCTATTCCTCTTACTGCTTCCTCCACGACCTCTTACTCCACAATTTTGAAATGACCTGGGTGTGGATACCACAACGATCAGCATCGCCCCCCACGAAGAACGTTCCCCACGATCTCTGCCTTCTTTGCTAGTGTCAGCAGTGACGTAATGGGAAGTCGATGCGACAATACCGTAATCGAGTGCTTCACTATACGGTTCTCTCATCCATCTGCGGCCGAGAAATTGGTGCATGGATTCAGAAGCGGAACGTGGTGAAACGCTAGATTAGGAGGTGCGAAAAGCTAGAGGGTCTCTCCCAAGGTTGAATTCCGATGATACCTTTGAGACAGATCAGGCCACTTGAACCGGTATTTCTTCGGCGTTTGAAGTGATTTGATATTTTATAATAGACTCAGGAGAAGATCATGCAAGAAAACGAGGCACATTTCTCTAGAAATTTGGATTCTTTTTACTCGACAAGCATATGAGTATAGTTCTCAACCACTTGTAAATATCTACTATTGAACTGAACAAAACAAAGAATTGATTTCAAAGCCAAGATAAATCCATATACACAAGGGTCAAGAAAGACAAAAGAAGATCATGTCTTCTTATCGTCTGATAAAATGGGATGAGCCGATTTTGAATCTACACGATAACAACCAGAAGGATAAACCGAGAATTCTGCTGCAAGAAGGCTCGCCTATGGGCCAGACGCAGGCTTTAACAGTCATCGAGATCCGCGGCGTCAGAGCTGGGCTCCCCATCTGACAGTCCAAGACGGAACTTCACAAGTTGGTTTCCATCCGTATCTTGAAGGCCACCGAGGTAGTCACTCCAGCCAGTCTGACTGAAGGCAGTTTCCCCCCAATGCTTTCCGAATCCGTGGGCAAGGTCTTTCCTCAAGGCTTCATCGTCCGGCACCTTTCCAGGATAGGAAAACGTCACCTTTAATCCAACACTAGATACATCACGCTTGTTCAGCTCTGACTCTCCGCCAAACATAGTCTCATTGAATTTGAAGGAGATAGCCGAGTGGCCATTGCTGTACTGGTCAAACGCAAGATCATGCGCGTGATTGTTCAGCTTGGCACCGCGGACCATCATGCGATGCGTGAGATCAGGCGAGTCAACGCTGCGCTTCTGGTGGTTCAGGGAGGAAACGTCCACGAGCTCGACCCCATCATATTCAAGACGGGACCCTTCAATGGTTCGGGCCATGTTCAGGTGTTCAATGTCAGGTAGACTTCGCTTTTCACTGTGGGCGCGGCCCTCTTCAAGCAATCCGGCAAGCCTAGATGAGGCGTCGTTGCTCATGCCGTCGACAGTGGGATTCGACATCCCGCCATTCAGACCCAGCATTCCTGAAACATGCGCAATGCCATGTTCAACATCGCCGTTGTAGACCGAGCCGCCGTAAATGAGAATTTCTAAAACAGCCGTGATGCCCAGGCCAAGCTCCGCACAACCCGCGCCGGAGTTGGTTACGGCACAGAAGCCTTGTGCAGCGACTCCAGACAGGACTGCCATAACATGGCTAGATTGTGGTTAGCATTGGTTTCATCGATGGCAGAGATAGATCTTGGCTATACTTACAATACTGTATATCTCGAGTCAGAAAACCTGGGATTCGACAATGCGCGACAGTTAGATGGAGTTCGAGTATCCAGCTCCATCAAGGCGCGCGTCTCAGGGCTTTCGCTTCGAAGGTCTAGAGCGGTGGATATCTCCCCCATACGGGCATCCAGCTCGCGAGTTACGGCATTCTTTTCTGGCAGCGAGGAGGGGCCATCTCCCTCTACAGGAATGGCTGGTACTAGGGAGGCCAGTCCAAGAATTGCCGTGATCGGGATAATCATAATGGGCAATTGAGGTGAGTCAAACGAAGGTGGGAAGGCAAGAGATATGGTGTGTAGAATGACCAAAGAACCTTGGAAGGGGCTGGGCTGAATGTTATATATGATGTATCTGATTGACCACTATGAGATGGGACTTCTACTTGCCGAATCATTGGAATTACAGGTAACAGCTTTTTGTACTTTCCTTTTTCCTTTTTTTTCTTTTTTTCTGCTTTGGTACACAATTTTACATGCCGCTAGAATACTGTTATTTTGAAGAACAGACGGAAGGATTGATCGTCATCCTCATTCCCCTTTTTCATTTTTGTTGAAGCCTTGGCCCCCGCCACAGCACATGCCCAATGGCTGCATCTGCATCATAAGAAGTATCACCCTTTATTAACGCAGCACAACTCTGGTCTTCTCTCCTTCACGCACCTTCCACTACACGTACCTCGCAAATGGACCCCACCGAGCCAACAGTTCACCAAAGCCTCCAGTTGGCCACAGAGCCAGTTTCCTCGTCTGCCTTGCCTCGGGGAGACTCAAGGATCAATCGGGCTGTGGGAATCATACACAAATGGCTTTGGTCGATTTTACCGATGCAAGTCATTTCCATCCTCATCCGTACTTTTCAATTCTCATATTCAGACTAACAGTTTTCCAGGATACTATTCGTTTGCGGTGGTGGCCCAAACCTTTATTATTATTCGTGCGTGCTCTATATCCGATGGAGCGGACAGGAGCACCCAGTATGTCTCGATGGATACAGTCTCACAGCGTCGATAATACTCCCGCCTCTCCTAATTTATATGGCTGCCTTCGCCATTGTGGAGTGCGTCCTACGGTCTTGATCCTCTGGAGTCATAGGGAAAAAGGGAAGGGAATAAGGCTGTCGCGCGGAACGAGCAGAATGGGGCGGTCTTTCCGGCGTTCTCCACTTACGCACTGTTGATCAACCACATGGACTGATTCTTATTATCAATGTGAAACCTACGGAAATAGAGTTCTTCCACGTACTCTCAAGCCTCGACAACATCTGGGGGCCAGCCGATCCTGCAGATCTTACAATGACCTCGTCCTTGGTAGAAATAGGAGCCGTAATTTGCATTATGGTATTGAACGGGGGGCCAGGATCAGGTGAGGACAAGGAGAAAAAAAAATAAAAGAAAAGAAATCAGGCTAGTCTCTGGAGAGAAAGGCACCTGTAGACTGTGCCTGATATCCTCTGGATCCCCTATAAGGAAGCCATTCCCACGTGTGGACGGTTAACTTGGTGATTTCCCTCTCTGGTCAAACAAAACCAAACATCTTCCCACAACCCATCCACCAAACCACCACCATGAAGGTCATCTTGTCTGCCTGCGCTCTTTTCGCCTCTCTATCCGCCGCAGCAAATTGCCAATCCGGACTGGATTACTGCGCGTTTAATCTGATGGGAAAAGGTAATGTTTCGGACCTTGCAACTCAGTTTTCAATCTCAGCTAACAGTTCTGTCGGACGCAGGCGACTATCATGACGAGATCTACGATGCCCTCAAACATGCCGACTGGCCCATCGACCCTACAAAGGTCAATTTCGACTACTACCTCTATCGCTGTCATGATGACGGTACAATCTCGAAGACGGAGAATTGCCCCTGGGGATGCGTCGACGGGGGCGACAACAGTGATGACTCTTGCGAGTAAGAATGTGTGGGCAGCGGTTTAGAGAGCTCAATGGGTATATCATGTCTGAAAGAACATGTTATATCAGATGCTGAAAGAACCCATTTGTTTTGCGGACCTGTAAATATGTTGAGGTGTTTTCCATTTAATCGTTTGAATTCCTTGCACTTTATGAGTCACTTGCATGGCAATATCTTGCTACATGGGCATGTTTGTATTAAATAATTCCCGATAGTATTGTAGTAATGAGACTCTAGGATATAAAACTGTCTATAACTCAATCCTATAACGATTTCAATATTATCATTACTGAAGAAGTTAACTTATTTATGGCTGACCGCTCACCCACCACCTTGCCGTTGCGGCTATCCCTTGTGTTTGCCAAAACTGGAATATTCAGGCTCTGTGTCTCGAACAGTTCCAGACTGTCAAATGGAGCATATCTGTCACTTGGATGGGACCATGGAGAACATATTAGCGATTGCGGAAAACTGACGGACTCAAGGAGAGCTGTGGCAGTTGAATTTGAATGTCAAGTACCTCTCAGCCCTTTACTAAGCTTCCATATTAGAGCGATTGTCCTATAAAAAACCGTTCATCTTTGATGGTACATACCGGTATGATCTTCCAGATGAAAGAGGGCTTTGGGTGCGTTTGAAGGTCGGCTTTGGCTTTTCGGATAGGTGGCGTATTGGAGCATTCCGCTTCTCACGCAGCAATTGACAGCTTGCGAATAACCTGATTACGTGGCTGCAAGCCTTCACTGGATTTCAGAAGACTGAAGATGTTTATTCACAGCTGTGAATAAAGAAAGAAATTTCATTTGTTCTACCAGTGGGGAAACTCCCGCCCCATCAGGGCAAGAACCAATAAACTTCAATGCAGTATGCAAGACAAAGACAGAGCTAGGGAAGAGAAGAAAGATTATATAGGAAGCGCCCGCTACGTTAAGTAGATCTCCAATCGTAATGGCTTTTACCCACACGTCCCAATCATATAAATATCTTTCATTCTGCCTAAAAAGACATTCTTAGCCCTACTTTTATTTCATTTTCGTCCGTCATTCATTATCAATCCACCCACTTCCACCGCAGTTTTTCAGACATTTCCGAGCCAATATTGGGATCTGTTTCATCATATTCAGCAAAATGCATCTGCGAAGTGATCGAGATACAGAAAACGACCCGGAATACAGTTCACGCAACAAAGGAAAAAAGCCAGCCACTACGGCAGCAGCTGAGAAACGAGAGTTCTCACCTGGGAACGCCCACAGCAGCGAGTCGAGCTACAAAGGGAGTGACCATACCAAAGTCACGGACAGCGTTGACGAGCTTGGTGCGCTGAATCATAGTGAAGATGTTCAGGCGGAGGCTCCGAACAGCGGCGACGAGGGCAATGAACCAAACTCTAACGAAGATGATGAGTCGGAGGGCCCAAACGGCGACGAAGAGGGTAGCGAGCCGAACTCTAAAGATAAACAGCCTGAGGTTCCCAACGCCGACGATGAGGGCCCTGAGTCCAACGCCAATGAAGATGACCCGACAGAGGGTCCGGCACGTAAGGCCTTGCGAGAATGGGCAGAGTCTCAAACTGCTTCACACGCCGCATTTTTGCAAGCCCTTACAGAGGAACTGAACACCCCAACCGATGGAGAGCACCAGGGGGCTTTCATTGACAGCATGATAAAGCAACTCTTTGCGCTGACCAAGGTCCACCGGAACATGACAGCCCAGCTGGTTGACCTTATGAAGTCCAAACCAGCTTACCAGCACCCCCAGAAACAAAAGCGGCGACAGGACACGCAGAAGATGATCCAGACTTATTGGGAAAGGGTCGAGCGGCAATGGGGCCCAGAGATCACGGTATTCTTGCAGAAAATTGCGAAAAATGCCGATTTTGTGAACTGTTGCCAGATGATGTGTCGAAAGGACGCGGACTTCAGCAACTGGGTCAAGCGACTCAACCGAGAAGTGTACAAAAGGGCTTCTGGCAGAGGCGGGGTGCGGAACCCCCGTCTTCATTGGAATGCCTGCGACTTCGAGAGGGTGCTGAAAGCATTAGATGAGCCCATCATATCCTTGACGCCAGATGAGCTGCGGGAAATTGGGGCCGTCCTCAGTCCTAACGGGATCATTATGCCGGAGACTTTGGCTGCTGCAAGCCCAGAAGTACCCTCTCATCAGGCTGATCCTCAAGAGGAGAGCTCAGGCGAGAGACAGAGAAGCGGTCCAGAGTCACAGACTGATTACAACGCATATGGCTTCGGGGAAAGCTTTCCAACCGACCAGGAAGGTCTCGATATGGAAGGCCATCTATCCGCGCAAGAAATGCTCGACTACCTGAGTAACTCGAATATAGATCTGAACCAGCTCTTCAATAATTATGATGATATACTTGGGCAGGTCTGGGCCCAGTATGATGCAGGAGAACCACACACCGGCGCTTCATAAAGATGAGATGCTGGGGCTCGAGATGAAGATTATGTTGCAGCTAATTCAAACGGATGACCATGTGTTGTTATCGTGGCGGATGTAAGCAGTGGAAGGAGCCACTTCTTGGTGCAAGTTAATCCGCTGCTCCCTCTTATTGAAAGAGAAAATTAGACAGATTGAATGGAAAGACTACCATTGCCACATTTATTCTAAACCCGTAAGTTTGTTTCTTTCTGAAGACGCATGGGGCCGCCAGCAGGCCGCACGCTATAAGACACGAAAGATCAGAAGGTGTGATGTACTAAACTAAGGTTGAATTACGTGAAGAACTCATAAACATAACTACCACCGTCCGCTCTGGAAACCAGTATTCGTTCCTGGTGGATGACAGTGATGACTTCAGCCTGCAAGATGAACACGCAACAATCGATTCTTTATCTCATTGCACAGGCATCTATACTGGGAAGGGGCAATCGTGAGCGACTCCCTTTCTCGAGAACTCGCAGCTGCTGTGTTTAGAAACCAGGATATGGAAGGAACGGCTTGCTCTGGCCAACAGGCATGTGCGTGCAGCTCGCACGCGTCAGGAGCGGCGAGAAACCCTCCTGGCGGCGGCGGCGCCCATGCCGAAGGGGAACCGGCCCGAACCGGCGGAAATCAGCGCCGTCTCTGCGGCTAACACGCTTGCGCAATAGCCCGCCAGGTGCCGTGTCCTTTCTTTCTGTCGTTCTTTTTTTTGTACATTTTTACCCCTTTTTTATTACTATTATTATCCTTTTATTATTATGGGCGGGCATGTGGCGGGATTTTGTATGTAGAACAACGTGGTTCATGGTTTATTCTTGTTGTTACAACTTCATGTGTATTGCGGGAGTGAACTATGGCAACGGCATCATCGTGAGATCAAAGAAAACCTTACCTACTACTGCCACAGCAAGCGTCATCATCACGCCGATACACACTTTGTCCCTCAGACCACCCACCCGATACAAACTTTCTTCCTCAGATCATTCTCCCGATTCAAATCCTCTCCTCAAATCATCCACCCGATACAGATTGTCTTCATCAAAGCACCCACCCACCCTTATACAATATTCGTTTCGAGTCTACTCCTTCGTTCATTCAGATACAATGTTCTTTCGACAGCGTCTCCCCGAATGCGAGCGGGAATTCTGGAAAGCGGCGAAAAATTTGGAGAAGACCTTTCCTAAGCCCGACAACACTGATCAGCAATGGCTTAATCGGTACTTTAGAGAAAGGCTACGAGGTCAAGCAATCCTACAACGGAGACGTCGTTTAATGCAACTTCAATCGGCAGGCGCTAACCAAACCCGTCTTAACCGCGACCATCAGGAGGCGCCCCCAGAATACAGCGCTGCTTGCGGGCTATCTGACGTCGAGATAGCTCAAGAAATCCAAACCCTTATGGCAGCATTCTGGGAGAATAATACGAAGTTATTCCACATGATAGAAGAATGTCCCCAGACTCGTCGAGCGCAGAGAGCTAGCATCTACCGTTATCACAAAGATCGAAATGGGCGTCCTTTTGCTTGGGTTGCTGGTCGCATTCTATGTGCTGATAGTGGGGGATGCTGTGGAAGGGAATGCAGGTGCTGCGAGAAGCCTTTACTGCAATATGATCGACCTGCGAGCTATTGGGAGCCTACGATGAAGGATGTGGGAGTATACGGTCACTGTACATCGGAATGCCCCTGCTGCATTGCGATCAAGAATGAATACACCCCCCACCCGAATCTTCCGCCAACGAAGTTATCGTTGGAAATATAGTGAGGTGCTGGATGGATGCTCTTGCTTATGTCTTGGTTATACCATAGCGCGCCCTTCTTTCTTGGTGGCCTTTGCTGGACTTGCTTGGAATATGGGAGATTACTTGGCTTCTTTTCTCCTTACGATGCTACTATCCTAGGATTCGTTTCCCTCGAAGCCGAGGCACCGTGGTGGTCGAATGCCTCTTGCTATCACTAGACCCTCACTTTGATATGATGAAAAACCTTGTTCAACTTGCAATAAACACATTCTTCACTTCGCGCCGTATTCATTCATCTCCAAGTCAGTTAGATTAACCCGCCCTCCTGTCTCTGGGCCGCCAGTGTCGTTTTAGTAGCAGGTCCTTGACAGTTCTCAATTCTCAGGATAGTTTAATCTGAGCACTACTGGGAGGCGAAACTGAGTATAAACACCGTAGCACCTAGGTCTAGACGTCTACCCGTAGCAGATGCCCTGAACCCAACTCCTGTCAGCATACAGTTGAATCACATCACTTGATGACAGTGCCCAGCTCGGTGATGATTTCTCTTTGACGGTATCGAGCTTCTAGAAGCTAGCTATGAATTTGCATAGGTAGTCATAAATGCAGCAGAAGCATTAGCACATGAAGTTTACGTTGCTGCCTGAGAGTGTATGCGCATAGGCCAGGGTCTGTTCATCAGTCTACAACCATGACTACCCGGTTTATAAAAAAGCCACAACATTGTCAATAAACAACCATAGAAAGTTCCACTCCGAATTAAACCATATCACCTATCATATACAATTGAAAGCTTATACTCAAGCGCACCCCAACCCCAGGAGATCGCGAAATCAAACCCCCGGCGCCTTCGAACTCACCATCTCCCCATCCTCCGTGACGCCAATCTCATCACTCAACCCCCTCGTCCACCGCCTCACCAAATGCCCCTTCAACACAATCGCCACCATAATCAGATCCACAAACACGATGAAGAACGCCCCCATCCCCCACATCCACCCCACCCCGACTGCCCCCTGCCACTGCGTCACGATAAATACCGACATCAGCCCGAAGGACACCCGGTACGCGTTCAGCGACACAGACGCCTCCACGGGATTATGCAGGAAGCACTCGATGATGTAGTTGTAGCATACGGGGAGTGCCAGCAGGGCCCCGAACCAGATCAGGAATGACCCCAGCGCGAGGACCATGATGTGTAGGTGGTACTGTAGCGCGGCGCCGTAGATCCCCAGCCCGATGGGCAGGATGATGCAGGGCAGTGCGGTGTTCGCGAGCCGGTACTCCGGGTGCCAGGTCCCGCCGCGACGGCGCGCCAGCCAGAGCGGAATCTTGTCGTTGAAGAAGAACCCGAAGACTTGGGCGCAGATGATACCCACCCAGGCGGTCATGGTGAAGAAGGCCATGCGGAGGGACGAGAACCCGTAGCCGCCGGCTTCCACGGGGGGTTCCAGGAAGGTGGCGAGCGTCGAGGCTTGCATGATGGGGAGGCCGAGGGCGATGAAGATGTAGGTGCCGGTGAGGAGGGTGATGGGGGAGAAGGTGACTTGGAGGGGGATGATGGCGCGGCGGACCTGACGTGGGTTAGATTGGATGGGAAAGGTTGGGAGAAAGGAAGAGAAAGGGGAGACGTACGAATTCAGAGCCCTTGTTCGATGGGGTGGTTTTGACGCCGGGGAAGAAGGTGGCGATGCGGTTGGCGATCCAGTTCGTGGGCAGGGGCGCACGAGACGGGGTGGAGGCATCGCGCGAGAAGGTCGTGTCCTCGACGAAGCAGAACACGGCCAGGATAGCCGCGCCCACAGGGCCCAGGGTCCACCAGAAGACGTAGTTCCAGGGCCTGCTCTCGGCGATGAAGCCGCCGAGGGTGCCGCCACCGACGACGGCGAAGATGATCAGTACCTCGAAGATGGCGAATGCCTTGCCTCGCTGGTGCAGGAAGAACAAATCCATGATGTACCCACTGCCCAGGATGGCCGGGATACCGCCGAACAGACCGCAGAAGAGACGCGAGATGGTGAACGAGATGTAGTCACCCGGGCCGGTCATCTCGGCGGCCCAGATCTGGCAGGCGAAACAGGCGACGAGACTCCAGAACACGACGGCACTGCGGCCGATGACCGCCACGAAGGGAATAATGAAGAAAGGGCCGGCGACCCATCCGGCCAGACCGGCGGCCACCGAGTTCAGCAGGTCGAGCTGCGTCTTATGGTAGGCCGGCACTTGGTAGACGAAGGTGAGTTGGTTGGAGTTGGGCGACATCTGCGCGGCGAAACCCGCCAGGCAGATGGAGGCGAAGATGAGGATCTTCCTTTGGAAGGACCAGTTCTGAATCAGTCAGTTGATGTCAACCCAGAATAGGACAGGATAAACGCTCACAAGAGGATCTTCCGGGTCATCGCTAGGCTGCGGGATCAGCACGATGCCATCAGCGTTCTTCTTGGAATGCTGCGAGCCATCGCTCGAGCTGGCGGCTCGCACGTCCATCGAAGGGACCTTTTCCACCGGCTCGCCAGACATGGCCTGCAGGAAACCGCGAGAATGGGACCGCTAATGCGAGGGGAACGTGGCAGGGAGCAAAAGAAAAACCCAATCCCAGAATCTGACGGGAGAAACGCAGAGAAGGATTCGTTTAGGATTCTTTTACCAGAAGAATAGCACAAACCCTGCAGCCATGTGTTGGTCCGGGGCCCAGTCAAAGCTATAAGGCTCCCACGATATTTTATACGAGATGCGCATTTCCGACGCTCCAGACCAGAACCAAAGAGGAGGGTCCTCCGGCAGCCACTACGGCGTAAAAACTAAAAGGCCTACTGACCCTGCTCCAGACTAGCACGTTGCATCGGGTCGACATCCGCGGGACGCACGAGCAAATCACGACGGAATACTCCATCGACTGGACCGGTGTCTCGGAGGGTCCTGCATCAGCCATCAGATGCTTGATCGGACGGCGCGATTCTCGCCAAGGGATGGTGCATTAGTCGGGGGAGTTAGTCGAGTTAGCTGGACTTTAGGGCCGGTTAGTGGCGCGGACCAGACAGCTTAGCGACGGCCAATTTGCTTCGGTTCTTGGCGCAGCATGCAGATTACTCTCGCATATCTGTTATTAATTTGCTTTTTTCCGAGGACTCTGGCCCCTGGAGCGTGACATCAACTATGGAGACCGCCATCGAGCTGACAGGGATGTGTTCCTCGCGTCTCCAATAACGTCCATGCGGACATCGCCGGACGAAACAGACTTCGACCAAGTGGGTGAGCTGCACGTTTCAAACTCTGTTAGCTGTGGCCAGACTGCTCGTCTAGTAGGGAGTATATTAACTTTTATTCTAGGTAGTATGTACAGTGTTAGATTATCTCGGCAGAAGCCTACTATCCGAGGAATCAGCCCTAACCCCTGCAGGGGTAACCGCCGTGTCTACTCAAAGTATCGAAAGCATCCAAAGTAGCCTAGGGCTCGGCAACTCGTTCATTGGAGCTGCGTTCGCCTGCCCCCCTGTACAGCTGGAGTTGCAGTTCCGAGTCCGGCGGTCGCTGGGTCGTCACCACCTCGATGGACATCGTCTTCACAATCCCCTGGTCATTATGCCACAGGTTCGACTGGCTATCTCCGTCGTTGGAGATACGACCACCTGGCTCGTCCATCGTGTCGAGGATGGTCTGTCTCCACTCGCGTCGCGACTGGTGGCCCGTTGCCAGACTGCGCAGCGGCAGCGTGTGCGACTTGGACCGCGTGTACGATTCCGTGGTCATGGCGTTGTGGCCGATGAGCGGACGCACCGACGGGGCGGCCGCCGCGATCACGCCGAAAGTGGCTTCCAGGCTGGAGAAGGAGGATTCCGTTAGCATCTGACGGAGGAATTGTGGATTGGACATGGTATGACGGGTGGAGCGGATACTTACTCGGCCCACATGAACAGTTCAACCAGGTCCCCTAGTCATGTTAGTCCGGACTATGTACGGAGTCGGAGCAGAAGGAAACTGTCCGGGGATGGTACTCACAGGTCGGATCCGTGGTGGTGGTCAAGTCCGGCACCAGAGCTGTTCGGGCGATAGCGAACGCTCCGCTCCTGAACAGAGTCAGTAATTATGCAGTAGATGGTGTATATCGAGGTGCACTCACGCAAATCCCAGCGCCATGATCCCGCAGATTCCCACCTTCACTCGCTTGGGAAGTTTCACGTTCCACAGGAAGAGGATCGGGAGAATGGAGAGCACAAAGTCGGTGACAGCGGCGATGGCTAGATATGTCAGTTCCGATACCAGAGAAACCAGGGTAAATGAAGTCTGAACGTACCCCCCTGTGCAATCCCCACTGCATCGATCGCCTCGTTCGACCAGCACGATCCGCCCTCAATCGACTTGTCCCAGTTGAATTCGACCGGCGTGCACTGCGGGAAGATGACGGCGGCATCGAGAATGCTTGTGATGGTGTTGAACGCGATGAAGCACCAGAAGAAGATCTTCCATTTCTTGCTCGTCAGACTAGAAGCCACTTATCAGTATCAAATCATTGCCCGGGTTCAAATGGTCAGGGCGACTTACAAAAGCCTCTTCAAGAACAAACTGATCGAGATCTTAATAAAGATCGTAGAGAAAATCAGTAGGAACTCAGCCACCCGCAGCATCTTGACGCTATACGCCGACTGAGCCGGATCCACGAATTCAACATGTCGACCGAGCCCGTAATGCGTCGCCGCGAGCACCAGGCCCATGACGATCAACGCGAGGACCTGCTCGATGTTATTCCTGTGTCGAATGACCTGCAGGTAAACGCAACTCACCATCGCAAGTACATTGAACAGATCATCCCAGCCTAGCAACTGGATCATATATCGCCGCACGTACAGCCGCAGTAACGTAAGAATAAGGGCGAGGACCGTCGTCACGATGGTGGGAATCGTGACCATCGAGGCGCGGGAGACATCGTCGGATGGCGACGAAGACGCCATGAGGCATGGATGTAGTCGATGGGATGGACGACGGGAGAGAAGACCGGACGAGATGGTCCATCTCGAGAAATCGAAGATCTATCGAAGGCAGACGCAAATGAAAGCCAAGGCTTGATGGACTATTCTGGCATGGCGAGGGAAAGAAGTGAATTCCAGCGTGAACTATAGACGGGCCAATAGAGGGACTCGGACAGCGTGGCGACTGGCGACTGGCGAGAAAAAAAGGAATATCTCCAGAGGGGGGAAACAATAATGGAATCCTGCAAAAGTCAATCTATTTTACCGATCGAGAAAAAAAAAACCCCCTAGGACTCCGTAATGGAAACCTGCGCCAATAATTAATATCAAGCAGAAACATCCCTGTCTGTACGGCCGCAGCTGAACGAACCTCGGAGCAGCCATCCCAGTCGGTCCGTCCTGGTGGATCCTCCCAACACGAGATCCAGACATTGGCCGATGATAAAATAATTAAAATTATAATCGATCCCAGGCCGCACGGCCCGGATGCTCTCCCGCGGTCAATTCCAGCCGTCGAGTCCGTCTCGAGTCCGGGGCTCCACTTGCCTTGGGGGCTAAGCTGCTCTAACGCGCCTGGTTTGCTCCAAAGTGCCTCGCTAAGCACACACAAGCGAATGTGGCAGAGCTTAATCCACCATCTTGTAGCCTCGGCGTGTGCCCCCTTTTTTTTACTTTGGACGTGGTGGAGAAACCCCGTCACCGTCCAGGCCAACGCCCCTGAGGGACCGCAGATTGGTCGATGCGGTTAGGGCTATTGCGTCGCAGGTGCGCGTTCTGGATCGGTTCATGCAGAGGCGTCTCGCACCTTCGTTCCAGCCGTCGTGCGACTGGTTAGATGCAGATTAACTGCTAGATTAATGCTTATTAAGGGCCCCTCGTGTGGATCACGTCGGCCGAGTCGCGGATATCTCTCGACAGCGCAACAGTCCGACGCTAAGGCGTAGCGCCCTTACATAACCTCGTATCTCCTCAGTCCTCACTCGTTCTGTGGGAATTATTCAAGGAGGGGCATTGCATAGGAGGAATGATACTCCCTCCCTCCCTCCACCCGTAGCCTGACGAGCCAACATCATACCACGCTTCTCATTAGTCCATGTGTGGATTCCCAGTCCCCCGTCTGCATTAATGCGATTCAATCGCCCTTTAAATTCCATCTCAAGAGGGGGAGAGTAAAACGAAATCCAACTCCACCGGACACGCACACCCTTGCCACAGATACATCCTTACAGAAACTCACACACTAAACCCAACCCATCGCAAACAATCCGATCCGTGCATGCCAAGCCCCTCCAACATGGGCAGCACCACCCCCCAGAAGAAAGACTTCACCGTCAGCATCGTAGGCGGGGGAATCGGCGGCCTCAGCCTAGCCGTCGGGCTGCTGCGACGCAACGTGCGCGTGCAGATCTACGAGGCCGCCCCGGCCTTCGCAGAGATCGGCCTGGGCCTGTCCATCGGCCCCGCGGCGCACCGCGCCATGCCCCTGATCGATCCCCAGATCCGCGCCATCTACGACTCCCTGGTGACCACGCACGCTGACAGTCCCGGCTACGAGGCCTTCCGGCAGACGTGGTTCGAGATTGTCTGGGCGAGTGGCGACCAGGAGGGCGAGACGCTCATGGACCTGAAGGCGCTGCCGTCGGGGCAGACGACGCTGCGAAGGGCGGATTTTCTGGAGGCCCTGGTGGGACTGGTGCCGAAGGAGATTGTGCACTTTGGGAAGAGGTTGGAGAGGTTGGTGGAGGGGAGGGACGGGGTGGAGTTGAGGTTTGATGATGGGACGGAGGTGTGTGCGGATGTGGTGGTCGGGTGTGATGGCATCAAGTCGAAGGTCAAGGAGGCGATTGTGCCGGATGAGGCGCAGAGGCCGAGGTTCAGTGGCATGTATGCGTACCGCGCGGTGCTGGATATGGAGGATATGGTGAAGGCGGTTGGGGATCAGCGCGCGCGCGTCTCGACCATGTATGTGGGGAAGGGGGCGTATGGCATCTCGTACCCCATCATGCGGGCGAAGAAGGTGAATGTCGGGTTCTATATCTTGACGGATACATGGGACCATGAGAGCTGGGTGCGACCGGCGAAGAAGGAGGATATGCGACGCGATGCGAGTGGGATGGGGCGATACATGCAGTCGCTTGTCGAGGTGAGTTGGGTGGATGCGGTCTTGATGGACTCTGGCTAACGTACTCAGTACATGCCGGATCCCTCGCAATGGGCGATCTTCGAGCATCCGCATATCTCGACGTACTGCAAGTCGAGGGTGGCGATCCTGGGAGACGCCGCTCATGCGTCTACGCCTCATCAGGGCGCGGGTGCAGGCCAGGCGATTGAAGATGCACACGTCCTGGCGGAACTTCTCAGTGATCCTCGAGTGTCGAGTGTAGGGGACGTGGAGGCCGCGTTTAAGGCGTACGATGAGATCCGACGACCTCGGAGTCAGCGCGTGGTGACCAGCAGCAAGGAGAATGCCTATCTGCTCTGTTTGTGCCTGGAGGGCGTGGATGACGACGAGACGAAGCTAAAGGAGACATTCCAGAAGCGACTGCGCTGGCTGTGGGATCTGGATGTACAGGGGCAGGCTGATCAGGCGAGGGAGAAGATGGGGGAGTATTTGAATGATTCATGATGGAGATGTTTGTATGAGTTGACTGAGATAATTTAATCTTTATACGTGTGTTCAAGAAGAGCTCAGCTAGCACTGTCACAAGGTAGTATCAAAGACAGTACCAGCAATTCAGTTAAATGATAAGACAGACTCTTCATTCCTATCTCATTCTCATCACATCCCTCGTTCTCCGTCGTTCAGCCCTTATACATTGATCCACACCTCTCCTAACCATAAACCCAACCCAAATCTAAAACCTACGCAAAGTTCCTCACATTCCCCGCCTTATACCCCTCGGTGGACCCCCCACTAAGCCAAAACAACTGCCAAACACCACTCACGCTAGTCTCCTTAACGTAGAACTTACTCTCCAGGGCATTCCCATTCTGATAAAACAGCCACGCGCCGTACCACGTGAAGCTATCAGTGACGGCGTCGGCCGGGGTATTGGAACCCGTGAACCCGACTGGCGCGGCGCTGTTGGTGTCTGGGCGGACGTAGAGCCGGGAGTTTGACGGGATGGTGACGGAGGATGCAGAGTGCGCAATGACTTGGCTGTTGGAGGCAGTGACTGCGATTTGGTAAGGGGGTGGACTGGTAACTGGGAAAGGGACAGATGGCTTACAGGTGACGTCTGTGACGACGGAGCCGGACCATGCGGATGGGGAGCCGAAGTATGCGAGTCCTGAGTGTGGTTAGTTGGTTGGACGAGAGTAGATAGGTGGGTTAAGGAGAGAGAACCATCAGCGTAAAAGAGCTTCAGCGGACCACTGGCAACACCGTAGTCGTACAGACTGAAGCTGCCGGAGGGGTCGCGCTTAACGACATCTCCGATGGGGCGGAGAGCGCCTGCGGTGGTCGTGGCAAGGAGAGAGAGAGTAGAGATGAAAACAGTGAACTTCATGATGGTAATATTCCGATTAGTTGGTGATGGAGAGATGTAAGATTGATATTCAGAGGGGGAGACGGTCTTTAAATATTGATCCTCACCCCGGTCGATGACCATCGGTCTCTGTCGACGGCGACATTGGCATTCACTGGCTATCAGGGACTAGACTCGGGGCCGAAAGGATCCAAGCAGAATAGCAGCTGCAAGGGCAAGCCGAGACGTCAGGATGTGCCCTGTGAATAAACAGTGCCAAGATGATCCGTCCTGGACAGACGGCAAATCAGTCTGAAATCCGGCAAGCGGAGGTGCATTTGGCAGCAGATCGGCAATCCCCCGCGAGGAGAGCGAAGGTGGCTGAATGGTGTGATGAAGGATTCAAATCCTGCAGGACTGCTATCAGCCACAATCCAACGCACTAACGATCCCTGAATTGCAAGACAGGCCGGAGAAATTTCAGAGATAGATCGAACAGGATCTTCAAGTCAATTAGGAATTGTGGAGAGTCAATTGATCAACAGCGATCCAGAGTACAAGTGGGTATAAAGCATAACACTATCGATGACAGATTGATGAAGCCGAAGTAGGGCACGGCAATTCCGCCCGCAAGCCACGTCGGCTACCATTCGCCATCGTTAACCAACTGTAACGACGGGCGTCACTAGTGCTTCCCTTTATTTTATGCGGTGTTCTTCCGCTGAGTAACATGAATGGTCGGCTTGGTGGCATCCCTGCATCGGGAAATCCGAAATGTTGGATAACCGGCGATATAGATGCCAGTCCAACATCTGAGTGACGTTCTCATTGGTTTAGGCTGGCAAGATCTGATGAAACATCATTATCTAATGATGAATAATGGGTCTTCAGATAGATAGACATCCGAACAGGAACAGTGAGATGTGAACAACAAAGTGACATTTAAGCGCGAGATAATATCTCGAAGCCAGTCGCCTGTTAGAATCGACTATTGGGGTGGACCAAACTTCATGTATGCAAACAACAGAACATCTATTCAAATCCAAAGCCGACATTCCATCCGTCTATATACAGTGCGATACTTCTAAATGAACCTTTAATTGTCGATCAAGCCTCCCCTCAATCCAACCACACCGACTCTCAAAAAGTCCACATTCTCATCAATCCGCTTTCTCAGCTCGCCCTGGGAGTACTCCTCGATATCCCAAGAGGCCCAGACGAACCGTCCGTGGAGGAATCTCGCCTCTTCAGTGGCGGCCCAAACAGCGAACGATCCAGGCATGTCAGCTAGGAGGCTGGTCAACTCCATTCTACCAAAACAGATCTACCAAAAGGGAAGGATCACTTACCACTATCAAACGGGAGATCGGTTTCGGAAAGGCCCATTCTCTGAAACTCGTCACTGTAAAGGATACCCGGATGGAAACTGACGATCTGCAGCTCCTCGGGGTTCGTATCCTTGGCAATCTGCTGCATGAGCATCGCGCCGGCGTTCTTAGTCATTCCATAGACGGGACGCTTCGCGGCGATGAAAAGCTGGGATTCGTAGAGCATGTTGATCACTTGGGACGCGACGTTGACGATTGCCTGGTGGATCATCAGCGAAGAGCAACAGAGTCGGAGGAATAGAACGGCAACCCACCCTAGGCCGATTGGTAGGCTTTTGGCTAGCAAAACTATGGACCATCTCCAGCGGTCCGCGAACATTCACCTCGTAGGCTTCCCAGACCTTAGCGGCTCCCAGTTCCACCACCGGCTTCTCTTCCGAGAAAGCGGCAGCGTTCAACACGAGTGTGTCCACGACGATGCCATCGCTGTCGAGCTGGGCCCATAGGGTTCGGACTGAATCAGGGTTTGCCTGGTCCAGAGTATACGTGAGAACGGTCGTTGAGGCACCCTTTTCCTGAATCTCCGCTCTGAGTTTGGCCGCGGCGGTGTCGAGGACATCTTTGCGACGTCCGGCAATGATGGCGGTCGAGACACCGGCGGTGATGAAGCTCTTGATAATGGCGAAGCCGATGTTGGTGCCGCCACCGGTGACCAGAACTGTTCTCCCAGCTTGGTTCAGCTCGGGGCGAGACGGGGACGTGGCCGGTTGGGCGGTTCGATGGATGACTTTGGTGAAGTTGGTGGTATTTTGGCGGGCGGACAGTTCGAGGGCCATGATGAGAGACGATGTGTACAAGACCTGGTTGTATTGTGTCTTGGAAGAGAGTGCGGATGCTTTCACTGTGTAAGGTGCCGTCAATTCTATCCTTTTATATACTTGACTCGTCCATCGACCTCATCCCAACATGGCGCTTTTTAGGGTTAGCGGCCGCAGGGTCGTCGCGGGGTCTAACGCCTTTCGGTTGGCGTCCGCCGCTTTCCTTCGTCTTCTTCCTCTACAACTTCGCTCTTCCCATCATTCTTCCATCAACATGCTCGCTCCAGAGCCCAGAGCCTGCAGTGCATGCAGCAAAACCAAGCGAAAATGTAGCAGAGAGCTTCCATCATGCAGTCGATGCCAGTCTCGCGACCTCGAGTGCGTCTATCCCGCTCCGCGACCGTCGTGCTTCGTGCTCTGCGGCGACGACCCGCTGCGGGAGGACGAGCTCCCCACCCCGACGCTGTCCGCACTGGAGCTGCCCCCGACGCCGTCCGATCTGATGCCATCGTGCTCAGGTCCACTGGCCTGGCCCACGCTGTCCGACCTGCAAGAAGCGTGGTTCCTAACGCGAGAGTCATGGACCGTTCAGCCTCTCGACAATATCCACCTAACTCCAACCCCGATATCCGTCGGCTGGAGGTATGTCAATCGCATCCGAGGATGGCTGGCGGACTGGACGACCGGTATTCGGAATCCGCTCATCCACTCTCGGCTGTACGAGACCCGCCTGCCGAACTGCATCCAGGACGCCTTCATGGCGCTGTCGAGCTATCACTCGCGGACACCTGCCACCGAGGAGTTCGTATACCGGATTCTCGAGTCTCGTGCGGAATCTCTCGTCGCGGAATCGAGTGAATCGGACGCTGAGCTGGATTGTTTCGATCACGTCAGTCGCGTGCAAGCCCTGGTCGTCTACTCGTCCATCCGCCTGTTTGACAGCGACATCCGACAGCGCTATCTGGCAGAGCAACAGCTACCGAGGCTGTATGCCTGGTCCAACGCCATGCTCTCGCACGCTGCAGAAAACAGACACCTGCTGCTCTCCAGCGCCCTAGAGGATATCGCCCCCGGTCTCACCCAGCCTGTGTCTGCAATGCAGCAGGAGGAAGTCCTCTGGAGGGCATGGATCCGGTCCGAGAGCATCCGACGCACGTGGCTGGTGGCGCAAATGCTGCATGCGGTCTACCTGACCATGCAGGGGCGGTATGTCGGGTGTCCCGGGGGTGTCATGTTTACGAATAGAAAGGGCGCGTGGGAAGCCGAGTCTGCGCATTCCTGGATGAAGCTGTGCGCCGAGAAGAACGTGGGATTCATGCACCGGAGCCGGATGTATGCGGTGATGGAGGAATATCGGCCAGATGAGGTGGATGAGTTTGGGAAGTCGATTATGGAGTTGGATTTTGGGGTGGACAGGATGGAGAATTGGGGGTGTTGATATAGATGCTTTGCTGTACATATCTCTTGCTTAATACATACACTAGCTTTTTATTTTCAATAACAACAAATAGATTGGTTTTAAATCAATCAGATATATTCTCGTACATCGAATCTCAGCAAACACCCGGGATCAATTAAATAGATCTCTGATACATAGGACCGTCAACCAAAAAGAACTGTTGATACCGCAAACACATTGTAATGCCAACAAACATATGCATACCATAAATACAAATCCCATTTCTCATCTAAAGGCGCCCCCTAACTCTTGAACCCAGGCTCTCCTCCCTTCATAAGCAAAACAACCAACCCCCAACAACAATAACAACTCCCCGGAACACCCCCGCCTGCCTGTAAATGACCACGACCGAGTTTTACCGCTGCGCCATCGCATCGCCCCCAAAAAAATAATAAAAACAAAAAAAAAAAAAAAAAAAACAATAATATACAACACTAAGAGTATGTTGGGGGTCATCTAGCGCCGCCGGTTCAGTCGTGGGCGGCTTGGCGCCCTATTCAGCCCGCCTTCAGGCGGATTCAGATGGTAGTTTACCCACCTAAATACTTTGCACCCGAAGGCGCAAATTCTTATCCAGAAGGCTTGTTTGTATATTCTGTAAAGGAGAAGGACTACTGAGTCCCGTGAATTGACTGGTGTATTTTAAAATGCCGTGCTCTCCTATTCATGGTGCTGACCGTTCCCACTATTTCCATTCTTTCTATCCAAGGAGCCTATACAAGCGAGGTGTCTAGTAGCGTAGATATGGAGGCCTAGAAGACTCACAAAGCTTCTTCAACTCTCAAGGGAGAATACGGTAATCTAGGTCTAGGGACGCACTCCGCCTGGGATTTCGGGTTCTATATTTCTCTTTTGTTTTTTGCCTTGGTAATAGTGAGGCATAAATGAATTGAATTCCTGAGACATACAACCAAAATCTTGGGTTCAGGCCAACTAGACTGACTGATAGCCACTCTTTACGGAATTTCTTCCCTGGTATAGGGCTGGAGTGGCGCCCATGTCTGTCAATGAGTTGGCCGATTTGTAGAACAGATTGGCGCTAATTAAGGATTGTCCGGGATGACTCGAGTGCTGCTGGTTGCTCCAGGCATTGAAATCTTTTGTGAAAGGAAGAATGGGCTAGGGGCGGGAGAGGTTAATATTTCTAAAGCCGATATGTGATGGGAGTGCAGCTTGGACTGCACGGGACCCAAGTGCTGATCTCGGTCATTTGGCTCGGTCTGGCCTGGCCTTGGTACTTTCACAGAACTCCGCTTCCCCGCTCTTCTCCTTTTCGCGCAACCATGACTTGTCGCCGGATACAATTTGATGGTGACGATGCTGATTATATTCGGTTTCTTGAAGCGAGAGTCTTGGAGCTTCAGGAATCACTTCGGCCGCAAACCCGCTTTGGAGTCGCTAAAGAATCGGGAGAGAAAGGAGACCTGGGTGAAACCAGCAATCGGCGGGAGGCTCCCAGGCGTGCCAATAATCCCCCAAGACCGATTCCCGAAGCTTTGGAGACACGCTGGAATGGGCCACTCATCTCATCGGAAGCTCAAGATGATGGAGACACCGATAGCAACTGTCAGACACTTCAATTCATTGAATAGACCGATGCGCCCTGGCTGATTGCTCCACTTTGTGATGTTCAACCCCTATATATATAGGCAGGGGAAATCCAACAAACTATCGGTTTATTACCCCGCCTACTGAAGCAGCTGGCGTATTGACTAGAGGTGCTATGTCTCCATCGTTACAGGTCCCCCTCAGAGGCGCAGTTAAGTTCAAAGTTATAGGAACCAAGAATTGCACTCGAAGCACCGCGTTTTCAAATCACCCGAGTTATTCGGTAAATCATCATAGTGATTGTATCATAAAATGAAGGTGTCTGCTTGAGTCTATCAAACAAGCAAGTGGACAAACGGCAGACCTGCAAGAATGCTATTTGATTACTGACACCGGCTACACAGAGCCTACGCAGAAAGCGTGTTTTTAAGGCGCCGAATGCGTGATAAACCTTCTCCCCCTCTTGATCGGACTATGCTTTGACCCTCAACTGGGTCTTCCAAAACCGAATCTTGAATTCAAAGGCTTCTATCGATCAGAAGGCTGGCACATTCGTTACTTTGAATACCATAGAAACAATGTCGACGCGGCCAAGGATTGTCGATGTCTGGCAAAGGGTGATTTCAAAGAAGACATAAATTGTTTCCCGAACGAGCAAAAGTATTCTAGTGAAGAGTCGGAGGAAAAGGAGAATCAAATTATTGCTACAGTAGAATTGGAAGCTATTAGTCTATAACTGAATTGTTTTGTTGCGAGTTCCGTCCGCTTGCCGGATGGAAAGCTCATGCGATATCATCGGACATGTGCGGCATTATGTCGTCCATTGCCAGGGCTGGTAGGCCAAAAGCACCAAAGGCCGCTTGATAGGGTGTTTTTGTAAGCACCTCTCGATAAGTATAGCCTTTGTTTCATGATTCTGAATATCGTTGCATCGAAAGGTATGTATGGAGGCAAATATATTTCTAGGGAGTAATCTGTTTTTGAAATTTTGTATGCGTGCGTATGATCTGTTTGACACCCTATATATTCTGGTCCTTACCACTGAAATGCCTAGATTATCGCTCACACAAACGCGCCAAATTCTATTTACAACTCTCTACCTGCCAAAGATCGCGCTACTTCTGTTTTTTCGACGGCCTGTGCAAGTCGATCCGCTCGCATAGATCCCCCATTATGAGTTGATCAATGCTTCCTCAGCCACTGGTACACCCGGGCTGCGATCTCAATGTTGTTCTTCTCCATGAAAAACATGTGACCGTTGCCATGAATGCCCTCCTTACCGAGATCTGCGTGTTCAACGTCTACGCCGACTTGCTTCAGATATTTGACGGTGCAGTAATCGTATGGTGCATGGAACGACGCTTCGCCAGTAACGACCAGTTCTGGGATTCTGGCCAGGTTCGTCAACTGCTTGGCCGGGGACTTCTGCATGATGCACTCGTTGTGATCATCGTCGACGGCAGCCTCGGTGATCGTCTCGATGTTTTCGGCATGCTTGCCCGCGGATGGTTCGTATCCGATTGGAAGGTCAGTGAGACCGAACGCAAACGCCGGGCTATTTCCAAACGGGGGGCGGAGCGTAAACGGGGGACCAGACGGCTCCAGCTGCACGATACCCTTCACTCGGTCTGGACGCATGTCTCCGACCCTCCAGCCTAATTCAACCGTTAACTAACTTCACAAGTTCATCGGGTCTGACCGAGGATACCGTATGCACCCGCCTGCGAGTGACTGATGATATAACAGTCGCCGACTAGGTCCACTAGCGCTGAATATGCCTGCGCATTTTGCTCTTCGCTTATAAACCGGTCGGTTTGGAACTGCACCTGACTCCGGTAGAAAGCGTCAAAAGGCGGATCGCCCATGCGACCACTGCCAGGCCATTGCGTGTGAAGCTTCGCCTGTGGCCATTGGTTACCGTTGTTGGCTACGTCGGTGAAGATATCCGAGACAGAATCGGGGGAGCCAATGGACCCAATACTCCCCTGGCCTGGAGACCAGAAGGAACGGCCGCGCGCGGGCTGGTCTGAGAGATACACAGTGTGGCCTTTGGAGATAAAATAGGAGGCCCATCCCGGTCGTCCATCTGGAGTATCCAGGAAATTGGTGCCGGTCTGACCCGCGCCTGCGATGAAGATAATGGGAAGTGGTGGCTTCGCCGGCGCGACCTCAGGCGCAAGCTTCTCGACGTAAATTTGCCCTACCATAGCCATTGATGTAGAATTGGTTGCATCGTCCTATGTTCAAGTCTTAGGTGTGCATGGAATATGTGAGACTCGAGACTTGCCTTGACTTTGGTGTATTCCCCGCCAACGTAGAGAACCTCCCGCTTAGGAACAATGTCCTTCAGCTGGGTACGGTGAGATTTCGCATTGCCTTCGATAAGACCGGCTTGCATCACAGATATGAGCAAAGTTAAGGTGCCAAGGTTGATCATATTCTGGGAGTTACAGACAGGAAAGTAGGTGTATGATTGGGAGAGAAAAGAAATCCAGCTCCGTATTGTAGAGACGGCATTCCTTCTACGAGCCACACCGCCTTCCTGCTGGGAAAGGGGTTTCTGCTGGAAATACTGCATCACGCTGTTCACCGCCTCTGGGGGTGCCTCCAGCCCTAAAGAGTAAAGTTAAGCTGGAAGGATCGGTACATTACGGCCCGATTCTGCTCAATGCAACCTCGCCCGGCGTGGTTTCAGAAAGCCTTAGTTTCGCGTCTTTTTTCTTCTTACTTTTTTGCTGCCAAATCAGACCTTCGTTTCAGTCAGCTCTTCCATAGAGATTACCCATACCCGAAGAACACATTTAGAATCTTCAAACCCCGGCCGCGGTCAAGTGGTCCCGGATCCGTTGTTTGCACTGTTTTAATTGTTTGTTTGCCAAGAGTTCCACCTTGCGCGGAGATAAAATGAATAGACTCCCTAACTCCGTCGCCGGAAGCATCGGCTGAAGAAGTCCATTCGGGGACTTCTCTTTTGTGGGTTCTGTGGATATGCTGCAAATGTTGCAAATGTTGCAAACTCTTGGATCGGCATCACCTTGACATACCAATATTTTGGTAAGCGTAGTCATTATTGCTCAGCCTTGAGCATACTGCTATATAAACATGAAACTAGACCCTGCTCCCTTCAGCACACAACTATACCATCTAGTTTCGAGCTCTTCCTATCCCTACAATTGTGATTAAACATGAAACTCACTATTCCCCTGGGTGCCCTAACGGCCATGTGCGGACTATCAGCGGCCGCGCCCACTGCACCGGTCAAGGTATCCCTAATTTCATCTCTGGACATTGCAGTCGAGGTACTAAGGACCAATTCATAGACCGGGAATTGTACCTATCACCCATCTCCGGACCTTGTGAGTGCCCCTTGACTCTTGAGATAGCTGTGTTGTAGCACAAACTGACATCTCCATAGAGAGATATAGCTGGCACTAGCTACGCAAACCTTGTTAAGGTGGCGACCGTCCCGTCCGGTCCAACATACCGATACATTTTCTCGGAGCCCTCCAGCCACATGAAGCCCTACCTACTGTTTATTCACGGATTCCCCTCGAGCTCGTTTGACTGGCGTCACCAGGTAGACTATTTCGTCAGCAGGGGATATGGGGTTATCGCGCCTGACTTACTTGGCTTCGGCGGCACAGACAATCCTTCGGGTCTCGAAGAATTTACCCTGAAGAGACATGTCTTGGATCTTGGTGCTATTCTTGATTGCGAAGGTGTGGACCATGTGTTCGCAATCGGCCATGACTTGTATGTTTTTGCGCTACGGACAAACCCAGACGGTACATCTCTTCTAACATTGGAGTAGTGGGTCTGTTGTACTATCGCGTGTGATAACCTATTTGGGCGAACGCGTGAAGGGAAGCGCCTTTGTTGGCGTTGGGTATTCGCCCCCTCCAATGTCTTTTAATCAAGCTGGCGTGGAAGCAATCAATAACGCCAGCCTTGATGCCCTCGGCTATCCGCCGTTTGGCTACTGGTATTTTATGGATGAAGACGATGTCGCCCCTATTATGAACAAGCATGTAGGTTCTGCGGCCTCGTCGCTCAATACCTAACACTCACAGCTGCATTAGTTTGACTCCGCCTTTACACTCACGTACACCTCCAACGCCACTTACCTCAAAGAATACTTCTCTCCCGTGGGAGAATATAAAAAGTGGCTTCTTGCGGATCGAATCGCACCCTGGACTACCTTCATCACTGCAGACGAGAAGGATACTTTTGAAAAGATCACCATGTCCCATGGAGGATTCGATGGGCCAGTTAAAACGTACAAGTCCCTCATGAGAGACTTCAATGCGGCTGATGAAGAAGGTAAGCAGAGCTTGGATGATGAATCGAACCGCCAAAGTTCAACAAAGCTAATTCTGCCCAAGCTATTCCAAAGTCAAAGGCCGCCATCGGACACCCTGTTTTGCTTCTAACAGCGAGCAAGGATCCTGTTGCTGTCCCTCATTCCCAGATTACTAACACTGCACCTTATGCTGCCGACATTCGTGTTAAGTCTGTTGATGCAGGCCACTTTCTGCAGGTGGAAAATCCCGATGAGGTTAGCCTGAGCATCCATGAATTCGTGAGGGAAATCATGGCAAAAGCTTGCTTGTAGCCAGCATATCTATCAACTAGCTGGCTTCTCGAGACAGCCTGTGCTATCTGTACCGGGGACAGTGCATGATGCGTCCGTCTCCAGGGTATGGTGGATGAAGGAGATGGCACCTTGTCAAGAAGAGACATTGCTGAGAATGATAGTGATACAGGTGAAAAAAGAACATGCTGGGCCTTTCATGCTTTCTGTGAAGTATATATTTATCCAACCTTTCTTTGGTTAGAATAAATGTACTTCCTTTCGTTTAATGTCTATTACTTCAGGTTATTTTCAGGCTAGAGTCTAATAAAGAGGCCCTTTAGCTAGCGGCTTAGACGGTGTACAATGGCCCTTCTACGGAGGGAGGTCGATTCGAGAGTAAGGTCCCTATGTAGTCAGACTTGATATGGAAAACCTCAACATAGTTACCTAGCCCGTTGGCTTTAATAATAGCCCACCAAGATCTCATACCAAGCTGATTACTCTCCCTATTATTATGGAGATACCGAGGGTCTAGTGGTCTCAAGAGAACTCAACAGCACCAGAACTGACTTCGGTATATTTGAAGAATGTTTATTAGATAAAAGCCTAGGAGGATAAACAATTTATACACAACACACCGCGGGTGGAAGCATATACCAAGAGCATTCCCGCTCAGTACAATACGCAATATATCGTCAGAGCATCGAGTGGTCCTATATACATTATAATACAGGCTTCAAGTTACCAAGGATACAAGTCTCATATCAAGAAATTGAGCAGGTTGTTAATACCTATTTTATTGGATGAGAAAACTAACAATAAAACCGTCGCTCGGTTTAACAGTCCTAGATCTTTTCGAATTCCAATAAGTATTCGCAAAGTTATTACGAATACGAATAACGAAACCCCTTATTCGGTTCCACCCCTACTACTGGTGTATTGTGGATTTGATATATTCTCTCAAAGCAGAACAATAGCCGGGATTCGCTGGTGGTCAGCCACCCAACTACTTATCGGCCGGCGTGAGGCGTACGGCTGAGCGGACGGGAGCCTTGTTTTCCTTACCCTGTGGTCGTATGTACTTGAAGGTATAAAGGTATGGGATATATAGTGCTTTATTTCAATAAATAAAGGTTTTCTATGACTCGAAATGCCATACGCTGCGGGATTTGTACATATCTCTTTTGTTAATACTTGTTTTAGATCCTGCTTCTGATTATATTGAATGCTGTCAAATTGATCGCTTGTATTCAGGTATCAGTAATCTTAGCAAAGTGTCGGAATCAGTTGTATGTTAAGTAGGTAGACAAATATATCAGCCAAAGATCAATTACTATTGAATGCAAAGGAACTAAATGCCGTCTTTCTCTACCACGCCGATATACATCACCGGGTTCATCATCATTGTGGACCTTGTCTCTACGGCCCCCACGAGGCTGAGCACAACATCATCCTTCCTGTAGATCCTATAGACGCTGAGTCACTTGAAACAACCCCAACAGCTTCAACCTCTAGACAATCCACATTGTAAACGAAGAACCAAGACCAGGAAAATGAATCTGTCATCCCTCCCCCACGAACTCATCATTACCATCATCAACCATATACACACCTCACCCACCCTCGTCTCCCTCGCCCAAACAAACCACTTCTTCAACCGCCTCGCAACCCCTAGTCTCTACACCTCCCCTCACATACCCGCCCCGGGGTTCAAACACTTCCTATCCACCATCAAAGCGAACAATCACGAACCCACGATCCGACACCTCTCCATCCGGAATATATGGGGCCACACAACAGGTCACAATGTCGGCGATAGCCTCTCGCGCCTCGCTAACCTCGAGGCGCTGTACCTGCACGGCACTGAGAAATTCGACTGGACGTGGCACGATATCGATGACACAGAGTCAATCGCGAGTCTGTTTCTTCGGATGACCCTCTCTACGCCGGTCGAGGATCGTGTCATGTCGGCTTTGAGATCCTGTGGGTTCGGCACTAGCCCGCCCAGCCCTTGAGTAACGTATACAATGTTAACCAGGGGATAGTGACGTTGAACCTGCGGGAAGAATCCGGCCAGCCATGGCATCTCAGCTCCACGGTGTTCTACATCCCGCAGTTAACAGAGCTGACGGTGCACAGCGTGCAATGGAGCGAGGAGGATCTGGAAATAGACACAGATCCCGACCTCGCGAAGTCAACACATTGTACAGATCTCAAAACCCTCCGCTTCAAACACAGCTATGTTAGTTTCCGGGGTCTGGCGAAAATCCTTCACATCCCCAAGGCGTTAACGACTTTGTGTATCGAGCATGCTGAGGACCTTCGGCATCATGAGGTCCGAGAGGGAGATTCTAACGACGCGACGGTCGCGGAGTTCGAAGACGCATTGGGGCCGCAGAGGAGTTCGCTGGAGGAGATTGAGGTGTCGTGTTTTTCGGGCTCGAGGGAGGATGCGTTTTGTAGCTTGACGGATCGGCCTGGGTTTGATACTTCTGGATTTCCGGCGCTGAGGCGAGTCGTGGGATGTGGGAGGGACTTGTGGATTTTTCTTGGGGGTTAGTTAGCTAGATGGGTATTCTGATGACTTCTGGTTCTCAGGAATCCCGGTCGGCATATGAGTCCAGGTGTGAGGAAAGGAATGATATGCATTGAACCCGACATTCACAGCCGAAACTCCGCAAACCAAACTAATCCAACTAAGTAAAACAATGTCTAACTGCGAATAGACAAGCATAGATTCCTCACCCAATGATCTAAGCAGAAGTCTCGTCCGGCGTTGTTCGGACTTGGCCTGCCCACGCAATCACGGCGTTCCTCGGCGATGCGACGACCGAATAAAGCCGGGTAGAAAGTCAGCTCGTGGCAACGGAGATTTGTTCCGGAAGATTTGACGGTGCTCGTTGGACCGCGGTTATCTGAAGTTTTAAAAGCGGGTCGGAATATAGCTGCAGAATTTGGAAAAGAATCAACATCAGTGTTTTGTAGACATAGGGGATACAGTTTGTCGCTGAACCTTCGTGGGGATGTCTCTCAACACTGAAACGGTGTCACAGGCATACCTGGTAAGGACCGAGTAAGGCCGAGTGGTGTCTTGCAAACTGAACTGCCTAGCAAGGGATATTGTATTTCGTCTGTCGGCGCTACTCGGCGGTCGGCGTTGTTCGCTGCTCGGTCCTGTTCGCTCACGGTTTTGTTCGGCGATATGGCTGACTGCGGCCTTGCTCGGTGATGAATTATGCAAGTCTCATGTAGAGGAATGCGCCGATAATTAGCACAAATCAGCATTCATAAGGATCTGGTTTCCTGTCCATTCATGCTGCGTCCTGCAGAAGTATTAATTCGTAGAGCTTTAAAGACAGATTTCTGTCAACTTATTGTTCTATTTTCTTAACTCTACCACGGCGCCTCCGCCCCGTCATACCGGTTCAATCCCTCGGCCTCCTCCCACCCATCAACCCGAATGTTAAAGAACTTGCCGTTATCCTCCTTCGTCACTCGGAACAGCACCTCCAGAAGCCCCCTGGCGCTCTGATCCGTCGTCAGGTCCGCTCCGGATCCACCCAGCTCGGTCTTCACCCACTGAAGACATGCACCGTTAGCTTCGATTCATGAGCACTGGACAGGACACTTACTCCAGGCGAGACAGTCACGAAGGTAAATCCTTGGTCAGCAAACGACTGCGCATACTGCACCGTCAACATGTTCTGCGCTGCCTTGGACACTTTGTACGCCGGGACCGGGAACAGGCTGTATGTCGGGGCCATGGCGATCGAGCCGAGTGTGGTGGATCTGCGCGTGTTAGGCGAGAACGCAATCCCGGGACTGCGTGGACTTACACGTTGAGGACCTTCTTGAGGGTTCCTTTCTGCAGCAGAGGGAGGAAGGCGCTGGTGACGAGGTGCGTGCTTGTTACGTTTGTCGTGAATGTGGATTCGAGGTCATCCCTGCATCGGGCGTTAGTCTCGTTTCTAACTATCGAAGTTAGAGGTGACACGCACATATCCTGAATCCCCGACGGAGTGTAGTTCATGATGCCGACGTTGTTGATCAACACATCTAGGCCTTTGTCGCCGAGGCTCTGCGCCACCTGGCTGGCTGCCTTGAGCGTGCTCTCTTTCGACGTCACGTCGATACTGACGATCTGTACGCGCCCCTCGGACTTGGACACGAGCTGCTTGAGCTCCTCTGTCTCGGTGCGCGCAGCAGCGTAGATCGTAGAAACTTCCGAGGCAGGCTTCGACGCCAAGATAGTGGTCAGGGTCAAGCCAATGCCTCGCGAAGTCCCGGTGATAAGGTAGGATGCCATTTCTTAGATCTTTTCCTTTTGAGGTGTTCGAATCAAATTAGAGATTTCTTGAAATTGGACGGATTGAATTGAAAATAACAGCAACAACACCGCGCCAACAGGCCTCCTTTATGCAGTTCAGCCCATCACAGAACCAAATCCCACCGCAATAGAAACACCGAAGATGCTTTGAAATCAAACTATGAGGCCATCACCAACTCACTGTCCTCTTCTGCTTTGAAATCAATCATTGGCCCCCAACCTTAAGTCCGGCCGTTGTGGGGATACCTTCACGGAACGCCATTATTGGCCAACGCGCGAATCTGAATGGCCTTAAAAGTATCGCGCGTCTCTAGCGGATTCTTTTCTTGACTGCTTCGCTTTCTGTGAGTATTATTAATTGGTTTGAGTGAAAATTTGGTCCTAGCTTTGAGATGTACTGTTCCTCGTAAGGCGTATAGTTCGTATCGTGGTTGTGCGCCCGGGTGGTGCTTAGTTTCAAATCGTGTTTCGGCTCGGGAATGAAGGATTGTCTGCTATTCCCTTTTGGGGATGTATTTGCTACGGAATCTTCAGGCACGGTATCGAGATAATTGACTGACTATTGTCGCATTTACTCCAGGAAATGCGATGTTGACTTGCTCGGTGGTTTCCAGCACGGTAGGTTTAGCTTTCGTGACAACCGGAGAGCTCAGACGCTCAGACACTTCGAGTCAGATAATACCTCACGGTATACTCTTGTTTCTCTAACCAATATGCAACAGGCGGCTTAAAGCGCCCCTAGGCGTTCGTCGTTCCTTGGCTGAATTGTTCAACTCTAGATTTCGGTCTAGCGCTAGCAGTGTCACACTTAATTGGTCTAGGAGGATCTAGAAGCGTCAAAGAAGGATTACGTGATAATTTTCTAGACGCTTTGAAATTCCGTAGAGAACTTTTAGATGAAGCGGCATTTCATTTGACTGTCTTTGCTTTATTGTTGATATTCGGACTTTTTCTTCTTTTGTATTCTGACACGATCGCCATGCGTGCGAGGGGGGGGGGACAAATAAAAATTAAGAAAAAACAAAAGAAGAGACAAAAACAATGAAAAGGAAGAAAAAAAGGAAGAAGCAGAGAGAGAGAGAGAGAGAGAAAGGGAGAAAATGCTGCACCACACCAGTCCAAAAACCTTCTCCCTTGTCTAGATGTCAAACTCCGCGAAGAGTAGCTCCGTCTCAGCGACACTAGAACAGCCTATCAGCCGCCTTTCTGCGGATAAAATGGGTTAACTCACCGCATGTTTCTTCATATCACATTTTATCTTTCCATAGCAAAGCAAATTACTGTTGTTGCAGCGTTTCCCCTTTGGCAAACACCCGACTTGCCCTGCGCTCTCGGAGCCAGTGGCCGCTATGGGCAGCAAATAGAATGAGGGCGTAAGGAAACCTCATGATTGCAAGTATAACTGGAAAGCGAACAACGGGATTTTTGGGCCTTTGATATTGCAAGCTCTTGTGAACGAATTATAGGTGTATTCATCTCGTTGGGAGTGCCCGTTTTTATTTAGCTGTCCCAGGACCAAAATTTAAACATGTGTCTCTTTGTATGCGTACCGCGAAGGATGCTGACCTTCGATTGCCCCATATGGTTCCACGAGCTGGATTCTCTTTTGGTCTACGGGATCTTCGGCAGCATTCCGTTGGGAAGGCCTAACACTGTCAAGCGTAGTTACATGCAGGGAGCTATTCTTCCATAACCTTCTTTCTCGATGGAGACCTGATAGACTTGGCCGAGCGATGTCACGGGTGAGACTATCGTCCGACTCAATCTCATAAATCCACTACAAGTTACATTCTGCTACATTCTACCTCCCAGTTTGAATACGCATAAAACCAGTGTCATTCATCGCCATTCTCCCTACACACTAACTAGTCCTACCATCTCAACTATCCCAACCACAAAGCACTCCCTCACGTTGATATTTTCATCCATCAACCTGACAGATCGCCATTCGCCTAAGACGAAGATGGGTCATGGCAGACAATACCGCCGACCTGCATAGAGGGGTTGAGGATGTGCGATCCCTTCATAACGTCCGCAATCGGAGAGGAGGCGCCGTTCCTGCAATTGAGATCAGTATAGAGTCACTAACACGGAGTGGATAGGTATTCGTAGACGTACACGAAGAGCAGACAGCGTCCGTTGTTCTGGAGAGAGGTCATCTCGCCACTGGTATTGTTAGCCGTTTCGTATCGTTTGCTTGTTTGGAGGATTGGAGAGTTGAGGAGACAATGAAGCGGGTATGTATGGAGCGAATGCGCCACTTACGCTTGGGTAAGGGGAGTGTAGACATCGATAGGGATGTTTTGGGTCATGTAGGTATCGCCAATGGTGTAGGCGATCTTTTGGAAGATATGTTAGTTACAAGCGGCTTTGAGATCGGATATTCAGATGAGTCTGTGTTTACCTGGACGTCTTCCGCAAGAGCGGAGGCGAAGAGTGCAGCTGCGGCAACGAGAATCGCCTTGGGATAGTGCATTTTGCTTGGCTTGTTGGGTCGACTGGTTTTGGTCTTGGGCTGAGAAATGCTGGTGAGGATGGATTGATGATTTGAGAGTGATGGGGAGAAAGAGGAGGCCTTTTATGCTGTTTTCATGCCGACTCAATCCACGATGGGTGAGCAATAAACTACCATATTCCGACTCTCATCGTGCGCGACGGACCTTTCCGTTGTTCTGGTGTCGCAAGATGACTGTTCGGCTTCCGAGGAGTGGAGCTATAGCTACTAGCAAATTACATGTCGTGTCAATAGGTATAGACTTGAGTGGGTGTATACCAAGACAGGGAAGATTCGGTGGCCGTTTCATCGAATAGGCTGGCTAGAACGACGCCACGCGATCATGCCCTACTTTATTGTTACCCCAGATCGGCGTTGCAGTTTGTGCTACGTTCACCGGCGCCTTTGAGGTGGAGTGACGTGTATTCGACTGGTTATTCTACCGGGGATATTCAAGGCTCGCTTATGCTGTAGTTAGATCTCCGATGGCACGTGTACATAGAAGGTAGATGCGCGGCCAGCAAAATCATGTATCGTTTGAAAGGACGGGATGTTATTTTGTGGTACCAGAACTAGCCTATATTGGAACTGTATGTCGGACCGTTGCCTAGGATGATGACCGAGAAAGCCTTAATACCTAAACGTCCAGCTTAATGGTGCCAACATAGTGTCAACTGGAACCTCACTCCTGTGCGACCAATTCCCCAATAGCATGGCACCTCAGGAATCTTCGATAGCTCATGCAATCACCTCCTTTGGTCGAGATGGAACGGACTTGATCCGGATCTGGCTGCTACCTCGACCAAAAGGAAAGGCAGGACGTCACATGACACCCACCACGTGCCAGCACCCCAAATAGATCTCCAAGTCGGGAAAACCTGCGTTCTCCATCCATCTTGCAATCCAGACCATGGATCATGAACCATCAGGGGAATGGGTTCTTCCGTTTTCCTCCATCCGCATTCCGAACGCAGAACCAAGATGCCGAAAGTGGGCCCTGTCACAGACCATGAGTCAAATTCTGCTTTCGGCCCACACAATGTCGGCTACAGGGCGCAGGGCGTCCACAGTCACCGCAAACTTCGGACAGTTGTCCGAGGCGTTCAAGTACGAACCATTTGACCTGTGCTATAGCCATCGACTGTTAACAACCAGCATCACAGCTCAAAATGGCGAACGTCGCTCAATTGACTCGTCTTCCGTGCGCTGGCCGGAACGAGCTGCTCAGACCAGTGGCATCATCTAGACCGCTGCTAAGGTCTTTTTCTCCCAATTGCTGCCCACCGGGTTGCCGATGTGGACCATGATCGTCACTTTTCCAACCAGCCCCGGTGCTTCGTCCTCGTAGCGTCGGAACGAATACCGGCGCTTTCCCTGTTTCGCATTTGTAAGAGAACAATAAAAATTCTTCGGCCCCCGTGAAATCGTCCGGGGCTCGATATTGCAATCCGGAGCATTCAATATGGCGACTACCTCTGTGTCGGAGAAGCCAAAGCAGGGCGACGCTCGCCCAGTACCTGCGAACATGGTCGACCCGGAGCCTTTGACGGAGAAAGGCCCGGCCACTCCGGCCAAATTCTCGACGGTAATCACCTCATTCCTTGTTTAGCTTGACTGTTAGGGTTTGGTTTATCCGTGCGTGTGTATTGACTACCATGTAGAAAAGAAAGCTGCATATTGTCGTCGCGGGTATTCATTTCGTATTCAACAGCTCCCTGGGATCTTCTCTCCCCTCCGGAGCCCACGATGTCCTGGCTGAGTATTTCGATATTCCCAGCGACAGTCTCAAAATGGTTCTCCCGACATCGTTGTACATGGCCGGATTTGCTATCGGACCCGTCATCTTTGGCCCGATGAGCGAATACTTTGGTCGGAAATCGGTCCTGCTCAGCACCTTTACCATGTATCTCATCTTCACCATGGCCTGCGCACTGGCTCCCAATTTCCCGGCGCTGTTGATCTTCCGGTTTCTTTGCGGGCTGGGAGGCTCGGCGCCCAATGCCGTCCTGGGTGGTCTCTACTCGGACATCTACGACAACCCGCATCAGCGCGGAGTGGTGATGGGCTGGTTCATGTTCGCCACGACGTTCCCGCCGCTTCTGGGGCCGATCATTTCGGGTTTCGTGTCAACCGTCTCTTGGAGATGGACCTTCTGGGCAGGGCTCATCATCGCAGGCGTGGGATACCCGCTGATAGTGACCATGCCGGAGACATACATGCCCGTGTTGATCCAGCGGTACGAGCGGTCCCTGATCCCCGCCGAGGAGAGGCTGCCGCCGTGGGAGGAGTTCCGTGTGCAGGCGCACGACTTCTCGCAGAAGATGGGCTCCGTCTTGAGTCGGCCGTTCGTGATGATCGTGCGAGAGCCAATTGTCTTCTGCTGCTCGCTGTACCTTGCTCTCATCTACTCAATCCTGTACCTGTACTTCCAGGCCTACCCGATTGTGTTCCAACGTATGTCCCCAGCCTCTTCAACATTTTAGTTCCCGTCTAACTCCTCCAGAACTATACGGTCTCTCCGCCGGTATCACCGGCCTCGGCTTCCTCCCCAGTTTGTCCCCCCATCCCAGATCTCCCCACCCCCACACTAACCCCCCAGTCCTCCCCGGCTCCATCATGGCCTTCACCGTCTTCGTCCTCTACTCCAAACACCACACCAAAGCCTCTCTGTCCGGCCAATCCTGGACCCTGGTCGAAGAATACCGCCGGCTGCCGCTCGCCTGCATCGGCGCGCCCACCATCCCCATCGCCCTCTTCTGGCTCGGCTGGTCCGCCCGCCTCTCCATCCACCCCGTCATGCCCATGATGTCCGGCGTCTTCTTCGGCTTCGGCTACCTGCTGATCTTCATGGCCCTGCTCAACTACCTCACCGACGCGTATAAGCAGTTCTCCGCCTCGGCCGCCGCGGCGGCAAGTACCCTGCGGTCTATCTTCGCCGTGTGCTTGCCCCTCGCTACCACCCCGATGTATACCCGGCTGGGGATCGACTGGGCTAGCTCGCTGCTGGGGTTCTTTGCCATCGCGGTGGCGGTCATTCCGTTTGTGTTCATTCGGTATGGCGAGTGGATAAGAGGGAGGAGTCGGTTTGCGCAGGCGGCGGCGCGGGGGGAGGTTGATTTTACGAAGGGGTAGTTCTTCTTCCTCTTCTTCCCTCGATGGCAGAGGGATAAAAGTCATTTTAGCGTGCGTTGCTTGCATATATCGGATAAAAGTTCGGTAATGCGTAATGGATAATAGATAGATACCCATAGATATAGATAGAATAGAATACATTGACCATCCAAATGAACCATCCAACGCCAATCCTTCTATAATAAAATAGGCATAAACCAAGGGGTATCAGCGCAATTAACCCACCCAAGAAAAAAACAACCCCGCCCCTCCCCATCCCTATCCCCATCCCCATTCTCATCATATACCATTCCCCCCCTCCAAACTCCTCCTCACCTCCACCCCGGGCCTATAAAAACACGCCCCAAAAAAACTAAAAATACTCGTCGTCCGCACCACCATGCAAAAAAACAACACCAGCCCAGTCACAACAACCTCCTCCCTCACCCTCTCATCTTCCGTCCTCTCCCCGAGAAACTCGATCTTCCCCCACTTCCGCACCGCCCAGATGCGACTCGAATACCGCGCCACAGGCAACATATCGCCGTCCAGCAGGATGAAATCCCAGTTCTTGAACCCGCTGGTGCTGGTCCACGTCATGGTCTCGGTTTGGCCGGGGTTGCGCGAGAAGAGGGTCGATTGGTAGGTGTATTCGGTGCGGAAACGTTTTGTGGCGGTGAGGGTGTTGGATGTCGAGTGGTGTGTGTAGTCGGGGTTGATTTTGAAGGTGTGGAGAGTGCCGGTTGCAAAGGGGGGAGCTGTGGGGGGGTCCGAGAAGCGGCGGAAGAGCATTTGGGGGGTGCGCATCGATTGTGTGTCGATGCGGTAGAGAGCGGAGGCGCTGGGGTCCGGGGAGCTGGAGGTTGTGGAGAGAGGGCTGATGATCACTTTCCATTTTTTGAGGGAGAAGTCGACTTGGAGGGCGGATTTGGGGGAGGGTTGTTGTTCGGGTTGATGGTCGTGGTCGTGATCGTGATCGCGGGGTTCATGGTCGTGGTTTGATGGGTTGTCGAATGGGTTTGTGGATGTCATTGTGGTGGGCAATTGTTGCGCTTGGCAATTGAGAGCTGTCGGGATGGCAGATCCATCCTGGCGACAGGGGTCGGTGACTTTATAAGTTATACACAAGAACTAAGAAGACGAAGGAGGCAGTACAGCTTCTGTCGGGTGAGGATCGTCTAAACCCCTTTAGGGGCCATGCGGCGCCGCCACCAATCAGCGCACGTGCGGCGACGTCCCGATCAGGCAATCTTCTCGAAGAGGAAATTCGTGGGGCGACTGGACTTTCGGGCTTTTCTTATCTGATCATTCTGATGGTTTATTTTATCTGGATTCTGTTGTCTTCGTGTTGAGATAGGGTGGTTTTGCGGTACCTTTTTTTTTTTTTTTTTTTTTTTTTTTTTTTTTTTTTTCAATGCAGTATTTCTTTGTCCAAATGAAGAATGCGATGGTGTGATCATTCCTGCATACCCATCCCACGGAGTCCTATGGAGTAGATCGGGTCCAGTCCACATGGTCCCCGTAGGGCTTAGTTACGGGGCTATGAGTTTTTAGAGTAGCCTTGTCGAAGGCTAGAGATTAGGGTATGGAGTGGGATCACATGGTTCATTCAGTTTGATCATCATATTCACATCTCTGCATTCATCCCTCATCCAATATATACCATCCAGTCTTCTCATCAACAAGCAATGCCTTCATCAACCATAGCCTCAGCGCATCAAATACAGGCAAGTAGATAAAGAATCTACTCCACCCACTCAAACGCCAACACCGGCACCTGAAAGCTCCCCGCCGAGCACGTCGCATTAAAAAACGAATCATGCACACAATTCAACTCAAAGTCCGTCCGTCCGGAATACGTAATCTTCCTGCCATCCTGACACTCCAGCGCATGGCCCCTCCCAAGCACATAGTCGACATGACCGACACTAACCTCCTTATTCGACGTCCCATAGAACGAGACAACGCGCCCCAGGCCCCGATCCGCATAGCCGCAGTTACTCGCGCCGTTGCCGATATCGTGGATCCGGTACCCGATGTACTCGTCGTGGCAGGACAGGCCGTCGGCGAAATCGATGTCCAAAGTCTGCGGCGGCCCGTAGCCCCACGGCTCGTAGTTCGGCATCCCCGTGTAGCAGAGCGGTACCATCGTCCCGTTGCAGGTGTCTGGGTTCGGCTCGCACCACCCGCCCGAGCAGAGGCAGCCTTTCGCGTTCCGGTCTGCTTCGTTGTGGATGCAGTCGAGGCTTTTGGACCCGTTGTGCCATTGGAAGTTGGTGACGGTCCAGCGCGGGAGGGGGCAGCCTTCGGGGGGCGTGATGGATTGGGAGAGGGTGCCGGTGGAGAGGGCGAGGAGGGTGGTGAGGAGGAGGTTCATTTTGGTTGGTGTGGCGAGGGTGAGGGTGAGGGTGAGGGTGAGTTGTGAGCTGTGAAGAAGAGTGGATGATCGTCTGGGGAGAAGGAATTAGGGCGGTCGATCGCCTTTATATATCGGAAATTTAGACAGAAATGATATCTAAAATTAACCCCAAGTCTCCAGGTCCAGCCCAATGTAACACGACCTGACTCGACTCCCATCTAGACCCCTATCAATCTGCACCGATCAAAGACAAAAGTCCCGGGCAGAAAAATAAGAAAAATCAACCAGACGCTAGACAAGCCCGCTAAGGGGAAACAGCACCAATGGCGAATCAATAGCGCCAGACATGTCTTTCCCTGGCGACGGTCATTGGCACGGCACGCCCCGGCCTGTCTTGGCGTCGATAGCTCCTGCGCTAACAGCTTTGGCCTGTCGCCAAAACAGAAAATGGTCGCTCCAGCAGGGGAATGGAATACGAGGTGGTCAATTTATCTCGACGCTGTGTAGTATCAGGGCTGACTGTGCCTGCGCCGTTATGTCGATGCCACGGTCTGCCATTCTGCACGGCTGATGATGTGGCTGCAGGGCTGATTGGTCGGGCGTCGTTTGGCTTTCCCGAAATAGAGTCAATTGCTTGTTGATAATCATGACGGCAGATTGACTGTTGTGGGCTGATCTGAGGCCGATGAGGTATGAAAGTGGTGGTGAAGAAACTTGGCCATTGAGGATGGGATGGTAGAGACATAGGCTTGAAGGATTGACTCGTACAGGACGATTTCCCTCTTTGAGAACAGCATGAGATCTCGGAGATCGTCCGATGGAGGCCATTGTTGCGAAGGCTGGTGACGTTGCATTGCTCTATTGGAATCATGTAGGAAATACTGCAATTGAGGAGTTTAACTGTGCTGATCAAGTTGTACGGCTCTCGTATTATAATCTCCCGTCACATTGAATCAATTGCGAGTAAACATCATGCTAAACAAAATGTGACAATCAATCAACCCTACTTCTTACCCAGCTCCTCAAGCACCTCATCCCACCCCGTTTCTCCCGAGAACAACGACCCTGTAGTATCGCACTTCGTATTGGCCTCCGGCAGGGTACCATTGCGGAAATACGCCCGAGTAGCCTTCGCAGTGCACAACGACGCCAGTTCCAGAGACCCATGCTACTATTGTCAGCTCACGTTTAACCACAGGAAAGGTAAAATAACTTACCCCATAACCATCATGCTGCAGCAACACACTACCCTCGAAGCCCGAGCTGACGTTCCTGGCCGACACCAACGGCGTCACCGGGTCGTGCGTATTGCCGATGAACAGCACCGGCGTCTTCGTCTTCACCCGGAAGTCCCCGTCGTATCGCTCCTTCGCCGCCAGCTTCCAGTGCGCGCAGACCATCGGCACGTAGTCCGCCGTGTCCCCGCCAATCCGGCTCGACTGCTGTCGCGTCTGGATCGTGATGGCTAGCTCCTCGGCGCTGGACATCGTCGCGAATGCATCGCTGCATTTCACCCCGAACTGCGCCTCGGCTTCCATCCCGGACGGCCGGACGGATACGGAGGCCAGGTATTCGGCGACGGCGCTGCCGTTGCCTGTCAGCAGCCCGTTGAGGAAGGATGCGGTGCTGGGCCAGAGGACCGGCGAGTAGAGGTCGCTGATGATCCTGGTTCGGACGGTGGTGTAGTCGATGATTGTCGGGCCGAGGACCGGGACTGTCACAGAGTAGGGGTTGTATTTGATCTTCTCTATCATGGAGTAGATGCTCGCCTCGAGCTCGGCGGCCGTGGTGTTTCTACCGAGGGGGCAGGTCTCGGGGGAATCGACGCAGCCGGAGCAGAAGCCTCGGAACACGTTGTCGGCGTCCGAGAACATCTCTCTTTCTCTGGACAAGGGTTAGCGACCATCTCGCAGCTGCGGGGACCAGACGTACTTGTTCTGGTAGTACTCATGCAAGTTGACAACGGCGTCGAGGACCATCTTATCAATCCGGTCCGGATACATTGCTGCCAGAGTCGAGCCGAGAACCGTCCCGTATGAAATGCCTATGCTCGTTAGCTCATCTGTCTTCCGAAAATACGGCGAGCATACCCCAGTATCGCAGCATGCCGTCCTCATCCAGCGCGTCTACAACGCTCATAAAGTCCCGCGCCGTGGACGCCGTGCTGACAAAACTTCCAGTCTTGTTCTGCGTTGCATAGCACGCGTCGGCCTTGAATTTGCTGTGTACCCATAGCTTTCCCACTGCGGTGTCCGAGGAGAGTCCATTGGGAAGATCGTATACAAGATCACTAGTCATCCTTTCTAGCTCGGTGTTGTAGCATGAGAAGCGAAGAGTGTTGTTGCCAGTTCCTCTGTCTGGGTCAGTACTATTCTAATTTGATTTGGAGGAGTGAATATACCGTGGAACGACGGCGATGAGATCGTGGTTGCCACCAGTTATCCTACAGATTGTATCAGCATTATCATTCCGACATGCAACATGCAGGTCTCACCCTTGCAGAATCTCCTTATACGAGAACAAACTCAGGCGTCCGTTAGCGCCAGGGCCCCCAAAGTTCAGCAACACACTTCCGTTCGATCGATTGTTGGGAGCAGGGACTCGGAACAATTCCAAGGGGACCGTCGCATTCGATAGTTCCCCCGAATAGTCCAGCGGAACCGTCAGATTGGCACATTGCAGCGGGGAATCTTTCTCGTCGGGACATTGCTGCCACTGAATGCCACGTTGGCGAGATCGTAGACGCAAAGGCGTGGCTTGCGAAATGGCAATCACCGACGCCAGGAGAAGGGTGAGTGAGAATGATAACATATTGGATGATGGACTTGGTCCTGTCGTGGGAATTTCTTCCGTTGCTCATCCCTCTTATATACATTCCCTCCTCCTCCCCGACTGACAGCTCCAGGATCCTTCCATCGTCGGGCAAGAATATGACGGCGGGGCGAAGCCATAGCAGTCAACCCTTGGCAGCTTCTCCATAACCAGTCCGGGGAAAACCGCGCGGCACCACGTGTGGAATGATGATATCCAACCATCTGTTGGATCTTGGCCGTCTGGGTTACTGCATTGGGCAGTCCCGGGAGCAATCCTTCGACCCCAAGGGCAAAATCCATGACCTCGACATGCAGGGCTGAACAGACGGTCGGGACGATGACACGAGCCAAGCCGGGCGTGGCTGTGATGTGGAGCCACCATCAATGGATGTCGCGCTATTATGCCGTTTTCTGTCAGGATCGCCACGATGCCAGTCTCCCATGGGTGGAGAAGATGTATCGCATGTTCGGTCGGACATCGATCGCTGGACAGCTTGTCTTGGCCATGATGGTGCCAATTGTTGGTTCTTGAAAGAAGGTCTGTCGATCCGGTTTTCTCGCGGCTTGTTCCAATAGCTCTCGGACTTGGTTATGCGGTAGCCTTGCGTTCTGGCGAGGACAAGGCTAGGCGTGCGATGTGGCTCTGAGGCATGCAGAGATACATCAGCCAAGGTTCGTATTGAACTTCTCTGTGGTTGGTTTCATGTTCATAGCTTGTCATGATGAGGAAACTTGAATCTGTATTGTTGGCGGGGTTGAGGCATCCAACTTCGTCCTTAATACAATTCTTTTATTGGTTCGTCTCGGTCAGGTCTTTTTATTGGACAATCTCTGGGCTAATAATTTGAACAGTGAACCTTGCTATTCATCCACTCACCAGGCTTCCAGAAGACTAGAACCCATCCGACTCTTCCACGCTGCTTGCCCTAATCACGTGTATAGAATCTCATCTCCCCAGACCTCCAGAGTATCCCAACCCCATTCTCTTCTAACTTGACAGACAAATACAGTAAATCAATCACCTACCACCCATCCCCCACCTCATCAGCCACATACCTCCCACTAACCTCCCTCCCCACCCCCTCCACCGCAGCCCTCACAATCACCCTGGCCCCCTCCCCAGCATCCTTCCTCCCCTGCCACCCCGTGAACCGCGTCCTACACATCCCCGGCGCCGCAGCCACCACGGCGATCCCCTCGTCCGCCAACCGCGCCGCATACGCCGCCGTCAACATATTCAGCGCCGCCTTGCTGCTGCGATAGTCGGCCGCAAACCACGTCTTCGCGTTGAACGCGTACCCGTCTTTCCCTGCCATGCTGGTCAGGCCGAGGCCGCTGGTGACGTTGACGATGCGGCGGTCGGGGTGGTTGGATTTGCGCAGGAGGGGGAGGAAGGTTTCGATGAGGCAGGCGGGGCTGAAGACGTTGGTGTTGAAGATGGTGGCGTATTGCGTGCGGAGGGGGGAGTCGGAGTCGGAGTCCGAGTTAGAGGGGGCCTGGGCGATGCCGGCGTTGTTGATGAGAATGGAGAGCGAAGTGAAGGTGTTTGAGATCTCGAGCGCCGCGGCGGCGATGCTGGCGTCGTTGGTTACGTCGAGTGCGAGAGGCGTGAGAGAGGTTGGGTCCAGAGAGGTGGCTTGGAGGGCGGAGACTGCGGAGATGGCTCTGGGGAGAGTGCGCGCGCTGATCAGGAGGTGGTATTTGGTGCTGGTCGTGGTGAGGTGCTCTGCAATGGCGTAGCCGATGCCCTGGTTGGCGCCGGTGATTAGGATGGTAGGTTTGGTGGTCATTGTGGGTGCAGTGGTCTGAAGACTAGGGGTGCTAAGTGATCTGTAGAGGGTGTGTACTGCCACATTTATAGATTGAAGGCAATAGAGACTCGGAGGTAGGGTCTTATCCCCGAGTGTTAGACAAGCTTTAAGAGAGTATCTCGACAACGTGTTGGATGGCTCCACTCACTTGCAAAGGATGCACTTCATGGTAAGTCCGCTATCTCCAGTTGGGAGTTCTCCTTGATTGGTTCACTCGGTCTTCCGAAATGCACTTGCTCTGTTGGGATGATATGGAGTTATTCACAAACTAGAAGACATCCTATTGACACATCTAGTCTAACTATTAGCTCCGGCTGAGAGCATATATCCGATATATCCAAAGAGGAGACAATGAACTCCAGACTGCGCATCTATGGTCTATTCTCCGTTCTTCACCTCTACGCCACTCGGCAACCCGAAGACCTGTCCGTCCATTTCAGCACCACATTTCGCCATTCCCGTTCCCTGCGTCAAGCAATCTCCGGTCTGCACGTTCTTAAGGTTCCCCGAAATTCCATATGACCATTTCTGACGATCTCCATGTCTGCATGGCTCGAGCAACAGGGCACTCCCGTTACTACTCAAGCACCTCTCCAACTGCGCAAGCGGCCGCAATTGTCCAGACGCATGAACTTGCCAGATCTGAGCCTCGCTTCCCCGGCACGCTTCGAACTTCACCTTCCCATGCTGATTGCCAGTCAGACACTTCCCCGATGCCGTGTTAAACACAATGCCCGTCGGAATGACCTCTCTGCAGTCCTCCGGCAGCCGCAATCTATAAACTTCCGTCGCGTGCACCGCCAATTCCACCTCGACCGCCCCCTGCACTCTTACCTCTGCTCCATCCCATACCCTAATCCCATCATACTCACAGTCTCTCTCCAAACCCAACCAGCTGACCGGCACCTTCGCACAAACCACGCCATCCCCCCGATTCAACACCGTCACCACGCGATCTCCCCCCTCCAAACTCCTCGTCAACACATCCACCACCCCATCCCGACTCGCCAATGTCGCCTGCTGCGCCATCCCGTCCTGATCGATCTCAATCATCCCTCGATTCGTCAAATACGCCAGCTCCTCGCCCTTCAACTCCGGCACATAGGCGCTTATAATCAACGGCGCACCAAACGACGCCCACAGCGCAAACTGCGACCGTTTCTCATCCAGCGTCAACCCGCGATGATCCGCGATCAGAAAATCCGGATCATTGTAGTATCCAGGACGCTGGTACCTCGCCAGCCGCGTATTGAACTCGTAGTTCTCCATCACGCTATCCCACGCGCTGCCGTTCCCCACATACACCAGGATATCCGTCGAGTGCCGCGCCAGGTCCCCGTACACCGGCACCCACGACATGACGGTGTACCAGTCCGAGAGGGTCGGGTTGTGCGCGAAATACGCCGGCGCCGATTCCGAGAAAACGAGCGGCGGGTCCATCCCGGACAGCACGTCGTGCCAGAGCCCGTAGAGGTGCTTGTACTCCTCCTGCAGCGTGGTGCGGCCGTCGGTCCCCGCGGGAAACACGTTGCAGCCGTCCAGCTTGAGGTACTCGACGCCCCAGTCTGCGAAGGTCTGCGCGTCCAACGCCTCGTGCCCCAGTGACCCCGGGTATCCGCCGCACGTCAGATTGCCGGCGTCTTCGTAGATGCCGAACCGGAAGCCTCGCGCCTTGACGTATTCGCCGAGCCACGGGATCCCGTGCGGGAAGAGCGTGCTGTTCCATTGCAGGGAGCCGTCGGGCGCGCGGGCCTGCGTCATCCAGCAGTCGTCGAGGTTGATCCAGTTGTAGCCGGCGGCGAGGAGGCCGTTGGAGCTCATGGCGTCGGCGGTCTGGGTGAAGAGCGTTTCGTTGAGATCGCACATGAACCGGGACCAGTTGTTGAAGCCCATGGGGGGTGTAGGGAGGAGGGGGGGGGAGGAGGCGAGGATTCCGAGGGGCGTCATGCTGGATAGGAGGGTTAGGGAAATGATGAGTATGCTGAGCATGCTGGTGTTCTGCTTGGGTTGAGAATTGTGGGCATGGTTCTGTCTGGGGATCTCGGGCAGATATAGGATGCGATTATGCACCGGACTGGCAAGCGGGGTTGATCTGTCGCTCGTTTACATTCGGACTAGACGAACTTCATGGATTCGTCCCCGCTCGAGGAAGCCCATGATCGGCGCTGTCAATGATACCTTGGACAGACACCGTGTGATTGGGCTGCAGCGTGCCGAGGCTATGATCAGGCTAGCGGGCGTAGTAGAGCTTATCTCTGGACTTGATGAGTTGCTGGCAGATCATCAGTGTTACTCAATCCAGATAATGAAGAGGAAAGTGAATGGAATGACTATCCCTGTCTAGACAGACCCCTTGCATCTTCATCGTGGCCTAACGGACCTGAGATCCCTCCGTAATAACAAATGCATCCCTGTCGCATTGGACGGAAGCTATATATAGCTCTACCTAGAATGATCAAGAGTGAGAAAGCCGTTCCATATAGACGACATGGTCTGGCAAAGTATTTTATTCAAAATAATACGATTTCACTGCTATGGGAGCCTGTATCCAGCATGTGTTTGGCTGACGACGTGATGCTGAGTGCCACATGCAAGGGCTGGTAGCAGGGCGATAATTCATGGAACTTTTAATGGAGATTACAGGCAGGACTCGGATTTTTGTTGGATAAATAAAATATATTTGAGTCCGCGCTAACTAGTGAAGGAACAGGCCATCGGAGGCAAAAAGAAAAAGAATGCATCATCCGTGAATCGAACACGGGCCTCGTCGATGGCAACGACGAATTCTACCACTAGACCAATGATGCTGTTCTTGAGAACTGCCCTTTAATTGAGCATCATGAGCAGATGCCACACTCTACATGTTGACTCTTTTCCGTCCCTGTGATGAGATGGTTTCAAGGATCTGAAATTCGGCCCTTCTAGATCGGAGGGCTGTTACACGATAGGATACCATATCCGCCCTTCGGAGATTCAATACTCTCTGGATTTTTGTCATGCTCGTCCCATGTGGCTTTCTGCGGACTGACCGTTGGCCGAATATATATCAGCGAACAGCCGGATTCTACTCAATAACCAGACAGCACCTGTTATGCTTCATTTGTCTCGGCTTAAAGCTGCATCTATAAGAAAAGCCCCGCATGTACCATCCAAGTAGCGTACCTGTATTCCCCTGTACGTATCGCCCTTTGCAGCCCCTCATTGGTTCGTGGTCAAGCTCCGCCCGTTCGTGAACTTACAGATACTTCCGCAGTACCTGAGCTACAGGTCTCCCGATCGGAATCAACCTCTCCCAGGACGATAATGATCAGTGATTAAATCTAGAAATTGTAGGACCTGGAATAAAATTCTGACCCAGTCATCCGTCACGTTTCTCTTCCAAGCAAGGGAGGCGACCGGAAGAAAGGCAGAAAACGCCCTGCCAGACAAAGGCGCTTAACCGCATTGGGCCGGGACGGTCAGACTGATGTCGTCTTCCACTGTTTCTTCTTCTTCTTCTTCCATCCTTTTCACTCACCTCTGTTGCCCCTCCGTGACCGTCTCTATTCACCCTGCATCGCTGGACCAGAAAGAGAATGTAAGGGAGATTCTGATTTCCCCTTACTGATGATCTAGCTCTAGGCTGCAGTACAAGAACGGTCACTGTTCCTGCTGCAGCCTTGCGTGCGTTGATATCGCGCACCCCTCTTCCCCGCTACATCTTTCCATTTCTTTTCATTTCTCATAGATTGCTTCCTTCAGAATGCCTCGCAAGGACTTTCAGAGAGACCTAGCAAAGGCCTTAGAGCCGGGTCTCTTTGCACATCTAGATCATGTGCGACCCGGGGATGATGATGGCTCCATCTACTTCACCTATACCGCTCCGTCCGACGCTCAAACTATTGAGCTTCAGATATCGGTGCCGGATACCTCGCAATACCCGAAAGACCACACATACTTTGCTTTTGCGGCCACAGATAACATCCCGGAGGCTGTATCGACCGCGCTGGAGAAGTTCCAGCCGGCGGATTGCACGTTGACCGTGCAAGAATTCCTAGAATACATTAGCGAGCGCCTTGACGCTGCCATTCTGGACCTCAACTCCCAGACTGACTCCTTTGACGGGATCGACGACGAAGGTGACCTGGACGGCGAGACGAGCCTCCTGTCCGACGAAGAAATGGACTGGGAAGATGACGACGATGTGATCTTCAGTGCACCACGAGACCCTCCGATCGCCATGTCGGAATTGCGAAGCGACCTGCAAATTGTCAAAGACTCAGGATATAAGATCGGCTATCTGGGTTATCTAGCCGGCCCGGTCATCATTTCAATCTCGTGCCGCATCGCCAAACTTGGCATCTCCTACGAGGCCATGAAGGCCTGGAACGTTTCTCCTTCCGACTATCTCGTGCTTCTCATTCGATATCCCCAGGGATATACTCGCTTAGGTGCCATTCTTACCAAAGCACCCACAGGGACATCCACCATAGAGATGCATGTTGGCGCCTGTGAGACGTATAAGCCCAGTCTGGATGAAGCTCAGAGGGTTTTCAACCCCTCTATCGACAAGCGTCCCTCGGGTGATGGCGAGAAGGCTGGAAACTTGCGAGCCGAGCTGAAGCCCATCTTCATCGGCGATTCACTTCGAACCCTGCTCAACAATCACTTCGTCGACTTACTTGGCTACCGACTCAATTACGGCCACACATGGAGGGGCGCAGAACTCTTTCTCAACGACAGCCAAGGACGGATGCATGATCGGGAGGGGCAAGAACCCTTGCGGCCAGAATACCACGTTTCTGAGAACTGGGACGAGTCAACGCCAGCGTTTCTGAAAGCCGACCATGTCTCCGATCCCGGCCGGAGCACATTTTCATTGTCGTTTCCTCTGGTGGCAATGCAATTCACACTGCGCCGATTCGTGAAATGTGTAGACTTCTGCCTCAACTGCTACTGCAAGCTTGACAATGGATTCGAGGCGCTCAAGCCCTATGTTTGCTCTAAAGGGCTATGTCTCTACCAATATATGAAGCTCGGCATGGGCCCGAGCCTCGAGTGGGAGATCCTTTCGCAGCCGTATGTTGTCGACATTCTCATCAGCCTCGCGTATGTAAGGGCTTCAAGCGGCTATCTCACCGACTTCCCCGGTGGTCTTGGCCTTAAGATCCCCAAGATGGTTGGATCCCAGCTCCCAGAAGGGGCGTATGCGGGGAAGTTGGACGTTGCCCGGATGCAGCTTGAGGTGAGCGAGAAGGTAAACCTCAAACCTGGCGATTGGATAGTCCTAACGCAGCGGGATATGCCTATTATGCCAACGGGCACCCAAGCCCAGTGGCACTGCCGCGTTATGAGCACCGTTTTCGCCCCGGTTTACGAGCTCGCCGATCCGGTCCGTCATCCTAAGTCGCCCAAACTGGAGTTAAAGCCGGATGTCAAATTCATCGTGTACGACACGGATTTCGACACCCTAGGAGATGCACATAAGCGGGAGACAATCTGCATGCTTCTGGACACTCTGCCCAACGTTGACCTGATACGGTCGTTCTTGAAGAGCGATCGTAAAGGGGCCTCGGAGATGTCCCTTGCAACGTGGACTGAGCGGATATCTCCTCCCGCGTTATATGTGCTGCGGTGGATCGTCGCGTCGAATAGATCCTGCATCATGCACGAAGAGAACCCCGAGCATCGCGTCTTTGGTGTTGATGGGTACATGCAATTTCGGTTGGCCCAAGGAGCGCCCGACAAGGAGCATCGATTTGTTCACGCTGTGCGCTCCGTGACAGATCGTCTTAATCTCACGTATCCCACCCTGTTTGCCTGGCACGGTAGCCCACTGTACAATTGGCATAGCATTTTGCGTGAAGGGTTGCATTTCAAACATATGGCACACGGCCGTGCCTATGGAAACGGGGTGTACATGTCAAATAGCTTCCAATTATCACTTGGTTACTCGCAGCGCTTCAGCCAGTCGTCCTGGCCTAACAGCTTGTTACGGGTGTCAAGTGCGATATCGTTGAACGAGGTGGTTAATGCCCCCAAGGAGTTTGTCCAATCCCAGGCCTGTTACGTTGTCCGGCAACTTGAGTGGATCCAGCCGAGATATTTGTTCATTCAATGTCAGGACTCCTCGAAGCCTTCTGCCGATGTCGCTCCAGCATCTGCTTATTACCAAGACCCTCAGCATCGGGCTATAGGTCCCGGTACGGCTGCCGTTGTCATCCCTCTCTCTGCCTTGAGCAGTCGCGGGATGACCACTGATCGCAATTCACCCAAAAAGAAGTCTGGTCGTGCTAGAATAAAACTCTCGCTACTGGGTAAGGACAATGGCGATGACGATAGCAACAGTGTCATCACGCTCCCGGAAGATCGCATGTTACTGGAGGGGGACGTCGAGGAAGCTCTCCAGAAACGATGTGGCGAGGGAGATTTCGATAATGGCCAGCGGCAGGACTCCTCATTGTTGACAGACTTCCGTCCTGGATCATTGCAGGAAGGATCGATCAAACTACTGGGACAACCTCAGTACGCGACCTCTCGAGCCACCAGGACCCTTCAGCAACATTTACAAGCGACATTGAAAGCTCAGAAGAAGGTGCCGTTGCATGAGCTGGGATGGTACATTGATCATAACCTGGTCGAAAATGTTTACCAGTGGATTGTCGAGCTGCACAGCTTTGAGCCTAGTTTGCCGCTGGCTCAAGATCTCAAGAAAGTTGGCCTCCAGAGCGTGGTGCTGGAGCTCCGCTTTCCTCCCCAGTTCCCCATGTCCCCACCATTCGTGCGAGTTATACGCCCGCGATTTGTCATGTTCAGCAACGGAGGTGGTGGGCATGTCACGTCTGGAGGAGCACTCTGTATGGAGCTCCTCACCACGTCGGGCTGGTCTCCGGTTTCCAGTATCGAAAGTGTCTTGTTGCAGGTCCGCATGGCGATCACGAGCACGGATCCGCAGCCAGCACGGCTCGATATGCACCGCAGGGGTGATTATTCGGTGGGCGAGGCCGTAGAGGCATATGTGCGAGTATGTAAAGCGCATAACTGGCAGGTTCCTGCCGATCTTCAACGCGTTTCATGGACTTGAAGGAACGGTTATCTTGGGGCTTAGCGATCATTCGTTTTGGAGTATTATGGCGTCTGGCTCTGTGATTTTTTTTTGTGCTTATATTTTCTTTGTTATCTGCTATTGGCTCTCTGGTGGTATTTCTAATTCATGTTTGACATGTCGTCTCAAGGTAGTTTCCATCTCGGCGGGCCGAAGCAAAGCGAGCAGCTGTCTTTCAATCTAATATTAACATCCTTTGAATGCGATGCGAGATTTCCCTGATAAGCGTAAAACCGGCTTATGCAGCCAAGCGCCCAGCCCCGAGCTTACTGGCTGGCAGTGGCATTTTCACGACCAAAAACGGGGGCAAATGGCGACTTCGATGCTGTCATTCTTCCCTGCAATCGTGCAATCCCGCTATCTCTGCATTTATGCCTGCCACGGCCAGTTTTGTTAGACCTTCGCTGAACTCCTCAGCCATTCGTTCCTTGCTCGAGGGACTGGATTGATTTTATCGGTTTTCGCTTGAATTTTCCCGGTTCAATTCCTAGAACATGGAGCTGGTTTAGGGGTCGACGGCATTCCACCACCCAGCGTGGCTGATTCGCAATTGCCAGCCACGTTGGTCTTTTAGACTCCCAAGATCTTGGGAATGTAACCCTCAGCCAGATCTCACCACTTTCTCTGCCGGACGGTGTCACCTTGACCAGACGACAAGCCTTGGCCACTCTAACTGCACTTCCGCATGGACAACCTCAGCTTCCATCCACCCCCATCGCCGATCCCCTTGGGGACGTGGTTGGATGAGGAGAGATAACCAAGACTATCACGTCATTGCTTTTGGTGATGAGCATCCTACATCTGCTCCTGTGCTTGTTATCCCGGAGAGATAAATAATATCCTGGTCCCCCGCGCACTGCACCGTCTGAGGTGCGCTACGCTGGTCTGAGCTACGATCGGCGGCTTTTCTGACCCCCTGAGTGCTAACCATGGGGTTTTCTCTTTTTAAGCCAAAGGAGACTGTCTTCGAGCAGGACGAACGCTCCGACAATGCGAGTATCATCGACGATGGCAGTTTGCACTTTTATGCCGAGGGAGGTGCCAACTCGAAAGAGGTCACCTACCAAGAGGCCAGCGGCGCTCCGATCGAGGTAGATTCGCCGTTGGGATACTCGGTAGGCTACGTGACGGTGATCTTTCTGAACCTGAGCAAAATGATAGGGACGGGTGTTTTTACGACGCGTGGGTGGCCCCTTTCTCATGCTGAATTCGCGAGCTAACGGGAGGGTTCATATAGCATCGTCTGTCCTCAGCGGCGCTGGCTCCGTGGGCCTCTCGCTCTTCTACTGGGTCATCGGCTACATGGTCGCCTACAGCATGCTGGCTGTCTATCTGGAATTCGTGTCTTATTTTCCTAGCCGATCGGGATCGGAGGTCGTGTACCTGGAACAGTCGTATCCGAGGCCGAAATATTTCTTTCCGACAGTGTTTGCGATGCAGACGGTGCTGTTCTCGTTCAGTAGCAGCAATGCCGTTGGTATGTGATCTGCGCGTGAGATTATGGCATCGGCTGATTGTTTCCAGTGCTGGCGCAGTATCTCTTCAAATTGGCCGAGTCGGAGCCTACGGATTGGCAGCTCAAAGGTGTCGCCGTTGCGTCGTATAGCGTCGCGTTTCTCGGTTGGTCTCTCGCGCTGCTCTGTTCATGTTGAATGCTGATTTGGATTAGCCCTTGCGTTTAATACCAAATACTCCCTCCATCTGGCCAACGCGATCGGGGTCATCAAGCTCATTACTCTGATCTTGTATGTTGCATCCTAGCTGAACATGCTTTTCGTGAGCAACAACTCATGTCTGCAGTATCGGAATCACCGGTCTCGTCGTCCTCGGAGGCAATGTGTCCTCCATCCCTGATCCTAAGGTCAACTTCCGAAACGCGTTCGAAGGCACCTCGGATGCGTCTGTCTACGGCGCCACCAACGCCCTGGTCAAGGTCATGTTCTCGTACATGGGGTATGAGAATGCATTCAACGTGGTCAACGAGGTCAAAGTAGGCCATCATCTCTAATCAACGCTCGGACTTCGCTGACCGCATTAGAACCCCGTTAAAACCCTCCGATGGAGCGCCCCCATCTCGTTGACCCTAACGGCCACTCTGTACATCCTCGCCAACATCGCATACTTCACCTCCGCGTCGAAGCAGGAGATCCTCGACTCGGAAATCGGCGTCGCCAGTCTCTTCTTTGAGAAAGTCTTCGGGTCCAACGGTGCTTCGCGCGCACTGAACTTCCTCATCTGTCTCAGCGCGTTCGGAAACTTGCTGGCTGTGTTGATCGGGCAGTCGCGTATGCTTCGCGAATGTGGACGGTATGCTTTAGCCTCACCACCATCTAGTCTAGGTACTAATTCCACCCAGACAAGGCGTCCTCCCCTTCACGCGCTTCTGGACCTCCACCCGCCCCTTCGGCACCCCTCTGGGCCCCTACACCCTGAAATGGGGCTTAACCGTCATCATGATCCTGGCTCCTCCAGCCGGCGATGCCTTCAACTTCGGTCCGTCCCCCCCTCCTCTAATCCTCTAACTAAACTAACCCATCGAAATGCAGTCGTCGACCTCAGCATGTACCCCTCTAACCTGTTCAACTTCCTCCTCGCCATCGGCCTCATCTTCACCCGCTACTACCGCAAGCGCCTCAACTTCCCGAATTCCGGCTACAGCGCCTGGCACGTCGTCGTGGGCTTCGCCATCCTCTCGAACCTCTACCTGCTCGTCGCACCGTGGTACCCACCCACCGAGGGCGCCACCGGCGGCGACGTCAGTTTCTGGTACGCGACGTACTTGGTTGTCGGGTTGGCTATGTATGATTCTCCCTTCCTTTTTCCCTCTACATTTTCCACGGGCTTGATGTCTCGGGGACTGGTGAGAAAGAGACAAACATGTGCTAACGTTGATGATAGTATCGCGGCCTGCGGCGCCTACTACTGGATTTACATCAAGGTGTTGCCGATGTTCGGGGGGTATGAGTTCCGGCAGACGATTCTGAAGATGGACGGTGGGGCGGTGGCGCATAAGTTGGTGAAGATTCCGAAGGAGCAGGTGGCCAGTTGGGATGCTGAGCATGATGCTGCGGGGAGAGTCAGGAGGAGGACGGTTAATCCGGTGGTTGTGGGGGAGAAGTAGGGATTTATTGGGTTGGTTATCTGGGATTGTAAGATTGTAGGTAATGGATTGCAGGGGTTGTGATGGTGTGGTGGTTCTTGTTTAGGGTTAGTTAATGCATTCTTTTCTCTGTCTTTCAATTGTGTTCATGATATTACAGGAAGGTTTATTAGATAAAGTACCGTACATGCTTGATTATAATAGCATTGTCCACCACATGATCCTGCAGTTCTAGCTGGATATATCCAAACCCACCATCCCGGCCCGACATCGCCCACGAACCAATAATCCCTGACGCTTCGGCGCCACAACAGAGAGGGGAAATTGCCTTCGGACCAGCGCAAGACATTGTTGCCGACCCCTGCGCATATCTAGTTAAACACCTCGTCTCCATCCCTCCCGATCCAATCATTCCCCCGACGATTCTCCGTTCCTGGTCTCCGCGTTGCAAAATGGCCTGACGCTTCCGGTACTTCCTAGGCTGAAGGACTGGGCGCTCCGGATGCGGGGGCTGACTAGTCGGTAGTGAGGTTTATCCCTGTTGAGCGTGTAGAATGGCTGCTCGTGTGGTTTGAGTTATTATCCCGGGGCCATGTAGCATGGTCGTTGTGATGGTCTAGTCTGGTTGCACGGATGTCGCTCCGGGCTTCAAATGGTAGGTTGAGAGATTTCTGGTTGTCTTTTCTCTTGGAAGGAGAGACGGATTGCTTGGCTTCGTGGCGAAGAGGGTATAAGAAGGGAGTGTGGTCGCGTGGAGCTGTGGTAGACAACAGAGAATTTGCTTCAGTCTCTCACGCTTGTCTCATCTATACTGCTCTAACTCAAGATGAGGTGTTTCTACGCCTTCGTGACGGCGTTCTTTGTGCTGTTCCAAACAGTGCTGGCCTTGTCGCCTGCGGAATGGCGTTCTCAGTCGATTTATTTCCTCTTGACGGATCGGTTTGGTCGGACGGACAAGTCCACCACGGCTTCGTGTGACCTGAGCAAGCGCGTACGTGGTGATTCTAACCATCTAACGGGATCATTGTGATGACACTTTCTTAGGAGTATTGTGGCGGTACCTGGCAAGGGATTATCAATCAGGTAGGAGATACTCTTCATGTTGACGAGCTCCTCGCTGATGTCCACAGCTCGATTATATCCAAGGAATGGGATTCACAGCCATCTGGATCACCCCTGTGACTGATCAGTTCTACGAGAGCACTGGCGATGGAACTTCGTACCATGGGTATTGGCAGCAGGATATGTATGTCTTTACTATGTTCTTGTAGGTTTTGACTGCTAACCTCCTCAGATACGAGGTCAACCCTAAACTAGGTACTTCAGATGACCTGAAAAGCCTGGCAGATGCACTGCACAAACGGGGCATGTATCTGATGGTGGATGTGGTTCCTAACCACATGGTAGGGATATTACTCTCTTGGTTTATTACGTTGTTGAGACTGATCTGCTCGACAGGGATACAAGGGCATCGGTTCCTCGGTTGACTACAGCGTCTTCAATCCGTTCAGCTCCTCTAGCTATTTCCATCCCTATTGTCTCATCTCGAACTATAATGATCAATCGAGTGTCGAGAACTGCTGGCTAGGAAGTACCACTGTCTCTCTTCCGGATCTCGACACCTCGCAGTCCAATGTCCGGACGATCTGGTACGACTGGATCCGGGATTTGGTTTCGAAATACTCCAGTGCGTATCTTTCTAGCGATCGTGGAATCAACCTGACTTCTTCTAGTTGACGGGTTGAGAGTGGACACGGTCAAACATGTCGAGAAGTCCTTCTGGCCGGGATTCAACAGCGCTGCTGGCGTTTATTGCGTCGGAGAGGTATTTCAGGGAGACCCGGCATATACTTGCCCTTACCAGAACTATATGGATGGAGTGCTGAACTACCCAATGTCAGTGTTTTACCTTTCTTCCTAGAATCCTGCTCACTTTTTCAGTTACTACCCCCTTCTTCGCGCATTCCAGTCCTCAAGCGGCAGCATCAGCGACCTCTACAACATGATCAACTCGGTGGCCTCCAGCTGCTCAGACCCGACCCTGCTTGGAAACTTCATCGAGAACCATGACAATCCTCGATTTGCACAGTATGTGTCTTGAAGCTCATGACGGAAATTTATATTGACCTATCGATTCAGTTACACAAACGACTACTCCCAGGCCAAAAACGTCATCTCCTTCCTCTTCCTCTCCGACGGCATCCCCATCATCTACGCCGGCCAGGAACAGCACTATGGTGGCGGCGAAGACCCCTATAACCGCGAGGCCACCTGGCTGTCGGGCTACTCGACCTCCTCGGAGCTGTATACCTTCGTCGCGCGCACGAATGCCATTCGTCGATTAGCTGTGGCCAAGGATTCGGGATATATCACGTCTCGCGTAAGTCCCCCCTCCTTGTCTTTCTTTACATTCACAACGCACAATCCCAGTCTCTTACATGTTATGCCAGAACACCCCCTTCTACCAAGACTCCAACACCCTCGCCATGCGCAAAGGCTCTTCCGGCTCGCAGGTCATCACCGTCCTCAGCAACCGCGGCTCCTCGGGATCCTCCTACACCCTAACGCTCAGCAACACGGGCTACTCATCCGGCGCATCCCTCACAGAACTATACACCTGCACGTCCATCACCGCTGGCTCATCCGGCTCCCTCGCCGTCCCTATGTCATCGGGCCAGCCGCGCGCCATCGTCCCGTCCTCCTGGCTCAGCGGCAGCGGACTATGCGGGTCCTCGACGCCGTCCACAACGCTAACCACTACGACGTCTCAGACCAGCACCTCCTCCGGCCCAACTACCACCACTACCTGCGTCGCCGCGTCTTCTCTAGCCGTGCTCTTCAAGGAAATCGTCACCACGACGTACGGCGAGAGCGTTTATTTGACGGGCTCGATTGCGCAGCTGGGGAGTTGGAATCCCGCCAACGGTGTCGCGCTGTCGGCGGAGCGGTATACCTCGGCGAATCATCAGTGGGATGCCACGGTTGAGTTGGCCGTCGGGACCACGTTCGAGTATAAGTTCGTGAAGAAGACGGCCGGCGGGAGCTTTGTTTGGGAAAGTGATCCCAATCGGAAGTTTACGGTGCCTGCGGGGTGTAAGGGGGGTAGTGTTGGGGTGGAGAGCTCGTGGAGGTGATTTTGCTTGTCTTGTTTCTATCAAGGTTGGAGGGATTGGGTCGTTATTCATGGAATGGGATTATATTATGTCTATCAGGGTATAACGTAGGATAGGATATGGCAGGATAGGGTCTACCCATGCCCAAGTCATGAACCCGGTAATTCAGCCCGCGAAGTCCCCTCCAGCTCCCTCCTGTTGGCAAACTCAGGCGCCGGCATTTCTGCCAGTGGTGCGCTGTATTTCAAGCTACTCGTGCTTTCGTCGCTCCATCCTGGGGCGTATTTCTCGTTGCTTGGGCGTCTGCGCTTCCGTAGAAAGAACACCCATACTATAGCTGCAATGACTATCAGGCCGCCTGCGCCGGCTCCGACGCCTATCCCTGCTGCTGCGCCGGTCGAGAGACTGGATTTAGTTTTTGAGCTCTCGGGTTGTGCTATTGCGTCTGGTGCCGATGTCTCCGATGCGGTGGGTGCAGTTGATGCTGTCGATGTTGCAGTAGGACTACCGGTCGATTTGCTGGCACTCGTCGTCGGGACCGAAGTCTTCGTCTCCGTCGCGAACAGCGCCTGTCGCAACTTCACTGTTTCTCCGTCCGACGCGTTCGGCTTGTTCCGACATCCTGAATCCAAAGTATCCATAACTGAAGGCGACGTTGTTAGCAGAGCTCAGTCCCGCACAATGATCACCAGACTCACAATTTCCCAAGAACATCGACCCGGTCTTCCCTCGCAAACAGTCTGCGCAGTCCCCGGCATACGTCTCGACCGCGCCCCCGCCCATTTCGCAGTACTCGTACTGCGGGATCCAGCCATCCTGGTACCAGAGCGTCTTGAACACCGATCGAAGGGGTAGACAGGAGGATTCGCACGGCGAGAGAGAGACGTCGGGTTCGCGATCGAAGAGGCAGTCCTGGAGGATGTATTTCTGGTTAACTGCGGTAGCTCTGGTTAGTGGCACAGCTCGTTAACTAGTCGCAGGTGTGCTGAGAGATCGATCACGTACAGAGAAACCAGTAGACGTCGTTCTGAGTCGGCGAGTCATACGCCGTGCTGGTGCTCTCGCACAGCAGACAATTCTTTAACTTCAGCCCCTTCGATGTCTCGTTGAATGACGAGTCAGTGCAGACTAAATCCGTGGAGAAGGTCACGCCGTTGTCGCCGCATGTCTCGGTGCACGAGGACGACCCCGTCACGGCCAACGACCAAACAGGATTGGAGAACAGGGTCCATCCCAGGATAAACCCCAGCACCGTTGACCGCGGACTGCTGGATTTTATCATCCTGACACTATACTAGACACACGTCATATGTGACCGGACGATCCGCGGGAAAGGAACAGGGAAAAAGGGGCCATCTCGCGCATCATATACCAAGAGTCATGCAGGATAAAGTGTTCGATAAGCCCCTGTTTGGTTCTGCAGGCCCTGCATTTTCGACACATGCGGCGTAGTCTCCTGGGGGCCAAAAGGGCCCCTCGCCATTAGCGTGGCCAGCTGTATGGTCGCACTTTCGGGGTCTGGGCGTGAATGGGATGGGCGAATTGCCGCTGGCGACGAAAGACAGTCGCCTTTAGCCTTGTCTTGGCGTGGCTTTTGGGTGATTTTAGTCGCTGTGGATCCGGCTGTTATTGGGGTTTGAAGGTGGAATTTTCTGTTCAGGAGGCTAGTGCGCCGTCGGTGTAGGAGGTTGATTGTTTCAGGATTTAGAAAGGGTCTGGGATACGAGGGGGATATTTCTTAGCTTCTTTTTGATGGTTTAACTCGTTACGGGGGCAATCTATTTATTATTGAATTCTCTTCATCAAACGAGTGGCTGACTCTAATAAACTACAGAGCTTAGTGATTGTAGCACTAACTGTACACGACCTCAACTTATTCCCAACAAGAATACGAAACGACCCTAAGTAAAACGGACAACATAAGGGCACGGCGTGTCTCCGAAACTGGCAATGCTATTTTCCTGGACCTTGTTGACTCGATCATTGGGAGCATTCCACATGCGATCGCCCGAGTCCCTGTGATTGTTAGTGATGCTTGCCAAATACCCCCAAAAAAAGTAAACATACATCATTAACCCAACGTGATAGATACTGCTGCTATCAGCGCAGTCGCACTCGCCGCCAAAGAAGATAGCATCGCCTGCTTTGCGGTCCTCATATGGATATTTCCTATCGACCTGTCAACACTGCTCCCTGGTTTATATAGCCAGTAGTGTGTAGGGGGACACACTTATACTTCAATGTTTTCTCCGACGCACAGTACATGTCAGATGTCACGCGGAGACCCTCCGTGAAGAGATCACGTCCGGTGATCTGGCAAACAGCCCAGCAGACAAGTCCCGAGCAGTCGTACCCGATGTCGCCGTACTGGTAGGGCGGCTGGTCTTGCGACGGTCCGTCGCAAGAACCTCCACCCCAGGCGTAGGGAATACTAGCGGCGGTCATGGCCTTGTCGAGGATCTGCTTTCCCACGTCCGGCTTCTCGACGGCAGGCTTGCTGGAGTTACGAGGGGCTTGGAAGAAGGTGTGCCTGGCGAAGGCGCTGGAGGCCAAGCTGCCGACGATGATGGCGGTGAATTTCATGATGTATTATCAGTATGGAAGGAATTAATGTTGTACTCCGTTGCTGTGAAAGTGTGCGTGCTTGGATTTAGAGATGTCTATCCAGGTACAAGACGCAGTATTTATGTCTAGGATTGGATGAAGAACGACCCTTTTCAAGTTGAACCTGCTTATCACATTGAGATCTGCCTTCGTGTCTCCTTCGAGTATCATGTCGCGAGCAGGGGGTAGGTTTCTATTCAAGTCTTTGTGCCCCTTGAATACGAGGATCATCTTAAGATGCACATCACCCGTGAAAGGGGATCTGACGGAATGCGGGATATTTGAGTAACCCAATCGCGTTGATCACCTCTGCCAGGGTCTTGTCTTCTGCAGGGGCCAGCGAATGGCGGTTGGTCCGTTCAAGAAGCGAATATCACATCCGTTTCAGGAGCGCAACACGAGCTGGAGATGGCCAAGATCGATTGCTTATGAACGAGGGGCCATACAGTGGTGTATGCATGATCATCAACCTTGGAACTTTAAGTCCATTTTGAGGTTTGGTGGCTCCGAGGAGAATTCGGCGAACTGGCCGTGCCATATCTCTTAGTCAAAGGTGTATCAGATAAACATCTCCGAGAGACACTCGTAGGGCAGAGCGCGGAGAAAGCGGACTGCCTCTTCGGGGAACCCCCGATGCTCTTTACCCTTCTGGGACTTGTTATGGAGCAGGTCCACTTGGTACGAACCAATCGGCGCTGTGAGCCTTGCCGCGGGGCTTTCTAGGCCATCCGCTATTGGACCTCGGCCCAGATATTTTTAGGGGGAGACCGTTGGCGAACCAGTAGAAAGCAGCGCCGCCCCACCCTGAAGATTTTCGTTCGCTTCCAGAAGTATCCCGTTGGATGACTTCCTTCTCTCATGCATCGTCATGCTGGTCGCCAGACAACATGCTGATCGCAATGTTGTTGACTCTCTTGCTAGTATGGTCGCATCTCGGTCAGGCCGTGTTTGTGCGCCATTTCCCTTGCGCGCCAACCGATGCGCCTCCGGTAAACCCCATGTTTGACCCGATCAGCCTGAGTGCTGAACTCGATGTGTCCGATTCGACGACGCTGTCCCTGAGGTTGTATAGCGATATTCTTGAATACGACGAGTGTCAGGCGCTGGGAGATGCATACGCGGAACCCATAGTTAATGTCAGTGTCCTGGGTCACCCGGTTGGAGTCCAGAAGCAATCGAGTGCCAGATGCCCGACCGTTCCCTCTATGGATGCTCCAAGGTAAAATCTGTCCCGGCGGCCATTTTTCGCGCAATATACTAATTGGCAAAGATGGGACCCTCGAATACACTCGGAATTCCTCGTATCCTATTCCCTGGATAGCCCCCACAGGTTCAGCACGCTCGCCACGACCTTTCGTGTTCCACTGAACAATGGCACGGAATTGGCCTGCGTTGCTGCCAATATTACGCCTGATCTGGGATCGACCGCCGTGAAGCTTCTGAAGGGCATACCACTGACCATAATGCTTCTCTCAGTAATCATTGCTGCCGGTATTAAGTTCTATATGAGCCGCCAGTCAAGCATCTTTCGCTATGAAATTGCTAACAGTAGCCACGACCCGGCCGAGTCATTTCTTCCCGGCCTTGGGGACTGTTTGCAGTACCTCCAATTCATCTTCATGTCTGGCTGTCTTACTCTGCTGTATCCCGGCTATTTTAGGCCAGTAGTCAGCCAACTGGCTTGGTCATCGCTGATCTATGCCAATGGCCCCATCACGCATCAGTTCATATATCCCGGGGTCGAGAAGGGCATTTATACGTTCAATGGAACTTACGGGCTAGAAGAGATGGCTCAAATTCTGGGAGCGACGACCATGAGCGACCTTTGGCCCAACGCTATTATTAACCTGTCGGTCATGGTGCTCGTCGTGGTGGTGATCATCCAAATCGCCTCTTTGCTCAAGTGGATGTGGCGATTGTTCCCCTTCTGGGGTCCTCCAAAGCCCTTCGAGCCGCGCACGGAATTTCTGGCGCACATGCAGCACGCCGGATGGAGCGTTCTCCGCATGGTCCTCTACTATTACCCGTTGCCCATCGCCACCTTCTCGCTCTACCAACCGCTGATGACGTATTTCCCTGTATATCGGTCTTTTCTTGCTGTCTCGGTGGTTGCGCTCCTCGGCGTCTCATTGGGCTTCCTAGTTCGCTACTTGAAGGCCCATGGCCGACAGGATTCTTTCTTTAGTGAAAGCACCCTTCCGGGACGGTCAACGCGAAAGTGGTTCTTTGATGCTCTGTACGGGCTCCCTCTGATCAGGGGTGTCGCGATCGGTGCTCTGCAGGTCTCTGGTATCGGGCAAATCATCATCCTTATTGCCTGTGAAATCGCCCTGATTGTCTGTTTGTTGTTGTACCGAAAAAATGGGTCGGTGTGGAAACCCATCGGTCTGTCCGCCGTTCGACTGACGACAATGGCCATGAGCTGTGCCTTTCTTCCCTCTGTGGGACTTAACGAAGGATCAAAGGGCTTAGTGGGATATTTCATTCTCTCTTTGCATGCATCGGCTCTAATCCTTGGGTTCCTTGTACCATCGCTGCTCAATTGTGCGATGTATATCTTGGTCAGGCTTGGGGTTCTGGACTCCCACTTTATTGATATGAAGCCTGACCAACAAAACGCTCCCGTAAGTTCATCTTCCCATTTATTAGGCCGTGGCTAATGTCCGTCAGGTCTTCGGGTTAAATCAACTGTCGCGCCGGTCGAAACGAGGAACGAGCTTTTCTCACCTGCCTCCCCTTAGTCCTCCAGGTATGCCAATCCCATCGCACTTGTGGGTCGGAATCTAATTCCAACCAGATCAATCCATCACCGCGTATATCACGCATACACCTCTTCCCCGACCTGGTTCCTCCGAAGGCGAATTATGCATTGCAGATGATGCCAGCCAGTTCTACCGAGCTCCGCGACGCAATCCTTCTTCATACGCCCCAACTGACGGCACGCGTACCATTCGCTCGATGCCGTCATCTTCGGATATGGGTGACTCCGCCGGTGACTCCGGTGGTTCCAGTATGGAACTAATCGAAGAGGACGAAGATGACCTCGCGTCCGACCGGGCGTCTAATGTCGATTATTCCGTCCGTGAGTCTGATCAATATTATCGGCGCACGAGGATCGTCATGGGATCAAATCAGTCTGCAGACACTGGTTCACAGTCGAAACCTCCCAGAACGCTCCCGCGATGGAAGCAGCGGAAACCGAAGGAGAAGGGGTTTGAAGTTATCAGACCTGGACGACCACCCTCGGAGGGATAAATTGTATATAAATCTCAAGCACATAATCCAAGCTCATCCACTACCTGCACAACTACTTCCCCACACCGTTCTTTCCCTGGGTTCGTATTTACAAATAGCTACCGGCATTGACTCCGGGCCTGGTATTCTATCTCATCTGTGTCGTTCATGGAAATTTGGCAATTTATTCTAGATCTCGGACATCCTGAGGGCTCTTTTTGTCCAACTCTACGCTTTAAGATCGTCTTGGCAGGTATCGCTGGTATGGTCTGATTGCCTATTTGGGAAGCACGCCTCAGGCCCAAGCGTCTCACGTGCCGCCTTCTCTTCTACTCCTTCTCTCTCTCTCTCTCTCTCTCTCTCTCTCTCTCTCTCTCTCTCTCTCTTTCTATCACCCACTATGAACCAACTCATCAAACGTCAATGATGGAATATCTTCAATCATGAACAGGACCTGTCTCGAGACTCGATAGCCGCTAAGTAGATCCTTACTTTGGGCCTCCATGCTATCATTCACATACATTACATCGAACCTCTCTCTTGTAGGAATTCTATCCAATAGACTAGACGTTCTAGACTTCGGCTGCCGTTAGGCGCCACCTGCGACTCAGCTCCACCGCTGCAATCTTCTGCACGCGCTGCAGGAAGAGTACCTCCTGTCCTACCTCATGGATTTCTAGTGTGATACACACCGGCCATTCTAGATTCCACCGCTACATACCTGAGACCCCGTCGGGAACTGGCAACTGCAATGAATCATGATAAATGTCCATTACCAGGAGGCTCCGTCGGATGGTAGTCCACACCTATCCCGCAAACCCCGTCAATCCCCTCTTTGACCCTCCTTCGATAACCGCAGTTGACCATGTCGTGATATCAGTGCCGTTTTCACGTGTAAAATTCACTGTACACATCGATACGACAGTCGGTGTACAGTTCGAGAAGCATACCCCGAGATAATAGCCTTGTTTCCTGCGCATGTCGATGCTGGACCGTGGATAACGTCAGATCACCGACTTGACTAGGCCTTGAAGCCACCCGACATGAATCAACCAGATTCAGGAATACACCGGCGGGCTCAGCGTTCCACTGGGTCACGAAAGTGTTCTATATCCCTAGTCATGTCCGTGGCTGGAGCCTATGATGTCATTTCTATATTACTCCCGTAACTCAAATCCCTGGCCAGGGCAACGGAGGGTCGGATCTAAATAATATTTTGACAACAGGATATTTGTGCCAAATCACAGTTATTGAATTGTGGCTGACTTTTCTGCACCCGACGATCTGCGTCTGACCTGCGGAAAACAACTATTGGCCGATCTATTTACCCTTCTTCCAAATTGGGACATTTGTAATTTCTCCTCGCGTCTTAACAAATATCACATTCCTCACATTTGATTCCTCTGATCGTCTCACGTGGGAAGATTGCAGGGTTGCTAATAGTTTCTTGATGTTCCATGCAAGGGATGAGATGGACAGAATGACCCTCAGCCATGCGGCAGCCATCCTTTTAACCAAGCCACCCACCTGACTGTGTCCAGCTTAGTAGAATGACAGTAACTAAGTGACAGAACTTTTATAACTTCATCCGTGAATTTGAATTTTCACAATGCCTTCAGAAGAATACCGTTTAGTATCGAACGGCGAGGATGACGAAACCGAATCTGTAGCGAGTTTTCAAAAACCAGCGGGAAAATCCAACAAACTAGCAATACTTATTGCTTATCTTGGTAATTATGAAATTTTATATCTATTCAGCTGTGTGCAACGATCACTGACAGCTGGTCAGGGGCCGTTCTCTCCAGCTCAGAGGAATCTCTCGTTACGGCTACCTACTCCATCATCGCTTCCGACTTCCAAGAGCTTTCTAAGAGCTCGCTCCTGCTTACTAGCTATAACCTAGGATATTGCATAGCGCTGCCTGTTGTAAGCTGGCTCTTATATCCCTTTTTATCTTACTATAGGCTGACTCAGTTCCCCAATTCTTTAGTACGGTGCATTGGCGGATCTCTTTGGCAGGAAATTCTCCCTTCTTCTTGGGTACTTTTTCTTCGGGTTAGGATGTGTAATATGGTTAGTATATCTATTCCCTTCATTGTTATTGGTTAATAATGTCAATTTAGCACGATTGGCACTTCTATAAACCATCTGGTAATCGGCCGGGCCATCGGCGGGACCGGCTCTGCTGGCATGGTCGTGATGATATCCATTATGATCACAGGTACTGCTCACCGGACTTTCATTTCTCAGCGCATGACTTATTCTGCTCAGATTTTGCCCCTCCCAGTGAAGTCGCACTGCTTCGCAGCTACACAAATCTCTCCAACTTAATAGGCCGCTCCTTTGGTGCGCCCTTGGGAAGTCTAGTGACATCAACTTTCGGCTGGCGATGGTAAGTGCCACCGTTCCCTGAATTGCCATTGCTCATAGTATACAGGGCCTTTGGGGGTCGTCTACCGGTTATCCTAGCGTGCTTTCTTCTCGCAAAGGTCTACATGCCCGACATAAATCCCCCACAGAAAGACAAAGATGCCTCGAGGGGCGAGAAGCTCAAAAGCATTGATTATGCCGGAACAGCAGCCTTCGCAGCGGCCATCGTGCCTTTTTTACTGGCCTTGGTCGCGGTCGGAGACCAGAACGGGGGAGGCTCATCGTACATTTACAAGCTGCTTGCGGTGTCCGCCGTGTTTTGCATCGCCTTTGTTCTTGTCGAATGTCTCTGGGTAAAACGGCCACTCGTCCCACTGCAGCTGGTCTGGCAAGGCGTCGGGCAGTATTGGTTAGTCCAATTACTCATTTTTATCGGCCGGTTAGCGGTAAGATCTTCTCCGAAACCATTCCCATAACCGTACTGACAATCGTGGTAGATGACCACAAACATCGCCGAGTATCTGACCCAAGTCAAAGGAGTCGCCGGCGAGGTGGCGTCTATATTCATTATCTTCCCCGGCGTGGGCTTCACCAGTGGAGCGCTCGCTGCGGGCTACACCATCAAACGGTACCTACCTCCCACCATCTATAACAAAACCCCTCAGCCCTATCTATGCATCCATTCACTAACCCTCCCCAGAACCAAACGCTACAAAAAACACTCCATCGCCGCCATCATCCTCGGCATCGTCTTCTCCGCCCTGCTCTTCCGCTCGTGGCACGAAACCAGCAGCATCTGGGAATCACTCCTCATCATCCCCATCAGCGCGGCTACCGGGTTCACGCTCTCATGCGAGTTCATCGGTGTCTCGAGTCGTGCGCCGCAGGAGCATCTCGCCCCCGCGATCGGAGCTTACTATCTCAGCCAGCAGCTGGGGATGATCATCGGGTCGGCGATTGGTCCTGTTTTTGTGAGAAGGGGCTTTGTTCATGAGATGGGGGTTCGGGTTCAGGATGGGGGGGAGAGGAACCGGGTATGCTGTTTGATTTCATTTATTGATAATCTTTTGAAAAGCGTGTACTGATTACGTGGGACAGATTATTAGTGATGTCCTCGCTGACTCGAGGTTTCATTTGTCGTTGCCGGATCAGGTTCGAGGGATTGTGCAGGTTTGTCTGGCGTTTGGGTATCAGTTTATTCCTCGTGAGTTGAATGATGGATTTTTGTGGGATGATATATATTGACTTTACGATGCAGTCACGTCCGTGGTTACGATGTCGCTTGCTTTGCCGATCTTTATCATGAAGAGAGAGGAGAGGATAGAATAGAGGGTTGGCAAATGGGAGTCTAAATCATATGAATTTTGGTGGCTTGGATCGGGGAAGTATAATGACATCTACAGATCCTCATACTGGATAAGAGAAGCAAGACTATTCAAGTCTGTAATGCATAACATTATGCATCGCCATCCTGCTGCTTACGTCAGGATATTCCGAGCACAACAGACCGCCAAGCCACGGCTGGCGGTCGGGAACCAAAGGGGAAATGATTAAAGCCCGACAGCGTCAGCCTCCAAACCGGCTCTAGGGAATTCCAGAAGGTCTGAAACATGCCGAGTGGGTGGCATGATGTGCTGCGTAGAATCCCCCCAAAAAAAGAAGCCCGCCAATCCCGAGAAACAGGGTTGGCCCAGAAATGGCGATGATTTGCCACCGGGCCTGCGGTCGGGGACCTTTTTCTGGCGCTGCCCCAATTTCTCGGGATTAGACTTGCGTTTGATGCGTCGTGGTTTAATGCCCGCTCGCCTGGGGGTCTGGCTGGTCCTAGCCCCTTGGACGCAGTAGTGCATGGCTAATGGCTGCTCCCCCCACTGGAATGCAGTGTGAGATCATGGCGAACACGTCCGATCAGTGTCCACTCGCTCGGTCGACTCATGTGCTCTGTATACCTGAGTCGGTCGCTGTTAAGGTCGCCGACCTGGACGCCGTCTGGAACTGCGCTCTCGCCGACTGCATCGCGGCCGAGAAGAGGATATGATTGATGGATCGGACACGGATTGGCGCCGCAGAGGAAATAAATATGCAGTGTTGATGCAAGTATTTGAGTTGTAGGAAGTAAAATAACCTTCCGTCTAGAATTCCTACGAACCTTGTATTTTTTTTTTTTTTTTTTTGGTCAGATGGATCCAACCGTGCACTCGTGTTACGAGCCAACCACTGGCACATGGCAGTACATCGTCGCATGTCCCTCCACCAAAGAGGCGGCCATTATCGACCCGGTTTTGGACTTCGACCCGGTCTCGTTGACAATAAGCACGGCGTCCGCCGACTCATTGCTTGACCTCGTCGCTCAGCAGGGCTACACCGTCCGGTATTTGTTGGAGACGCATGCCCACGCGGATCATCTCACTGCGTCCTTCTATCTCCAACAGAAGATCCTTGCGTCGGGACAGCCGCGACCCTCGATCGGCATTGGTCAGCGCATTCGCCTCGTGCAGGACACCTTTGCCCCAAAATACAACGTCCCCGCCGAGGACCTGGACGCTGCCTTCGATCGTCTCCTGGCGGACGGCGAGCGCTTCTCCGTCGGTGACGTCGTGGTCGCCGTGCTCGCTCTGCCGGGCCACACGCCGGACCATGTTGGGTATCGCATCGGGGCCAACGTCTTCACGGGGGACTCCATCTTCAATCCGGACGTGGGCAGCGCACGCTGTGACTTTCCGGGCGGCGACGCGCGCACGCTCTACCGGTCGATGCAGACCCTGCTCTCTCTTCCGCCCGAGTACAGGCTGTACACGGGCCATGACTACCCTCCGACCGCGGATGGCGACCAGAAACGCGATCCCCTGCCGTATGTCACCGTGGCGGAGCAGAGGGAGCGCAATCGACATGCCAAAGACGGCAGCACGGAGGACGCGTTTGTGCGATGGCGATCAGAGCGCGACCAAGGGCTGCGGGAGCCCAGGTTGATGCACCAGGCGATGCAGGTGAACATCCGGGGGGGACGCATGGCGAAGGATGCACCGCTGAGATTCCCCGTGGGCGTGTGAGTTGGAGGATCGAAGTATAGGGAGTGTAGGCATGGAGGCTTGGCATCAAAGACGGGAAATTGGAGGCTGATCGGGGTCTTTGCTGACGTTCCTCCCCGACTGCTGGTCGCCGAATCGGGGATCTCGGGATCGATGGGGATCAGAAAATCGTTCCATGGAATGAATCGCCTCTGGATTCATCCCCACGCTGTCTTCTTCTCTTCGCTGCTGTCCATAATAAAAGATGACGATCCTCCCGTGGCCTCCTCCGTCGCCCGTAGAGTGGTCTCTCGCCTATCCCAAGCCCAACCATGCAGAACACCTCCAGATCCTCGCCCCGTCAGCCCTCGTCGCTGGCATGCGTCCCCTGCCGGCGACGACACCTGAAATGTGACTCGCTCATGCCCGTTTGTAGTCGCTGTCAGACCTCGGATCTCGAGTGTCGCTATGTGCGCTCCCGTCGGGGGATGCGCAGCAAACCGGACAACCCGCCGTCGCCCTTATTCAACCACGACGTGCCTTTGTTTGACGCGGATGCCTTTTCCAATTGGCTCAATAACACCACCCTCCCCCCAGACCTGGATGTATGTGTGACCCTGCCACCAGTCATGAAAAGACCCCGAATTCTTACAAAACCCCAGGCAGGCGAAGCGCTGTTCCAGTCGCTCGGCACGCCTCAAACCTTCGACATGCCGAGTTTGACCGACGATGCAATCAGTTGGCCGGAGCCAGAGCAACTGTCCACCCCGGGAGTAGCCTATGATCCCATGATCCAGCTATATTACCAAAATTTTCACCGGTCGCACCCCCTCCTGGTCCCAAGAAAGGCGCTGGCGTCCCACCTGTGTGACCGCATTCCTGCCTATCTTTTGTCCATCATGCGCTACATCGGCGCCCACTTCTACCCTGACCCAGCTTTTAAGGAAGAGTTCCGAGGGTCGGCCTATGCGATCTTTGCGGATTCCACCGTGCGAGATGGATTCAAAGTTCAAGGTATGCTGTTGCTCGCGATTGTCGAGCATGCACACGGTCAGGACGAGAGTGCCCATCGAACGATGCAGGCCGCCATCGATCTGGCCTTGGATCTAGGCATGCATCGCTCCAGCTTTGCCCTCGAGAACTCGAAAGGAGACTTCATGATGGAGGAGAGCTGGTGCAGGACGTTCTGGGAACTCTACGTCGTCGACGGACTATTAGCCACCATGAGAGACCAAAGTTCATTTCGGCTATGTCGCCAACGAACAGATGTCCGATTGCCTTGTGCGGAAGATGCTTATACCTCCGGGATCGCCGTATGTCTCTCCTGCTTCCTTCCTTTACATGGCGGGACCTTGCTGATGTCATGATAGCCAATGTCGATACGACAGACTCTGAACGATCTCGAACGCAGCTGGTCCTTCGGACAGGGCCACTGCCCATCATCGTTTGCATATCGCATCCATGCCGTCCAAACCCTGGGAAAGGTCATGGAAGTGAACCGGTCGCTCGATATGGATATGGAGGCACGCATCGAGACCGTCGATGCCAGCCTTGCATCTTCCTTAATGCGATTACCTTCGTCCCAGGGGTCGGGATACGACAGCTCTGACTTTGACGAACTGCTATTCCAGGCTGAGATGATCACCTATATGTGAGTGACATTAACACTCCCACCACCTCCATCCCACACAGGAAAAGGCCAACTAACAAACAACCTCATAACAGTGGACTGATATACCTCCATCATCCGCGCTCCAGCATGCGCTTCGCCTCCTTCAACGGCCGAACCTCATGCGCTCGGCTACGAGCCGCTCGCGAGACCAATTCCGGCTCCGCAGATCTAGACCCTCACTCTCAGAAGTTTCTGCGAGCAGCAGACCACCTATCTAACCTAGCCACGCTGCCCAATCCCATCCAAAGCCGAACCCCCTTCTTCACATGCGCTCTAGCCATCTGCATCGTTGTCCACACGGCCGCCTCCCTGGTGGTTCCATCTGCCGGGAAGGTGGAGTCTCTCAAGGCGCGCATCCAGCTGGGATTCGGCGGGCTGAATGTGCTCGGGAAGGTGTGGCCCCTGGCCAAGACGGTGAGGCAGCAGATGGTGGATATGTATCAGGAAGTGGGGCTGCGTTGAGGGACGATGTCTTGATGATTCGTTCTCTCTATCTCTCTCTCTTGCCCTGGTGGAATGCTAGCGAGTCGGGTTAGCATGGAGCCGGGTAATTACTTTCATTGGCGGGATCCGCGGGCGTCATCCTGCCGACTATAATAGATTTCTTCCAGTATATGATGGGGAAGAGACGAGCAGGGCTCTTGGTCTTTGCTGCCTGTATCTAGATTTTGGCTGGAGCATCGAGGGCGGGAATGTGCAGGAAGAAGAGCAAGAGGGAAAGGCGACGGGGAATTTCCCCTGCCTTTCTGGGCCTTTCTCGTGATCGCCAAAATGGGCTTTCCGAGTCACGTCTACAAAGCAGATGTTGACTTGAGCAGAAATTCCACGGTCTACCTGGATTATAGTGCATGATCGGAGACCGAATTTCAGCTGCCTCAGCTTCTTGGTATCTATCACTGAAACATAATGTCGGATCTATCGATGCCATAACGTCCAGCGACCTAGCCGGCTTTCAATGGCCAAAATGCCACCCATAACAATCAAATAGCAGTCATCGTTATTAATTATCCGATCTATCTCATGTCTCATCTCTAAGCGTGTACCTTCGTAGAGATGCTCTAACATCCGTAATGCAAATAGCCAACATCAAGACATCGGGAACTACAAAGCCAAGCGCAAAACAAAACTCAAAGTCGAAACTCTCTCTCGATTGCCTGCGAAATCTCGTCTAAAGCGGGTTAACAGGGTCCAGAATTTGAGGTCCCCGGGGCATCTTACCTCTGACTCCGTGCAATGCCTCATACGCAATGGAGTAGTTATCCAAGCATTTTACCACGCCCCGCAAGCTTTGGTGTAGTTCCTCTCGAAACCCAGTCAACGAGTCGACGCTCAGACGGCTAGATTGCTCTTCTCCGTATCGCCGAAGGGTTCGCGCCTTAACGCACAGCATCAGCATTGCGTACCCCGACTGCATCGCACAGCATATCAAAGTGGGCATGGTACGGGGGATCTCAAGTTGAGGCCGGAGTGAGAGAGGTGCATTCGACTCGGGGGTTTCGTCGGTAGGGCTTGGATGAGGCAGGTTGTTGAGCAAAACGACAACATTGAAAGCGGCGTGGAGACAGATTCGGGAGGATTCGTCGGAGGTAAATGGGAATGGGAGACGACGGGCATGGGGAGGAACTGGAGGATCTTGGATATAAATGGGACTGTTTCCCGATTCCAGCGAAAAGTCGATCGGATCAGTTGCCGGAGCCTCCAGATCCAGCGGCTCGGATGAAATGGTGTCGATGTCTTGGAATGCGCATAGTCGATGCGTCTTAATGCGAGCACTACATCATTCGTGAGCAAATCGGTTCACAACGATTAGGTCGATGACATACGTATGTAGTTTGATCTCTGCGAAAGCACGCATCGTCTTCGAAGCCACAAAGTCTGGAGAGTCGGGCGGAGGTACCATTTCAGACACGGACAGAGAATCCCGACATAGAAGCAAAAGCGATGCAATCTGACTGTCGAGTTCGGCCATCCTTGATAGCACCCAGGATGCGTCACCACCGGATTTTATGACCTGGTCGAGATCACGAGAAAACGTTGCCGATTCGAGAATGGCCTGTTGAGCCTCGACGAGTAGTTTCCATCCCTGAATGAAAGAGAACGGATCAACATTGTAGACTATAACCCTGTGGGAGAATCATACCTCTGGATACGGTGTTACAAACCAAGGATCGTACAAGTCGAACGCCGGAGGCTGTGAAGATGAGTATTAATTCCCTAACTGCTCGTGGGTGTCTGATACGCACCAAATTGCTTACAGCCAACCCTTGACAGGCTGACATGTACTATTGAGCCATTAACAATCATGAACAATACTTATTCTGGGCAGTCAGATAGGGAAGATAAAAGACATACTGTCATCCACCAAACTCGACGTCGAGCCTCTGCAAATTCATCTTCGTCTAATGCCTCGTGCAACGACATACTGAGCGCCAGCGCTAGAGATTGGTTCGACCGATGCAGCATTCGATCTAGATGCCCTTGCTGCGCGTACTCATAGACACTCAGCAACGCCAGCGCCACGACGCCTTCTAGCGAGACGGGCAATTTGGGATGGAATGGTTCGCGATCAGAGCCCGTCACAGCTTCTGCGGCCTGACCTTTAGGGATCTTCGGTGCGTCCGGCGTCCCGTATTCGATCTCAACCGCATCAAAGGCCGATTTGGCGAAGCAATGTGCAAAATCGCGTCGGATCTTGACGTACTCGGGCCTCGAGGGCTCCTTTTCGTTCGGATGAGGGACGAGAACCATGATCGCTGCAATCGCCCGACCTAGCGGGTTGATCGGTTCAAAGCTGGGCGGCCTCTTGGAGATGGGACTGCTGGTTACCGGCAGGCGCTCCGGTGGGGGGAGGATCGGGAAATAGGGGTGAATGAAGATGTAGTAGGCACTTAGTCTGCTCCGACGATTAGCCAATGCCGGTCACACGCCGATCCTCGCGGTGTCAACTTGCAGGTGCTCGTTGCTGTCATAGATTCTGATCTGGTTGGGCTTGGAGGAAGACTGCGAGTCTTTTGGACTCTTGTCTACGGGCGTGAAAATGGAATCAAAGATGGAGTCTATCTCTGCCAGGGGCACTTCGACGTTCCGCAGTCCTGCTCCCGGACCACACAGGCCAGAGAGCTGGCTCACCCATTCTACCGCCGAAACGACCGATCAGTACGTATTCTAGCAGCCATTCCATCTCGCAGGGAATGAGGTCATTGCATCACCAACCTTCTCCCTCCGAGCGAGAGTTTTCCTCGGTCTCCATGGGCGTGGGGGTCTCCAGCCGAAGAGAAGGACCTTGTTTGTCGGTGGCCGTGAGATCTATCGGGTTTTCGAGCGAGATGCCTTTATTCTTGCGACCGGGATGAATGCGTGGACCGCCTCGACGACTGGGCACGTAGCAGCATGATCTTCCTTTGGCAGCACAGTTGGCGCATTCGGCCTGGCCATCACATCGGATCCGCAAGGCACGACTAGAGCGGATATAATTAGAAAACCGACGGGGCCAACGAGCGCAGAAGACTTCAGACCAGAGAAATCCTACCAGGAGAGACAGGCAAGCTTCACGGGGGGATCGTTGAAGCGACGAGCGGGCCGCTTCAACTCCCCGACAGGCGAGAGGTTATTCATGGTTCCCGGAAAGCCAAACCATACTGGCCATGCGACCGAAAATTAACGTCGTAAAAGGAGGCCACATGGCGGGCGAGAAAGTGTGGTTTGCCGGTTGAAAGAAAACAGAAAGAAGGCGAAGGCAAAGGCAAATCCCGACGGGGAGAAGCGAATCCCGGGTTGATGTCAATCCACCGTATGATCCAGTTTCTGCGTTTGGTGGAGCAGAAGCCAAATCGACGAGCCCATGGAACACGTCGCTTGGCAACGGCGTGGCTTGATTACCTTAGCTGTGGTCTGATACTCTCGCGCTCTTTTTTCTCGTCCTTTTTTTACTATACAGGCGTCGTACTACGGAAGTCGATCTAGTATTGCTCCAAGGGGATTTTGCGAGATCGCCCCCGTCGCCGGCAGGATGCGCAATCTCACAATCTCGCACCATGACTCGCCGGCGCATCCAACAGATACTTCTCTGGTCTCATGTTCTTCCACGTCGCACTTGGCGCCAAACGCACGCTCCGGCATTGGCGGAAGAATGCAGTGCCAGTCAACCGCGCAAACGCCATTTTAGCCTGGTCGGAAACTCGTCCCTCGCCCGAGTCGCCCGAGAGCGATGCATCGCCTGAGGACGAACCGCTCGGCTTTCGCGTATAGGTTTGCGTACCGCGTTCAGCAAGGGGAGTTCTTCAGCAAGGCCTGTGACCTTGTCTTCCACCTGCCGTCGTAGTTTGGGCTGCGTGAACACCGTCCGTAAACTATACGTTGGGGCGACGGCCGTCGCCTTTATCCGACTCATATATCATCACGGGGATGTTGATGGCCGCGCGCCGTGTCGCAGCAGACACTCACGGGCACCAAAACTGGTCTGGACAGACAGAAAATGTCGGGCAGTCGACCCGACGAGAGGGAGCTCGGAATTAATCTCCTATCCCGTGGTGGAATCCACGAATGCACTCGTTTTTCTAAGTCGCATCACGACGCCGCCCGAGAAACACTTCGTTCAGGCTCACATTTCCCAGCTACAGCATCTCAACTCCTCAAACAGCAAGCAGCCGCTGATATCGCTCGCCAGAAAACCTCCACCGCTTCATCTGAGCCTGCGCGACCGCTGGCTGCATCTTTTCTCGCACCTTCGGTTTCCTATTTCATGGCAGATCCGGGTGGAAAGACATGGTGAAGATGCCCGATCGGTACGCGGCGAATTCCGAGTAGCAAGTCGGTTTGAGGAAGGGAGAGCCTGTGCGGTGGATATCGCGCAAGTCGACGCGAGACGGATGCTTCGTCGGGGACGATTGGATTGATCGGATTGTATTCTCGGTGCAGATGATGGATGCAATAGATGGGTAGAAGGACTCGGGATGGAAGGTCAAGACCGAGCGATCTGGTCAGCTGATGGCGAGGATCACGTAACGCCGTCGTGTCTTCATCGTCCTTCTCGACCGCAAGACCACGACCATGCGATTTGATATGCTCCGCGAACCCTGCAGAAAGTGACTCCGGAGTAAACCACCGTCGAGAAGTCGTCGGCTCCACTTCGGCCCTCGAAGACCAGCGTTGACACTTGGCCCAAGTAATTCTTGATCGAACGGCGTGCCCCCTTTCCAGTGTTCCTGCACTGTGGCATCTCCGGGTACCACGGGAATAGGATGCCTCCCGGGCTTTGAACCACCGCAACAGCTCCTGTCAGATCCAGTACTAGACGCCAAAATAAATGAAACTAAAACAAGACCGCCCACATCGTCGGGCGTACTACGGCGAAGTACGGGGTCGTCATTAATCAACATGCCTCGACACGACTCATGCCGGAGAACATTCCCAAAGCAAAGCGGATCTCCACCGCGTCATTCAACCATCAATCAAATCCCTTACGAATGCAAGCAAGACGGCACGAACGACCCACCGTCGGCAATCGACCCAGTCTGGCTCTTCCGAGAGGTCTGGTCGGTGGACGCCGTGGTGGTCGACACGGGGTTTGCGACCGCAGCCTGTTGGGCGAGATGCATTACGCTGTGTGATTCCTTCCAGATGGGAATCCTGGCAGGCGTCGCTTTTCTTTGTTTCTGTCCCGACCCATCCAGTCCGGTCGCAGACTAGTGCTTATGGCCTGATTCCTACGACTCGTACCCAACAGCCTGGATTGGCCCCCAGACCGTTGGATTGGTCTCCGCATAGTTAATAGGAGTTAATCAGTTAATCAATAATGATAATGCAAGCAACATTAACAACGGCGTTATCGATCGCAAAACCGGGGTTGTTAGCGCTAAAACCGGTTTGGAAACGGCGTTCATTCCTTCGAACTCCCGGTCATCTCGATTCGTCGCGGTGTATTTAGACTGTCTGGGCCCAAATTTGGGGCCTGCTACGGCACAGATGAGAAGAAAGTTTGATTAATCATCGCCATGGCTTCTTTGGCCGCGATGTGGTCTATTGATTGATATCTCGGAAGAATGATACAAGGAAATAAAATACATGCACAGGTCGTACATGGAGTATAGAGACGAGTATAGGGCCTGGGTCACGGTAGAGCCCAAAGGAGAAAAAGAAAGAGACGAATATGACACGGAGAAAAGCAAGTGCCCAGGGGTCATCAAAAGGGGTATGAGGCGATCTCCAGAGCGGCGGAGTCATCAATAAAAGATATATGATACAGAGAAAGAGAAAAACGTGGTGGGAGAAGAAGATTAAGAAGAAAAGCGTGAACGTCGACATTAACCAACCGGGTGACATTAGAGGCATTCCATGGTGATAAGGCGAAGGGGGAGGCCGCAACGGCTGCCGTGTCTATTTCCCCCACATCCTGGACGCTTGATCGTGTCCTTTGTCGGAGTCGCGGCTGGAACGGTCGCTGCCCTCGGCCTCGGACGGGTATGCCGGCTCGTGTGTGATCTCGATCGTCGTGTGCTGGTACACCTTGCCCATGGGGGTCAACTCGACGCCGGTGTTCTGCACGATGTTGTCCGTGGATCCGTCCCGGACATGGTGGTCCAGATCTTCCTCCTCGTCCCGTTGGCGCACGGTGCGCAATGCGCTGATATCGGTTCGGTTCTTCGGATCCGCCGTGATCGTCGTCAAATGATTGTCCGTCTTGCGGTTCTTGCTGCTGACGAAGCGGTTGTAGCTGCGATCGTGGCTCGGCTCGGATTCCAGGATCAGGTTTCGTCGGGTGAGTGTGTAAAGAAGGACGTCGACCAGGCCGGAACTGGTAATCAAGGCACCCGCAACGCAAAAGAAGGCCACGCTGGGGGTTTGGCCCTGGGCTGTCGCCATTCGTCCGGCGGCCAAGGGGAGTGAGAGAACGATGTATGCAATGGGGTAGATAACCATGTATCCGATAACACGACGGAGACGCTTCAGACTCTCCGTGTGGCTGCTTCCCAGAATCGCGGACTGCTTGATTTGTCGGCGCAGCTGGAACCACATGATAGCGTACAGGGTAACCGTGCCAAACTCGGCCAGGAAAATCCAGATATAATGTGTCCATAGACGAACGGGTTCGTATTCTTCGCTAATCCAGCACTAAGAAGACAGTTAGCGATGCAATTTGGAGAGGAAGACGGAGGTGCGCATACCCAGGCACCCGATGGAATAAACACATATCGTCCATGGGAGGCGAGTGGAATGATCACTAGCACGGCGACGAATACCCAGAGTCCAATGACGCCGGTCACGAAAGTTCGATGGCTTAATTTATGGCCCATGGTGACTAGAAGGAAGGTGTGGAAGGCAATGGCCAGCACGAAAAGTCCACTAGAGGGATCTCCAACTTGCAGCCAAAATCCCTGAAGAAAGCATGCCGCCGAAGATGCTTCGATTTTATCTTCGACAATCCATTTGATGCATATAAGGAAGGCGAGGGCTTGTTGCAAATCGGCCAAAACCAGGTTGTAAATGAGGACGATGTACTGATTGTAACCAATGTATCGGGCGTAGTTGGACCGCCAAAAGACAAGACGATAGGTAATGAATGAAATCAGGATGAGGGCGGCGATGAAGGAGAGGATAGCCATGATGGAGATGGCAATGAGACCCTTGCGTTGAGCGCTGGGAAGGGGATCGATGTCCATTGTTGGACCTCCTTCCGTATAGGCCAGTCGCGGCGAGAGTCTGTTACTCCCACCCGCGCTGTCGCTCAGGGCGCTCAATACTTGGACAAGACTCATGGTCGAAGAGTGTTGTGCCGGATGAAGCCTTGCAGTCCGGTGATCACTCTCTTCATAAAAGGGAATGAAGAATCACAACCGGGGCACCCTGAGGTAAGAGGGATTCCTTGACGACAAAGATGGACTTTTTTCCGACGGTCAAGGCGGGCGCCAGGCGATCTAATAACCAAATCCCCGGGTATGCAATCCCACGATGAACTATTGGGAAAAAGCAGGCAAACCTAAATCGGTGCTCGTCAGGGGTTGGGTCTGTACCTTTTTTGTGGCCACGATCAATGAGCACCGGCCATCAGAATTGAGAAAAGAACAGAACAGAAGGGGAAAAAAAATAAAATAAAAGAGGGGAAAGGGGAATCAGTGGCGGAAAATGGGATTCGAGCCACAACGGTAGACTATGTTCAGACTAAATTGGGATGGGAATAGAACTACCGACATGTGTGTGTGGATGCTGTGGAGTGAAGGCCTTGAACCGCGCAAAGCTTTGTTGAATGGGGAGAGACTAAGTCGCCTGCGATCAGCATATCCAAACCTACGACGCCGTGGATGCCTTCATCACAGACCCAGTACGCTCACGGAGAGATACCCCACCCGGCGACCCCCCTCGCGAAGCTAGGGTCAAGGACTCAAGACAGGGGCAGCTCCAAGATCATCGAGCGGAATCACGGCTAGGTGATACTAATGGGTGCCTGGGCCGAGAGGTTCCTGAAACTTTAGACACGAGGACAGGTGCCAAGTAGGAGGGAATCAACGTCATTCTCACTGGCTCGCCGTGATATTAGCGGGAAACCCGATGGGGACCCAGATAAACAGGCCTTGGTAATGACAATTACAAGCCCCTCCCAATAACTTTGCTATCGAGCGTGCCCGGTCTCCGTAGAAATGACATTTGACAAGGGGTGGTTTCCAAGCTAAACCACCGTCGTCTGTCACTCGCCGCAGCTGCAGGGGAGCGGTTGACTTGGGCCCATGCAGTGTGGATTTCAATCGGACAAGAGCACGAGAGGCCTCCGCCGCGGAGCAGGGACGGTTGATTGGTGATTCGTCACCCTCCCAGATCCCAGAGCACACTCGCAAACCAAACATGAGAAGCCAACGTGTGGCCAGGGAAATAATCATGCCCAGAACCGGCGCGATGACCCCCCGCATGGATCGCAGCCACACAAGACTTCGCTCTCCTCTTGGTCACCGACAAGATTTTGGGTGGAAACAACCAAGACAGACCCTAGGGGAAAAGCGTTAGTGTCGCCGAGACTCCATTCCAGAAAGTCCCAGTTTAAGGCCCACAAGCGTCGATCGGATAGGCAAACTAAATACCGGGGGTCCACTTTAAATGGAACACTTTTCGTAAATCAAACATCCCGTGTGTACCAGAGAAAAAAGAAAAGAGGGGGGTGGAAGAGCAGGCGATCTTTGCAGCACCGCCAAGGGATCGATATCCAACAGGAAACCATGGTACTGCCCAGACTGTGTTAAAAAAAAATATCTCATGGAAATCCAATCGCTCGCGGAACAAGCCGACCGAGAAAAGTCTTCTGATGCTGAATCAGTCTGATACAGGAGGACCCTCACCATCTCCATACTCGGTACTCGGTAGGCAATTCTGGTCTCCATTCCATTCAACGTCAAGTGGACACTGGAAACACACGCCAACCGGACAATATCCGTGCCAGGTTTGTAAGGCTTCGAGAAGGTTTCCTGGGTATACGATCCATGTATCTGAGCTATGAGTTGACGCGGCAGAAGGCGTGTGTTGATGGCGAGGGACTAGCTCTGGTTCGTCTGACACCGTCGAAGTAACCAGGCGATCAGAGATAAGTTGACTAGGCAGTTGTCACCTTCCAGCTTGGGATGGGCCCACCGGAGGAATACGGAGTATGGACGGGAGCAAAAGATGCGCCCATGGAGGACTAGATAACTCTAAGTGAAAGGAAGGAATGGAATGGAATGCATGAGAGGATGACCGATGAAAGGGATTATTGAGAAAGAGAGAGAAAGAGCAAAGAAAGAACGCCGAGCCGCACGGGACCGGGTAAGATACCCGTACCGGACGGCGTATCGTAACTCGGTGGATCTTTTTCCCCTTTCCTCGTTTCCTCTTTTCCTCTTTCTATTTTCTCCCTCTTCTGCACTCCTTTGCTTGCTGATCGTCCCTTCTAGTGTCCCTTTCATCGACCACCGTCTGCTCTGGTGTATGGTCATCAATTCGTCCTCTGGTCTGGACAGTGATCCCATCGTCCGCCACGGACAACTGGCTGCTGGTCTATTAGGACCTGCAGCAGGCCGCGTACAGGTCCTTATACCCCGGAATCCCCCTCTCGACCGATGCATGCATGCTACAATCTACTCCGTGGGGACGGGCGTTACTCCCTGTAAATACTGGAGGCCACTTATTATCAATTTCTATCCGGCTATTACAAATGGTGCTTTCGGTGACTTTCGCACCCGGAGCCCTGCCGTTTGACTTTGACTAATGGCAAATTTGCTCCAGAAACTAAACAACTAAGTGTCTAGCGCCAGTATCCACCCGATGTCAGTGCCAGCCTCATGGGTATTGTTATGGAGCCATGGATACGCCGGATGCTACCCTCCGACTTCCCCTGATACTAAAATCAACAATTTCCGATGTCAGATTGTCAACAAAGCAATCATGGTGCAGCTTTGATGCCACCTAGCCAGAGTCAAATGGAATGGCCAACAATCTATTGAGGGGCGATCTAGTGTGTAGATCCTTGACCGTTAGAAAAAAACTCCTGTGGCTCAACGTGTGAACCTCGGCATCTGGCCACGTGCATTCTCTCTGTGCTCCCAAGGCCAAGGGTGAGAGAATTACAGACAACATCTTTCGCGTTATTCTTACTTGATAAAAAGCCATTATAACCACCATGGCCTTGTCTGCTGAATGCTAAAACCGCCACTAGCCATGCCTCCGGTCTCTTATTCGGTAGGGTTGGCCCATTCCCCGGCTTTTAAGGTTCTGTGAGGCCCTAGTCCCGAAGGCTGCGACCGGGTCCCTGAGCCGCCAGTTGAAACCAGGCCCGTCATTATTGGGCATTGGCAGCCTGTGATCCTGGGGATCTCCCAATGCCGCATCCTCGCCTCATCTTTCTCCGCGGTCAACAGTCCATCCCAGTATTTAATGTCCTGGGATTTCGCTCCAGACCGACACCGCGGTAGTCTGGTGCACTATTAGACTTCGATTTTGGCTGGTACACTAACTAATGTACAGTTCTGTCAGCGCCTTTTGCAACAGCACTAGATGTACTAATCCCTCCGACAATCGTATTTGTATGATCGGGAAACAGTCTAGTCCTTCTGGTTCCGAATTATACAACTTTGAAAATGCACTAGACAAACTCAGCCGGAAGAACAACTCTGCACACATGATCTCATGTGGAATTATATCGAAAACATTCACTGCATATTGCATGCCGGCGAAAAGTTTCCATTGTCCGACCTTCTATTCATCAAACGTCCCGACAGATACTTTCAGATAACTACCTTGGTCCTCGACGTTGGAAATGAGGACATCAACTCCTCCAGTTTGACACGATTCTCCCCAAAAGCAAGGGCTTACTCGGACCCTTGGTTTGTTAGGGTGCCATGGACCGAACGTCCTCATCGTCGAAATGGGCATAACTTCGAATCCTAGTCTCCAATGGCAAAAGAATTATGCTCCCATCATTCGATGCCATGTCGGTCCTGCACTGTAGTCATTGCGCTTCCACCGAGAGTACTCCGTCCGTAAGGTTCTCGGTCTGACGATCGTGATCACAGTGGATAGTGTTCACGGGTGAAAGCTACTCGATCGGATCTATGCCATGATTGGAGAAGCATATCAAAATGATTGCAACCTAGCTGAATCCAGAATCTTTCACCCGTTGCATGGTTTCCACTTATTGGAAACCAGAAGGACTTAGCAGCTGGTTCCTGGTCAGGGCGAGGCATCAAGTCGGCTTTTTTATTTTTTATTTTTTTTTTTTATTTATTTATTTATTTTTTTTTTTTAATCGAGATCATCAGGCTTAGCTCACCTAAGAGCAGGATCGCACATCTGCTTTTCCTGGTTGGATCCATAAAGGCCAGACTTTCCCATCAAAACCCTCGGTCCATCAACCGAGAGAGGTGATCACGGGTTGACTATTATTGTATCCGGACATAAGACTTGTGTTTTCTCCGTTGGACTCTGCTAATAGATCCTGGGGCAGATTCCGTGCACTTTCTTCTTGCGTGGTGATCTTCCTCCACCATGTCCTTGGCGTTCTCCAGTTTAATCTCCTGGATTCTAGGCGACATGATCGGACCCGTGCCCGTGGTTTTGGAGGGTTGTGCAACATTGTAGAATATTCCATGCAAGCAACGGGGACGGTTTATGCCATCATCGTGGCCAAAGAGCCCGAGGGAGTGGTCGAACTTACCCCATGAAATTCGAAGGATGCACTAGACCGTTCTGCACTCCGGTCATACATTGTCGTCAAACAACCCTGATTGGGTAAATATACGACATGAACACACGTCACTATACGTTGCCACAAGCATTGTTGAACCTTGGACAGGACTTTCCTTGGCTCATTCGAATTTACTTCACTTTGTACCCCGTACTCCGTACTCCGAGCAGTCCAGATCCAAGCAAGACGCACACGTTGATCGTCACGAGGCACCGACCCTCTCTCTAGTGGCGGCAGGATCAGGGGACGCAATTGATCCTCGAGAAGTGCCCACCATGCCGAGATGGGGCTGCCCCATGCACTATGAATAAAATTCAAATCATCGTGACCATCGGTCTCAGCTTGGGGAACAGCTGTGTTCTCCCTGCGGCGTAAGGCTGCAAATCTCTCCCTCCCACCTTTTCGGCTTGAATTCAACCTCCACCTACTAGCAGCAACTTTGCATACAGATTAACATCAGCCGGCACGAATAGTACGGAGAAGGCACCCGATCCGGCATAAGGTTCGAGTTAAAACAATTCGTGCCCTCAGGCTCGCTTCCGGCGGGCGGCTTCCGAGCACCAGCGTTATGGATCCAACGGAAAGGGAAGTTTCCTACCGAGCCCAGGGCTCAAATTAGACTGCAGACGGGAGAGCGAATACTCCCAATGAACTTTCACGAATGGCTCGGGTAATGCCATGGTACCCTAATGATGGAAGTCATCCATGGTTCATCAAGCGCCTGAACCACAGAATGAACCCGGCAAAAACTCAGCCCTCACGAACCATCACCAGCAAGGAAGGTCGGCATTTAATTTTTCATCGGCACGACCCGGGTCTTGCAATTCAATTGTCCATGAGATTATGACATCTCGTCTCTCAGGTACTTCCTCCTTCCTAATCCGGGGGTAACATCGAGTCGCAATGCCACCAGAGGACTTATTGTCATCTCCACGACAAGAGTCATATCCAGATACTCCATCCAGTCCATTTGGTTTTTCCCATCGGCCAAAGATCTTGAAAATAAGAAAAGGGAAAAGAAACCAAGCCCCGAGAGAACTCATCCATATACTCCACCCCACAAACTGCAAAGTCCATACATTTTTAGTCAACACCAGAATCCCAATCCCCTGGTTCCTCCTAACCACCACTCCGCAATCTGGAAACCCACCAGAAGGGCCACAATCTCTTAAGCCACTCAAGCAATCTTGGCCTCGTGCCGTGCGTACGGAGTACTATCCAAGCCAAGGGAACCTCGCATCCACCCGATTCAACCGGTGGGCCCCCGACTGACTCTTGATATCCCCCATGCAGCAGAGGAGCCGCAACCCGCATAGCGCGTCGCTAGACAACCAGAAATATACGGCGCGTGGGCGATCGCAGAGATTTCTTGCATTAGTGCAATATCCCAGGAGGATCATTTGATCGTGATCGCTGGGAACTATTGTGCCTGGTGATTTCCCCTTCCCGTGTCCTGAATATTGAGATTTTGTTCTTAGGATCTTCTGATTTCTCCTATCTTTAGCGGGTAACGTTACTTCCCCCCATCCCTGTGAGGATCTGAGGATCTGAGTCTAGGCCTGGAATAGGAGGCGTTCTCACTACTACAGTCCTACTACTCCTCGCAGTATGGAGTAGGGAGGTAAGTGGAGCCCTTCCACCGGGAAGAGGCATCATGACGTGGTCTGTTCTTATGATTCTAGTGGTTGATGGTCATTGCGCTTGCGATTAGTATGGAGAAGGTAGGTCAGACTGTCTAGGCGCTATTAGGACTATGTTTTATGGGCGATATGCCCTGTCGAAGACCGGCAGGTAGGTGTTGTTCACATTGCCGAAGAGTTGTTTGTATATTTCTCGGTGAGTCATAGCCTGCCTACCTATCTATGCCAAAATTTTATAGAACGTAGTGAGTCATTAAGGAGAGAAAATTCTATAGCATGGGCAACTACCAGAACACATATGCACATAAACACACAGAAGCAAATAGGTATATGGCATTAAGTCATTCCAGTCAAGTTAAGATCAATCTGCCTCCATGTACATAAATAACATGCATACATAGATACATACAACCAAAAAGAATTTGCATTCTGGGAAGAAAGCAAAAGAAGCAAAGAAGGGGAAGAAAGAGGGAAAGAAGCCTCATTGATATGCGTTTCATTTCGTTTCATGCCATTGCGTTCGTGGTTTATATCGCTCATCATCAAAACGGGTCGTTAACTGAAATAGAACAAAGAGAAAGGAAAATAAGACAAGAACAGGAGAAGCTCAAGTGAGATGAGACGGAAAGACAAAAAACATTGTCTGTGTCGACTCCCTCCCCCTGTGTCCCGACAACTCAAAATTTAGAACCAAAAAAAAAAAAAAACAACAGTCGGATAGATAGATGGAAGCATGCAGTGGTTTGGTTTGGTTTGTCGGAGTTGAGAAGATCATGTGAAATCAACTTCATCTTCTGATGGAATGCGCTTGTGCAAATGTCGAACGAGGGTGATGATGATGTTGTTTTGGTTTTGGCTCTTTTCTGCTCTTTTTTTTTTTAATGATTTCTGTATTCTTGCTCTTCGTCTCCATCGGTCTTCGAATTCCACCTCTTCATTATTTTTTTTTATCTCCGTCGAGAACCTCGATCTCGTCGACTATCATGCAATTCCTCGTCATCTTCGTCCTCCTCTTCGACGGGAGCAGGCGTCCGCCGCTCTGTTCGTCTCTTCGGTCGACGTCGTCGGTTCGAGCTGATATTGCTGGCTGAATCATCGGGCGCCAGGGACCGGTCGTCGTCCAGGAAATCGTCCTCTCCACCACTATCCCATCCGTTGCCTAGAGCAGAGGAAGGCGTTCCCATGCGGGCTTCGACTAACGAGCCGCGTCGGTTCTGGTTCGCAACGGACAGACCGGCTCCGCGCTCCCGGAGGGCTCGACGGACGACTTCGGCTTTGCAGTGTAGCGCTTCGAAGGCATCTTCGAGCGCTTCCATTCCGAGGTAAATGTCCCGTTCGATTTCTGCTAACGCTGCGATCTCCATCTCTTCGTCCAGTGCGATGGGCCCACCGAAAGCGGCAGGAGTGTTCTGGCCATATGGTTGACTGGCCGGTCGGAAACTACCATCCATGGTACTAGGTGTCGGGCCTCGAGAAATGCCACCTGTGGTGAAAGGAGTGTTGGACCGGCTAGTACTACCCCAGCGAGAAGGAGTGCCGTTTTGCGCGGCGAAGAAAGCATCTTCCGCACCACTTCGTAAGAAACCATCGAAACGACCCGATATCAGAATGTCCCACTCGTCATCACTGATGCCTGCAAGTGTCGCCAACACATGATGCATTTCGATGTTGTTCAGCATGTATATCGCCGTTTCAGGGTCTCGGGGAAGCGATTGCAACCGATACAGTCGTTGGATGGCCAGTGACGATGACATTAGAGCGGGAGGTCGGGGGCGAGATTTGCCTTCGGGCTGGGGAGTTGGTGAGGTGGAGCTGATTCCCAGCAATGCGCAGAAGAGAGCACGGTCCTCAGATCCAATATGTGTCAACATGGCGAAGGTGAGAGTCTCGTCGTCAACCTCCTCGGGAGCACTTGTGCCCTGTCCATCTTGCTCACTCAGCCATTTGTCCACGGCAGTCTTTGTTTTGCGGGACTGTCGCATGTAGTGGTCACGGTACTCTTCAGGCACATCTATATCCATTTTCTGCATGGGAATATGCTCATCGCCAGATACATCGGCATTACCAGCTGGCGCTGACAGCGCGAAAGGTGGCCAGCCGGGTAGTTCTCGGCGACCTGAGACAAGCTCGAGAACCTCACCCCAGCTCACTCCCGGTTGGCGCTCTTCCAGGTCTTCGTGGTCGCACATTAGGCAGTGGCATGATTCGGACGAAATGTCGCGAGCGAAGACAGCTTCTAACCGGTCCAGTAGACGGCGCGCCACAGACCGATATCCGGAGGCAACGGCGAGCGAGCCATTCTTGGTCATAACCTTATGGTAGTCCTCGAGGAGACGATTGAACGGATCGAAAATTTTCGCTGCCGCAGCCTGTGGTTGAAACGCCTGCTGGGCAGACGATTCCGGATGGTCGGCCCCTAGCAACAACGCCTTGGGCACCCGGTGGTCTAACCCACCGTTTTGGAGCAGATAATCCACCCGAGGGATCGAGACCGGCACCTCGGGCGGGGGCGGGGGTGGGGGAGGAGCTCCAAAGGCCGAATTAGCTGTAGGAGGCCGCCCATATTCAAATGCAGCTTCTGCAGGAGTACGACTGCTGGTTCCACGATAAGATGCCGACGATCTAGTCTGGGTCCGCGACGGCGGTTTCTCCGGGCTCTTTGATTTTCGGGAACTTGTTGACTTCCTATGCGCCGCGATGGTGGCATCGGAGCCATTGGCCGATTCCAAACCAGCGTCACGCACCGTCGCTGGAGATCGGGACGGGGAGAGTGTAGTACGACTACTGGGCCGTTTGGGCGGAGGGACCTCCTCGACGATTTTCGATTTGGATGAATTCCGGCTGGAGGTCCGGTAAAGCATGTCCTTGTCCTTGTCATGGCTCGAACGTTTTGTCTCCGGTCGCACTGTCTTATTTGACTTGGAACTCTCATCCCTTTTCGAGCGCAGGCTCGACGACGACTTCGTCGACTCAGCTCTGATTCTAATCTTCGCCTTCCCTTCTTTGGGTTTCTCTCCAGAGCCCTTTTCGTCTTTATCGCCGACCGTGCTGCCCTTGCGCGAGTGCTGATCCGTACTCGTCAACGGCGGGCTCGGCGGGGCGTGAGGGTCGTCCCTCCGGGGATGGTCGACGTCCGCATTATCCTTGTGTTCCTCGGTCAAATCGGTGGGGTCAGGAGTAGGGATGTCTGGTTTCCCAACAGCCTCTTTACTGTGAGCCTTGGAAAAGGTCGGATACGGCAGGCTGGTCCTCGACTCGAGGAAGGAGGCCGTCTCGGGGCGGCTGGCGCTATCGACGCCCGGCATGGAGGACCGACGCTTCTTGCGGGAGCTGGGAGCGGAGGTGGAAGGGGTTGAGGAGCGGGCCGTCGGGGCGTCAGGGTCGGGTTCCTTGGTTGAGAGGCGGCTGGACCGACCGTGGGACGAGCGTTGTGGGCGGTGTTTGCTTTTGGAGGAAATGGACGAAGAAGATGGCTTTCTTTCGCGGTCCCTGTCGCGATCTCGGTCATTAGGTCTGACAGGTAAAAACATGACGTATATGGAGAGAGTAGGTGGGCTTTGAATGGCGCGGACGATGGAAAGTCGGGAAGACGACAAAAGTCCTGTCGTGCCTTTTGTGAAACCCCTTCTTTCCTTCAGTCCCCCCGTCGTTGGTGGTGTCCGGCTAGTTACCTGGTGAAATAAAAATGGAGAGAGAAGAACGAATAAAATTCAATTCAGTTCCAGAAGAGAAAGGTAGCGACACCGATACTCGGTGGAAAGAGAACGGCAGAGGGGGATCCTTCAGGTGATCCGAGTCCCCGAACAGTCAGTTGAGCAGTGATCAGTCGGTTGCCTTCTCGTCTGGCGCTTAGCGGGCGTCGAATACTGTCGCTCTCACTGGTCGAGGGTCGGACAAGGCGCTTGTGTCAATCCACCGAAAGTGCTGAACGACATGCGACATCCCGTCGCACGTAGGGAACACCAGAATAAAAACCGAATGAATAATCGGTCGATTATTAACCAGGGAGGCAAGGAATCAAATCACAGGTCCAAAAGTTCTCACGGGGAAAGCGGGAAGATCGAGTGAGAGAAGGGTGAAAAAGTCAGGTACTGCGCTGTGCATGAGAAAATCGATGGAAGGATGCTTAATCGAGGGGAGATTTTTGCGGTGAGGGACGAGAGAGGCTGAATCATTGGATTCCCCGCAGAAAAGGCCTAGCAGCAGCTGGTGTTAGTCTAGTGGGAGCAAAGCCGAGCGTTCGAGTGACGTGGTGGTCGCTGCATGGAAGCCCGACGACAGGAGGACTTGTTCTGCACTCACTTCAACATCCTGGCTGTCGCCGAGATCCAGATGTGGCGATGGACCCGAGAGAGGGAATGTCGAATGATGATGGATTGTTTCACTTCGTCGAAGAGGAAGAAACGCGGTGTTTCGTCCGCCGCCGCGGGGTGTGACCTCGCTGCCTGAGGCAGGGGTGCGGTGACTCAGTGCCTGAGGCGATCCACCACTTACTACATCATGGCGCCATGAGAAAGAAGCTGAAGAGGACCACTTCGTAGATAGTTCATACTACACTAAGACCCTCAGAGCATAATACCTACGTCCATCTAAACGATGTACCCTACTCACATCCACATGATGTCAATTCAAAGACTTCGGCCACCTGAATCCAACAGAGACTGCTATCCATTCATCAAGACCCATACTCCCAAGGAACGTTGGTAATATCTGTTAGCCCGTTGGCAACTTTCTTGACCGGTGAGGTCTCGAGAACCCAGTTTCCGTTTTCTTCATGGGCCACGCCTCCCCGACGCGCCGCTCGCATCACCTTCTCGCTCCCTCGCGTCCGTCGCCCGGTTTCCCGGTCCCATACCCAGCCCTCTTTAAGCCACATCCACGTCAGATATGCTCGCAACTCCTTATCTTGCGGCAGAACGGATTTCCACTCCGGCACAAACTCTGGGTCCATGACGCCATCGCCTTTCCAATCTTTGGCCACCCCTCGCAGTTCGTCCCGACAGAAGATGCGCCAACTATCAAGGGAGTACGCGCCCACTCCAGGTAAATGTGCAATTTCCCAAGCCACGCGCGGATCGTCATCTTCAATGCATTCATCTTCAGCGATGTCTCGGCCGTCCATTCTGCAGGGATAGTGAAGTTTGCGGTACCGTTTATCCTTTTTAGGTGGGTCTGCAAGCCATGTCTGGGCGAGTCCGATACACTTTTTTGCTCGTTGGTTTTGGAATCCAAGACAGCGAATCAAAGACACCAGGTTCGTCAAGTCGGCTGTAGCCATAGCTTCAACCGTTGGGTAACGGTCGAAAACCCTAAACAGAACCGGAAGAGCAACGCCACCTCTAGTCCGGTTAAGAAAGATAGTCGCGATAAGCAGTTTGAAGGGATCGTGCGCAAGTTGTTCCTGGATCAGCCCAAAGGAAAGCGCATCAGTCGGTGGGAACGGAAGGCATGAATCCGGTTCAAAGAGGGGAGTGAAGAAATACGGCGACACTTTCGGGAGTTTAAGGCGAGACGGTTTAACCATTGCTTTATTCGGCGTAGCGGAAACCTCGACAACGCCCTGCACAGAGGGTCCCTCCGGTGGCAGATCCGGGGCTTGTAGAAAACAGTTGCTATCACAAATCGAGTCATTATCATCAGGTACGTCGCTCAAGGTGGAATCGGATGAGAGAAAATCGGCCGGTAATTGTAGCTCTTGCAGGATGAGTCGGGTGGCTTCGGGAAGTTCATTCTCAGTGACATCAAACACAGACTTTTGTTTCTTTTTGCTTTTTTTGGCTGGACATTTGAAATATTTTGACTCTACCTCATCGCGGGTAGTCAATTCACACGAATCATTGGTATCTAAAAATCCAAGTCAGAGGGGTCAGGATCATCCTGGCTGGTTTGCGCCGCCGCAGCAGCAGGCTTAGATTTCTTGGGCGCCACTGAGCTGGCTGTTTGGCTGTTTTTTGGAGCACCCATTGGCGGATCTCTCGACTTATCGAAGAAGTTGGAGGTTTCACGGGCCTTTTGCGATTTTCTCTTCTTCTTTCTTCTCCGTTTTCTTGACTTCTTTGAAGGCCCCTTCAGAACACTCGGGTCGTCTGGAGAAACCGAGTTCAAACAAGATGGATTTGCACGCTGATCATGTAGCTTTTTGAGCGTATGCCGTGGCGAGATGTTCGCTTCAAGAAACTGTGCAGACTGTTCGCGGTCAGAAAGAATGATTGATTTCTCACGGAGTTTCGAGGGGGCCTGACGAGAGCGTTTGCTTTCATTGCCGTCAACTTTTGCGTGTCGCTTTGTAGACGTAGATGGTGTTGATTGATCACTGTTACTTGGATCTGGATCCACGGTCTCGCTGGTCTTATGGAGGAAATCAGGCGTTGTGTCCGGGAGCTGAGGCTTTGGGATAGTCAAATCCAAGGTAGGTCTTGAGGTTTCCTCCGAGTGAACTTCATTCTCAGTATCTTTTGTTCTTTTCGTAGACCGATCTGTTGATTTATCTGAGACAGCTCGCTTCCTTTTGCGATTTTTCTTTGCTTTCTTTGCCAATTTCGTGGTTTTTGCCGGCTCATCATCGATCTCGTCACCATATTCAGACCCACTCTCGCATACATGACCCCATCCACTAGCAGAGAGATACAACTTTTTGACGTAAGCGATGATGTTCTCGGTGATATCTTCATTGATTCCAATATCGGTTGCGATTTGGCGTATACCACGGACAAACTCGCGTCGCTCTGAGCGCTTTACTGGATATGCACTGTTCTTGAAGAAAGTTTGCTCAGCAATGTAATAAACCAGCCTTGTATGCTCATCTGCACTGATCGGAGCAAAGACTTTCGCTTCCATTTCATCCAAGGTAGGGTCCTTTTCCCAGGCCTCGACGCTTTTGTGTTCGGAATCGAAGCTGGCGTTCGAGGCAGAGTCCAGGTCATTCAGGGTATTGGCTTCCTCTTCAACACTCTCGTCAGCGTCGCTCTCGCTGTCGATCCTCATGATTTGTCGCGTTGACACTGTGCGTTTCCTTGAAGACGTTTGCGATGTAAAGTAAGGAGATCTCGCATGTCCTGGGTCTCTCCTGGGATTGAGAGCCGCCCCATCCATTGGTTCGCAACTGCCATCCATCGTCATGTTCCCGGGGTATTCATCAAAGCTGCTATTGAAGCTGGACTCATCCGACAGAATCTTGTCCCAGGTACGCTCGAGATAGTCTTGGTCGATGGGGTCATAGGAATTCGGGTCGAATGGAGGAGGGGAAATCACAACGGAGACACTGCGTGTATTCATCGTGGCGTCTTTCGGACCAGATCCGTGCCGTTTAATCGGTTTGAGTTCTCTTAGGCTTTTGACAAAACAGCGTATATTTTCTTCGAGACGATATCGTCAGTCTTTGGCGTAGGAGGTGGGATCGCGCATGGTTGAATTGGAATAGCGAGGAATGTAGGATTGTCGGACCTAGGAGCAGAAACAACATGAGTGGGCGGTGTACTTTCGATAAGGCAAATGGATATTCACTCACGAATAGCTAGAGACCAAGGCCATATCCAAGTCTTTGTGCTTCGCCATCAGCTGGTGGCTAGAACTCGCCCATAATTTCCAACGCCGATTGAGTGAATGATGGCAATTCAACTGTTGGTTTCCAAGTAGAGGACAGCCAAAAGTCTGTGTCAGGCCAAATGAGGGCAGTCCAAACTGAATCCAAGAATGTGAAACAAGTGGAAGAGAAGTGGTCAGCTTATCTGCTGCCAGTCGCGAAAGCTGATGAGGGACGGAAACTCCCAAACGCGGAGAAACTGCGACGCGCGCACAGACCACTTTTCTCCTGCCTGCGCTTCAAGGCATCTACCACCAAGGCAAGCTCGATCGGCTACATGAGCCCATTGCCATAGAAAAGATGCTATGTAGACATTGGGGAAACTTTCAAGTTTCCGAGGGAATTCCAATCAGTTTTATTGTCAGTGTTTCTAAGCAGTCTTTTCTATGAAACGCTCTATCGAACTTGATCGTAGCAAAAATATATCTACACCACCTCCCGCAGTCATCTTCTCACAGATCATGTACAAAACGTCGATTGGATCGAGCAACAAATATTAAACGGCAAACCCTCCAGAGTTCAGTTGTCTCGGCTCCCCAGCCGCATCAAATGTTCCATTCGGCAATACTCGAATGGCCTGGGCAGTGCTGCCCCCCGGCGCAACCCAAGTAACGTTGTGGCCTCTAGCTTTCATGAAAGCAACGGTGGCATTGTCATAAGCATACTCAAAGCTGCTCTGGTTCGGAACAAGCTGATCGTGTAGACGTGGTTTAGCCAAAGCCTCTGCGGCAGACAGACCCTCATCGACAGCATGGATGATGTTCTGGACAGTCGCGGTAATGATTCGACTACCTCCTGCGGATCCAGCGATGAAGAATACAGTTCCATTAGGGCGTGTAACGATAGCGGGAGTGATAGATGATAGGGGACGTTTCCCAGGTCGAATGAAGTTCGCTTCTGAAGGAATGTACCCAAAAGAATTGGATGAGCCAGGAACTGAGAAATCTAGAGGATTAACAGGCGTCAGCCGACCGGTCGCTCAAATCAAAAGAGCAACCACCCAATCGTTCCATACCATCCATTTCATTGTTCATGATGACACCGGTCTCCGGCACCATGACCTTGCTACCGAAAAGCAGGTTGATGGTGGTGATTTCGGAAATAGCTAGCCCGGTGTGATCTGCAGTAGCAATGTGCGAAGTTCCAGGTCTAGGTTTATGGTTAATGTACGATCCCATATCACATTTGAAAGCAGCACGTACGTCTCGAGACTCTCATATCCCTCCGGGTCGTAGACCGATACATTCTGTGTGCGCAAATCGGATAATTTGTGGCGAATTTCATCGATCGTGGATTGTTTGAGCATGTCTTTTTGGTATTGATCCAGTCCATCGAGGAAAAGTGGATCGCCTAAGTTTGCTCTCTGAGAGAGGTTAGAAACTGATTTTTGAGGCCAATGGTAGAAAGCGAATCGACATACCAGACCGTATCCAAATCGCATTGCCTCATCCAAGCGATGGGTGCTCAGATTCACATTCTGCGCAGTGAAAAATTGATCGTAGGTGCCCAGCACCTTCAAGATATTCATGGCGACGATGCCGCTGGATGGAGCAGTCGTGCTTGTGATCTTGTACCCTCGATAGTCAATCTGCGCCACGTCTCGGATAAGAACGGTGTAATTGCGAAGGTCGTCTAGTGTCATGGTGCCATTGGCGGCCTGCACCGCCTGGATCATCTTCTCAGCGATTGGACCAGAATAGAAGGCATCCACTCCTTCATTGGCAATAGTTTCCAGGGTATTGGCATATCGCTTGCGAGTGATGATATCTCCAAGACCAAGTCGCGTGCCATTCGGGGCAAAGTCGATAGCCCACGTCGGATCCTTTGATAAAAAGTCCTCGCCATCACCAACGGCCGATTCCATGTAGCGAACTAAATCTTCGGTGACCGGGAAACCGTTGCGAGCAATTTTGATAGCGGGTCGCACGACGGTTGCCCAAGGAAGAACACCGTACTTGTTATGGAGATACTCCAGACCTCGTAGTTCACCCGGCACCCCACTGGCACATATATTAGTTTGTTCCACTGTTTAAAAAATGGGGTATCCAGGACAAACCTAGCTAGACCGCCTCGGGTTGAGGCGTCCGAAGTATTGTTGAACATGTCCTCAAAAGCGGCGGCTGGCGCTGTTTCGCGAAAGTCGACAAACTCAAATGTTCCATTTGGGGACTTCACCAGCAGAAAACCACCTCCTGCAATTCCACTGTGATACATGCCTTGAACTTACCGTTAGCATCACAATTTGCATTCATTCATGGAGTCGAGAGACCTACCGATGACGCCAACGCAAAAAGTAGTCGCAACCATCTATTGGAAAACATTCAGTTCTGTTTAGTAGTGGCAAGGAGAGCATCAAAGCTTTACTTACGGCATCGGCTGCATTTCCACCTAATTCCAACATCTTTGTACCTTGGCGACTGCAGATGGCGCTCTCGCTGGCAACTGCGCCCCGCTTACCCTCTTCAAGGTCATGGAAGCCATGACCGCCCTGACGATCTCGACGCGATGCAAGCTCAAGGGGAGAACCAAGAGCACTAGGCGAGTGTACCGCTACCACTAATACAAGTAGTAGAACGGTGACGACCGTGTTTCTCAAACCGCGCAACCACATTTTGTGCCTGGGGGTGATCGAAGAAGATTGAGTTTTCGATCCGACCGGGCGATCGGGAAATAACTAAGAGGAAATATGATCAGGCACCAGGCACTAAGGGAAGAGCAATGCCGTCTTAAAATGGCGTGACGGCGCAAAAGGGGCCTGATTGCCCATAACTATTTACCTGCTTCTCCACATCTTGGCAAGCGATAACTGGGGAAGCTTGCTTATGGCGTTCGGACTCGGCCGGTTCCATGGCGACGGGGCTATTTGCACACGCAAGCTGGTCGAGATGAGAAGGTCTTGAGAGGGGTCACCACCACAACAAACACACCGATTAGAGAGGAGCCAAATGGTAAACGTAACAAAGAGGCCAACGAAGAAGTCCGGCAGCGCGGGAGATAAGAGTCACATGGCCGAGATAAGCTCGGGGCGATCGGCACGCCAGAAGCGGCCAAGCCGGCGATTGGATGACGTCTCCGATGGAATGCCTCAGGCTGGACCGGCCATGCGCAGCATTTGGCTTATCCGATAGACCAAGATAATGGCTGGCTTGGACTCTCCATTACCTGATACAAATACATCGGGCTGGATTACTTCTTGTCAAGGCCCACAGCCTGCTTGGACCATGCAAGAGTATCGACCCACTCGGCCGGAACTTCTTCCAGAGACTGTAGAATTGCTGCTACTAGGCGTCGTCCCCAATCTGTCACAAACCACTTGTCGGAAATGAGGTGCATACTGACTCCGTGGTGCAGAAACAATATGCGAGCCATCCATTCACCGTCCTTTAGCAATTCAATGTATGACTCGCCGATATTGATGGGGAACGCAAGTATGCCCCCGTTAGGTCCGCCGAATGGCCATTGCTTGACCGCTGCCTGCAGGAACTCCCAGGTATGAAGATAGGCCGCTTTACGGGGCTCTTCGATCTGGTCAATGTTCCCTCGGAGTTGGTCTAAAGAGCCCAAGAGTTCCCTGGTCTCATGTCAGTGCTCGCTTTCTTTTGTTTCATATGTTGAGGATGGAATAAAGCATACCCTCGCAGTCGCACAAGTTCTGAACCCGGCTTCCTAGATACGCATTAACTCTCTGACCACGAGTGGAAGTGTGGGAATCATTACTCTTCTTGCTCGTTGGCCGGCTCAGGCTTGTCGGGTTCAGTGTACTGCAACCAGCCTTTCATTTCCCCCAGGTTCTCCGCCTGACCAAGCTGCTGGAACAGAAAAGAGCAACCGGCAATTAACTGACGCGTTTCCAGTATATGGGCAAGAGGATCAATAGTATGGCTATCCTGAGAGATACAAGGGTAGGCGGTTGCGCACAGCATGATGAAGATGGAACTAACGAAAGCCGGGCCGCAACTCTCCAGCGAGAAACCCGCCAGCACCTGTCCCAAAGCTGAACAGGCTCGATTTTGATACATGAGGGCAGTTTCTAGCCACTGGCGTTTCTCGTCTACCTCAAGCGACGCCAGGTGCAGAGCCGAGAACGCCAGTAGACTATCAAGAAGGTACGGATGCGACATGGCCATGCGCGGGACGATGGACTGAAAATGATTGGCATCCAAATTCCCTTGACACATGGTGATATAAGACTCAGTCAGGTAGTGATGGAACAGTCTCATCTCAACCATTCGCATGGGTAATGGCGACTCATTGGAGTTTGACGTGGTCTCCACACCGTCTTGGGGGGTGGGTGGATATTGGCCATCGGCATCCGCACTCGGTGGCGGATATATGCATTGTAGCTTTCGCTTCCTGCACAAGCTACATTTCGGGGTTCCTTCATCACACTACACCGCGTCAGTGGCACAACGGAAGACCCAGACACTTCACACACGTGGTTCTGCAGAAACGCAGTCCGATCGACACCACACGTGGGATGCGGAGATCAACAGACCTTGACATGTCTTCGCTTACAATGAAGGCAGCCCTTACGGGACTTTGTATGACTGCGACGCGAAGGCATTTTGAGGCCAAATAAATGCAGGACAAGCTCAAGAAATGACGTAGGGGAGGGAGGTTTGAATTCTGGGAGAGCAAGGGGAAAAGCTAGCTGGCTGGAATGAGCGGATATTATTGGAAGACAGGCAGAAAAGTAACCATACCTAAACAACGATAGCGGGTAGAAAAGTCAAAGTGGATAAGCAATCCAGGGCCTGCGGAGTAGGACAGCATACAGCAGTCGGCTCAATGCAACGGTGGGAGGGACAAACGGCGACACGTAGCCGGGCGGAAAGCGGCTGTCCCGCCGGGGGCAATTGCTGCCGATTCTCGGCGCGTCGGCCGGAAGGTTGAGCCGGGCCCCTGCTGATTGGTCGATCGTCCTCCGAGGCATCTGGCTCTGCAGATGTAGTACAGTCCAACCTACGAGCATCTCGACCCCAGACTTCCTTGCATACATGCGTTCATAACTGGACTATGTCAAGTGACAGCCATAACGATGAAGGGTGGTGCTACTACCCTAATCTGACAATCTCTTAAAATGTCACGACAGCGGAGGAACGCGGATGCTTGTCTCCAGGACTACGCTTACCATTTTGCAAGACGGCACAAAATACAGCTATTTCTAAATTCTGCCATGAGGTGTGTAATTCTAGTAGCTACTGTCAGAACTGAGTCCTCTCTCGCTCTATGTACTCATGTGTTGTGTTGATAATAACACCCCTAGAGAGCCATCCATCGATGTCTGGCGATCATCTGTCGCACCGCAACGCTACAGTGCCACATAAGCAAAGTCATTATCTCGATAGAAAATAACCTGGTAGTACCACTAGCTGAGTTGAAATGTAGTACGGAGCACAGCAGCGACAATTGGAACTGAAGAGTCACACCTACATGATACTACTACGCACTGTACCATAAGACTCCAAAAATTCCAACGAAGAGTAATCACAGAGCTGCTATTTGTTTCGAAAAACCTAGCGTTCATTGCTTCATACTCCGGAGTAGTGATCGCATCTAGCTAAGTCGAATACTCAGCAAGGGGCTCGATAATTTCTCAAACCCGAAGCCAAGTAAGCATGTGCACACCACATGCGACTCATTGCCAAAAACAACACCTTTTGGCCCATTGTCCGTGGAGACAGACCAGCCTAATACGGAGGGATGCACACTATCTTTTATTAAAGGGAGGCTAGTTGAAGATGAGAATGCAAAGGTCCAGTAAGATTCCAGCAGTTGTCAGCAAGGTCACCTCTCTAAGCAGAATTAAGCTTGTTCCACCCGCAATGCATGCAAGGATTCGAGAGTAATCACGGGAAGATGTGTGCCAAGGAGTATATAAATTGCATGACGACTCTTGTAGCACGCTAAGCAGAACGCGCTTGCCCGATTCTGAAGTGTACTCCGTTCGTAGGTGACTCTTTGGCCCCTTCCGTGGATTCGTCCTTCAGCCTGCGAAGATCAGTATGTATTCTAGGCAGACGATTCCTTGAGATATAAATAAATCGGTAAGATGCGTATTCCGTGTGAAGCTCAAGTACAATTTTACTCCGTAGAATGTATCGTGCTGGGTTGAGGTACAGCAAATATTCCTTGCTTTGAATCGGGTCAACTACTCGACGTTTGTTCTCTGATAGCTCATACACAATTCAAATAACATGCTCGAATAGGAACAACGATAAGTAGTTTGTAGTCACAGGAATACTGCGTACTGCGTCAAAGTATAGAACAGTAACTATGTTGGATTAGACTGTTCCTTAATTCCTAATGAAAGTTCAAACCGCGAAGCGCGTACCACAAGCGAACCGTGCTGCTCTTGAAAGTCGAAACCTTAGAGCTCCGGCCTGCATACGATCTAATCTAAGCTCCCCCACACCTATGCCGCCCAAAGCAACTTCAATCATATAGGGGGAGAGATCAGCATGATTTCAAGCTTTTAAAATGAGACCTACGGAGTATGCCCCAGTTCATCAACTTGATTAGAGGGGATCGGCAGTTGATGCGGTCGGTTTCACCCACTGGCTATCAAACAAGCCTCACATTGTGAATGACGAATTATATCCCATTCACAACACCCAAGGCCGGCATAGAGGAAGTGAGCCAACAAAAAATACGAGTTTTCTTTTTCTTCCCCCCTCTTTTGCACGCCGGCATCCCATGCATGGTAGTACTTGGATTCTGGCAAAAGGAAAACTAATTAATGTTATGTAAACAATCCAATCAATCCCTGTCTTCGTTCTTGTTTTCGATCCGGGAAAATATCGTGGAAATACCTTTCAAAAAAAAATACTCGGCTAGGAGCACCAGGTGGTTCCACGACTCAGACTTGCGGTGGCCCCGAAAGGACTAATGTGATGTGGCGATGCGCTTCTTTCCGGGTTCCTTCGATAGTTTCCAATGGCCCACAAATATACTCCGTGCGGTGTACGGAGTCCATCTCTCTGGTCTCATGCCATATGTCCATTTATCCGTATTGTGCGAAACCGGACTGGGGAGGCAAGAACGCACGAGTCCGAAGCCCGCGTACTTTCGACCATTCTACGCAGTATGCATCACCATTCACCTCGAATCTAGTGGAATGATCACCATGCCATTTTCGAAAAGTCAAGCAATTTATTTGGCAGGGCTAGAACATGTCCCGCCGCTGAAGCCCTGTGACGACAGCCACCAGCGTCTTGGCAAGGTGATGATGCTTGAGATGAAAGTGCCCTTGCAAGCCTGGTGGTAGTGGTAGCGCTAGCAAGGAGGAAAAAACTCTAACCACCCAATTCAGCCCCGGTAGGCAGCCTACGAGAGAAAATTCTGCTTCCTTCGAGTCAGAGACAGGATTCAGGATTCTGGAATGGGCACTCCGCTGGTCGGTTGAAACAAATGGTAGTCATCAGATTAGATTAGATTGATTTGATGGAACTGATCAGGCCTGGATCTTATCAACCCTTGGGACAAGCTGTTGGGAGAAATCACGTCTTCCGTTCTGGGACGTCGGAGAATGGAAGAGATTTTCTTGTTGCCTCAACGGTGCAGCCGATGGTGGAACAGCCGCGGTTTGAGGTGGGGGTTCGTACGGACTACGGGATGGGAATCGGATTCCAATCTATGGCATGACAGGCGCACTTCGGCGATGGTCTGTTAGAGGTAAGCGTTAGCGCTTCTCAAGTACCACCGTGGCGAAAAACCAAGCCAAAAGAAGTGATTTAGAAAGAGACTAAAAGAGAGATGCAGAGAGGGGAGCAGAGAGGGTGGTGAGAAAAAGAAAAAAAAAAAAAAAAAGGAAAAAAAAGCGCCACCCAACCAAAGTTCCACTGCCTACGAACCATTCCATCCAATAGCCATATCCTCCGGATCGATTGGGATTCTCGACTCTCCAGGAATCCTGGAAGGAATAAGAGATGAACAATAGCCAACGCAGTAGGATTAGGTATTGATCGGGACAAGAAAACCTAACTGCGGTGACATAATTCCATTATTCAGTTCCCAGTCCGAAAGACAGCACAGTTGTCAAGAACGGAGCATCGTCCGAAAATCGGCCCACAGCAGGCCAAGATCATCTCGAGTGGTACCTGGCTGCCTCTTTGCTCGGACCATTTCTTGTGTCGAATCTAGGTTCAGGATATTTCTTAAATTCTGCTGCACGCATGATCTGACGGCATTTCGTGTTCCTTTGGGGGGTCAATCGCGTTGTCAATCCCGTTCCGACCAGTAAGTGCCCCTTGGCATCGCGTGGGATCTGACTGCATCGTGCGTAGACATCAGGCAAACCTCTCGTGGAGGAGGCTAAAGTGGTGGGTGGGTATTATATCCACCGGAAATTTTCGTGTGACAACAGGACCTATCAATCTAGCCGACATCACACCAAGACATTTTTTTATTCGATCATGTTATTAGTTTGCCTCTAGGAGGGGCGGGAAAAGTAGTGTTTTTTTTTTTTTTTTTTCCCCCAATTTTACTCCCTATACGGAGTATGCATTTCACTGTCCTCGTAAGAAACCCATTAAGAAATGACTCTAGACTCTCATCGTCATTCTCGCAGAGTGAGCGAACGGAAGCCGTGGAAGGCCAGACGGACATGACCGCAAAATCACTCATGGAGCGAAACAGGACCGGAGATGAACGGTGGTGCCAGGCTCGGATTGGCAGCGAGGGCCTGGCTGACTTCGACGGAAAAGGCACTTGCAGATGGTGCTGTGGGGCTGGACAGGGATGGCGGCCAATCACACCACCTCGTTTGGGGGTCAGGGCATCCAGCTGCGAGTCTGGAGGGGCCGTGATTGGTCCAGAACGGAAGTTATCTGATCCGTTGCCCCAAAGTGTTATCTGATCCGACCACCAAAAACCAAAACGGATCCACCGGCGCAGGAGCGCGTCCTGCGGCAGGAAAAATGGGCGAAAATTTGTTTTGCCAGGCTTGACCAGCGGAGCTCACTTTGTTACCCACTTGTCTCTGCCAGCGAGCGGCACCGTTCGGCCGGGTTGAGAAGCAGCATACTTATATAGTAAATTAACCCTCCCCGACTTCCCGTCCCTGGCTCCCCTCCTTCCTTTCTCTGCTCATCAAGCAATTCAACTTCATCCCTTCCGGTTCATCGGGTAAACCACCCCCCGTCTCCTTGAGCAGGAAGAGAGGCATCGAAACATCATCATGGGTGTCCTTGAAATGATTCGAGGTCGTGACAACACCGCTGCGGTGTCCGACCTCGCCGGCACTGAGGATCACCAGCCCAAGCAGAACTCGCCTGAGAATCCGGACACCTCGGGTAGCGACTCCGACCGGAAGAGTCTGGAGGCCCGGAATGAAAAGGAAATCGAGGCGCACCCCGGCGAGGTCACCGAGGGGGCTCAGCTGGGTATCCAAAGGGCCGAGGCCGCTGCCTTGGTGTGGTCGAAGAAGGCGCTGATTATCACTTACGCTTGGTAAGTTTTCCCCCCTCCACGTCGCCTGTTTACCCGAAGATCAAATGCTCATCGCCGTCAACCAAACTCTAGGATCTGGGTTTCTTTCTTCATGCTCGCCTTGCAGTCATCTATCAGCAGCATTGCCCAGCAAACTGCCTATGCTAAATTCCAAAGCGCGCCCGCCGTCAGTACGGCCAACATCCTGGCTACCATCGTCGGTGGTGTGCTAAAGCTCCCCATTGCCAAAACCCTGAACCTGTGGGGTCGTGCTGAGGGTTTGTGCGCCTCCGTCGCGGTCTACATTCTCGGAATCATCATTCTCGCGGCGTGCGATGGTCCGTCTTCGTACTCGGCAGGCTATGTCATCTACTGGGTGGGCTACGACGGTATCTACCTTATTCTGCAGGTCTTCCTCGCCGATACCTCCGGTCTGCGGAACCGAGCCTTCGCCTTCGCCTTCGCCAACACTCCTTTCATCTGTACCGCCTTCACTGGTTCGCTTGCAGGACAAAACTTTGTCCAAAACACTGGTGGATGGCGTTGGGCCTATGGTGCTTTCACGATTATCATGCCCTTCGTCTTCCTTCCCCTTGCCGTTGTCTTCAAGTACTACGAGAAGAAGGCGCTCAAATCGGGCGTGTTCAACCCTCCCAAGAGTGGCCGAACTACCACCCAGTCCATCTTGCATTACTGGCATCAATTTGACGGTATGTCTTGTATCTTCCTTCCACCTTGGAACGACCGAAACTGATTTGCTTTTTCTTTCCTCTAGTGGTCGGTGCTCTGCTGTTGATGGCTGGTTGGATCCTTATCCTTCTGCCTTTCAGTTTGGCTAGCTACGGAAGAGCGGAGTACAAGAGTGCAACCTTCATCTGCATGATCATCTTCGGATTCTTCACGCTACTACTTTTCGCTGCCTGGGAGAAGTTCGTCGCCCGTGTGCACTTCATCAACTATGAATTGCTCAAGAAGCGCACCGTTCTGGGTGCTTGCACCAACTCCGCCATTCTCAACTTCAGTTTCTATTGCTGGGATCTGTATTTCCTCAACTTCTGTACGGTTGTGTACGATCTCAGCCAGGGAATGGCTGGCTACATGATGCAGATTTACAACGTCGGCTCGTGCTTCTGGGGTGTCGTCATCGGTCTCTGGATGCGATTCACCAAGGAATTCAAGTGGACCTCGCTGTGCTTCGGTCTTCCTCTCTTGATTCTCGGCGCTGGTCTGATGATCAAGTTCCGTGGCGACGGCGGCACGGACGACATCGGCTACCTCATCATGTGTCAAATCTTCATTGCCTTCGGTGGTGGTACCTTGGTTATTGGTAACGAAATGGGTGTCATGGCTGCCGCTGACCGTGAGGGTGTGCCTATGATGCTGTCTGTCCTCGGTCTCTTCAGCAGTCTGGGCGGTGCCATCGGACAGGCCGTGCAAGCCGCCATTTACAACAACCTCTTCGTTGAGGCCCTGGAGTCGGCTCTCCCGGCCAGCGAGAAGTCTCAGGCCATGCAGATCTCGCTGGATGGCTACTTGGTCCAGCAGACGTACCCCGTCGGTTCCGAGAAGCGCAACGCCGTCAACTACGCCTGGGGTTACAGCCAGAAGTATGGTGCCATTGCCGCTACCGCTGTTCTGGCCCTTTCTATCCCTGCCATTGCCATCTGGAAGAACTACCGCCTTAACAAGAAACAGAACAAGGGTACCGTGCTCTAGAGCTTTTCTTGGTTTGGAATACAACACAAAGATACCCAAAATTTACACATCTTATAGAGTGGATGGATGTGACTTTAATCGTTGGTGAGAAACAGGGCGGTTTGCTTTACTTTTTGCGACGCAATCAAAAGAATATCTAATCTTACTGCTTTTTAATAGTTGTTTTCTCTCTGTTGTACTTTTTATGTGACTTTCTTTTTTTTTCCATTCTCCATCGCGCACGCTCTTCTCCCTTCTGTGCAATGAACGCATCCGAAGAATCACGATTCTAGCATAGCCATAGTTTCTATGCAGACATTTAATGAAAAAGAAATACCATAGTACTTCAGTACTTGAAACCAGGTAAAGACATGAGATGCCTGCCCGTCATCACGGGGCTCCCGGCAAAACACCCCCGCACGCCGACAAGGCTTTCCCTTTCTCTCCCTTGCATTCCAGGAACCAGTCCAATCTTGTACCACCGTCGATCCCTCCCTGGACAGACCATCGTTAATTACTCCTAATTATACCCCCCCCTGTCTTGGTTGACTCCGCAATGCTCCGCTCTCGCCATCCCAGGTTGGCTCTTTCCCCTCCGCCATGCTCTCCACAAACACAAGTGTTGGATCTTGTCACGGTTGGCATCTTGGCTGCAAACCCACTGTGTTGAATATTATAACCAAGCGACCTTGGGGATAACGATGTCACTCGTAAGGTGTTTATCCTTTCTTTCAATACAATGGACAGGGATTTTGTTAGGGAGCATCCCCAAGACCATCGCAGCTGAAAGTCCCAACATCCTTCAATTAGTCGACCCACTGATCGGATCCAACAATGGAGGCAACGTGTTTGCCGGGGCCAGTCGCCCGTACGGAATGGCAAAACCCGTGGCAGATGTGGATGGGCAAAATACCGGTGGCTTTTCCACAGATGGAAGCAAGGTGACCGGTTTCTCTACGCTTCACGACTCGGGAACAGGCGGGAATCCGTCCTTGGGCAATTTCCCTCTCTTCCCACAATACTGCCCCGACAATGAGATCAACAACTGCAGGTTCCTGAAGGCTGCACGGGCTACTCACTATGCGAATGACTCGGTCGTGGCTCGGCCAGGTTACTTTGCCCTGGCCTTGGACGGCGGGATCCGAGCCGAAATGACATCTACGGACCATGCGGCACTCTACCGGTTTAATTTCCCGGTTGCTACATCAGCAAATGGATCGCAGTTGAGTCCCTTGATACTGTTAGATTTGACGGATCTGTGGGATAGCCGACAAAATGCCTCAATCAGTGTAAATGTTGGGAAGGGTCAGATCAAAGCAAATGGCACTTTCTTGCCTAGCTTTGGTGCTGGATCCTACGTGTCTTATTTCTGTGCGGATTTTGTTGGGGCATCGGTCGATGACGGTGGGATTTGGGTAAACAACAGAGGAGGGACTGAAAGAACCGAGCTGTATGTCACTCGTGGATTCAATAACTTCTACCTTCAAGCTGGTGGCTTTCTTCGATTCCGAAGGCCTGAGAATGGCACCATCAATGCACGAGTTGGTGTGAGCTTTATCAGCCCAGAGAAAGCGTGCAGAAATGCTCAAACAGAGATTCCTCACCCGCTAGAAGATTTCGAAGAGGTTCGGCGTGATACAGAAACTGCTTGGCGAAAGCAGCTGAGTCCGATATCTATAAAGTCTGGCGGCGCAGATGAAGACATACTTAGCAGTTTCTGGAGCGGCGTGTACCGAACCATGCTCGACCCTCAGGATCTAACGGGGGAAAACCCACTCTGGGAAAGTGATGAGCCTTATTTCGATTCCTTTTATTGGTGAGTTTTGTGTCTCCAGCTTTCTGTCCACGCTGACATTTCAAAGCATCTGGGATTCTTTCCGGGCTCAGCACCCATTCCTTACAATCATCGACCCTGAAACGCAATCTAAGATGGTACGGAGTCTTCTCGACACATATAAGCATGAGAACTGGCTTCCAGACTGTCGCATGAGTCTCTGCAAAGGCTGGACACAGGGTGGCTCGAATGCAGACGTCGTCCTAGCAGACGCTTTTGTGAAAAACCTGACGGGGATTGATTGGAACCTGGCATACGAGGCCATGGTCAACAACGCTGAGAACGAGCCTCTAGAATGGTCCTATGAAGGCCGTGGCGGTCTGCAAAGCTGGAAGCGTGTTAACTACATTCCATATCTGGATTTTGACTACCTAGGTTTTGGCACCAATTCTCGGAGTATATCCCGGACGGTTGAGTACTCGTACAATGACCTTTGTCTGTCGACTGTTGGCAAGGCTCTTCACAAAGAAGAGTATACAAAGTACCTTGGCAGGGCTAGCAACTGGCAGAATATCTACAAATCTGACCAAACATCATCGATCAATGGGACGGATACTGGCTTTGTCGGGTTCTTTCAGCCAAGGTACTTGAATGGGACCTGGGGATACCAAGACCCAATTGCCTGCAGTGCACTTGCTTCATGGTGCTCCCTTACCAGCAATCCCTCGGAGACCTTCGAGTCAAGCGTGTGGGAATACCAATTGTAAGTGTTGGCCTCAGCAATCCTTTTCTCAATATCCTTTATTCCTACCAGTGTCCTAACTCAATCTCATCAGCTACGTTCCTCACGATATGGCAAGCTTGATCGATCTCCTTGGGGGCTCAGACGCTTTCGTTTCCCGCCTCGACTTCTTCCACACCTCCGGCCTAGCAGACATGGGCAACGAGCCCGTTTTTCTCACCGTCTATCAATACCATTACGCCGGGAGGCCTGCACTTTCGGCTCGCCGCGCACACAGCTATATCCCCTCTCGGTTCAACTCCACCAACTCCGGTCTCCCTGGAAATGACGACTCTGGCGCTATGGGGGCCTTCGCGGTCTTCTCCATGATGGGTCTTTTCCCGAACCCCGGACAAAACGTCTACCTTATCATCGCGCCGTTCTTTGAAGCCGTGAGCATTACTCACCCGATCACGAACAAGACCGCCACGATTCGGAATATCAATTTCGATAAGACGTACCGGGCTATTTACATTCAAAGCGCGAAACTGAATGGAGAAGATTACTCGAAGAACTGGATTGGACATGAGTTTTTCACGGAAGGCATGACGCTGGAGTTGGTGCTAGGTGAAACAGAGAGTGATTGGGGCCGTGGAGAGGACGATCTTCCTCCCAGTTTGAGGTCAAAGGCGCATGGTCAAGATATGGCAAGGTCCTGGTAAATTGAGCATATATAGGTGATTGTTTTAACAGATCCCTGTGCTAATTCCTTCCTCCCAATCCACTCTGCACATATCAATTTCTATACATGAGGCCAAACATTTGAGATTCTAGAACAAGAATAGTAGCCATCTCGTTGTTTCCATAAATCAGAACCCTCACTCATTACAATGTCTACGTCGGGGCACTTGGTCATGCTTCCCCTCCCACGTATGAATTCTCCATCCTTTCGGTTAAATACTTCGACAATCAGCTCGGCTGATTCCTATGTCTATTCCTTGTTCCTATATTGAAATATCTTGGAGATTATCTCTAGAACCAGGCGCTTGACGGCGTTCAGTATGGCTCCATCGGTTCGGCAATTCATTGTACGAAGCCCTTTTGAAGCTTGTAGAGTCTTACTCTCTGTATCGTACAGACGAGTCTATTGGGGCATAGAAGTCATCTTAAGCAGGATATAAACAGAACTAGGCCGTCTCGAGTTTTAAGGCTTTACGGAAGTCTGAGGCAAGCCCCTTCATACATAGAGGCATTTTCGATCTTCACATTTGAAGATATGGCACAAAGCCGACAAAAGGAAGAAAGATTTGACCAGTGAAGTCACCAGGTGCCACTGATTCAATGAATCCTCAATTCCCTCTGTAGGTTTTCCTGTGAATCCTGATTCGATACTAACCCTAGTGAATAGATAGGATGGGCAATCCACGACGTAGTGAAATCGAGACTCTGTAGAAAAACCCAACCCTCCTCCATCCCCTTGAAACCTCATCAACAAAGAAAACCAGATCTCGGTCTATCCCAGGAAGCTTCTCAATCCCCACAATCACTGAAGAATAGAACAGAGCTGTGAAATAGTGAAAAGCTCGTGGGCCAAACGATCCACAGTCTCAAACATGGGATCAGGGTCACGAACTCGCAGAAAGCAGTTTACGAGGGTCCCGGCTGTTTATCTGGCCCACGGCCACTAAGCTCTGCAAGTCATTGCAAGGGGAATGCAGATCGAATCTATTCAACGGAAGAATGAGCTACTTGAGATTTCAGCATTGCCGTCTTTCAATGGGCCCGGATCACAGATTCGTGGCTGGCTGCGGTACTGCGAAAAGACAGGCGCAACGTGGACGTATGACATCGACTCGAATGGCTCTCGGTGGGCGTTTGGTCGCCAATCACCGAGGAACGGGCGTACGGCACATGTCCATACTGGCTTGCAAAGGCTACTACATGTTCTGTGGAGAAAAGCATGTCTTGGGCGTGTAATCCCTGCAGGCTAGGGTTCCAAAAGCAGTACACGCAAATCAATGGTAAGCTGCTCCATTCCCCCAAGTGGTCTTTCAGTCGCAACTCTACCTTATAAATACTCACCTGGCATTGGATAGGCACAGGCAATGAGTCCATCACAAATGCAGTCTCCCACGACTAAGAAATTCGCCACTAAGAGATCCAATAAGCAAAGATGCTTGGAAACAATAAACAATACGCCTCTTGCTGAGCTTGGCGGAAAACCATGAAGCCTTTTTTTATTCGTTACCGGGACTATAAGATAACTGCTGATCCGGCTTCATTTCTTTCCTCGCGGACAGGAAAGACCAGATAACCACTTGAAGCCCTGGGATCTTTCCGAGATCAAAAAAAAAAAAAAAAAAAAAAAAAAAAAAACATCCAATCCACTTCGACAACCCGAGAGAGACCCAGTCTTTCGAAGAGGGGAAATACATAGAGCACGGCTCTCGATTCGAGTTTGAGCGAAGAACCTTCTCACTTTACAGTCAACTCTGCTGTATAAGCTCGGAGCTGCAGGCCAAATTTATAAATCACATTAGGACAGGCACGCTCGATGACCTCGACACGATAATTCATTTGTCCCAGCTGGATGTTTGATAGCAAAACGCCGCACATTAAAATAATCATCTGCCATGACGCACCTGAAAATCCGAACCAGCTCTTTTACAACAATAATCTGGAATTCAGGCTTCGCGTCTTTACCGGTTCTATGACGCCGACAACGACGCATACCACTTTTTTCTGCGGTACTTGGCAGGTGGCGTGAACCAGGACGAAAGCACAACCAGGCTTTAGGCTGAAGGATATTCGGGAATATGAGATTGAAACTACCGTCTCGCGATAATTTTGCTTTTTTACTAAGTTGAACCCACTCTGCCACGAGGTTTTCCTAATAGCGGTCTCGAGATTTAACAAATGGCTTGAAAGCAATGGGGACTTTCTAGATAGAACACAGAAGAGAAAAGAGAGAGGAAAAAGAAAAAGGCTCAAATATCTCAAAGCGATTTTAAATCCCCTGGTATCCCATAAAATGCATATGCATAAGCGCGCCTGCTGTGCAAATTACAAAACAGAACAAACCCATGCTCGCTAAACTAATCCTCAATCAATCATCAGCCAACCACCATGTGTAATGCGCATGCATACATCGAATAATAATAGCATCATCAGGAAATCAAGGGAAATAGAGAAAATAAACTGGAAATGTTCAAGGCTTTTCAGAAATCCCAACCCGTTCTATAAGACACTTTTTTTTCGGGGTCTTTTATGCCGGAGAAGAGGACGTGGCAATGGGAGTTTCTATGGCCGCTTCAGGTTCGTGAGGGGATTCTTCTGAATGTGTTTCAAGGACTTCGTGTGCTTTTTCGGGTTCCGGACCTGGTTCATTCTGTGGGTCGGAGATCTGACTTTGCTCTTGCTCTGGATTTTGGTCGTGGTCGTTTCCGGGTTCACGTTCAGATTCGGCCTTCAAATCCTGCTCCTGATTCTCATCCTGTCCTGGAGAGTCTTCTGCGTCGTGCGGCTCGTTCTTCTCGCGCGCAAGCTCTTCCTGTTCTTCCTTCTCTTCTTCCTCCTCCCAACTGTCCGCCACCTCGGCGGCAGGAGCTGGTTGGCTCCGCAGCTGCTTGCCGGCACCAACGCCGGATCGAAGGACGAGTTTCTCCTTCTTGGGAGCAGCACGGGCAGCCCCGGTTCTCCAGGAGCCACTTCCGTCGTCGCCAGCAAGGGCGGCAAACATCGTTGAACTGGAAAGAGCACTAGGGCCCTGCACGGTGGGTGCGCTCCTCGCACTGCTCATGCCATTATTGCCACGTCGTGACGCGGCAACCTGGGCCCAGCCGCCTTCGCCCGTCGCGCTCGCCTGTACCTTGGCCGCTTCGCGCTGGGCTTTAACCTCGGCTGCGGCCTGGCGCTGAGCTTCGCGCTCCTTGAGACGCTGGCGTTCGCGCAGCTTGACGCATTCGCCGACGCTCATACCACCGATTCCAATTGCCGTGTCTTGACCCATGCCGAAAAGTGGGGGCGTCCAGGTCGTCGGCTTAAGGACGAACACGTGCCGGTGAGGTTCGGGGTCAAAGCTCTCGCTGGCAAAGCCCCAGTCCGAGGCGAGGGAATGAATGAAGGCGCGGAGGGAAGACTTGGCAGGTTGGAAGCGGACGGATCGCTGGGTGGTGCCGATCGCGAGAGACTGCAGCGTCGCCTCGTAGGTCTGAAGTGTCGATAGAGGGGATGAGGATGAGAGCTGCAGATACATGTCAAGGGTTTCCGATGAATATGGAAGGTTCGTGGACGTCATGTTCTGGCCTAGGGTCGTCGACTGGTTGATCTCGACGCCTAATGCCGATGCCAAAGAGCGATTCCGCTCCAGTCGCGAGCATTCCTCGTCACACGTCAATGGGGTCAACGCCGGCAGCCTCTGCTGTTGCTGCAACTGCCCCTTCGAGGCCACTGCTTTCACTGCATTGCAGCGATGCTCCTGTCGAAGCCGTCCACAGCCACATGTTACCGTGACTTTGGACGAGCAGGGCGTCTTCTCGGGGCAAGGGTATGGGGCATGACAAGCATCTTGGCATGGGTGACCACACAAGGTTTTTGTCTTCCCACAAGGCTGTTGGCAAGGTTTCAAAGCATCCTCGCAGTCGCCTGGTCGATGGCAATTCTTTTTACACGAATGCGAACCGCACTTGAGCGTTGCACCGCAAATTCGGCCACATCGTGCGTCAGCCAGCCAGCAAGGCTGATTCTTCAACACCTGTTTACCACAAAGACACAGCTTCTCCGTAAGATACGGACACTTAGGACAAACTTCGTCGTCCGTGTGGCAGTTGTGAGGCGTTTGGGGATGACCACATGGTTTGGGACGCTCACAAGGGGCCGAGCAGGGTGGTGGTTGCGTGCCGCAAGGCAGAGGCGGATGCAAGACAGATCGACCGCAGTTACACGAGATCTCCTCGAAGATCGCCTCTCTGCAAGTATTGCATGGGCCTTTATGGCAAATCTCTGGGCAGGTATGCCGTCCGCATTTCAACAGGCGGCCACAAACCCGAGTGCAAATATGTTCGGCCTCTACATCTTCGTCGCTAGGACGGAGATGGGATTTGAGCTTCCGCCGCAAAGCCTGGCGCTCAACTGCCTTTTGCTCACCAGGACAGCATCTCTCCGCACATGCGTGGCGTCCACAGTGCAGCCCGGTCTTGCAGGTTCGGAAACACTGCGGTGGCTCGATTGTGCCCTGGTGGCAGACGGTCATAAATGAGTTCCGTCCGCACCGGCACTGTATGGGGACGTTGCGCATGCAAGAACCGCATGGGCCAGTGTGACAGATCTTGTCGCATGCATGTCCGCACGGAAGCATCTTACCACAGGCCTTTCGGCAGTTGATGATAGGGTCCTCGCAAGATTTGCGAGGAGAGTATCCAGAGATTTCGGTCAAGGGTGTCTTTCCGCAGGGACAATGGTGGACAACGTCAGGCGATCTCGGACAGTGAGCTGGGTGTACGTCTTGAGGGTGGCAACTCTTCTGGCAGAAGTGAACGCCACAATCGAAAGGGCGACTGCACTGGTCGGGGCAGCTGAAACAACCGGTCCATTCCTCCACTTGACCTTCAGCTCCGTCCTGTATCTTTTGGCTCTCCATCTCCTCATCCCTGGAACTGCACAGCATTTCTGTCTGGACCTTTCCGCAATAGCAACGACCCTCGACCTTCACCTCGCACGTACCACAGAGGCCCTCATGGCATGGACGAGAACAAGTATGCTCCCCACAAGGTAGTAGGTCCCCGCAGACCTCACCGCAGCTCCATCCATTCTCGTAGTCGGTGTCCTGGCAACGCTTGGTGGACGAATTCATACCGCAGAAGCAATCCTGAGTCGGGCCCATGGCAGTACACGGGGCGCAAGGTCCCGCATGACAAGTCGCATCACACGGATGAGGACAACCCTTACGGGGCCGCGCACAGGTTTGCCCGCACGAATGTGGAGGGAGACCGGGAAGTGGGCGCGGATCGACATCCTTTTCACACCAGCAGCTATAGGTCGAGGGAAACACTTCCTTCGCGAGATTGCAGCCCGGACAGCGCCAGGCTCGAGGCGCACTAGACTCTCCATCAGCCTGGCGACGAGAACTATCCTGCGCCGCCGCTCCTTCATTCTTGGACCACTTCTTGACGCAGCTCAGATGGAAAACGGTCCAGCACAAATCACACGACCAGACACGCGACCTCTTGCCCAACTCCGCGGTGCAGATAGGACACTCGTAGAGATTGTGGGCAATATCCTCGTGGATCCGCGTGGCGATGTCCGGGGCGACTGATTTCGTCGTAACTTTCGGCGGTCGAGGTTGCGGGTTCTTCGCCTTTGCTTTCCCCTTCCCTTTGCCGGCCGTGTTGGTAGTATTCGAGGAGTCCCCTTCAACCTTACTTCCGTCCTGCTGTCCTCCAGGCACGAAAACAGGCGCATCGGCCCTCAACTCCAAATCCTTGGGGTCCTCCCCACCTTCCGGCCCGTCATCCTCAGAGGGTCGTTCGGATTTCGTCAATCGCCCCTCGAATCGCCGTCCAGTGTTCGATACCATCTGATCTGCCCCCCTTCCTCGCCCAGGTCGTCGGCTTCCCTCGCCGTTTGTGTTTCCACCCCGACCGCCCCGTCTCCCTCCCCGCGGACCTCTTCGCGAGCGAGATGCATCTTGGGGCTGATTCGGCGTCGTGTCGCCATTGGGTTGTGTCCCATGTGTCTGCTGAGTCTGTGCTTGCGCGCCATTTGTTGGCTCTGTATTCGGTGCCGGGTTCTGGTTCTGGTTCTGGTTCTGGGGGCGACGATGTGAACGGTTGCCGCGTCCTCGGCCTCCGCGCCGTGAGCCTCTTGAACGGGATGTGTTTTCGGGAGCTGCAGTTGCTGGAGCGCCCGACATGGTTTCGGTCATCCTCAAGGATTGAAGGAGGTTCACGTCTGCCGTAGCTGTAGTCATGCACTGAGCTATAGGAATAAACGATCGTTCAACCACTAGTGGAATGGTGTGGGGTTAATTATAAAAGATAGAGAAGAAAAGAAAAAGAGAGAAAAGAAGAACGAAGACTAGAGCCCGCTCGAACGAGAATGAAACAGTGTGTCCCTTGTCAATGGGAAACTTGGAGGGAAATTCCGAATCAAATACAACCGAGAAACCAAAGAGGCCAGAGGCGAGAGGCGAGAGGTGAAAAAGAAGAGAAGAGAAGATGTTCCTGCAGTGGCGGAGGCTTCCATGCGGCTCCCGCAAAGGCCGGCCGGTGATTGGCTGGTGCCGCAGATCGCCAATCAAAAGCCGTGAGTCATTCGGAGTCATCGATTCTTCAGCTTCAGATTGTTGTGTTACTCATAGTGGGGATAGGGCTGACTCCATGTCGTATTCATTATGGTAAGACCAATCATAATAATGATGATAACAACAATTAACAGATTAAGAACAGACTCGGAATCAACAGACACGTCGCTATGCAAAGATCCATAACCCTCTCTTACTATCCACTCATTTGGTTCCAACAATTAAAAGAACACCACCACTTCTCCGCGCTCATTCTGTTTCAGACGCAATGTCCGCCAGAGATCCTTTTCATCATCTGTCCTCCGCTCACGATCCGCGCGGCTTTGTCCTTGGTGGCGTCCCCGATCCCCGTCAAACTCATCCGTAAAGTCGCGATGGAACCGCTTTAGGACCTTGTTCACCGAGAAGCCGCGTCCGCTCTCGGGTCCCTTGGTCACCAGGGACAAGAAATGCGAGGCCATTTCCCGCTGCAGCTCGTTGGGGATGTTCGGTTGCCCGTACACGACCACTTGGTCGTCCTGTCCGCGAGGGGATTGCGGGTGCGATGGGTCAGGATAGTCGATCTGCTTCTGTCGTCGTGAAGGTCGGTCACCTTCGGTCTGAGCACTGCTTTTGCGCTTGCTCTGGCGAGGATCGGCCGGAACGACCTGACCCGTAGAGGGATCGCGCAAGCGATGCGTCTTCTTGGAGCGACGGACCTCCAGTTTGTCATTTCCGTCATCCGAGGAGCTTCGCCGCCGCGCGCGAACCATGGCCTTTCCGGACGGCTCGTGGCTAACACCACTACCTCCGGATACGGAAGAGCCGCCAAACATGGAGGACACAAGACGCTCCGCGCGGTTCTTCATGGAAATGCCGAGACCAGCGTCGCTTTTGCTTTCCTTCTCATCCCGACGCGTGCGCTTGATCGGGGACGAAGGGTCCTGGTACCGCCGCTGAGGGTGATCCTCCTCCCCATCCAGAGACGGCGATCGCATCATCCGATTCAGACCTCCGGTCAGTCCGGAGTGGTTCAGCATGGGAGTGCCCGGGTGATTGACAACGCTCGACGGCGCATCCAGCATAGGAGTATCGGCATCCTCCGTATCATGGTCCTCAGTGCGACGCTTCCTCTTCTTGTCACTGGTGGCGGCGCTCGCATCTCCGTTTTCCGCGCGCGAACGACCCTTCTTTTTCTTGGGGGCCGGAGTCATGAATTCCACGGAAGCATTGGCAGTCTTCTTGTTGGGATACGCGGACGGAGAGATCGGTTCGGCACCGTAAGAAAATCCATTCTCCTCGTAAGCCACGTCATAGAATTTGCCCTCATCCTCTGTTTCGGTGTTAAGGTGTGCCAGGGCCTTACTCGGTTCGAAGACCGAGGGCGCGTGGTCCACCATCTGCATCTGCTCCTTCGACCCGCCAAGCGAGACCTTGGACGCATTGGGAGTGTTCTCAGCGACTAGGAAGTCGAATACATTCACGTGCTTGTCATCTTTCTGCTCCGTCGCATTGGTGGTTGACTTTTGGTTGCCCTTCGCGGGGGGTGTCGGAGCAGGCGGGGGCGCCGCGTTCGCTTTAGGATTGTCGACATCGGTGGCATCTTCAACGTAGGGCGCGCGGTGACCATTGCCATTCTGCTTCTGATTTTGGTTCTGGTTTTGCTGCGAATTGTTCTGGCCCTTGCGCTGGCTTTGGTTCTTCTTCGGTTTTTCTTTGTAGAGGGAACCCTCGTACTTTTGCGCCTCGGTCATGCAGGACTTGAGAAGTCGCGTCAGTTGGAATTATTCCCCCAAGTCACAAGAATGAAAACGCGTACCGTATGCGACCTATACTGGGTGCCTTGGAAGTGCACCATGCAGTCAATGCAGGTGAAAGATGCGCCGCGACATTGGTTGCGATGAGGGTCGAGCTTCTTCTTGGTGAGGATGTCACCACAGGCCTGGGCGTCGAAGAAAGTCAGTCAGCGAATAGGTTCGACGTCGGAGGTCGGTTTCCAAAGAATTCCAAGCATAAAGAAGACCGTCTGACTTACCTCGCACGAAAAAGACACCATCTTGACCCCGCGATATAACCCAGGTATAAAGCTGCGCGACTGACTATAGGTGGGGAAGTGCCTCGACAAGGCAAAATCAAACGCAGTGGACGTCTAGTTCTTGAACTGACAAACAATACCAAACAGCAAGTCCAGTCCTGCAAGGAATTTCGATCGCAGCAGACCACCGAATCTGCAGGAATAAGAGATAATAAGATCAGGCGGGTGAGACGGACGGCAAACCCCTTCCTTGTCGCAAAACACGAAGATAAACAGAGGAATAAACAAGCGGAGATAATGGAAGAAGCGAGGTGCAACCAGCAGCGCGACAGTCCAGGGACACGGCGCTAAGCGAGGGAAATCTGCTGAGATTGCTATTGGTGATAATCCGGTTCTCTCTCGCCTTCAGCTCTCTTTTCGATTTCTTCTGGCGCGTCCAAAAAAAAAAAAAAAAAAAAAAAAAGACCGAAAAGACCGACAGACGGCGCTATTCCTCTTCGGGACGAGATTGGATGTTGTGTGCTGCCTTAGCGATCAGGCTGCCATTCCCCGTTCCCCGCAGAGACCCGAGTTACTCCGTCTGGACTCTTAACGCTTAACTCTTAACTGGTTTCATCGATTCGGGGTCAAGAGGAAAAGGACGCATCTCACAGGCCCCTCCGTCAATTCCGCAGCTTCCTGTTTATACTTTCCCTTGTCCGCCCCCCTTTCCTACAAGCCCTTCTAGCGTCGATTTCTTCTTCCTAGCCCGACTTTGCCTCCCCTCCAATCCCGGCTCATTGGCCTAAGCACGCCCCTCCGAGACGAAGATTGCGGTCAGGATGGACCGGGGTGTCCATGCACCGCGGTATGATGATCCGTTGATCGTTTGGGCTCTAGAGGGGCGGGCGGCGCCTGTTCTGCTAAGCAAAGTACATCAGCAATCAGCGTGGACTCGTCAGGAGACTCGCCGCCAGCCAAGGGAAAGTCACCCATCCAACCAACCGGCGTGCCCCTCGGACGGTCGGTTAGTGTAGCGCTTGGGAAGGGGGGCGATGCGATCCGATTGACGACATCGCTCTTTTTTTGGACACGAGTGTGTGCGCCTGGAGATATTAATAACAACCGGTTGTTTAGTCGGTGCATATCTCTTTTGACATGGTAGGCGAAGGCTGCGCATGGCTGAAACCACGTTGATTCTACACAGTTATATAATTTCTTTTGCTCTTCTTTCTTTCGGGGGTGGTTTCGTGTTGTTTCGTCTATCCTGGGGGCAGTTTCAGAATATCCGAGGTTTCTCGTCATTCGTCCCAGCGTCGTTTGCCCAGACACTTCCTGCGCGGTCACCCCTCCGGACCTATCCAGAACCTAATGTGCAAGAAAAGCATGTTCTTGTTGAAGGTGGGGAGATCCCTTTCCTTTGGTGGCGGAAAAGACCGCAACCCACCCTGCCCGCTGGTCAGCCGCTCCAGTCACAGACTTTCCTGCAGTCATGCGCGCGCAAGTGCATCCGTGGTGTAGCCCTCAGGTCTCAGATGGGCACGAAACTGCCGAAAAGCTTTGTCGGTTCCACCACGCGACGCCCGTCTCTGTACCTCGACGAGGAGGGGGGCCTTCCGTGTACTTTGTCTCTCATCCGTAGGAGGGGGGACGTGCTTGTTGCTTATCATTCATCTACATGGGTCAGATGATATTGATTATCTTGCTTTGAGGATATATGCAAATTCTTTGACATGGGGATGCAATATGTACGCGCGCACTAATGTACAGAATCCCGCTTTTAGTAGAAGCTCGGCGAACCAGCGCTGGCGAGCAATGCAAGGGTGGTAGAAGACCGGACCCAGATATCGTGCACGGATCAAAACCAAGAAATGAGGGAGGGGAGACTACAAGAATAATCGATCCCACGCGTGTTTTCGTCTGAATGCTTGGGTCAGCGTGTGTCCAGCTCTCGTACTCCGTACAAGACTTTTACCAAATGGTCAAGTGCGGGGGTGACGCAAGGGGGAAATACTAACATTCCTCTGATCCACACCATTCCTTTTCTTATCGCTCTATTCCGGGGAGGGATCCTGGTTTTGACTCTGGAGCTCTTGTTTCTTATCGTCGGATTTCTCGTCCTCTGCGCAGCCACAGTCGTAAAAGTCGCCGATCTTGTTGCAGTCAAACTCAGGCTTCTTGAGCATTGCGTTCACTTCGTTATGGATAAAGCAGCCCCAGCCCGACGCTATATTCCGTGACGATACTTGCGGGGGGTATTTGGTGAGGTGTCCTTGAAAATGCGAGGCGCATTCGCCACTGTAACCGGGAAGTTAGCCAGCTTCCGGGTGAGGCATTTCGGCTGCGGTGCAAAAGTACCAGGGATAGAGTCGTGCAAAGAGGTAGATGAACGACCGCAAGATTTCCTGCTGTTCGGTTGTGGGCTCTTCAGGATACCGCGCCAGCATCGTATGGAAGTACTTCCATGTCGCACGCCCTAGTTCAGCTCTAGGCCAGAATTATCAGTCCTGATTCGAACCGGGTGCATCACCCATGAAGCTGCAACAGCTTGTAACCTACTTGGCCGTCTCGTTGCCCAGCTTCGGCATCACCACTTCGCCCTTGGTCACATCGTTGTTGGTCAGTGCTGCCGGCTCCGGAATCGCGACTTGGCTCGAGGAACGGATCGCGGGGTTCGGCGAGTCTTGCGGTCGAACGAGGAAAAAGCAAAGGAGGATGGCTGTAATCACAGCGCCTATCAATATACGCCGAGTAATCTGGCGATTTGCCATGGCGAGAGGATGAATAGGGGGGTAGATGGGGAACGCTATATCGTCAATCGAGGCCGAATGCAATTGCGGTAGGGTCGCTCAGCGACCGATGTTAAATATAGGACAGCGAAGGATATTGGCTATGGCATTAGGTAGTGGACAGAATTAAGTACAAGCTCATCAATAGGGGGTTCAAGAAGCGTGCCGAACCCGAGGGACGAACACCTTGCGTCGCGACATCCTTTGTTGGAGATCCACGTGCATGAAACGTATCGCCTGCTGACTCAGCCGTGTCCGGCCCACTGCAACGCCGGTTTTATGGGTTTTTAAGGTTTCAATCGCCCAATTTTAGGCGTTGCTGGTTTTTATATTATTCCATTGTAGCTATGCAGCCTTTCGGAGTGGTCTTAGGCCTTTGGTGGAGTTGAAGCGTGGTTTTGCCTGATTATATAGTGCACTGCTCCGTCTAATACCGAGCAATGAGACGCAAATATACCATGTAATCGGCTTACCAACCGACCAAAAATGATGTATACTACAATCAATTGAGAATGATAAATTGAGAATTATCCCTTTCTCCTCCTATACGAATTATCCTTGACATACGGAGTACAATGTAGCATATAGTTGGCTGTAGGTAGCCCGGTGGTGTTGGCCAAAGCACTTACATAATCCCATCTTCTGCCCATCGAATCGCTCCGCTTTTCTCGATCTTCACCTCCGTCTTCTCCGCAACTCACCACTTGCAACATGGCGAATCTCAGGTCATCCGCCTTCCAGTCCCTTCTTAGGACTCGGAACTGCTTTATACGGCCCCAGCAAAGACGCTGGGCTCAAGTGCATGATGTGCGCTACCTCGCCACGCATCGTGATCCCAACCAGGTGATGGATCGATACCGCGGCAAGCTGGACCAGAAAGCCAAGCAGTGAGTGCCCTTTGATGGGTTGAATTGACGTGAATACAGGGACTATTGGACCATGATGCTAATTCATAACCAACAGAGAAGGTCACCAGGATGTCGACTCCCTGAAAGACGCCTACAAAGACAAGATTGAAGACCTCCGTCGCAAAGCTACCACCCCCATCACCCCCGAATCTTCGCCGTCTCCCTCCAACTCCCCTCCGCCTCCGCCGCCCTCGAGCGAAGCCCAGCAACAGGCCAAGGCTGCCGCCGAATCCTCCAAATCCACCGGCATCAAGCCCCTCGGTTCCTACATCGACCTGGAGAAGACGCTCGCGCTCCCTCCCAAGGAGATCGAAGCCATCTGGCGCCTCCGCCACGCCAACAACCCTAACTCCATCTGCGCCTGCATCCCCGTCGACACCTACCAGCGCATTGCCGAAGCCGCCCGCCAGAACCCGCAGTTCGTCCTGCCCCTGCCGCGCAAGCAGAGCGAGTCGCAGTCGCAGGAGATCCGCGAGGAGGCCAGCAAATCCGGCAACGACGGCGCCGGCGCCGATATTCACTTCCTCCAGTGGGGTTTCCACCCGCCCGCGACGGTCGCCTCGTCGCCCGTCCCCGCCGGTCCTCTGGCCAGCTCGCACACCTCCACCATCATCTTCACCCATCTCGCCGCCTACCAGGTCCACGGCTCCTACGCCCAGCCCCACACCACCATCACCCACCACCTCGACCTGGCCGACGAAAAGGGCATCGTGCTCATGCTGGGCCAGGTGATGCCCGACTCCGGCATCTCCACCACCGAGGCCACCTGGCTGGCAAGCTGCGTGCAGCGGTTCTATGACTTTGGCGGCCAGGCTCATGGTCGGAAAGGCGAGCTGCTGCGCATGTTCACCAAGGGCGATGCGCAGAACTTTAAGATCGAGCACCTGCTGGAAGAGGCGGAGAAGCTCTAAGTTTGTGGCCGTTTGGCCAGAAAAGTGTGTGCCTTCACAGATTGTATTACCACGTCCTATATGATTCCTGGGTCTGGGTTTGAGCCCCAGGAAGAAGCTTTAGACCTTTTTGCTATGTACCAACATATAGAATATAAATGATGACTATCTCTCTTCTTCATGTGAGTTTTGGGCGCTTAATTTATCTATATAGACCCGAGACTTATACCGCCGGGAACGTACCCTACGAACTTGAAAATGGACAGGTCACCTCAGATGAGCATTAAATTCAATCCAGCCAACAGAAACAGCCGAGAGATCTCCGCTTTACGCCAGCCAATAACCAAGCCGTTGAACAGCGCCCGTTGAAAGTCCACGAAGAGGTAAAAAAAGAAAGACGCGTCATCACAAATCACAAATCTGGGGAAGGTGTAGGGGGTGCAGGGTCATTAACGAGTCGCCGAGTATGAAGCCATTATAGATACAGTAGATGAGAGTTCAAAGATAAGCAAGAATTCTGTCTACCCAACGTATAGAGTAGAGGGGCCAGGGTGAATGCAGATTGGTTGGAAGCAGCAGAAACAAAGAAGCAAGGGGTATGAGGATAACAATGGAATAAAGGGGAAAAGGTGCTCAGCAACGGTTTGAAAAGACAGTTCTAATGCCGAAACGCTGCAGTATTGTCTTTCATACGTCCGGCTGTGCGAATATGGTGTTCTATGCCGAGAGGGCGGCAGCCGAAATTCAAACCATAGCTCAAGGTCGCTGTGAGATAATACCATCGATTGCACGAATGTGCTTGAGAAGGCGAGTCTCTTTATGCTAGGTTGTTAGTCTGTCGGGATCAAGACCTTATGAATCTTGCCCGACGACCTCTTCCATGACGAACGAATGGATATGTTCGAAATAACCCGGTTCAGCCACGCTGTCGTTGTGGCCGCCGTTCGGAAGAGTGCGCCACACTTTTCGGCTCGCGGTGCAAATGGCGAACAGTTGCGTCATGTTGGAAGGACTAGGAAATGCCGTGTCTTAGTATCGTACTAGATAATCGGCCATCGTTGGGAAATATGCATATAGCAATACTTACGGCACGATTTCATCCTTCAATCCGCTCAAAAAGAGGATGGGAACCTTGGTTATCTTCGGCAATACTTCCTCGCTAGTCCAATACTGGTGGCAGAAACGGGCGAGGTAACGTGCGGGAGGGAAGACCCTAGATAGGTGTCAGTGCATACGGCGCAACACAGAAGTCCAGGAAGATGGTCAGCACGTACGTCGGGATCAGCTTGCGAATACTCAAGAATGTGTTCTCAAGAATCAGTCCTTTGATATCGCCCGAATCTTGGTTCTCGGCGACCAGGTTGATCGACACGGCACCCCCCAGACTTTGGCCATAGACAAGGATGTCGGAGTCGCGAGTTTCGGCTCGCTGGCGAATGTAGTCCAGGCCTGTCTGCGCATCGATCTTCAAGCCCGCCTCGTCCGGCACACCGGTCGACAGTCCGTAGCCACGGTACTCCAGCATCAGCACATTGCACCCCAGGACGTCTTGTAGAACCCGGGCGATGGGAACGCGGTGTCCGATGTTGCCAGCATTCCCGTGGAACATCAGCACGGTGATGTTCCGGGTGGTGCGCTTCTTGGACGGGCGGATGAATAGCGCATGTAACGACTCCCCGTCGGGGGTCGGGATCTGGAGGTCTTCGTAATCGGAAATGCCAAACTGGCGGGGCTTGGGGACGTTGGTTCGTGCATCAACAGGGACATTGCGAGGATAGATCAGCTCGCTGCACACGTGGTCAGTGTCCTATTCGATAGCAGGGGAGCTATATAGTCTAGTCTCCGGACTGGGTAGTACAAACTTCTGCTTGAAATACAAAAGACCGCTCGCGACCACGGCCAGGCCGGATGAAGCCAGTACCGGCAGTCGCAGAAAGTGAACCGCACTGTTGGCCATGCTGGCGATGCTCCAAGACGGTGGGGGCGGCGGAGACTCGGACATTATTATAGTAGACGAGATAGTACGGATCGATGGTTGATGGGAGCAAGGGTCGATCGTTGCGAGAGCCTGTCGGACGGGCGGGATGGGGGAGATGGGGGCGGTGTAACGGGATTTGAAGAAACCGAGGAGGAGAAAAGAAGCTTCAGGAGACGCATACAGCTTCCGATCTGGGGAAACCGGGCCAGGATCTGGTCGAGAATGTCGCCGGCCGTCGTGAATCGCAACGTTCGTTCAGGAGACTTGCGGGGGGAAAGGGGCCCCGGCCAATGGGGAGGCGCCGCAGCCTCACCGCCCGGCGACAACGTAACGCGTTGGTCTGCCTTGAGAAGAGCTCCGTCACCGAACTCAAGCTCCCTCTACCTTCTTTCCCTTGCCTCATCCTCTGCATCGGCTTCCCTCCACCAATACCCTCGCACGCACCGTTTTTCGTTGCTGATCCTCGTCTCGACTGCTGGCTCGTCTCATCTCGTCAACCTTCTTCCTACTCGATCTCAGTCAGAATGGTCGGTCACGGCACCACGGGGATGCTCGGAGAAGGTCAGACAACATGGTCCCTAGGAATTGGAACTGGGTTATCCGGGCATTAGCTGACATGCAGGCTGCAGATGGCATCCATGTTGATATGAACCATCTCAAGAGTGGCGAGGTCAAGTACGTTGTTTCTCGGGTTCTCTCACTAGATCCGTTCGGCTGATGCTAACCATCTCGTTCTTATTCCAGTCTCGGTACCTCGATGTGAGTCGATTCCGTCCGGCAGAGTGGTCGCTCGCGTTTGTATTAACGGGACGCAGTATGGCTATCAACTTCAAAGACGGCGTGATCCTCGGCGCCGACAGTCGAACGACAACCGGAGCTTATATCGCCAACCGTGTGACGGACAAGCTGACACAGGTCCACGATACCATCTGGTGCTGCCGATCCGGATCGGCTGCCGATACGCAGGCCGTGGCGGACATCGTCGCCTACCATCTGAACATGTACTCCATCGTCAACAACGAGGCGCCCAGCACCCAGGTGGCGGCGTCGTTGTTCCAGGAGCTGTGCTATGAGAACAAGGACATGCTGAGGTAGGGTTTTCTTCCCTGTTGTCTTTTCTCCGACGTTAAGAGAACTTACCCCGTGCTAACCCGGCCTCATGCAGTGCGGGCATCATCATTGCCGGATATGACCCGCGACACGGCGGACAGGTGTACTCGATACCGTTGGGCGGATCGCTACACAAGCAGGCGTACTCGATTGGCGGATCGGGCTCGACCTACATCTACGGCTACTGCGATGCGAACTGGAAGGAGAACATGACGGAGGAAGAGGGCATCAACTTTGTGCGAAGTGCGCTGCGGGAGGCGATCAAGTGGGATGGCAGCTCGGGCGGAGTGATTCGCCTGGTGGTGCTGACGGCAAAGGGAGCGGTGAGACATCTCTACCTGCCGCACATCGACTATACCGGGCCCGGCGTCACCAATTGATTGTTCCGAGATGATTTTGTGGACGTATGCATTTCCTATGGAATGATGATGTGATTTTCTTTATTTCGTTTCATTTGGTCATCGTAATTCGAAGAGGGAATCTGAAGGGAAGATGTGAGGAGGGAGAGAGACGAAGACGTCAGTGGCCCAATGAATTCGCCGCCATCGACACACCTGCGCCGTCGGGCCGCTGCCATTCGTCCGCTGCAGCCGCCGTCGTAGACCAGGAGTGTTTTAAGTAGTGACCAAGTAGGTGACCTGGAGGTGACCGAGAGGTGGTTGGTGATGGAAGACAGACAATTGAATTCTCTGGCGCTGGCCATCCTGACGATCCCGAGTTACCGCAGTGACTGCTCCTTGCCGCAGGTATTGATTCTTTCCTAGTTTATTTATTTTCATTTCTCTATATTTTATGTATAAATACAGGTATATATACCTACCTATTTATATAAATATAAATCCCTGATTGGCGCCGCGAGTGGATCCTGAGGTCACCGCAGGGTCGAATCCATGAGGACGAGCGACTTGGAACGTCCAGATTTCCGGATTCTCGTCCGTCTCCTCCTTCTTCCTTCTTCCTTCGCCCTGCTTCCCTTCTGCCTTTGCCTTTCCGGCTTACTCTCTCTCTTCCCCATTTCCTCACTCTCTCATTCTCTCGTCCTTTCCCTTCTCCACCTTGTTTGTCTTCTCCATTGAAGTCCACGCAATGGACCCGTCCGTTGCTGTTTATCACCTGTGATTCCCTTCCCATCTCCGCCTGGGTCGGGTTCACTCGTCTTCCCTCCTCTGCCATCGTCATAGGCCCAGACTTGCTTCGTACTGCCTCCGGGGTAATTGAGCCCCCTCCCGTTAGACCCCATTAGACCCGATTTGGTCGCGAGTGCGTGTCCCGTTGCTCTCTGGTGTTCCGCTCGTATATCGTCCCTCGTCCTCCTCTTATCCTCTTCGCATCCTCCCATCTCGTTCCATCCCATTTCATCTGATCCCCCTTAATCTCACGGGCCGGATGATCTCATCGCGTCCAATGACCCCGCCGAACCGGATGCCGTGGTCGCTAACTTGGCTCCTCAGCCTGGTGCTTTTAGTGTCGCCGTCGCGCGTTTCGGGACTCGCCCGAATCTGACATGGGATCAGTCGCTCTCGATCAGCCGCGGTCGGATCACCTCGAAAGCTCCCACACCATGCTGGGAGGCACCGTCACGCCCTCGGAATCCGCGTATCGACCGTCGTCTCGACACGCCGCCCTGGACTCCGGTCGCTCGAGGTCCGCGTCGACCAGCACCACCCCCACTTCGACCGCGGCCCCGCCGTCGACGTCCGCTGCGGGCTCTGCTCGCCTCCCCTCCTCCCACCATCCGCACGATGTGCCGTCCTACCTGAGTCGTCCATCTCACCCGACCTCCCTGCCTTCGACTCGGGCCTCCTCTGCCACGCCGGGCTCGACTGACGCTCAGCCCTCCTCGCATATGCCTCCTTCCGCCACCCATGCGCCGCCCCATGTCCACGGGCCCGCCCCGACGGCCGCCCCCGCGTCGCACCCGGACTCTCACTCCTCGCCCTCCTCCCCCCTGCTGAGGCCGACCTTCCAGTCTCTGCGCTCCCTCGGCGGCTCCGAGGCCAACTCGCCGAGCCGCATCAAAGTGCGGGATCTGTCCCACATCCAGAGCTTCGCCAGCGAGGAGTTCCTCGCCCAATCACAACGGGACCAGGCTCCCGGCCAGTGGACTCAGGAGCGCCAGTACGAGATTAGTTCCATGCCGGTCACGGACATCATCGAGATGGTTGCTGGGCTCCTGACCAAGATCACCACCACCAACGACATGCACCACGAGCAGGTCCATCGCCATATCCCCCCGCCCGACGGCACGGCCAATCTCAGCCCGCAAGCCACCAGTGTGCTTGCCTTCCACGGCAAGAACGTCCCGAGCATTAGCATCCTCAGCTATCTGACTCGCATTCACAAGTACTGTCCGACGACCTACGAGGTCTTTCTCAGTCTCCTAGTATACTTCGATCGCATGACCGAGATGGTCAACCAGGGTCAATTGGAACGCCTGCAGCGTCGCTGGGATCCCGTCCAACCCGACTCCGCCACGACGAGGCCCGCATCGTCGGAGGGCCTTGCCGGCCAAGCGCCGGACGCCTCGCCCATGGTCACTCCGCCGTCTTCGACCGGCATGAGGGCCCAAGACCCCACGTCTCCGTCGTCTATATCCCCGTCCTTACGTCCCCAGGAGGATTATGATCACCTGTCGCATTTCTTCGTTGTCGATAGTTTTAACATTCATCGGCTGGTCATCGCGGGCGTGACCTGTGCCAGTAAATTCTTCTCTGACGTTTTCTATACTAATTCCCGATATGCAAAGGTAGGTGTTTATCCTCTATCCCATCAGCTTGGCCGGTATTGACTTTCATCTAGGTCGGAGGGCTTCCGTTGGTTGAACTCAACCACCTTGAGCTGCAATTCTTGTTGCTGAACGATTTCCGTTTGTCGATTCCTGTGGAAGAACTGGAGGCTTACGGAACGATGCTTGTCGAGTTTTATGCTCGAGAGATCGTCACGCAACAGCAGCAACAGAGCCAACCGCCGCCCTCTCAGACCGGCGGCTCTACGGCGCCTTATCCGCAGTCAGATGAGATGTATATGCGTACTCACGAGAAACATCGTCCCGACCCATCGGAAGTTCGCCAAACCCCTACTCCGCCTTAGCTCTTTTCAAGTCTTGAGCTAGTCTCGATACCACTTCCTCTCCACTTCATGAATTCATAGTTCTACTCCCCCAACTACGATATCTTTCGAAAGGGCGGCTGTCTCGCTCGGTTCTTCATGTCGATATTCGTGGTAACTGAACAGCTTACCACCTCCTCGCTGGTTTCCCCTCCGCTCTCCTTGATATATCCGGCAACTGGCTCTATCTAGTTCTCGCGCATCTTCGGGTCACAGATTTGTTATTCTACTTATAGATTCTTTGGCTGTGAGCGTGTTGGTATATGTTACGTGATATTGTCCTACTCCGTGCCGCTGGTAGTTTGGTCTTGAAACTGCTCAGCATGTACGTCTTTCTCCCTGTTTTTTGCATATTGTGTCTCCTTACATTGGCCGGTGTTCACAGGTGTTTTCCTTTCATCTTTACCTCCGGGGTTATACGTTACGAATGCTGTCTTTACTCTGTAGCTTGGGCTTTGTTTATCTCATAATATATTCACCATCTTTGATCCGTTTGTGCCCGTCCGTTTCTCCAGTCTACTTGTTCAGGCTAGATCGAGGCACCGAGTCCCTTGCTGCAAAAGTGCGAGATTAGGTGTATGTGCTTGGGTGCAGCGTTAGTCTTAATGAGATGATGGGTACTTGCTATGAGTCTGCGAGGCAGGTGAACGCCAGTAGTGAACTAGGCAAGGGGACGTGCTTCCGAATTTGTGGAATCGTCGACGACTTCGAAGGTGGTGTTTGTGAGATGTCTCGTATGCATGCATGATCTTTGCATTGGTTCTGCGTTTACATGGTCTATCAGTATACGAGTAGATCTAGACCTTTTAATGTCATACATTGAGAAGTATCTTTCTTATGGTGTGTCAGTATAGCCATTACGTTTTTAAGAAAGATGATGAAGTCCACATTGACATGAAATGCTAGACAAAGAAAAACAAAAAAATGAAGTGATACAAAAGTTATAAACAGTACAAGTCTCTCTTTCCAATCTCTCGACTCGGTCTCCCCTAAGGATGTCTTGAACAATGTCAGTAAGATACCATGGACTAAATTGAATGACGGACCTAACCAATCCAAGGAAATTATATCAACTCCTACAAATCTTCAGCTAATACCTACTTCATTAGTCGCAGGTCCAAACGGAAAACAAACCGGACGAGTAGGGCTGACTCACCTGACGGCACGGTCCGCTTCCGCCGACCTTCTTCCAACTCCTTCGACGTTTCCTCGAACTCAACGGCCTCTCGGATGGTTCAGCAATGGCTCCGGAAAGTGTAGGAGAGCCGAGCTGCCCCGTTATCCATCTGCTTGGTGTGAGCTCCAGATTTCGTTCATCTTTATAACGAGATGGAGAGCTCACTCCGAACTGTATCCATCTGATCCACCATGGCTCATCCGGGGAGCAATCGTCTCTTTCGTCAGCTGAAGAATGAGCGAGCAGCGCTGGGTTGGTAATGTCCAGGCAAGGGACTACGACTTGAACCCTGCGTACAGGTGTGCGTCCATTACCCCGTCAATGGGGAACCCCTGGACTTGGAATCCTCTGGGAACCATCAGCTAATCACTAGCAAGAGCGCGGAAAAGGAGAGCTTCTCTCACCTTGAAGTTGGCGTGTCTAGGCCACCAATATCACAGCAGGACAACATTACCCCGATCTATAAAATATCAGCAGAACCTGGAGGGTCTTTCATCTGAAGACCAGAGATAGCGAGAACAGAATGAAGAAAGCATGAAAACATGAAAATGAACAAGCCAGGGGGCAACAGGAGAGTTTCACTCGCAAAGCAAGACCTCTGAAAGAAACAGACATGACGATTCACAGGACAAAAATGCCCTGTTTCCTCATCTTCTCTCGTTTCCTGAGCCAGTGCTTGAACACTCGGGGCGGGCTCCACATGGGATGTCTCGCCTGAATGCGAGCTAGAGTGTTCCATGAACATTCAGCCCCTCGTTCGCAGTCCTCCGAGGCATGCGTCGAAACAAGCATGATATAGTCATCGGAACCAAATGTTGACTTATACGCCACCTCAAGCCCATCTGCATCTGGCTCTGGGAGAGGTTTGAGATACCATCCTTGCAGATGTCCAAAGAAGGACGGGAAGGGGAAAATGTGCTTTCGTCGCACGATCCAGCGAGATACGGGGATCACCGTGGTTTCTCCAAAGCGAACGCGCTTCCTCACCGGCTCGTCCTTGAGGCACCTCGGAACAGGCTTGGCTAGAGTTTTGCCGATTAGTGCAATCGCTTGTCGAATCTCGGTTTGCCTCGCAGCTGGAATCGCCGTGCGTGTGATGGGAAGAGGGACTGGGGCTGACTTTGGAATTGGCTTGGGCACATGTTTTGGGATTGGTTTGGGGATGGTCTTTGGGACAGTATGGGATATCGACAGGTGTCCCTTACAGGACTGATTGACACTCTTCGACCCATCATGGATCCAGGGCCGAGAGCGAGCCTGTCGAGCTGCCCTTCTTTCCTCAAGATGGGAAACATTGCCCTTGGATGTGGGAACAGATGGGGGAATAGGAGCAGTGGCAGCCGAATTCACAGTCACAACAGAGCGGACCGGAAGACGCGAACCTTTCTGCAACCCAGCAAAAGAACGAACCTTAGTTCGCAGGGACAAGTCTGACAAAACGGAGCGATGGGGGAAAGAAAGAGAAGAAGACTGTGTCGTGAACCGGGTTGTCTGCCCGGTCACAGAAAGAAACCCAGGCACAGACAGATGAACCATCTTGTATCCTGGTCAAAATTAAAACGAGAAAAGAAGAATGAGGGGAGGATTCGGAGTGAGAGGAAAGATAGATGTGAAGTCAGAAAATAGCAGAGAAAGCAGCAAGAAAGCTAGAACGCCAAAGAGGTTTGAAAACGTATGCAGACAGAAGTCAGGATACTAGCATCAAACGACCATATGGTGTTGAGGAGAGAAAAGAAGAGAAAGAAGGAGGAGAGAGAGAGAGAGAGAGAGAGAGAGAGGGAAGCATATACAACCGGGGGTGGTTGCTAGGGGAGCACCCTCCTGCTCCCCCCAGAGCACTAGCAACACCAGCAACAGAAGACTGGCCAGTTTCTTCTACCGACGAGCTCTATGCTGGTTTGGATTACAGAAAGGTGCTTTCGCATACTACTTACTGGCTACTAGTACAGGTTGAGGATCTGAACCGACGACTCTGATACCATGTGTAGGTTCGGTCTCATCCACCTAGGGCTGATATAGGTCTCAGGAGTGATTCATTCCGTCGAGCTTTCCATGTTTCCTGCGGTAGTTGTAGTAGGATTGACACTACTTGGACATTGTACTCATTCTTACTTCCCATTCTACCTAGATATAGTCATTGGCGTATGTACGAAGTAGGTATTTAGATGCGAACCAATCATCCAATTCACTGACCAAGAATAAAACATTATTACTTAAACCCCTTGAGTACTCACTGATAGGAAGATATGTACAAAGACCAAACGAAGGGCTCAAGAGAGTATAGGATCTAGGTAGTAATACGACGATGGAATTATCACTGCTAGATGCAAAGGTCACGGGTTGCTGAAACAGAAATGTAGAACGCATGCACTCATCTCGTCCTTGGCACTGTAAAACATAGTGATTCGCTTATGATAGGCATTTTTTTGGTCTTGGAGAAGGAAGAAAGTCGTAGGAAGAGAGGCCAAAGAAAAGAGGGGGGAAACCATCACAAAGCTCCATACTGTCATATCCTGTCGTATCCCATGAGACTTGTCCAGTTTTAGCTGTGCCCGCACCAGACAAGCCTATGCTATATTTCGGTATGCTATGTGTAATTGACTGTGCCTCGTAGCCTGGGTTGGTCCCATCAGTCAATTCGTGGCGGGCTCTTTGATTTCTTTCCCAATGGACTTAGACTGGCACTAGTGAATCCGGATTGTCAGCATCATGAGGGCGTGAAGATGAGAAAACAGAGGACAATGACATACGACCGGCGTCGCTCGCCTTCTTTTCGGAAACCATCGATGATCTTGGCGACTTCCTTTCTCCCGGCACGAGCGTCGACTTTCCTCCCGCCAAGGCTCATACTGATCTTTTCGCTGGCATTGGCAGTCAACAACCGTTTCAGCAACAGATGTCGCATGTTCAAGCACACAAAGACGCCGCAGTCGCTGCCATTTTCCTGAATCGGAGAATCCTCTAGATGAATGAACCGAATGGCTCGGCCGAGCAATACCCCGAATTTGGCTGTCACTGCACGGGCCTCCCAGAAGTTCCCCGGAGGAAGCGAGTCATAGTGGAATGCGATCCCGTCCACGATTGATATAAGCAGTAGGGACCAATGTGTACCGCCCTCTGCTTCGGTGACGTTGCGACAGTCATTGATGGGGAGGAAGACATGCGTTGTGCGAGTGAAGTCTGGTAGCGCCTCACGTAATGACGTCGGATTTGGGGTTTGAAGGATCATAAAGGACATGCTGGGTCGTAGGAGTACAATGTTGGACGTCTTATACTGTACAAGGAACTCGCGCTCTAGGTATCTAGAGAGATCAGTTTCGCCGTGGGCGAGGAACGGAGTCAACGGTCGACTTACTCCTCCCAAAAGGAGATGACCTACACCAGGTTAGCCTCAGGGGAGTCCATCCTACACTATGAGCAAACACACATTATCGGTGAGCCAATCATTCTTGAGTGATTGCATATCCTCTCTGGTCACTACAAGCAAGAAGAGTCAGGTCCGTTGGGTCACCCTTTCTTTTTCATGGGTCATGGAAGTGCGCAGGTGTCGCAAACGTACATCGAACATCATGATCTGTACGCTCCCGACCTAGTCAGACCTCAAATTTGATCTCCTTTGCGTCGCAAGCTAACTACTGAATCAGACGGGGAGTAGATTATGACACTAACAGCTGAGATACGCATCGTCGGGGTTCAACTGAGAGCGGTTAGCGCCTTGGGGATTGGGACGGCCAGAGCAGAGCGACAACGAAGTCATCGGAACCACACGACTGAGCCTACCGTGTCACCGAATCGCTTCATCCTCTTCTGAAGTTTTCCCAATCCACCGTCACGCATTTTCCAGATCGTGGCCTGATTATTGACTCGAAGGGCAAATGAGCAGCCAGTGACGGGGTAGAATGGGTCTGCCTAGACTGAATCAAAGGGCCACGCTAGTAGGATAGGTAGCCGGGTCGTGCGCAGTGCCGAAAGACATATACGAATGACAGAGCGAATTCGGCTGAGTCCAGAAGAAAGATACGGAGGATGAACACTGATTGCAGCCCCCGGTGGATCCTCGCTGGCGGCGATTGATTGGAAAGGAGGGGAAGGGGGAGAAGGGATCGGTAGTGTTGCAGGACGGATTGGATCGCTGTCGAGTCACACTCGGCGAAATGAGGGGAGAGAGGGGGAAGAAGAGGGAGGTCAGAGTCAAGACCGATCACTGACAGACGTCCTCAGGCAAGGAGGGCAGCAGAGCGCTTTTCAAGAGAAGAAGAGAAGAGTGAAGCCCCTTCCGCCGCGCCGACGTCACTGGTGGCGCCGGCACGTGACGCGTCTCGGCCGCCCGAAAGAAGAGAAGAACACGGGAAATCTCGCTTCTACTGGATTAATTGCTGTCATGATTTGACTCAAGGGGTATCTAAATGTACACATATCCACACTTCTTCTCCTTCCACATATGCCTGAGAGATAGATCTTCAATGCCCTGACAAAGACGCCCCAAACAGAACTTCTATTTGGACAAGCAACTGGAAGATGAAGATGGAGGAAATCAAAGAAGAGAAGAGGCGCAAGCTATTCAAAGGAGAGCATATCAAGGTAAAACGCCTTGGCAAGAGATGAATGCCATAGAAGGCTAAGGTAGTATCACGCTGGGTATCAAAAGGCACAAGGAAAGACCGATAAGTGGCAACCAAAAGAACAGGGAAATAGAAAAGAAAAGAAAAGAAAAGGAGAGAGACAAAGGGCCGGAAGCAAAGGCTCAGGCCAGCTGTGTTTGCCAGACAAGAAAACAAAGAAATGGCTTTCGGCTTTTGTTGGCTTTCAAAGGGAACCCAGCAAGGAAGAAACAATCAACTGAACAAGAATGAGTACGGGACATGTACAATGGATATGGAAACATGTAACACGCGTCATCGTAGAGATCAACTTGAAAGCTTGGCGAAATGTTTGTTCCAGATCCAGCCAACCTGACGCGTAGGGTCGTCCTGGTTTTTGGCTAGCCACAACTCACCCTTCTCGGCGATGACATCGAATATTTCTCCGGCGACATAGGTGAGATACGGATATCCAGCTTCGCGTCGGGCACGATCGATATTGAATTCATAAATACTGGCGGCGAGGAATAACACCGTCGGTTCTTTGGACGCACTGCCCTCTGCCGCAGTATTTTCGTCCTGCGGGTTATCCGACATGGGCATCGCTGACGAGAAGAACCCCGAGTAGCGACCAGCAGGAGAGGTCGGGTGGTCCTCATCCGCCTGGGTGGCACTGCTTGAAGATCCAATGACGTCGGCAAGGAACGGAGAATCGAGGCTCAACCTGGGAAGGCTCGGAAATGACTCGGTCTGGGAGACGGACGGAGGCGCGGAGCCTGATGGTGCGCTGGTGATCTGTTGCAGTATTTGGCTCCGAGGTATCTCCGGTGCTTCTGGAGCAGCGCGGCCGGAGAATGATGAATCAGCTCTCATGCGTCCGTGAGATAGCTGCGATTGACTGTCGATGCTCGGGGATTGAAAAGGATGAGCCCCGTTGCTGAAATCGTAGGAGACTTTAGGGGACATTTCTTCCATGGTAGATCCGACCCGGGTGCTGGCGCTGTTCACGGTCGAAGGGCGTCGCGGGGAGCTAATAGTGGCCCCAGTCGAGGGGGTGTTGAAATTGACGAGGTTGACGGCATCGGCGAGCAACGACCCATTGCAGACACCGAGTGATAGCACCTGCGCCTCGGAGAAAGTGAATGTTGCAGACCAGTCATCCACCAGCTTCTGAAGGTCGTCCGGGAAGGCATCCACAAGTGGAGTCAGCTTGTCTTGCAAACAATTGAACCAAGTTGTTTGTATCTGGACAAAGTTTTTCAAACAGGCCTCCATCAATTTGGCGGTCAGGGAGTATAGCTTCGGAAGCTCGTCCTTGAGAGTTTCGTTGAGGGCAACAAATTGCTCTCCTTGTTCCGCGGTCTTTTTATCGGGCTTGTCTCCCCGCTCCTTGATGCCTTTGAATCGAGCGTAGTCCATCAGGCGCTTATCACGCTTCTTCATCACTCGTTGCGGTCCATCGTGTAATTTCAATAAGGTGACCATGGGCTCGATGACACTCTTCCGGACAGTGGCAAGCTAGAAATCTTGAGTCAGCAAACTGTTCCCCGAAAACAACATTCGGAAACGTCGAAGTATGCCCTGCTACTTACATGTTCCGGTAGCGCGATGGTGACGATCTCTTGAACACAGACTTTAAGCTCACGCCATTTTCCTTCCAGCTCGGAGTAGTTGGTCTGAGACACGTCGATAAAGCCTTCGATTGCCACCACGAATTCGTTGAGACAGTCCATCGATGCTTGAGCTTCGCGTGTGTACATCTCAGCATCTCGCATGACAACTTGCAATTGGAAAAAGTTGTCTCCAAATCTTTGGGAAAGATTGTCATATTCTTTGTCTTCGACCAATTCAGAAAGTCCCACCTGCTGTCTCAATTTCTCCGTACGGCGGCCAAAAGCTTTCGACAAGCCCGTTCGGACATCGGATTCCTTCCGCTTGCGGGCAACTACCTGACCGACCAGGTCGGCGCGCTTCTTCATTTCGTTGATACGGACGGAGATATTCGTTACCTCCTCTAGAGCAGTGACAAGCGACGCATGATCCGGATGGTCGTTGGGTGTCGAATCAAGAAGCTCACTCAGCAGGAGAGGGTATTTCAAAATCCGCTGCACTGGTTTAACAAGCAGCGAATCCAAATCCCACGCGGTTGTGAGGTCCGACGCCCAATCCCGGCATTCCTTAAGCCAGATGGCCACCTTGGGGTTCCGCTGAAGGGCCTGGAGTTTCTTGTTGGCGGCATCATGGTTTCTCAGGTAATCCGCATAGACCTTCTCCATGTACGCCATATTGGTCACGAATGCCTGGCCAATGAAAGTGGAATGGTCTTTCTCCAGCTCGGATGTCCCGGTCCCGGTCGGGGTATCGGCGTCGGCTTTCGAAATGTGGTTGTTGCGGGCACCGCGTTTGCTGCTCCACCGTTGTGACTTGGGCATGATGTAGACACTCTTGGCCGCGTCCTTCAACGCGTCTTGGAAGGCCATGGAAAACTGCACGACTTGATCGGAGTTTGCAAAAAGAATCTTGACATCTTCAGACGAGAGATCCAGGCACGAGCTCGAAGTTCCCTTATAGATATCGTCCACAACTTTCATGTCCCTTCCGAATGTGTATTCCGTGTCAACAAGCTCCTTGATAACGTGTCTTCGTTTCTTGAGACGCCGTTGCTCTGGGGATGGAGACGCATTATCTGGACGGGCCTGCTCTGAAGTAGAAGGGACCAAAGACGTGGCCGATGAATCTAGAGCATGGGGCGAATGCGGACGGTCGACACGTCGAAGAGATGAGTCGCCGCTACTACCACTGCTTTGGACTGGACCCAGCGGGGCGAAGGCGGTGCTTGCGAAGTTACTCAAAGAGGCTTTGGCGGAGATAATTTCGGGGGAGAAATTGAAAGCCTGCTGCGACACGGTGCCATCTTCGTTCGCATCCACAGATGCAGACGGCACAGGAGGTTCAGGGTGCGGTAAAGATGGCCGCTCTTCATTGGAATCGGGTTTCGGAGGCGATTGGACGTTGATGGCTAGGCCAAGACCCTCATCTGTCCCTTCCTCCCGGCGGGACCCTTGAATGCTGGGGGCTACAATCCGAGGGGTTGGGGCGCTTTCATACTTGGTGCTATCGCCCATTTGGTCTTTCGGGGCGGACTCATCATGGGCGGCGATCTGCATCCAATCCATGATGGAGGGTGATGCATGCTCCCAATCATCCCGCAAAACGAGGCTCGCACTGTGGCCCATTCGTTCTGAGGGCAAATCCTGGGTTCGAGATACCAAGACTGGATCATCGGCCAAGCTATCACTTCTGTTATCCAACCTCAACCTATCTGGATGCCTTGGTTCTGGCGTGGCGCGGACTGCCGGCATGGGAAGGTTATGGCCTCTGCCACGGGCGAGTTCTTCAAAATAAAGCTGGGTGACTCGCCTCGAGTCCCAGCCACCTAGCCTTGCTAGACTTGGTGCATTGGAATATCCATAGGCATTTCGAGCCGGTTCTCCTCCGGGCTTTGCTGGAGGAGCTGCGCTGTTGGACTGGCTCGCCGCCGACGCAAGCTGATGGTCCCCCGTGACCGAAGGAGACGTGCTGGAGGCGGCAGAGCACGACTGAGTCGTGGCTATTTCGCAATCATCGACCGAGTGCTGAATCTGGGAGAGGTCATCTCCACTACCCTCGCACTGATCGTCGGTGGAATGTTGGTTTTGGAGGGAGGATGACCAGGAGCTCAAGCTCCATCTGTTTGGTGGCTCGCGAGTAGGGGGGCCCTGATTTATATAAAGGTCACAAGACCCCTGGTTATCGCTGCTGTCCACAGAGTCTTCTTGACCAAAGGCATCTCTCAACATGATCGGAATGGACTCCTTATCATCATTGTCGGAAAAGCTGAGGTCCGGTTCGTCGCACGAGGAGCTGCTGGGACTGGACTCGCGGGTCTGCATAATCTGGCTCAGAAGCGTCCTGTGAGAGGCGTGAAGATTCGGCCGAGCAAGCTCCGCTTGGGGCTCCGGGTCAAATGCCGTGACATGCGTCTCGTTCGACGCCGACGTGATAACTGAGGCCGGTGGACCGGAAAGTTTGGGATCGGCATCTTGCTCGTTCACTGTGATAACTGCATGTCCCAGTGTGGGGGAATCCATCATCGCAGGACGAGATTCAGTACTTTCCCCTTGGTTTTCCTGCATGCCAACATCGGTATCGACATGGAGATGGGGAATTGCTCGTGCTGGCCCCGGTTCGGGTATCGAATGCTCCTCTTCCTCATTACCGATCTCCGTCGATTCATCTATCACGGTCGCGGTGTCGTCAGGCTGGGGAGATGACTGCGGTTGCGATTTCTCAAGCAGAAGGGGGGCCGAAGTAGGGGTCCGCGGACGCTCGTCCTGGTTGTCTTGAGATTTGACCTGGCGTCGAAGTTCAGCTGCCCTCTCCTCTTTCTTTTCATTCTCCTGGACCGTGCGGTTGAAAGCCTGTTGGATTCGCTGCCGTCGAGTCGCGAAGTCCACATTACCCAGCTCCGGCAACCTCCGCTGCCGTAAGTTTCTCGACTCTCGGTCGCGATTTATTTGGCTTTGGAAATTCGACACTGTTTCCACGACCCTCGATCGTGACGTGGGAGGCGCATGCGACACGGGCTGACGGGGCCGGGAACTACGAAGTGGCGGCGATTTCTTCGGGGGAGGAGCGGCTATGTATGCCTCCAGCAGGGCACCTTTGGCGGGATGTTGGTGACGGGAGCGACCGTGGGCCATTTCTCTCCTGGCACGGGGAGACAACGCAAACGCCGTTTGGTCGTCGTCGGGAATGTCGCGGGCGGGCTTGAGCGACGGTTTGGGAAGGCGACTAACACCCTTCGGGGGCAGCGGAATTTGCGCCGCAGACCGGTTGCCGCAGGTCGGACTGGCGGTGGGCGAGGAAGCTTCCGAGCCCGACGCCGAATTGAGACGGCGAGATGAAATCGGAATGCGAGACTTGGAATGCGGGCTTTCTAGCGAGGGCTGGGAGGTCGGCTGCAAGGGGGCCGAGACCGCCATGTGGGATGGTTCAGAAGGGGGCGCAGGCGCACCTCCGAGCCAGTTTCCAGACAGTTCACTCCTCACCCTGCGGTGACTACTCGGACTAGCCCCGTTGTTCACGGCCTCCAGAAATGGCGTCTTTCCCAGGTACCACGCAGTCGGGGTCAGCGGGGAGAGATTAAACGACGGCTCGAGCTGGTCGAAGAGCGCAGGATTTGGGCTCGGAACGCTCCCTTCAGAACCTCGACGTCGCAGATGCGACGGAAGTCCATATCCCGAATCCTGGAAGCCCGTGTCGACAGAGAGCAATTCACCAAACACCGGCCGCCGAGGGTGCGACTCCGCCGGCTTGAAATGCGTCGAAGAAGGGCTCTCGGGGTATTTTCTCAGCGGAGGAGGGATAAGGTCGGAGGAGGGATGGCCAGACGTCAAAGGCGAGTTCAGTCGAGGGACCTCGTTCGTGCTCGGGAGAGAGTCGAAAGTATCACGTCGATGGGACAACGGTTTAGGTCGGAAGGACGGGTCGACGGGGCTGGCCGGACTAGCGGCCCTCGAAGGTTCGCGGGATATCGGGGTCGACGCTGCTGGAACAGGCAGGACCTGGTCGACGTTGTTGTTGAATTTGTTTATCAGATCTTTAAAAGAGGTCTGTCGTGACCTGGCGGTCGACGCCCTCACGGAAGGACCCTTGGCGGAATTCAACCCGATCCCCCGATATGACGAATCCGACGTCGAACGGTATTGCTCTCGGCTTGCAGATGTCACGTCTGTCGGATGCGTGGGCAAGGAAAAGATACGCTGGGAAAGGGCGGGACGTTGCTCTGCAGTGCCGTTGTTCTTGAGTCCGACCATCAAGGCAGCGTCGGGTTCAACGCCAGCACCATCTTCCGCAGCCAATGAGGATTGGTGCGGCCGGTAAAAGTCGTCAGGGTCGGGGGAATCTCGACCGCAGCTTTCGGGGTAGTCGTTCGAAGATAGGTCGGCAGGTATGCGGAAGGCTTGCGAGCCTGTGAGACGCGGCTGCTCGGAGTATGTGGTACTCGCTAGGGAAGGCACGGGAGGCGACGACGGCGCGATAAGCGATACAGCTGTTGATCGAGCGTCGTAAAAGTAGTCGTCGTCCGGGGTCGGAGAAGATTGATGCCGGGACTGATGAGGGTTGCCGTTGAGAAAGCAAGAAACGTGCTCGACATCACTGCCGGACATCTTGCATTCTTCAGGCAGGTAGTCAGAGGAAATTTGTGCTCCAACCTGGGAGGAGAGAGAGGGGTGGGAAGGTTTCTTTTTTTTTTTTTTTTTCTTCGTTTCTTTTTTCTTTTTCTTTTCCTTTTTCTCCTGTCGTTTTTATTACCCTTAATTTTCTCCCAACGGGTTGGTTGGCGGCAATGCTTCCTGACGGAGGGAACTAGTCTCGAGATGCGTTGTTCACACCTGGTAGGCCACAGGTGAGGTTGCAGATGGACCGGCCAGAACTACAAAGCAATCATCACCTGGTAGCACTACCACAGGAGGGAGTCATATTTGAGACAAGAGGAGACCACCAAATCAGCAGAGCAACCCGGGGGGTTGTGCTTCGGAAAGCCCAGGACTCAACTACTGTACTCGACGGGGGGGGGCGAAACGGGGAGAACGGGGAAGGATGGAGTCGCGGAGACAGCAGGGACAATGGCCCGGGGAGAAAACCGGGATGAAAGAGATAAGAATAGCCAGCGAGCAGCGGGAATTGGAGGGGAGGAGGAGGCGAGAGAGCCAAAGGAAAGAGAAGAGGAAGAAGCGTGGTGAGACGGGCGGGACAGCAACGCTTGCACGGCGTCTAAGTCTAAGCAGGGGGAAGGCGAAAAGGTGGAGGAAGAAGGAGAAGCCAAAAAAGTTGTCACAGGCGGGCCGAGAGGGGTCGTTGAGGTCCAAGTGCTGTACGGAGTAAACAGGCCTTGGTCTTACGCGGTGCAATAATAACCCTCAGATTCATCCGTCGTGAACAGGAATTTCTGATACCCATCAAATGGCATCGTCGATGACGACCGAACAGCGATCCTGTGGTCCCATCAATTGGGAAGGGCTGCAGGTGGGCCAACAACCAGCCCTGGGCGTTTTTCATTTTCATTTTCATTTTTTTCTTTGGGGTTTTTCTTTTTCATTTTTATTTTTATTTATTTTTGTTTTTTCCTTTTTTTTTTCTTTGGGTATTTTTGATTAACGCCAGTCCCTCGAATGATCGCAGGCCGACGTTATTTTTAGCGTGCTCAGACACGGTCGACCTACGCCGTTCCATCCTAAATCATCTACGCAAGATCTGTCCTTCTTCTCCCCCCTTTTCCTGCTGAAGAATCGAGTCGATTTTCATTGATCTCGAACTTTGACAGTCCGATGGAACCGGTGGATGCGGAAAAAGAGGGGCCGAGGAACAATAAGGGGGGGTCAATTAGTGGTCCTGCAACGGACTCAGTCTGGTTCGGCTTCTGGTTCTGGTGGAAAGAAAAGAAAAGAAAAGTGAAAAGAAAAAAAAAATTGACTCTGTCAGAACAAAGAGCGAGAAGAAGATTCATCACCGGAGAACTGATTCGCCGTCCCAGAGAAAGTTGACCAGTAAACACCCCCGAGGTCTCGACTCTAAATGCCCCGATCTAGTCGATCTTGGGAAAAGAAAGAATCGCAGAAGCAAAATGGAAGCGGAAAATGGCCGAACTTGCGGCTGGTACGGAGTGCATACATACACAGAGGGCGTACATACTACGGCGTCGGTATTCAATATTAAATCATAATAGAATCCGAATCCAAGTCTAGCACCCCGTACTTTTTCATCCAACGACGAAGATCTGTTCGTCAGGCCGATCGCCTTTCGCCGGCGATCCTGCTGGGATCTCGTTGTTAGCGGCCGCACCACCCGCACTCTGCAGTCGATGGATTCCAGCTGCCACTTGACTACGGGCATATTCCGGACAGGCTGTGCACCATCCCTCGCCGGGGAGAAAAGATCCTTTCATCGACGCAGTGTTGGCATCATTGGTTCTCGTCCATGGAATTGCATTGCTGGGTGGTTGTTTCGCATCGCTGGAGGCTTTTTGGGATCCGCGGAACCGCCGCCCCACCCATTCCTGCACTTGCACTGACGTCCACAATCCAGGGCACTTGCGCATTGGATTATTCAAGATGATACATTCATATCAAGAAGAAATACGGAGTAGAAAGAAATCCATTTGGTCGGAGTGCCTTCCCCGCCATGTTTATACTACAGGACGCCGCGGGTGGGCGACCCAATCGACCTCGAGTGCCGTAGAACGAGATGGTCCATGGGACAGACTGCCCGGTTTCCATTCCCCTGGCCAGAAGAACTCCCAACCATCGGAAATCAAACCCAGAGGTCAGGAGCCATGGTCATGACCCAGCATGCAAGTGAACCTCCCTTCGACAACTCCTGTGTCCGCCAAGGGACTAACAAACGGATGACGGGCCGTCATTGGCCTGGACGCTGCCTGACCGATTCCCACGATCGCGGATTGGAATGTCCCAGGCAAGGGAGACGGCCGAACGAGGTCGGTGTGCGATGAGGGTGTATGGTAGATTGGCAGACTGCTTCCAAGGCTGACTCTGAAGATGAAGTTACCCGCATGCTCCGAGGGATGAAAAGCGGCGGCTGCATCTGCTGCATGGGATACCGTCACACAGAGAGAGTACAGCGTATGTACAAGTGTCCGGGCTATTCCCGATTGAATTGAATCGACCCAGTGCCAACTCATACTTCCTCTCAGACCGTCGTCCTATTTGGCTTAAGCTTAATTGCAAAGCTCGGGGGTTCTTTCGCCATGGATCCCCTCCTAACCGGACGCGCTGGTCATCTTCGCAACCTGCATGGATGGGAGATTTGATGTCTTCATGATGTGCTGCGAATGGAGCAGGCCGTGATGTCGTCGGAACGGTCCCACTGCCGTCATTATTCGTGTACGAAGGTCACTGGTCAATGCGCTTCCCTCCGTACACCGCCTATTATTGATTGATTGATTGATTGATTTGTGAATGAATTATTGAGTCTCTGCCGTCTTCAAATTTCCATGATTGCACCAGGAACGGAATTCCTCCCCACAAATCAAAATGGGCCTCGAGCCAGATGGATGGAAACCTCTTCCAACAGCCATCTAGAAGAGGGGGGAGAGAGAATCGATACATTCTAGAGCCAGGGCATACTTGGGTCATCGGAAAGGCATTGAACCAGTTCGTCGAGGCTGTACCAGTCTTCGAAAGGAGAGAAAATTCCCCCCAGACTCCGCAGGACCGGCGGAACAAAGCAGAGCCAGACTTGAGGCGGCTGGCGAAGTGGAGACGATGTTGGAAATCGCATTCGAATCTTCTTCCTCGGGAATGCTACTAGCGTTGCGGCCTTTCTAGACCGCCGTCGTTCCAGGGATCCGGCTTGATGGCCTCGCTTTTCCAACTGGGCTTCTATTATTATTATTGATTATCGGCTAAAGGTCGCCAGGAACATTCAATGATCAACAATCCATTGTCCCCTCTGGGACATGTCTACGGGGCGTTCCGATGATATCGTAATGATCCGTTGACGCTCAGCCTTTAGCAGACAGCCTTTAAACATTTTTCTTTTGGCTTTCCCGGGGTAGTAGTCTCTCAGCCTGGAGGAAATAATAATAATAGCAAAAAAAAGGGTCATGTCAAGGGCCATCAGCGTCGGTGTACTACACAGTAAGGCTGTGTGCATGTGTAGCGAAAAAGTCGTCCACACCACGGAGCATTGCCCCCCTGAGAGGCTGTCGGCTTACTCTTTCGGCGTTCGCACCTCCTCCGTGCTCAGGGATCACCCTGGAACAAAATCGGGTTGCAAGGGTCAATCAGATTAGCAGCATCGGACGTTTTCCCAACGCCAATTGCCTCTGAGCGTCCTAGCCACTCGTCGGCCCGGCGGAATTCGCCTTCTTGCATCCGCCTGTCTCTGGCAGAAACGGCGCAATCCTGCGGGATGCCTGCATACAGCTCGTTGCGGTCAAGCTTACTCCCGATACGGCCTATATCGCCAATAATCAATATTCGCGATCAGCCAAAGATCATACATCTCAAATGATCAATTCCCTCCTTGCAACTTGAAGATCTGTGGTATGATCGTCTCCGCCTGGAAGACAGGGGTTAGTCTACGATCGTCGCCGGCTGGTAGTAGTGCGACCTTCCTGCCGAGGAGTACTGCGTACCTACACGCACCATCCAAGTGTAAGTCAAATCTACTGCGTAAACACTTGTGATGGAGGTTGCACGGAACATTGGCGAAGTACTCCGGCGTACATCCGTTTAATCTTGATTTTGTACCTGCGCAACCCGGTGAGAAGCCGAGGAATCTAGGTCCCCCGTGCCAACAAGTTTTTTTATCGTCGGCAATTCGAGAGAAATATCCCATCTTCCATATGACGCTCTGTTGACCAGACAGCGTAATGATCGCCGTCAGAGAGCATCCTCCGTAATGGCATACCCACCTTCATTGCCGACGGAGTACTTCTTAAAGGTCGACGGAGTACTCTCTGGGATATTCTAGGCCCCTCTGGCGTTGCGCGGAGTATCTCGCTCATGCCGCGACCCCGTCTGTCCGCAGGGCCATACAGGCTGCATACGGCGTAGTATTCCGTAACGATCAATAAATTATGTGGAACATCCCTCACGCACTATTATATGAAGGCTCAGGGGCGCCAACGCCCCCGTGCTACGTGCGAGACGCACGTAAATCAATGCGAGGCGACTTTCAAGAATCTAGCGTTTCCAATTCTTCAATTATTGACCGATATCCAAGCCCTGTTCCAGTGTGTATCGGGGAGTGGAGACGCGATGTCTCACTTCAAAACGCCAGCTTCCCCCCGGGTCTCCATGCTGTTCGCTCGCTTGCGAGGTTAGCGCCATCCCTCGATCGCCGGGCAGGAGACGCTTCATCCAATGAGCACGTGAGAATTGTCGGCCAGTATGGATGATGCTGTTCAGTAGGTATTCAGTAGTCCGTACAGAGTAGCATTCCGTAGTAGGACATAGTAATAATGAATGGTGGACGGTGGACGATGATTTCCATCCGTCGAGGTGAAATGAGTTGGGGTCCCGGCAGGAAGACACGAGGTGACACCAAACAGTGCAAACGCCGTCGCGCCCAACGCGTTCCCCAGCAACCATTTCCTTTGGCCTCACTCAGACAGGACTCCGCCCTGGGTCCTTCTAAAATTGGTTCATAGCTGAAGCTCACTCCGCACTATTGTTTCGTCTCATCTTTTCGCTTCTCAAGCATCACCAATGGGGAAGAAAAGGAAGCGTCCCGTCAAGGGTGACCGACCACGCGAGGACCTATCCAAGACCCGCAGCCCCTCGACACAAAAGGACGTCCCTGAACTTTCCCATCCAGTCATTTCTTTATACTACCCTCGGGTCGTGACGCTGAGGCAGTATCTTCTGCAGCAATTGCCCGTCTCTTCGAAGTCACGCCGCCGCAGAATTACGGCGGTGCGTAATGACATAGCATCTACCAATTCGGGGAGCCGTGAACTCGCGACTCTTCTAGATACGACCCTGGTGGGAGTTCTCGAGATAGAGCCGTCGCCGACATGCACTCCACGTCCCACTTCTCAAGTCCTTAGCACAGATACCGGCGCAATTTGTGCCCAGGAAGAGGTAAGGCTCATGTGGTTGTATATATGTAGACTTGTATATTCTGTCAATGATTGCCGAATTTGCCCGGACAGAATTCTCGGGAATGCTGATGCTGACCTTCATTCGTCTGGATAGATCGTGAATAACGTTATAAGACGATTATTTAGCCCCAATGGGATCTCAATACCAAGGCCAGGCCACCTCTTGACCTATGGATTCCGGCCTGCTTACGGGAAGAGCAGCGAGGTCCCTTGTACTATCCCTGGCTATGTGGAAATCTTTCCCAACCAGAATGTTCAGGCGCTCAAGAAAGCCCCGTGGACAGATGTTCTTGAACTTCTGGGACCCAATGGAGACGAGATCATGTTCGAACTGTTGTCTCATTGCGGAGTCTTCACTGCTGTAGATTACCGGAAAGGCGTATACTATCAGGTCAGCGGTAAGCTTCGCTTTTATCTTTTACCCCCCTGGGTCATAGGTAGTTTCTGATTCTGAGTTTTACCTAGGAGTGCCGCTTTCTGAAATTAAGCCGGCTCAAAAGGAGCAACCGCGAGCACCTCTGTCCGTTACAACCGAAACGAAGAGTGTAAAGCCCCAGTCTGCTAAAGAAAACCCGGTCCCTCACCGGGACTTACGATGCAAAGCCAATAGCATTGTTTTCCCTCGTCGGCGAATGCTCTATGCGCGTCCCACACTCGCTCCGAATGGCAGGATTCAGTACGGGTTGACAGATCGCCGTAAGTACTGAGATATTCCATTAGCTTACTGCTTCACTCTAATGAACAAGATAGACGTCCTCAATCGTTTCCGCTCCTCCGAATCACTGCCTGACACCGTCCATGTAATGAAATATGTCTTTCCTAAGCAGTTCAGGTTGCAGAACGTGTTCACGTCGGTGCCAAACAGCAACGAGTCGAATTTTTCCTTGAAAGTCGAAAGCTCGCGTGAGGAAGAAATTGCTCAACACGAAGCGCGTAAACCAAGCGGACCGGACGAATCGCCACGAATCCCGAAGAGGCTTCGAGGAAAGCCCCTGGAGTTGGTCCGTCAATTGCAAACTCGTCACAAACGTTGCCCGTACGCACAGTTACTACAGTATTACTGCCCACTAGAGGTATGTAATCATTCATGACACTATGGATCTGGTATTAATTGTACAGTCCTCGGGTCCTTGGAAGTTAAGTTGCGCCGACACTCAGAATGAGATGTCGCGGGATCTGAAATCATCAGGAGCCGAAAACCTCATCACCCAACCTGCTGGCCCCGGTTGCGTACTCCCATCTACCGTGGCCGAGACGAACGGAGACCTGAACACCGTGGATGTCCAAAAGCCCAAGAGCAATATTCCAAAGCCAAAACTCAGTCTCACGGACTATGCGACCCCGTCGTCTTCGGTGTCAGCTTTCTGTCGAGCAGTCCTGCGCAAGTTAGTTTCTCCGCAGTGGTACGGAGTCGGCCAACAAGGGAAGTCCAACCAGGGTATCATTCTCAAGCATGTTGATCGATTTGTGCGTATGAGGCGTTCGGAGAGTCTCAGCATTCACGAGATCTGCGGAGGCATTAAGGTCAGGATGCATAGAACTGTTTTCCGCAAGAAATCATCACTAATGTGGGCTGAACTAGATTAAATTTATTCCTTGGCTGAAACCTCCCAACATCGACGACCAGCGGAATAAGCTTTCTTTAACCGACTTGCAGAAACGCACCGAGCTCCTTCACGAGCTCCTCTACTATATTTTCGACTCAATTCTGATACCTCTCATTCGATCTAGCTTCTATGTCACAGAGTCTCAAAGTCATCGGAGTCGCCTGTTCTATTTCCGACATGATATGTGGCATCAATTGACTGCGAAGCCTCTGGCTGACCTCAAAATTTCCATGTTCGACGAATTAAGGCCCGCAAAAGCAGCCAGTATATTGAGTCGTAGGGACTTGGGGTACGGCTCATTGCGACTCCTACCGAAAGCGACTGGCATCAGGCCTATATTGAACATGCGCCGACGAATGCCGGTGAACAACAAATGGAAAAATAGTAAGCGTCAATATTTTAGCCCAAACGTCAACTCAACTGTTACACCTATCTACGACATGTTGAATTACGAGATCATGCGGGAGCCGGCTCAACTTGGGTCTTGCTTGCAGTCGGTAAGAGAGATACACCCCCGGCTACGGGCTTTTAAAGAACAACGCGCATCACAAGCTGTCCTGGATCACACCAATCCTAGTCGGCAGCCTTTCTACTTTGTCAAACTCGATATCCAATCGTGTTTTGATAATCTTCCTCAGCAAAAGTTGATCCGACTTGTTGAAAATCTGGTCTCCGAGAAAAAGTATCATATGGCAAAACATTGTGAAGTGAGAGCACCCGATGAGTTCAGCGGTATGTGGCCGTCTCACGGGTCTCTGCCTCGACCGAGCAAGGGTCGAGCAAAGTTCCAGGGTCGAGCAGGCCCTACCACCAAACCTCAGTCTCTAATAGACACTATCTCCAACGGCGGCCTCAGTCGCAGGAGAAACACGGTCTTTGTGGATACCAGGACACACTACGACCGTAATACGGAGGCTTTGCTAGATTTGCTTCATGACCATCTCCAAGACAACCTTGTCAAGTTTGGAAATAAATACTTCCGACAGCGCAAAGGAATTCCTCAGGGTTCGAAGCTATCCAATCTTCTCTGCAATCTTTTCTTTGCCAAAATGGAACGGGAGGCCTTGGGATTTTTGGACTCAGATGACGCTCTGCTTCTTCGCCTCGTAGACGACTTTCTGCTAATCACCTCGGACTCAACTCTTGCCTGGAAATTCTTGACGGTGATGGTCAAAGGACAACCTGAGTATGGGGTCATCGTGAACCCCTCAAAGAGCTTGGTCAACTTTGCCGCGGTGGTCGAGGGGACGCACATTCCTAGACTAGTCGACACTTCTTTATTCCCGTACTGTGGGTGTCTCATCGATGTTCGCACCCTGGAAATGCACAAAGATCATAACAGGCTGCTTGAAGGGGGAGACACCGCTGCTGCGACTCTATCAGATGCTCTGACCGTTGAATCATCCAAAGCTCCAGGACGCTCTTTTCATCAGAAGATTCTTGGAAGCTTCAAGGGATCGATGCATCCCATGTACCTCGATACCAACCACAACTCCCTCGCGGTCGTACTATCCAACCTGTACGCCAATTTCATCACGACTGCCATGAGGATGTATCGGTACATGCGGGCTCTTCGCGGCCGAAACCATCCTACCCCAGAGGTGGTGATTCGAGTCATAGGGGATCTGACGGAGTTAGCATACCGACTGGTTCAAACCAAGCGAGACTCGTCCTTATCGACGACCTGCATCGCTCAAAAGTCCCAGCTGAATTATCTTGCAGCGGCGGCCTTTCGGCACGTGTTCAGTCGCAAGCAAACGCGATACGGAGCTGTCTTGAGCTGGCTGGACCGGTTTTACAAAGCCAATCAACCGAAAACCGATGGCAAGTCAATGCGACTGGCCCAGGTGGTACGCAAAGGCAATTTGCTCTACGGCAGCTGGCGGTTCTAATCAACTAGACACAACCTGGGATTAAATACCATCAATCATCCTGAGCCGTTCTGGAGGATTTTCGGGATCGGTAGGGGGAAGTACGGAGTAAAATTAGAACATCCAACGCTTGGTTCAGGCGCCCAAAAAAAGAAGCGCAGGAAGTACGGAGTAGGGACCATAGTTCCCATAGTTCCCGCGACGACTGCTCCATGGGCAGAGCATGACATACCACGGAACCATGACGAGCGGACCTGGATATGACTGGATCAGGGGGGGAACAAAAGAAGGGGGGAGAGGAGAAAGGGGGAGGCAAATCGGATCTGGTGGTTCTTCAGCCCATCGTAGGAAAATGTCAACAAAGAGTTAATTGACGATCGGAAACAGCCATATCCTTTCCACGAAAGTTGCACACGGGAATCTGGCGAGTGGAGAGAGTGACTTAATTTGTGGCGGTGGAAACAGACCGGGACTAAGTCGTAGTCCGGCGTAGTTCAGGTCGCTGCAACCGGGGCGATACCTGGGCCGGCGTAATGGGCAGCGTACTGCGGGTGGTACCCAGCCCGTACCCTGTACATGTACCTGTAAATACGGATGACCAACGCCTACCTACCTAGGTACTGCGATGCTCCGTAGTGGGAGATGCTACCTGGGTAGTTTTACTGTTTTCCCAGATGATCGGCGGGCCAGCAGCGTCCTTAGTACACCGTAATACTCTGATAGGAGGACTCCTCCTACTGCACTGAACAACCGCCCCCGTCGACGGACAAGAGGATTCCTGCGGGCCTCCACTCGGATTGGCCAGACCGCGTCGAACGCCTCAGGCCTGCCCGCCGGTCACGCCGGTTGCGGCTTCATTTCCTTTCGTTTGATTTGATCCATCGCTGCTCCATCCATCCCCTTTGCTGCCCCCATCTTCGTGGTCGACTTCCGCTTCCTCCTCCCCCTCCTCTTCCTTCACTCTTTTCATTCCTTCATTCTTGTCCTTCGCTTATTCCATTATCTCCTCGTCCTGCTTTCGCTTCATTTTTCCTTTGTCGTTGCCGATCTGACCATCCTCGGGCGCTCAAATCGCTGGTCGGACTTCCCTGTCTCCCTCGCCCGCTCGCTCTTTCTGGGGAAATCTTTGCCGCGTCGAGCCCGACCTCGAGCCGACCGGCTGTGAATAACTACCATATTTGGACGGGATCCTTGATGGCTCTCGCTGCCCTTCAAAAGTATCACTTATACCGTCCAGGACCTCGGGTTATCACGACCTTTTAGTCCGTCGTTCGCTGAACCTTTTTTTTTTTTTTTTTTTCCAAAATTTATCTTTCCCATTCGCTGCGCGAACACATCTGTCTCTCCGATATTGGACACAGTATCTCGGTTATTCCCTCGCTTAGCGTGTTCTCATACATTCGTCGCGATATCCTGGGTTTCGAAAGCAATTGGTGCCTGCGATACGAGATGACGACCGTCTGTACAACCCCCAACTCGCCGCCCGAGTTATCCGGGTCCAAATCCTCCAAATCCTCCTCGTTCCGCTCCTCGTCGCAACTATCAGCCCCGGACGGCATCCTAACCGATATTTCCAACTTCGAAGAGATCGGCCTGGAAGACGATGCGGATTTGTCCTATAAGGAGGCTGCTTACGGGCGACCCGCTGGGCTGTCGCGGTCTTCGACGGCCAGGCTGCAAGCCAAATCCCCCGTTACCACGACACGCGACCTAACGTCAGCCCCCAAATCGACCAAAACCCCTTATCCGCCCTTACAAAAACAGGTCAACGGCACCTTGAGCCTCCAGACTCGGGCCGGCTCTAAGTCTAAGACCGGGGGCAAGCGCGATTCGAATAGCACCACGACATCCTCGTTGCACCCTTCCAAGCCCCACCGTTCGCGCTCCACGTCGCCCCTGCGGCCGTCGTCTGCCCTCGGCTCGTCGCCTTCGACCAACAGTCTATCTTTGTCGCCCGTCAGTGCGCGACCTGCTCTCAATCGCAAACAATCGTGGCAACCGAATCGCAAGTCTCTCAGAGAATTGGAGGAGGAATATCATGATTCAGACGAGGATTTACCGGAGGATGCTAGTCTGTGGAATGTGCCCATATCTCCTCGGCCGATGCAAGATCGTGCGCCGTCTCGAGGGACAAGTCCCGACGGCCGAAGTCCAGGCCCGCGACCTTTGCCGTTGTCGCACTCGGTCTCGGAAACGAATGTTCCTCTGTCTCCAGGGGCCAAATCTCCGGGCGCATCTCGTCCCGGCCGACACAGCACGCGATCAACCTCTGCAGGACCGAAGAGCGGCCAGATTTCTCCGCGGAACCCCCGCGTCTACTCGTACAACAGCATGATGTCTGATTTGTCGGAGGAGGCGAAAATCATCACGGAGGCGCTCGAGTTCCATGCCGATGAACATGAGCGGAAACGCGGGGAGAACCTACAGAGTGGCCTGTCGTCGATGCGATCGAGCACAGACTCCAAGCGGGGGTCCAGAGGCACCATCGAGTTGCCTCCCCTGCAGAAATCCAACATTATGATAGACCCCTTGCCGATCAGCAAGGAAAAAGAAAAGGTCTTGTCACGGACGCGGCCCAGCTGGCTTCCTCCGAAAGATCAGAAGGAGGAAAAGAAACACCTGAAGGAATACAAGCAGATGATGGCTCAATCCCGAGAGGCAGGTTAGTATCTGCTCCCTGCAGCTTCACGGAAACTTCAGGTGACTAACACCCAGCAGACAAGCGTCGGGCCGCGAAGGCCGCCTCGGCCAAATGCGAGAAAGACAATACCCGAGAGGCCCTGCAGAACATCTGGGATGACTACGTGTATCCAAACTGGAACCGTGCCATTGGTGAAACCCGTACGCGCGAACTTTGGTGGCGGGGGGTTCCTCCGAAAACCCGAGGAACGACCTGGCAGCGTGCCATCGGCAACGAGCTGGCGCTGTCTGAAGAAACGTACAAAAAGGCGCTGCAGCGAGCCAAGGATGTCAGGTCCAGGCCCGCCGGAGATTCCGGCGAGAGCAACAAAAGGATGCGAGAGTGGTTTGATGCCATCGAAGCAGACGTGTCCAAAGCATTCTCGGATTTGAGTCTCTTCCAGGAAGGTGGTCCGTTGCGCGATACGTTGATCGACGTGCTTGAGGCATACTCCATGTATCGCAGCGACGTGGGCTACATCAGCGGTCTCCACGTGAGTAGCTCTTGCTTGATGTCTCTATCATAATAATCACGCTGACTGATGAACGTTATAGACTATTGCCGCTCTTCTCGTCCTTCAATTCCCATCCCCTGCATCCGCATTCCTGGCCATGGCCAATGCACTCAACCGGCCGCTGGCCGTGGCCTTTCTCACCTTAGATCGTGGGGCCATTGGCCGTACATATTCGCTAGCGTCTGCGACGCTTCGCTATAAATTCCCTCGTCTTGCCTCTCACCTCCACGAGACACTGCAGCTCACTGACGAGGATATCTGGGAACCCATGTTCCGCTCCCTCCTCACCAACGGGCTCGACTTGGAGCGCGCGAGTCGCGTCTGGGACTGCTGGGTGTTCGAGGGGGATCGCATCATGATTCGCGCGGCGGTGGCGATTCTCGGCTGCCTGCAGGCCCAGCTGTTTGGATTCACCAGCCCGGACGACCAGGGTCGTCTCGCAGTCAAAAACATTCTGGGATGGGGTCCGCGTCACACGGGGACTAAACCACGGGAGCGTCACAGCGCTCCGGCAGCTTCTGCCGCCGGGTTTGGCGGCGGACAGTTTGCCAACGCCGGTGATGGTGACTACTGGATACTCACCTCTGCAGGTGACGAGGATGGATTCATGACTGAAGTTCGGGAAGCGGGTAAAGTGCGAAATTAGAAGTCGAATATTAATTGAATACCTGGGCTATGATCCGGTTAGAGCGTCCCGGTTGTCGCCTTCGAGCAGTCGTGTGTTTTTAGTGCTTTCCTTCTCTTTCTTCGTGTTCTCTTTGGAGCCGACTATTCTTTTGGATATACTACCTTCAGGCAACCTCGCTGGTGTCCTTCTTTGCCTGGTTATTTACACTTTCTGTTGATTGATGGTGCTGTTTCGCCTCGTCCATTCTTACTGGCAGACATAGGCAGTCATACGCCTGGACGATTGGCGAGTAGCCCAGGGACCGATGTATAATATGTATCACTTTGGATGGTTTTCCTCAATCCATTCTTATTCACACCACGCATTGGTGCCGCAGGGACCTTTTTTGTAACCCATAGACGATGAAGACAGCTTCCCCCATGCGCCCGCGTGGTCAGGGGATCAGCATGAGATGCGCACGCATGATCTGTGAGTTCGCAGTCTTCCACTGGCTAATGCGAAGTTTAACGAGTAATCAAACCTTCACAGAAAGTTCGGTCCGGCCCGATCTTGATGGTCTCGTCGCGATACCCAGGAGACCTCGGTTCAGCCTATGCAGCGCGAGGATATGTGATACTTCGCAAGAACCCTCATGGCAGCAGTTGCAGTCAATGGGGTTTTCATGCAGGATACGATGGGAATCTCAACGCTCGACTTGAATGTGTGACGAAGTGGCTCGCATGAGGCCTTTAACCCACCAGTACCGCCAGTCTGTCCGGTGAGGCATTTTTGGTTCCACGAATGCGATCCCCCCCTTGATGCACGGATGGCTGCATGTCCCTTGGGTCGAGAGCTGTCATTTGAGTCGAGGCATAAACGGTCGCAGAGAGCTCTGGGCCCGTATACCACGGTATAAGTACCTTCCTCCAACCATCGTTCCTGGACCAAGATGTGATCCCCCCTCCGACGACTGAAGGAGTTAAGTCTATACTAAAAATATACAAAATGACTCGGTCCTGCCAGACCTCGCAACACCACCACCAGATCGATAGCCGCGAACCCAAACAAGCGTCTCCCATTTTCCATGGATTTACCTTGCCTACCATTCTAAAGCGCTGCTGGCTTTCCACACCCGACGACCTCAATCCCCTCGAACGCTGCCCCTTGCTCCTCCCTCCACCATCCTTCACGGAGAAATATGGTAGTTGCCAGAAGATCCTCCATTATGGCACCCACAGCTCCGTCCGACTCTACACACGACCCGTCATTTCGTCGCCTGCGTTTCCCACCACCAGAAAGCCGCCCTTGGTCCTCCAGCGCCATGTGGTAAAGATCTTCCGCCCTTCGTCCAGTCCCTCAGTCGTCACATCCCAACGCTTCGAACAGGCTCTCTCCTCCGCAATCTCTCATCCGAACGTCTGTCGCACCCTCGATGTCCTGCTGAACGAGCGCGGCGAGATGTGCCAGGTCATGGACTATTGCTCTGGCGGAGATCTCAGCATGCTCATCACGATGTCGCCGCAGCGGAGTTTAGACGTTTGCACCGCGAACTGTTTCTTCAAGCAGATCGTCCGGGCGGTGGCGTTCTTGCATGAGAATAACATTGCACACTGCGATCTGAAGACGGAGAACATCTTATTGACGCCGAACGGGGCGGTCAAAGTGGCGGACTTCGGACGCGCGCAGTGGCTGGGGACCGGGAAAGTTGGGATGAATAGCTCCGAGGGCCAGGGGGGAGAAAGCGAGCAACGGGAGGGTGAAGAGGAGGATAGACTATGTCGATCGCAATCCTTGTGTCAGTCTTTGTTTCTGCGCCGAGCTGCCCAGGGGTCGTGCTACTCCCCGCCGCGAAAAGTCCTCGGCTCAATCGCCTATCTTCCGCCAGAAGGGCTGTGTCCCCAGCAGGGCATGCCGGATCGTCGAGCCGGCGATGTCTGGGCCATCGGGCTGATCTACATGGCAATGAGATGTGGTCGCCCACTCTGGCGGAGGGCCAGCGAAGATGAAGACGGCGGGTATCGGTCGTATCTCGATGGTCGCCAACAGATCGGGGGATATTTTCCCATCGAGGAGCTGGGAGAAGTAAGTGTTCTGTTCCTGTGGATCGTAACTTGCTGTTCTGAGAGGGTTCCGTCTAGCTAATCACGGACTACCGATGCAGGTACGCTGTCGGAATGTAATTTATGCGATGCTGCATCCTGATCCTTGTCGGAGGATTAGGGCTGCCGATGTGCTCCGGTCTGAGTGGTTGTACAATATGAGACTTTGCGAGGCGGGAGAGATGGGCTTTTAAATTTCATCTTCATTGGAAAAACAAGCTTAAATTTCATGCTACTATCGTACAGAATTTGAAATCACACATCCTTACTTTTACTGGAGCTATCACCCCCCTAGACTGAGCCCGCAGCCAACACGTACCCACCATCGACCACGACCGTCTGCCCATTCAGATACTGATTCGTCGTCGTGAAAAGCACCGTACTCGCCATGTCCTCCTCCTTGCCCGGCCGAGCAGCCGGCACCTTCTGCTCGTACCGCTCCTTGGGGATGACATTCTTCTGCGCCTCATCGCTCTCGCCAGCCGTCATCTCGCTCGGGAAGACGCCCGGAGCGATGTTATTCACCCGGATACGCAGCTTCGACGACTGCACCTCATGCGCCAACATCTTCGTCAAATGGATAGCCGCAGCCTTGGACGCATTGTACGCGAAATGATGCTGCGAGACCTTGACGATGCCGGAGATGGAGGAGATATTGACGACGGTGCTGGACCAGCCGCGCTCCTGCTCCGACCCCTTCTGCAGCAGCGGCAGGAAGGCCGTCGTCGTCAGGAACAGCTGCGTCACGTTCGTGCGGAACACGCGGTCCCATTCCGCCACGTCCGTCGTCTCCTCGAACAGGCTCTGCCGCAGCTTATCTGCGTCCTCGTGCTCCGTCGTCTGCGTCTGGCTGCTGATCCCGGCGTTGTTGATCAGGATCGAGAGGTACTCCTCGCGCTGGCTGATCTCCTGCACGAGTTGATCCACCGCCTGCTTGTCGGTGATGTCTGCTGTGATCGGGATGATCTGCCCCGGGATGTCTCGGCCGTAGAGCTCGACGACGCGGTCGAGTTTCGAGCCGGTGCGCCCGGTGATGTACACTTTGGCGCCGTTGACGGCGAGCGCTTGCGTGGCCATGAGCCCGATTCCGGATCCGCCGCCGGTGATGAGGGCCACTGGGAGAATGAGGTCAGTCTCCTCTGTGAGTTCAAGCAGGGGTGGGAGAGGGGGATGAGAGTGGTCTATACGTACCTTTGCCCTTGACGTTGAAGAGGTTTTCCAACCGGAAGTTCTGGTTGCTGCTTTGGGCGGTCATTTTGGGTTGCTCAGAAGCCAATTGACTGGTCAATGAAGGGATGAATGAAGAGGAGGGAGAGGTAGAGAATTGGACTCTGTGACTACTGTTCAGAGGCAGTCGTTGAGTTGGGATGGAGAGAATTCGATGCTCGGCTCGAATGGCACTTGATAACTGGGGGAGCTTATTTGCGAGATGTCGTGGTGAAAACATGACTGGAAGAAAATTCCAGCAAAAGAGCAGCAATCCATGGCTTTATACCGTTTTGTCGGTCGAGGTGAAGGTGGTGCAAGATGAGGCGAGAAGGCTTCCATCAGTATGACGTCGATCACCAACCAGGTTACCTCGGGGTCTTCATGAGGTCAACCAGATTCATTCTGCACTGTCATTATGAGATCTTGACAGTTGATTAGAGTGGGTCAATAAGCAGCTTGTCTTTACTACGTAGTAAATTGCAGGTTTCCTGTGCGGACGCGCCGATATCATCTGCCATATGGTATTTAAACCCCTGCAACCCATGTATTTATATATAAACAATCAATTGCGAATCAACAAGCACAACGAAAGCAATTCCAAGCCAGACATATCGTATCGGACCTGCCGTCTACAATTTCGCCTTGACTGCAATCGCCTCGCTCACCGGCGCCACCTCGACCATCATCTTGCCCGTGTTGATGCCCTCGTATAGATCCACAAGACTCTTTGGCGCCGACTCCAGTCCGCCGGGGACAATGTGCTCCTTGCGCTTGATCTTGCCCTGAGTCAACCACGTGGCAAGGTCCTTCAGTGCAGCCGGGTATTGCTTCGTGTAGTCCAAGACAATAAAGCCCTTCATCATCACACGTTGCGACTGTTTGCGGATCAACCATTAGCGGGCAACTCTTGCCAATAAAAAGCGGAAGAGTAGAGGTTAAACTTACAATGACTGTCATGAAGCTGGCCGGTCCTTGCGGCTTCGCCGCGTTATACTGACTGATCGCACCGCAGATGGCGAATCGAGCGTCTTTCGCCGCGCGAGCCAGACAGGCGTCGAGGATCTCGCCTCCGACATTGTCAAAGAACACGTCGATGTACTCGGGCGTCGCCTCCTTCAGCTGCTTCTTCCAGTCCGCGTCCTTGTAGTTGATAGCCGCATCGAAGCCCAGCTCCCTGCGGAGGAATTCACACTTGTCCGCACTGCCGGCCAGCCCGACCACTCGCTTCGCGCCCTGCACCCGCGCAATCTGCCCGGCCACCATGCCCGTCGCACCGGCGGCGCCCGAAATCACCACCGTCTCGCCCGCCTTGGGCTTCGCGACATCCATCATCCCGAAGTAGGCCGTCAGCCCGGTGATGCCGAGCACCGACATGGCGTCGGTGGGCTGGCACCCCGCCGGCACGGTGACTTTCTGCGCCTCCTTGGCCCCCAGCAGCGCGTACTCCTGCCAGCCCGAGTAGGCCACCACCCAGTCGCCGGCCTGGTATTTGGACTGCAGCCCGGCGCCGACGCGCAGCACCTGCGCGATGCTCTGCCCGCGCATGATCTGGCCGCGCTCGACGGGCGCAATGTACGACCGTTTGGCCGTCAGCCACTGGCGCATGGCCGGGTCGAGGGAGAGGTAGTGCACGCGCACCAGCACCTTGTCGTCGGGGACATTGTCGGGGATGGGGGTCGTGTTCAGCTTGAAGGTGCCGTTGTCGAGCGAAGGGTCAATCGCCGGCGAGGGCGTATTGGCGTAGATCAGTTGACGGTTGGCAGCGGGCATTGTGGCAACGATTTGAAAGAAAGAATAAACTAATTAGAATCCAATATGCTTGACTCCGGAAATCTCAGGCGCCTGAGGGTTGAATGGCCGATGGGAAGTCGGGGAGGCAGAAAAGGTGTCTCCTCTCCTTCTCTTTTGCCCCCGACGCCGATGAACCTCGGATGTTTCGCTGTTGCCGGCATTTCCTGATTTCTCATCGTTTTGGGCCTTGGCTCTCTCGCCTCTGCTTTCCCCATTAATGAGAAGGAGAGGTTTTTCTTGTTGAGTTCATTTACTCGGAGTAGCTTGCTATAGAAGTTTGCTGGTCTCAATCGGAGAAAAAAAATTTAAATCTAAAATTAAAAGAAAAAGAAAACAAGACAGGAGTCGAGCATAATTGCATAGCTGACTCAGACTGATTATGCAGAGCACGTGCGGGTATAATGTGATGACGTAATGGTGACTTATCGATAAGCAGCGGCATCACATGACGGGGAGAAGACAAGAAGCACAAATTGCGAATCGCGTCTTCTGGTCGTAAGAATGATGAAGCGGCAGTCAGATCAGACAAACCGACATGCTTCAACCCTGGGCCTGCAGGCTGAATTCCAATGGAATGCTGCCGATCGCCCCATGGCTGACGCCACCGGTTCATCGTCGACCCAGGTAGTTCTCGCCCTGACGTCATGGCATCGCCGATGATGTCTTGTGCCTGGCCGGTTTCTATATAAACATCCTCCCCGATCTCCAGCGGCGTCGGCATTGCTATTTGACCCTCCATTGATCCTAAAGCTTGATTTGTTTAGTTCAAAGTCAGTCTAAACCACTACACCACCATGAGCACTCAACCCCCCTACCACACCTCCACCTTCGGAGCTCCCAATCAGGACCCCAGCGCTTCCACCCCAATTGGAACGCAGGTTGGCGCTGCTCCCGCGACTGATCCGATGACCGGACCTGCGCCTGCTACTGCTGGTTCCCATCAGTCAAACATGGGGAACCAGCTGGATCCTCGCGTGGATAGTGCCCAGCACGCTCCCGGATCGACTTCCGCCGGCAACGCCCATCACACCCCGTACGACCAAGGATACAACCAAAGTGCCAACGCCGGTCCTCACCATTCCTCCACGATGAATAAGGTTGACCCGCGCGTGGACAGCGACCTGGACCACCGGGCCCAACATGCCCCCGGCACCACTGCCGCGGGTAATGTCCACCCTGGCACCGTGCAAGACAGTTCCTACGGCTACGGCGCCAACGACGGCCCTCATCGCTCATCGACGATGAACAAAGTTGACCCTCGCGTGGACGCCCAGACGGGAGACGCAACCACCAACACTTCCGGGTACGCGGGCGGAGCTGGATATGGCTCTACCGGAGCCGGCTCCGCACCGACGCAATCTCACGTAAACCCCGAGCAGGAGGCGCAGTATATCCCTCACGGGGAACAGCGCGAGGATGCCGCCCCCACGGGCTCGAGTGCGACCGGGTCCAAGTCCGCTCGAAAGGGTGAGCAGCTTGGCCACAATGTCAAGTCCATGTTCGCTGGAGTCCATGTAAGTTTGTTTACGCCACAGCATTTAGTACGCAACAGTGCTAACTTTGTTCTCACTAGGGAGCCGGAGAATCGCTCCGTGGCGGTCTCACTGCTGCCGTAGACAAGGCGTTCGGCCATGAAGAGGGAGCCACGAAAAACGCGGAGATTGCTAGCAAAGGCGAGCGGCAGATTCAGACGGGTCAATTTGGTCGCAATGCCCATTGAGTGGTTGAATTTAATCACGAGTGACGATGTTATGACGAGAACCATGTATTTTTATGAGAATTGATCCGGTGATCATGTGATCAGAATGAATCAAATTGACTGATCTTGAGGAAAGAGAGATTGAGTGATCATCTCCATGATAAGATGTAGTTGCTGGTCTAGAGTATCGTAGTTAAAGTTGACGTTGACGTTGTAGTTAAGAATCACGAGACTGGGCAACGGTGGCTGCCTGAGGTGTCGCTCCCCCATTTCTTCTGGCGATCGACGTTTTCCGTCCTTCAACCTTCCAGTCTTTCATCGAGGATCTGCCGTCACATCATTCATTCTTCTTCATTTCATCCTCCATCCGGTTATCCATTCGGGTATGCTGAGCTGTGGCCAATCTCCTCCTCACGGGCTTTCCCACCATGGATCTCCCAAGCGATCCAATACGCTGCTCCCAAACTCAAGATTTCCCCCCGAAGCTTGAGCCGGAGCTCCCGGAGGCTGTGCTGTGGAACCGGTTTTTTTTTTTCTTCTTTGGTTTCCACCGCCACCAGCGAACCACCACGAGCCATGAGGAATTCAAATTAATGAATCAATCAATGGCCCATCTATCGATCGATCCGTCTAGTGCGAACAAAAACGGACCCAACGGCTACGAATACGACTAGAGTCCTCCTGAGTGGGCTTTACATGTGACGACATACTAGTTCAAGCTTCCTCTTCCTCGCCCTTCTATTTTTATTTCCCTTTCTGATCCCTTCTTCTTATCGACTCTTCTGTTGGTAGCCTCTCTTTTTACCACTTGCCTCTTCGGATCTCATCTCCCCTCTCCTTCTTATCTCCATTATTTTATCGCATTACCCTGGTCCCTCCAATTGATTCCCTCCGAACTTTCCCTACATGGTGTAACCCGACCTCCAATCGTTCCCTTCCCACCCGTTGCTCCTAAAGTTATGGCTGTTCCGCCGGCACAGCTTGAACACCATGATCCGGTCAATTCTATTTTGGACCCCTCCCCGGCCCTCGCACAGCCGTTTCCGGCTGGGAACTCCAGTTCTGATAGCGAGGAGCTCGGGCAGCAAGGGCTGAATGCCGCCCGAGAAGATGAAGCCGACGAAGTCGTCGGTGTCAGTATGAGTCGCGCCCAGAGTCGTATGAAGGCGCGACTCACTCCTGCAGAGGAGAAAAACCGCATCATGGAACGCAATGGTGGTTATTTCGAGCCCATTTTGGATGCGAGTGACTCCGACGGCGTCTTCGCCGCCGAGATTACGGCAGAGCCGGAAGAGGTCGAGCCAGGAACCGGTAGATCGTCGGGCAACAACGACGGGCTCGCCCATGCACGGGCCTCGAATCACAATGGACTGCACCCGGATATGGCCAAGAACGCTGGTCAACGTTCCAGCTTTACTCGCTCGATCTTGAAGAATGGCTTGCCCCTGCGGCCGCGTGCCTGGTCCGGGGATAGTCTGGCTAATCGGAGTCTGAAGAAGTTCTTGCCGGACTTGGGGTCGCTGGCCAGACGGTCCTCGCTTTCATTTCGCTCGAACAACTCTCAGCGTCGGTGTCGAAGCCAAACTTTGAAGCCCTCGTCGTCTCGGCTGGCACTGGACCAGGAGGAACCCCCGCGCTCCGCATCGCCGCGGCGCAGATCTTTCACTAACCCTGACCCCAGCATGGAGGAACCGATCTCCGATCTGAACCCCCTGAGTGGACTGAAAAGAGCCAAGCACTCGTATTCTCGTCGACCCAGTGCCACGGTCTCGGGGGTTCCGCCCATCCTGCGCAGGTCGTCTTCGGACCAGTCCTTATATTTGAGGGCCTCGTCCACGGCGTCCTCCCTCGACCAGCGACCACAGTACGAGAATGTGCATTCGCAGGTCAACAGTCGGTTCAAAGCCATCAAGGACAGCCTGCAGGACTCGAGCAGTCGTCTTCTCAGCATGCCCAGTATTCATTTACAAGACCTGCGGAATGACTGGGGCTATAAGCCGTTCAATGACACGGCTCAACGCAAAGGCAACAACTACACCAATGAGCCGGCCTCCCCGCGTGAAGTTCCGGGAGAACCGGCGGCGGCGCAGACTAGAACCCGCCCGCCGCGCACCAACTCGAATACGTTGCATCCCATTTTGACCGAGGCCATGTCTGAACTCAAGGGGGACGTCGTTGTCATGGGCGGCTATCGCGGATCGATCCTGCGCTCCGCAAAACCACCCCAGCGCCAACTATGGGTACCGATGAAAGTCGGTCTCAATCTGCGCAAAGTAGATCTCGAGGTGGGGTTGAACCCGGAGGATGAGGAGCGGATGGAGGAAAGCATCATTCCTTCCGGCGTTCTTTCCCATATCGGGCCGGTTGACATCTGTCGACGGTTGCTGAAGCGCCTCCAGAAGTGCGATAATGCCATGAATGGAGACCTTCGTGTGTGGGACTATGGCTACGATTGGCGCCTTAGCCCGCATCTTCTCTCCCGGCGACTGATTAAATTCCTCGAGGGCCTGCCCTGCAACGCACCCGATGTGCCGCGAGAGAAACGAGGGGCGCATGTCATCGCCCACAGTCTCGGAGGCTTAATAACGCGCCACGCCGTTAATCAGCGACCGGAGCTTTTTGCAGGCGTGGTCTATGCCGGCACTCCACAGCACTGCGTGAATATTCTGGGCCCGCTTCGCAACGGAGATGACGTGCTGCTCAGTTCGCGTGTCCTCACGGCACAGGTCAATTTCACTTTCCGGACGAGCTTTGCACTGCTCCCCGAGGATGGTCATTGCTTCATTGACAAGCGCACCAAGGAAGAATACCGCGTGGACTTCTTCAACGCCCAGGCCTGGGACGAAAGTCGCCTCTCCCCTTGTATCAGCACTGCTCTGCCTCCTCTGACTGCCAAGGGCACCACCAATTTGATGGATAACATCCCGCGCCTCAGCAAACGCTTTTCCACCGTCCTCGGCAGCAAGGATAACCTCTCGTCCGACGAGTCCCCCACTGCATCGGCCGACTCGGTATCGTCGCGACGCAGTGGGGCCACGGAGAACGAGCTCACTCAGAGCCAGAACGGAACCCGCAACGCTACCACCCATAACCAGCCAGGTCTGGCATCCGAGGTGGCCGACAAGGCCTCCGCAATGGCCCCTAACATCGACGGCGTCGTGGGGCCAACCTCCCATCTGCGGGGCTCGTCCAACGTGAAGGCCACAACGGCTGTCACCCTCCCCCGCGCCGCCGCCTTCTCGTATCTCGAACGCACGCTTGCCGAGGTCCTTCGCTTCAAACAGGAACTCGCTTTCAGTCCCTCCCATCACTCTAGCAACCGCTACCCACCCTTCGCTGTCATCTATGGCAAGTCTGTCCCCACGGTCTACGGCGCGCGCGTCTGGTCGCGCGAGCAGATCAAGTGCCAGGACGCATACGATGATCTGGCCTTCGCGGCCGGTGACGGCGTCTGTCTTGCGTCGGCCGCCATGCTGCCTCCGGGATACCGCATCATCAAGGATGGCCTCGTGAAGAGTGACCGTGGCCATGTCGGTCTGATGGGAGACCTCGAGGGCGTCGGCCAATGCCTCCAGGCGTTGGTCCGTGGACGACGAGAAGGGGTGGGAATGGGGGATCCTCTCCCCTAGTATATTGACTCTCCGAATTGTTTCCTTCCTCTCTTCTCTTCTCTTCTCTTCTGTGTGTTTCTTTTTCTTTTTCTTTTTTTCTTTGAAACCCTTCACAAATACCCTCCCGGCTTTTCGAAAGCGATACCCTCTTCCCAACTCCTCTTTACGATGATGACAGCACGGTTCACGATGACGTTCATGGCCTCAACACACCTCCTTATATATATAGAAAAGTCGTCTTGCATGGGCCTTCGTATGTATGTCTGCGGGCTTTTGTATATTCTTCTGATTCCTGTACATAGTGATAAATCACAATATATAGAAATAAACATCAAGTCAAATCTTGCATTTGTATCGTAGCACAGACTGATTTTGAATATCGATTTCGTCGTGCGAATCTATCTTTTCTTTTGCCCCGCGGCCTCTAAATAGATAGTATCTGTTGGAAAATTAGGTAGGAAGGAACAACGTGAAGTAGGCTTCAAAAGGAAAAGAGGAAAGAAATTTTTGAACCAAGAAAAAAAAAAGAAATATATCGGAGTATACGAAAAACGACACATAAGAATGAAAAGCACGCCTTATGCCAACATCAAAAAGTCCAAACAGAGACAAAAAAGGACAATAAGAAAAAGAAAAGTTTATCAGAAGATAAGAAAACCCCGCCAAATAAGAAAAGAAAAGATCTTCACATATCTTAACCGGTTCTGGAGTTGGCAATGTTCAAGACCAGAATGTCGGACGCGCCGACCTTGGTCAGCTCGTCCATCACGGTGGCGATCTTCTTCTTCTCGACCATCGAGCTGACGGCCACCCAGTTCTCCTCCTCGAGGGCGGTCACGGTAGGAGCGCGCTTTCCGGGGGTGATGGAGGACGCAGTCGCAAGCTCGGAGCGAGGGATGTTGTACTGGCAAAGGACGTACTTCTGGGCGGCTGTGAGGGGGGTAAAAAAAGCAATGGTCAGTGGATTCGAGCGGGAAGGCACATATCGAATAATTCGTGGGAGGGAAAGAAAGGGGGGGGGAAGCATACTGATGACACCACGGATACGAGAAGTGATCAGATCCACAAGAGGGTTCTGCGTGTTCTTAGCCTTCACCAAGACGGAGGTGCTCTCGACGACGGTATCGATGGCCTTGAGGCCGGCGGCCTTCATGGTTTCGCCGGATTCTGTATGGTTAGAAGAAATGTCAGTTCAACTGGCCGCATGCAATAAGCCGTTTAGTCCTTCCGTGAAAGAACGCACCGACAAGATCCACAATTCCATCGGCCACACCCAAGGCGCAGGCAGCCTCGACACTGCCGCCCACGTATTTGACTTTGGTGCGGATGTCGTAGCCACCGTCGGCGCGCGCCAGCTTGCTGGCATCACCCTCACTCTCCAGGCCGGCGAAGAAGGCCTCCGTCAGAGCCGTGAAGCTGGTGACAACATTCCGGCCAACCAGTTGCTTGGCCTCCGAGACGTCGCCCTTTTCGGGAACCTGCACCTGCAGCTTGCAACCTCCGAATCCGAGGTCCAGAATCTCCTCCACCTGGGACGTCTCACCGAGTGCCAATTGCGCGTCGTGCTCGGCGATCTGATCGCGACCGGTGATACCCAGATCAACGCGACCCTCGCCGACGAAGGTGGGAATGTCGGCGGCGGGGAGGAAGATCAGAGCGATGGGGAGGTTCTTGACCAGGGCGATGTCGAGACGGGTTTCGCGACGGAACTGGATGTCGCAACCGGCCAAGAGGTCCAAAGTGGCTTGTTGCAACCGACCCTCTGTTTGGCAGATGATACCAGGTTAGCTACTTCTTCATTTTGCCTCGTTATGATGACGTTGTGCGAAAAAAACAGCGGTGAGTCATGGCGAGCACTTGCTTTTAGGGACGGCAAAAAGAAGTCTTCCTTCGAGGCTGCAGGCGCATTGTTAGCGAGGAGATCGAAATGAAACAAGAAGGGAGGAGGTGCCGAGTCCTTGAGGATATTTTGGGCCATATCAAGGCGATTGACTCACTGGTTGACGAGATCCATTTTCACTGACGATCAATGCGCGGGGTACTTCGGATAGGAGGAATTCGTGCCAAAGGGACGATAGGAGGCGGGAATTTGAAGGGAGGTTTCAAGAAGCCAAGAGACAGGTCAACGGCAACACGGAGAAGCTGAGATGGGCTCAATTGGAGGTGAGGGAAGGAAGAAGAGTCGCAGAGACTGACCGAGACGACGGAAATCACACCGAAATCGGGACGGCGGGGCAACGATGACCATGACGGGGCTGCCCGGTTTCGAAGGCAGCGAGGTATCCAGGCACTCAGGCAGTAAGGCAGTAAGGCATGACGTCTGACCGCCCGGCGTGGATGCCCGACGGCTCAGGTGTCGATTAGCCCTGAACCCTCGCGTAAAGTTTTGCCCAAAAGAGAAAGGCAAGCCCACACAAGCCGCAAATCCTCGATTCCATTTTCACGCCGGCCTCAACTTCCACCTCCGCCGCCCCCTTCGCCATCTTCACCTCCTTCCCGTCAACCCTCGCTGTCGTCAAGCCCTATCTTCAAGATGGATGCCAGCAAGCAGCCCGCTAAGCTCGTCAAGGTCACCCGTGTCCTCGGCCGTACCGGTACGTTTTTTTCGATTGGAGACTTTTCGGCGCATCGGAGCTTCCCCGTGTGTGTGTGTGTATAGATGGAGGGGACAAATGCTGACGATTATTTTTCCGCGTATAGGCTCCCGTGGTGGTGTCACCCAGGTCCGCGTCGAGTTCATGGACGATACCTCTCGCAGCATCATCCGTAACGTCAAGGGCCCAGGTATGCGATATCCGTTCTGCCATTGATCTTGAAATTTTGTTCCTGGTTGTGTCTGCCCGCCCGCGAACCGATCCTGTCCGGAAAAGAAGAGCTTCCACAAAAGAAAGACAAGAGGGAGAAAGAGTCTTGAAATTCAGAATCATTGAAAAGAGCCGGGAACATATGAATCAAGAAATGATGGATCTGGAATTCAACGCCACTCGGACTGGAACAGCTTTCTTCGCATGGAACTTCGTGGGCTGGGGGGAACCAACAAAGCAACGTTGATACAAAGGTGCTGAAGCTAACACGCTCTTGCCGCAACCCACAGTCAAGGTCGACGACATCCTCTGCCTGCTCGAGTCCGAACGTGAGGCCCGCCGCCTCCGCTAATCTCCTTTTCCCTCCGAGTTCTACTTCTCTTTTTCCCTCTCGAGGCTATGTACGTTTGCTTGCGTTGGAAATGATTTTGGGAGGAGGTCGGGAAGGCAAAAAAAATGATCATGGGCTGAGATGCGACATGCCGGTGGTGGACCCTCTTTTCGTTTCTTTTTGAACATTCTGTCTGCGTCGAAGTTCCAGAGAATAGAAAAAGAGAGAAAAGACCGATCCACCTGATAATGAAACAAGAAAAAAATTTGAAATTAACGGGTTCGAGTGATTTCACGCTGCCTTCAGACCATGTCGCAATCCTAGTCCGTGAGGAGGCGAGAAGTCACGGAGGTCACGGGCTTGCATGCGGGACTTCTGCCAACGGATTGCCTTTCCCACGTCTCTTTGGGTGCTTGGAGCGGAATCACGGAGTCGGATTGGAATTATCGAACAAAATAAATGATATCCTGGATCTCTACGTCCTTTCTCCGGTCCCAACCCAGTGTCTTGTCTTGCGCCCACACCCCGGGCAGCGGGAGACGCCCTTCGTGAGAATCTACGTGTAGCCGGTTCTCTTGATTTGTCGTAGACATGGTTATCCCCGAAATCGAGATTGGATCTATTTACACTGAACTACCGACTACTATTGTACAGGATTGCCCGAGGCTCAAACAACAAATCGACCACGATAGACCCGGAAATTGTTACAGCCAGCTATAATTGCTCCGCGCTGCTGATCAACCGCGCAAGCAATGCGTCGTCCCCGGCGGATGAATCGTCTGTGACATTTCCCACCGCCGTCACCAGGCCCGCAAGTCTGCGGCGTCGGATTTTAGCCTCCAACTCGGCACTCTTCTCCTTCGCAACGTCAAGCAAAGGCCTTGGCAAATTCGCCAATCGCGCAACGTTGAGTCCGTAACTACGATGGGCCACTCCCTCTCCAACCTCGTAGAGGAAGGTGATATCTTCGTCCTTCCCAGATCCCGATTCCGTAAAGCGCATGTGCACATTTCGGAGCTCCTGGTTGCGGAACGAGTGCACTACCGAGGCAAGGTGTTGGTAATGCGTGATGAAGAGGGTGAGACTGCGAAGAGACCGAACCACGTAATCGAGAACCGCCTGCGCGATTGCAACGCCGTCATGCGTGGATGTGCCACGGCCCAGCTCGTCCAAGATGACCAATGACCGCGGTGTCGCTTGCTTAAGGATGTCTGCTGTTTCAGAAAGCTCCACCATGAACGTAGATTCGCCTGCCAGCATGTTATCAAATGCTCCCATCCGGGTAAAGACAGCATCCAGCATGCCAAGCTTAGCGGACTGAGCAGGAACATAGGACCCGATTTGTCCCATGATGGCAATCAACGCTATTTGTCGGACGTAGCTGGATTTACCACCCATATTTGGACCTGTCACAAGGAGAGCACGGGTTTCATCGCTGTCCAAATCAATGTCATTTGGAACGTAGCTGTCCAGCAGCAGCTGTTCGACCATAGGATGACGACCTTGGTCAACATGGATGCATGTGTGGTCCGTATATTCAGGCTTGACGTAGCCAGGCTGGTTCGCGATGATCGAAAGCGAGATTAGACAGTCAAGAACCGCGAGAGATTGCACACAGTCCCGGAAAGACTGGTAGTTTGCCGAGATGTCGCTTAGAAGCGCCATGTACGCTTGATCACAAGCTGCAGCCAACGCTTCCTTGTGCTGGTCTCGAAGACGCAAGAGCTGAATAACCTCAGGCGTGTGGAATCTTGAGACCTTCTTGGTACCGCTTATCTTCACCCAGGACGCAGGCACGCGTTTGATTGCAGGTGAACTGTTTTCAACCTCGATCAAGTATTCGATGCCAGCGACAGTAGCGTAACGCGCCTCTTTCCTCTTGAGAGCTTCCGCAGCGACGGAGAGATGCTCCTGCAAGTCGTGCTCGACGCTGCCGATTCCAAGTTTGTGCTCACTTATTTCCTCCGTCTCTTCTGATTCCCTGAAAAACGCATATTTGTCGTCACTTTTCGCAGCGTGTAGATTGATTTTATCAAGGAAGAACACAACTTCCTTCAAAATGGTGGGAAGAGACGCGACTGCCTCGCTAACAACGGTTGATGAAAACCCAGTGTCCGCTGGGGACGTGAAATCAGCAAACTCCTGGGCAATCATCTGCAATGTCCGTAAGACAGTAAGAAGTTCCGGGCGTGTACACTGGATTCAATTGTTAGCTTGCGTTTTGATAGAAAGGTTTCCATTGAAAGGAGTCGAATGTACCTTTCCATAATAGATTCGTATCAGGCTTTTCTCTAAATCACTCTTCACTCGTCCCAGTAAGCCTTTGATACGCTCTACCATAGCAATCCTTTCTGGGTTTTTCAATTCTTCGACGGCATTGATCCTTTCTTCAAGCCTCAATTTATCTAGAAGCGGACGTCCCACCCACTTCCGAAGCAGCCTCTGCCCAAAACGAGTCTGTGTCCGGTCCAGTGTCCAGAAAAGACTGCCCTTGGCAGATTGATCGGTTTGGTTCTGGTATATCTCGAGGCTGACCAAAGTGTTGCCATTAAGAAGCATGTGTGACCGAGACGAAAAGTGTTGGAAATACTTTGTCAGCTGGAAAACATGCTCCAGGCCGTATTCTGTCAGATGCTCGATCATTGCGGAGAGACAAACCGTTACTTGCTCGGGTAGGTTCAACACCTTCTGGAGCAAAATGCTCGACACCTCATCGTCCGCGGCATCATTCGCCTTCATTTTCCCTGCATAGAAGCTGGAAACATGGCTGTGACATTCTGCCGCCGCTGTTTTTGATTTTGGCGCTCTCTCAACACGGATGTTGTCACCAAATATATTTGTCCTGCCGCCAGAAAGATGTTGCACAAGCTTTTCAGTTGCCTTGGACAGTTCCCCTAGAATGAGCACTTCGCAGGGCGAGATGTGGAGCAGCCGGGTCTCAATTTCACTCCGCATAAATCCATCTTCGAAGTCATCGTATATAATATCACCCGTTGCCGGCTGAACGGCCACGATGCCTACATGCACCTTTTCGTCGTTTCCCCAACCTTTCGCATTGCTCTCTGTGATGCAAAGCATATACCCAGTTGCTAATGAAGCACCACTCGCTTGTGTGGGTCCTTCCAATCCCTCGGCATCGTCAATGTAGGTTGCTTTTGTGTATAAGTTGGTGAGCTTGCGGCCGAAGGGGGCGTTGCGGTTATCGCCGGCGGCCTTCAGAGCAGCTGTTTCGACTTGCCGAACTACCCCAACTTTGTGTCCAGCAGAAACAAGTCGTTTCACATGAACATGAAGTCTATGTACCGGTATACTGGCGGACGCAAATCGATCCAGATGAGCCTCCGAGGGGTCTAGGGTAGTATCAGCATCATTTTCTCAAATCGAAAAAGGGGATCTCCATGCTTACGTTCATCATATCTGAACTTCCCCGGAATGCAAACAATGTTCAGCTCCTTCGCAGCTACCCTCGCGTCCTCGCCAAAAAATCGAAACTTATAGCCCACTTCGACGACTAGAATCGTATCCATGTGCTTGTGCTTGATCTGGATGACTTGCTTTTCCATTGGGGTCAACTTGCTTCCGCCTTTCTTTGCCGTGGCCTTTCCCTTAGCCGGGGGCGCTGGCGCAGGTTCCTCGTCTTCATCGCCATCCCCAGCCTCGTCTGCCACAAGAGACGTCTCATTGACAGTATGTCTGCCAATCCCGATGAGACACTCAGGTCCACCCAGCTTCTGAACAAACTGCTTATGCAGCTTCTCTCTTTCTTTCCGCCGCTCTCTCTCCTCCTCGTCTGATCTCTGTATTTCCTCCTTCTCTGGGACCGCAACCGGCGAGCTTGTAAATCGAAAAAGCTCGGTTCGTTGGCTGCTGTTCAACAATGGCGTTCTGTCCGTCTGGGGTGGGGCAGTTTCAGCAGGGGTGTTGGTCTCGTCTTCTAAATGGGCTCCGTTTCTTTTGGTGCGCTTTGCTACAGGCGTCACAATATCTTCGTCTTCTTCATCGATGGCGTGGGCTTTATTCTGATGCTGCTCCTTCTCCTGGGAACTGGCCTCCGCGACACCATTGGTCGACCTTCGCTGGTCGCCGACGCCATTGTGGGGGGCCTTCTCGGCTGCCTGTGGTCTTTTCGTAAAAAAGCTTGCGATGGATGGTTGCTTGCGCTTAAGGCTCGGAGATGAATCCGATGGCGATTGGGATGATTGTGTGGGCATATTTCCTGCTCTAAAAAGTTAAGTGCCGGTCCTTTGGCTTCGGAGTTCGGACAGTTGCGATAGGGAAAGCGAGAAACCAAGTGGCGATGAGACGCTTAGCCCTTGCCAATAGGGATGAGAGGTATCATGAACAACTGGATAGTCCTCACGCAGTCAGCGACATTGAAGTATTTGCACACAGGGCCGGGTGCTCACAAAATTCCAGGATAGGTCAACTACAACCCCGGCTGGGCCTTGCGGAGCTTGACGCGTGAGGACGCGCTAAGCGTGTTTCGGGTCTATTAAGCAGCTTATCTAATCCGCCGGCTAATGGCCGAAGTATGGCTACGATGCTGTCAGGGCCAACAACCTACATCTCCAGGTATCAAGCAGTTTATAATGTTAATTAAAATAACTACGGAGCTTAATACCTAGGTTAAGGGTCAATAAAATCAGAGTTTCATCCTGTGGGTCTGTCACATCAATATAGGGTGAACAGTATCCACGATGTACAAAGACAGTGCCGATATATAAATGCGCCATAGTGCATGCAAATTCATGGTGGCCATTGGAAGAAAGCCCAAGCCAAGGCACCGAGGGTGAAGGCTAACAAGAGCTTCCATCCAAATATAAACGCTCAAAATCATCTTCGTCGACATCGGATACTGTTGCTTCGGGAGAAGTTGACTGTGTTACAGATTGGGAGATAAAGCTTTGATCAGCCTCAGTGGTGTACATGGTTTCCTCAAGGGGAAGCCTTGAGAACGAGGCAGCCAGGGGATTGTATGAAAGCCCCGAATTGCTGTCCTGATTCTCGAAAGGACCGATCCCGATACACGGTGCGTCACCGAAGAAGTATTGTGGTGGATATCCTGTACCACTCTCCACCGGTCGTTTCATGCCAGGCGATGCCCAGCCCACAAGAGGGTCAATCCGGCCGTGAACATTGAGGAGCGGCTCGATATTCTCCTTCCCCAACCCAAAAGGAGCCGAGCCTCCGACTGAGCTCGAAGTATATGGTCCATTGTGCATTTGATAAAAAGGCCCGTTAACCATAGAGTTTGACTTGAGCAAGGGTGATTCCGAAGAGAGCAGTCCATCCCCGTAAGGATGGTCAATCGATCCTGGTCTGCATTGGCTAGGTCGATCACGGAAAACATTGAATTCGTTGCGAAATCTAGGCTTTTGCTGATTGAAAGATAGAACAAAATCTTCATTGTCATCTTCATGCGAGCGACTGTTACCGAACCGAGCTTGCAGTTGAAGAGGACTGTGCGGGCAATACAAGCCGCGCGGATCCAAGTCCCCTAGACTTCCCAGTACGGGTTTGGTTGGTCGTTTACTGCGTTTTCGGTCCTGTACCCGATAAACGTTAGGGTCGGCTTGGGAGAGGATCCGTTTGGGACGATTTGCCCGTCGTCTTGGGATCGGGGTCTCTCCTTTCAGAGGGCTGCTGTCTTCGACATTGCCTGAGATGACGCGTTGCTTCCGCAATGCCCCAGTGGGAGAGAAGATCAGCTCCGTGGGCTCGACACACATAGAGGTTTTCTCCATCATTCTCAGGATGCTCTCATCTTTCTTCTGGTTACGTTTGCGTCTCATTTGCTCCGTTGCTGAATCAAAAATGTCCATTCCCGGCCACAGGACTCCTTTCAACCTAGCAATTTCCTCTGCCCTCTCCTTGTCTGCCTCAATCTCATTGTCATCGATGAACGGATCGGAGTTCGGATACTTGTCTAAAGCCTGCGTGACCGTGTTCGCCATGAGCTCTAAAGTTCGAGTCCAATTGGGCGTGCTCTGGAAGGAGGAAGACGTTCCTTCTTCAGTGTCTAGCCCGTGTTCTTGTTTCCATTGACCGAATATCGAATGCAGCGACCCCCTGGGCGTATCGGTATCCAGCGAAGGATACAAATCTTCGCCGTAAGCTGAATTATCAGCATATGAGGACGCCACCGAAGGAATATAGCCCATGGACCCCGGGGTAGACCCATCGCCAACATCTGGCTCTACCTTCAGGCAGGGATCGGCCAGTCGCGGGTCTAGATAATCCGGAAGGGCATTGCGAACCGAAGGACTAACACTTGAGGAACTGACTTTGCAACCGCTGTCCCGTCTCGTGGCATAGGTCTGCTTACGGGTTGTCGTCTTTCCCTGAGGTTTCTTTTTCTGGATATCCTTGGATGACATCCGGTCGGACAATAGCTTCGCCAGATTGTTGGATTTGTACCATCGATCATATTCCTCGAGTAAGGTCACGGCCTGCGATTCCTGGTGACTGCGGACTTGAAGTTTGAAGTAATGAGATAGGTGGGCCTTTGACGAAATATGAGTCAGTAAATGAGATACATCGCTGAACCTTGGGCGTTTGGGGCAGATGTTGCAGAGGAGCGCCGCTGCATCCATTGTGGCCGACCCCGACGAAAAATGGAAGGATTAATGATGACCGATCCTCAAGGGAAGTAACAGGGTAGAGCAGCAAGCGGATAATTGCACGAAAGAACGAACAACCCCCCTGCAGTGAAGGACGCGAGACAAAGATAGAAGGTAAAGACCTCCCCAATCTGACAAGTGAAGTGCCTCACAACCTGCCCCGGACATATCACTGCTACCAGGGCAAGTGGGAGGGGAGGACCGGAGAACGAAACACATGCCCAGCTCTGGGGAGCAAGTGGTCAAGTGCAGAAGGAGCTGCCCGCCAGCTGGGCTGAGGTAGGCACGAGACGGGCCGGAAATCCCGTGCTGCGGAGATAGAGAGTAACAAAACAAAAGCATTTCATTTCGGGTTTCTATGGACAGTAACTCATACGGATCACTGGTTCATGTGCCATTGCGTCTTAACAACCGATTAACAGGTCATTGTGAAGTGATGAAGCGGAAATAAGTCGCAATGCCAATCGCTCTTCTCCTGCCTTGTATCCCATAATCCACGGAGGTAAGAAAAACGGGTTATTAGATTGCAGGAGGTAGTGAAATGACTACGAAGGAAGGACAGATCAGGTCACATATCATGTTACCTCGTCAAATATCGGGTTGTTATTGCTTTGGGCATACAACTGGGTAGCCGTTAGAATTGCGCCGGATGTGGAAACCAAGAGAGTACTTACTAGATTGGGTCTATTTCGTTGACACCATCGTATTTCAGGAGACTCAGACCGGCAATGGCAAAGTGAGTGTGGAAGACATCAACCATGTGGCCTGGCCGATCTGAAAGTCCGCCAGCCTCCGGATCCTAGCTCGAGTCAATGGAGATCAATGAATACCATCGCAATAAACGAACCTGACAACGCAAGATGAAAGAAGCAAGCTTCGCACCGTCAAGCCAGTGAAGCCTGTCGATCATGGCCAAGCTGGCTCCAACCCACCAGCTATAACATGCGTCTTCTAATTTCTCGGGGCGTCCATTGAGACCGCCCTTGTCCACCTGGCGTTCGCTTAACCAGCCGCCCAAGCGATCCTTGTTCACCAGATCAAGTCTGCCGGCTATTGCCAAAGCTCCTACGCAGGTGAAGATCTGGCCGGCGTGGGATTCAGCGCCCGGACGAATGCCGTAGCCTCCGTCCAGATTCTCACATTTTTGGACATAAGCGACAGATTTAGGGACGTCGACCATATCAAGGAGACCCATGAGGGACAACGCATTGAACGCGCCGTACAGGAAGCGAGTGTCTTGTTCACCCCACTCGTCACCCATGAATGCACCGGTGCCCTTGTCCTGGAGTCCTGCGATGACTGTAATTGTTTAGCGCGCTTTGCCCGGGGGAAAAGAGGAAGGGTCGGAATAAACAGAATAGTCAAGTCATACAAGAGCCAACTTTCTGTCTGCCCCCCAGACCACGAGTTTCCAATTCGTCCAACGCATCCATTAGTACGAGTATTTGCACGGCCGAGACGGTGTAGAGCATGTGGGCATCGTGGCCCGGCGCGGCTCCGAAGCCACCGTTCTCGCGCTGGCATGATAGCACGAAGTTGACGGTGTCTTCCCGAGGGAGGCCTTCGGGACAGCCGAGAAGGTGCAGGGCCGTCAAGCCCCAGTACACCCCATTCAAGCGAAGATGCTCGGTGAGCCAGTATTCTAGCTCATCCCGCCTCTAGCATCACCTGTCAACCATCTTCCCTGTCATGAAGAGAAAAGACCCGGTTTGGATCAAAATGACGCACGCTGTCCAAGTTCTTAATGTAATCCACATGTTTCGTGACGCACAACTTCTGGTCGGGTGCGCTGCCAACAGCCCTACCGGGACCCGAGACCAAGGACATTTCGGTTCCCAGGTCAATTTAATGTGTTTACTAGATGAGGGTGCTGCCGATTTCGTGGGGGTAGAGGGGGTTAGTGCCTGGAATGAACCACTGCCAGTGCTCGGTCTGCAAGCCTCAAGGGATTGCGTCCGGCCGAGCGCAGGATGCTGGGATTCCAGCGCCCGCTTCCCTTGGAGAGAAAACCAAAAAGGACCTAGGTCAGCTTTGGAGGCAGGGTAGCAAGGACGGTGATGCAGGATCGGGAGAGGAAAAGCGAGAAATCCGGAACACCAGCGCTGCAGGATGACTATCTAGTGAAGTCAGATTCTGCAGGCCTCGCTCTCTGGGCAGGCGAGGAGGCAGGGGGAGCAGAATAAATCAAGCCATGAAATAATTTGTGCCGAGCCTCGGAGGGCTGGGAGGGCACGTGACCTACGCGCCACCGGAGGCGGGGCGAATGTTTCAGCGTTTGGGGCAGGATCGCCCGTCGGCGGTGAGAACCCCTGAGAGCGTCGTCATTTTGCCAGTGCAGGTTGTCTGACCGTTTGGCTCCACTTCCTCCGTACGTGTCGCGGCGGCCTTAGGCACCCCCGGTCCGGAGTACGAATACGGAGTAGTGACCAGGTAGTATACGGAATGAACACTACCTTAGAACATCAATACGGAGTATCTCCTACGATGTGTTGTGTAGGTAGGTACCTTGTTCTCTCGCGGATCTAGACTACCAAGTCCAGAGGATGCAGCCGCCGACCGGGGTCGACTCTCCGACTGATTGGTCTTGTCTTTAGTATATGATGGCTGTATGCGCTGGACAAATAAAGCGCCTCTGGTACCTGATTATGAGTTACCCCTCTTTAACACATTGATTTGATTTTATTTATTTTACCGTATTCACCTTTTTATGCGTAGAATGGAAAGAAAAATGGTCTTACCGAACCAAAGGAAGATTGATTCCCTGGAAGAGCAGAAACATGCTCCACTCCCCTCTTCAATTCTCGGACCTCGTTACGGTTGCTGGATGGTTGGCGGGGCACAGTAATAAATAGCACCTCGTTCTCCGGCTCATCTTACTTTTTTTATCAACCCCACCGGGTTGTATCAAATGCCAATCACGATCCATGGTTCCATGCCTTTCTGATGAAGCTCCTAATGAATCAGACAATTCCTGGAATCTTCTCTGTGCTTCTTTGTTGCGAAGACGCAGCCAGTCTTTTCCTGTCGCCCGGGAGTTTTTTTCTTCATGAGCCATTAGCCGCAAACATCGTCCCCTGAGTAGTGACTAGAATCTATTGGAATGCTCTGACCTCTCTCTCGTCAGGGACGGGAATCCGATTCGCCCGTGGAATGGACCTGGTGCCCCATCCAGCGACAAATGGTTGGCCAATCCATCGTCGCAATCGCAGCGTCGGAGCCGGGGCGTACATCATCCCGCCCAAGGCACCAACTGCCAGACCCGATCGTGCTGGCCAGTCAACTGCGCGCCCTTTCGGCGGTTCAATGGGTCCTCCCGATCTTTCGGTGTATATCCTTGTACACAGGCACTGCAGGGTGCGATAGGGAAACAGAAAAACAAACACCTGGCGACTGCAGTCCGTTCGAAGAAGACAAAGAGCAAGAGCGAGAAGAGCGTGTTAGGGCTGACTCTGGCGGTCGTTACGCCGGAGGCAGTGAAGGGGTCGTTCGCTGGCTATCTGCCGCCGCCCGCCCAATTTCTTTACTTGATTCCTATTACTATTCTCTATTCTCCAGGATTGATCGGTTTATGTGGGTTGACCCAACGTCATCCTCCTCTCACAAGCCACCGACTCGCATTTGAATTCTTTGGCCGGCGTTGCTCCCCTCCTCCCCCTTTTTTGCAGTCATGGAGTAATTCCCTCCCGGTTGGAGAATTCTACGATCAACAAGATACGCAGCACACGATCAATAATAATAATAATAATAATAATAAAAACAACAATAATAAATTATCAAACTGGTCTTCAGGGCCCAATAGCCGCTCCTCGACGCCTCGCCATTTACAAATCCCAGACAAGCGCCAGCCCGTCTGTGCACCAAGCCGATAGACTTTCCATACTTCCATAGTCCTCAAAGCCACGCCGTAACCTTTCTGGAGCCTTGCACAACGCCATCTCCACCGTCGGTTCGCCCCTTAAAAAAAAGACGGGGGCTTCTTAGCCTGACACACAGCCGTGCTTGCATAACGCTGTCAACGAAGGTTGTCGTCGCTGCGACACTCGAGTCTGAGCGCTTTTGGAAACCGTGCGGTCATCACTCTCTCATTTACTCACTCACTCTCCCTCTCCCTCTCTCCCTCTCTCGCTCGTGTCTCGTTCTCTGAACTTATCCCCCGACGTCTCTCTGGGGAATTATCACTTTCTTACCGCAGGGGGGAAAATACCTGACCTCATCTTTATTTTCTTGTCTTTTATTTTTTTCCCTTTTATTTCCTTTTCTTCTCCATTAATTTCCCCCCTTTGACCGTGCTCTTTTCGTTTTCTTTTTTTTTTGTGTCCGATCTTCTTGCAATTCCCTTTCTATTCTATTCTATTCTTTTTTATTCAAAGAAATCTCCAATTTCCTACTAGTCGCCGGGGCTTTTAGTCTGTCTCTCCTTGGTTCGGCTTCTCTCTTTCACCGACCGCCCTCTCGACGCCGACACAGGGGGGCACAACCAAGCAAGCCTCGATTCTGTCCACCGACTTCCTGAATTCCGGAATTGAGGGGGAATCGCGACGGTTGTTGCCGATCTCAGAGTGAGGTGGAGTTACGGAGGAACAACTGAAGAGTCCTTTGGAGATTGAAGTAACATGAGGGGCTTTGCTTTCTGGTACGTGACGAGGTGACTTGCTGTCTTTCAACGTTTTTGCCCCATTGTTCGCCGAAAGGATGGTTTCACTCCGCTCTTTCACATTGCCCGATGCATTCCAAGGGGTGAATCTGTGACTGGAAAACCTCTGGATGATTCCATCGCCATTGATGCCTTGTGCCCCTACTTCTGCCTTTGCGGCCACTCCTTCCCTCTTCTTGCATTCAAAGTACGGTCGCTTTGCTTTGGATCTTCGATACTAACGAAAGTATGATGACCGTCTAGACCCAAGCGCTCCTATCATTCCCCTCCAGTATCGATTTGGGTCTGCTTTGCCTGTGACAGACGCCGTCGTTGACGACACCACAACCAAGAAAGATTGGCAAGGCCGGCTCCGATCCAATCATTTCGCTCGAAAACCGTCAATTGACCATACTTGCTATCACCTGGGCTCTGGTGCACTCTTCGGGATCGACAACGTTGGGCCGTCCATGCTCGAGGGATTCAGGGAACATCGTCTAATATTCCTCCGAACAAGGTACGTTCTGCGGTCTGGAATCGCGGGTTAATTGCCTGGATTTTCCTTTTTTCCTTTTTTTTTTTTTTTTTTCCTTAATTTTTCTTTTTTTTCAAAAATTAATTATCACTTATCATTTACCAACAAATTTGCGACCCAATGATATTGACAATCCGGTAAATAGATCCTAGTCTTTCGTCGAAACAGCGGTCCTTAGTTGGTGCTCGGTTTATCAATTATTCTATCCGCCCCCCCCTGACGATTACTCCCGTTCCTATTCCGGGCTACCAACTAAGACACGAACAACGTCTAAGATGCCGTCAAGAAACTCCACTGTTCCCAATTTAGATCTCAGTACTTCCACCTTGCAGGCGAATGCGAAGATCTCATCCCCACTAACGCCCGGCGCCCAAAGCTCGGATGGGCCGAGTCCCCTGACACCCCGTTCTCCTAAATCCTCGTCTAGTTCACCTTTCTTCAAAGGGGCTACCATTCGCCCTGTCACGCAGGACTCGAATAGCAAGTCGAACAGCCCTACTTTTCCAGTCTCTCCTAGCCTTGCTGCCGAACCTCCTACTCCGGGCTTCACGGCTATCCCCCAGTACCCGCCCTCTCCTAAAGACACTCCCAAACACAACCGTGACCCCTCCCGGTCCTTTTTCGCAAATCTCAAGGCCCCCAAGTCCTCCCACAAGGCCCAGCGATCGGACGGCTCGGAATCCGGCGACAAACCCAAGAGTCGCGGCAGCTCCAGGGACCGCAAGACACAGATCTCGTCCAAGTTATACGAGTCGACACCCGACCTTCCTGGCGCTATCGAACGTGCGGCACAAGAGGAACGCAGTGAGTGCTGGAACCGTTAGTTCAATATTTCAACCTACCTATGCTGATACTGCCCCAGACGCGAACCCCGAAGATAAACATTCGCAGCCAACAGACATCAAGAAAGTCGGCACGGAGTCCGAGGCTTGCCAGACCCTCAAAAAGAACAAACCACGCTTTGCCAATCTCCTCTCGCGTTCTCGCTCGATCAGGATCGACGACTCTTCGCTAAACAGAATAGCGAATCGCCGTCCGTCTACCAGCCTCATGAGACTCGAGGAGAGTGGTCGGGAGATGCAGGAAGCACAAAAAACGCCGTCGGCACGCCAGGAGCGCGCACCGAAACACACAGCGAACGCGCCATTCCGAAGCCATGCTGCCGATCGTCCCGTCGAAAGTAGCGGCGGTCCGGTGAGAAAAGACAAATACCACGGAGGGGCGATGGTTCCATCCGCTTCGTTAAGCCAAGTGTCCGGCGCGTCTGCTGCGCTCTTCAACAACATCAAGCAGTCCTCAAGCGGTGCCGCCGACCGCATCGGTAAGGCGGGCAAAGGATTCTTCGGGAAAATCACCAGGAGTGGCAGCACTAATGAGCGGGAACTCATTAATGACGACAACTATGTCTGCTGCGTGATCAACCTGCCGCTTATAGAGCAAGCACGACGAACCCGCATCGCAAAGCGACTGGAGGACTGTAAAGACAAGACTGAATTTTGGATGCCCGCTTTACCATACCGTTGTATAGAGTAAGGCACCGAGACCCTCAAGCGCACGTGGACGCGGACAGCTAATGTCCTTGCAGTTATCTGAATTTCAAAGGTTGCGAAGAGGAAGGACTTTATCGTGTCCCGGGAAGTGGTAAGGAAGTGAAACATTGGCAGCGACGGTTCGATACCGGTAAGTCTATGGCGATAAATGCGTTCATTTTACTGCGGGGGTCGTGTCTAATGGATATCCAGAACTCGACATCAACCTTTTTGACGTGCCGGATTTGTACGACATTAACACGATTGGTTCCATGTTCAAAGCTTGGCTTCGTGAACTGCCGGACGAGCTCTTCCCCAAGGAAACCCAGGCCATGATTGCCGAGAAATGCGAAGGGGCAACTACAGCCCCCCAAATGTTGAAAGACGAACTCTCCAAATTGCCGCCATACCACTATTACCTTCTCTTCGCCATCACTTGTCACCTGAATCTTTTGCATTCGTACGTTGATCAGAACAAGATGGACTACCGCAACCTTTGTATCTGCTTCCAGCCTTGCATGAAAATCGATGCGTTTTGCTTCCATTTCCTTGTTTGCGACTGGAAGAATTGTTGGCAGGGCTGCTGGACGGAGAAGGAGTTCCTCCAAGTGGAGAAAGAAATGGACGAAAAAGAGAAATTCCCACAGGCGAGAGAGGAATATCCACGGGCGAAGGAGGAATTCACCCCGGATCCCCACCAGATTTCCTCGGCGGACGAAAGGGCCATCTCTTCCTCTGGCAGCAGTCAACCTGCCGTTGAAGAGGAACCGCCACGACCTCAGACAGCGAAACCTTACAAACCAAGGCCCAAGAACATCGAGACCGCCCACGGCAGAAGTGTTTCTCAGCTTCCTGAACTCGGACCGCCACTTTCTCCAATACAAATCTGAGCAAGACTCTCTCCGCGCTCCTTCCGATTTTCATACCGTATCCAACATTCTAACGGCAGCATGACCTCTCCTTTATTTGATGCATTGATGCCTGTCATTTCCAAATTACGTGCACTGGGCTTTAAATCCAGGCTGGCCTATGTTTTATACCATTTTCCTTTCGTTTTCCCACGCAAGATATCGCCAAATTTGAAAGTCTCGGACTGGATCCGCAGGTTGAGCATTGTTCTTGAAAATACCTTGAGCCTAAAACACTTGCAATTTGTCTCCCTCCTCTTCGTCAAAGCGTGTGTTTGTGTGCCATTCCGGATCTACTTCGACATCGTGACATTACTCCAATTTGTTAGCATCTTGACTTTTCAATGGTCCTCTTTCCGCCCCAACCATGTCTTCCTCTCTCCTAGAATCCTCCCTTCCGCCTCCTTCACGTCTCTCTCTCATTCCTTTTCCTTTCCTTTCCTTTTCATCGCATCTCCTTTCGCCCTCCTGCATCTTATTCTTGGGCTATACACTTTTCAGAGTGCATACCTGGCGCCCATGGAGTCGGTTGATGTTTTCAAATTTTGATTCTCTTCACAAATGTACAAATTGACATCAGTCTGTTTTTACTACATATCTTTGGTGATGTTGTGCCCATACCTCTACCCAGTCACAGAAATGTATTGCTTCCTACTATTACTTTGAGTCCAACCATTTATTCCCCATTTGGAGCTTTGTTTCGGCGCTTGTCCACTTGCTTTTCCAACTGATTCCCTTGCTTTATCGCATCTTCATGGAGTGTGTTGCTGGTACATACATGTAAAATAAGTCAAGGCGTGGCCGTAGGCTGATTTGGTGAATCTTGAACAAATGAGAACAGTAAATAGACCTTGTCTCTCAGTAAAACATGAAACTGACATAACCTATAGAACGGAATAAATCATAAATATGTAAGGGAATTCTGGTCTTTTGGCCGAGAACTGCGTGTAACGATGACATTGCTTTTTCTTTTTTTTTTGTTTTGCAGTAGGTAATCCATACAGGCAAGATTTGACATCCAAGACCGGCGACTCCCAAACCAAACGCCTTAATAAGCCCAGAATTCCAGTGATGTAAGAACAAGCCGAAGTTCAACAAAGAAGTCTTGACTGCCGAATTAATCCATCATCTACTTTTTTTTTTCTTCCACCCTTCTTTCTTCATTCTCACCCGCTCCCGGGTTTCCTCGTCTTCCGCTCGTTGGACCGCATCTTCCTCTCGTTTCGGCGGATTCTGTCCTTGCGGTCCGCACGAGACAGGCCACGGATTGAGCTTCCTTGGGCGGCAGCATTCTCTTCCTTCTTCCAGTCCTTCTCGTTTACCTCGACCAGCCAATCGTCGTCCGACTTGTTGTTACCCTTGTAACCCCAGCGCGGCACCCAATCGCCCTTCTCTTCGTCGTAGACCATCTTCTTGCGACGCTCCTTGTCTGCTAGCGCAGCGCCAGGCTTAGCACTGTACTTGCCAATACCCTTCTTGCGCGCAAACAGCTCCCATTTGGTCGGCGGCTTGGGCGTGGGCAGCGGCTTATGGCGGGGCAGAGCGGTCGCAGGGGAAGGAAGCGTCAAGAGAACACCTTGTTGGGAAGAGGTAATGGGGCAAGTCGTCAAGAGTTGGTTCAATAGCGATTGAACGCCGTCGCGGGCCGTGGCCTTCAGGGAAGCGTTCAGCGGTTCGGAACGAGAGATTTCAACGGGGTTGGGATCGTTGGCGAGGAGATGGCCGAGGTCGAAAGTATAGGGAGTAGGTTTCGACACGGTGACAGGCCTAAGAATGTCCTCATGTTAGACTTTGTATACATAGATCGGGGAATCGTTTTCTGAGTCGTCAACTCACAATCTCTCCGGCTTAGGCTTAGCCTCAGCAGACTTGTTTGTTGTTTCGAATTCCGACATTGCGACGGCGCACCCTGAATCTGTTTCAGGGGATCGTCCAAAAAAAAAAGCGCAAGGGAATGGGGTGAGTAGAAAATATCGATCGTTTGACAGGAACACTGAAGCGGGTAGGAAAAAAAAAGTTAGTAGATAAAATTATGGGAGGCCGCTTGGAGCACGTTCTTTCACCGCCTCCCATGACCTAGGGCGGCGTCGACGCTAAACCCGAAAGAGCAACTGAGTAGCCCTCCAGGTGAAGCGCCAAAATGTGATGAATTTCCGTTCCAACAACTCCGGGGTTTGACGAAACCAAGGCCTGCACCCTCCGCCGATTCAATCCTCCCCCCGTTTCCCATTGTCAATTAGGACCCTGGCCACCGTGCCAGCGTGCCAGAACACCATGGTTTCCTCCTTTTGCTGGGGCTGCCTCACACGGCTGCGTCCAACACCCCCAGCTGTTATTCCTCCGATATCAGCCCCGAAAGCAGCATCATTCCACACGTCCGCAGTTCGCCTCTCGGTCGTCAAGAAGAAGCAATCTGTGCAAGGAGGGAGGTTCCGTGAGTCTAACTCTCCCAGGATGAAACGGAAGAAGCCTGTCGACCGGGCACGACCACCTGCGGTCGGAGAACGCAAAGCGCTGCGCAAGCGTCTCGTTCTCAGCAACCCCAATGCCCTCGAAATTGAAGGCATGCAGGATGTTTCGGCGGAAACAATGGTGGACCCGCGACTCCGCGGATCTGTCCTCGGACTCCCCGTGCCGATGCTCACCCAGCTGCGCGCGGTGGAAGCCTTTAAACCGACGCAGGGCTGGTCGATATTCCGTCGCCCCGGAACTGTGGTCAGACAGGAGACACTGGAGTTGGGTCGATTGATTGACGGCATTTCCGATGAGGGTGAGAACAAAGGGAAATCCGTGAAGAAGATTGTCACTGGTGTGAGAGGATCCGGAAAAAGTGTTCACCTACTGCAAGCCATGTCGATGGCTTTCACCAAGAAGTGGGTTGTCTTTACTGTCCCTGAGCGTAAGTTTGAAACAAATCAACTATCCCTTTCCCCTTCTACCTACCTACGAAAAGACAGGAAATGGCAACGAAGAAACGGCGGCTCCCGTACGCTAACACATGACTTCTAGCCCAAGATCTAGTCATTGCGCACACTGGCTACGCGCCACTCTCCGATGAGACGCCCGACTTGTACGTTCAGAACGCAGCAACCGCCGCCCTTCTTTCTCGCACGGTGTCCGCCAATGAAGAGGTTCTCAATGGTCTCAAAGTGTCTCAAAACCACCCGGCTCTCAAATCCGCCGTGAAGCCTGGCATGACGCTCGCCGAATTCGCCCGGCTGGGTACTCAGGACCTTGCCATTGCTTGGAATGTCTTCCAGGGATTGTGGTCCGAGCTCACCGCGACTTCTGCGGCTCCTGGGTTAGAGAAGGACTTCAAGCCTCGCCCTCCCATGCTCGTGACTGCGGACGGCCTGGCTCACTGGATGAAAGACACGCAGTACCGCACCACCGAGCTCAAGCCCATCCATGCCCATGATTTCGTTTTCGTGCGCCATTTCCTTTCGCTCTTGAAGCCTGGGACCGAAAAGCCAACTTTCCCTAATGGCGGACTGCTTTTGTACGCCACGTCAGCCTCCAACAACCCCAGCGTCTACAGTTTCGACGTTGCCCTGAAGCAAGTCGAGGCCCGCCACGCCGGTGTCAAACCTTCGGCGTCTGAGTTCCCTCAGGCCGACCCTTACAGCGGGGCAGACCAACGGGTTATCGATGCCTTCGACTCCCCCAAACCCACCGTCGCCAAGGAGGAGATGCTGGAGCTCCAAACGCTTAGCGGGCTCAGCCGGGACGAAGCCCGTGGCTTCCTGGAATACTTTGCACGCAGCGGCATTCTGCAGGAGAACATCAACGAAGAGTGGGTGGGTGAGAAGTGGAGCTTGGCCGGTGGCGGCGTGATCGGCGAACTCGAGAAGCTGGGAAGACGCTTGAGAACCATGGCATGAGTGACGCCGAGGTTGCGCTTGAAAGATGACTTGGGTTTTCATTTTGTGCCATTATCCTTTTGTTATTTCACCCCTTTCCTATTGTTGTTTCTAGACCTGTCCCCAGTCCTGCGTGATGCCCAGCTCTGTCTATTCTGTTCTGTCATTGGAATGGGGGATTGGCTTTAGCCAAGCTATCTGTACTCTACTTGTGATGTTGGGCCTTTTGCGTGGTTTTCTGTATGCATATAATGGAATTTGAAAAAGACATGTTGATACTCCAGGTATAGGTATAGACTCCGTAGGAATAGATCTGGTGGAGTTAGGGCTGACGGCAGCCTCAGGCAGCGTCTCCGCACCGCCACCGTCGGCCTTTCCATCGTCATCTTTTCGCGGAGACCGACTTGATTTAGTAAACACTCAGGGCAGGCGGACCCTAGCCTCTCTTCTCCTTTCCCCTTTTTTGTTCCCTCTGTCGTTCGCTTCCCGAAAACTTTCTCTACTGCCGTCAGCTGAGCGCGATCATCGGAGTCAAGCCAGTCAGCCGACCGTCGTTTGCCATTCATTCATTTGCTTTCTCCCGACTGGCGGCTTCTCTTTCTCCCCGCAGTTGCCCGCATTCCAGTAAGTGTCCAATCTATACCGATTTTCTCTGTCCTCACCTTGCGCCCTAACGCATGAATCCTAGAAATGTATGGGTCTGGTCAGCAGACGTCGGGCCCCTCGCAACCAGAATGGCGTCGGCCTGCGACGACGCAACAGCGGCCCCCTCCGTCGCAACCTCCTCCTCCTCCTTCGTACAACCCAAATACTTACGGCCCTATGTCTACTCAATCCCCTGTTGTCTCGGGAACAGGTGCAAATATGTCACCAGCTACAGGTGTGGACACGTCCTCTTGGGGTGTGCGATACAATAGGCAGCAACATATCCAAACCCCTCCCCCGTTGCCAGTGAGTACCTAAGTGAAGTCGGGATAACCGATAAACCCTTCAAGATTGTTTCGAGAAGCTGATGCTACTTGAAAAGCCTCGACCGTCCAGCACCCCCGGACATTCCTCCAGTGCGCAGCCGTCTACAGCCGCTTCTGTAGATTCTAGCCAACCCAGTTGGACTGCTCCGCAGTATGAGGTCCAGTCTTCTACACCTGAGCATCATCAGCAGTGGCCGACAAGCACACCATATGCGCACCAACAGCCTGTGGGCTCGCTTTCAGGCCCGTCGCCACCACCTCTCCCTCCACCCATCCCTCCGGCTTATCAGACTGCTGTATCGCAACCAAATAGTCAGCCGCCGCAGACTTCAACCCCGTTGTATACGGCATCCCCTTTCAGCCCACCGGCTGGTCCAACCTTTCAGCAACCCAATACCTACCCTTCGTCGAGCTCAGTACCACAGTCGTATCAGCCTGAGCAGACCCCGGGACTCGTAGGAAGCCCCGCAACGCAATCAGCTTCGCCGATGACTGCTCCACCAGTCCCACCTAAAACCAGCGCCAACATTATTCCAGCAGGGCCTTCCTCATTCGGTGCCTTCACTCCTTCCGATTGGGAGCACCTGTCTCCTCATCCGGGAAATGTCGATGATGAGAAGGTTTTTGGATCCAAACAGAACACTGTCGCGCATGCGGCAACTACCTCGGACTACCCACCGAGCTATGCAACGGCGGCTGTGCCCAACCCAGCTTCGCAATCTGTGGTTTCTACACCACCTTCGAATGTCTCGCCCACCATTCAGCCCGTGCACCCTCAAGATACGACGGGAACGCACGACCAGTTCAGGGTTTCGCCTGTTAGCCCGGGAACTAGTCAGGATACTATACATGATCAGCCGCCGCCGCCGCCGCCTCCTATTAGAGTGAAGACCGACGACTCTCTATATAGTTCTGCATCGACCACAGAGGCCTCTGAAAGCATTGACGGCGTCATTGAGGCGTGGAAGCAGCCCCTACCTATAGATTCTATGTCGCCAGATGTCCGAAACGACGCGCGTACCTCTCCCGGACCGTCAACTCCGCTGAGACGGCTTACTCCCCTAGACATTCCTCAATCGAAACAAGAAGCGTTCATTCCTCGAAGGGATAGTCCAGCTCATTTCGATGACGTATCGAGCGATTTAAAGCCCCAACCATCGTCACCACGCCCCCAGCAAATAGACCCCTACGAAGACTTAGACCCCTGGTCCAAGTCTTCACTGGAGCGCTATGTGTCCATGCTGCGCAAGGAAGCGGTGGCCGATTCTGACACAGAACGCTTTAAGATATTTACGGCTTTCATTGCCAAGGAGACGAAGTTGCGCGAAATTTTGTATAATGTTGATTCCACAGAAGACGCCGCTGAAGCACCGGCGCCAGTCACGCAGCCCCCAGCTCAAGAATCTCCTGTCACCGACCCAATGGACTCAGGTCTCATACCCGTAGAGACTGAAGAAATCGATGATTCTCCGTCTGATACCCCTGGAGAGCCTGAGGATGGAAGGTACAGTCCAGGAGGACGCCCGATCCTCCCCCGTCTCCATACACCTAAGATTACAAGCGTGCGCAGGTCGGCTTCAAACCCAGGCGGCCCCAAGTATGGCCCGGAACGCCTGGTGCAGGGTCAGTTCTCGAGGTCGACGTCCGTGCCACCTGCGAATGATTCAATGCATAAACAAGAGCATTCGCCTCTAACTACTAACCCCCCTCGGCCAATCTACACCCCATTCCGCTATACCGAAGGCCCCCAGAGAGGCTCTGATGAACTATCAATTCATCTTCCAGCATATCAAGCATACTCTGCCCTGCGACAGGCATCTGCTGCCAGCGGTAGAGTGATGTCGAATGCTCCGAACCTACCCTCTGAGGATACCGGAAGCCCCACCGTGCCATCCTCGGCGACACAGAATCAAGACGATGAAACCTTCATCGGCCTAATCAGAGAAAAGAGTGTCGCGTACCGGAAGCACGCGACCCGGAAGACCTCCTCCCCACCGCCATTGCCATTGTCTCTCAGGCAGGGAAAGACTGCGAGTTCAATCAATGACCTGCGCTCTATGATCTCGTCGCCCTTGGCGAAACAGTCAGAAAGCCCGTGGCACAAGACCACTAGGAAGGGCTTGGAGTCGTATTCGACCGATTTCAGCTTTATTCGGGAGGCAGTTAAATCATGGGAAACCGCGAGCCAATCCCGCAAGGAAGCCCTGGATAGCGAGCGTTTACATCGTCAAGAGGAGTCGGAAAAACACATCGATGCGTTATTCAACGACAAGGAAATAGGATATGCCGATATCAACGTTCTGGAGGAAGAATTTCGCCAGACAGAGGCTCGAGTTCAGCTAGATGAAGAACGGCGGGAGTTCGAAGACTTCGAGGCTAACGTTTTCAAGAAGTTGGACAAGCGTTTGAACGATGAGCTGTCGGCCCTTCGAACTCAGTACGAGTCAGCACTTGGTCAACTCGACCATGAAAACAGCAGGATCAAGGACTCCGTCACTGACAAATACAATCTTTCCCACACTATGAAGGTCATCAACGAAATTTACCAAAAGCTCGAGGTCCGCTACCAGAAGCGGCTTGAGATCGCCTTGGATCTCGAGCGCCGGCGCAAGAAGACCGAAAGACGACCGCTGGTTTTTATGGGAGATTCTGCGGCTCTCAAGCGCCTGGATAGTGACTTTGACGAAATGGAAAGGCGGAATATTCTCGAGGCGGCCAAAGACCGCGATGAAAGGGCCAATCGACTGATGGATTCTTTTGATGACGCGATTATGCACGGACTGGGTGAAAACCAGAGCCTCCTTGACGAACTCTCTGGCAAGTTGTCAAAAGTCGATGCCGCGGCCATCCGCTCCTCCGGATTGGCAGACTCGGAGATCGAGCAGATGTTGAACTCAGTTTACAACGTGGTGGAATCACTTCGGGGGGATTCCGAATCGATTCTCCACAGCTTTGGCATTGCAGACTCGGCGCTCAACAACGCAGACTATCAAGTTTCGGTCGCCGAAGCTCGCTACTCCAATGCCGATTTTGACATTTTCAACCAGTTGGAGAGCGAGAAGAAGAAAGAAGACGCCAAAATCCAGAGCGACCTTCAGTCCAAGTTGGAGAGTGTTCGTGCTGGACCGGCTAAGATCACCGATACCATCAACGATCTCCTGAGTACAATAGACAAAGGCCCCATTGTAGAGCAATCCAGCTCGTCAGGAACCGCCACCCCGAGTCATCCGGCCGAATCGCTCATGCCCGGCCCTCCACCCTCTGCGGTTGTCCCTCGAAAGTCGGAAGAAGACACGGCGCATCAGGAACGACTTCGAAGAGCCCTGGAGGACGCGAAGAAGAGAAACGCCGCCCGACGTAACCCTTGATTTCCCCGAGCGAGAACGCTCCTTTTCTTCTTTCGCTGGTCTAATTTTCTTATTGCAATTGAATTATTCCCCTTTCTCTCTAGTTTGCGCTCTATATTACTGTGGATCATTTCCTTAGCTATCGAGTTACAGTGGCTCTACTGACGACTTAACGATTTTCCTTAAGAATACCCTTTTTTCTTACCCACCCCCCTTTCTCAATTATTAATTCCATCTAAATTGGGCTTAATGTATGAATTCTCGTTCTCAAGAGACGGAGATTGGACCATAATACGCCAACTCATACCTGTGTCCTGCTCCACCTTTCATGTATACCCTATAGCAGCACATCTTATTTCAATGCATCTTGTACTCCCTGTTTCTCCTGATCGTTCATCTCCGGTACCAAGTGCGAGGCTTGCAGTTTGTACCATGGCTAGGAGACGACCCCCTTGGCGTGGCAGCAGCCTAGTAGTATCAACACTTACCATAAGACCCGAGTGGGATCAAACAAGATGCGCATCAAGTATAGAGCCAGGAGAAGGAATTAAATTCCCAGAGAGCTGCGGCTGACACGAGAATAACGGCGCATCGTCGATTTATGACGAGATTGTTAAGCGCCCAGGAAGTGGCGCAGAACCTGCGCCGCATAATCACCCAACATGACTTCCGCCAGGACAATTCAATGAATTGGCCCGTGGCACCTCAGGGCCAGGTAATGAGCCTAGTTAGTTCCTAATCGCACCGATGAAGCCTAGAAGGGATTGATGAATCTCAACGGGTGGCTGTTAGACGCCCGAAAACCCGCATCTATACGATGCAAGATTCACAAGGCAGTCTCGGCACTTCATGCTCAGCCTTTTCAGCTCCTGCGGAATTCCTGAAGAGACTCAACCACTGGCTCTCGTCCATAGAAGCCCCTGCCTCGAGCTCTGCGCCGCAAACCAAGCATCCCGCACGGCTTCATTGCAGGGAGCCGTGCGTCAACCGGATTATCGCACAGGGATCGAGATCAGTGTAGCCGCAGTAGATGGTGCCATTCGTTGTCATCAGAGGACCAGAGGCTCAAAGTCAAATGGAACCCTAAACTTGATGGCTCAGTGTTCTCCAATCTTGTTGTCCCTCCATGACTCTTCTCGTCCTGGGCACTGGGCAATGTCTGCGCCGCCTCTGCGTTACATGCGGTCATTCTTTGTCCTCCTTTTGATGAAGCCTCTGCTTCTAGATGATCATTGGGGCCTCGCTATGCCACTTGCGCAGCGGCAGAGCTCGGGGAGTTCCTCAGCTGGAGACCGTTAGTTTTCATCATGCGGCGAAGAGAAAAAACAACACTAACGGTGCGGCTCAAGCCTGAAGCAGCCTACCAGAGAGTCAGTCGATTCTTTTGCGCCAGTATGGCACTGTTTATGTCGTGGCAGCCAGTGGAATAGGCGTGTTGCGGTACAGTCTTGGTTCAGTTGGTTCAGAATACCCGCTCCTGACCAGTGGCTCTCGACAAACTCTATATAACTCGGGTCAGTCCTACATCAACAAGCCCTTCTTTGTCCCCGACTAAGGCACTCACTTCACACTGAACTTGTTCTCTTCACCGTTGCTATTCCAGCGCTTCCCCATGTCCGCCCCTACCAGACAGTTTTGCAAGCTGTCCATCGCCAGCGCCATGTCACGACCGCGGTCCCAAAACCAGAGAGCACGACCTACGCAGAGCGACAACGACGAGAGCAGTGACAACATGGAGGGCAGCAGCGAGGAAAGCGAGATGGAGGCAGCAGACTCGGGTGAATCGTTGACTGTGCAGGGGAAGTCGGGTATCACGTACGACCTGGGCCGACTGGATTCTGCGTCAGAGGCCAGAGCGCTGGTTGCATTCTCGAGCCAGTTCGAGGTCATTACTTGCTGCTTCGTGCAGACGGGGTATGACTTTCAGCTGGCAGAGAAGTCTCGGGTTCATCTAGGCCCGGATGGCTATACGTGTACCTGTTCGGCATTCTCTGGCCGGCTTAACGTGGCCTGCCAACACATCTTTGTAAGTCATGAAAAGAGGGCGGGTCGGGGGAAAGAGAGGATTTTTCTTTTCCTGCCCAGGGTGAACAAATTGTGCTAACAAAGTCGGTGAAAAGTGGCTCCTCGATCAAGTTTATGCCTTCCTCCTCCCCCAACTCGTATCCTCTGTGGTCCCTCTCGCAAGCGATGGTCGTCTTCCGAATTTTCCGCGCGTCGAGCAACTTCTCGACGGCAAACTCGAAACGGTTGCGGATCAACTGGGCTGGCAGTATGTTCGATCCGAAGCAGTTGGTGGCATGAGTCGTCCTCAGAAAGCTCGAGACCTTCTCTCTGCCTTCAGCATGGGGGTCCTTCCGGAGGATTTCCGCCTCGACCTGGTGGACGACACTGGGCTCTCGCGCACCCCTGAGCAGTGTGTCGTACAAGGGGACTTCGAAGCTACCCTGTTTCGTCTCACCGTGCACGACGATGCGGTCTACTCCAGCCTCTGCAAAGCCATGCCCTCGGGGGCCTGCGCGGCCATCTACTTCGACAAAATCCAGGAGCGGTCTCGCAAGCTGTTGGCCGACTTCGACCTCTTCTGCCAAACGGGGAAGCAACCAGACGACGGAGTGGACGTGAACGTCGCCAACGTTATCCGGGAATTACAGCACAATGTGGATCGAATCCAGTGGAATATCACCGCACGAGCACCGCACGGCATGGAAGGGGCTGCAAAGGCCCTGGTCACGTTGCTGGAGGACATTTGCAATCGCAACAAGGACGCCTTGGATGGCAACCGATGGGGACGGACCACATTCCACGGCGAGGACGAGGATGAGCGCAATATGTATCATCAGCTCATCGGCACGACTGACGAAACCGGTCGGTGCTTTATCCTCGATACCCTCGAGCATCTGCAGGGGTCTGATCTTCACCAGTTCGGAGCCAAGCTGCATGCGATCCTGCATAAGAACGAGGTGAATCGAGCCCCGAGAGCGTTCATTCTCAAGCTGAACACGCTGGTGCGTCGAGCCGAGTCCACTTCGACTGCCTCTGGACACAAACGTTCGGCTACCGGGGTGTCGGGAGGTAATAGCAAGCGAAGCCGTTGATATACCTGCGCGTTTGATGATACACAATACCCCTTTGGTTTGGTTTATCTTTTTCCATATCTACATTGTTTTGTGTTTTCCCAGCTGCTGCTGTGTTTTGTTCTGTTGTGTTAGTATGATGGGTTCAAGTACTGCTATATAGTCAATTCATGATTGCCAGCAGGACTGGTCTTCCAATCCCCAACATCCTTGATACGAATCAATATCAGATTGATGCACAGCCACCGCTGTCTAGATTTCAGCCAGAGACCATCCCACGGTTCCAGACAAACCCAGAATCCGGTTTAACGGTCACGTTGCTGTTGTGATGACGCATCCATGTTGATTCTCAAAACAGGGCATGGATGGGTTGTACATTGAGCCAAGAAGACTCCTTGCCTTAAATTCTCAAGACATGATAAGAATCGAATTCAGCTATAAAGGACAAACACACGTCACTATGGAAATACACAGACATAAGGTCATACCTGCAGTCGCCGCATCAAGCCGTACTAACTGCAGAACTCAAGTCAAAGGACATCATCGCTGACACGACGCTGAAACGCATTTAGGACAAATCAAGGACCACCCTCCCCTGCACCTTTCCGTGATGCATCTCCTCGAACACGCTGGTCAACGCCTCCATCTTCTCCGTGCGGAAATGGGCATTGATCACGCCGCGCGCCGCGAAGTCGAGCGTCTCGACGGCATCGGCTCGCGTGCCGACGACGGACCCGGTGATGGTGGCGTGCTTGAGAATGATGGACCCCGGATACGCCGTCGCGATGGGCACCAGGTCGTTCTCGGGCACGCCAACACAGACCATAGTGCCGTTGAAGCGCAGGAACCCGACCGACTGGGCATACGCGGCGTTGGAGGCGGTGCACACGATGACGCCGTGGGCTCCCAGCCCGTCCGCGAGGGACTTGACGTGCGCGGTGATGGCTTCGCCCTGGTCGTTGGCGGGGAACTTGGTGATGTCTACGAAATGCTCCGCCCCGGACTCCTTGACCAGCTGCTCCTTGCTGCCGTGGTCGACGCCGATCACGCGCAGGCCCATGCCTCGACTGGCCAGCTGCACCGCGATGTGGCCCAGTCCGCCGCCGGCGCCGGAGATCACCACCCACTGGCCCGGCCGCACATTGCTGCGCTTGAGAGCGGCGTACACGGTGGTCCCGGCGCAGAGCATGGGAGCGGCCTCGCCCGAGTCCAGTCCGTCGGGGATCGGCGTGACATAGTTGGCCGGTCCCAGGGTGTACTGCTGGAAGGTACCGGGGGTATAGTAGCCTGACACCTTCTGGGCGAAGCAGAGCCCGTCAGATCCGGCTTGACAGGGAACTAGATGCAGTCAACAGAGCTGTCGTCAGCAGGAGGGAGGGCTGTTGCATACGGCAGTTTCCACAGGCACTCGAGATCCATTTCACGCCGACTCGATCGCCGATTTTCAGGCCAGACGATTCCGCGCCCGGGCCCAGCTTCACGATCTTGCCCACGCCCTCATGTCCGCCCACCTGCCCCGGCTGCGTGGGGTAAGGCAGCACTTTCCACTGCGAAAAGACCATGGATTAGCACGTTGCGACCCAGACGGTCCACCGGAAGGGTCTCAATGCGTACCGTATTGGTCATGACGCCATAGTCGGAGTGGCATACCCCGGAGTGAGTGCTATGGCGATGGTTAGTACTACTGCATCGCAACCACTCGAATCCCAACAGGCACGTACAGGTTGATCAGCACCTCGCCGGCACCAGGCTCGGGCACGTCGATCTCGACGATCTTGGTCGAGACGGTGCCCGGCTGGTCATAGATGACGGCTTTCTGCTTGCGGGGGATTTCGGGGGTGGTCATGATGGAAGTGCGAGGACGATACCAAGTCAATCGAGTCTGAGAAGACACAGCAAGGACCAAGACCAAAGAGGGGATCCAGGCGTCTCTTTATACGGCGTCATTCTGTGCCAATCGGAAAAATGCGCCGCCAAGTCGAAGACAAAGGGAAAGGGGAAAGTGGAGAGAAATGGCGGGGAAGCTGGTCGGTTTGTGGTTCAGCCTTCATCCTTACCTCGGTCGACATGAGATGATGAGGTCTTTATACCGGTCGCACTCGAGAGCTTCAGATCGACTAAAACGCCTCTCGGTCTAAAGCTGCCCGAAATCCACTGGTGCGATGCTTCGTCTCTTTCGGTTGGCTTTTCCTTCTCTCCTTCTCTCCTTCTCTCCTTCTCTCATCAACAATCTCCCCCGCGATCGTAAATTGGGATTCATTTGACTTTGGGATCCCCGCTCTTGATCGGCAATCATCGTCATGGCCATCCCCATCGTCGACTCCCACATCCATCTCTTCCCCGGTTCCCATCTGCCATCGCTGGCCTGGTATGGACCGGGTGGGCCTCTCTCCTCCCAGCATTCCGTCGCCGAGTATCGCTCTGCGACCGCCACAGCGTCCACTTCGTCGGACACGACGCAATCGACGTATCTGCGGGGCTTTGTCTTCGTCGAAACGGATCGCATCTCCTCCGTGGAAGAGTCCGGAAAGGGCTGGTCGCATGCGCTCGATGAAGTCTCCCTGCTCGCTCGAGTCATCACAGGAGATGCGGTCCCCGGCGAAGGACATCAAAAGGAGCACCGCCATCTCTGTCTGGCTTTCATTCCGTGGGCGCCCGTGCCGGGAGGGCCCTCGGCGCTCGTGAAATACATCGCACTGGCCAAGGAGAGGACCCGCACGGAGGAGGTCTGGAGAAAGCTTCGCGGGGTGCGCTACTTGGTCCAGGATAAACCGGCCGGGGTCATGCTACAGCCCGACTTTATCGCGGGGTTGAAATGGCTGGGCCGACAGGGCTTGACGTTTGATCTCGGGGTGGACGCCCGGCAAGGTGGACTGGGGCAGCTGCGCGAAGCTGTCGAGATGATCCGCAGAGCTCACGAGGGTGTTGCGGACGAGGAATCCAGGCCCGTCGTCGTTATCAGTAAGTTCCCAATGCCCTAAGATCTAGGTCGGTCTCGTGTTGATGCATTGACTCCCACCAGACCATCTGTGTAAACCCAACCTCCGTCTGCCATTCACTTCCCTGGTTTCCATCACGACCCATCCCGACTTCCTCGAGTGGTCTTCCCTCGTCACAGCGATGGCGCAGTATCCCGGCACCTACATGAAGCTCTCGGGAGCCTTCTCGGAGCTGCCTCCGCTCTCCCCCGACGCCGAGCCAGACGTCCCAGACCTCGTCCAGCGACTTCGCCCGTGGACCGACGTGATCTTCGATGCCTTTGGCCCGGAGCGCGTGCTGTTCGGGTCCGACTGGCCCGTCTGCAACGTGGGAGGCGGTGGCAACCCGGCAGCCTGGCGGCGCTGGAGAAGCGTCGTGGAAGGCGTGCTGGAGAGACGGGGACTGAGCGAGGAGCAAAGAAGGGGAGTTTGGGGCCAGGTTGCGGTGCGAGCCTATGGAATTGACATCTGAATAACGTGAAGTTTATATACATGGTCATCTAGGACTACCTTCAATCTATTGCATCCCACCATTATCATATCCCATCACTGAAGATTTACAAACAGACCTCCATCCACCAGTATCTGCGCGCCCGTCTAGCAAAAGAGATTGAATGTCAGCATCACGTACTTCCAGGTCCAGAGGAAAATGAACGGGGCAAGGGAGGACCTACCACGTAACTGCTCAATTCCTCGCAGGCCAAAAACACCGCCGGGCCCGCCAGATCGGGGGGCTGGCCCAGTCGCCCCAGCGGGATTCTTCCCTCCATGTACGTCCGCTTCTCGGGGTCGCTCATATCCTCGTCGTTCAGCTGTGTCCGGATCGTGCCCGGCAGGAGCGCATTGCAGCGAATCCCGTGCTTGCCCAGCGCGACGGCGCACGACTGCATCAGGCTGAGAACCCCGGCCTTGGTGGGCGTGTAGTGCGTCTGCTGCCCGCCGCCCACCAGCGCGGAGATCGAACTGATCCCGATGATCGAGCCGCCCGGCGGCGACTGCGCCAACGCCATCTGTCGCGCGGCCGCTTGCGTCGCGTAGAAGGCACCGGAGAGGTTGGTCGAGATGGTGTGCCCGAGAAGCGGCGGGTCAACCCTAAGGGTGACGGAGAAAGAGCGTTAACAACCCGGTCAATCCCAATCCAGGTCCTCTGTTGGAAGAAATGAAACTCACTCTAGGAATTCTTCAAACTTGCACACTCCCGCATTGCTCACAAAGACGTCCAGGCGTCCAAACGCCTCGACGGTCTTGGCTATGAACTCCCGTCCGGTCTCTGGCTGCGTCACATCACCGGGCACTGCGATGAACTTGGTTCCGTCTCCGCCAACGATGTCGGACACATCCTTCTGCAAGGCTGCGAGGAGAGAGTCCTCCTTGGGACCACCCAGGTGGTTGATGGCGACTTTTGCGCCGTGGCGGAGATATTCTATGGCGATTGCCTAGTCGCGTGATGGTGTCAGCAATTCAGATTCCAGAAACCGGTGCGAAGGAGTCAATGGAACTGACCCGACCGATACCAGTGAGACCACCGGTAATGGCAGCTACTTTGCCGACGAGGATCTGAGGGAGAGGCATGATGCGAGGTTGCTTCTTGATGCTGTTCGGGAGAGACGTTCCGCGGGGTAGAAACGAGGTATGGACAGTATGGATGTTGGATTGGGCACCACGAGGGCTCAACAGATTTTCAATTGCCGACGCCGGTGCCGAAGGAGATGATCAGGACGATTCTTTTCAAAAATTTCCTTCTTTTCTGGGCTCTTGGACGGTTGGACCCCGCCGGAAGACGAGGCGCAGACGATGATTTATTGGTGGAGTTTCCTCTCGGGTTCCTCGCGGCAATGATCCCCCGAGGCGCCCCCCGCTTTCATTTCGGCGGAAACGAATACGACTACTCGGTGTTACTGAGAGTTATGATGGGCAGAAGGTGTGTTCATGTCTACATTTCTACATACGCGTGTATATATGCCTGTCTCTGATAAAACAATTTCACGAAAAAAGAATAAGAAAGGCCAGCCAATGGTGTATGAATCCCCGCAAAATTCGATCTATACTCTGGAGATCCCGTGTCTCCCTCAGTGGGCGTTGCCATTAGCCCCCTGTTCCTGGTCGGTCGGCGCAGCCAAACTTCTCTGAGGCGCAGGAGTCAGAATGCTGGCGGCCGGAATCAAGGGAGCGGCCGGGTTCAGTTCCAGGCCAAATCCAGGCTTGTCCAGGACCGACACGTCAAGGTATCCCTGGGTGGGGATGGGCTCGTTCAGGAACAGGTTGCCAAAGACGGGCTCCACGGTGTGGCCGTCGGCCGAATTGGCCAGGTACTCTTGGAAGGGGGTGTTGGGTTGGGAGACCACGTAGTGGTATGAGTAGGGGCCGGACGCATGGGGCACGACGGGGAGATCGTAGGCCGCGGCCAGCGCAGAGACCTTGAGCAATTCGGTCAGACCTCCAACCCACATCACGTCGGGCTGCAGGATGTCGAGGTTCCGGCCCTCGACCAGCTTGCGGAAGCCGAACCGCGAGTACTCGTGCTCGCCGGTGGTGAACTTCACGGTGGGATGCGCTCTCTTGAGCAGCGCATGGCCGTCGAAGTCATCGGGGGTCAGGCATTCCTCCCACCAGTCAATGTTGATCCCTTCCGCCTCGGCCCGCTTGACCAGCTCGATCGTGTAGGGCACGTTCAGGGACATGTAGCAGTCCACGCGCAGGGGGAACTCGGGCCCGACGCTCTCGCGCTGCTTGCGCAAGTATGCGAGGTTCTTCAGGAGGCCCTCCGTGCCCTCGTCAGGGCCGTGGGGGAGAGCCACCTTGGCGCCCGAGAAGCCCATGGCCTTGGCCGAGGCTGGCTGGGGTCCGGTGCAGTAGAAGTTGAGTCGCGACCGGGTCGCACCACCGATGAGTTTGTACACGGGCTCATTGCGGACCTTGCCCACGAGATCCCAGAGGGCCAGGTCGATCACCGAGATGACCGCCACGGGGAGGCCTTTTCGCCCGTAGAACATCGAGGCCCGGTACATCTTCTCAAAAAGTTCGTTCACATCTCGAGGGTCTATGGGGTCAAGTCACGGTCTCAGTTAGCCGGAAGGGTTCCGTCTCGGCGGGGGATTTCCCTCGGTTATGCATACCTGCGCCGATCAAGAATCGTTCGAAGTGCTGCTGCACCAACCAGCACGCCGGGGGGCCGCCGAATCCCGTCGCAAAGCCCTTGGTGCCATCGGTGGCCTCTACCTCGACGCAGAAAGACCCCAGAACGTTGATCCCCCACGAAGTGCGGGAGCCACGGTACTGTGCCCATCGGGTCATCGGGGTCGAGATGTCGCTGTCCACCAGCCAATGGCCTCCTTTGACCTAGATATCTACTCAGCATGGCGTTGACGATAGCTGTGTACACCGGCATATTCCCCCGGAGACTCTCAAGTATCACTTACATTGTGGTAATCACCGCCAGATCCCACTCCGTCGATGAGGAAGGTTCGCACCTCTTTGATGCGGGGAAAGGTTGCTGTAGAGCCCATGATGCGCGGAGGTCGATGAGGTCAGAAGTACGGATTGCCAGAACAACAAATCGGCAGCGATGAGGAGGAGAAGAAGAAGAAGAAGAAGGAGGAGGAGGAGAAAGAGGAGAGAGGAGAGAGGATGAGGAAGCCCCCGAAGAAACGAGGGCGCCGGGGATATTTGAACGGCGGGCTGCCTCGGGGCAAAACTACCCCGAGAGGCGCGAGGGGCGTCAGGTGACTGGCGCCTCCGCGTCTCCGCAGTCTTAGTCAGCGCCCCGGTTTGCGGGGTCGAACGCCCGTTGCTTGCCTGAGGCCGCCACGCCCGGCCGCCGCGTTTTCTGCGGCCGCCAGCTTTTCCTTCTTCTTCGCCCTCGACCTTCCCCCTCCCCCATCCCCGTGTCGGTCTCATTTCTCGGTTTGGAATCCATCTCGGCAAAAGTATACGCTTCTCGACCTGTCCCTCCTCTGCGACCCGATCGCCGAGCCCCGTCCAGCGACTAGGATGTTGGTTTGCACGCCAGTGTTCATGGAGTTGCTATAACCCCGGATCTCGCTAGAGTACCATGCCGAACGCTGCTGCACCTGTTTCTGCTCAGCAGACTCCACCGGCTTCCCGCCTCCTCGGGGATCAAGATCAGGATAGAGACCACAGCGCCGACGAATCCTGGTCTGCAGCTGACAGCGATCTCGATCGCTTCCCTCCCAATGGCTCAACGGCCTCTAATGCGCTGAAGCGGAAACGCCCCCTCACTGTGTCGTATGTACTCTTTTCCGCCCCTCTCCTCGGCAAATGAAGCCACCGTCTTCTTCTTCTTCTTCTTCCTCCCCCTTTGCCCATTCTCTCGCGCGCGCATCACGCCGGCGAGTGATCCGCCTCCGAACGTCAGTCTTCCGTGCAAGTCGCCCAACTGACCAACCGAAGATGCGAGCTATGTAAGCAGAGGAAAGTCAAGTGTGGTAAGTGCTGGCTCTGTCGCGCCTGCGTTGATCTCCGTCTCCACCCATCTAACAACCTTAGACCGAGCGCAGCCCAGCTGCGGATGGTGTACTCGCAACGGCCAGCTATGTGAGTACAAGGAGCGCAAGAAGCCCGGCCTTCGCGCAGGGTACGGCAAGGAGCTTGAACAGCGCCTCGGTATGCTCTTCCCCTTCCTTCCGGGGTATCTGCTATTGTGGGGACTCGTAGCTCATGTGATGCACAGACAGACTGGAGGAGGTCATTCAGACCCAAGCTCGTCTTATTGAAACACATATTATACAAGGCCAACCTCATTTCAATGCCGAGCTCCCACACGCGGCGCCTCTGTCGTATAGCTCGCCATCAGAGCCATCTGCCGCCCATGGACCGAGTCCCCGTAATGCGTTCTATTTTCAAGACGCGTCGTCGGTACCGATACCACCCCGTCACCCTGAGACATCCATCACTAGCCCTTCCGACATGTCAGTGAAGAACACGATGCAGACTCATCTCCCCGGTGGTATGCCCCCCGCAGTCAATCTACCTCAAGTCCCGAACACCACTGCTCAAAATGACTACACTGGGAATGAATCATCATTGAAGGTACCGGTGAACCTCTTTTCGAACCAAGAGCAGTCACTTGCCGACCCAGAGCTTGATCTACCACCGTATGACTTGCTTTATGCGCTGGTGGATCTTTACTTTGAGCACATCAATACTTGGTGTCCCATATTACACCGCCGCACCACCTTGGATATATTTTTCGGACCGTCGCCGCTTGACGAAGCTGACCGAATAGTTCTCTATGCCATTGTCGCGACCACCCTCCGATTCTCGGGCGATGGCCGGCTCAACGAGCAGAACCGCAAGCGATACCACGACTCGTCCAAACAGAAGGTGCTTCTTTATGGACTTGAAAATTCATCTGTCAAAGCTCTCCAAGCTCTCGTGATCCTAGCTTTGGATCTCGTGGGCTCTTCCAACGGGCCTCCGGGGTGGAAGTTGCTGGCTCTGATTACGCGATCGGTGGTCCAGCTAGGATTATCAGCTGAGTCAAAATCATCGCTCATCGCGCCGATCTATCCTTCTATATATACTCTGAGAGCAGTAACTCTCCCAGAATCGGATTCCTGGATCGAGGATGAGGGTAGGCGCAGACTCTTCTGGATGGTATATCTGCTGGACCGATATTCCACGATCGCGACAGCCTTCGATTTTGCCTTGAATGACAAGGACATTGACCGCAAGCTGCCTTGTAAGGACGAATACTTTGCCAAAAATCAGCCCGTGGAAACCCGGTGGTTTCACCACTCAAGTGAACGAACAGACTATCTAAGCCATGCCGAGAACGTTGGATCCTTTGGCCTCTATATGGAGATCCTCGGGATTCTCTCTCGGGTCCATCTGTTTTTGAAACGGCCCGTGGACATCGGTGCGCTATCTGATGTTGAGGAATGGCAAGCAATGTACCGCAAGTTGGATAGCGAGTTGACATCCTGGGAATTCGGCCTTCCTGCCGAATATGCCTACGAAAATTCTTCCCGGCTGTTCAACGGACCGAAACACAGCAAGAGTGTTCCCTGTGACTGGGTCCAACTTCATACCACATATCAAACGTAAGCCTCAGTGACCCATGGCATCTTCTACCCCCAAGCATTTAACTCTAACGCTGTTCCAGTGCGGTCATCAGACTTCATTCGTCTGCTGCTTATCCGACCACGCGCTCTCCAATTTTCACGCCATCGTACAGCGCGAGTCAACGTTGTCTACTCGCCGTCGATAACATTCTGTCTGTGACTCGCTTTGTGGTCGACAATAATATGCTTGATAAGCTTGGGCCCCCATTTGCCTTCACCCTCTGGGTGTCTGCTCGTTTACTACTTGTTCATGGCTCCACCATCGCCCACACTGTGAGCCCAGATATAATCTTCTTCGTGGACACTCTTGCTCGCATGGGAAAGTACTGGAAGGTGGCAGAGCGCTATAGTTGTATCTTGCAACGAGTGCTTGACGAGTACGGCGAATACCAGCAATCCGGCGTTGACGACAGCGAGCGTGTCACACCGTCCACCGTCAAAATCCTCGCAGACATGCGCCGCTGCGCCTTTGATCTGGACTTCCTGATTTCTCGGCAGCCGCGATCATCTCCGGTGGGCAGCCAGCCAGCACCGCAACCATCGGTGACGCAGTCACGCAATCTCGCGCCCAATGAACTGGAGTATCTAGATGTCTTTGGTTTCTTCAACGTTCCGCGCGTGCCACCGGCGCGGGCTCCCGATATCAGCAGTCTCGACATCAATGAGGCGGTTAACAACCCGATGTCCATTCATGGGTTGACGGGAGCCAGCGCCAGCAACTCCGTCGTCGATGGGGCGCCTCCGAACGCGAACGAATTCAACATTACGAACTATTTGATCCCGACCCCCGAAACGGATTGGCTGTTTCGCCCTGCAGGATAGAAAAGCCCTTGTTTCCCCCGCCTTTCGAATGAGAGAATTAGTGGAAGATATGCATTCCCTAGCGTCTGCACTGAAACACGCCCTTATTACCTCCTCCATTATGATCGACCTCCAGGGGACAGTCATGATCGGGGCTGTATATTCCCACATTTAGGCCCAATCCCAACTCATTGCCCCAGATGCTTTAGTCTTTGGGCTACTCCTGCAGTCCCAATAAGGCCCCTTCAGGTCCAGCAAGGCAAAGGAAAAAGCAACGCCCCATTATTCAAGCCACCCGGTGTGAGGAGCATCCCTTTATTGCGCCCTTGCAAATGTACTCTGAGCTCATCGCACAAGCCTAGTCAATTGCTCAGCCCTGAAAGAAAAACAAAAGAAGCACATCTTGAAGATTACCTTCGCTTTGACCCCACGTGTACTCAGATAATGTAATACTATTGCGAATATGCACTACACGGCATCTCTGTCTTATGGCATCCATGAGATTCCCTTCGCATTAATCAGGAATGAGCTGTATTTCGACGCCAACTACCTTTTGTATAGTTCAGGTTTCAAATGCCGATTTAATTGGAAACGCCCATGTAAATACATTGAAACACTCAAACATTTCTCGCTTTTTCTTGTAATCGTCTTATTTTACCCTACACTCACAAAGAAAGAAAGAAAGAAAGAGGAATGAATGGAAAGGAGAAAGGAGGAGCCAGTCCGGAAAACATAACAGAAAAGGGGAGAAGACACCAAACACAGACATGAACTTCACATATCATGACACGCATATTCAACTCACTGTAAGAAGAAACTATTTGTTCTTTCATTCAAAACATATCGTTCATCTGATACACTCATGTCGACAGCATAATCGCACGAGGCCGCTTCATTTATGCAAAGGCTTAAATTAAAAGCTTGATAAAAAAGAAAAGAAAAGAAAAAGGCAGTGACACCGCTTGAGTTGGAGATAAAATGCTGTTGGTAAATATGCCTTAATAGGGAGAGCGAAGTGGCGGTTTAGAGCCCCATTACGGTCTTGTCGAAGCTGATTCTTCGTCAGGCTCGATCCGGACGAGTACTTCTTCTAGGAACCCTTCCAGGAACGAGTTGACATGTGCCCCCATTCCGATGGGGGCTTCGTTGTCCCAGCGCTCAATTCTGGCAAACATGCCGCTCAAATCGCTGACCATGGATTCTATCATTCCATGGACATACTCTCGGCGGGACTGGAGCTCATAGGAATCCATTCGGTTTTCGCTGCCCTCCGGGGGCATATTGCGCGAAAGAAGTTCCAGGCGACGGGCACGACGACGGGTGGCCGCTTTCAGAGCAGGCAAAATAACACTGTTCAACGCCGTCACCTCGCCCGACGATGGCGTTCCTCCTTGATTCTGTAAACTGGCGTCGATTGTTTGATGCAGCTGATGAAAGTTTGGCTTAAGGCCGGGAGGATACTGGTCACGTAACGGTGATTGCTGGGGTCGTTGCGGATTCGGCTGGGGTGATATGTGCCGTGGAGTCGGTAAAGGGCGAGCCTGTGGTTGATGATTCAATTGAGGATGAGGTCGTGATTCTAGGACTGGCCTTTGGTGCTGGTCTGGAGTATTTCGAGAGGGTTGCATAGGCGCTTTTGTAGGTAAGGGTCTAGATTCATGTGCGGTCGGAGCGGCATTTCGATAATTCGAGGCAGGCATGGGAGTGTTTGGGGTACTGTCAATTTGCAAGAAAGAGAGGTCTTGTGCCAGAGACTTTTGCAGCGCTTTGTCGTAATCACTACCAAGGCTTTCCCTTGCGTGTTGAGGGGCTGGTTTTTGAAGGCGAGAAGGCGTCTGGGGTGAGCTTTCTGCCGGCAATTGTTTCACTGGTGATGGTGGCAGTGAAACCTTGGTGGGTGAAGCTTGCGGTGCAGCAGCTCGAGCGTCTTTCATATTCATAGGCCTTTGCGGAATACCGTGGATCGGTCCCTTCTGAGGCTCATCTTTCAAACCCCACTCGGCGGTTTCGTGATCGCGGGTGTTGACGTCGGTCTCCTTCATCGGCTTCAAGCCTGGTGGTCGTCCAACAGGACGAACGGTACCAAAGTCCCAAAGATCGTCATCATCATCGTTATCGACCCTTGGGGAACGCGATGAAGGCTCAGGAAGGAAGTCCTCCTCGTCATCAGCATTCTTGTTACCGTTCTTCATATTCCAGCGCTCGTAGGTCTCAATAAGCTCTGTCAGATACGTCGTCCTCCGTCCTCGTTTTATGAATGGATGTTCGAGCAGTTCCTTTGCAGATGGTCGCTCTCGAGGATCCCGGCGCAAACACAGCTCGACGAAGTTTTTAAAAGCTCTGCTGTAATTGCCATGCAGAGTAGGAGGTGGGTTCTTGGGAATGAGAAATAGAACCTTCATAGGGTGGATGTCCGAGTAAGGGGGCTCCCCGTTGGCCAACTCAATTGCCGTGATCCCCAGGGACCAAATATCGGCCTTGTAGTCATAGCCTGACTGTTTTATGACCTCCGGCGCCATCCAGAAAGGAGTGCCGACGAACGTATTCTTTTTTGTCATAGTAGCTGAAAGCTGACTGGAAACCCCGAAGTCCGCCAGTTTTACTTGGCCATTGGCCGTCAGAAGGATGTTTGCAGCTGCCAGCAATGTCAACGGGACGTCGGGAGAGCAGAGTGGAGACAAATCGGGGTACCTTTGATATCACGATGCAGTTTCTTGTCGCTATGCAAGTAGTCTAGCCCTCGAAGAAGCTCTCTGAGAATGATCGTAATGTAGTCCTCGGTGAGTTTCCCCGCACGCATCAAGTCGGAGCAACTCCCGCCGGAGCAGAACTCCATGACAATCCACAAACTTGATCCTTTCAAGAACGAACCATGATATTTTGTCACGTATGGGGAGTTTAGCTCCGACAGAATAGCGATTTCTTGGATGATGTCCTCGACTTCATCTTCGGCATTTTCCACATCGATGATTTTGATTGCGACAGAATCACCACTGCGCCTGTCGAGTCTATAGGGGGAAAGCCGGGTTAGAATTACTATGAAATGAATTCTGGTACTCGAAGTTGGGGGGGGGCAAATACCCTTTATAGACACGTCCGAAGCTTCCACCGCCTGTATACTAATTAGAGAAACGAATATCACAATCTCGAGTAAGCAAATACGGACCGATGCAGTTTTGCTTCATGTAGATTGTTTCCGGGTCCACTAAGCCTTCCATTTTGGCGGTGCTCGAATATTGTCGGCAAGTATTTAGTCCTGTGGCACATAAAAAACATCAGAATAGAGCTGCCGCAGGTCGAGGATTGAGGCGGGTAATTCAGCGGGCAAAAAGAGGACTCGAGGCGCATATTTAAAATGAGATGCGAAGGAGAAATAGTGCGTGTAGAACCAGGAGGCACCAACTAGATCAACCGCGAGCAGTGATTGATGGCCTAGAACGGGCTAGGAGGGGAGGGATTCTAGATGAACCACGGACGGGAAAAAGGCAATTGACAAGGTTGTCGAAGGGATTGTATTATTGGAAAATTGACTCGCAGATCACTATGCCTGGGTGAAGCGAACGCCGGGCTGGATAGTGACTTACTATTTTTCCAAGATGAAGAGATCCCTTGCCCGATGGGAATTGGGGCAGTTGGCCATGAAGGGAGGTCAAACAGGCAGGCAGGTAAATAAATAAATAACAATAGCTGGGCCCAAGCGGTTGACTTGCAGAACCCTGGACCGAAAGTAGCTAGTCTCCTTGCTTCCAGGCAAACGGGCGTCCACGTCAGAGGAAGCGGACTAGAGAGCAGACTAGTGGTTCTCGGAGGAGAGAGAGGGAGAGGGAGGGGGAGGGAGGAGAGAAGATGACAAGAAGGGATGAACGATGCGATAATCCCCGTCGAGATTCTTAATTGATTGGCGCCCGCGCGGGGTGGATTGTGCCGGGCGGTCTGCAGGGCGGCGAGCAGCTTATCTCCTAATCTCCTGTACTGATCTACATCTACTAGGTGCTAACTAAATTGCATGTACTTGTCATATCGTGAATTGATCTAACATGGCCGCTATCGAGTATTAACCCCCCGGAGAACTTCCCCCCCCTTCTAAAAACATCCCGTGCAGATACCGAGATCAATCCAGCTGGCCCAGACAGAAATCTTCGAGTCAAAATGCCTTGCGTCAATCAAAGAGAATGGTCTTCCCCCCTACTCTTCCAAGTAACCGATCATCACGGTCCCATTCTTTAACCCGGCGTCTGCCACAGTCGTACCGAGAGAATCGATCAAGTTGCGGCCCAAAGAGTTGAGTTCAAACTCCACGCCGGCTTTTTCGGGCAGCGGCGGCTCGGCCTTGAGCCATTCATATATCCGCTGAACCGGATCGGCCAACGAAAAGCGCCGGATGACTCTCCCAGACGGGTGTCGGAATTGAATGCGCGTAGTCGTGGCCGGGTCTGCAGGAGGCTCGGTGTGCGGCCGATCGCCCGGAATGGACGAGAACGGCGAGGCCTCGGCGGCGGCCGATTCACCTTGGTCGCCCATGTCAATGTCTCCCGCATCAGCGACTCTGCCCTTGCCCTTCACATCATCGGTACTGCGAGTCAGATCGTCCGGATCCTCCATCTTGGCAGCCTGCGCGGCTTCGGCCCCGAGGCTGTTTCTCATGGCCATCTCCAACATCTCCTCCTCCGTCATAGCATCGATGCTCTTTTCCTTCTGCTCGGGTTTCCGCTTGGCCACGGGATTCCGAACGTTGTGGTTGAGGCTGTATCGGTCGAGAAACTCGTGAAGCTGCATGAGAAAGTCCGCCGCTTTAATTACGGGTGGCCCCGACCAGACCTTCATCTGTTCCCCGGTGCGCGGATCCACGATGGCAATATTAGGGTAATTGTCAGAAACGTCGCTGCCCTGGAAGTAGTACTGCAGGTAGGGCGAAGCCCGGGGATCGTCCTTGGAATATTGCAGGAATATGAAATGTTCTTTGACCGTGTCTCGGACCCCGGGGTCTTTCCAGAGATCCCTGTTCAGCACCTGGCAGTCAAAAATGGAAGAATCTTGGATGTTGACCAACAGCCATTTCTCGCTGTCGCGTCCTTCCTGCCGGGCCAAGTCCCATGGGAGCCGGGACATGATCTCGAATGGCGGACGATACATTTCGGCGAGCATGTTCGACTTGTTTGACGAGTCAGAAGCCCCACCTGTTGCTTCCGACAGCCTCTCACGATGGGTTCTGTCGTTGTCGTTGTCTTCTGCGGTCCAGATCGAGGCACTGTCTCTCTGATTAAAGATACCGGGCCGGTCTAGTTCCAGCTAGTAAGCAACCGGGTTTAAACAAGGAATAAAAATAGAAATGAAACAAAGAGAAAGAAACAAGGGATAGACTCACTGCCTCGTTGCCGTGCACGTAATTGACCCAAGATACTTGCGTGCATATCGCCATCGTCCATTTCCGCCTCCGGGCCTACAAGTGTTTCCGTCGTCCGGGCCATTGGAGCGCGCACTCCATCAGAATTATCTTCTCCGCCATACATTTCCTCCTGAAGTCGACGGGCCATGGCAGCATCGTCATCGAATGTAGAGCCGTGCAGATTTTGATTCGGAGGCGCCGACCGGGCTTCGTCCACCGTGACATCGTCATCCGAATCGACATTCACAACCCCAGACTCATGTTGGCGCCCCGCAGAGGGAGGGGCGGCATGAGGGGTCGAAGTTGAGGGTAGTGGTTCCTCCGTCAAGGGCGCACCGCCATTTTCGAAATAAAGCTGCATGGCCTGCTCAATGTTGAAATCGGTTAGTTGCAGGTACTGGGTGGCCAGCTGAGGGCTCGAGCCAGTGATCTCAGTGAACTGGGCCACCACATCGCCGTCCATGGCGGGCAAAGAGCGTTTCCGATGGTATTTGGTTGGGATTTGAAGTTGGACTCGGGGGAGGGATGGCGACTTCAGCTGCTTGAGATGGAAGAGAGCATGCAGCAAGATATGATGCAAACAGCTGCAAAATTGGAAAATCGGGCCGTAGACGCTGCTGATGAAAGGAAGACGTAATAGCAGGATAAACGGCGACAGGGCCGAGGGCCAGAACTCGGGGATGGGACGAAAGCCGAAGAAAGGAGTGGAATCGGAGGCAAGTGAGTATAGGACCTTCCGGGCGAAGAATGATTAGGGATTAAGGATTAATATTCAAATGATCGATGTGATCATCCGCCAGGCTGCGGGCGGTGACGCATTTGTTGCGGGACTCCCTGTCTCGGGTACCCATCCTCCGGCCGCCCGCAGCGCCCCGCTATGCAGTTTGCGTCAATGGTCGCTGCCCCGTGCCCGACTGCCCTGGTGCACGTGACTCGATGCGACGCGCGACACGAAACGCGGTTTGGCGCGGCCGGAAAAGGGCGGCAGCCAATTATGCCTCCTTTAGGCTGAAGTACCTTAACTTAGTTATACCCTCCTGCTTCCTCAACCTTTCCTACCTGAGTCGTCATATATCCATACCCACCCCTCCTCTCCCGGCTGCTCTTTCCCCCTCGACGAGTGGTAGCTCTTCCACCATGGCAGCCTCGGTTCTAGGAAAGCGCCAGCGTGGTGCCATTGAGGCAGAAGGTACGCCGTCGTGCTTGCCCTCTGGATCTTTGAACGTTACTAACCATTCCTTTGGTGTTAGCGCCATCATTACCATTGCGCAGCGCAAGCAAGCGCCGGACACAACCACCGCGGATTCTTCGGGAAGATTCAAAGTCCTCTTTGCCGTCTTCTCGCCAGCTGCGATCGAGGGCAAGAAACCCGGACGCCCCACAACACGACTGTCAAGCAGAGACTAAAGAGTTCGCCAACGAGAATGAACAGCCTAAGCCTGTGGATAAAGAGGAGAAAGAGGAGGAACCATCTCGTCCCTCGAAATCGGTCAATGGTAGGTTTACGACCCTTGGTTGCGTTGAATTTGTGTTAATGGGCACAGACGAAAATTCCAAGCCTGTCCTGCTCAAAACCCCCTCCAAATCGAGATTTCGAGATGCGTTAGATTCTCCACCCGTTACACCGAGACACAGAGTTCAAGTCGGAGGAAAGTCCTTGACTCCACGCACTCCTCGGCAATATTCGACTCCTACAACGACCCAAACGATTTACACCAACGCCAGGCAATTATTCGCACGAGGCGCAAACTCGGTTCAGATAGTTGGTCGAGATGCAGAGCGGGAGAAACTGACGTCGTTTATTCAAGACGGTGTGAAGTCACGCCAGGGTGATTGTTTATATGTCAGTGGCCCTCCAGGCACTGGCAAAAGTGCTTTGGTCCAGGAGGTGTGCCGTGCGTTAGACCTCGAGTCTGTGAAAGTTGCACATATCAATTGTGCAAGTATGCGGACTGCGCGCGATGTTTATAGCAAACTCATTGAAGATCTGTGTGAAGACGATCAGGTTTTCAAGAAAAGCGAGACTGAGCGGCTGAAGAGCCTATTCGTTCCGGATAAGAAACATGATGGTTTCTTTCTAGTCACTTTGGATGAGATCGATCATCTTCTAACGGCTGACGCTGGTGTTCTCCAGTCCCTGTTTGAATGGGCATTACACACCAAGTCCAAGCTTATGCTCATTGGGATTGCTAATGCCCTGGATCTAACCGATCGATCTTTACCTCAACTGAAAGCAAAGAACTTGAAACCTCGTCTTCTTCCTTTTCTGCCCTATAATGCCAGTCAAATTGCGAACGTGATCACGAATCGGCTTCGGTCGCTACTGCCCCAAGGTCACAATCACGAACCGACTTTCGTCCCCTTTGCCCAACCGGCAGCCATCATGCTGTGCTCGAAGAAAGTGGCTTCTCAAACTGGAGATTTACGCAAGGCTTTTGAACTCGTCAAACGCGCCATCGACCTCATTGAACAGGAAACGCTTGAGAAGCTTGAAAAGCAGACTGCCGGCTCAGAGTCCCCCTCCAAGACAATTCTCGTCGAAAACAACAATCTCTCATCCCCGGTTAAGACAAAGCACAATCCAACATCATCCTACACAGCTTTCACGGCGCCACGGGCCAGCATTGCTCACGTGGCCCGCATTACTTCGTCTGCTTTCGGCCAGGGAACGGTCCAGCGGCTTCAAAATCTCAATCTTCAGCAAAAGGCGGCAGTTTGTGTTTTGATTGCTCTGGATCGGAAAAAACGCGAGGGAGAGCACCTCGGTACTCCGTCGAAGACCCGACATTCCGTGCCGACTATCAAGCAAATTTTCGACACCTACTGTGTTTTGTGTCGCAAGGACAATCTCCTCCATCCTCTTACTGCGACAGAGTTCAAGGATGTTATCAGCAACCTGGAGACGTTGGGGTTAGTGGGCGAGTATCAGGGTCGAGGTCGAGGCGGCACGGTTTCCGCCGGCTCGGACGTCAGGCGCACTCCTTCGAAGTCGGGCAATGGACCGATGACCCCCAGTAAAACGCTGGATGAGCAAGGCCTCGTTTGCTTTGTTTCACAAAGGGAAATTGAGAGCCAGATTGCAGGACCCGGCGAGGGCATCCTCCGAAGGTTACTCATGGGCCAAGGGCTGTGATACCCAGCCACCCTTTCCTACATTACCGAATGCCTTCTCATGTTTGATTTCTTTCTTTTGTGGTGACCTTTGTCATCTTGCATAGCGTTGCGTCAGATACACACACACATTACACTACTTGGGTACAGCACTGCCTAGCCGAGTGATGGCAAACATTGCCCACTAGGCACATACATTGGTTATGGTACTATAACGAGATAATAAAGAACTGTTCACGATGTAGTTCTACGCCCTCACAGCTTGCCTATTAAAATTGCATGTTTTACAATCAACATCATACACGGGTCGCTTGGATTGAAATGAAATAAAGACATCAGAATGAAGCGCATTGAACAGCAAAACAAAACACAAAATAAAGTCAAAGGTCAAGGGAAAGTAGTTGGAGACATTTATGCATACAAAGCAAATAAATATAAACATACAGAAAAATTGGGTATGTGAAGTATAAGGATGGACTTTATACTTGAATACAAAGAAAAGACAGAAGTTGCCATCATGCGCATCCCAACTTACAAGGCCTGCTGAAAGTATGAGACTCAAATGGTGGGCCACATATCTATGCATCAACGATGAGGACGGAAGAGCTTCACAAGAACGATAGATATGCCTAGCTGCTGTTCAAAGGAAGGTGCGGCCGTCAAAGGAAAAGAGAGAGAAAAAAGAGAAGTCCTGTCCACGTGCAAACGTATGATTTGGTTTATATCTTTCCCCCTTTTCTGGCTGCCGCAAAATAAAAAATCAAGGTGAGTGAGTTATCGACGTCGACGCATTTAATCATCCATTGGCTTGTCTTCCAAAGTTACGCCTTTCGGTGGTTCATTCTCGACCAGGCTGTTTCTCTGGCTTCCAGGCTCAGACTCCCCGCTTGCAACGGTGGGGAAGCTGGACCTGTTGCCTAGACCGGGCTTACGTGTGTAGATGCCGCTAGAGCGAGTCGAAGAGCGCTTCTCGGCATCGTGAGCCGGGGTGGGCGTGGGCGTGGGAGAATCATCTGACGCAGCCGGTGGCGGAGGGCTAGATGTGCCCGAGGAAGGGCTTCCACTAGCAGCGGCGGAGGCCTGAGAATCACTCGAGGTGCCATTGGTGGCAGGCTCGGCGGCGTTGATGTTAACGGTAGACAGTTGTTCATGCCCCGTTGGGGAGCTGTTGCTGCTGGGGACATCAAGGCTGTTTCGGACAATGGTTCTCCTCTCAGTCGGGCTCGTGACGTTGACAGGGAACCGCCCAACCTCCGAGGCACCACTGGATCGGTCACGGCGGTGTTTCCGGGGAGGTGCCGGGCTATTAGCACGGCTGCGATCCATGATAGCGCGAGCGCGAGCCTCCATGGCTGCCCGACGATTACTCTCGTCGGTGCTAATAGCGCGGGGACGATTGTTGGCCGGGCCTCCGATTCCAAGCGCGCTTGATTGCCGCTTCAACTCACCGAAGATGGTGTCCTTGTGAGCAAACAAGTCCCGGATCAGGCGATAACTGTGTCGCTCGTTCATCGTCAGGCTGCTTTCCATGCGTGGACGAAGGACACAAGGAGCCAATGATTGAGCAAGAGAAGAAACGTAGGCTTCGTCAGCAGACGTGAGGTCTATCAAGCGCGTGAAATGGGTCATGATGGCGTCAAGGGTAGCTATGTTGTTGAGACGAAGCTGGCCCAGTGTGCTCTGCAAGACCTTAATTCGTCCTTCTTCCGTGGTCTCATGAGCAGTGGTGGAATAGATGGTCTTGACAATTTCGTAAACTTGGGAGGAAACAAGAGAGTCTGGGTTGCAAGTCAGCAGTTGTGTCGAGGTGTCCAACGAGATCAAAACGCACCCGGCAACTCTAGAAGATACAGCTTCAACACGCTCGCAATAATGGGTATCTCAAATTTCGGTAGCAATTCCCCGTAGTCCACCTTGGAGTTATTCAAAGCAGCCCGCAGGTGGTGTGTCGCTGACAGGGGAACATCGAAAAGCCAGATGGCGCGCCGCGCCTCATCGCCCTCGAGTTCGGGATATCCTAGTGAGAATTCATTAGCATCGATCACATTTCTCTATATGGTGACGCCGACTCACGGTTATCCAGATAGGTCAAAATAGTGGTCACTAGAATAGGAACGCGTTTGCGGTCGGCCCTCGCCCTCGCCTCAAGATCCACGCCGAAAATTTGATCTGACTATATTAGCAACCAAGATGTCTGTGCATGGGTTAATTTTTCAGGCGCATACCTTCTACGGACCCATAGTAGTTTTCATAGGCTTGGACCCGGGGCACAAAGCCTCCAGTGCGGTAGTTTTCGAGAAGATATCTCAGATCTCCCAGTGGCTGGATTGTTTCCTGGTACAACATCATATGATCCACGGTGCTCTGCAGGTTGGGAATGACGTTGCTGACTGCGCCGGAGAAATCAAGAACAACAGCCTTGATTGCTTTCAGTCGGTCCAGTTCACACTGCTCCATGAAACGGAGGTTTTCCACAATCTCCTCTTCGAGCTTGCACCGGATCTGGTCCAATTTCCGGATAGCACCCTTGTACCGCTCATCAGCCTCGCGTGCCTCTCTGCGCAGCTTCTCGGCCGGCGTCTCGTTCGGGTGAGGGTTGTTGAGTGGATTCCAGACTGCCAACATCTCCGAAACGGACGAGATCGGGGATTCGCTGCCGTCTTCGCTCGATGCCATCGAGGTCACACGCATCAAGGGCGTTTTCTTGTCGGGGATGCCAGTGATTTGGAAAACTTTAGGGCGCCACTGGTATCGCATCTTGGAGCTGTTGGCGAAGGTGCTGCCCATGTTGCCCACCAATCGGAGAATGCCGCCGTCGACAAGATCTTGCCCGATTCTCTCAGCATAGGTCATGCTGGTTGCATTCATGTGCTTTTGGGTGTATTCCACAATATCGGCGCCAGACGACGTGTTTTGATAGGTTCCGATGATAGGCACCTTGACGTCGCCCAACTTGATGTTCTCCAGCATGTGCAGCAGCAGTTTTTTGAGATCCTCGGGAGTGTACATGCGATCGCCTATCTCAAGCGGCTCTTCTTCCGGCTCTTGCTCCTCGGGAAGGACGATTTTCGGAGGGTTGGCCTTTGGGCTAGTCTCAGGAGCCTGGAAGGCAAGCTTGTTCTCCTCCTCCAAATCTTCCACCACACGGCACTTGTTGAAATAATGGCTTCGCAGCTTCTTGACCAGTTCAACCTGTTTGGTATGCTCCTTGATGCGGGACTGAAGGTCATCGTGGGAAATTTGGATCCGAGCCTCGTGCTGGTCGCACCAGCGTCGGAATGGCGTAACGACTAATTCACGGATGTTCGATGCGATCTTCTGATGGTTTTTGGCCGATTCGACCATTTCCGTACGAACTCCCTCGTATGCCTGTGATAAATTGCTGCCATATCAGTATACCGACGAACGAACGAGACAAGGCACCCGCCATCTCCACAAAGGGACGAACCACCCACCTTCCGCACACTGGCCCCATCATCCTTCGCAAACCCGGTTGTCATGCGATCGACGCTCGGCGCAATGTCTCCAAGCTTGATACCATATTGGTCTTCCGCATCCGCTCGCATCGAGGCAATTGTGACGATCTGTTTGTTTTCAACAACGCCCTGTTGAAGTTTCCCATAGAGCACCCCGAGCCCCGTGGCGTAGTCGGGCGTCCAGAAGGAATCCGAAAAGCCAGGCATTGTGATCGCTCGGTCGCAGGTGCAACCAGTTCGAAATGAGTTGATCTAATATGGGACACCGCGCGGGCAGTAAAGGGGCATCGAAACTTTGCCCCCAAAGAAAAAGGAATGAGCACGGCCACCAAAAGAAACCCACCAAAAAGCCAACCCGGGCACTTCAGTCAGGTGGATGCCCTGAGAGCACGACGAAGATGTTAGGATGGGGTGTGGAAAGAGCAACAAAGAGCAACTTGCTTCGTTCGCAGCGCCTAGGAGGGGGGGGGATCCAGCTGTTGCGAGTCCTGTCGTCACACGGCGCGGCAGCGAACCAGCATAGGCCCGAGAAGTAAGTATGCGAGGGCGCCTGCGAGCGAGAATGTAGGAGAGAAAGCGCCAGGGAAGGAGTCGACGGGGCACCAGGAGAGAAAGAGGGAAGAAGTCAGTCAGGGGGGCAGGGAAGGACCCGATCAGAGTGGGCGAGGTCGACAGATGACAACGGATGCTTTTGTTGGCCGAGCGAGATCTTTGATGGGCGCTTCTCTTAGGGATCCTTCATCGGTACTGCGTAATTTACCGTCCTGAAACTAGGCCCGTTGCTGCCTCAGCCTCACGTGTTCTCCGCCGGAATGGCTATTTTTGGTCGCGCCGTGAAAGATTACCGACTGAGACATCGGGCGCTGGTAAATTTGGCCGCCCCCCCTGGCCCGCCAACTGCTGGTTACCCGGGCGCTACCTCCTTCAAGTACCGGGCAAGACCCTAAGTCCAAGTCCCACGGAGGTACCCTTACCGTGGTACGCTGGTACCTCCTGTGTACCGTTTTACCGCCGGCGTTAGCGCAATCTGGACCGTTCTCCAGACTGGAGATCAACGGCCTTCATCTACGCCGAGCACGTTGGCAATTTGGGCTGGGAACTTGGGTTGTTTGGTTCCAGAAGACTTGCATGGAGAATATCATTATAGTCATACAACGTTGGAAAAAATAATACGAATAATCATAGACCAGAACCCTCTTGCCCGTCCGCACCAGAGCCCAATTGCTCCGAGCCCCGTCGGCGCCTGGCCTGCGCTAACAGAAAAACTTGTAGAGCTTCTTCCACGCCGGCCACTCCGCCTGCTCCGCCCGCTCTTGCTCGATCAGATATTGAATATCGAGGTCCCGACGTCCGGTCTGCAAATCCATGTCCTTGGCGCGCAGGAAAGGCGTCTTGAAATAGAGTTTATAGGGGATGTAAAAGGCCAACACGACCGGTGCGGCCAGATACACGGAGAAAAAGTTCTCGACCAGCTCGCCCGACGTCATATCGGCGTACCCGATGGGGGAAAAGCCGACCCAGAATTGAGCCACAAGCACGAGGCAGTTGAAACCGAACCCGATCCAAGATCCCACCAGGCCTGGTTGCGAGGTAAACGCCATCTCGTTCAGGCTGTGGCCCTGCACCTTCCAGGCACGACGGAAGCGGATGTGGGACAAGCAGACCGAGCCCCAGGTAAAGATGGACGACAATCCCGAGATGGCCATCATCCACTCGAATGCAACTTCTTGCTTGTCCGAGGCTGCCAAGAAACCGAGCAGGCCAAGGGCCGAGGCAATCAGGATGGCCCAGAGCGGACGGCCCTTGCGATCAATATAGGCCAGGAACCGGGGGGCTTGTCCTTGTTCGGCGAGTGCCGCGAGAGTTCTCGAGGACCCATAAACAGACGAGTTACCAACGGACAGCACCGCTATCATGATCACGACATTCATGATTGAATCAAGCACCGAAATACCGGCATTCTTGATGGCGATCACGAACGGGGATGCTTTGGCATCGGCACTGGAGGCGGCGCTCAACAGTTGGTCGTTGTCGTATGGCACGAGGAGACCGATCAGAGTAAGCGAGACGATGTAGAAGAGAGTAATACGCCAGAAGACCTGCTTCACAGCGGTCGGGAGGGACTTTCGAGGGTTCGCAGTCTCGGCGGCAGCCAAACCAACCAGCTCGGTACCGGCAAAGGCAAAAGCGGCATTGACGAACACACTGCAAAGACCTTTGAAGCCGTGGTTGAAGGCACCAGGACTGTGCCAATACTGTCCACCGATATATCCACCCTTCGGGCCCCCTCCGCAGTTAAGAATGATTCCAAGAATACTGCTCCCATGTCAGTTCGTTGGTACGAGATATCCAGATTGGGCGCACTTACATAAAACCAATCACGGCAATGACCTTGATCAGAGAGAAGACAAACTCGGCTTCACCGTAACCCTTGACACCAAACAAGTTGATGGACACAATGACAGCCCAGAAGATAGCCACCCAAGCTGCGTTGGAAATACTGGACTCCCAGTAGTCGACTGTTATGGACGCAGCAACGATCTCCAGAGGCAGAACCACAAGCCATTGCAGCGCATAGTTCCAGCCCATGGCGAAGCCCCAGGCAGGGTCGATGAAACGAGTTGAGAAGTGGGCGAAGGAACCGGCAACCGGGAAGATGACTGACATCTCACCTAGAGCATGCACTGTGCAATAAAGCATGCAACCGATCAAGGCGTAGGCGATAAGAAGTGATGCTGGACCACCGGTGGCGAGCACTTTTCCGGAACCAACGAAGAGACCCGTACCTATTATCGCACAAATGGAGTCAGCGAGGTACTGCTAACCAGCACGGCGAAGTAGACACAAGGTATGTACATACCAATCGAACCACCAATGGCGATCATCTGTAGATGGCGAGACTTGAGGCTGCGCTGCAGCGGGGAGGCAGCGGTTTGTTCCGCCGCATTTTCGATATCGAAGGACTTTCCGTCCGCACCGGACGAGCCATGAGAGACATGAGCATTTGGGTCTCTCTTAAAACTATCCCATATCCGACGGCCAACGTTTCCGCGGGTGATCTCCGTTTCGCCGTAGGTTGGCGGCGGAGGCGTGTCAGCCGACACCGAGGGCTGAGCCTTGGGCTCAATCACGTCCTTCTCCATAGATGCGTCCAGCAAGGGTCCACGCGAAGATCAAGAGCCGACGACGGACCACAAGCCAAGGAAAGGAGCAGCGCAAGTCACGGGCGCTGAAAGGAAATAATGGGTCTAAGGGAGGGGGAAGGGAGATAAGTGAGATATGGATAAGGGGGACAGAAAGAAGAAGTGGCTTAGGCAAAGGCCAAGCAGACGAGCGGGATGACTGGCAGGTATAACCAATCGAGTCTTTTCAACTGGTAAACCAAAATGCCCAGGGAAGCTAAGAAAGGTGGTCAGCTTGGTAGAAGCGAGAGGGCAGGGAGACGGCTGGGCGCATCGAGTAGAACGACGGAGATTGGAGGGAGCAGAGGATTATTTAAATCAAGCCATCAGGCCGGGTCAACACCCACCTGGACCGGGCAAGCATTATGCGCACGACATGGCAAACGCTTAGCAAAGGGACGGGCTGACCGATGGATGTGCTAGTACGATGTAGTGAGTACGAGGTCGATGGACATCCATGTGGGCTGCACCTCTCCAGCAGGTATCCACGGCGTGGTTCACTATGGGGAAACCTAAAATCCCCGGTCGGATTAACGTAATTTAATTCTGATTAGACTATCGGGCGAGGGATCGAGTAATCGCATTCCCATTACTTGAGGGGAATTGGCTTATTATACATCGCTGTCATTGATAAGTCCGGACTGGCGGGACCTCCGCGCCACCCACAAAGCGGCCGACCAGGGTTTTAAGATAAAAAAAATTGGGAATTAAAAAGGAGAGGGAGAAAGAAGGGTGAAATAGTCAGAGAGAGAAAAAAGAAGACGATAGAAAAAAAAAATAAAAAAGAGAAAGAAAAAAAGAAAAGAAAAGGAAAAAAAAAGAAATCCCAAATACAGCAAACGGGGTAAATAAGCTACAGATCTGTGGATGAGGAAAAAAAGAGACTCGAGGAATAGGAGCCAGGTATGTGCTACTCCGTACAAGCATCTAATGTTCTGTGAGCAAGTTCCCCGAGCGACCCAGGATTCAACAAGACCGTCAACCTTGGAACGGGTCGAGCGTCTTGTTGTCGTGTGATTCCATTGCTATTTCCACCGGTCAATCCTGACTCGACGTTACATTCTCCTTCCTTTCAGGGTCCATCGGAGAGTGGAGTGATCGCAATGGCGCCTAGATATCCCTACAGATGTCAGATACGGAGTGGAAGATTGCCTATTATCGGATGACAGGCTGATAGTTGATAACCCTCCTATCAAGACCAGTTATCGAGGAATCAATTCATAATCGTTTCTGGTCACAGTCCCTTCAGTTTGAAGGCTTCAACCCTGGGAATATGCCTAGATCTGGCCGGACAAACGGTTCTTGGATCCTACGGGCCAATACTACCCTCTTAATTGGTGGCTTCCAGCCTTCCCATCCTGAGTTCTTGACGAAGGAAGTGACCGTACGCAGTAGAGCTGGATCCGGACAAGACCGGATGTTGCCACTCAGGGAAGACCGACCGAAACAAATCAAATAAATAGAATAAAATAATAAAACAACACCCAGTCGAAGCATTGGCCCCTTCCCGAATGAACGCAAGATAGCCATTCGGGCTGGCCTCCCCACCCTGAATCCCCAATCAGAGTCTCCAACGGTCGAGATAAGAGAGATACTTCGGGCTCCCGTAGGAGCACCCAACAGACCTCCTTTTACTGCGTACTGCAGGACCCCTGGTCTTTCCTGACGCACGCCGGCTGGCGTGGCCCCTAGTTGGCGCTGATAACGTTTCGGCCCAAAACGCCTTTGTCCCCCAAGAATGGCTTGTCTACCGACGCTCTACCGAACCTCGCGGGCGGGAATCTAGCCACGGCTTTCTTCATGGCCCCCCTATGGTCCCCCTGGGGTCTTGTCGTTGCTTGGAAGTGCTCGATCATATCTGCTATCTTCCCTTGGCTATCGCCAGAAAGATCGGGGGAATGCTTGGGGGAAAGCTTTTCTTTTCTTTGTTTGGACCGCGAGAGACCTCCAGGGCTGATCCACCGGAAGTTGGCAAATGCATGGAAGCACGGGAGAAAATAGCCATTCCTACGAGGTGGACATCGTACAATACAAACTCAAGACCCGCTCATCCTATCCTTTCTTTTATTTTATTTTATTTTATTTTATTTTATTTATTTATTTATTTATTTATTTATTTTTACCCACCCCAAAAAAGTCCTTCTGAGTACTGAGTCTGCTAGACCGTGGAGGTCAAAGCGGCTTGGTCAGTTCCTTTGTTCAGCTCTAAACTGGCTAAATGTCCGATGGCTGGGAACTTTTCGGTCTTGGGTGGTAGAGACCAGGATTGAGCCGGGCCAACCTTCTCATCTGCAAAGGCATATGTGGCTTGCCTTTCACAAGAAAAACCACACCCATTGAATAATATACAAACTCGCCCGGATAGTCTTGGCTGCATCATTAATATGATCACATTGGCCGCGGCACAGTCAAGTGAAACATGGACGTCTTACAACACCAAGCCGAGGGACTTTCGCAAGCCTCTTGGGTGCTTCACGGCGTTCCCGAAAATACGAACTCAGGTTCGAGCGTGGCGATTTCCAGGTGATTCTGGTTGCCTTCAACCAACGAGACATCATTTCCACGCCGGAATTCTGCAAAGGAGGGGTTGCAACTACCCGTAGCATTCACAGCGTCGCCAGGTGCCATGGCTGTCCCAGGCAATTCCAGCGAGTCATGGTGTTTTGCAGCCCTCCTTTGGTGCAGCCGACCTGACGGGAGTTGGAGGAAAGTAAGTTAGAGTTGGTTTTCCCCGCTGCCAAACGCGGGGACCGACGGAATCCGTTATGTAACGGATTCCACCGAGGGATCCGGGGTAGCTTCACTATCCCGTATTCCCAGTCCCCAGTCCATTTGCCCTTCGCCCCTCCTTTGACCGGTCTGGCCCAAGAACTTCCCCAGTGTCCACATGGCCTGTCGGCTCAAGCCAGCAGAGTACCCGCATACTCATGGATTGTGCTTCTCAACGGGCCACATCTTACCTATTCGGGTACCTCCCAGGCAAGTTCGTTGCTCCAGGGCATGGGCCGAGTCATAAGTACACAAGTCCTTTTCAACCCCGCCAATACCATGCGACGTGTTCTCTCGAGCCTTCCAAGGATCATCTAGTTCGGCGTTTCTCAACCTAGCTCTCTCCTTGCCAACAAAATTGAACCCTCATTCCCACGCGCTTTGAATACGGTGGCGCTCTCGCTTTCCTCATCCGTATCTTTTAGTTTGCTCTTCTTCTTTTCTCTTCCCCTGCTTCAATTTATATAGTCTCGAATACTTAGTTTGCTAGCTGCAAACTACTATCAATATCAAGGATATCATAGCGGACTCGGCACTCATCGATGTGATGCCTCCAAACGGGAGGTCGCAAAGCAATATCATGAAAACAATTAAATTATCTTTAGCCAGAATCGGGAGACAGGCAGACATGGGCCACATAAGGGACATCAGAGCCTTTACCTCGATGGATTCAAGACAAAAATCAGACTGGCCATGAAAGAGTATGATGGCCGGAGATCATAATTCTGTTATTACAGCAGATTCTATTCGACATAATGTTGATGGTCATTCAGTGATTTTCATCATCGCAGGAAAAGAAAAAAAAAAACAAAATACATGGATATCATGAGCCTATGAGCTACCTGCCGGCCCTTCGCCGCCCGGAATCAACTGGAGATAGATGGTCAGCGTGAATGGGGTGACAATTGCTTGAAAACTCGGAAGCCTCACCATGCAAACATTATTCCCATTGAGCAGAATCTTGGGGAGCTTAACCTGGGATCCAGTATAATCGCTGCTCGTCGTGTTAGCGAGACAGGACGAAGAAGAAAAATGCACCAATGCGAGAGGGGGGAAACACTAGGGATCATAAAGACCATCTCCCAGCTAGTCAAAAGAGCTTGAGGACACTCACAACTCGGTCACATCCTCCAAGACCATGTCTGAAGCAGATCAGTATGAGGCAGTGGTCTGAAATAGATGATCGGCTAAAACTTACTGACGTAGTCATCGAATCCGAGCAAAGTGCCGGAGAATTCTGTGCCGGTGTTAGTAAAGCGGAGCTCTTAGGCTCGAAAACACAAACCCTTGTCATTCTTCATGATAACCCAAATCTTTGATCCAACACACTTGTCAATCAATTCTATCATGTTCGTTAGCGAGGGGCCACATGTATACGCAAATCATTCGGTCCATTACCTAAGGGGAGAAGTTGCGACGCCATGATGGGCTAGGGGTGAAGCAATCAGAGCCGAGAAAAAAGGTGATTGAGAAGATCCTTCTGGGAGCAAAGCCTAGACACTCTCCTCACGTAACGGCGCTTGTTTGGAGTGATATAGAAATTGATGCGGTTGGGCAGGTCTTCGATTATTCCCGTTCGGACAATCTTGGCGGACGCGGGCGTCGGGTTTCTCCGTTCCGCCGGTCTAGCGCCAATCAGATCGACTGTCCTTCGGCGCCTCTTTGTTTGTTCCTGAATCTTGTCATGATTACCTTAGTATTCCTTCTCATTGCGTTTCCAATGACCCGATAAGTCTGCCGCTGGGAACAAGCTATAATGCATGCCATAAATTTCGAGAACCTTTAAGAATTGTCCCGGGGGGTTGAGCCAACCGTCACGGCATAGAGCGGATTCCGGATACCATAGTGTCGGCACACCACGCGTTAGTCTGTCTAGCCCCGTCAGTACCTGGCAAGTAGGGCCGATTTCCCTGTTTGGTGGGACACACTGACCAATTCTTAGCTGTCTCAATGGGCTTGCATCTAGCCTGTATCATTCAAGGCTATTAGTGTCTGATTCTTCGCCTTATCCAGTTTCTCGGTGCACCCTTGCAGCATCCCATGACCAGAAGCTATCGGTGATGCTATCTCACTCCAAAACCTTTCATGGCAATGCTGTGGTAGTTATCCATGCTACCCAGAAAATAGCCAGGAAACCAAATCTCCGAAGACCATGTTTCCCTACGCTTGAGCACAAGCCTCAGTATCGAAAGGAACAAAACCGCTCTTCTGGATCTTTAACTAATTATTCGAGGCCATTGTCTAAGACACCATTACTCTTGTCTATCCATTGTTCGCTGCGCTCAAAGATTGGCTTTTTCAGCGAATTCAAGCCTCACAGGATCGGGCAAGCGTACAGATCTCATGCATCCGATGCTTGCCCTGAACCAATAACCGGAGAACCTAATAGCTCTGCAGAATTCGCCGGTATCAGTCGAGCCAGCTCTCTGGCTCAAGAGGGGTGTTTCAAACCCGTGCCACCCCTTCGTAACTCAATAGCTGATCGAAACTCGCACCCCTCGCCAAAATTCTGGAGCCATAACTCCCATAAGAGTCCTGATGGGAAGGATATCACCGTACATTACTGCAAATCGTTGAAAAGCACGGAAGAAGTTGCAAGGTACTTTTTAGAGGATCAGGTCCTGGGGTTTGATATGGAGTGGAAAGCCCAGGCCTCCGCGTCTGACACGATCCAAAACAATGTGTCTCTAATCCAACTTGCGAACAAAAGCCGCATCGCGTTATTCCAAGTCGCATTGTTCAAGCCGGCCCGGAATGTTAACGACCTGGTCGCTCCTTCTTTGAGAAAAATACTCGAGTCTCCAGATATCACCAAGGTTGGAGTATCTATAAAAGCAGACTGCACTCGCTTACGAAAGTTTCTCGACATCAATGCGCGCGCCATATTTGAGCTCAGCCATCTGCACAAGTTGGTCAAATACTGCCATTCAAATCCACGCTTGATCAATAAGAGACTCGTTAGCTTGAACGACCAAGTGGAAGAGCATTTTGGGCTACCGTTGGTGAAGGAAGATACCGTCCGCTGCAGCGACTGGACAGTTGCCCTTAACTACCCCCAAGTACAATGTAAGTCCGCCTACGCCTCCCGAGTCAACGCGACTTGCCTCCTGAATATTGACCCCTTTTTTTTGTTGTCTTCTAGATGCTGCCACAGATCCGTATGCATGTATCTGTCTATTCGATGCTCTGAATGCCAAACGGCAGTTGTTAGATCCCATGCCCCCTCTACCAGCACATGCCGAGTTGGATCTACCAATTCGAGTAGCATATGAACCCTCCAAGAATATTGATTCCGACGACCCTGAGGCAGTCGACCAGAGAATAGATTCGCCATCCAAGGAAGACCTATAGCATGTCAAGTTGGATGGCAGTATTTTATGGCTTTCATGAACACCTAAAGCAGAAGAAGATTGAATACCGTGTGCAATTCAGTTTCCTTTCTTTTCCCCTTGCTTTTCCATTTTGACATTTTGGATACCAAAGTCTTTGCCGTTAGAAGCGACCATATGTGACGAATTTTCTATAGACTTTTACTGTGTATACAATCAAACTCCACTCATATTGAAATAATCCCCTGAGTAGAGTCCGCTTGCATTCCAAGGAGTTGGGTGGGTTATTGCAGAAACAATGGGTATATTTGTCTAAGCACAAGTTCCAAAAAGATGCATAGGGCAGGGCCCTTTTGTACAAAAGCACGACGCTGTATAGAAAAGAACGCGAATAAAAAGATGTGTCACATGTGTGCGTTAATATGCTCAAGCATTCACAGTTGAAGAGGCTACCCTCTCAGGGGCAGTACTTTAGATAGGAGAACTTCTTGTCGGCAGAGAGGACACTCGGGCTTCTCGCGCACCCAGTCCCGGACACACGTCCAACAGAAGACATGACCACACGTCGTCACACTTGGATCCTTGAAGGATTCTAGGCAAAGCGTGCATTTGCTCTGTTGGCCTGAGGGTATCCAAGGGATGGCGCTGGTGTCCTCCCCTAGATCATATCGAGCATCATCAGCCGGTAGAAGCGGAAGTGAAGAAGGGTTCTCGATTGATTGAAGCAAAGAATTATCTTGGTGTTTTGAATCGCCTGGCCCAGACTCGACACTTTGCTCTTCTTGCTGCAGACTGACTCCAACCTTTTGGATGTGCAGGACACTCTGGACAGCGATCTGCAAGACTAGCAGTACACCCAGCACTTCATATCCAACCCGTTGTTCGTTTTCTTCAAGCTTCTTGGTAAACACATAGCGAAGACCCCAGAAGCGTTTCGACAGATGATAGTATGACCCGGTAAAATAGAAGGTTGCAATACTGAGGGCATAGATAGGAGACAGTGACGTGATTGAGTCCAGATGTTCGAGGATATATCTCTGAATGCGCAATTTGGTGAACAGCCCCGGTTTCCTCGAGGAATTGCTCTTCGAATCGGTTGGGGTTTCCCTGGTTTGCTGGGCTTTGAGCTGTTGTCGGGCGATACTGCGCTCTAGTTTGGCGCGCAGTCGCTGGCGAAAGACCGGGAGGATTTTCTGCAAAATCCACGGAGACAGAATACTACTTAAGACGTACCCAGCGCGCCGCGAGATCGATGGGAGACGCAGACTGTCGTCCTCCAATTGGACAAGATCACAGTACTCCTCTCCCAGTGTCCGGTTCCCGATCAAAGTCGCCAAGGAAAAGTACAGAAGTTCTGTGAGGTTCTTGATGGTATCCGAGTAGGTGTGCGCAAATCGGGCGCCGCGGAGGGATCGAGCTATGGACTGGGCCTGATACACCAAGCTCGATGTAAGAAAGACGTCTTTCTCATGGGAGCGGATGATGTCTGGCGACGTTGCAAATGGATAAAAATGGGCCGAGGGACTGGGGACCGAGGACGACGGAGGAGTCGAGAGCGAGAGGTCTTCGTCTGCCATGACGGCGGGTGGTGGTGTAGTAGGGACGATGCGAGCAAGACGATGGGGTCTATTCTATGGGGAGACACTCGATAACCCCGGACGGCGGGCCGGTGCCGGCGGACCTCGGCAGGCACCACGTGATGGATGTGCACTGCTCACGTGATCACTCACGTGAGGAACGGCTACAAATTTGGATGCCGCCGGGGCTAAGCCACAAGCGGACAAGCGCGGCCTGGAATGCCGCGCGGAGCCGCCTGGACTCTCTGAAACCGTCCCTGAGCTTCTTCGTCTTTGGGCTGCTAGTCATGAATGAACATTTCGGTTTTCAGACTCACCCCTAGTCACTCTTTTGGCCTATCTTCCTTTCTTCTTCTTCTTTATCCTTCTGTTTTTTCCTTTCTTCCTGCTCTTGTTTCTTTTCCCTGGCTGCTTGTTCCTTTGGCTTTTTCTCCGCTCTGGTGCTGCATTTCCCGGCGCCGCTTCGATGGAATATGGGTCCTGATCAACATGCTCAACTGGATGACTTCAGTCTTGTCCTTCCATTCCCCTCCCGCGTGGCGGTGATTCTGGTTGCTGGTATGCTGCCTTGTGTTGGCAATCCTCTGGGCCGCTCGACCTTTTCGGATCGCAGTATTGATTTCTACGACTAGGTTTCTGGGGTTGGGGAGTTAATCTGCACTATCTCCTGAAGACAAACATTGTGGGTGAACCCTCCCCCTCCCTCCCTGGACCACGAATTCCGTCTGACAGATCACGCTTTCAGGACGTTCCAGCCCTTATTCGATATCCCGCCCGTCATTCTTCCCATCTACGGCCCCATCACTCCTCGACCTATCATTTAGCGACCCTTCTGACCATCCCCCTTGTTTTATCCCTCTTGATATTCTGGGCTGCCACTCATGGATCTAAGGAGCGAGTGGAATCGCTGGATTACATCCCCCAGTCATACCTCTTCATTTTCATAATCATCATCGCTCTTCCCTACAATCGCCTTGCGCGATCTGGACGACATCGACTACTCGTGACCTTGAGGCGAATCAGTGTTGGTGGGTTAGCGGAGGCCCAGGATGGCAAATTTGGCGACATTCTCTTGGCCGACGCCCTAACCAGCTACGCTAAGGTCTTGGGGGACTTCGTCGTCACATTCTGCATGTTCTTTGGATCCGATGTCTCCAGCACATCAAAGCCCAATCGCAAATGCGGCAACGACTACCTCACCCCTCTCATCATCGCCGTCCCCAGCATTATCCGACTCCGACAATGTTTAATCGAGTACATCCGGGTCCGTCGCGGCGGCCCCAAGAGAGAAAACACGGGCTTCCAGCATCTGGCTAACGCGTTGAAATATGCGACCGCATTTCCCGTCATTGTCCTTTCTGCCAAATTGAGGAATTACAACCCCCTAGAGATGTACGGATACAGCGAAATGAGCCTGTCCCGCCTCCTGTATGTATCCCTGCGGTCCGCGAGGCGCGAAATTATCTGGTTAACCCATGCCTTAGGTATTTCTGCACTTTTGTCAACTCAGCCTATTCCTTCTACTGGGATGTAACCAAGGATTGGGATCTGACCCTTCTCACCCCATCACGCCTCGACCCGGAGCATCCCTATGGCTTACGTCGCCATCGCTACTTCGCCGACCGACAATACTACGCCGCCATTTTGGTGGACTTGGGTATTCGTTTCGCATGGCTTTCCAGATTCGTGCCGGGTTTTCTCTGGCTCACCGAGACCGAAGGGGGGCTTTTCACCCTCATGTTTCTCGAGGTTGCGCGTCGATGGATGTGGATTTTCCTTCGGGTGGAGGCCGAATGGAGTAAATCCCCTTCCCTTATGAATAATCCTTATGAGTTGCTGAACTAATGCTTTTTCTTTCTCGTCCAAACAGTAAGAAATAACCGTGGCCCGGCACCCGACGATATTCTACTCGGTGAGTTCAACGGCAAACTAGACGCCGATTGACGCATCAGCCGAGCCTTGAAAACAATTCGCCGTTGTTTTATTTATAAATGTCATGACTTGTATCTACATGTAGACAGGACCGAGAGTTATTGTTGACTTACGAACGCCTTTTGCTGCCATTATTTGCTACGCCGTTGAAGCCTACTATCGCTTGCGCCTCTTTTGTTTTCTTGTTTCTGCTCTTCTCTTTTGGTTCCCTTTTTTTTCTTCTTATATTTATATAAACTTGGGAGTGGTTCGCTTTCCGTTAAGTTCATATTCACTGTCTTTTCTGTCTGTACCATATGGGCGAGAGCGTTCCGGAGCTACATTGTGCCTAAAAAATTGTTTCGGTCCTTTTCGTTTCTTTCATGTTTAATTCCTGGGGGATGTTAGATGGATAATCACTAATTACAACATGGGAAGGACCCCCTTTCCCCGAAAGACAAAATAAAACAAAAAACCAATAAAATCATTCAAAATCTTCCCAGAAAGTATTTGCCGTTAAAAATTGATCCAAAGAACTCCATTGCCTGAGTATATCACAAAAAAAGAAGAAACTAGCAGCTAGATACATGATTCAGGGGGAAAGAAGGGGAAGGGATGCTGTGAACTGTGGCCAAGGATATACAATGTACTAGCACATATACAGGTAGCTGAATGACCCAGTCTTGAAAGAAAAAAAGAAAAAAAGAGGCGGGAAAAAAGATACCAAGCAGTTGATTAAACCGCGTTACCGTCGTCGTAACTCGTCGAAAAAGTTCTTTACTGAACAAAGCTAGGGTCGTCTTTGAGGAGGGTGGTTCTCGAATAAATCCTCTAGATATGCACTTGGTGTCCTTCCGTGCTGAGGAGAGGAGAGGTTCACACTGCTAGTTGAGGCGCCAACGTACGATTGTCTGCCGTTATGATGCTGAGACTCATGCGCACCGCCTGCGGGATGAGGAGGCGGCGTTCCCGGTGGGCTTGGACCTGATCTGGTCCGAGAGTAGCCTTGAGATTGCGGTCCCATGCCCGGTAGATCGGAAGACGAAAAAGAGATGTTCTGGCCGCCGCCAGCGGCAGCATTTCCGGCAGCATAATACCCAGCGGGAAGATAACTCGAGCCTCTATTTCCTCCGCTGTGCATTCCGGCAGTGGGCGAAAAGAATAGGCCGCTATTGGAGCTGGGAACTTTGGAGGACCGGCGGTGCGAGTGGCTTGAACGGTGTTTGCCGTTCATCTTCTCGAGCGACACGGCGGGCGGGGCTCCGTGTGAATGGGATGATCTCTTCTTCCTCTTATGGTGAAGCAGTCCCTTTGTTTCGGACGAATGCGCGATCGCAGCCTGACGGACGGATCGATTCACAGACCATGCAACGAGCCCACGCCATGCGAGAACAGAAAGTCCAATAAATCCCAACGCAGCCCCAACAGCGATGAAAACCGTGCCCTCAGGCGTGTCGGACTTCTGCATGTAGGGAGCGTCGCTAGTTGGCGGCACCGTCACTACGGGGTGGTTGCTTGTCGAAGATGACGAAGAGCTGCTTGCGGATTCGGTGGATGTCGATTGGGAGTCGGTAGTCGTCGTCGCTGATGAATCTCTCGTTCGCGACCTGGTGGTGGTAGTTTCATCGCCCGTAGTAGTTGCAGAATCGGTGGTTCTTGCTGCGTCGGTGGTTGTCGCATCGTCAGCCGACGTAGTCGCTGCATCCTGATCATCGGTGGTACGTTGAGCCACCGATAATTGAGCGAACAAGATCAGAGCAAGTAGTACGAACACCAGAAGTGAGCGCCGACGAGCCTTGCGAGGGCCCACAGAGAGAAACACCATGGCCGAGATAGATATGATCCGGTTCCACGAAGATACAGACTGCGATGCTGTTTATGCAGTATCTCAAGTGGTGGGAACCGCAGCGCAAACCAAAGATGGTCACAAAATTCGCAACGCCCAGGTAAACGAAAGACTTGCGTAGTAAGTGGCAAGCAGGCAATGGGGGCGTAGATCTCTATCGGATAGGATCCACCCAAACACTGGGGCAACAATCAACAGCCTAGAGATGAGACGACGAAGGTCCGAGATAGATCAAACGACAAAACAAAGGACTGACACCATCAAGCCCGAGGGTTGATCCGGGTGAAGTCTGGCGAGGAAGTGAGGGCCGGGACCGAGAAACGAGAATGCAAGACAGACGCAAAGATCAGCAAAGAGAAGAGTCGAGCCATTTTGGCGTCGGTTGCCCCGTGCCCCCGCGGATGCCCCAGGCACCGATCCGCAGGGGCGGAGCCCGACACGTGATGCCTAAATTTAGGTGGTTTGCATCGGTTTGCATCAACCGTATTCCTACACATCGAACATAAAGATACAGTTTATATGATAGCTATAGAAGAAAGAAATGCGATCCATGTTCCCGAATAATGCCAAAAAGGAAAAAGACACAGGCTTTGTCATCAACTATAATCACTGCTGTTTCTTCTGCACAGCCGACGAAGTATCCTTCTCGAAGGCGGCGTAGGGGACCTGCAAACTAGTGAGAGCACTAAGACCAACATACAGGATGATCAGAAAGACGAAGGAAGCGATCAACCCCATGAAGAGACCTATGAATGGTCAGCAAGCGGCATCCCCTTATCCGCAAGGAGCGGTTTTGAGTGGGTAAGAACGTACCGGGCGTGAAGTACTGGTATTCCTGGAACAAGGATTTGTTGGAGGCGGCCCCATCCTGACGAGCTTTCACCGAGTAGTCACGCTTCAGATCCATATGGATGGGATCCTGATAAGAGTTCCCCTCTGATTGGTAGAGGCTAGAATCGGATTCGTCAAACTCCCTTGGCGATGTAACATATAGGATAGAGTATTGCTTTGTTTCGGGGAGCCGCTCAATGATGTCGGATAGAAGTCCATCTGCGATCGAGTGTCAGAAAATGTTCGGGCCTTGGTTTTATAAAAGCTGGGATGGACAGACCATTGTCTGAAAGTTGCTGGGCCCGATCAGATCCCGAGGGAAGAATGGGGAAATCAATGAATAGAACGCGGGGGGCAGTGCCCAGATCCGAAGGATAAGAGCCAGCTAAGCAGTCTCATTAGTCTCGTCGCATATTCCTCAACCCCATCCGAGATCGAGAACTCACAAGACCCATCGACGACTGTAGATTGTGCGCCGCACTCCCGCTCAAGAACGTTCTGAATCTGCTTCGCGTCCAGTACGCCAACAACATCATGGATTGTCATCGTCGAACGAATGTCCTTATCCTTCCCCGTCATCTTCGCGCCGAGGCGGGGTGCGGACTTGCGAGTGGAGAAATCAGTGCTATGCACACCGGGTTGAGAGGCGATGACATAGTAGTCCGAAGGGCAGGAGCCGAGCTGGGAGGAAAGGTCCTCTAGCAGCGATGTGGCGGTTTTCAGTCGGGCTGAAGGGGCGAGGATCCTTCAGAGGAAGCACGTTAGCTATGGTGTCCGGAGAAGCTGGTGAGGTCACAACCCACTCGGATGTCGAGGCCAGGAAAAAGGGGGAGGTGTCCCGGAATGCGTTGGCGGTTGCTGCTCCAAGAGCAAGCAGCGAGAGCTTGCCCAGATGCATTGTGGAGGAAGGTGAGTAGAGAGTGCTTAGGAGAATCGAGACAGGCGCGGTGCTGTCCGAGAGGCCGCCGGATGATGTTAGGAGCCAGACTGTTGGTCTCGGGAGGCGGTCGAGCCGTCCGACAAAGCGGCGGATTTTAGCTTGGCCCAAAAGAAAAAAAGAAGAAAAATCCCTCCAGATCGCTCCAATACGTTTACGCTCCCACCCCCGACGTTCGAGTCGATTTCTTTTACTTTTGTTTTTTCAATCCTTCAATTTCTGTCAATTACAAGTGCACTGTCGAAACCATGGGACCTCAGGCGAAACGGCGAAAAGTGAACAACAAGACCGAGGAAATCAATTTCGATGACTCCGCCCGCCATCAATTCTTGACGGGCTTTCGCAAACGAAAGCAACAGCGAGTGAAACATGCGCAGGAGGTCGCAGAGCAGAAATATCGCGAAGCGAAGAGAGAGGAAAGAAAACGGGTTTGTCTCGCAGCCTTCCTACACACTGAGACCTAATGCGGGCGAGAACAAGCCTGGGGACTAATGCGTGCGCTTTTTTGTTTGTTGTTGCCTGTCTAGATTCGACAAGAAAGAACCGAAGGATTCCAGCAAGCGATCGAGGAGCATCAAAAGCAATTAAAGAGGATCAAGGAGGAAAATGGCGACAGTGACGAATCCGAATCTGGCAGTGATGACGAGGCCGAGAATCAGGAATGGGAAGGGTTTGCAGAACCGCCGGCCGTGGACTACGAGGCCGAGTATATCGACGAGGATAAATACACAACGGTGACTGTCGAAGAGATGGATCCTTCGCGAGAAGGGTTGTTGAGGTCACGAGAAGACGACTCGAGCGAAGCGGAGGAACAAACGCAGGCAGCGCCCGAAGAAGCCGAGGCCAAGCAGGCGACTGCACCGACAAAGAAGCGGATATCCGATAGCAAGCATCCGAAGAAGAAGAAGAAGAAGTTCCGATACGAAAGCAAGGAGGATCGCAAGCTGACGCGGGCAAAGCAGCGTCTATCGAACCACCGGAAGGCCCAGGCCCGGCGAGAGCGAGGATAAACACACAGTTAATGAACCGGGCACGGATACAACCCCCCGGGGCAATTCAATTAAATATGTTCTATGTACCTTTCCACAAGAAAGTATATCTTCGGTTCAAAATAGAATGGGGACAAATAGGATAGACAAGTGACACAGAAAAAAGGAGGTCCGCCGAAGGACAGGAGACAATACTTCCAGCTGTCTCTCCTGTCGACGGATGACAGTAAAGGAAACCGCAATACGCAGGCAACTGGGATGAAAGTCTGTTGGAGCCAAGAACGAATCGAATATTTCCAGATAAACGCTACGCCCGTACCCAAATTCCGTACTTAGACGTTGCTGATGGAAACCTCGAGGTCGTGGAGATCCTTCTGTAATTCGGCATGCTTCTTGGCCATTTCCTCGTACTTGCTCTCCCACTGGTCGCGAGAGGATTCGAGGGCCTGGACCTTACGCTCGTAATGGCCGGCCTTGACGTCGGTTTGACGGAGTCTACCACGCCAACATCGTTAGCAACGTGGTCCCACGGAAGGTTAATCAGGGGCGGAGCCAGGGAGGCATACTTCTCATTGGTCTCACGCAGGTTCCGGTCGGCTTCTTCGGCCTCTTCCTCCAGCAGCTGCAGACGTCTCTGGAGGGCTTCGTTCTGGGTATCGTGCTGGGCACTCTGGGTGGCAGCTTCCTTGGCCTCCTTCACGTTGGATTCCAACTTCTCCACCTCACCCTCCAGGAGCTGGTTTCTGTGGTTGAGGGATGTGATTTCCTGCTCCTTGGCCAGGTTCTCCTGCTCCAACGTTCTCACTTTGGTCTTCAACTCCTCGACCTTGGCCTGGGCATCGTCAGCCTCCAGGCGGAGGGTGTTCATTCTCTAGAGCATCATCTGTCAGTTTCGATCCTGGGAAATAGTACCAGAGGTGTCTGGATAATGGGGGGGGCACGATGGTATCCGGGATGCATGGAGCCCAACAGATAGGGGGAAGTCGGAACAACGGGAATGTGCATGTGCATTTCCAGGAGCTTCCAAGCTACCCCGCCAAAGGGGGGGAGAAGGGGAATGTCAGCTCACCTCCTTAATCTTGTCCATGGTGGGTGATGAGAAAGAGATCTATGTAACGGGACGGGAAAGTATGTAAGGGCGAAGATGAAGACGAAGCAGCAGCGGATATACGGGAATGAAAGGCTTTCGCCAGCGAGAAACCAGGGAGAAAATGATGGGAAATAATAAAGGGAAAGACCAAGTGGAGAGAGAGAAAGACCGACGGCCTGGCGGTCAGCCGCGCTAAGCCCGTTCGGGCGGTCAGGCACTGCCCAGTCACGGGACCCCTTAGTCAGCTGCCGGACGGTGGCCTTCCGTCCTTCCGTCCCAAGGATCCAACGCCTCGCCTTCCCGCGTCTCCACGGGCAACCATCGACGAAAACACCTGCCAATCTAGAACCAGCGGCCACTTCGACCTCACGCCATTTCATCGCCTCCCTGTCGTTCCATGTCGGCTCGCCCCGTCAACACCCTCCCTCTCGCCCTCGATCGATCATCTGGTGCATGAAAACAATCCTCGTCGCCTACCCGCCACCATGCTGGCTCTTCGGGATCAAGAGAACTTGGTACACGCCCATCAAACCGTCGCCGCCTCTAAGCCTCTGAACCAGGGCGGGAAACAACTGCAGCCAAAGACCCCGGGAGCTCGAGCCCCGAAAACCCCCTTCAAAGTCCCGCTGAATGATGAGAACGACCCGTTGGCCTTTGGAAAGAAAACCGTGAAGGGCACCGGTAAACAGAAGGAGAACGCGAAGCCATCGGTGAAGGATGCGTTTGTTACTCCATTGGGTATGCATAGCCAGGACACGGCCATATCGTGGCATCGTGCAGCTAATGGGACCGTATAGCAGACCCTCGTCAACGCGCCCCCTTGGGCATGAAAACGACCAATGCCAAAGCCAAGGGATTACAGACCCCCGCCCCTCCCGCGGGGACCGTGAAGCCGGAAAGAACCACGAAAAGAGGCTCTACGCAGAGAGCAAAGAAGTTCACTCCCCTGGTCGAGCAGAGCCAAAGCAAGGTTCAGGATAAGCCAGCTCAGGACGATGTCCCCGACATCGAATACATGCCGCCTAAACCCAAAGGTGGGGCATCGCTTTGCTCCCTTCTCGACGGCAGTCTCCCATTGCTAACACCATACAGAGCTCCCTGACATTCCTGACGACATCACTTACGACACTACTTTCCCCCAATTTAAACCGAAGAACTTTGCCCTGGGCCTGGAGAGCGTGTATGGCGATAACGAGATTGGAAATGATGGTCTTACGAAAAGAGAGCGCAAACTGCAGGAGGATTCGGTCGCATGCGACAAAATGATGGATGAGATGATCCTCGAACAAATTGAGAATATTGCATTTGAGGAAGCCGACAGAACGAAGAGCCACGACGAGTCTTTACCGAAGGAAACCTCAAGGGCCCACCGTGTGCGAGCTCCAACCACGAGGATCAAGCAAACCAGCAATATTTCGACTGTGCGGGCTCGGGACGCCGCCGCCGCTCTTTCGGGTACCGACCGGTCCATTCCACGAACGAGGCAGGCTGTCAATCCCAAGGTCAAACCGAGGGTGACTTCGTCCCTATTTTCGTCTCGAAAGCCACGCGCTCCCACCAATCCATCGTCCATGCGCCATACGGCGGCGATTTCGAGCTCCCGAACCACCGTTGGATACACCAAAGGCCGGGACGTGTCGTCGAGATTGCATGGCAAGCCGTCCGATGCCGTAGCGCCACCCGTCGCCAAAGGAATCCTATCGCCCGAGACCTATGTGCAGCCCGTCGAGGTACCATCTGACACAGAATTAGATGCGGGCTTTGGCGAACAGGAAACGGACGTCGTGCCTGGGGACGTTGAGAACGTGCTTCCGACCTACGAGGAAGACGAAGAATCGCAGAATTTCCAGCTGACGCTTTGAAGTCGAGACACTATCACTCTCCAGGTTAACATTTACGGTTATGTTTATTCTCAATCCGGCGCAGGATGGGTCCACACGGTTCGGGGTTGGATGGCAGGCAACGGGGCGTTTCATAATGCTGTACGACGATACTCTGATTATTATTGATTTGATAGTTGGTACTTTGGGTCAGGTGCGGGCCGGTATCAACCGGTACCGCTACCTTCCACGGTTGCTTCCGCGGGTGTAATCATACGGTACCGTCGAGGTACCAGTACTTTTGAGATACCTCCGTCGTAGTCCTCCGTAGTTACGCTCACCGCTCCAGCTCAGGCAGGGGACATAATAAGAATTAGAAGAATGATAAGAAGGAAATAACAAGAGCAACAACAAAATAAAAGCATCCCAGTCATCATTGGGTTGCACACTTCTCCTGCAAAACGATTCTCGGTGATTAATCGAATAATTGGGCTTGGTGGCTGTCCTCGGCGGATCCTCCCCGGCCCCGTTTCCGCCCAGCTGCGGACACTCTTGCTTCTTCCTCTCTTCTCCTCTTCTTTTTTTTCTCTTTTCCTTCTGCCCTGACTCCCTCTGCCTCTGCTTTGCCGCCAATTAGTTCCAGCCATGGCGACAAACATCCACCCCGAGTCTCCGGAGGACTTCGAGTTCATCCAGACTCCCGCCGCCCCCTGTACCACCCCAGCTGAGGACTGCGGTGTGCGGACAACATCGGTACGTCCCGAAACCCGTGCCCTGATCCCAGGTCTTTGGGGAGCTTGATCATGATATCCCGTGGGAAGCCATTGCGCCTGGACAAGGGGCTAACGATTGTGACTGCCTGGCATAGTATCCCGCCATCAAAAATGCCCCCGTCCCCGCGGATTCGGCTGGCAGTGATAGCTTCTCCAATATCCTGCTGTTCTCCCTACTTCTCCTCGTCCCTTGGTACTCGGCTCGCCAGGTGGGTGGAGGATTCTACACCACCATCTTCTTTGCCATCTTCACCACAATCCCCATCCTGATGGTGTTTTGGTCGGTGGCTTCCTCCATCTCTCCCCGCAAGAACGAGAAGGCCAAGTATGCCGGTCGCCCAGTCGAGCACTATCTGGATTTCCACAGCGAACATGACCGCGCTACATACCACGGAAAGAGCAAGATTCCCATGGAGGTCTTCTACGAGAAGTACTTCAATGGCGAGGTTGACTTCAAGGGAGATGCCCTGGAGATCCTGGAATTCCGACACGACTGGGCCAATTTCCGTTTCACCATGGGCCTTTTCAAGCACTTCCTGTTTGGTTTCATTCCCGAATTGCTCGTCCACTCTCGCTCTCAAGGTCAGTCGTCCCCTCGGGATTCGCGGGGCTTTTTTTCTGACGTCGCTGTCTTCCCATTCCAGACGAAGAGCAGGTGCGTGACCACTACGACCGTGGCGATGACTTCTACGCCTGGTTCTTGGGCCCTCGCATGATCTACACCTCTGGTCTCATTTCCGACGTCAACAGGGAAGAGACCCTGGAGGAGCTTCAGGATAACAAGCTGGCTGTCGTTTGCGAAAAGATTGGCGTGAAGCCCGGCGATACCATTCTCGACCTTGGCTGTGGCTGGGGTACCCTTGCTAAATACGCCTCCGTCCATTACGGCGCCCAAGTCACTGGTATCACTCTCGGTCGTAACCAGACTGCCTGGGGCAACAAAGGTCTTTGCAACGCTGGCATTGAGGACTCTCAGAGCCGTGTCTTGTGTTTGGACTACCGCGATGCTCCTCGTGTGGATGGTGGCTATAAGAAGATCACCTGCCTGGAGATGGCCGAGCACGTCGGTGTGCGGCACTTCAGCACTTTCTTGTCTCAGGTTTACGATATGCTGGACGACGATGGCGTCTTCTTCTTGCAGATCGCCGGTATTCGCAAGTCTTGGCAGTATGAGGATTTGATCTGGGGTCTTTTCATGAACAAATACATCTTCCCCGGTGCCGACGCCAGTACTCCCCTCGGATTTGTCGTCGACCGACTCGAGGGTGCCGGATTCGAGATCAAGGCTGTTGATACCATTGGTGTTCACTACTCCGCCACTCTCTGGCGCTGGTACCGCAACTGGATGGGCAACCGTGAGAAGGTCGAGGCCAAGTACGGCAAGCGCTGGTTCCGCGTAAGTACCTTCCCCGCGATATGGCAACTCCTGGGGGTTTTTGGATTGATTTTCTGACGAACCGCACACAGATCTGGGAATACTTCCTGGCCGCCTCCACCATCACCTCTCGCCAGGGCGGTGCTACCTGCTGGCAGTTGACGCTGGTCAAGAACATCAACTCTACTCACCGTGCCGAGGGCATTCAAACCCAGTTTGGCCTCAATGCGGCTCGTGAATCTGCTGCCCAGAACGTGGGTCAGGGCACCCGCCCCAGTGCTCACGTTCCTAACAAGGCGTAAATTATGATGTCTCGTTGTGCACGTCGGTGCTACCTTAGATGTCGTTTGTCTGGTATATTACCCAGGGCCCCCGCCTGTTGGCGCGCAAGCCCGTTACACGGCCCCTGGGGGCTCGGTGAATCAAACTGAAGGACGAAATCGACCTTCACTTTGTAAAGAAGACTGAAAAGCAAGGAATGAAGGAGATTTTGGCAATGAGCCGTCAGTAATCCGGTGTGTGAGAGATGCTTCTGGTCTAAAATCCGTTCTTCGTTCAACTATGGGCGAGCGGGTGGTAGATATCAACCAGAAACCATGTATGTATTAATGAGAAATAGACAATCTGATGTGTAATTATGGATGGCTACCATATCTGGTTCCTTTATTTTCTGGTACTATATACAATAAGAGAAGGACTTCGCTGTGTCACATGTTCGTCATAAAAAAAAAGAGCCAATGAATACAAGCTGATAGTCTGCTGAACAGATTGGTGACTGGTGAAAGGTTACTAGTCGACTCGCTTGTAGAGCTTAGCCTTGTTGCCCCCAGCACTAGAGCAGCATGAAGCGGCGGCTTTCTCCGGTTCCTTGTGGAGGGTGGATTTGTTGAAAGACTGAGTAGACGGGGGCACATCCAACGCCGGGTTTTTGGTGAAGAACCCGTCAGGTCGCAACATCATGCTGATCCGCTCCATTGGCATCACGGGGAAATCTTCAATCCGGGGGTTATGCGTCAGGCCGAATGCTAGACAATGTACTGTTAGCCTCGCTGGTTTCTCGTTCAAGCTCAGAGGGTAAGATATATATACTCACAGTGCCATAGAACCACATCTTCATCCTCAGTCTTGTCATTCCGTTGCACCCAGGTCTCAACGCCGTGGGCCTTGGTGCTCTGGTTGGTGAACTCGCCGGCTGCGAACAATTCGTCGTCCTGGTATTTGGTGACCCAAATGGGTTTGCTGGCAAACTCGGCCCGACGATAACCCATAGCATTCTTACTCAGAAGCAACATCTGGCTGGGTACCGTTACGAGTTTGTATGCGATGGGCTTATAAGTGATGGGGTTGATAATGTTGTCATTGCGGATTTTGAAGACCCGATGGCGATTGACGTCGGTGTTCGCGCTACCGGACTTCTGGATGACACTTTGCTCGGTCGTGTAACCGACAAGGTAGGGGTTGTTTTCATCTTCAGGAAGTGGGACGCTATCCTCGTAGTAGACAGTGTTCTTGAAACCATCGATGGCCGGGTCGATTCGCACAGAGAACATGTGCTGGTGGAAGGGGGCCATGACTCCAGGGCCAACGTTTGTACCCCAGCTGACGGTTTGCCCGTTCTCATTGTCGAAGGGAACGGTTGAGAGAATTCCAGTCGCCCGAACTTCAAGCTCGATATTGGCCGCCTGATCGAAAATGTAGGCGAAAATATACTCGTAGTTTGCAACGGTGCAGATCATCTGGAGAACAAGCTGGCGGTTGCGCGTAACACTGGCAGTCCCGGTTCTATAGTTTGTGTGCTTATACTGGAGGCCATTATCTTGTTCGTGCATGCAGATAACATTTTCTAGAAGGATTGGATTTCCCTTTGCATCTGCCCTGTAGCCATTGAAGTATTTGATATGGCCTAGACAGTCACACCCCAGCGACAGCTGATTGGCGTTAAGGCCGAAGCCGACATCCCCAACATCGAAAGCCTGCTTGCGATGATATGGCGCCCGAGGATCTGGCAGAGAGGAGGGTATTCGTTAGCATGGGAGATATAGTCATCTTCTATGCAGGCTTACTCACCTCCGTAAGGGACGGTCATTTCCGAGACCGATAGGCGATAAAAGACATTGCGGTTATCATAGGTCACGTTATGGATAACCATACCCTCGCGGTTGTTGAACCCTACGCGGAATCGCCACTTCTGCCAATAAACAGAGTTGCCATCTGCAGAAAATGACGGGCCTTCTGGTTGCTGAACGATGTACGGCTTGAGGTCCGTTCGGAGTGGTTCATCCAAGAGGTCATGTGCATACTGAACCGTTTTGACAGGTTTCCAGGGCTGGGTCTCGACGGTAGCGGTGTCTGCACCACCCGGAAGATAGTCGATTCGCACCAGTTTCTTGGTGGGACCGTCGAAAACCGGGCAAAACTTGCATGGCAGGGAATAATGATTATTTTCGGGGTGGTCGACTGCGACCATGTACATGAAGCATTGGAAGAGCCGGCGTTTTTCGTTGGCGTTATCAGTGCCGTACATCCAAGGGTCGTTGCACACCGACATACCCGGTGGCAATTTGAGTTTCTCGATTTCAGCCTGAACTGCTGGATGTTCCATGCATATGCGCTCGATATCGGCCAGTTCATCGACATCCATCGGTGGCTACCGAGAAGCGTAAGCGGGAAGCCAATCAAACAAGGTCTCGGAGAAAAGAAGGGGGGAAGAGAAGGAGATTACCTGCACGCCCTCTGGTAGTTCCTTCGTGTAAATAATTGATTTGCTGTCTGCGTTTATCAGGGTCTTGCAGCACACCCCACTGTCAAGGCGGTGGAAGTAAGAATATAAAAGACGCGCTGGCTTCGGTGGCAAAGGCTTTCTCAGCCGTTCCGCCTCGACATATGGGAGAACATCTTTCTTGATGGGCTCCGAGATATCGATTCTGTTGTATCGAAGTGGAACGCCCGGGAAGGCAGCCTCCAAGATCCGGACAGCCAGCCGAATCTCTTCCGGCGTGACAGGGTCAAACGGATGAGGCACCATGGTCTTGGAATGAGTGAATGGTAGAAAAGATGAAGGACAGAAAGGAGGAGACGGGTCCAGAGAGCTGCTTGAGCAATTCTTCTGGGCGAGGGCCTTGCAGCCCTTTATATAGAGACATGCTCGCCTGGCCGCACTGGCGATAAGAACAGTAGTATGAGAAGCTCCTCCACATGGTCAGGATGGACATGCCATTTTGGGCCAAGTAACCGCCGACGGTGGGGCCTGTTTCAATCGGGGGATTTAGCGTCAGTCTCCGGCGTCAACCCCCGGTTCAGAACTTCGGAATCCGTGAGAGCGCCAGAGTCTCCCGCCTCTAGAGAACCGGAGAATCACATGAGGCGCCGGTCACGATCTCCTGGCCATGCCCCTTCGGGCCTAGTGGCGGTCACGGGATCGCGGCGGAATTTGCTCGGATTGACGGCCTCTTCGTTGCCATCTTCCTACTACTCCGTCCCCGTGGGCCGATGAGGTACAATGAATCCCCTAAGGCCCCCATAATCAACGCCCTGACCGGGTATGCTCCATCAGTCCAATGATCGGCAGCCGGGACAAATTCGTCCTCTACATACTCTGCATCCGATGATCCACATCTACAGATCGGGATACTATTCTCAGGATGAACCAATTTGCCGTCAGCACTCCTTTGAGTGTCTCCGAGGCCGGCAATAAAAGATCTAGAAGAGCCGGTGCAAAATGGACTCGCTCGGGTTGTTTGACCTGCAAGAAACGCCGCAAACGATGTGACGAAGCAAAGCCCAGGTATAGTACAGACTGCGCTCCCGCATCGGTCATCGGTCTCATCCTCTAATTCGAGTGCCCAGCTGCCGCAATTGTGTGCGATTGGGATTCACCTGCGAAGGCTACGGTTCAATGTGGGCGGAACCCCTCGACCCATCGGCACAGGTTTTTCAGTCGACCATGGCACCAAAGCGGCGCAGGCTCAGTGCATCGTCGCTGTCGGTCTGCTCCCCAATATCCCAGGAGTCTCCAAGATCTGCCCCGTCAGTCTCTCGTGCATCATCTTGCGTCTCTTCTGCGTTGAACTCGGGCTCCAGTGAGGCTCATTCGCCGGTTACTAGAATCGGTGGTTTCAACGAGACTGAAGACGCTACTTCCGATCCTGTACATGTCAAAGATCTTTGCGTAGCCTCTCCAAAGCCCCGTGGTCACATCAGTCATCTGTCGACCCTTGAAACGCATTACCTCCAATATCACATGGAGCAAGGTTCAAAATTACTGGCAAATCTAGAAAGTGATGAAAATCCGCTGCGATCACTGATCATTCCCCGGGCATTTTCATCCCCGCTCCTAATGAAAGCACTATGCGCCGTTTCTGCAGTCCATCTTGCAAATCGCTCTCAAAACAGCCTGGATGCTCAGGCGGCCGCGGCCAATTACTACATCCGCACCATGACCGGACTACGCTCTGCACTGACCCAACTCCCTCACAAGACATTTCCGGATGAGTCGATTCTAGCGGTGGCTTTGCTCTGCAAGTACGAGATAGTGCGTGGAAGCGTGAACCAGTGGGCAGTGCATCTGGATGCCTTGGAGAAGCTAGTTATCTCCCGCGGCGGGTTTGCCTCTTTTGACAAGGAGACGGCAGAATTTATCTGGGGACTGTATGGAACATCTTCCCTTTCGTTTACTCGAGGCTGCACATGGGAACTAACACTTGGCCGCCATAGTTTCTTGTACGCGCACAGTGTCGCCAAAATCACCAATCGCCGGCAACTCACTCCCATCCCTGGGGCGGAGAATCTCAGTCTCACCAAGCTAGATAGTTACATTGGATACACCGAAGAGATAATCAAGATTTGTGCGCGTATCGCGGACTTGCCTCTTCTTGGTCATGATCCGATTGCGTTGGGATTGGAGATCCACACAATGTGAGTTCACCTAGCTCCATATCAGAAAGGAGAAGAAGGGGAAAGCTAAATGAATCCGTCAGTGATATGTCCCTCCGCGATTGGACACATACCGCAACGCACTACACAGTTCCTCGAGGAACAACGGAGGCTACCCTACTTCGTCTTCGCATGGTGGCCGAATGTTTCCGTGACGCTGCATACATTTATCTTCATTCCAGTTTGAATCGAATGAGTCAGGATCTTGCTACTCAATGTCTCCCCTCATCGTGGCCAGATTTGATTACCATTTCAAAGTACGAAGCTCTTGAGCGTTGCTTAGAGCGAATTAAATCCTTTCCACTTGATCAACACTGCGAATATTCCGCTCTCACCTTTCCTCTTTTTATCACTGGCTGCGAAAGTCAGGAGCCCGAGGCTAGAAATCTCGTCATCGAGTCACTTACGAAACTAGAAGTCAACTTTGGGATTGGGAACGTCAAACGGGCCAAAGAGTTATTAAAAATCCTATGGCACGGGGCGCAGATGCACTGGTTGGATGTGTTGGAACGGTTGAAATGGGGGTTGATACTAGCCTGAAGCAACATCTCCGAGAGGAAGAGATGGGCAATCGGAATGCTGCAAAGCAGTACACCCGGATATCAGGTTCAATACTTTTGTTCCCACTGGTGTATGTCTGTATATATTACGTATCACGAGTGGATGATGATCATCTTGTTGGCGTTAGGTTTCATTCTTGGCATGGATAAAAAAAAAAAAACCATAAATATATATATTAACTCGAGAAGCACACGACAACCGTCCCTGACCCATAGTTTAGGGGCCAACAAAAAAGAACAAAAAACACCAAATGAAGTTTCTTGATCGATTGATATTTTCATTACGGAAAGTTGTCAGCTCAATCCCATATTAACCTCGTCCCCCAGACCCATTTCTCGCTCCGCTCGTTCGGTCCCCCCGGCGGCTCGAGCACCCCAACGATCGAGATGATCTTGTGCGTGCGCGATCTCTTTCTCTCGCAAACTCGTACTTTCACTGGGGGTGTTGCTCCCTTGCGCGCTCCCATCCAAACCATGGCTGCCACTAGAACTCCGGGAGTAGTTAGACAGCTTTCGCGCCGGGATGCTAATCGGCCTGGAGGCGCTTTTTCCGAGGTTGGAGCTAGGAGCAGACGTTATTCTTCCGAGATCTACGGACGAGTTATTGTTGGAGGCTGTTGGTGCAGAGGAGGTGCTGCTGGCTTTGTCGCTTACACTCTTCGAATTCCCAAACCATCGCCGTCTCCGCGTTTTGGAGGAGGTCGACGGGGCGAGACTCTGGGAATCAGCATCGGCTGTTGAAGCGTCAAGGGCGCCAGATTCCTTCTGTTTCTGCTGCTCCAATGCCTGGGTTAAGCCGGACGTGGTCTCTGCAGATGAACTTTCCGGTCCCAAAGGGATTTCCACAAGCTCGGCGTCACGACACCATTTTCTGCGCCGCGTATATCGGTCCCAACCATCCTGGCCACGACGACCGTCGTTCCACTTTTGGAAATTTGCCCCCGCAGTCAGCCAACGGTCACGAAATCGCGAAACATGGGTGTTAAAGAGCGATGACTAACCTTGTTGTCATAGTAAATCCAACCGCCGCCGTCGGAGGTTTTGGTGTCGGCTTTGCTGTGCGAATCGTCGGCACCTTCGATGCGCCACTCGCTGCCCTCTACCCAGCGCCAAGTGGCGTTGCCGTTTTGGACCTCGGGCAGATCGAAATCGTCCTTGGAGGGAACATGATTCAGATGCTCATCCGTCCAAGAGGCACGTTCCGAAGGGAACAGGGAGTAAGTCCATCCTATTCCCAGCCATCGACGCTGGTTTTCATATATTATGAAGGTGAAGCGCACGCCCGAGGAATCTCCGCGTCGCCGGGTTGCAATATTCATAGCGTGGCCATGGCTCTGCGTCCGGGACGAAGGTTTGTCGACGTTCATCGCAAAGGAGAGGCCTGTGATTATAGAGAATGTGCGGCGGACCGTTAAGGATCGCCAGAGAATAACGCGCGATACCCTCGCCGGCCGGGAATGATAAGTGAGCATGACGGTGCCTAGGATTAGGATGACGCGGCGAGTAGTGATGAGGTGTAACGGAGGGAGGGTCAAGGCAACCCAGATGGGAGTCACAAACAAGATGCGAAAGAAGAGAGTCGTGAGAGCCGGCCTTGTGGTGGCCGAGGTGGCGGTCCTTTGAGTAGACAGGAAGTCGGTCAGCTCCAAGAGAGGCTCCAGTAAGATATTGCACCGCGTGGTAAATGTGCGCATGGTTTCCACAATTTCATCGAGACTGTCGTGATGGCGCAAGGAGCCATCGGAAGCGACTCGCTGGTGACCCGGTTTCTCCCCTGAGAAAGCTCTCGATGACAAGGGGGAGTATCGCCTCCAATACATGCCCAAGATGAGGCCGGTCACGACCAACGGCGGGCCGGCAAATAGAATGATGGCATCGCCGTAGAGGGCTACCGCCCAGAAGGCCGACACGAGCAGGAAGCTCTGCCAGGCATCACCGCTGGTCCATGTCAACAAACCCACCAGTTTATTCAGGGGCAAGATGAACGGATGAGAGTAGGCCAACGCCCGCGTGACGGGCGGAGGAGTGGATACCAGCAGCGGCGATTTACGGTGAACGATGATACTGGAGCGCTGCTTGGACGTCAAAGACGAGCCGGAAATGGTGGTAGGAGAAAAAGCAGCGACCGTCGGAGGCTGGGAATCAGCGTGGTCCTGCGAGTAAGTTGAGGGTGCCATGGAATCTATCCACGGAATATCGTCTATCAAAGCATGAGTGTCGGTACGCGCGAAGGATCCACGGGCCTTCCTCCCCGGGGGAGTTTGAACAAGTTCGAAAGGATTCCCTGTAGAGGAGAGAGACTGGGGAGAGGACATACCGAGAGCTGCCATCCAACAGAGACGTCATATGCATCCAGCAGGGTCATTGCGGGCGGTGAGGGAAAAAGAGGAGAGAAGGAGAGAGGAAGAAAGGCAGGAGAAAGGGAGGGAGAGAGGAAGAAAAGAGGGTGGAGGAAAGCACGAGAGCTGCAGAGTCCAGAAAGGCGGCCAGCGATCGCCTGCGGGGAAACGAAACGAGCCAAAAGACCCAAAAGGCCAAAAGACCAAAAAGAAGCTGAAGCTTTTTGGCTCGGGGACATGTGACTGCCTGCCTGCCGGACGGGGCATCGAGGCACCGGGGCACCGAGGTATCGAGGCACCCAGGCACCTAGGCATCCAGGCGTCCAGGCGTCCAGGTGTCCAGGTGTCGAGGCACCCCCGGACTAAAATCGCGCCGAATTTTTCCTTTCTTCCGTTTGTTTCCACCGCCCAAATCGCCTCCGTCTTCCATCTCGTTCTCCTTCTCGAGCTCCACGCCGACCTGCCATTCCCGGACATTCCTCCTGCTGGGTCTAATTTCGAGGCTTTTGCTCCTTCGCCGACATGGTAAGTGGCTCATATACCGTCTCTGCAAACCCAAGGGCCCGGGAAGAAAAAGGGAACCGGTGCTGATCTCCATCTCTCTCAACAGGCCCATCGCATCGTTACTCAAGTTGTCGTGACCGGTGCCCGAGTCTTCGGGCGGGCGTTCGCCGAGGCCTACAAGCAGGCCTCCGCCGCGTCGAAGCAGGGCAAAGGCGCCGCGGGCGGAAAGTCGGCGGGCTTCACCTCGTCGGGTCTGACGCTGGACGAGGCATGCAAGATCCTCAACGTGAAACCTCCGCAGGGAGGTGAGGCAAACCTGGAGCAGGTGATGGAGAGGTTCAAGAAATTGTTCGATCTCAACGACCCCCAGAAGGGCGGTAGCTTCTACCTGCAAAGCAAGATTCTCCGGGCCCGCGAAAGGATAGAGATGGAAGTCCGACAAGCCGAGCGAAAGGTGGCCCACGACAAGGAACTACAAGAGGGTTGGAAGCCCAAGGTGTATAAGGACCGGTGATCTGCTTCGCGCCTCTGATGCACTCCTCCCCGCGACGTTTGAAGTCCGATGCAACCCCGGAGTCCAGCCGATTTCGAAGCCTCAGCGCGCCGAGCGCACCCGGGACGGACATGGCCAAGTCGCGGGTCCTTTGTCCCCTCGGCATTCTTGATTTGCAGCATAGCATGGCGTTTTTGGTGATTCCAAGATCTGGGTTGGCGAGAAGTCTAGATTCCCATTATTCTTACCCTCGATTCTTGCGCGGGAAAGACTTGGCCGTTCACGCGGCCTGCTTCGATTCCTGCAATTTCTCCGCTCTTACATTCTGAAAGATTAGGGTTGACTCATGTATTATAAATAAATGTCCCGTGTATATTCTGGATCCAATGAACAAGAAATTTGAAGGCGACGACTCGACCCTGAATAGACCGAAGAAAACTTCGATGGCGCGATTTGCGGGAAGAGCGGCGTTTAGAAAGCCAAACCCCGAAAATTCTCCCGCTCGCTTTCAACTTTTGCCTCTTCCCTCTTCCCCTCCCACGACTGTACGACCTCACGATCCTCCCCCCCAGAAAATGGGCCGTCCTTCCGTTCCGTTGTCGGCGAGTCTCCCGCCGCTGATTATGGGCACGGCGACCTTCAACTTGCAGTACAATCCGGATCCCTATGCGCTCCCCACCACCGAACTGGTCTGCCGGGCCTTCTCCAGCGGCGTGCGCGCCTTCGACACCTCGCCCTACTACGGCCCCGCCGAGGAGCTGCTCGGCCGCGCGCTGGCCACCGAGTTTGTGCGCTCGACGTATCCGCGCGACTCCTACCGTCTGCTCACCAAGGTTGGCCGCGTCGCCGCCTCGGCCTTTGACTACTCGCCGCGCTGGGTGAGGCAGAGCGTGCGCCGCAGTCTGGCCCGCCTACATACCGACTACCTGGACGTGGTCTACTGCCACGACGTGGAGTTCGTGTCGCCGGCCGAAGTGCTGGCGGCCGTGCGGGAACTGCGGCGCATCCGTGACGTCGACGGCACGGTGCTCTACGTGGGCATCTCGGGATACCCCGTCGACGTGCTGTGCGAACTGGCGGAGATGGTGCTGCGCGAGACCGGCGAGCCGCTCGACGTCGTGATGTCCTACGCCAACTTCACCCTGCAGAACACCCGCCTGCTGACCCAGGGCCTCCCCCGTCTGCTGGCTGCCGGCGTTGACGTGGTCCCCAACGCCTCGCCGCTGGGAATGGGCCTCCTGCGGCGCAAGGGCGTCCCCATCGGCAGCATGGGCGATTTCCACCCGGCGCCGGACGGCCTGCGCACCGTCATCGAGGATGCCAGCCGGTTCGCCGACTCCCAGGGCGAGAAGCTCGAGGTGATCGCCATCCGCTTTGCGCTGGAGTCCTGGCTGCGCCAGGGCGGCCAGGTTGGCGCGCTGGGCCCGCCGCTCGCCCGCTCGCCCGAGGCTGACCCGGGCTTCTTGTCCGTTGTTCACGTCGGCACTGGCGAGCGCCTGGGCGTCAGCGTTATGGGCGTGAGCAATGTCGACGAGCTCAACGAATCCCTGCGCGTGTGGCATAGTATCGTCGAAGGACTGGAGAATCGGGACGAGGAAGACGGGGCAGATCGCGACCCGCAGTCTTCTTCCCTGGAGCCGACCGCTGCGAACGCGCCCACCATCCTGACCCCCTCGGATGGCATCATCACCGATCGCGCCTGGTCTCGCGATCGACGGGGCCGTATCCTCTCGCTTACTCGACAGATCCAGTCCATTCTGGGCCCGGACTGGGTCGATTATACGTGGCTCAGCCCGGACCCGGATTTCGTCAATTCGCTGCCGGCCGAGCACCTGGCGGCGTTGGAGCAGCAGACGACAGCCCCCCAAGATGCTTGTGACGACGCCATGATGACTCCTCCCTTGGATACTGTGGATACGAAGATACCCGCAAATTCCCCCTCGCAGTTCGCCTTATAGACTTGTTTCTCCTTCTCTCTCTCTCTTTTTCTTCTGGGAAACTGAATTAGATATACATTGGATGTTTCCCCTGCATAATGACGACACGATAGGTTTCTACCCTCATGTTCTACTCCCGTTTTTCTTCTTGTAAATAGACTTCCTTCTGGTGGTTCTGTTTTGAACTGCTGCCGTGCAGTTTGGCCTCTTTCCAATTGAGGTGGAAAGAGAAATTGTTATCGCATCGAAAAGCAAAGGGCCAGGATGGTTTTCTCACCTAAAAATCCGATCCGTATTCATCCTCTCCAAGCAATCGCATGTAGCGCTTCCTTGATGAGAAAGAGGTGGAAAGGAAACTTTTGTAGAAGGGGATGAAGACTCGAGCGTCCCCAGCGGTTTGCCATTCGATTTGTTTCTAACTCAACTGTCTGGTTCATTCAACTAGCGAATGCCAGCTAACGGGACGAACATGTGGGGATCCGACTTTCTTCTCTCTTATTCCGGATTGCTGCCTCTGCAAACAGCAGCGGGTTCGATGCCGTAAGATGGACCAGCTCGAGGACCTAGAGAACAGTCAATCGAGGACAAGCAAGGTACGCACCCGGCGTCTGCCCTCGTCTGAAACTAAATGTCAACGGAATTTCAAACCGGCCCTGCGTTCTTGTCAGTGATGGAATAAAAATGATGGGTCCCACACCCAAATGATGGCTGGTCAGCTAAACAAGAAAGACAAGCAATGAACCAATCGCCACAAGCAATCTCACGGGACAAAATCATGCTGACCATAGGAGTGATCAACTTGTGCTGAGAGGATCGACATTTGCTCAAAATGCAAGACAGATGGACAAAGGCTGCAAACCCCAGCAAATAAAGCAAAAGAAGACTCCCACTCCACAAAATCTCGCCTGTTCCTAAAGCAAAGGGTATCTGATGCATGACCAAAATTTCTAAACACATGGGCATAACTGTTATGGTACAAGGAAAATGTTTCAGTTTCCCTGGATCATATAATACACGTCGAAATGGCACCACGGGCACTGGGTGTTGTAAGAACTCGGTTTTCTCGGCCATGCCTTATTATTAGCCTTGATTCGACGAGCTGAGTTCTTTCTCTTTGACTGTGAGGTCTTTGTCCATTTCAGACTGGGTCTTGTAGCCGCCAAGTTCCATGGCCCGCACGTTGCTGATGGTGTTTGGGACAGAAGGTATGTCAGGTCGCAATCGTCGGAGACGAGTGGCTCGCTCCCGCGACGCTTGCTGCCTTCTTTGCAGCTTCGTCAGCTTCTCTTGAGGTTCTTGCGAGGGCTGCGCGGCGGGCGGAGAATGGGAAGGCAAGGGGGGTGGAGGAGGAGGGGACGCTGGAGGAGGCGGAGGCGGCGTGGGCGGTTGATGATACTGAGCAAACCGAGGATGAGTCTGGAAGATCTCACGTAGCTGCCACCTTTGCTCAGTATACTCGTCATAATTCGCAGCGATGATGGTCTCCAAGATGCTGGTCCTGGGATTGTCGGAAAAGGCACTAGAGGCCATGCGCTCCTTGAGAAGTCGATGTGCGTCGGAGAATGACCTAAAGATCAGGGCAATCTCCCGGGTTCCACCGGATATGTCGTTGTCTGCATTGTTGGGGTCTTCGATGGAAAGACGGTCATTGTTTCCCTTAACCTGGTATACTCTCTGCAGAATGAACCGTCAGTCGATTGAATGCAATTGGTATCCATGGGCTGAGCGTGACAAACCTTGTTAAAGTAGCCAGGCGGATTCATGCGAATCCCAACATTTTCATACTCAAACATGTTTCCGTAGAATTCAAAGAATTTCATGAGGATATCGCCCAAGTTAGGCGCGGCGTGACCATGTGGCAAATGCTGCAGAAGACTTGTCACGAGACATATGATCGAAAACCCTCCCAAACCGCCGGTTGGGACCTCGTTGAGGCCGCGAAGCAGTAAGAATTGCTTAATCACGGACACAATGACCGGGATTGCTGGGTATTCGGATTTCCACTGCTGGAAAGTATTGTTGGCAACAAGTCCGCTGTCGTTGTCGAATGACAGGTCGACCCTCAGCCCTGTCATTTTATCAACGAATTTAAGGATGGGAACACGGGCGTGTGCGATGGTCTCGATTGAGTTAGGAACGGCGATGTCTAGATTTTTGAGAAACGCAGAGAAGGCGTAGATTTGACCCTTTCGTTCACCAAATGTCTTGACCCCGGTACGCATGAAGTTAGTTGAGAGCATAACCAGATCTATATCGGCGGTTGGCAGGTAGAGTCCAGAAGCGAATGAGCCGAACGCACGAAGTTGCACGCCATAATACCGACTTTGGAACGCGGACTGAAGTCTTGACACCAGATCCGCCCGAACTATTTGCTCATACTGAACGGGCTTAACCCAATGATAGAAGCCGAGGATCTCATTATGTAGTCTGGGATTACGGTCAGAAGGCACTTGCCACGCCTCGTCCCCAGGTGTTATTTGAAAACTGACCTTGAGCTCAGATGCAATGAAGCTTCCGTCTGGCTGAACCACGGCGTTCCCGACTCAGCGGGGCGTCGTTTCCACTCATCGATGATTGATCCATCAGAGTAGTATTTGCTCAGCGGTTTGCCGGTCTTCTTGGAAAGCCCCTTCATCTCATCGTCGTATGTCCTCTTTCGGTTTCCAAACGCAGATTCACCATGGCTCCTCGGGCCCGACGGGGCACCTTCTGGAGGCTTGTATTGGGCTTTCTCCTCGTCGACCAAGCCACCAAACGATATGAAGTCTTCGTTGCCCGCCACCGCGTCCGTTTGTGCCGGCTGCTGAGCACTCGCCGCGTTGCGCGCCTTGCGGATCAATTTCACCACGTCCACTTTCTTGGCTTGACTCTCATCCGGCGGTGGTAGGACGGTGTACGGGTCCGGATTTGACCACTTGGGTGCTGGGGCCGGTGAGGGTGCCGCGGCAGGTTTGTGGTCGGATTGCAACGCGCGCTTCTTGCGAGGGTGGGAAGCGTCGTCGCCATTGTCTGACGATGAGACCTCCATGTCCGCCTCTTCACTGTCGCTGAGGTTTTCAATGGGCGCAAACTTCATCGCCGGTTGGTCCTCATTTGTCGTAGGAGCAACAAGCTGTTCGGGTGTGGTTTCTCGCTTCCTTCTTAAAAGCGGCCGCTCCGCTGTAGCGGGTCGCGCGTAGCGAAATGTGAATTCATGACGGGGTTGATGTGGCCGTCGGTCACGATTCCCTCGGAATTCAAAAGCCGGCGGTGGCATGATAAAGTCCCGCAGTGAATTAAAGGGGGTCGACGAAAGAAAACCAGCGGGCGCCAGAAGGGAAGAAGGCGATGATGTCGCTATGCATCCAGAATGCGGTGGGAAAGACGCGATTGCCTTTTTTTTTTTTTTTTTTTTTGGGTGCCGGTGATTTCTATCTTCAGTAAGCGGTGAATGTGTTCCGCGCTGTGAATACTGCCTACTCGGACACTCGACCGCCCTGCTGACCGCCTACGATAATGCACTCCGGAGTATATCAATTCTCACGGTCGCAACAGTAGCTTTTGTCTCAAACTCGAGAAGACTCGGGTTAGATCAAGATTTCCCCTACTGCATATATGAATCCTATAGATCCCCTCACCCTGTTAATTCCTCAGGTACGGGCTTGAGAGTATCAGTGCCCATACATTTCCGTCATTTTTTTTCGGGTTACATGCTCTGCCTTCGGGGCAACAAGATACCAACATGATATTATCAACGCACTCAAGATTTGGCTATTTGACCTGTTGCATAACAACTATTCCCCAGACAACTGGTTTTCCCGGCCTCTACTCTCTCCCCAGACCTTTAATCCCGCCTCCAGCTGGCGGATAAGCATCGGGTCCACGGCCATTTCCGAGAAGCTGACTCGGCCAGGATGCCATTCAAGCCAATCTTCAGCCCGAGCACCGCTTTTGGCTCGCAACAGGCCGACACTCACATCGATGAGTAAAGGCCTGATTTCGCAGTGCCAGAAAACAGTTGCGCCGCAGCGGCCACAAAACTCTCGGTAAACCCCCGGCGAGCTTTCATATTGTTGCATGGTACTGGAACCAAAGGACAACGGGGTTCCATCCGCGTTTTGGAGGTTTGATTTGGGGATGAAAGCCCATGTCTGGATGGGGAATCCGCTCGCCAGACGACACGATCGACAGGCACAGGTTCCGGCGAGATACTTACTACCCTCCTCTCGCAACCACCATTTCACATCCGCCGTGTTTTCGGATGAGCCTGAGTAGTAGGGGACCAACAGGTCCGGCCAGGGGGACGATGCGTCCTTCGAGCTGAGATCTGGCGATGTGACGTAGAAACCGATCCCCCCACAGTGACAGCGAGCCGGCAGCCGGTGGTCATCCCCAGTCCATTCCTCGGCCTCTCTCCCTCCCGACGAGCTTTGTTGACAGTCTGGATTGACGTGCAGATAGCAGCCAGGACTGGCGTCTCCTGATTTGGTGGGAAGAAAAGAAGTCAGGCCACCGTCCCGAGTGTCTTCCGCCCGCCAATGTCGTGTCGATTTGAACGGATGTGGATTCTCCTCCAACAGTCCCGCAGCGACAAAATACTGCCCCGTTTGTTTTTGACGAGCGAAGACATGGGCACCACAGGTATTGCAAAAGTAGCGGCTTATGCAGGGAGATTCATGGTACTCGACGAGTGAATCCAGTTCCTGGGGCCGCTTGTGCAGGGAATGGTATGAGGAGCACAGCTGGCCGGTGACGGCGCGGCAAGCAGTGCAGTGACAGAGATCGAGCATTGACTGGCCTGCCAACGGTCCCAACACGACCTCCTGCCTGACCCCTTTACACAAGCATGAGATGTGATGGGCCATTTGCTAAAGTCTACGTGAAATCAGCTCGCTAACTCGTAGGTTGATCTGCCAGGAAAGTTTGATCACGCTTCTGTAGGGGGTTGATTGATATGTACGGAGTAGAAAATCTACGCGGTGGTCAGCAGGGCAGAACTAGATCGGAATCACGCTGGGACGCTTGGGGACAATGCATCCAACGATAACTACCCCCGCCCCAAAAGAATGAGCTAGAAAATGATAAGGATACCTTTGAATCTTATCGGCGCCTTCAACCCCGAGCACAAGATGACGGTGATTCTTATTGAGCTGGGCATTCGATGGGGTGCCAAGATCAGGCCACCAGGCTTTCTTGTGAATCCCACGCAGGATTCATGCACGCTGGACTCGTCTCTCTGCGGGTTCCAACGATCCTCGGGCTAGAGATCGACGAGGCCAAAGAGACAATAATAATGACCGAGACTATCATGGAGGGCCTCAGCCAGGCGGCACATGGCACTCGGGCAGACCGACGCAAAAAGCGCGCGATTCGTTCCACTTGGCCACTAATTAGGAAGCTAGAGCAGCTGAGAGGCCCATTCAGCGCACAGGACGGCCATTCAGAGTGGGTGGCGGGTGCATGGGCGCAGAAATTTGCTCATAATCATCTCGAGCCGTTGGGGGCGTGCGAGAGGGAGAGAGACAGAGAGAGAGCGAGAGGGCAAAGGTGAAACGACTAGCGTCGTGTATAAATACCCCGCCCGGCCGCTTTCTTTCCCAGCGACACCATCACCGCAACTCTTTCTCCCTGCGCCCTCCATTCTTGATTCCCGCAATCTCACTCTACACTCGTCGTCATGGGTAAGCTGCTGCTCCTTTGCCTGCGCATCCCCTCCACCCCTTCTATCGAAACACACAACGATGCCCAGGTCCTGTTTGTCCGGGTCCTGGGTGGGGCAATATGGCGGGGTATTTCTCATTCATGGGAAACACCGTCCGAGGGAAATCACTTGCTCTGAGGACATGGGATTTTGCACGAATCATTCGCGCTGACCGTATCTTCCAGGTTCCGATCACACTTGCAGCTGTGGCTCCTCTTGCCAGTGTCCCGCCGGACAGTGCCAGTGCCCCGTATGTCCCGAACTCTTGACCCGTCACCTCGCCTGGCCGGTTGTTCCCCGCGCTAACTGAAACGTTGCTCCGCCTGCTCTAGAAATAAACTCACCGTGATGGTTGAACTCGTCTGATGTGGGGAGGAGCATGGCATAATGACAATACAAAAGAAAAAGAAAAACAGACCAAGGAATGGCGGAGGAAGAGATACCGAGGGGAACCAGATGCCAATGGCGGCGGAAACCACTTAGATAGTATAAGCTCGGAAAACTTCGAAGCCAATAGCACAAGGCTGACGCTGACAACACCGATTCTCCTCCCCTCAAGATGGCCCCTAAGAGATAATAGCCAAGGGTAACCTCCCCTTTGTCCTTGGGCCCATATTTGGCCGGGGATCGACCTATACGCAGGACCCAATAGCGAGATGACGACGATCCAGGACGCATCCATCCTCCGTACAGCGTAATGGGGAGTTGGGCAGAGAATCGTGCTTTAACTTTTTCCCAGTTCCACCTTGGGTGGGAAACTCGCTCTGCGTCTCATCTCCGTCGTTCTTGCTTCCTTTTTTCTTGCGGCATTCGCGGGTGGACCGGAGTGCCCGTCCTCCAGTGCGTCTTTTTCCTGCTATGAGCGACTTTTGCGTAACCCCCAAAGGCAGTCCATTCTGCACCCGGCTCCAGAAGGGAAGGGCGTGGTTCGGAGGGAATCCTCGCGATGATGACGGGGCTCCAATAGCCTGATGATAAGATGGGATCTTGCATATACCCATGAGTGATTAGAGGTCTCCGGCAGTATGGATGCCGCATGTCGTCATCTGCATGGGTCGGAACCTCTCGTAGCTTCATGGATACCCTCCAGTACGATGGAGGGGGAGGTTGACTCGTGAACCACTCTGAGTCCGGATCACTGGCTGCTTCACTTTCCATTCCCCTCCTCTTCCCCACTCCTCGTCTATTCTCCAGCGTGTCGCCAGGTGCAGAGGTGCTGCCCCTGGACACCAATCCTGGATCGGCATGGGCCGACATCCAAGAAAGAAAAAGAAAACATCACTCCACCTGTCGTTCCCCTCCTTTGCTCGTGGGCTGATTTGATCACCAGACAGTGGCGGATGATCGAGGATGGCCAATGGTCCATAGTCAAGAAACCCTGGAAATAAGACGATTAAGAGGCGGCCGGAGCCTATAAAGACCCTGACGAATCCCCCTCTCTTCCCATCCCCCAAGCGCCTCAATCCTGTTCTTTTGCCTCTTCTCTCAACTACAAAACCCCATCCATTTTCCACCAAGGAACGACCGTTCATCCCAACCTTTCGGCCACTATGTCTCCCTGCTCGTGCAACTGCTGCTCCGGCGAGTGCAACGCCTGCTCCTGCAGCAGCTGCAAGGTAAGCCAGCATGCAACGCTCCATGTTACCTCGATTGCTCGGCCCGGATCATGCCAGCTGACCTGATGGCGCTCTGTCCGTCCTGCAGCACTAAATCAATCCTCCCGAGTGATCGAATCAGTCGACCCCCATTGACGATCGTTGTTTTCTCTCCGCTGGAAATGCGTGCCGGCATCATGTGTTGGTTGTGATCGTTGATCGTTGGTTATCGTGAACAAGTGGTGGTGCAGTTCTTTGCGTTTTCGTGGATATCTTTTTTCTTCTTCTTTCTTATATATGATGAAATTCCGTGGCACAGGATTGCCAAATTGAATTACAAGTTTTGATTTCTCAAGAGGGCCCAGCGGTGTCACCTACCTACATGACGCGTAGTTGCGTAACCCGACTGGCTGTGCAGTAGCGACCTGCATGTTCAGCATCAGACTGCATAGTGAAGAGCACATGGATTTCAGATAAACACGCTGCATGCAAAGAACGACGCAGAAAAGAAGTTCAAAAGTCTTGCTATATGAGTTGCACTATGACAAAACGACGCTTCAACGGCGTCTCCGATGGAATCAAAGTATGTTCAACATGAACCGCAGATTCGGCTCACTCTTCGTCTCCCTCATAGCTCGTCCTTACCTCTTGGGGCCTCGTTGTCTCCCTCCTCGCCTCCGAGACACACGGCCGGGGTGGTAACAAGCATGGAATAGACGCACTTCTCATCTTCGGCGATCTTCAAGATCTCGTTCTCTTCACCACATTCCAAGATGACGGTGGTAGACCGCGCCGGGCCATTCCAACAGGTTTGCCCATTGGCATACTCGAGAGAGATCCTCTCCTGTGCCACAATTTCGCCCGACTCGGTGAGTTCGTCGACGGTGACGGTGCCGATGCGAACAAACCGACCCATGCGCAAAGATGACCCGCCCTTCTTCTGGTTTTGCTTCGTCTGGTCCAGGAAGCAATGCTCGTACGTGTACTCACCCGCGTCCTTGGAGATGCAAACTCCTTTTAGAGCACGGAAGACGGAGCCTGTACCGTAGTCCGTTTCAAGGTCGTCGTGGTGGTCCTTGAGCTTGGATCGCAGATCTTCAACGGTTTTTTGAGCGGCGTTGAAGGCATCACGAGCCTCCGCCACGGCTTTGGACTCGGATACGGAGCTCTCAGGCCCCCTGGCCAAGATCCCGTTGTCTTGAAGGAAGCCTCGGAGGGTAACTACCTTGTCTTCCACGAAGCTAACGAAAGAAGGTGGGAGGTAGGCAGCAAGCTTGTAGACTAGAAACCCTAGTTAGTTCCGACATGGCTGTTATCGGAACGACAATACTTACTAGTGTCGGCTTCACATGTGTCATCCTCGTTTTCCCACTGCTCCCAGTTAATACCTGACTGATCATCGTCGATCTTCGCGATCTCATCCAGATCTCGTTCCCGAGCGCCGTTCTCAAGGCCATCCGACGTGCCGCGAGCCGCATAGTCCTCCCAGCTTCGCACGGCACGTTTGACACCCTCGTCGTTGAAGTTGGGATTATATTCGACCTTGAATTTGGACAGAATCTCCTCGAGTTCCTTGACTCGCGAACGAGCCTCATCCCTCTCCTTGCGGACTTCTCCCAGGGCATTGCGGAGTTCCTCAACACGGCCCTTCGCTAACTCGGCAAGCACGTTCACCTTGCCTGTCTTCTTGCCCTTGACCACTTTGCTCCGTTCCTCACTCTCGATTCTGTCCAGGTCAGCCTCTAGGTTTTTGACTTTGATCTCCTCGCCCTGAAGCTCGGCCTGGATGACTTTGATTTGGTCCTCGACCTCTTTTTGCTGTCTGCCGGCATCCACAAGAAGATCTCTCTTCTTCTTCAATGCGGTCGTCATGGACTTCTGGCGCTGTTCCTCCTTCTTTCGCCAAGCCTTGCCAATCTCCTTGCATTTGTCGTCACACTTGGTGCCTCCGACGCGGGCCCACTCGTCACTGCCATCGCAGCACAGCTCATAGTCACAGATGCCATCGTTGATTCGTTGGAATGGGACGTAAGATGGTTTATGGCCCTTGTTCTTGCAGTAGAATCCGGGAAGAGATGAGGTGAGTTCCAGCTCACTGTTCCCCGGCCGATCGGCGACTGTCAGAACGGTGTTGCGGGAAAGGTGAGAGCAAGCCGAGGTTCCCGGCTCGTCGCTCCCATCCGGACAGTCACAGAAATCGTCGTTCACGGACGAAAAGGGGATCTGGATGGCCGGGTGAGAGATACAACTAAAAGTAGTGGCGTCCTTGTAGAACTTCGCAACTAGTTATGGAAACTGCGTTAGCCTTTAAAACAAACCCCAAGAGTGACGGAGAGATGAAGGTCGAGAGCCGACATCGGCGCCACCTCGCAGGTCATATATAAGAACAGCATCCAATTGTACAGGGCACTCAATCGCGCTGGGCCTCTATAGCACTCACATTCCGGGCCGACTCCTCGGGGTCGTGTCGAGCCGTCACTCGCAGCAGCCACAACGGTCGAACAGGCGACCAGGCCCGCAAAGAAGAGTGATCCAGGCGGAAGCATCATGATGGTAGCATTGAGCTTGATGGTCAATGCTGTGCTCGCCAACAACAAATAACGTGCAACTCGAATGCGGAGAGAGCTTCTGGCCAGCTGGTTGATAGACGGGATCTAATCTGGGGGGAATCTCGGCCTTAGTCAGCCCGCCTTATCGTCCCCATCCGCTTTTCTCTCTCTTTCGGTGGCGAAGACCGTCGCTTCCGCCTCGAATCGCGCATGATTTTAGAGCCAACATGGGTAATGATGGAGGAAGGTAGGGATCCCTGCGCAAAAAGAACCCCCTCCCCTCTCTTTGTTATTCTTCATCCACTGACAGATCCCTCGGCTTAACAGTATTCCCACCCGCCGCGAGCTCGTCCGGGAAGCGGCGCGGGCTCCCAGTACGACGCAAGTGAAGGAGACTCGGCGCGAAGTCCAGGAACATTTCTGGAATACCTGTCCGCTGTCGCATAAACTTCTAATTCGACCGATTGTCTCGGACTCCGCTGGAAACCTCTACAATAAGGATGCTATCCTGAAATTCCTCCTGCCCGGTGACGAAACCGATGGCATCAGCTCAAAAGCCGACTGCGAGGAAATCCTCGGTGGTCGCGTGAAGGGATTAAGAGACGTTGTCGAGCTGCACTTCGAAGTCGACACCGAGTACGAGGCCCACCCATCGTCTAATAAGCATGAGAAACGGGAAGGATGGATTTGCCCTGTTACCGCGAAGCAGTTGGGCCCAAGTGTGAAGTCGGTGTATCTGGTGCCATGCGGCCATGTCTTTTCCGAGGAAGCCATTCGTCAGATCAAGGATGACAAGTGTTTACAGGTAAGCTTTTGCTTCCGTCATGATCGTGCCCGACTTCCGTGACTGATCTTTTGCCCTGCTAAATAGTGTAACGAACCATACACGGAAGACAATGTCATCCCGATACTCCCGACCAAGGACTCCGATAAACAGAGCCTTCTAACTCGGTCGCAAAAGCTATACGAGCAAGGCCTTGCCCACTCTCTCAAAAAGGCCCCCGGCTCCAAAAAGCGGAAGAAGCATGCCGGCAATGGTGACTCCGCCGAAGACGCGTCTCGTGCGCAGAAGGAGCAAAGCACGGCGACGAGCCACAGTAGCACGCCAACGCCCACCTCTGGTGCTCCAAATGGTATCAAGCATGCAGCCACGGCAATGCTGACTGCTCGTGTACTCGAAGAAGAGAACGAAAAGAAAAAGAAAAGAAAAATGATGGGCATGAATGAGAATCTGGGTAGCCTTTTCACTAAGAATTCTAAGGACGGGAATTCAAAGAATGGGGACTTCATGACCAGGGGATTTACACTTCCTACGGCGGGCAAAAAGTGACCGGTCACTTCATTCATAATGCATCACGGGCGTCTGGGGTTGAGGTTCTATCTGGAGACACAAATGCTATTTCATCTACTCGAACGAAACCAACACCACAATCTTGAGTAGCTGTGTATATATTGCGACAACATCAGTGACCTGATGGATTGGAATTTCTATAGTACAAAAATAGTCTCTCAAAACATGCTACAAGAACTATAAGACAAGCAGTACTCTTCAAGCCGGCATAGAATGTAGAACTCTTAGATGAGTCCCCTTTCACGAAGCTCCTGGGCAATCACCTTCTTCCGACCCAGCTCCTCATCTCTGTCAGAGCGCTTCTGTCTTTTCGCGAAAACCTTGACATTGGGAAGGTTCTGGAGACGGTTGCTGCTCGCGAGATGCTCGGCCAACTTTTTGGGCTTGGGGTTTAGGGCCGTCTGAATGTGCTGCAAGGCTTGCTTGATCGACGAGATGGAATGGACAGCGGGGTCTGGGAAGTAGTGACCGCTCAGCTGAGAGAATCTTTTCAAGAACTGCGAACAAGCTAAGAGTTAACAAACTAGTCTTTTCACGTATGAATAGCATTGAAAGAAGAGGGAAACGAACGGCAAATTTAGTCATAGGGTCATTCAAAGGCAGTCCCAAAAAGCCCTTCTGTCGCAGATGGCCGAAATCGAAGAAAGGCGAATCAGGTGTCCGCAAACCCGAACCTTGAGAAACACCCTCATCAACTTCTGGCGCCGTTGTGGTCTCGTCGGCCTCAAGAGATTCCTGCCCCACAGCAGCAGCCTCAGTTTGGCCTCCAATCTGTTCAAAGATGTACTCAAGAGCGTTCTGTGTCTCCTGATCGGGATAGACCAAGGCTTCCTTCAATTCGCCGGCTTCCTTCGGCTCGATCTCGCACTTTCTGATCAGATCGTAGACGGATTTGTCGTGATCCAAAACCTTACAGGCGCTTGTCAACGGCTTGTTCAACGAGTGCAGCAGGCAGATTTCAACCGCAGCCTGGTGGGCGGCCAGATGCAAGTGATGCTTCTTGGTGAGTTTCTTCTTGAGCATGAACCTACCAATTCCGTTAGCAAGTGTTCGGGAGAGAAAGGAGATCATCGTCCATCGGCATCAATCTTGCAATGGCTAAAACAAGCGCACGCCTTTGGAGCAATCACCTCCAGGAAGGGGTAAAAGGGCAGGCCAGAGAAAGACCCAAGAAACTTACGAGTCGTAGCTATCAGCCTCCGAAGGAGGGAGGTCTGTCCATCTTCCCAAATGTCCGATATGTGGGATTCCTTCCCATGTAGCGGCCGGCTCGTATGCATCTCCGACGGCGGCGTCCTCGGCAGCTTCATACTCAGCTTCACTGACCTGGGTGGTCTCCGCGACCGTTTCGTCCTGTCCCTCGGCCTGGGTTTTCTTGAATTTCCGCTCGAGAACTCCTTCGCCTCCGTATGGATCTTTCAAACCGGGCGGGTTTTCCGTGCCCCAGAGCTTTCGGCGCACTCGCTCGGTGAGGGGGGCGTTGTCGGACGACGCATTGCGCAGGAATTGACGGGCGATCAACGGACGAGGGAGGGCTTCGTGTCTGCAGACGGAGCAGACATAACGAGTCCGAGAGCCCTGGAGGGATGAGACCTCCAAATTCAACAAGCGCAATGATGCACGCATGGCGGCGGTGTTGGACCGATTGTTGAGGACTGCCGACATGTCGAAAAGTTTCAAGGACCGGATCGGAGAGCGTGTTTCCATCGTCCACGTGACCAGCAGCAGGGCTTGGCGGCCTCAGGATTCCACGGAGTGCCTTCTATTCTTCCACTTACTACGTTCTTTTTCTTCCATTCTTTTTTTCGGTCTTCTTCTATATTGAGACTTCTTTATTTATTCAAATACACAGGATGAGATAGAATATGTATTTTTACGCCGGCATCATTACAAAAAAGGGCGCGAATCATAAGGAAAAACCGCTATACTACTATGTACACAAATTCTCATCGCAAACCAGAAAAGGATGGCCTTTATTCCCGAACGAACATGCCAGCCATTCCCATGCCGGTTCCGATACACATGCTGACGACGCCCACTTCCTGGCCGGTCCGCTCCAACTCCGGCAGGAGAGTTGCCAGCTGTCTAGCACCAGTGGCGCCGAGAGGGTGGCCGATGGCGATCGCACCGCCCTTAGGGTTGACCTTCGCCTCGTCAATTCCCAACTTGCGGGTGCAGTAAAGGGCCTGGGAGGCGAAAGCTTCGTTGATCTCCCAGATTCCGACGTCGGATACATTCACGTCCAGGAGTTGCAGGAGCTTGGGAATGGCGACCGCAGGTCCAACACCCATCTCGTCGGGGGCGCAGCCAGCGACGGCCGTGCCGACCCAGCGGCCCTTGATCGAGGAGGTCAAGCCAAGTTCCGTAGCAGTAGAGCGGCGCATTAGAAGAGTAGCCGCAGCTCCATCGCTGACCTGCGAGCTGTTTCCCGCGGTGCTGGATCCAGTTGCAGAGAAGGCCGGCTTCAAGCTGGCCATCTTCTCAACGGAGATGTTGTGGCGCACGCCGTCATCTTTCGCGACCGTGATTTCCTTCGGGGCGGCATCGGGGTTCTCAGGGTCGAACGAGAGCGTCTTGACGGGAACGATTTCGGAATCGAACAGGCCCGCGTTCTGAGCGTCCGTAGCCTTCTTGTGCGACGCGGCTGCGAAGACATCCTGGTCGGCTCGGGAGATCCCATATCGAGCAGCAACGTTCTCCGAGGTGATGCCCATGGGCATGATGCAATCCCTGGCGTCCTGGGAGGGAGACTCCTTCAACTCCGGCCAGAGAACGGTGGGGATAGCGCGCGACCCGTAGTTTCGCGTCATGGACTCCATTCCTCCTCCGACACCAACGTTAATCGCCCCCGCACGGATACCATTTGCAACGGTGGTGATAGCGGCCAACCCAGAGGAACATTGCCTGTTGATCGTGTGGAACGGGACCGAATGGGGGAATCCGGCGTGGATTTGGGCCATCCGGCCTGCTTTCGCACCGCCAAGTTCTTGAAGCACGGAGCCAATCGAAACGTCGTCAATCAAAGCCGGGTCGAGTTTCGGGTTCGCCTCGAGAGTCGCCCGGAGCACGTTGGCGAGGAGCTCTTCCGGGTAAGCATCTTTGAACCCGCCCTTCTTCGCACGAGTCACCGGGGTCCGAAGAGAAGAGAGAATCACGATATCCGAAGGCGACTTCTGGAGGACCTGGCGGAGGCCCCGAGGGATTGGAGTAGCCATGTTGATGGAGGGGAGAAGAGTTGAAGACGAAGGGTGGTGCGTCGGAGAAAATGGGACGCGGTCACTTATATATAGCCGTGACTAAAGAAAGGGAAAAATGGCCCTCCGAACTGAATTCCGGGGCTCGGGATCCATCGAGGGTGGACGGAGCCATTGAAGCTGCCATCCAAACTGCCGGCAATGAAGATCGGCTAAGGGCTCTGCCGCCGCCGAAAAAAGGTTGGGGAAAGCAAGGCCAGTGTGGAGAAGAAAGCGCAATCTTATCGCCAGGTACCGCGACGGACCGCGGCCGTGGCCAGGCGAGCCTGTGGTCTTTGACCCTTGCGGCACAGTTGAAGGCATCTCGTCCGGCCTGTTTCTCTGTCCCAATCCGAGATCTCGTGTTTGAATCGGGTTGCGCCAACCGATCAAGATTATTGGGTTGGTGCCTGAACCGATCGCCAATTCCGCCGGTCGGATGCGGGTGATTATGTCAGCCCCGTCGGAAAGGCTTGTCGGAAGATGGGATTTCCATGTGGACACCAGGCAAGTCTTTGGCTGCCACTAATGACAAACACGTGGGAATCCTACCTAACTAGTTATAAATACAGGTTCCACTTTCCAGTACTCCGTAATAAGCTCCATATCCCAAACACGTTGCGAAAGAAAAGAGAGAGACAAGGGTGGGGAGGGAAACGCCTGAATGCACTACCACGGGCATAGTACTGGTAGTATGGGGAAGAGGGTCTCTTGGTGTCGTAGCTTATTAAAAACGAAAAACAAGGGGTATCAGGTGATGAGTGAGGAGTGTCGGCGAAGAAGACAAGAAGGGGGACCAGAGTCATGCGCGAATGATATGACTGTAATGCCCCGGTACTTTTCGATGACATTTTTCGCAATCGGCACGAAATCCCATGGAAAATGTGATTTTCTTGTTTCGCGGCTTCGTAACATGATCGGGCCGCGCATGTAAACCAGCAGATGACTGCCATGAACTAGTCGCGTCGGCTGGGGATGAAGCGGCATGAGATATATTATAGTTCATGTCGGTATCGCTAACTGAATTTATGCTGCTCGGAAATCCGTCTTCTGATTCACTGACCGGGCTGGGGAGACGTTGATCCTGCCATGGCGCAGGGTCGTGTATCTTCTCGGGCGTGGGTTCATCGCGGCGTGCAGGAGCTAAAGGATTCCGAGTGTCCATACTGTCATGTCGCTCGCTGATAGTGAGTGACTGGTTGATCATATTGTTGGGTATGGGGGAGGGCTGAATCCCGCCGTCGTGATTTGCGGCTGCCGTCCATGCCGAGGGGAAGGATTCTTCTCCACTATCGATCTCCATTCCCGTCCTTAAACTATGCGATTGCGCAGTTGATCGAGAAAGTCGGTTCGTGGCGCTATATCCATTGTCTCCATCCTCCTCATCTGATGATTCGACGGGTGTTATAGTGGATAAGCCGATTCTGGAAGCAACTTGGTGGGCTTCGGCGAAGGAAGGTTTCTGGGCCGTGTTCGGAGAGGAACGTAAAGCTAAAGGGCAGAATTTCTATATTTCGTATTTCAAAGGGTCAACGACTCCGGACGGAAATATTACACGGGGCACGACCCGTTGGTGAACCGAACCTTTCGTTCATGGGATGCGTTGTAGTCGACATCCGCCAGATCCCCATGTTCCCTCCGGCGCTTGGAGGAAAAGCCAAACATGGCCCTTGACGAGGTATGAACGGAATACGAGGCGCAGAGAGAGGGAGGGCGAGGGAGAAAGAGACGATCTGAGCTATCAATAATGCATGAGGTTGTTGTGCTCCGGGATAGTATGGTGCAATGCAATGCACGTCGAGACCGATTCGGCGGATGGAAGACGGTCAGCAAGCGCGAGATGCGAATTGGCAGGGATGAAGACCGCCGACGTGGAACAGAGCGACAGGCGGATTGAGGGACGGTTGACGTTCCTCGTCGGCAGGGACGACCGGGCGCCAAGCCGAGGTTTGTCAGGGTGGACGCTCTAGCGAACATGCGGTTAGCGTGCTGGGCGGACACCATGTGGCTCGATATTGGTGGGCGATCGTCAACTTGATCTATCGCACAGGGTATGCAGGTATGCCCGTGAGAGCGAGGCCTCTCGTCCGTCCGTACATGCCTGTATGCCTGTGTATGCCGGTAAACTCAGACCATGTACCTAAATTGGCACGCCATATCGGTCTTATGACTGGCGGACGCTCTTCGACCTCCGCGAGGAATGAAGCTGACCCGAAAGGGAGCGGTGAAAAGTCCCAGCCAGCCAGCGTCCTGCACGCGGTGCAGCGTGTGGCACTGGCGATACGTACGCGATGCCTGCAGACCTCGACCATTCCATTCCACCTATGCATACGGGGGGTTGCGGTGACCGCCGTACCAATGGAGTCCTCAGGTGAACATACCTGGGTACCTCGCCGGTACCTCACCTGCTGGCAGGGAGACCTGGTCACTCGGGCCTGGCTGAGGTACCTGGTAGGTACTCCGTAGGGTAGTAATACCGTAATGCGCCGCTCCTAGTGGCCAACCTAAATTTTTTTTTTTGTGCGCAGGGCACTGACTGGCCACCGCCCCACCTGACATGCAATTTTACCAGTCGATCACCGTTTGGCTCCGTACCGAATGTATCATCTTCTTTTCTTTCCCTTCTCGCTCTCTGCTAGGGATTGGACATTCTTCGCTTGCCCATAAGCTTCCTCGTATAAGAACGATCTTCCGGGTCCCTTCTTCCTCCCTCCTCCTCGACGTTTCTCTCGTTTCATCGTTCCTCGAATCCGAGTCGAAATACCCTTACTCCTCCGCCCTCGAGCACATTACATTGTCCTAGGACACTTTGCATAATGCCCCTCATCAAGACGACAGAGATCAACGAGGACACTCGCGGTGAGTCGCTATCCCTCCAATCCCGCTACAACACATCCACCTAATCGGGATATTATCCCACAGTCCTCGGATACGATCCCTTGCTGTCCCCCCAGTTCCTTCAGACCGAAATCCCCGCTGTGAGTCACTCCTGTCGGAGCCGTCCCTCCCCCCCCCAAACAACTTTGCGGATGCGGACACGACGGCCCTTCCCTTCCTACCTACCATTGTGAGGTAGTCGGGTCAGTTGGAGGGGGCAATTCCTCTTTGATCCGTTTTTGTTTCCTCTGCTTTCTGTACTGACGACTGAATTCAAGCCCGCTCATGCCATTGCCGCTGTCCGATCCGGCCGCAACCAGGCAATTGAGATCATTGAGCAACGCGATGACCGTCTTCTGGTTGTCGTCGGTCCGTGCTCCATCCATGACCCTGCCACGGCCCTCGAGTATGCAGCTCGCCTGAAGGAACTCTCCACGAGACTTTCCTCCGACCTCTGTGTCATCATGCGCGCCTACCTGGAAAAGCCCCGCACCACGGTGGGATGGAAGGGATTGATCAACGACCCGGACATTGATGAGTCCTACAACATCAACAAGGGACTTCGGGTCTCCCGTCAGCTGTACGCCGATCTCACCAGCATGGAGATGCCCATCGCAAGTGAGATGCTGGATACCATTTCCCCCCAGTACCTTGCAGACCTCATCTCGCTCGGAGCCATCGGTGCCCGCACAACCGAGTCGCAGCTCCACCGTGAACTGGCCTCGGGTCTGAGTTTCCCCATCGGCTACAAGAACGGTACCGATGGAAACCTGACTGTTTCGATCGATGCCATCGGCGCCGCGGCTCACTCCCACCGCTTCCTCGGTGTGACCAAGCAGGGCCTCGCTGCCATCACAAAGACTTCTGGCAATGAGCATGGCTTCGTGATCTTGCGTGGCGGCAGCAAGGGTACCAACTACGACCGCGAGAGCATTCGTGGTGCCCGTGAGGCCTTGCGCTCCAAGAAGCAGCGGGAGGTGGTCATGGTGGATTGCTCGCACGGTAACTCGAACAAGAACCACCGCAACCAACCCCTGGTCGCCAAGGAAATCGGCGACCAGCTTCGCGAAGGTCAGGATGCGCTGGTTGGCGTCATGATCGAGTCCAACATCAATGAGGGTAACCAGAAGGTGCCCGCCGAGGGCCCGTCGGGCCTGCGCAAGGGAGTCAGCATCACGGATGCTTGCATTGATTGGGACACGACCGTCAGCGTCCTGGAGGACCTGGCTGATGCCGTCCGTGCTAGACGGGCCGTTAAGGCGTCTGGCAAGGCCAATGGCAACTAGATGACAAGCCACAATACTACCAAAAGAAAAAAGCGCGAATTTTCCTTTGTTCCAAAATGATGCTTTAGATACCATTAATAGTGTCTCTTTTCTTGTTTGTCTTTGAGCTTCGGTTTCGGCAATTGGCATTTAGATGACATTCTCTAGGAGCCAGATGGTGGTGACGTTGGGAAGAAAAGAAAAAGAAAGAAAGGGTTAGGAATTAGCTAGTCGTTGTGAAACTTAATGATCTGGACAAAAAAAAGTCCTCTTGGTTCTCAATTTATTTCGGACGCGTTGAGTCGCGAAGGCCCATGCCCATGCCGTATGCTGCTCTAATATTCAATTCCTGGATGGAAAGCTGTAACCAAGGGTTCGGGAAGTATATGTACACATGATGGCAGTGACCCAGTATTACATCGGTTCCAAGACGCGAGACACCCGAATAGACGCCGTAACCTCCAGATCGGTGGAGTACAGGGGAGGAGGGATCGGAGGGGGAGTAATAATGATAACAATATAACAGTAAGAAAAGGCAGACCAAATATGCTCATGCACACACCATGGAAAGAATCACCCCCGCATCATGCGGATTGTTTTGTTTTCCTTCGTGAGTTCTTTTGTTCTTTTCAACCTCGCTTCGTCCTTACCGCCCCGTGAACCAACTCTTCCAGCCTCGTGCTGACTGCTTCGCAGCATTTTCCGCATTTTCCGCCATCGCATCCAGTTGGCCCGATGCCGAGGGTTCTTTCGACTGGGCGTCTTCCAAGGCCTTTGCGTTGAGTGCCTCCAAAACCCCGGGCTTGTTGTCGGGCACGCTCCCAGACTGCGGGTGTCCGGACGGGGAATCCTCCGGCTTCAGTCCACCTAAAAGGTACTGCTTCACCTTATCCCATGGGCGTTCGGCCTTCTGCTCTTCCTTCTTCTGCTTGAAGATTTCGCCGATTTGTTCGTTCTTCAATAGTTCCAATTGCTCCGACGTTGCCGATCCGTTGGCATGTGCTGTCTTCGCGTCCTGCAGCTTTTGCAGCTCTTTCTCAACCCACAGAGCCCGCTGCCGGCGGTTGTATAACGTTAAGGAGACCAGAGAGTAGACCGTAAGAGCTCCGCAGACACCTAAAGGGGAGAGTCTATCAGACACAAGTTGCTTTTACTGTCCCCTCCAACCCTCCAAACGAAATCGGCGCGGAGGGTAAAGAAGGGGGCGCTCTCAGATGCATGGGAGTATCAAAGGACCTACCGGACGCGGTAATCAGAGAGTAAACCATCACCTTGTGCGCTTTATTCGCGAACCGCCGTCCCACATCCACCACCTGATCTACACGAGATGTCGACTGGGCCATTCGAGCCGCCCGGGCCTGTGCTCGCAACCGCTCGACCTTTTCTTTCGGAGTCTCCGGGTTGCCCCCCGGCCCCTGCGACTGGGAGTTCGACGCCGAGTTCGACATATGACTGGGCAGTTTATAGGGGGCATTCCCAGGTTTGGAGCTGGCATAGGGCCCGGTGGCCGTAAACCTCGTCGCATCGGCGGCGGATCGGGACATATTGATGGTGGTGGGTGGTGGTGGTGACACCGATGATAGGAGGCTGAGGTTGGGCAAAAGTGGCGTCTGGACGAGCGGGGAGGGACCTATCGAACCAGATTCATCAAGACCTCCGACCGGAGGCAATTGGCAAAGCGAAAAGTCGGCCTTGAGGGGATTGGAGGTGGGTCGAAACAAAGGACGTCGGCGACGGAGGAGCAAAATCGGGCAAATTTTCAGGAAGAAAGTCGAGGGAGCAGAAGAGGCTAAAAGCCAAGACCCGCCGCAGCCAATCGGCCTCCGGGGAGACGCTCCGTCACCTTCCAGCTTCCTTTCTTCTCGCACATCAGGCCATTCAGCCATGACTTCGCCCGTTTACAACGCTGCTGACTTGACCTCGGTCCTCCAAACGCTGTCCGCGCTGTCCAACCCGGCCGCTCCCCCGCCAGACCATGCCGACTCCGATGCCTACGAACCGACCGACGCCCTGCCCCCATCCCCCATAGTTTCGCCGCAGCCACGACCCCCGGAGTCCGAATCGAATCGCTCCAACCCAGAGACCACCTCTCAACCACGATCTCGAACATCCGGTAACCCGGCCGGTTCCATAGAGGACACTTCGTCCATCAGCACATGGCCGGCTGCATTGCGACATGTGATGCGCGCGGTGTCGCAGAATGAAGACCTCCAGCGTCGCATCCGCTGGCTGATCCAAAGACAGCACGACCACGAGAAGCAATGGTGGCAGGGACGAGATGCCTTGCTGAAGAAACAGAGGGCTCGTGTCGATAAGAAGAAGGAGTTGGATGAGGTCTTGTGAGTGACGCCTGCCCCTGGCCCTGGTCTTCCAGTCCCCTCGCCGGAGTAGCTGCCCTGTGATCTGCAGCTCTTTCCCTCTGACCTCGTCCAGACGCTCGGTGGGAGCACCCGTGGATAACACCAAACAAATTTCCGTATGTCCACCAAGAAGTTCATCCCGGATCCGCGCTCGGTTCGAGTCACTGCAGTCAACTAATCACGGTATCGTTGCAAAATAGACAGCCGAGGAAGACGAGGCTGAGTTAAAAAGGTACGACAGCAAAGTATACAGAGCATCGAGGCAAATGGCCGAAGCAATGGCCGCCGAACTGCGCGGCTTGCAGATTCCATTTTTCAGCATCAAACCGGGGCTTGTCGACTCCTCTTCGGAAACTAATTCCCATCCCCTGTCTGGCGAAATTCTCACAAGAGAGGAACTATCCGGACTCCAGCGTCGCATACTGGAGCTGCTCCAGGACCTTTGCAAGGAGTAACCCTTTGGCCAAAAGCAGTTACTTGACCGCCACTACCCTCAAAATCAGACTTGACGCTTTCTTCCAGTGCATGCTGGTGGACTCGACGCAATGCGAAAGCTAAGGTGCGAGGTATTTTCCTTACAGCTTGTCGGGCCTAGGACGAATGGCTTTTCCTGTCCATCTCGGGTCGACCATGAGAAAAGCTCGTTCTGTTACTGTTCTAGCCTCGAGTGAAATCCCAGGCACTTCATGTGATTATTATTATGTACACCGAGCATCTCTATCCCAGGCTACCTTAACCGAACCGTCTATCCATTCGCCTAAGGATCATGTGTTGCTCCTGGTTCGTAGCAACACATCCAACAACAAAATGCATCGATCGCGCCGATGAAATTAAACATGCAAAGCAAAAAGAAAAGAAAAGAACAAGAAAAAAGCAAACAAAGGTCGGTGCAACCTCCAAACGCAAGAAAAGCAACGTGATTGAGAAACATCTCAATTATGATGCAAGAGATGAGAGGCAACGGAGACTAGAAAACATTAACTCCAGTTCAAATGCAACAGACGCAACGCCTTGTTAAAGAAACCTCTCGGTGAAGAGCAAAAGAAGCCATCCTTAATTGGAGGAAAAACAAGAGACATAGGAAAATTCGCTCGCGGCAGATAAAATGATCTCACTCCGGCTTCTTCTCAGCCACTGCGACTGCGACCGCGACCGCGGCTCCTAGAATTGCACACTCGGGTGCAAGTTCTAGACTCACCGAAGGGTTCGATGCGTCATCTAGAGACCCATGAGAGGCATTGGTCTTCTGTGTGAGCTGGTTGATATACCCTTGGCAGCGGTCTCTGAAGCCGGGATACTTGTTGATGACACTGCCATCGCATGCGATGGATAAACTTCGAGGGCTGTTCTCGGTCTCGACCACGGTCACATCTTGGGTCTCCTTGATCGAGGGTGTCGTTGAGGTGGTCGTTTCGGGGAACTCGGCCTCGTTGCGCAAACACCACATACTGTGGATAGCCGTAGCCAAATACCCCGCTGCTCGTTTCGAAACAACTTGACAGACGCGGCGCAAAAACTCCAAGTCACTTGTTGACGGGGCAGTGGAGAACGAATGTTCCTTCTGGAGCAGGGCGGCGGAAGATGTGAGCAACGGTGACGGGTCGGCCTCAAGGGCGGCGACAATGCTAGTATCGAACGAATAGGCGTCCCGCATGGAGTGAGGAAGCTCGCCTCCGAATAAATGAGCCGTCTCAACGGCCTCCACCATAATCAAACGAACAATTTCCCCGAGGTAGCGCCCGGTGATCATATACTCCAAGGGCTGATAGTCAGGCCGGAGGTGTGTACTGTTAAGAACTTCATCCCATCGCGTCATCGGTAGAATGCCACCGCCGAACATGCTCATTTCGCTATTGACGATGACGTTCTTGGCATAGTCAAACCAGCCCAGTGGCCGGGTACCGAATTTCGACAATCCTATCTTGTGCACGGGGTAATGGATCGCAACATTGGTTCCGGTTCCCAGAATCAAGGACATGCGGGTCTTGGGGTCGACGTAGGCTCGGGAAAGAAGAGTTGCGGAGCTGTCGTTCACAATAGCATCCACCTGGACGTTGAGGTGACGGTTTCGGCAGGACTGGACGATGAGGTCCCCCAGCTCCTGTCCCAGGGTGCCATTGGAGCACATGAAACCCTTACCCATGTGGATCACTAACCCGCTGCTGTTGGAGGTCTGTTCGATGGGGAACGACCACGACAGACCCATGGACAGTGGGACAGCCTCGCGGCCATAGTTAGCACCGACCTCACCCAGCATGGATTCAATTTTCTCCGCCATCCAATCAAAGAAGAGAGTTCCCTCTAGCATCTTCACTTCGTTGTCAATATATGACGAGGAGACCTTCAGGATGTGTACGTCTCCGCCTCCGCGTAGTTCGATCAAGGCGACGCGAAATGTGGATCCTCCCACATCAAGCGCCAGGTAGGTTCCTTGTTCCTTCCCGGACGGCAGCGCATGGTTGTAGGACGGCAGCATGCACACGGGACTGGACTGTAAGCAAGACTTGAATTGCTCCCGAATCTTCTCCGACATTGTCATCATACTCTGCATGGACAAAGGCGCGGTGAATAGCTGATCGACCTCGTCGGCCAGTTCATCCAGGGACCGGCGACGCCAGTATGGTTTGTGGAAAGGCCTTTGCCGTTTACGGGCTGGGTCACGAAAGAGCGAGGGAAACAACAGCATGGCCTCCAGGGCAGCAACGATGTTGGAAAAGAGCTCCTGCATCCTATGCAGGACTTTGACGAGAGGGGCCGTCATGGTCACGGTGGTAGATGTCGGGGAGGGGGTGGAGGATGATCCCTTAACCACAGAAATTATGACGAGACAATGTTGAGAAGAAGTGCGACGAGGGATGAGCGGGGCTTAGATATATGAATCAAAACAAGGCCGATATGAGCTCATGCGGATACACATCTGCAGAAAGGCACCCTGGGTTGACGAATTAGGCTAAATGGACGGTGAGACAAATTGGATCACGGCGCGTATGATGAGGGATGCAAGGCAGGCAAGAAAAAGGAGAGAATGGAAGGTGGTGAGAAGCACAACGAAGGTTCTGTTCCAAAGATGGCGCCAAGCTGTGGTAGTATGTATGAGACTTAAGGTAGTACCGGCAGAAAAACACTAATCCTTGCTCAGCCTGCAGTGGAGACGGGGTTTGGAGAATCAGACGAGGGCAAGGGGAGAGAGAGCGTGGGAAACCCAAAAAAAGAATGAAAAAAAAAAAAAAAAAAAAAAGACGAATAAATAATAGTGGAACCAAAAACCACAAGAAAACCGGGTGATGAACTAACAGATTGATAGATGAAAGATCTAGTTTTTGCACTAGAGACAGGAAAGCTAAAAAAAGCAAAACCTGACTGACAGCTCTGGTACGAAATGGTGGGTGAAGGCTTTTTTTTTTTTTTTTTTTTTATTCTTATTATTTTTTTAGAGCCCTGACGGTGGTAACGGACGAGCCCCGACAATTGGAGTAGTGGTGTAGTGAATGAAGTAAAGCTGGTCAGACAGGTCACAGTTCTTGGTTATTATTAGTCGGAGTCGCTGCGGTAGTAGAGTAGTAGCAGTCGGTGGTTGTAGCAGCGGCGGCGGTAGCAGTAGTAGTCGTCGTCGTAGCGTAGTGACCGGAGAGTGACGGGACCAAGGACAACAGAAGCATGGATCAACGCGTGGCCATTCCTCAAGAAACGGGAGGAGTGAAGGTCTCACGGAAGGGGCAGGAAGAACGAAGATAAGGCAGAGGAATGAAAGATCCAAGGGAAAGAGGAAAGAAAGAATGCTTGGGGAGGTAACAGAAGATCGATCACCCCGGGAGGTACCTCCGCAGTCCCTAGACTCCCTGGGCAGGTACCTGCGTACCGTCCGTCCGTACTTACAGTACCGTACACACCACGACTGCGTCCCCGGCCCCGGTCGGTATTGTCATTCATGACAATGCGGATTGTTACCCTACGGTCAACAAGTCCGTCCTCCAAGATACCACCTGCCTGGTCGTATCTACTACTCTAGTCATCATTGCGTATATAGGGCAGGGAAGCCTGCCCCTACGCCACGGCGCACAGATGACGCCTGAGAGCTCCCATCAGCCATCGCAGTTCCTTTGTTTCTATGTTCTGTACACTCCGTATTCCGGAGGGAGCGAGAGGACCCAGCGTGTTCAGAGTTACATCCGCCTAGTGGTATGGTCACCGTCCGGTTTGGTACTGTACATACGGGACGCTGCGCGAGCCCCTGAAGCTTCCTGACTCCGGAAGAGTTCCCCAGCCTGCATCTATCATGTATCGTGGATTCACTCTTCATGCTCGGGACTCGAGAGTGTGACGAATCTCCACCGCACGCAGAAGGGGGCGGATTCCCGGCGGTGGCATTCATTCCAGCGTCCATACCATCCCGTAGGAGTAAGTGGGACGTGACACTCGATGGGTGCAACGGTGGTAATCGATCTAATCACCGCCGGGACTGTTACACCGTCGTGTCCCGCCGTGGATCGGCCGGACTTGCATTCAAGGCATTTGTTTTGAATTTTTATGTTGATGCGCTCCCTCGCCCATTCCTCCATTCTCATGAGGCTCTGCCAAGCCTGTGAGGTGTAAAACTAAATCAAAATCAAAGTAAATACGGGGGAAGCGTCGTAGAGTCGGAAACACGTGGGCATACCGTCGAGGTTCCAGAACCTGTTCCCCCAATGCATACCACCAAACACGGGGGAAATGCGGGAGGATTCAAACAACCAACAAATACGAAATGAAAAATAAAAAATAAAAAACTAAAATAAAAAAAAAAAAAAAGCTGACCGTCTTCATCGCCATGATGTCGATGAACAAATATTGGGCCTTTCCGCGGTGCATTGCCAACCACACGGCACATCTGCCCTCCAAACCACCGCAGCCTCAGGCCGACGCATCGTCACGTGCGGGGCGTCGACCGAAGAGCCTCCACGTTCTCTGGACGCACCCTCCTCCCGGTCGACTCATTCATGAATCATGATTCTCACAGGATTAAGCATCGGAGGGCACGGATAGGCTATCGTCCATCCCATCAATCATGGCCCGAAGACCGGACAGGTTCACCCACCTTGCGGGTCGGGTGTGGAACGATTCTCCTCAATCGATAAAATTCTTCCAGACTTGGGGAACTTGAAACCTCGAGTCGTTTGAAGAGCTCTGTAGTCTGTACGGAGTAGTATCCTTCTCCTGGGCGAGGTCGACTATCCTACCCGGCAGTTCTGATACCCGACTTCACCAGCCTGTGGTCAGCAATCGGTCTGCTCTGCACTCCGTTGGGGGTATCTCAAGCGGGCGACGTGGCCATCACCTGGCCGAGATTCAACTGCCGACCTCATCGACTCCTACGAAGTACTCCGGACTAGGAGCCTGGAAATGGGTCTCGGTCCACGAATCTCGAATTTCAATGACTCCTGCCTGGTCACCATTCAGCAATCAGCGTGTTGCCAGTCTTGACGGAGTTCTTGGAGGCCCGCAAGCTCCACCGTCCGAAACGCTGCCAAGACCATCCGCTTCGTGTGATCGTCAGCTTCCATCTCAGCACTTACGTTGTCAGTGGCTATTGTCCGCCGGAGATGGCTAGGATCGTGAAAGCTTGGTCTCATTGCTCTCTTTCTTCGCTTTTCTTCCTCCCTTGTCGCTCTCGTGGTGTTGGCTTCCAGCTGTCTTTTTCTTTTCGATTTCCTCCCACTTTTGCCCTCGGATTCTGTACACAGTAGCTCCAATCTTTTCGTTTCCTTCGTCAAGGATTAGATAGATTATCTCCAAGCAATAATTGGTCCTTTTGCATATTCGAGTACTCCGCGGGCAATGGTTGTCTTTATGCGGCTAATTTCTCGTATTCTTCCTTTCCTGGCCAACTGGTGATCTTCTCATTTTTTTTTCTCACCCCCTTTGATATTCTCCCGTGGAGATCTTGCCTCTCGGCGCGGTCGATCTTCCAAGATGATGTTCTTCTGCATCCTCTTTTTGTTCTTCTTTCGCAACGTTATCGCAGACTCCGATGATGATTTGATGAGCTTTGTCACGGTACGTATGAAGAGTACAGTTCCCACGTCGCCTGTTACTGACAACCCTCAGCTCCCAAACGTGCGCGCCTTGAAGCTCAATATCGCGTATTATGACCGTGAATCCATAAGCCCGGGCTATTGGTTTGTTGCACCATACGGTGTGATTGATCCTGAGCCACCCACGAAGCAGTGGAAGCCGTGTCAAGTCGGCCCATATATATACGATGCGGATGGCGTACGTTCTTTCTTTGCTAGTACAGAGCGTCGAATGGGGCTCCAACACATCTATCGAGGGCATTAGCGGCTTACATACACTTCATCACTAGGTTCTCATTTGGGCCGGATCGTGCATGTTCGACGATCGCAATATCTTCGACTTCAAGGCCGTCACCAACATCGATGATAAGCCTCATCTGTCGTTCATTCTACAGCACGCGTACCACGACAATGGTGAGGATAAAGGACTTGGCTATGTGCTTGATCAGCATTACGAGCCCGAGAGAGCAGTCCCGGTGACCAACGACCTTTCTGCGTTTAACATGCACGATTTCAACATTCTCGATGGTGGAAAAACCGCCCTGGCTTGCGCATATAAAAGCCAATACATGAACCTAGGGGAACTTGGACGGCCTGAGGAATATGGTTGGGTGATTGCCGGTGGCTTCGTTGAAATGGACACGGCCACGGGGGAGGTACTTACCGAGTGGCTTTCTACAGGACACATTCCAATTCATGAATCTGTGAAGGTACATAGCTCCTCGCCGGCCTCGGGAGAGCCGGGATGGGACCATATCCATGTAAACTCTATTGACAAAAGCCCTGCGGGGAATTATCTCCTGTCTGCGCGGTTCACCAACACAATCTATCTGATCTCGGGAGAAGACGGTCACATCATGTGGCGACTTGGAGGAAAGTTCTCAGACTTCGTTCAGGACTTCACGTTTTCCAAACAGCATCACGCACGCTTCGTCGAAGCCAACGCGACACATACGACCATCTCGTTTCTCAACAATGCCTCGGATGAGCTTGAGCAGGAAGAAGACACCTCGGCCGCCCTCTTCGTGCAATTGGATACTAGCGCCTCTCCGATGACGGCGCGTGTGGTTGGACGGTACAATCGCCCCGATGGAGGACTCACTCGCCTGCGAGGCAGCGTTCAATCTTTGCCAGACGGCAACGTCTTCGTCGGCTGGAGTGAGCAAGGCTTCCAGAGTGAGCATTCCCCCGACGGGAGGGTCTTGATGCGGTCTACCTTCGCGTCGACCCGTTTTTCGACCTATCGATCATATAAGTTTCCATTCACTGGCCGCCCACGCCACCCGCCGGACTTGGTGGCAGCCGTGTACGGGACGGACGAAGCTGATCTCACGACAATCATCCATGTGAGCTGGAACGGCGCCACGGATGTGTCCTCCTGGAACTTCTACGCGCGGGCCAGCCAAGACGAAGTTCCCCAGCTTGTCGGCAACACCACCAAATTCGACTTCGAAACCATGTACATAGCAGACGGATACCTCGATTGGGTATCCGCCGAAGCCGTTGACCGAGACGGCAATGTCCTCGGTACATCGTTCGTCCACCGCACCGGCACCCCTGGGAATTGGCACCTAGCAGGTTTCCAAGGGGATGAGAATCCAACGCCTGACGATCCTGCAGCCCTATACGGGAAGGAAGAGGAAGAGGAACAAGAAGAAGAAGAAGAAGAAGAAGAAGAAGAAGAAGAAGAAGAAGAAGTCGATGAAGCGGCCATTGAGGCCGAAAGAGTCGCCCAGTCAGCCTTCCAAGCTTACGAATTTGTTCACGGCGTTGGAGGCTTGCTGATTCTCACACTGGTCGCATGCTCCGTGGGAGGACTTGTGGCGGCGGTGTGTTGTGGTCTCCGCCAGCGGCGTATGCAAGCTGCATACCTTGAAGTTCCGTCTGACGAACGGCCCCCGATGGAGGAGCCGCGATGACCCTGCAGAAACCATGATTTGGCGCAATAAGCTTCCCGGCAGATGTACCGAAAAGTGCCTACGTTGCCGGTTTATCATGATCTTTCGATCCTCAAGAAAATCCATTTGCATCATCTCGGCGTTTGTCTCGCTCGACCGTGTTTCTTGGTTTACAACACGCACATGTTGACTATATCCCTCCTGCCTTTACCTAGACAAGTAGGTTAGACCTGATAATATCACGATAAATGTTATTCTCCATTTGGACACTGCTACCTGTGAGAACAGAGTACAGATCAAGAACAGTCATGATTGTAACCTCCAGCAGTGTCGAAGTACAAACCAGCCGCGAAGAACCACCCAAAGAAAATACGAAAATAATCACTTTTGCCAGCCTCGGGCACCATGGAGTAGAAGAGCATCAGAATCAAAATGCACGACAGATGTGAGAAAAAAAAAAAAAAAGAGAGAAGAGAAGAGAAAAAGAAAAGAAAAACAAAAGAAGTGATCTTAAAACGCAAGTGTCAGAATCTTCCTCGCTTTGACGCGGCCCATTAACTTCCTAGCCAGTCTTTCGTCTTCCCGGATTTGAAAAGACTCCGGTCTCATGATCTTTTCTTCAATGCTGCGCGCCACAGACTTCAGCTTTTCCTTGCTAAATCTGGGCATCTGCAACCAGATATGGGCGATGTCCAGTTGCCGCCCATGCTCACCGAAGACTAACAGGGGAAATGACCAGCGCTCTCCAATCTCTAGATGAATGGGCCAGTCAAACACAGTCATATGGACATGCAGCACACGAAGGCTCCCAAAACTCTGGGACATCTCGTCGCAGACAAGATACCAAGCCCTGTCGCTGCGGAACTTGTACTCCCGAAATTCCGTGAGTCGTGGCTCATTGTACATGATGTGGTTTAACTCCACATGGTTGATGGCAGATTGTGAGTCTTTGCTTGCAGTCTTCAGAAACCGGGCAATGGTTTTTGTGCAATTAAAGACAAACTGCATTTTTGAGTAGAAGAGGTGGATCGTCTCGCAGTATGTCAATTTGCAAGCGAATACAATAGCTATAGGAAGTGGCTCGTAAGCGGGCCTTCCTGGATTCCTCCAGACAGTCTGAGATCGAACACCACGGGGGACCAAATGGCGATGGCAGAGACGGTAGGGAGTAGATTTCGGAGGGTCACGCTTTTTTTTGCCCTTTTTTTTGTCTTTCCGGCGAATTATTTCGACACGGTACAAATGAAAAAGTTCCTGGTATATCTGCCAGCGGATCTCTGGGGGTAGAAGCAAGAATGAAGCTTTCCGTGTTGTAATCTTGTGGGTATTGGTATTGGCCTGCATGCAGATAATGAGCTCATGAATCAATAATCGACTTGCAGGGGAACTGAGCTTACATTCGGCCTATTATGGTTGTCACTTTTCCTTGCTGGATGACGTGTCTGTTTGACAAACAGTTAAACGGAGGAAAAATATATAGTTCCGCGGGAGAGTCACCCACTTTCAGATTGCGATCAGCCGGTTGTCTTGTCTGAGAGCCTGATCCTTGAGACTTTTTATTTTTCTTGGGGCGAGCCTTATAAGCTCGACTAGGCTTGGTCGCCATTGTGAGAGCGTCAAGGATGAGCTGTTATGGGATAGATATGGAGGGTGGAGATCCCAGGACTATGCGGGAAAGAAAGTAGAGGGAGGATGAAGAAGACAAGAGGGAACAGCAAGGCATGGTGTGTGAGAGTCAGGCCAAGTGAGGTGAGGTGAGAGAGAATTGGGTGAGGGAGAAAGAAATAAACAAAGATATGACAGTCTCTCTTCTTCTCTGTTGTGTAGAAGGCCCCAGGCCACACACCTGCCTAAAGGAGTAGGTAGTGCGCTATGCCCGATGCGGCCCATCCATTCCCCGTGATGTCCGGAAGAATCGCTTTTTTTTTCTCTCTCTCTTTTCTATTTTCGTTCTGCCTCTTGCTCTGGACGGCTGTCAAGCTTCAATCCACTCCGTCTTCTCCCTCATGTCTCTCTCGCGCGCTGTCCTCCGTCCGTCGACTTTTCCGATTCGATCCCGAGCCATCTCTCCTCTCTCTGATCCCGTCCGATCAGCAACCCGACCCCACCATCTCCGACAACAGCAATCGCTTCTTTCTCCATACTGCCGCCCCTATTCTTCTTCTCCCAACACCTCCTCTCAATACAATCGCTCGCAATTCAAAATCCTCCCCTTTCTCGCCATCATTGGTATCGGTTCAGGCTCCTACGTCTTCCTCGTGAAGTCCCGCACTGGTGCTCGCAAACCTCAACCCGAGTCGAAATCTCCTGACCAGCAATCCTAAACCAAACAAAAATCAAAAAACCCCCTCTTCTATCTCGAACCCCCTCACCATCGACGGCCCTTTCAAAACCTACCTTCGGCGGATTATTTTAAGCCAAAGAACCATTGAGAACAAAACAAACCAGACCACCAAAAAAATCACTTAACTCAATAAACACCCAGAACCAAGAATCAAAAATGGCCAGCGCTGAACAGTCGAGCCCTCGGTTCTCTCCCTCCGATGTCACCGTGGTCTTCTTGCTGGGCGGTCCCGGTAGCGGCAAGGGTACGCAGTCCTCGAATCTTGTCCGCGACTATGGCTTCATCCACTTGTCCGCGGGAGACCTGCTGCGTGCTGAGCAGGTGCGGGAGGGCAGCCAGTACGGAGATCTGATCAAGACGTATATTCGGGAGGGCAAGATCGTGCCGATGGAGATCACCGTGGCCCTACTGTCGAATGCCATGGCGGACGCGCTGGCGGCCGGTGCTGGCGCCGGCGAGGGCAAGAAGGCTCGCTTCCTGATCGACGGATTCCCGCGGAAACTGGACCAGGCTGTGTTCTTCGAGAACACTGTCTGCCCTTCGGAGATGACCCTGTTCTTGGACTGTCCCGAGGAGGTCATGGAGCTGCGCTTGCTGAAGCGCGGCGAGACCTCTGGTCGTGATGATGACAATGCCGAGTCGATCCGGAAGCGCTTCCGTACCTTCGTCGACACCAGTATGCCGGTGGTTAAGGCGTTCGAGGATCAGAACAAGGTTGTTTCGGTGTCGGCGACGGGGTCCGTGGACGAGGTCTATACTCGCATCCAGGAGGGATTCCAGGCTCGGGGGGTCAACCCTCAATGATCGACCTGAAGGGAACGCCTCTAGGGATCTTGTCTTTCTTCTAGAGCTTGTCACGCACTCCCTCATTCATCTGTATCTAAGCGATTGTGTTTGTAGCAATCATCATTATACATATATACACATGTTTTTTTTTTAAAAATCCGGATCAGTCGTAATTTCATCGTTGGGGGGTTGATCCCCGCATCCAAACCAATGTGGTGAAGGTGACAAGGTCCAAGTTCAGCATAACATGACTCGTGTCCATTGATTGGGCCCAATTCTGGCCTCCATGCCAGGCAGATAGACCCCGTCTAGAAAATAAATAGCTACCATGAACCGATAAATGACGACGCGCGGGGATAAAAACAGAGAGCACAAGATCAACATGAAGGGGTAAAAGGAAAAGGGTACCAGATGAGAGACAAAAGAATAGAATATCGGGAACAAAATTGAGACAAAGGAAAGAATTAAGAAGCAAAAAAAAAAAAAAAAAAAGGAAAATAAAACACCGTTTCCAGCCATGACACAAAAAAACTTTTTTTTCCCTTTTTTTTTTTGTTCTTTCGTGTTACGGTCTAATTCTTTTTTTGGATTTCATTAACCTCTGCTCTAACCCTTTTGAAATGGTCAAATTATTCCGCGGTGACAGGCTCCGCCTGAGGCTGAGGCTGGGCCTGCGAGGGCTGCTGTTGTTGCTGCGATTGCTGGTTGTTTCCCGGGCGCTGTCGTCGATCGCCGGACTTGTTCTTATCACCCTTACCCTGAGCGGCCTCCTCGGCGGCGGCGGCGGCCTGCAACCCTTCTCGGACAAATCGCTCGCGCTCGCTGCGCACCACACCCAGAACGCGCTCCAGGCTGCGGCGCCAGACCATGAGGCGGCCCTGCACCTCAGCCCACTGCTTCTCACCGAAGACGCGGTAGGTAGCGCGGTGCACCAAGAATTCGGATCGCAACTGGGATAGTTTTCCTTCGACCAGACCGGCGCGGATGGTGTCAATGACCCACTTCTCGACATCCTCGGCGGGGACCCGCAGAGAGGTGGCGATGGTCGAGTAGGGCAGAGAGCGGGAGGGGGTCGAAGCGGCCAGCGAAGCCAGGGTCAAGAGGCGCATCTTGTTCTGCAGGGCCTCGCCCGACTCGGCGAGCACGCCGCCCGAGATGCCGGCCAAAGGCGTGGCGGCGACAAACTCCTCGTAGGCATCGAGAGTATCGGCGGTGAAGATCTCCAGCAGCTCGAACAAGGTGCTGTCACTGGATCGAAGAGCCTGAACCGCATCGGAGGCCGTCAAGGGGGTGAAATCGAACACGGCGGGATGGGTGAGGGCCGAGGTGAGGGCGCGGACGGCCAGCTCGCGGGCCTCCTTCGACGACGCCTGAGCAGCCGGGATGGTCTGAAGCGCCTGAACAACGTGTCTCTGGGCCAGTTCCGGGTCGCCGGCAGCCTGGGCGGCGTCGGCCACGGCGAGATGCAGACGCTGGGCCTCGTCCTCGTCCAGTTCCCAGGCGGACAGCCACGTGGGCAATTGGGCGGTCAATTGCGGCTTCAAAGCTTCAAAGGCAATCGCGGAGCCGGACTGGCGGATGACGGCAACGATGGCCAACAGAACGTGGAAGCGGCTCGAGTCGTTGGGGCCGAGGGTGTTGAAGATGGTGGAGAGGATCGAGATGGACAGCGACGGACCGAACTGGGCAGAGGAAGTGATGGGTTTGGCGAGATAGGTACAGATGCGCGAAAGGAACATGTCCGGGTCGGACGCCTGGTGGACGAGGTGGATGAGGAGGTTGTAGGAGGGGGTGATCTCTGTTTCATGGTGGGTGGGTTAGAGCAGACCATCGATATTTCCGGCAGGCAATCGGAGAAACAGAGACGCAAAGAGAGAAGTCGGGGATCCAAGAAAAGGGTATGCAAAAACCCCACTCACCCTTCTCGGGGGCCGTATTCAAGGCGGCGGCGGCGGATACCAGTTTCTTGAGAACCTCATCGCGCTGCTTGGTGTCGGGCTGAGCGTCGGACTGTTCCTGCTCGCGGAGGGGCTGCAAGAGCGGGGAGATTTCGGCCTGGAGAGTCGTGCCCTCCTCGGTCTTGCGCAGAGCATCGATGTACTGGGCAAACTCGTCGGCGAGTTCGCTGAAGGAGCCCTCGATGAGGAGGGTGGTGGTGGGGGCGGGCATGGTGGATGGGATGGCAGGAGGAGGGAAGGGAAGGGGGAGAGAGAAGAAGGGGGAAACAGGAAGAGAGAGTGAAAGAAAGAGAGAGAGAGAGAGAGAGAGAAGAAGCGAGTTCGAGACGAATCGAGTTGGTTTGGATTTGGTTGGCGGTGGAGAAATTTCAGTTGTGGGAAAAAGTCTTGGCGCCGCCCTGCCTGGCCCGCATTCGCCGTCGATGCTCCTGTGCTACACTTATGCGTACGGACTTGGAGTCGGTCTCATTTCTCAAGGAGCGACGCATTAAAATACATAATTCGATGCAATTCATTAAACCCGTGGCGCGAGATCAAGGGGAATAGTACGATGCATGGGAACGCAGAAGACAATCGCAAATAACAGCACGCCAGGTACCCATGGCGTTCGCATCCCGTCATAACAGAGCAAACAGAAAACAAAATGATAATGAGAACGGCGCGTGACAGAAGACCTCCCTTCGCCACCGAATAATTAACCGTCCCTCGTCTCTCCCACTTCAATCTCGGAGGACCCATTTACAGCGTGAGGCGGAGCGCCAGGAAGAAGACCGTCGCCAACACGCCCGTCGCGTGGTCCTGGGCCATGCGCACGGCGGCATTGGTGGTGGTCGCAGCGCTTCCGGTGCTAGAGCTAGTGCGAGTCGCGGTGCTGGACTCTTCGTCGTCGTCGGAGCTGTCGGACGACTCGGTCGCAGTGGGCAAGGAGGTAGCGGAGGTTGTCGTCGAGGACGACGACGACGACTCCGAGGCATTCTGCGAGCCGCACCCGCTGCGAGCATCCTTGCACTTCTCCTCTTCATCCAGACTCGAGGAGCGCTCAATGCACTGCCCGAAGTTCTCCTGGCACACGAAGTAAGGCACAGTCCCCTGGTAGGGCTCAACGTTGGCAGCACTGCCGTTGCCGCAAGTGCAGGTAAAATCCAGAGTCGACTAGGTGCACCGATCAGTAAGAGGGAATGGGGAAGGAAGGAAGAAAGAAAAGAGGCGCTGGAGATCGACGTACAGGATCACAAGAGTTGGCGTTGGAGACTCCGCCGCAGATCTTAGGGCAGGCGTTCCGCTCCGCAACACACCAGGAAGCTGATTCCACGTCTTAGTTTCGCGTCGAACCATTGGACACACGCAGATTCGCACGACCTACCTCGAGTCGAAGGGTTCACCTTGTTCAAGTCGAATCCTTCGGGGAGCGTGTAGTTGTTGGCGGCGGTTGCCGAGGCCACCAGGGTGGAGAGGAGCAGAATGGGCAACATGATGAATATAGAAAAGACGGGGGTCGAAGGTAAGAGTTGACGGGGGAGGCGACGACTTATTGCTGCAAAAAAAAGATGCACGACGAGGCGGATGGGAGGAAGATGGAAGGGAATTGGAGAATGAAAGAAGGAGGCAGGGGAGAAAGTCGAAGAGGAAGAAGAAGAAGAAGAAGAAGAGGGGAAAGGGAAATAAAAAAAAAAGGGAAAGCGCGAAAAATAAAACCAATAAAAAAAAGGGCAGGCCAAAACAAGGAATGTCGGGGAATTATTTATTTATTATTGATTATTTATTCTGCTTCTTGGGAAATATCCGGAACGCTTTCCTTCGTCGAGGCAAGAACTAGTCATTTTAAGTCGGGGACTACTGCATTCATTTCATGGAGCAGGAACGAGCTAGACGAGTGGACAATGAGCTACCAGCTCGCTAGACCGGGAGGGGAAGGCATCCCAAACCCATCAATGGCTGCGAGCTGGGCAAACACGGCGTGATGGAGACCTTTGCCATACCAGGGCAGCGTGCATGCCAGTTCCGGGCATGGGAGTCGTCCTGTCCCACGGAAGACGGTGGAAAAATGGACGGTGGGAAGGGGGAGGGAAGGGCAGGAGAGGGAGAGGGAGTGGGACTACCGGAACGGATGACTTTAGTAGCACCAAAAGTCGAGTGCGAGAGAGAGATGGAGGGAGTCCGATAGGGACTGGGTGGGAGGACTAGCAACCTGGAAAGATGGAAAAGCGAAGCAAAACTCCGCATCTCTGCACGCCCCCCGGCCAATCACCGGCCGTTCGCCAATCTCCGGTGGGCCCGTCGGGGATTCCCAGTGGGGTTTAGCCTGCCTTACGAGGGTACCGTACCGTACCGAGGCTCGCCTTCCGTGCCTTGCCTACCGTACCTACCAGGTACCTACCTAGGTAGGTACCTTAGGTCCCTTAGGTCCCTTAGGTACAGTACGATCGACGGTAGTACCTACCCTCAGTCCCTAAGGTAGCTACGGTGTTTCACCTTCTTCGCATGCAAGGATGGCCTGGGATTAAGGACTTATCTTCCTGCCCGGGCGCTTTCATTAACCCCGTCACTATCGATTCTTTGGAGGTACTAGCATGCCTAATTCTACCACCACCTGATCCTGGCTGTCGATCTCATTTTCCGACATGCATCATCCTCTCCTCTCCGTCGGTCTTGCCCCCTTCACGATCCCCGAAACAAAAACTGCATATCCTCGGGAGTGAGCTTTTCCAGCGCCTCTCCCTGATCCTTGTTGATGGTGCCGTTGATGAGGTTCGCCTTCTTCTCCTGCAGCAGAACGATCCGGGATTCGACCGAGTCCTCGATGCACAGTCGGGTGATGACGCAGGGTCGACGCTGACCGATCCGATGACACCGGTCCGCGCTCTGCCACTCCGCAGCCGGATTCCACCATCTACGCCGTGATGTCAGCCTTGGTCCTGTCGAACGATCGGTGTGCACGCCAGAGGAGGGGAATGGGGACACCTACGGATCAACGATAAATACCCGCGACGCCTCCGTCAAATTCAGAGCCACGCCGCCCGCCTTGAGCGAGACGAGAAAGACCTCGACGTCAACGTTGTTCATGAAGTAATCGATCGACCTCTGCCGCTGGGCCGGCGTCATGGAGCCGTCGAGCATGACCGTGTTGAATCCGGCTCGACGCAGACGCCACTCAACGAGTTGGAGCATCGACGTGAACTGCGAGAAGACAATCGACTTGTGCGTCTGCTTTTTGCTCCGCAGCTTGTAGAGGTCGTAGACAAGCATCTCGATCTTCGTCGACGAGGTCCAGTCCTCCATCCGAATCCGGTTGATGATCGAGTTCTTCTTGATGAACTCCTCTTCCTGCTCGATGTCCGGCTGCTCAAAGTCGATGGACAACGGTATATGGCACCGCGGACAATCGACGATCGTCTCGGCATCAAATGACCGCATATAGTCCTTGGCGCACCGGCGGCAGAACTCGTGATGGCAGCGCGACCGGATGGCTTCCTCGGCCGGTTCATCACAGATGCCGCAAACCAGTACGTTTTGCCCACTGGCGGCATGTTTCTTCAAGATCAAATCGGGGTGGTTTGCAACTTGTCGCATTTGCATGATCAACCCAAAGATATTGGCATAGTTGTTTAACATCACTGCAGCTCGTGTAAGTATGCGAGGAGAATCGGTGCTGTTGCATGGACCCGGGTGACATACCTCCGCGGCTCACGTACGTGTCGAATTGCCGGGTAGAGTTGGTCATGATACTTTGGGAGAAATCGCGTTCGATTTCACCAAAGAACTCATTGTGCAGAATGACCCTATATTTTGTCAGTGGCAATCGGATTGGTAGGGTGGCCAAGTGACACCCACCGTTTTGGCGGGAGTTCCATAGAAGCCGTGTGGTCCCGCTTGACACGTCGGAGCATAATTCTATCAGTGATAAGCCGCAGCTTCGACAAAGCCTCTCGGCGGGCTTCGACGTTGTCCCTTTCCGTAACTGGTCTGCGTTAGAATATGCGCACCAAGACAGTGTAGATACTCACTTGGATTCAAGATCTCCTGGTTGAACACCGAGACATGACTGAATCCGCTGCAGAGATTGTTAGTATGAGCAGGACACGAACAGATCGAGCATTTCCCAAAAGACAGTACCTATGTCTGCATTCAGTGCATCGTTTCTCGGCGTCTTGAGACCAATGAAGTTGCTGGCATTTGCATTGTTTACAGAAATAACAGGCAAACGGACGGACTTCCAAGAATCGCAGGAGAGAGAAGAACTCGCCAATTCGATTTTGGACCGGGGTGCCAGATAGGCACCATTTGTAGTTAGCTCTCAGGGCAAAGCATGCGCGGGCAACACTCGTGGTACGTTGCTGGATGCGTTAGCAACAACAGACCCAACCAGAAGGAAATTTCAATTACCTTGATACTGTGTGCCTCGTCAAGAATAAGCCGGTGGTAATCGATAGAATGAATCACGCCTGCAGTATGTCAATACCCAGAGCTCATCACGCCCTTCGAACTACTTACTGTCTTCCTTCACAATCCCGTCATGGCGGTTCCACCCCTTCCATTCCTTTCGATGGATTGACTCTAGACCAGAGTCTAGCTCGAAGTATTGAAGTGTTAGACATGTTTCTTTGCTCCTACTTCAGCTCGTGGGGGATGCGGTTCCTTACAAGATATCATGATAACATCGTAGGCCTGCAGATCTTCCTTGGCGAGAGTTTTGACCTTAGGGTTAGAGTTGTGATAAACCAAAACCTTCAATTGGCCATTGGTGTATTCCTGAAGGCAGGGGTCAGATTAACACGATCGGTTTCACGGTTGCACCATACCTTGATCTCAGATTGCCATTGCATTAGAGCGACCGGGGGGACAACAACCAGGGACGGCTTGCCGATTGGATAGTCCGACATGAGTAGGGAAACCGCCTGGATAGTCTTGCCCATGCCCATCTCGTCACCCAAGAGACCTCCCTTATACTGTGACTTTTCTTGTCGCATCATCCAATTCAACCCTTCGAGTTGGAAAGACTTCAGGGTTCGCGATATACTTGGAGGTTGTTCGGCAGCCACCGGTGTTATTGGGGGCGCATTTCTTAAATCCTCCCACATCTTTATGATATACGGATGTTGCTTTTCAAGTTTCTTTCGCTCCCTGAACGCCTATACAAACCATCAATAGCCCGTCACAACATTCAGAAGGGCAGATTGGTTGGACTTACACGGTAGCTCATCCACGTCTGTGACGGAGTCGGCGCCGCTTCAGAAGATCTGGGAGCCTGTCTCCGACCTCGCCCATGGCCCCTAGTATTTGCTGTGCTTCGGTTTCTAGACCCGCTCTGCGAGTACAAGGGCCTTCCCTCGTTGGATGGCATTTGGCTAGTTGGCTCTTGATCGCTTTGGCGACTGTCATCATCATCGTCACCTTGAGACATATCATCCGTATCGAAGTTACTATCTTCGCTGTCCGCAACTAGCGGTTTCTTCGCTGACCGGAGAGAACCTCGAGAATTGCGTGGCGGCTGCCACTGCTCAGACTCAGCCTCGTTGGCATCGTCATCGTAATCGAGCTCTGTCAAGGCGCTGTCGTCGTCGGAATCTCGAATCTCCGATTTAACACTTTCGAGCACTTTTCGCCGTTTCGAAAGCGGGGCCTGGTATTCCTGAAGTTGCAGAGTCCGAGCCAGGGCTGCATCCGAGGCCTCGGGGGTGGTATCCTCCGCGACAGTAGCGGTTATAGTTCTCTTGCGTCCCCTGCGCGGGTTCAGAGACATGGTGCTCGAGTGTAACTCTCGGGCGCGAGCAGACGCGCTCACTCTTGTCTTCGGCCGTGGGACTTCTGATTCCGCAGGAGTCATGGCAACACTGGTCGCCGGAGTGTTGTAATCGTTAGTCCCATTTCCGGACGTCGATGTGGACGAAGAGCGGGAGGATGTGCGCCGCTTCAAGGGGATGGCAACTTCTAGGGCCGCAGGCTTGTCATTCTGATGAACTGCGACAGGGCCAGTCGGCGCAGTCACGTCTTCATGTGTGGAGGAATGATCGATCTGTCGCGCATTGGTCTGGGCGGACGAAGACCGGGCTAATCTCAAGGACGTGCGTCGTGGCAAAGACGAGGGATCTGGTGGCGGAATCGATTCGAGTTAGCCGGCAGGATTGACGGACGGAGTAGTGGTTAGAGCTTACCTGCCGTGGAGGAGGTTCCAGGCCTCACTGCAGACGACCTTCTCCCCATGATAGCAAGAAAAGGAGAAGTGCAGCTTCGGGGGATGGGAGATGCAAGGCAGGGAGAGTGCAAGGAAGAGAAGTGAAAGAAGCACGAAGGACGAAGTGATTGATGATTGGCAGGGGAAGGCCCTGCAGGTGGCGAGTAGGTTTCCTGTACCTTACTTTTTGCCTGCCTGGCAGGCAACCAGCGGCGGTCGGTGGATCCAAGGAACAGGTCAGTCGATTTTTCTTTGTCCGCCCTCGATTTACTTCTCTTTCGTCGTTTGTCTCCCTACCTCAGGCACTGCGTACATTAAGGTACCTACGGACCAGTGCTCAGGTCGAGTCCCGCGTGAAGTGGAACGCGAAATCACCGCGGAGCCGGTGACCTCATTGGTCTGACATCACCCGTCGCCTTCTACTTCTTCGTCGCCGTCCGGGACTACGGAGTTCTCGCGCTCGCTTCACTTTGCTTTCACCCCCCTCCCCACTCAACAAAATGTTCGTGAGATACTTCCATCCGGCGCGTGGTAGCCTACTGAATGAATTGCTAACTAACGGCGGGTGTTCCACAGGGCGGACCGACGGCGCACCAGGAACAACATCAGAGGCCCGTAAGTCTTCCCTCGACCGGCGCTCACTTGGTCCCTCTCAACTAATCGCATTTCCAGCCACTCGGCGCTGACCGACTTCCTTGCGGTACGTAGCTCATCATTATGCGCAACATGGTTTCCTTCCCCGCGCTCTCCGTCGCTAACCCGTTCTTCTCCAGTCCAATAACATATCTGCCGCCCAAATCCATGATGACCATCAAAGGCGCCTGAGAGAGGCCGAGCGCCAGGAGGCCGCGGAAAATCCCCCAGAGGCAGCCGACGCTACTGATGCCAATGAACCCACCGGCGAGTCGCCCGAACAGAAGAAGAAGCGCAAGCGGAAAGAGTCGGCCACCCTCGCCAAGATCAAACAAAGCAAGGAATTTGCCCGTCGTAAAAGCCGGCGGACTGGTGAGCCTGATGGAGACGACGACATCATTGCGAGGGAGATGCTGCAGGAAAAGTCTCGCCCGATGCCCGGCCAGCTTGAGAACTGTGAAATCTGCAGCAAGCGATTCACGGTCACGCCATATAGCAAGACGGGACCCGGTGGAGGTCTTCTCTGCGCCAAGTGTTCCAAAGAGGTGGCCGATGACGAAAAGAAGTCAAAGGCCAAAAAGCGGGCACCAAGAACCGGCCGTCGCCAAAACCAAAGCAATCTGCTTGACGGGATTGCTCAGCACGGCGCGTTAAGCTTGGCCGAAATGTGTACCAAGGTAAGCGCCGCCGTTCCTAACTACATTGCATACGTCGCTGACCTTTCTTCCCTCCCCAGAAAGTTGCCGACAATATCAACGACATAGACGAGTTTGGGGATCTGCCGTCGCAGCTGCTACATCGTCTTAGCCAGATCCTGTCCAAGAGGAGGGCGTTGACGCCGAGGACTCTAAACCTATTTCTTCGCCCGGACATGGATTCCATTGACATCTACGACTCCGCGAAGCTTGAGACTGAGGACTTTCAGAAAATTCTAACGTTCATGCCTTCCCTAGCTCATATCAATCTCCGCTTTGCCGGTCAGCTCAAGGACCAAGTTCTCGAATATATGCTCGATCGAAATCCCCAGGTCAAGTCTCTGCAGTTGGACGCCGCCAACCTCGTGTCAGATGCATACTGGCGGCGAATGTTCCGGCAATTTGGACCGCGACTAGAAAGTCTCAAACTGTCCAACCTGGACTTTGCTCTTGATGATGAAAGCGTGGCCTTGATGTGTGAAACCTGTCGATCGCTTCGCCGGCTGAAATTGAAGCATTGCTGGAAAATGGGCGATGGCTCCCTCCAAGCCATATCGACCCTGCCTATGCTCGAACACTTGTCTTTGGGCTTCGTCCGCGATATTAGGCTAGAAAACCTTCTCGAGGCCGTTTCCAGGACCGGCCCTGGTCTGCGAACGCTATCACTGGAGGGGTTTACCAACGCCGACGATCGCCTTCTCGAAACCGTTCACGAGAAGTGCGACTCGCTCACCAAGCTTCGGTTTTCCGACAACTCGGTGTGTACCGACCAGGGATTCGTCAAGCTGTTTACCGACTGGTCGAACCCTCCCTTGGAGGTTGTGGATCTTTCGTCAACGCGAGACGTGGATAATAACAGCCCTGACGGACCCGCAGAGGCAACCGGCCTTGCCTCTCAGGGGTTCGTTGCTCTTATGAACCATTCAGGTGGCACGATCCGAAAGCTGAACATCGCATCCTGCCGCCATGTGTCTCGCGCCGCCTTTGAGGAAGTGTTCTCGGAAGGTAGAAGATATCCGAATCTCAAAGAACTCGACGTTTCGTTCCACGCCGCGCTCGATGATTACCTTGTTGGTCGGCTATTCCGGTGCTGCCCGGGCATCAAAAAATTGGTGGCGTTTGCCTGCTTTAACATCCGAGAGGTGCAAGTGCCTCTCGGGGTTGCGCTGATCGGAGGATTGAAGGCCCAGGACTCGATCGTCGTCGAAGGCGCGTGGTAGGGCAACCTCGAGACGAGAACACTACTGCGTAATGCAGCCGTTGGGGAACGCGGTCACCGACAGGTCAAATGGCGGAGCAAACTATCTAGCGCGCATTAAGTATTGTTCTCGCTTGCGTTGCCATCGTCTCGAACTATGGCGATCTTGGCCGCAGGTGTAGTGATCGGAACCATTTACGTTAGTTAATATACATCCTCCTCCAACCCAAGCATTTGGCCACGTGATCGTGGACATACCACTTAGTAGAGACTTTTCTGGTATCCTTGATAGATTCTCTCATTCCACTAACTACCTAAGAGCTACGTATTAATTCTGGAGGGAGGGGGGGGGGGGGGGGGGGGGGGGGCTAGTATGCCGGACCAAGGACCACCAGGGCCAGCGGTGTGGTTAGAGCGGGATTCCCCATCTACATCCTGTCTTTCGAGGGAGCCAACCCGAAGCGAAGGCCGAGATCTGCGGTGTCATAATGTTCTGCATTCAGATCGAGCATTGAGCAAGGAGGCGCGGAGTGCGATGGCCAGGCAGTCGCAGCCGACATACTGCGTACGGCGTCGTCTCAACGAGTAGTTCGGGGCCTCCAGACGGCCAGGACCAAGTCCGTCCCGGGGGATCATCTCTTCCCGACGGGGGGTCGTGGAATGGCGATTCGCAATCCGCAAATCCAGGTCCCCAGAGGGATCGGCAGCGGCCCACTCGTTCAGTTCCAATGGCGGTCGGACGGACAATCGTAGGATACCGCAGGAGGGCTCTCGATCGTTGTGACTTGCGAGGACAATTGGAAAGTTGGCCACGACAAGGCCGAGCGAAGGAGAGCTTCGATCTTGTTTTATTTTATTTTATTTCATATATATATATATATATATTTTTCGGGGGCCCCTGATGGGTGGCGGAATGCTTCATTGGGAGGACTCCTTTAGTCTCATCTACCCAAGACAGCGCGGTTTCACTCGAAGTGGGTTTGACAGGTAATCGGTAGGATTCTGATTCCGAATATAATTAACAGTTCCCATTTGGACTTGCAATCCTAACCGTCCGGCGGAGTCATTATAATTATGCCCGAGTAACTAACGAGAGGAGGTCCTGCGTTCGACGGCGAAGGGGTTGACCGGGCGAGGATCATCGACGGATGTCAGAATAATAAGTAATAGTCAGCCCCTTTCTCCTGAACTCCCAAGGGGTTATGATTATTTTCCTCTGTCTTTCCTTTCAAGAAGAGGAACAGCCTGGGGACTCCGTCGCCCAAAAGAAAAAAAAAAAGACCGGCATAAACGGGGCCACTGATGATTTCGCCCTCCGACCGTCTGATCGCAGTCCTTCAGGCGGGATGCTATATTTGGCGCTGCTCCACTTGGATTAATTGATTGATTTTTTTCCCTCGAGTTTTATTTCGGGGGGATTTCTCGTCCTAATTGGATTTGCTGTCTCTTTTTCATTTTGGAATTGCGATTTTATTATTTTAATTTTTACCCACTCGGACGGTGATTCTCGTTATGGAGGGCTTTTTCTGATTTTTGTTGTCGGTTCTTTCATCCAGTTGTTTTGTTTTTACTATTACTAGTTCACTTCACTTCACCTCTCAACTTTCTCCTCTCCTCTTCTCTCTCCCTCTTCCTCCCTCTCTCTCTCTCCTCCCCCCCGTCGCTGTACTAATAATAATTTTTTGTCTCTCTTCAGCCCCACCGGTGTAGGTGAGGGCTTGATCTGGTCGTGATTGATTTGATCGATCGACTTGTTTTATACTACTGTTACTATACATACTTTACGGCCAGCCAGAAGCTTCTGGCCACCTCGCTCCATTCCCACACCAGTCATTCTGCCCTTCTCCTCCAGACACCCGCCCCCTTAATGAAGCCGGCAAATCCACCACAAACGCCTCTTTGACGCTCTACTGTCCTTGTCCCTGCCCGCCCGTGTCATTCGCTTCATTCTGGGCGTCCTATCGACCGACGCCCCACTCGGCTCCTGAGATTCGAGTGGTTTCGGAACGCTGGCCCAGAACTACTAGCCCAACCCATAGACACCCCCCTCCACCACCCGCGGCCTTGTTTACGGGCGACGACTCACCCGAATAGCGCGCACCTCCGAAAGGGGCCCCTGGTCTTTTTTTTTTTTTTTTTTTTTTTTTTAGCGACTCGGAGATTGAGGAGCTGGTATAGCTCACGAAATTTCATCCTCGAAAGTGGTTCCGGGTTCACTAGCGGTTGCGACCCTCTTCAGCACCGATGCCAATTAAACTCCCCAAAGGCTTTACCCGACGGAAATCGTCTGGTAATGTCCTAGACGAGGTAGAAAATCCTCCTCAGCCGTCCTTTCGAGTCTTCGAACGTCCTTCCGTCGATAAGAAGTCCATGAGCGATGGCAATCTTTTGTCGAAAAGGCTGAGCTCGGGACAACCTTTAGATTCACCCACGGAGGATCAGGACAACATCTTTGCCGGGCCCCTGAATCATCCCCAAAGAAACTTGTACGGCCTCCCTGTCTCGCCTGACGTTATAACACTCAGCACAAGCGGATGAACTAACTCGAGTTGTGCTCACAGAGGCGTACGCGACCATTCGTCCGGTCATATTAACTCTTCGCCCAAACGTCGCTCAACAGACGGTCCGCTGTCACCGGACAACTCATCGCCACATTCACGAAACCTCTACGATATTCCGATACCCCCTATCTCTGGTGCATTGCGGGCAGCTGGCCGAACCTTTTCCTTCGGTGGGAGATTTTCGAAATCGTCGGCGCCCCCGCAACAACAATCTACTCCTGGTCCTTCTCGGAATAGGGCAATGACCAACAGCACGAGCAGCACCGCAACCCCTCCCAAACTGCCGGATACAGAACTGCGGATTGGTCAGATGGGGGACGACTTCCACAACATGTTCGACGATCTCGGGAAACGAGGCAACGCTGCCCAGGAATCATCGCGGAATTCGTCCGTGGACACGGTAGGCCACCCTGGCACAAACCCCGGCGCGTTTTGTCAGGATCAACTAACGATACTCATTCCTAGTACTCCTCTTCACCCCCCGAGGCGGCCTTCCGCAAGGAAGAAAAGTTGCCCCGTCCCGCACCCATCGATACAGATCGGTCGAAAGAAGTCGAACCCTCGCCGTACTCATGGGGTAGCCGTCACTCAGAGGAGGGTCTTTTGGCCGCCGTTGATTCGCCGCACGATGAACCCCCGGCACCATATTTGGGGTTTACCCATTCCACTACATCCTACCGAGATGGGCGAAGGAAATCCATACCCTTCTCCAACGCAATGCCCGTCACGACAACGACTCACCGTTCCCTTGAGAAACCGGACGGCATGGCAGAAAAGGGCCTACGGAGAAGTGTTTTATACCCTAGCAAGCGGGATTCAACGCCCGTCGAGGATGAGGACGCCAAATTAATCATGTCATCTCTCTATTCGAACAAGCGAAACTCGCAAGTGCCATTGGTGTCAGACCAAGAGGACTCGGATGCAGAGAATGAGACTCCGCTATTCACCAAAGCGCCAACGTCCCCGGTTAACCAGCGGGAGCGACTTACTCCTCCGCCCCTGCAACCTCCGACACACAAATCTCCGGGCCTGAATGATGACCACCTCGACCCCTCTATCGCGGCCCATGCGCGATTGGCCGTGCAATACGAGACCCAACCACCGCCGGTGCCATCGACCAACAAAGTAATGACACCCTCTCAATTTGAGCATTATCGGCAGCAGCAGGAGCTCCGACGGTCACATAGCGATGCTTCGAAGAGCGAGGACTCCGCAGAAAGCGATTTCGACGAAGAGGACGAGGCCGAGAAGAATCGGGAAGCGGAGAAGCAACGGCGAAAGCAAGAAGCACATCTCTCCGTATATCGGCAGCAGATGATGAAGGTGACGGGCCAACAGTCCCCTGCAGCTTCTCTTCGACCAGAAATGGATCGGGCGAGCAACAGCGTACCAAACCTCGCCGTCCATTCCTTCAACCAAGGGAACAGGTCAGGCAGCGGGAAGAGTAGCGAGGGTGATGAGGACGAGGAAGTTCCCTTGGGGATCTTAGCAGCGCACGGGTTCCCGAATAGGAACCGGCCACCCAGTCGACTGGCACCGTCGAATTCGATCCCAAACATGCGGGCATCGTTCCATCAGCCTTACATCTCGTCTCCCGGATCGGTTGCAGAGAATGATGCCGGCAATCGCAGCAGCCTGCCTGTTTTCGCCCGGAATCTACCCCGAGACCCCTACTATGGGGCGGGCTTGGTGAATTCGTCCAACCGAGAGTCCCTGGCTCTCGGAGGAGGTGCTTCCGTTTACGGAGGACCCTCGGCTGCCGCAGGTCCTCCGCCCGGATTCCCTCCAGGGGGATTAATCGGTGTCATTGCCACGGAGGAGCGCGCGAGAGCCATGAGACGAGGGAGCCCGAACACCCAAGCCATGCATGACTACCATGCTGCGATGCCTTCGGTCCCGACCCAGCCCAATGGCATCCCGAGGCCCTATACCATGATGAGCCTGAATCCACCCAATCCCTCGGCCCCTCAGCAAGGGGTTTCGGCCACGGAGCAAGCTCAAATCCAGCTTTCCCAGCAAATGTCAAGTATGATGCAGATGCAGATGCAATGGATGCAGCAGATGATTCACATGCAAGGTGGGCAAGGCCCACCCCAGCAGTCGATGCCGCCAGGCGGCTTCCCTTCGTTCGTGGCCCCTCCCACCGTGAGACCGTCTTCGATGCCGTCGGCAGGCCCGAATAATAATGTTCCACCCGCATATGGCGGCGGTGACCAAAGAACTCTTAGCCTTCTTGACCCGAACGCTTCACCCCGATTGAACGCTCCGGCCATGCCGTTCGCCTCCGGCGTGAACCGGCCGAGCACCCCGGCAGGGCAAGGCTATGCGCCGTCAATTGCGCCATCAGAGCGGAGCAACGTTGGACTGGCGCCGCGGTATCGCCCAGTGTCTACCCTTCATCCGGACACTGCCTCGGCGGCTTATCCCCTCGCCTCCAAAGCATGGAACGATGAGAACCAGAGATCTTCCGTCTCCATTGCTTCTCCGGCCCCCGCTTCGCAGATGGCCAAGCCGGCATCCCGTCCAATTTCCAATGGCGGAAAATCCGCTTTGGCTCGTGGATCGGGCAATGGCATCGAACCGGATGAGGATGACGACGACGAAGGGTGGTCTGAAATGATGAAGAAACGGGAGAATAAGCGAAGCAATTGGAAATTGAAGAAGGAGACGTCAAGTCTCGGCGACTTACTGAATACAGTACATTGACACGACCATAAGTGATTGGCTTGGATCTTCCTCTTATTCGCCGAATCGTTTCCTCTTTCCTTGTCGCATGCACTTCCCGGTTTTGGTTCGGGCTTTGGCGTTGTTCTCTCTAGATCGCTTTACATGCCCATCTACTTTATCATGTTTTATTCTCCTTTCTCTCTATGTCTCTCTCTCCCTCTCTCTTTTTCTCTCTTCCCCCACTTCTTTCTCCCCCCCTCTTTTTCGGGGACGTCAGCTTGGCCCCTGGAGATTTGAATTGCATCATGAAAGTTACTGCCTGTTGATCCGTCCAACTTGAGCAAAGGCGAGGAGTTATGCAAGGCCGGCGTTTTCATTTCTTTATTTCTTTGTCCTCTTCGTCATTTCCACCCCCCCCCACCCCCCCCTCTTTCCCTTGTTTTCGTCCATTATCAGTTTCGAGAGCTCAGCGGTTGTATATTGTGTCCTTTTGACTCGTTTCATGTTCTATTGGGTAGGTATATGATAAAGTATAATATACGAACGAGCCTCGTGGGGCCACCAAGGATCTCCATTCAGTGAACCCTAAGTGCACTTTCCGTCGCGTCTGACCCGGTGTGCTCGGATCAGCGCTATCCGGCAAATCGTTGGATTACGTCCCTTGCTTCTAGTCGTACTTGATCCAGGATCTTCGCCACGGGCAGCGTCGCTTTCACGAGCCCAACTCCACTGCCGGCGTAGGTGGTCAACCGCGCGCGCGGTCCCCATCCCGAATCGCCCTTCTCCAACTCTTTCACATACAACGCACGGTTCTCCTCATCATCCATGCCACATTCCGTAGCATCCGTGTAGCTTCGATTGATTATGCCGCGCCCGTCATATCGGCCCGGCCAGCCTGTGATCCCTCTCACCCGGTCGTACACTGTGGAGCGGACGGTGTTGACCCCCCCATCGGACGCCCGTAGGATCTCGTCCTGGTAGCCACGGGCGATACTCGCTTCGACCGAGGCCAAGAAGCGCGTGCCCATGACGACTCCAGTCGACCCTAAGGTCAACGAGGCGGCAATCCCTCGCCCGTCAACGATCCCGCCCGCCGCCACCACGGCGATGTCGCTTTGCCGGCGTTCTTTGAGGGCATCGCATACCTCGGGGACTAGCGTGAAGATGGAAGCTGAGCGGGCTAGACCGTGACCCCCAGCGTCTGAGCCTTGGGCGACCAGTACATCCGGGCAAAGAACCTCCGCCGCGGCCACGGCTTCCGCTACCGAGCCGACCTGGACCCAAATCTTGGTTCCTCCGGAGGTGACGGCGCGCACCCGGACCACCCAGGGGACCAAATCATCGGGCAGGGCCTGAGGACCGAACAGCCACACTGCGCACGGCCTATGCCGTTCGATTGCGGCGACGGACTTGTCGAGGTCCGCGCCCCAGTTGAGAAAGCCAACCCCGATGGGTAGGATACCGGTGCCACGAAAGACTGATCGGATCGGTGTGTCCGTCCGCTCTACGAGTTGTGCGGCCTCCTCAAGGTTGCGCTCCAAAGTAGAGACGTCGTATCCTGCAGCAAGAAACCCCAAGCCACCGGCGGACGAGACCGACACGGCGAGCAGAGGCATGGCAATGTTGAGCATGGGAGCCGACGCTACCAGGGGAGTCTCGGTCCAAGGAAAGGCTGAAGCCGAAGCTGACAATGGCAGATGCATTCTTCTGGTTGGACCGATCCAATCAATATGACTGCCTAGGTGAGGAAGCAACACAGGGAGTAGAGCCCATCGTATCCATGATCATCACCGGTGGGCCAGGATGAAGTTGAAAGCCAAGTTCCTGGCGTCACTCCCCCTCAAGTTCGGCGGGCGGGTCACGTGGAGTCACGGGATGCGGCAAGCAATCATAGATCAAAGAACCTCGCCGTCGTCTTTCCCATTCCCTTGTATCCGCCTAGACGTGCTCCAATCACCGTTGCCTTGTCAGTTTTCTTTTTTGGACGTGTAGCTTGGGATTCTCACTTCTTCCTCTTGTGTGGGGAAATTTTCTTCTTTCTCCCGGTCACCTTGTTGGCCCGAGCTTTTCTCGCACAAAGGGAACATCCCGGGTAGAAGAGAACGGTCTGCAAGAACCTGGATATTTCCGCCTCCAGTCCCTGTGCTGCCTACATACATATATATATGCTATTGTTATAGACCTCTTGGATATCTACCGGGAATAACTTCACTAGACAGCAGCTCCCCTTACAAACTTTCATCACCATGAACGCACCAGACCGGTAAGATCAGTGACTTCCTTTCCCCCACCTCTCTCTCTCTCTCTCTATACTCTTGCTTGCCCTGGCTTCCGTGATTGTCTTGTCCTTACCATCAGATGAACACTTATATATATCTCTTTTTTTTGCTCTCTTGGAGGGGTGCAATGAAGAGAGCCCTTGGAGGAGGAGGAAGAGGGGGGGGTTTGCCCGAAAGGGAAAGAGAGGACATTGGGAAAGTAGACGGCGGTGCTTCTGTCGCTGCCATTCTTCTCTCTCCATCTCCCTCCTCTTTCATTTTGCTTCGACATCCCCACAAGAAGTTGCTTTATCCCGCTCAAACCCTGCCTGTGTTTTACCCGTGTTCATGTTCTACTTGTGTTCTTGTCCCCTGTCCATTATTTCTGGTCTGGAGCCCTTCAATATGAGCCCACGTAAAGAGCCACTTCTCCCCCCAGAGACGGCCTATGCACGCTGGCGGAACGCCAGTGGCAACGCTCGTAAAGGCTGCCAGTCTACGGTCAGGGTGTCGCATGACCAGCAGCCGAGGTCTGCCATGCTCCAGCTCCATGATCTCTCGTTCTCCTTGCAGCTTTCTCTTACCTCATTCACCACGTTGGTACATATGGCAGGGTATATGACACGGTGCTGATTCGTCCTCCGAGTATAGCTACGAGTCCTTTGTACTCGCCAACGGCGAGAGCAAAGTAGAAATGGAAATCGATACCCGTAAGTCTCTATGTCTGTCGCCCCGCTTATCTTTGCGCCCTTGCTGAACCGTTCTCTCAGGAATCCCATCTTCAGCTATCTTCACTTTTAACAAAGAAGACCACACCCTCGGGAATTTGATCCGCTCTCGCCTTCTACAGAGCTCTCACGTTCTCTTTGCAGCCTACAAGGTATGTTCGGCCCCGCGCGAGGGTTCTATGTCGGTGATGCCATATCACTAACCTGCGAGCTCTAGGTGCCCCACCCTTTGGTTCCTAAATTTGAACTGCGAGTCCAAACCGACGGGGAGATCGCTCCTAAGGAGGCAGTGGTGACCGCCTGCCATGAGCTGGTTCGAGACCTGGGAATCCTTTCCCGTGAGTTTACCAAGGAATACGAGCTGCGGAAGATGGTGGGCGCAAGTCAGCAGCAGCAGAATGGGGCCCAGGATGGGATTTAAGCGGATGATAGTTCATGATCCGACGTGACTTCCCTTCAGCATTGGGCGCGGCTGGCCATGCGTCTTGTTCCTCTCTTGTTCTTTGAAAAAGTCCATACCCCATCCATTCCCCTTTCTTTGTTCTTATCTCGCTCTCAATATGGATATGAGCTGGCTCTATTTTTTTTTTCTTTTTTCTTTTTTCTTTTTTTTTTTTCTTCTCTCTCTCGGTTGCTTTACATCTCAATGGTTGTTCTTGTGCTCTCTTGATTGTATGTATGCAATATGAATGCCCGGGCCTGGAACTCCTGGGATCCCAATCGGCCGCATTCATGCCAGCTCAATGATCTTTGCCTGGGAATAACTGGCTCCTCCGAAGAAGAAACATGTAGAAATCAAGACACTCCGTAAAACTCGAGTTCCTGGGGGCTGAGTCAGCAGCTTCCCGGGCGGGTTTAGCGTGCCTCCGCGTGCCTGGCGTCTGCCGTCATCCTCCCTCCTGAACCGAAGGCAACCTCGCTTCTTTCTCCTTTCTCCATTTGCTTCCCATTCTCCTTCTGCCTGTCGCGTTGTCAATGCCTGGATCTAGCTTTCTTTGCTTGATGCCAGTGCCATTGTGGTAATGTATTCCTCGTCAAATTCCTTCCTCGGCGGCGCCAACAGCGCTCGCCCGGGACAACAGCCACCTTTCATGCAGCAGCAGCAGCAGCAGCAATACTCGCCATTCCCGACCGGCCAGCAACAGACGGGCTTTGTTCCCCAGCCTACTGGTTATGGTCCTCAAATGTCTGGCTTGAGCGGCTCCCAGCTGCAGCCTCAACCGACCGGTTTCCCCGCGGGACAGCTGCAACCGCAATTCACCGGCTTCCCTGGCGCCGCTGCCCAGCCATCACACCAGCCGGGCTTGCAACCGCCGGTTCCGCAGCAACCCCAGTTTACGGGGTACCCTCTTCAGTCTCAAGCTCCCCAGATCCAGGCACCCTCGAACACCGGACTTCCCCTCCGACCGGGCTTTCAGACCTCTTCTGAGATAGCAGACTCATTCAGAGATGGAAGCGGCGCGGCCCCCCCGCCGCCCCCTAAATCCTCGGGCAACAAGATCCCCAACATTCGCCTCTCATTCATCACCGCCCAGGATCAGGCTAAATTCGAGCAATTGTTCAAGTCGGCCGTGGGTGATAGTCAGACAATGACCGGTCAGTAGGATTCCATCCTTCCTGTATTTGGTAGTCAAGCAGAGTGTCCTGACATTTTCCACACACTACACAGGTGATAAAGCCAAAGAGCTTCTTATGCGATCAAGGCTCTCGGGTGGCGACCTGTCAAAGATATGGTGAGTACCTGGGGAGAACATGGTTGCTTTGTCACCGCGATGCTGATGGTCCCAGGGTTTTGTCGGACTCCACCAAGTCAGGCCAGCTGTTCTTCCCAGAGTTTGCCCTGGCCATGTACCTGTGCAACCTGCGGATCACAGGTAGAGACTTGCCCGACTCTCTCCCGGAGAAAATCAAAAATGAGGTGTCCAGTATGGTAGACATTATCTCGTTTACGGTCCCTGACACGCAACCGGAACCCGTCGCCCGGACGAACGTGCCAAATTTCGAGGCGCCACTGCTAGAGAACAAATCAGCGCCTCCAGCTCCTCAGCAACCGCAGCCACAGCAGCCTACGAATTCCCAGCTTTTGACACAACTCACGGCCCAGCCTACGGGATTCCCCCAGGCGAATAATTTCCTATCCAACCAAGCCTCCCTCTCCGGCCAAAGTCCAGGCCTCACGGCCCAAGCGACTGGATTTCCTGCGCAGACTCAGCAGCATTCCCTCCAGCCACAGCCCACGGGACTCATGGCCAACCCGCAGCCGACTGGCTATGCCGGCCCTCGTCCCCCTATCCCGCCGATGCCAACGGGCTTCGGATCCGGGCTGAGCCCTGCGCAGACCGGGGGCGTACAGGGTCTGGTCGCTCAGCCTACCGGAATTCCCGGCCAATGGGGTTTTGTCAATGCACCGTCTTCCGGCCTGCCCAATATTGAAGCCTTGAAGCAGCAACTCATGCCACAACCAGGCCGGGAGGGTGGGTTCTCTGCTGTCGGCCTCTCAGGAAATGCCCATATCCCATGGGCAATCACTAAGGAGGAGAAGAAAATCTACGATGATCTGTTCAGAGCCTGGGACGGGTTCCACAAGGGATTCATCGGTGGTGACACCGCCATCGAAATCATGGGCCAGAGTGGCCTGGACCGCCAGGACTTGGAGCGCATTTGGACTTTGGCGGACCCGCATAACAAGGGTCGGTTGAACATGGATGAGTTCGCCGTTGGCATGCATTTGATATACCGGAAGCTGAACGGATACCCGGTACCAAATCGCCTACCACCGGAACTGGTCCCTCCTTCGACGAGAAACCTGAACGACTCTATAGGAACGGTTAAGTCCATGCTTTCGCAAGATGCCGAGTCCCGTAAAGCTTCGGGTGCGTTTTTGCAGCCACAGAAGACCGGCGTGAGCTATCTCAAGGATCACTCTTTCCGTGGTGGCACGGTGTCGCCTGGCTTTGGTCGCAAAGATGCCACGCTCTTCAAAAACAACGACGAAGCTGCTGCTGGCTACCGCTCTAGTGCGCGCCGTCGTGTCGGTAACAACGCGCGCACTCCATCACCCGCCGCCTCATCCCAAGCATCCGAAGAAGAACTGTCTTCTGGACAATTGAAAAAGAAAATTCGTGAGGCTCAGATTATGCTTGACGCGGTGGACTTTCAGGATGAAAACCGCGCCGAAGAAGACGATGCTTTGGATCGTAGAGATCGCCGCGAAGCGGAGAGCTTGATGGACAGAATTCGACGCGTCCAGGACGACATTGACACCCATCCAAATGCCTCGTTCCGCAACCTCGACAATGGGGCCGAAAGACGGACTTTGCGTCGCCAACTCCAGGCCTTTGAGGATCAAGTTCCTCAAGTTGCTTCTGAGGTCCGTCGGGTTGAGCGGGAGATCGCCGAAACCAAACTGGAGTTGTTCCGCCTGAAGGATGCGAAGGTGCATCCTAGCAGTGCATCGAATATTGTTGGTACTGGTCCCGGTGGCATGGTGACAGAGGCCGACCGCATTAAAGCCCGCGCTCGTGCTAGAATGCAGGCCCGCGCTGCTGAGCTTGCCGGAAGACCGGCACCTGCCTCGCAAGACGATGATGGAGCAGCTGCTCGGCGCCTTGAAGCCGAGAGTGCAACCGTCAAGGCAGCCAGAGAGAAGAACGATGCGATGACGCGTGATGTGGAGGATAGCGTCAAAGATTTCGCCCGTGGTCTTGAGGATAGCCTCAAAGACGAAGGGGAAAACTCGACTCGCGAGCATGAACGGCGCCGGTGGGAGGACGCACTGGGCGTGGAAGACATTATCCGTGATTTCATATATGATTTGAAGCGCGGCAGCCGGACTGCGTCTGTTCGTAAAGAAGAGTAAGTTGGCACTAACCAAACCTGCCCAACCCCTCTCCCCTATTACGTATCATAAAATAACACCAACGTACAGAGCATCAAGGTCATCGCCAGCCCAGGAACAACCATCTCATTATCATGAACTGGCAGGGGATAGAACGGGCACCGTTCGCCCTTCCCCTCCGCCGTCAACTGGCTCCCCGGCATCGTTGCCTGGATCTACCCATGAAGACCGAGTGGCCGCAGCCAGAGAACGTGCGCAGAAGCGCATTGCCGAACGGATGGCGGCGGCTGGTCTCAAGCCCCACAGTGATTCGGCAGAGACCCTTCTTCAACGTCAAGAACGGGAAAAGAAGGAACGCGAAGAACGACTGCGACGTGCCGAAGAAGAGGACGCGAAGCGAGAGCAAGAAAGGCAGCTTCGCCTAGCCGAAGAGCAGCAAGGCTCGACATCGCAATCTACCAAACCACCTGGCAAAAAGCCCCCACCGGCGCCGCCTTCAAGGAGAATTCGCACGGACAGTGCGGGTCAGGCTGATGCGAAGAAAGCAGCTGAAGACACGGCCAAAGTAGATCAAGCCGCCCAGGAACAAGCTCTCAGGGAGGAGCAACAGGCGCAAGAGCAGGAGAGGAAGCAACTTGAGTAAGTGATAAGTCCCTTGCTATCCTCCGAGGGGGGCCATATTTGCGCCTCGGCTGCCCTGGAAGGTGGAGTACTTACACTAGATTGTACATCTAGGATCGAGGCCAAACAACGGGAAGATGAATTCGCAAGAGAAAAGCAGGCACAGGAGGCTCGCTTACGTGCACTTCAGGAACAGGTCGAGCAGGGCAAGATTAAAAAACAGGAAGAGAAACGTCGAAAGGAGGAGGCCGATCGGCAGGCAAGAGAGCAGGAAGCTAGGCTTTCAGCTCAACGAGCTGAGCTGGAGATGGCCAGAGAACGGGAGCGACAGCTTCAATTGGAATTGGAAGCTATGGACGAGCAAAGCTCTTCCGACGAAGAGGGTCCGGCCAATATCACGCCACAGGATAGCACGCCGACCCAGACGACAAAGGCTTCCTCCCCCCCTGTCTCTTCCGCTCCGGTGATCGCTGAGCCAACAACCCAGGACTTTCCTAGTCCTGCTAGCTCCCCATCCAGTAGTCGCGCCGGACCTGCGGGCCTGAATCCGGACGCCGAGTCAAAGAACCCTTATTTCAAGAAGATAAATCAGACCAGCGACGGCCAGGCTGCTGCGAACTCATCTCCTCAGGTCGCCATCGCCTCCCCCAAGGCTGACGCTCCGTCTACCAACCCTTTCCACCGTCTGACCCAGCAGCAAGAGACCACCAAACCCACATTTACCGCGCCAGGTCCGCTTGAGCGCAAGACTCGAGCGCGTCCCGAAGCAGACGACGATGATTGGTCCGCGGCAGGCTCGGACTTCGATTCATCTGACGATGAGGATGAGCGGGCGGGCGGCGGTAGTGCAAAGCAGCTTGCCAGTATCCTGTTCGGTACTATGGCACCTCCGCGACCTCTCTCTGCCATGGATGACAAGTCCCCCTCCAAATCGTCCACTCCTGTGCAGGATCACCCAGCGGTGCCTGAAACGGACACCAATACACTTTCCGCCCCTGGCGCGGCTGCGCCTCCGCCGCCTCCGCCGCCGCCACCACCACCACCACCGGCGGCCCCTGCCCCCGCCCCGGCTGGTGACTTTGGGGCTCCCCCTCCACCGCCCCCTCCGGGCGCTCCGCCAGCTCCGCCGCCGCCGCCAGGAATTCCTCCGCCTCCCGCTCCTCCCTCCGCATCTACGGGGCCAAGTGATCGCGGCGCCTTGCTAGCTTCCATTCAAGCAGGCAAGGGACTGAAAAAAGTCCAGACAAACGATCGGAGTACTAGCTCCACGGCAGGTCGGGTCCTGGTCTAAAGGTGCCGTTTTGTCATTCATTAGCATTTGTTGCTCTCGCTGTCGGCGACAGTAGGTTGCCAACAGAATGAAAGTAATCGCGCCCATAATATTCCCTTGCATATTCTCTCCAGGTTTAATCTTACTGTATTTTGCCATGTCAAGCCTTGTCAAAATTTGTCAATGTAGAAAGTATTGTTATAATTCAGATATTTCAAGGGCACTTATGTGTGATAGTTGCACAAGATCCATGTATCCATCTTTATATATCCTCGCTATACATATCCGGGGGAAAGTTCCACAAGTTCTATCACGAGTATTTGGTTTGAAATAAGGAGTGGGAAAATGGGAAGAAAGGAATGAGAAACCATGAAAACAGCACTGGCTATAATAATAGAAAAAAAACGAAGAAAGAAACAAAAACAGCAAAAGACACAGGGTAAATAAATTCGTATCATGACCTATAAACAGCTCAAGCTACAAGCTCAGCAATCACATTAGCCAAGGTGCTAATGCACCATAAGATGACAAGACCCCAGCCAATTTTTCGATCCATTCTCCAATTATTCAGAGGAATCACGATCAATAACCCCACAAGGGTAAGTAAAAGTGTTGCGCCACTGATGACAAGAACTTTTGAAATGGCAATTTCGTAAGATCCTCCGGTTGCAACTATCGATTCTGGGTTTGCATTCAGTGTCATATACAGACCACCCAATCCGATTCCTAGAAGGATGTTTAACATGGGTCCGCCGAAACAGGCACTAAGAGCCATGACCGGATAACCAAGCCGTGCAACGGTGATGTCTGCAACCAAATCGCCGAGGGAATTTCCAACAGCAAACACGGTTAAACCGAGGAGAGAATCGCTGATGTTCAAAATCACCCCCACCGTCTTGAGGAGACTGACAACTTCCGTGGCTATAGTTGCAATCCAAAATATGGCGACCATGAATCCGAGTAGGGCTAGGAAAGGGCGCCATGCGTTGGGAGTGTGCGAGTGGTTACCGCGTCGCGTGCTCAAGAGGAGGGAAGTGAAACACACAAGGGAAAAAAGCAGAGAACACAGAAATGGTAGCAGTAAGTTGCGGAGTTTGAGCTCGGGATCCACGGCCGTCCAAGATATCAAAGTCACAAAGAAAGGGCCGGAGAAAAGCTGTATCCAAACAAGCCATTGGCAATGTTCTTTTGTAGAGACTGGTGATGTATCTGGCTGATGTTGGACAGCGGGCAACTCAGAGTCCCAGCGTCGCCGATTATGCGATGGCTGCGTTTTGTTGGTTTGATTTGTCGTCTCGTTGGTGCTGGACCCCCGATCAACAGCGCAAATGAGTGGACTGTCATCTGGAAGCCTCACGAGAGGCGCTGTTGAACTCTCGCCGTCCGTTGGGGATACGACAACGGCGACTGGTCCTGTTTGCGTTTGAGGCTGTATGGGTTCTACTACAGGCAGGGTTATAGTCAATAGCAATACACTGGGCGCCGCTGCGAGTCCCAATAACCGCTCCCAGAATGATTTAGCTTTCCACCCATCCAGAGTGGGGAAAAGCGTTGAGACAATTGTTCGAGCAGGCAAGGCGGCCCAAGCAGACCACCATTTTGTTTGGACTCGAGGTCGAGAACATCCGTCGTCGAAGACACTGTCATGAATTTGAAGCAACTGTGTAGGGCTTGAAGCAGCGGGCAAGCGTAGGCTTGGAGGCCTAGAAGATGCCGATCCTGGTATATCAAGCGCAGGAAATGGGCTGGTCGGAGTCCCCCTATCAGAGCCACCGGGAGATAGTGAAGTCCCACGGGGGGACAGCGGAAGGGGAGATTGCGAGTGACATGCTTCAGTCTGATAGTTAGGAGACCGAAAAGCATCTGGAGGTGCAAGTAAAGAAGGAGTATGAGGTCGGGTCCCTACCACAGGACTTAGACTAGGCGACGAATGTCCCGAACGAGGGGTCGAAACTACTAATTCTGTGTTCGTGTCGGCCTGATGGGCCAGTGGTGTATTTGAACTATCACCCATTGGTCGACTCACGGTGACAAGAGGGCGTGTCACGGAAGGATCGAGCACGCTGGTATCCAATCTCAACCCGGCAGCGTCGTTGGCAGACACGGCCCGAATACGCCCGGGACCAGTTGCACCATGGGGTGAGAGATGGTCCACGGACGATCTGCTAGCCCTTGGGTGGGATGCGACCGAAATATTGTCGCACGTGTGTGATGAGTCCTGCGTTTCATAATCGCGGTTGTCCGAGTATCTTGGCAGGTTGATCGGGACGTTTTGATGAGTGCTCCTCGATCGCTGTAGAGACGAAAGCACCGACTGAAACTCCAAGGCGCCGACAAGACTAGGTCTGATTGGGTTCAAGGTGTTGCGCCTGCGCACAGAAGGGCGAATAACATGCATGTTGTCTCGTATTTCGGCCAGGTAGCGGTTGCGAGTCTCGTCATCCTCGTCTCCATCTTTCCAAGCAGGCATGTCGGCCCTTTCCAAAGAATCAAAGTCCACGCCGTGAAGAAGACTTGTTGACTCGGACGCCACTCCGGGATCATCGTCTTCCACTTCCTCGATCTCCAATTCTTGATTGTCTGGGATATGAAAGTGTGACCGGGCCGCTAGGTTTCTTTCATAGACTCGTCGTTTCCGTACGATGTACCAGTGCCAGACCACAACCAGACCCACATAGAAGCAATACAGCCCAACCATCGTGGCGGCCTCCCAGACGTGAAGGCGACCGTCCGCTAACAGCAACATGCTAAAACAGACAGCCACGATGAAATACCCGACATCTCTTACAAAGCTTCTCCGAGCGACCTTGAACGGGCGAACCAGCGCCATCGAACCTGCGACCACGGACGTGATAAAGCTTGCAGCCCCGAGTAGCTCACCAATAGCCAAACTGCCGCTGTTCGACCGCATGGCAGCGAATGTGGAGAAAACATCGGGACTTCCATTTCCAAAAGCCAGGAAAGTGACGCCAGTCAAGCTTTCACTCAGCCCGAGAAAGCTAGCCAGGGTGCTCAAGTCAATACAGAGAAAGTCGCTGGCGGCGATCCCAATGGTACTGAAGAGCAGAGACAGCCACAGAATAAGAATGCCAAATGCAAGCGGCTTGACGTCTGCAAGAGTACAGTAATAGAATTGGAGGTAGGAGAAAAAGCCATCTTCATGATCTGGGCAGTTCATGCGGACAAAGGAGCATTGATCTTTTGCGTCACGAACAAGACGGCACTGAAACAAATCAGAGCAAATAAAATCGTCAGCATCATGAGGAAATGATGAGCAATCGAGCTCTACGACATCAGGGAAAGGGAGAGAAGATTATGATAAGAAAGGCAATCAAACCGTACCTCCAATTCATTACTCCGTCCAATGACCCCATGGGTATTGGGACCGGCCAATTGCCAACTGCGTGTTATGAGCCGGGTAGCAAGACTTTCGTCCCCGCGATCAAGAGCCCATTTGAAGACAGCGAGACTAGTGAACACCAGTATAGTCAAGTAAAATGGTCGGGCCGAATATCGGCGATTCTGGCGGGTCACGGGGCGACTCCCGCTCAGCGTCAGTACTCTGGACATGGTGGAAGATGCGGCAACAGTAGCATCATGGGCAGTAGAGAAAAGCGTTGCCAGCGGAGGACGGGAGCCCAGGAGGGAGAAGTTGGAAAGGCTGCAAGGGAGAGAAAGAATTAGCGGGCAGCAGCAAACCGATTCCCGATGCGGTGAGTGAGTTGGTTGATTCGCAAGGAATTATCGAGCGAGCTCGGTGGCAGAAGGACGAGCCATGCGGGAAATCGTGGAGTCGCTCAGCGCAGTGCGCTGCTCACTCACTCTTGTCAGATACTACTCTGTCTCCTAGCCACTGATGTCAAAAGAGTGGAGACAGTGGCTTGTCAGGTCATTGGAGGAGCGATGAGGCTATGCTCGTCGGCGGATAGGAATAGACGGGGTTGTGACAAATGAAGATCCCCCAAACGATCCATTGAAAAGACGACGTCAGGCCTGATGGTATCCGCATGGGTGAGCGCTGGTACGAACTCGAGCGTGATGGTTGTCGTCAGTCAAGAAGGAAGAGAACAGCGAACCTCGCAGGGCACAACGGAGTGGTCACGTCACATGCCCGAGCGCCTACCCGATCGGGATATATCGCATCACGTGGGCGCTGGTACCGGATGCGGCTAGTCGCTGCGCTGTGGGCGACTCTGCGGCGCCGTATGTTTTTGTTGATTTCCTGCTTCAAAGAGAAACAAAACCGTCCGCAAAGTGGCGCATCGCAACAGCCTCGTTGAGTCCCGACGCAACGCGCCCTCCCCCCTCGAGATGAAAAGCTGTTCTCCCCACCACTAAACCCTCCTTTTCTCGAATTCCAGAAATCGCATTCGTCAGACCGCCGAGAAAGGGATAAAGACAGTGTTGAATCAACCCTTGCTGCCAGGGGAAATCGTCCACAATGCCCCGCGTCGCAAACCCCAGGCATCGCCGTTCCGGTGGTGGTGCTTCCACCCCCCACAAAAACTCGCCTTTGAAGTAGGTATTGATCTAAGGCGTCTCGTGTCTGTCCCCTTGGATGGTCCAGGCTGATGGCATTAGAATCCCCCTCAATGATGACTTGGGTGAGAAGGCGGCCCGCATGGAGGCCCGTCAAGCGCGCCATGATCGACAAATGGACCAGATCAAAGCCGCAGTGAAGACACCTATGCCTCCCCGCAGATATACGAGTTATGAGCGCGCATCCAGCATGAGTCCGGTCACACCCCGAGGGTCAGGTCACCGAGGTCGAGAGAGCGATGTAGATGGCCGAAGAGCCGTGACCCCGATGAAGCGGGTCCCCATTCTGGCCAACTTTGAGGAATGGATGAAAATGGCAACCGACAACAAAATCAATGCGAACAATTCGTGGAACTTTGCTCTCATCGATTACTTCCATGACATGTCCCTGCTGAAGGAAGGCGATGGCGTGAATTTTCAAAAGGCCAGCTGCACCTTGGACGGCTGTGTGAAAATTTATACGAGCAGAGTTGATAGTGTTGCTACGGAGACTGGGAAGCTCCTCAGTGGATTGGCCGATAGTCGCGATAGAAAAGCCCGCGAAGCCGGTGCAGATGGGGAGGAGGTCGATGATGAAGATGAAGAAGGCGAGGAAGGAGCGACAAGAAAGAGTCGACGGAAGGTATAGTACTCTATCAAGGCCAGTTCGGTACCAGATCGACTGACTGAAAATATGAAGCAACGCTCCCATGAGGCGACATTGGCACCGTCTTTTGCTGCCCTCCAACTCAAAAAGTTCGAACTTGAGTTCTCGGTCGACCCATTGTTCAAGAAGGCTTCCGCAGATTTCGACGAAGGTGGCGCCAAAGGATTGCTTCTTAACCATTTGGCGATCGATGGCCAAGGACGGATAGTGTTTGATAGCAGCGATGATGCTGCCGAAGAAAGCTCAAAGGAAGCAGAGAGTACACGTCAGAATTCAGAAGAGCCTGAACGACCAGACTCGCCTTCCCCTTCAAGGGAATCTCCCGGTGAGGTGTTTGAGGATAGTATGGATATCGATATCACCCCGCTGGCCAACCAATTCTTCCCCGATCTAGAGCGACTTGAGGGGCAGGACATTTGCCCGTCGTTGAAGAACTTTGATCTTGGAGATCCGAGCGGATCGATAGATATCCCTTTTCTTAAGGCACCCGAAGACTGGCGAAATGAGAAGGGTAACGAGCAAGGTCGCAACTTGAACGATGCATCTGGAATCATGCTTGATGATGACAATGCTGTAGGGTTCGACGATGATGATGATGCCACTTTGGCTGGATTTGACCTCACTGGGGACGCCGGCTTCGGCGATGGTGGAGAAGTATGGGCTCGTGAGGCCGCACTCGAACCAATGCTCAAAGTTCATCGGGTAGACCGGGATGGCGATGAGAACCAGGACGGCGAAGAAATTGACAACGATGACGCATATGCCATATCTCTTACTCACCAGCCCGACAATCGAGATCACGAGAATATCCTCAGTTATTTTGACAATGCCCTGCAGAAGAACTGGGCAGGGCCAGAGCACTGGAAAATCCGGAAAATCAAGGAGCATGCGGCCGCCAACACTGCGAATATGGCACCAAAGCAGCGCAAAGAGAAGGAGCCCTTCGAAATCGACTTTGGTGCGCCTCTGGATCCGTCCATGGCCGAGCTGATTTACACTCCCGCTAGCTCCAACTCCACCATCTCCTTGCCCAAAACGCAATGGAAAACCAAAGGTCGCAACCTACTTCCTGATGACAAACATTTCAATTCACGGCAATTACTCCGCCTGTTCCTGAAGCCAAAAGCCAGGATGGGCTCCAAGCGCTTGGCGGGGTCTCGACAGTTCAATCATCGACGCCCAGATCAAACATCGGGCAGTGGAGACATGGACGAGGCGTTCTGGGCGAACCATAAATCTGAAGCGGACGCAGAGCCTGGTGAAGAAGGCGCCCCCGGAGCATATGATGCCAACTTTTTTGCAGACGATGACGGTCTTGCATTCCCGAACGGCATCGATTTGGGTGACGATGACGACGACAATCTCCCGTTTGCCGACGCCAGAGAGATGCTATCTCCACCCGCCGATGGGACTGCAGGGTCTTCGGCTGGAGAAGCAGGCGGTGCTTCCGGCCTGGCGGCGCTTCTCAACATGGTCGGATCAACGCCTGGTTCGGGCCTACAGAACGGTGCTGGCGGATTTGGGTCACAACTTGTAACGCAAGGTGGTCGAAGAGCGCGACCCGATTATGTAGCCTATGCACGGGTTGCAAAGAAGGTCGATGTGCGGCGCCTCAAACTGGAGATGTGGAAGGGCATGGGCGACCGATTGATCGCCGCCACGCACTTCGACACTCCCCAAGAAAGCACTGCCAACAGCCCTCCGGAGACCTCTCAACCCGACGGAACGCCAACACCCACGCCACTAGACAACCCCTTGGACCAGGTGGATGACAACGAGAGTAATCGACTGCGCTTCACACATGTCATGAATTCTCTGAAGTCGGTCTATGCTCCAGATACGCTCCGTGACATCAGCACCTCATATGGGTTTATTTGTCTGCTTCATTTAGCCAATGAACAAGGACTTGTCTTGCAAAATGACAACCGTCCTGGTGGCGACGGCGAGGCTAAGCTGGAAGAAATCTTTGTTGTGAAGGATGCCAACGCGATCATCGAGGAAGGGGCTATATAACATAAGACATCATGGATGAAAACATTGTTTTTCCTGGGTTCAACGGCTATGTTATGTTCTATGAGGTATGCTGTATGGGTTGGAGTTTACGCAGGCTTGGAATTTGTGCCGCGGGTGGAGTTTCTTAGGTCATTTCTCCTTGATGAATGGCGTTTGGTCAGGCCCTTAAACTGGCCCTTTTCGTTGTTTTGTCCTTTTCCCTTCACTTTGGAACAGAGGGTAGTCCTCGGGAGACCCAGTTTCTCATGTACCTGTTATATTTTTTCGGATCTAGCCCTACAGCTCCAAGGGTCGTACATAAATTACGTGCAATTTCTGTGCCTTTGGCTTGTCACCATAAATTGAGAATATTGGGGCAAAGTAACCGGGGAAAGGGAGGGAGATTAGTAGTAGTAGTAGTAGTAGTAGTAGTAGTAGTAGTAGTAGTAGTAGTAGTAGTAGTAGTAGTTGTTGTAGTAGTAGCAGCAGCAGCAGCAGCAGCAGCAGCAATAGATGAGATGGTATAAGTAACATGACGTAACTAAAAAGCACAACCAAAAAAAAAAAAAAAAAAAAAAAAAAAGAAAAGAGAAATTTAAAAGAAAAGGCTAAGAGAAATAAACATCAGATACTACTTGTCCACACCACCTGTCAGAAATATGATGGGCTGCGAGGAGCCGAGAATCCGCAAGTCCTGAGCTGATGCTGACCATTATATTTGCAAAGATCTGCATATTTGCAGGCTCATATTCCACTCTCCAACCCGAACAAATCCACCAGCCGATAGTAAGACTCTTATTGTTGTGGTCCATGAGGAAATCCAGGGCTCATCGGACTTGCATAGGCGCCTGGGATTGGGACGGCTTCGTAAGTCCTCTCACCGGGAGCAGCACCCATATGTTGGGGAGGACCCTGTATTGACGCAGCCGCAGCAGGAGGGGCGGGGAACTCCTCCTGTGCAGATTTGGGAGTTGCATGCTGCACGCGAACTGGGGGCGGCTGCAGCTGAAACGTGGGTTGCGGCCGGGTTGGGGATCTAGGCGTAGCAAATTGGGTTGAGCACGATTCTCCATTTTCCGCCGCAGAATAAGGGTCCTGGGGGATCGAGGTAGATACAAGGGGGGTCTTTGCGGTGTGAGGAAAGCCAGGAGTGTTTGGCGCAGACTGGAGGCGAAGCTGGGCCAGATACAAGTCGGATCTAGCCTTGTCGCGACGATCCATTGACTTGGCAAGCCGTCGCTTGGTCCAGAAACGATAAAATACCACTGCATAGATCAGGATAATCAGAACTTCGAGAACTATTTCGATGATGGCGCACACCAGTCCCCAATCCTATGTGGAAAGTCAGCAAACCGATTATCAATCGTTGGACAAGCCGCATCATCAGCGGCCAAACGCACCTGGAGACGGCAAAGAAGAGCATAATCAATATCGCTGTGGAATAATTCCTCCCGAGTGTTCTTCTTGCAAGACCAACCCCACAGGTCCTGGCCGTTGCCGGTGGCTTTGTCGTTCTGGTAGAGCGCAGCTGCAACGACCCACATGATCAGACTGAAAGTGAAGAAACAGACCGAAAAGATTGAGTAGTACACAGCGACTTTCTCAGCACGTTTGTGGCCGCCCTTCCAATAGCCCCAGAACACGACCAGACATGCCAGCAGCGACACGCAAGCCACCGACAGAAGCAGGTACTGTGTCCACGGATTTGTGCCGTTGGCCCAAGCCGGGAAGCCACTGCGCGATGGCAAGGACTTTGTGGCGTGAAATATGGTCAGAGTAGTTGCCAGGATGGTAAGAACAATCAGACTGCACGAGAAGTTCACAAAGCGAAGGAAGATTTTCGCAACTCGCACCCGGAGTTTAATGCGCTGTATGTCAAATCATATGCGTCAGGATTGGTCCAGGCTATGGTCATGGTTTGCACACTTACCAGGTCTCTAGCGTTCTCTTTATCCGCCGACCTCTCTTGCTTCTCGACGTAGAACTCTTCCCGAAAGGTTGGGCTGAGTGGGTTGAGCGTGCGTCCGGGTGTTCCTGGGACCTTCAAGGCACTCTTCAGGGGTGAGGCTGGTGGGACCTGGTGTGATGCATGCTGTGCAGGATCGTTTGCCGCAACATATCCAAACCCTACATCAGACACGTCTGGAGGTGCCTGGGCCTGGTTGGAGGGATCGGCAAACGGGGAACTGCGCGTGTCTGCAGGACCAGTCGGGGAATAAACCGCCGTTGCCTCCGCAAAGCGAGCCGTCCTCGGACTCTTGAGCGATGAAGACGAGGTGTCCGATGAGTTTCGGTCCTCCACGGTAGGTTGTAGCACTGGCGCCATTTGTCTATGATTGTGACCTCGAACAATGTCCAAGGGGGTAACCGGTTCGTAGGTGTGAGTAGAGCTCTTTTGGCTTTCACCGGATATCGACATCGGATAGGCAGATATATCAGGAACCAGGAGAGCCAGCTCTCGACGATCCTATTCTGCCACTTTGATTGCACGCGATGATCTCTTGGAGACGGAGAATGTATAGCTGCTGACAATGCACGGCGTGCTCTTGTTTCAATCCAGCTCCATGCGCTACCTTCGGGGCCGGTCGTCAGTTTGGAGTCGCAAAGACGGACGGGGTCACTCACCAATGGTCCGGTCGAGACGGTCCCAACACTGTTCTTTGCCGACTAGGTATGTCGTGGGAAAAAATGCCCTGCGAATCCTGCGCTGGTCGAACCAAGATACAGATGTAGAACGACGCAAAGTACGGATGAGAGAGGGCGGGAGAGAAAGAAAGAAAACGGTAGAGAGACTACGATCGGACCAGGCCATTTTTGAACGGAGTGAGCAGCCTGGATATCTATGAGAACCGTCCAGCGGCGGGGGAGACTTGCAACGGCCGTGTGAAGGGCAGAGGTAAGCGCCGGGAAACCTGCAGAGCAACGACGGCAAAGGCTTTGATTGGGGGAAGGGGAGGGCAGGGGAAATGTACGGATGCGCCATCCAGGTGGTGATAGGAAGAGACAGGGTCAAGCGGCACGATGACTGGATGTGAATGTGCATCACTAGCGCAATCATCCTGGCTTATCACAGCGGGGGAGAGGGAGCCCATCACCCTCGTCCTTTAGCTTCTTCCCATGCAGGTCTGATCACCACAGGAGCGAGTGAGCCCGTTGTTTGGCTCCCTCTTCCCGGCGCCAATGCTGATCGCCTCGTAGAATAGCCAACCAGAAAGGCTGCAGACGCGCCGGACTTGAGAGCGAGGGAGAGGGGAGAAGAGGCACTGCGTAGGGAGTAAAGGTAGATGGTCGGGTTAAAGATGAACAGGTTCAATTCAATCGACAGCTCTACATAGTTCAGGTTGGTCTATGTACGGTCATCTTCTCGGGGAAAAGGGGGAAAGGACGAAATTTGGACCAACTGGTTAACCGGGGGGGCAAAATATGATATGAACATGCATGGGAGATGGAGACATCGGGACAACAGAGAAAGAGCGCAGTTTAAGCGCCTGCAACTGTGATCACACTGCGGATGACTAAAGGCCCCCGGGGATCCTGGAAAAATACCTCGTCCTTTGCCTTTTTGGGAAGCGCGGCGCCAGCAGAATTCGCTCTCTTGTTCTTGTTCTCTCTTTCTTGCTCCCTCTCCTCGCTCTCTCCTCGCTCTCTCCTCGCTCTCTCCTCGCTCTCTTTTCTCTCTCTCTCTCTCTCTCTCCCTCCCTCTCCCACACAAAATAAACCAGACTTCATTCTGGATGGACTAATGACATGGCCATTTGGGGTCATGGCAAACTATATTAATATTCCGATCTAACTGACCTCCAGCCTATCACAACTTCCGTTGATTTGACTTGACAGTTATGCGATCGTCGTTCCGTTCGAGTTCAGGATTTCCAGAAGAGAAACCTCATCTGGATGAACCCCGGGAGATATTGACTCTGGAGTACACCGTGGCTCAGCTTTGGTGGATTGCGGCGGGCAGTGTCCAGCCACCCATCCCCACCCGATTCTACGCCGTACGGAGTAGTACCAGGCTTCAATCATTGTTACGTTTCACGATGGCAACGGGCAAGCACCGCCTCCGTAGCATGGCCACTCCGGACGTAGTCGAACCAGGACACGACTGTGCTGCGCCTCCCGTGGACTTTAAAAAAAGCAGCCCGCTAGCCGGGACGGGTTAGCGCTGCCGCTTGGGGGAGGCGTCATTACCCAGGTAGGCAGGTACGCTGGTACTGACCCGGCTGGTCATGACCGTTCCGTTACCACAGTACCGTCGGTCCGATCCATTTTCCGACCGCAAACTCGCCGGTCGAGTTCAGAGCCGCCTGGAGCCTGGTCACGGCTGGTATCGCCCACATCCTCCAGCCACTTCTTCTGCCTTTCCTCGTGTCAACTCCAACATCTCTCTCTCTCCTTCCCTTTCCCTTTCCCTTTCCCTCTCCCTCTCCCTCTCCCTCTCCCTCTCTCTTGATCTCTCTTGCTCTTTTGCTCTTTTGCTCTCGCTCTCTTGGGTCAGGTCCGCTCTGCTCCTTGGGTCAGCTTGTGTCCCTTTCTTTCGTCTGCATCCCGTCCGGCTGAATTGGTCTGCCAAAACCAGACCCTCTCCGCCTCCGCCCGTCCCTCTCCCAAACATAACAGTCCGACCGACTACCCTAACTTGGTCACTGCATCATCAGCTCCTGGACCCATCGGCTCATCCATGCCTCTCAACCCACGGACAACAGCCTGTTTTCCATTATTCTCCTACATCTGGATTTTGATACCGTAATTATCTCGCTCTCTTCCTTTGCCTCTCCTTCTAATTCCGTTTTTTACATTCCGTTAATTTCGCTCCTTCTATTTCCCCCCCCCCTCTTCTTGTCTTGTTCTTGTTCTAAGTTTTATTTTACTTTGTATTATTTTATTTTATTGTATTTTTTTTTTTTTTCGGTCAGCCTCGTGAATGAGGCTTGGTCAAATCTGTACCCTCCCCCGATCTCTTCCTTCCCGAGAATCGCAAGATCCCCCTTACCTTCACTCTGTTATAGGTGTTTCGCCTGACCTCGACGATTAGTTACTTTGTTACCCGTTGATTATTTGTCAGACGGTTGGTGTTGCATCGCCTCTTTTCTCCCACCCCTTTTTACAACAACCGCTTAGTCCCGGCTTCTCCTGCAGCCTAACTAAGCACCTTCACTCTGCCAAACATCCGTCACGGATTCACCAGATGGGTTGACCCCCCCAGTCCACCCGATCGATCTTCGGTTGATAGCAGTGTCGAGCGTTTTGTTTCAAATCATCCTGCAAGCACCACTGCTATTTTTGTCTTCCTGCAAGGCCCCAGCTTTGTATACCGGTGGGACCCGATCGTCTGACAAGGCGTCGCAAAAGCTGAATCTCCGTCAGCTTGCGCCACACTTCAGGTGAGCGCCATCCATCCGCCTCTCCTTCTCATCGCTCTGCTTCATTCCTCTCATCTCGGATTCTCCGTGTCAACATCCTGTATTCTTGTGGTTCATATTCTCTCTCCCCCTCCCTTTCCTTTTTCTTTTCCCCTTTTCCAGGTGTTGCTTGTTTCTCTTGGGTGGCTTTCATTCCGTGACCCTTCCCACTGCACGGTGAATTGCTGACATGAGCTCCGCCGAAGTAGCTTCTTCATTCTTTCGTCAACCACTCTTGGCTGGCGTCAAACATCCATTATCCATGGCTACATTGATGCAATCGAACAACGAACCTGCCGCCATCTCCAACCCTTTAACTGGGACATCCACATCGATCATCTCCAACCCGTCCGATTCTATTGCTTTTCTGAAGCAAACGAAAGCAGATTCGAACCTGACCTCTATCGCAAGCGCTGGACTGAACGTCTCTCGATCTCGAGACTCATTACCGCCGATAACAGCAGTTCCATCGGCGGTCAGTCCGACGGATCGGATAATGGAGCATGAAAAGGAACCGGAGCGAAACAGCTCGCAAGTGGCAAGGGAGGCTTTAGGCGCCAGCGAAAAGCAGCAGGGCACGCCAGGAAATGATTCCATACAAATAGCCTCCGAGCAGATGCAGGTCGATTCGCAGGCATCCCCTAACAATGCGTCCGATGCATTCGGGACCTCCGAGAATAATACGTCACTTATGAACACATCTACTGTCGCCAGTCCCGGTCCAATAGAGGACTCCGTTTCCCACGATGGGGAACGTTCAGGCCATCGCGATGAGGTTGAAATGCCACAAGATACGAGTAACAAGGCCTTCTCCTACCCCATGCCCACAACCAGCCTCGGTGACCCCCGTCGCGGTCTCAGTCTGCCTGGTTCCGGGTTCCACAAAGGTGGACAACGCTCGCCCTCGACGAAAAAGCACCGTTGCCCCTACTGTGCAACCGAGTTCACAAGGCATCATAACCTCAAAAGCCACCTTCTAACCCACAGCCAGGAGAAACCGTATGTTTGCCAGACATGCCAATCGCGATTTCGCAGACTTCATGATCTAAAGCGGCACACGAAGCTCCATACAGGCGAGCGGCCACATATCTGTCCGAAATGTGGGCGTCGATTTGCTCGGGGCGACGCTCTGGCTCGCCACAACAAGGGCCAGGGGGGCTGCGCTGGGCGCCGGGCGAGTATGGGCAGCTATGCCCCTGATGACGACTTCGGCGATGCGACCGGCCCTGGGGGTGCGGATGACGCGATGGACGGTTTAGTATATGCCGAACCAGAGCGCATGGATGAGGAAGACGAACGGCGAGTTAGCATGCCCAGCATAAAGAAACACGATGTACCCACAGAATCCATTGCCCGCTCCAACACTGCGACAAGCTATCAGTCGCGACAGCCGAGCACATACCCTCCGATTGCCGCAGGCCGACCCTCTCCTGGGGGTTTATTCCCCCCTCCCACAAGTCATGGGGGCTCCAGCGCATCGACATCTCCCATCTCTCAAACTGGCAATATGACATTTCCCCCTCCAGGCCAGACTTCTGGAGCTTCGGTATTTCAGTCGACAAACATCACAGAAAGCCCGAAGCCGCTTTCGCCCAACGCCCTGCCTTCTCACCAATTAGGACCGGGTCCGGATGGAATCCAGCTCCATCGCTCCCATTCTCCTGGCCTGGCTTCGTCATTCCCCCAGCAACCGTACACCAGAGCAGTGCCTTCTCAGACGTCCACCGCCAACCATGCTTCTGGGTTAGGTCTTCCTCCTCCCCAGCCGGGGGCGCCTCAACTGCCCCCTCCGCCCGGCATGAATTCTGAATCCCGTTTTCCGCTTCACGCCCAAGGATCTGTCCAGCCGCCAGGTGCCAAACATCACTCGTCGCACAGTCATTCTAGTAACCACAGTGGACCTTTGGTGTCCAAAACAGGCCAAGAAGTGGTAACCAGCAATGGCGGTCATCATCCGAGTGCTCATGACTCGAGCTACAATGACCAGGCCCGGGATCGAGAAGATTCGCTATGGGCATACATTCGCTCTGTCCACGAAGAATTAGCCGGACTCAAAACCGAAGTCGCCGCCTTGAGGGCGCAAATAGCGTCCTCGAACGTCAACACGTTAACCGCATCCAGTGCCAGCGCTGCCCAGCCGCAGTACGAAGCGGGCACCGTCGGCACCGCACAACGATGAATGACTGCGCCGTTCAGAAGACCCCTCTCCCTGATCCTCTGGCATTCATTTGCGACCCCCTACCATGATCTATTCATCTGTGTTTTTAATATTCTCTCCATCAAAGCCTTATGCCGTTAATGATTCCAACCTCCTATAAGCCCTCGCCGCGACGCAAAGGGTCTTCCATCTCTTGCTCATCACCTTTCAGGTACCAATATCTTTATCTCATGCTTATGTCATTATACACCCGCCGTTTGCCACCCTCATTTCTACCTTCTTATACATACGTGGATATAGTGGTTTCCTATTGCCACATGACGCTGGCTACCGGGTCAAGCTCTCCTCTAAAGCGGATCCTTCTGCTTTGCTTAGCCCTTTGTCTTAACATTCCCGCCCTATTCTTTTGCACGGATTTAGCAGTATTCCTTTCCAGCTGTTTGTTCCGATATTTTGCCTTGCTTTTTTTGATAGTCAGGGGAACTTGGAGTCTGGGTTAGGAGCATTGCTGTAATACGATCTTTTTCTTTTTTTTTTTTTTTTTTTTTTTTTTTTTTTTTTCATTTGGCTGTTCATACTTGTGAAATACAACCTGGGTGGTTCTTTCGAGTTTCCAAAAGCGAGATTCCTTTCGCAGGGAAGCAATACTTCTTGAAATAGGGATTCCGAGAAACCCACTACTTTGAATTCCTTTGACGAGTTTTCACGTAGGCCCGTGCCCTCATCCCAGACCCCCTAGGACTCGTCATGTTTATCTTACGGGTCGAGTAGCTCTTCGCCGAGCCGTCCAAGCGATGAACAGCCCCACGTCCGCCACAATGGCTTTGGGAACTCCGCCCAGTGTCCAACTCCGCTGTATCCACCGGGGGATCGCCCCGCCCGCGTCCGACGTAGTTGCCATAGTCCACTTGAGCCGGTCTGCATCCAAAACTACCACCTGCTCCACACTTGCGTACGAGGCGAAGATGGTACCGCGAGGCGCCGAGGCGGCAATCTTGGCGTGAAGTGCATCGGGAAGAGAACCCGGATGGTGCGCGAGGGGGATCTGGACAGTTACAAACCCGCTGGCGGTCTGCTCTGGGAGGTGGGCGGAGATCGAAAGGGAGATGAAGGAACGAGGAGATATCAAGGCGGTCGGATGGAAGGTGTGAGTAATCACATTGACTACAGCGGAATTGGTCAGCCCCCATCGTCAGTTCCATATAGATAACAAGCACGGCGACATGCCTTGCATATCCACGTCCCTCCAGCCACCTTCGATCTCTCTCTCGGAAGGCCACTCCAGCACTCGGTCCACCGCCGTCACACTCGGGGTGTAAGCCATCTCGTTCTCGGCATGGTTCGTTTTCAGCCCCTCCTGGAATTCCTTCCAGGACGCCGAGCCGTCCACCGACGCGTCGGTGTGGATACTATTTCGGCAGTACCAAAACTCCTTCTCGGGGATGCTGTCCGGCCGGGAGTCCCGAATGATGCGACTGGAAACCTGGACCGGTGCGGACGCCGGGGGTGATGGACACTGTTCCCGATTGCTCTGGAATGTGTCGGGGATGGACCCAAGGAACTGGGTGGCATCCGCTAGGACGGAGCAGAGGAACTCACGAAGGGGAGGGCGCGGCGAAGACGTGTCGTCAAGGGAGGAATGGCTTGGAAGGATAGAGAAGGGGTGCGGGGTGACATGGAGGAGAGAGGAGCGCATCGTCGTTGGGGGATTGCATGGAATTGCATTGGACAGTTACGAAGGGAAGCGAAAGAGAGAGATTATTAGTTAGTAGGGGATGTTTTCGGGTTTTCTTTTAGTCATCTACCAATATTGGAAGAGACACGGTCATACATATATATTTATACACACATACTATATACAGGGTCATAAATACACGCTTCGTCATCTTATTGATACATGAAATGGGCATTGAGCTGGAAGACCATTCTCAAAGACAGCGTATCCCAGGCCCAACACTGCCTGTATCGAAAATCTCGACAAGTCCGGCTCCGACGGCTTCCTCTACCACCCATCGAAAATTCATCCCAAAGAGATTTTTCCACTTTTTCGTTCTGCCGGGCAGTATGCCCGCGTATTCACCCCGTACTCTCTTTGCGAGGTCAAAGCTTTTCTCCGTCTCGATCGCACCATCCCACCGATCTCGAAGAACGCCGAGGGGTACCTCGGTGGCGCTTGATTTCTTCAGGAGAGAGAGTAGGTGTGCACGTCCCGCCTCGAGAAGGCGAAGATAAGGCCCTGTATTCGGCAGAGAGAGGAGAAAGGCTCCCGCATGGGATTGCAAACGACTGGGGGCTGCCATGCCACTCGAGTGAGCATCGCCGCCACTTCGGCTAGCCGGGTGCCCAGACGAGGACATCGACGGAAGACTGGGGAGCAAAGCCATGCCTGAGGACCCCTGGGTAAGAGACGAAGAGCAGACCAGAAATCCGGCGTGGATCAAGGCCATATATTCCGGCGCGGTGAAGGCTGTGCCGGGCACCGCGGATTTGATACCGGGCTGATTCAGCACGCCGAGCAGCTTCTCTGCGAGATGGTTAGCGGATGGGATTACCATACCCTCCCGGTCTGTGCGGCATGCTGAAGAAGGCGTACCTTGGACATATGGTTCCAGATCACTACAATCCCGCACAAGCCTCTCCCAGTCTTCGGAAAGGACAAGGCAATCACCAAGCCCCGCGGCATCGTTCCCTCTTCCCGGGACTACCAACCGACGCACACAACCGCTGTTCACCAATTCTATGATCTCCTTCTCTACTCTGGTGGGTGCATCCAGTAGAGTATGGATATGGGCCACCGAGGCTAAGGGGGGCAGCGAGCGGCGAGTATTAAGGACTTCGGCGACGCGGGTACTGTTCATGCCTGCTCGGGCAGGGAGATCCTCGAACATGCTGTCGCGAATATGGGCGATAGCCTGACCCACATGCTCTACGGGCGAAGTCTCCGGGACGTATCGGGACAAGCCAAGGTCTGGAAGTAGTTCTTGGTCACCTTCTTCTAGGGATGCGTCGGATTTGGAGCCGACGGGTGACCGAGTGGCAGCGGTGGCTTTGCGACGAGCATGGCTGGCAAACGGGGAAGCCCGGGGTTTCAAGGTCGCTGCGGTCCTCCTCTTCTTGACACCGGAGACGGGGGCGGAGGTGATTCGCAAGGGCATGGCCGGCGAGGGTTCAGGATATGCAGCGGCGAGCCGCAACTGGGAACCCGCCGATAAGGAGCGATAGCATCACGTGCCAGGGTCGCCCCGGGGGACCGGCGGGCCTTCACATGACGTAGTGATGAGCACAATTCCAGGCCAATTCATCCAACTTCGACTTGGATTTCTCCCCGCAAGCCTCGATATAACCCCCGTCCCGTCGGATCGCTCGGTCGGCTGCCCACCAGCGTCGCTGCTTTCGCGCCCTGCATCTTTGCTGGGGACTTCTTTTCGTCTTATCTTTCCTGGATTTCCCCTCGGTGCTGGCCCTGATCCGAATCTGCAACGATGACGATTTACATCGCCTCGCTGTATGTGTTTCTGCATGTGTCGTGCCATCCGGCTTGGATTTACTGACGCAACCCATGGCGGCGTTCCAGATTCCTTCCATACACCGTTAATTTCCACTTGCAGGAGTCGCGAGATCCCCGGCCCCGCACCACAAGTTCGCCTTCCTCCAAGCCTCTGGTCGATACCGCAACCCCGGCCCCCAATACCGGGGTCAGCCTGTTCGAACAACAGACTACACCCCAGAAAATAGGGCTCACACCGGGCGCGACAACCGAGCATGAACGTATATTTTCGTCCAATCTCGCCAAGGCCGAACAGGAACATACCGGCTACCCGTTCCCCTCCCAGGCAAACGAAACACATCTCACGGCAGGGAGCGAAGGCCATTCCCCTGCGTGGGGCTCGACGCTGTCCTTGAATCAGCCCCGGCCACGCGCGGCAGTTCCTCCTTCGCCGTCAATTCTCAAGCACCAAGAGCCTATCGTTCCTGCCCCGGAGCCGTCCGGTGAGAGGGCAGCCAGAGAACTGCACGCCTCCTCGATCCAACCGATCCATTCCCCCATCCATCGCAGGGAATCAAGCCGGAAGTATTCCTTCTCCGGAGCCCGCTGGACCATCCAGACGGCCGAGCAAGGTAACGGGGGGCTGCGCAATGCCGTGCGGTCCGCGACAGATGCCGGACAACTCGAAGACCAGGTCTGGGTGGGTACGCTGGGAATGCCTACGGATGCGCTATCTCCGTATACCAGGGCGGCAATTGCGGAGAAACTCCAGGGCGAATATGGGTCGCTGACCGTCTACGTCAGTGATGGTGATTTCGACGGCCACTACACCCACTTCTGCAAAACGATCCTCTGGCCGGTGTTTCACTACCAGATTCCCGACAACCCGAAAAGCAAGGCCTACGAGGATCATTCATGGATCTACTACGTGAAAACCAACCAAGCGTTTGCCGAGCAGATTGCGAGAAATTGGAAGCGCGGGGATTCGATCTGGGTCCAAGACTACCACTTATTGCTGGTTCCTGCCATGCTTCGTAAACTACTCCCGGACGCCCAGATCGGTTTCTTTCTGCACATTGCCTTTCCTTCATCCGAAGTGTTCCGCTGCTTGGCGCCCCGCAAAGAACTCCTCGAGGGAATTCTTGGTGCAAACCTGGTGGGATTCCAAACTGATGAGTACTGCCGCCATTTTCTCCAGACGTGTAGTCGCATTCTCTGCGTGGAAGCCACCAACGACGGTATTCAGTTGGAAGATCGGTTTGTCAACGTGAACAAATTCCCCATCGGAATCGACCCCACCTCTTGGGATAAGCGGCGCCAAGCCACCGACGTTGAGCGCTGGATCAAAACAATCTCGGAGCGTTATGAGGGCAAACGACTTATCGTGTCTCGTGACAAGATTGATCAAGTCCGGGGCATTCGGCAAAAGCTTCTTAGCTATGAGCTTTTCCTGAACACATATCCCGAGTGGAGGGATCAGGTGCGTGCTGGAGCTAACTGATGCTGCTGTTGCGTTAAGTGCACACAAAACTAACCTCTCTCCTCTTTTGCTCCAGGTCGTCTTGATCCAAGTGGCTACCAGTACGACAGAACAACCGGAACTTGAGGCGACCATATCTGACATTGCCATGCGTATCAATTCCACCCATTCGACGCTTGCCCATCAACCTCTGGTTTTCCTAAAGCAGGACTTGGCTTTCCCGCAATATCTTGCGTTGATCTCCATTGCTGACGCTCTCATGATCACGAGTTTGCGAGAGGGTATGAACCTGACAAGTCATGAATTCGTCTACTGCCAGGATGGGAAATATGAAACACGAAAGTACGGGTCTTTGATCTTGAGTGAGTTCACGGGAAGTGCGTCGGTGTTCGGCAATCATGCTCTCCTAGTCAATCCTTGGAATTATAGACAGTGTGCCGAAGCGATCCACACGGCCCTCTCCCGGAGCGAAGAGGAACGACAGCAGGTGTGGATGCAGCTGCATCGAGCAGTGCTCGAGAACTCCACCGCAAACTGGGTCAAGTCTTTCAACGAGACTTTGAACCGTGTCTGGAATGAGCAGTCGTCTCGCGAAATCATGGCAGTGCCACGCTTGTCGGTTAGCAAGCTCGAAGAGCTGTATCGTCTATCGTCACGTCGGCTCATCATCGTGGATTACGAAGGCACGCTTGCCTCATGGGGCTCGCCGAAAAGCATCATCGTTACGACGCCGCAACGAGCGATCACCACCCTAACCGAGTTGACTGATGACCCCAAAAACGTGGTGTTTGTCATGAGCTCCAGGATGCCGGAAGAGATGGAGCGCCTGTTTCGAATGGTCGCCGGCCTCGGTCTCATCGCGGAGAACGGCTGCTTCGTGCGTGAGCCGGGAACCGAGGAATGGTTCAAACTGACCAACAAAGCGCAGACCGATGCGTGGAAAGAGGCGGTCCGCCAGATTCTCAGTTACTACCAGGAACGGGCGGAGGGAAGCTGGATCGAGCAGCGTCACTGCTCCCTAATGTTCCATTACGGGTCAGCAGAGGATCAGGCAGCTGCCTCACGGTTGGCATCCGAGTGCGCCGGGCACATCAACGACTCGTGTGCCAACCAAGGGGTTCACGCGGTCCTGATCAACGGGGCGTTGGTGGTTGAGCCGGCTGATACCAACAAATCCTCGGCCGCTGCCATGGTCTGGCGACATTGTCTCGAGCGAAGTGAGAAGGATCCCACAATTGAGCGGCCAGATTTCCTCCTCGCCATCGGAGATGGCCGCGATGACGAGCCGGTGTTTAGATGGGCCAATAAACTCCAGCAGGCCAATGCGGTGAAACACGCCATGACGGTGACTCTGGGTTCTCGGAGCACGGAAGCCAAGGCAACATTGACACAGGGCGTCACAGGTAAGTTCATTTTATAAGTTCATTATGACACGTGGTGATGATGTTCGTGACTAACCGAATCGATTGCTTGGTAGGCGTTCTGTCATGCCTGGAGAAATTGGCCGCCACCACCACCGGGCCATGAGACGATCTTCCCTCTTCCTTCCCTTGTCTTTTATTTTCTCCTTGTTAAATTCTTTTCTCGGCTACAGTTGGCGGGGATTACCTGGTAATATAAACGGCATATGAGTATTTGGCGGGCGTCCAAAAGCAAGCAATTGAGACGGCGCGAGAGGCATTGATATTGAGAACTTTTTTTTTTCTCCCTCAAGGGATCTTGTAGGAGTGTCTGCACAAACACTCCGTTGTCGTCGTCGTAGTAGTTGTAGGCGTAGTAATTCATAGTTCCGCCGGTAGAAGAACGGGTTAGTCAGCGCGTCGGCTTCTCTTCCTGCGTTCAACCGAAGCCGAGGCTTTGCGGAGTTCGCATGCGCAAGAACAAGTCCCAGGATGTCCCCTCCTGCGACCTCCAAACTTTCCTACTCTGTCCCCCCGTATAGAGAGTTCATTATACTGCAACGATTGCGCTGTCCGCTTGTGAACTAGAAAGCATGCCAGCCTCCCCGGTCAACAACATCAACAACAACGGCAACAGTGACAAGCCGACATGGGAGGAGGCAATCCGGGTGACGCCCCTCGGTAGCCATCGGTATTCCGCCGTCCTGCAGAATGAATGGTGCATTGGGACAGGTATGACCGTCAGCAATGCTCGTTCTTCAGTAAAGTGCGCCGTTGACCGCAGGCTTCAGTTCCACACGGCGGGTATACCACGGCGGTCCTCTACCGCCTAGCCACGACCCATTTCGCTCATTCGCATGCGTCTCGGTACAATGCACCGGCCACGCCCATCTCAATCCAGCTGACATTCCTTCGCCGCACATCCGCCGGACCGGCTGTGCTATCCGTGCAAGATATGAAGCTTGGGGCCCGCACCAGTACCATCCACGTCACCTTGTCACAGCCCCGCGAGACGAAAGAAGGGGAAGACGGCAATTTGGAGGCCAAGGTCACCGGTTACATCACCGTAAGCCCCGCCACTGCCGAGGTAGGCCTCTCCGCGAACACCGGCTGGCACCTATCGCCCGCGGCGCTCCCCGGATCCGGGGCGAACGGGCGCGTGAACTTGACGGCCCTCGGACGGACTGGCCGCGACGGAGGGTGGATGCGCCTGGCCGCTCCGTTTCCCAAGTTCCGCCGCGCGACGCAGCAAGTCGAGCTGTACGGGCCGGACCCGGCTCTCGGGCGGCGGCAAGTAGTGGATCAATGGGCACGGTTCCGACCCAACGGGAACGACGAGGCGCGGTGGACCAACGAGGCCGCGGTATTCCTGACGGATATGTTTCCGATGGCGCTGGACGGACTCGATAAGATGGCATCGGCAGCCTTAAAGGAGCAGGCACCGTCGGCGGAACAGTCGGCCAGCCATTGGTATCCGACGGTCACGTTGAACATCGATCTGAAGAAACGGCTGCCGCCTCAGGGGGTCGAGTGGCTCTACAGTCGCGTTCACACCAAGACCGTGCGGGATGGGCGAACCGATATTGACGTGGTGCTGTTGGATGAACAGGGGGAAGTCGTGGCCCTGAGCACCCAGGTTGGACTGGTGTTGAGCGCCAGTCGCAACGTGGGGCAACGATCGAAGATGTAGACGGGGCGTTTTCATAGACCCATAGAGAGTGGAGAGGACATATGCGGAGTATGTATGATGAGACTGGTGCGTTATCGATGCGCTTCTACGCTACGAACCGAGCAGAGGATTTAATACATATCAATGTAAATATATACGTATTGAGCACCAGTAGTATTTACACCCCCTCCCACCTACCCACACAAATATGTAAAAGAGATATAGGGATATACTACAAGGGGAGAGATCGGACAAGACGGGACAGAATATGCGGCGAACCACCTCTCCCCCTCGCCCCAGTGCGCTAAAGATGGGCCGAGGTCTGCAGCCAGAAGGCCATAGCGTCGGTGGTGACTACCATGCGAGAAGGATCGGCTTCGTCTTCCTGGAGAAGCTGAGCTCGAACCCAGAATTTGCGGGCGACACGGGCGACCACCTTGGCCCGCGCGACCAGCAAGCCGGGGGCGGACACGGGGCGCTTGTATCGCACATCCAGCTGGGCCGTATAGAGTTTGCCGCGGGGGGAGTGGGAGTCGGGGTCCAGCTCGGGCGGCGGGGCATACAAGGTCACCGCCAGAGACATGGCCTCATCCAGACAGGTGGCCAGGATGCCGCCGTGCACGGTGGCCGGATGACCGCAGATGCCCGGGGCGGCCAGGTCCAGCAGCAGGAAGACATCCGCCGGACACGCGCCCGCGGTGGCATCCGCGGTGGGAGCCGGCCAGGGCGGAGCGACGGCGGGCAGGGCGGGCAATTCGCGACGACGCAGCGTCAGGCAGTGCGGGATGGTGGTGGAGGTGGCCAAGGTGCCGGCAAAGAGTCCATCCTCGCCCGTTGGTTTGGGGAGACGCGACCAGGTGCCAATGGGATAGTAATCGGGGTGGTCAAGAAGGCGACGGGCGTGGGGATCGGTCTGAAAAGGATGGAACGAGCGAGGAGTATTCCCGGGAAGGGGGTCTTGCATAATGGACGAGGGAGGGAAAGGGTCCGACATTAGGGGCAATTGTGAAGACTTACAAAGAGACATCGACCGAAGCGAAGAGGGAGGAAGAAGAGGAGGAGGAGGAGGAGGCATATACTCCGGAGTAGATGATGGGACCTCGGGTAGTCGGGGATTAGTCATCCACCGGACGACCAGTTGGCCAGGCACGTCCAGTAAAGCAAGTAAAGTAAACTCCGGAGATGCACCCCTCGATGCACCCCGTCGAGGCCCGCCGGAGCATATACGGGCGATGCACGGGGGATGTCTCAGGATGTAACTCGGTAGATCGAGAGGACGTCCTTTGTGCTCCCTGCAGCGGTGGGGGCCATGTTCGCTCCACGTTCGCCTCGACATCGTCAGCCCTACAAGGATGGATGGATGTAAAGACCGCCCGATGATGTCAGCCTCCCCCCGCCTCTCCATCTTTCCCTTCTTCTTCTTCTTCTGCTTCTTCTTCCTCATTCCTACAATCTTGCGTCCCAGCACCTTCGTTCGATCCGTCCTCTATCATCTATCGTCTACCTTCTACCTCTCCCTCGATGCGAACCCCTAGTCCTGATTTATTGCCATCGCGAGAGTCTCCGATCGGCAAAGCTTAGCCTTGCTTATCCAAATCAAAGGAACCACTTTTTCGGGCCTGGTCAGCCTTCCAAATGAGTAAGTGAGTTAGTTGCCTAGGTTGCCCCTTTTCCGTTCCCTTGGGGGCCGTTCTTCTTTCCCTTCTATCGGTCTGCATAGTGCATACGTCGTAATGCCGACAACCATGCACTTGCGTTCCTAGCAGATCTTCTTTTCTTTCTTTCTTTCTTTCTTTTTTTTTTTTGGGTTGAATTTTCTCCCACCTCTTTCTCTCTCTTCCTTGTTTGCTCTGTTCTCTCTCGTTTAATCTTTGCTAACCCCCACCCTCTCCTTTTTTTTTTTTTTTTTTTTCCTTCTCCACTGTCGGTTTCATGGGTAGCTCCTGCCCCTATGACCCTAGGTAGTTCCGCTGCATTGACCCGCGTATTTGCCGCTAATCTTCCGAACCCATTATTACTGTAGGCAGCAGCAATACTTAAACGCGACCAACGGGCAAAAATGGACGACGTTCACCCACAGGCGCGGTCCCGGCATCTGGTCGACAAGTATGGGCCAAAATTCGTCGACCGAACAGAGCAATTCCAACATCGGGCCGTCGCGATGAAAGCTCCTCCCAATGGCAAACTGGCCCGCCACGAGCCTGCCGGGGGGTTTGATAGCACCCCGTTCCCCCACGCGCCACCGGGCTACACGCTCAAATTCACCTTCCACCGCGGCATCAACCTCCCTTGCGCGGATTTTGGCAGCTTCTCCTCTGATCCCTACGTGATCGCCCAGCTGAACGTCGCCCTCCCCCCACGACACAAGCAAGATCCGGGCTTCTGCTTTCGGACTCCCACCGTGCGCAAAAACCGTGACCCCGTATGGGAGAGCGAATGGATTGTCGCCAACGTTCCCGCCTCCGGTTTCACCCTCAAATGCATCGTTTTCGACGAGGACGCTGCCGACCACGATGACAAACTGGGCAATGCGTACGTCCAGGTGGACTCACTTCATGATGGCTGGGCGAGCATCAAAGAGCAGACCTTCAAGGTCAAAAAGCGCACCGGCAGCAAACGAGTCTATTTGTTCGGTAATATCGCCGCTTTGGCCTCGGGGCGCTTAGACACCGGCTCACATCTCTTGATCAGCGTCGAGTTCCTCGGGAGGACCCCGGGCGACGAAGGAGCTCAGATGTACACCGCGGGTCCAAACTATTGGTTCAAACACTTCTCACCTTTGATCGGGAGACTGGCCGGAACTAAAGACGAAGTTCAGACTCAGGATGGCAAGAAGGCGGTCACTCGATACAAGTATGTCTGACGCGTAGGCTCTTACCTCCTCCCCTTGCCATCCCCGTGCTTCGAAACCCGAGAACCGGGCACTGACCCTTTCTGTTCGTCAGCTTCCAAGCCATTCAGATCCAGCTCACGGGCCCTGTCCCGGTGGAGCTTTACCATCGCTATGTCGAGTTCAGGCCCTTCGTCGCAGGCATGTTCACGTCCCAGAGCCTACGGGGACGTATTCTTAACCGAGCCTTGCATCACCAGCATCAGCGAATCTACAATTTTGATCGCACGACGCTCAATGGTCGGTTTGATTCGCCGTGTGTTGCGCTGACAAAGAAATTCCTGGAGTTTGTTCATTACGCCCAAGGTGGGCGAATCTTCACGTATGTCCTCACTCTCGACGGCCAGTTCCGCTTCACGGAGACCGGGAAGGAGTTCGGCATCGACCTGCTGAGCAAGCATACGATGCACAGCAATGTGTCCATATATATTGCCTACTCGGGCGAGTTTTTTCTTCGTCGGCGCATGCACCGCTCCCATCGCCATTCCCGAGTCTCGCGCACATCGGAAACTGAGATGCCCACAGAAGATCAGTGGTCGGAAGAGCCGGAGATCTCGACCGACCCGGCGGACTATGAGCTCTTTATCGACAACGACAGTGGCACCTATCGTCCAAATGGCCAGTTACTCCCGCTGCTCAGGCAGTTTATCTCCAAGAGCTTCCCCGGGCTTAACATCACCACATTGGACTGTACCGAGGATGCCGAACAAATGGCAACGCTGAAGGACGAGCAACGAGATTTCAAGAGAGAGGGGGGTCAGATGACTTTTCTGCAGCAAAGCAGCACCTCATCGCTTTCCATCTCGAGCTCGGACGAGGAGGAGCTTGACGAACGGAGCGGCACGGCGCGCAGAAAGCGGGGGGAGCTATCGCAAAGAGTACACGACATGCGGGATGTGAAGGGCCAGTTTATGAAGTGGGCGCAAGCCGAGAACCATGAAAATGCCAACGGTTCCGGTTACCACCCGTCCACCCGAGGGGCTCCAGCTGTAGAATCATGTCCTTCAAAGCCCACCGACGAGGCAACGGCAGACCAGTCAATCCCCGGCACCAGACGGCAGTGATTTTATTATGAAGACGCATTGCTCTGCAAAAACGGTTCCGTTCCATCAGATGGAGCACCGACAAATATCCTCATGATCGGGATTCGTATCTCTGGAGTCCGTCGTGCGTCCCTTCCTGGCCAAGAGTGGAAGAGAACCCTCCCGAGACCTCTTGTTGCTATAAATCCCTACTCGCCGTCAGTGCATGGCTGGACCGGCAGGGTCCCTGGCCCAGTTCGGCGTGACGCCTGACACCTTGGAATGATACACCCCTCACTCCTCTATAGATCGTTTCTTCTACTGTTATCTTTGATTCTTATTCTTAATATATTTATTTCTGTGCCCTGCTCTTTGAATCATGACGAACTCATGCGGATGAAGTCTGCTACATACGTGTCTTGAGCACACACCTGTTTTCAACCCTTCGAATGGGAACCAGTTCAGGGGAAAGAGGACAGGGAGAAGGGAAAAGGGAAAAGGGAAAAGGGAAAACGAACGTGAAAAGAACCGGGGAGAGAAGGCAGGCAAGTGGACATGGAAGCAACTGAAAGGGGGGCCTGTTCAGTGTTTTAAAAAGCTAAGCGAGTCATTCTTATCACCGCCCCTTGAGGCTCCGGTGGGGAAACAGTCGGATAAGCAGAATGCAAGTGTCAATCGAACAATGCACTCCATAGCCAAGACCCTAGAAGTCCGGCAACTCGCACGGAATGTTGGCTCAACCCTTAATTCTTCACTGCCTAGATCGGTGATCCATGGCGGCTCGGTCAAGGGGTCTGTCATAGGTAGCCGATGCAAGCGAGACCATGGAGGATCATCGAATAAACCGGGGCAGCAGCGCAGGACGATGCGACGGGGGAAAAACCTCAATCATCCCGGACGCATGTCTAGTATGTACGCAGTATGTAGGTTGTAGTTATATTAGATATTAGTAGTCAACCGACCGGTCGACAGTACCCGCCAGATAAGCTTAGCGCGTGCGGGACAAGCAATCATCCTCAGGCACAACCCCCCCGTCTAAGCCCCGATCTTCCTTTCTTCGCTCGCCCACTTTCTCTCCCTCTCTCCTCGCCGGCCTCCTGCTCTTCCTTCCTCTCTTTTCCCCTTTCCCTTTCCCCTTCCTCTCTCTCTCTCTCTCTCTCTCTCTCTTTCTCATTTTTTTTTTTCTTACTCTCTCCCGTCCTGTCCTTTCTTGTCTCGCCTCCTAACCTCCCGCTCTTCCCGCTTCCCGCTTCCCGCTTCCTTCTCCCTAGAATCTTACAGTACCTCTCTTCCTCAGTGGAGAGGGAATGTCAGACCTTGGACCTCTCTATTTGCATCCGCAATAACTGCGACTTCTCACTGGTTCAGGGGGGGGGGCAGACAAAAAGTTATCAGCAATAAACATATCTGCAAAATAGTCGTCTGTCTTTTCACATACCCACTTCTCGACCTTCCCTCTTCCTCTTCGATGATACACCTCCGCCTCGTCCGTACCGAGTCCTCTCCGCCTTGCAAGTTCTCGACCTGCCCGGCCTTGACCAGTGATCACCTCATCGAATACGGATTGAATGACGACCCGGTTATCGGATTACGTTGACGGCCATTCTGATTTATCCTTACCTCGTCATCCGACTTCGGAAGCGCAGACCGTCGATGATCACGTTCACTCGCCCCGGCCTTTCTTCCGGACGTACTCTCAAGCGGTAACTTGATACAGTCGACTTGTCTCAATATGGGAAACGTTGGGAGCCGTCTGGATGATTCCGGGACCCTGTATTTCAAGGATCAGACTAGGTGTACGTCCCAATCCTCGCGCGCGCGGGATTTGATTCGTGCCCCCCTGCCATTTCTCGTTCCCTTCCTCCCTCCTCACTTGCCCCGTGGTATTGTCTTGTTCGTCCATCAGATTTGCTGATTGATCGGATGTGCGCCAGTTACGGTCGCGTCTGTGACAATAACGAATTCCCGGCGCCGGGTGCTTTTGAGCTTAGTCCCAAACGCTTACCCTGCTACCCGGTACACTGCCAAGCGCGACGTTGGTGATGACTGCCCGATTGAATACGTACAGGTAGTTGGAACTCGTTCTCCCTCTCTTTTCACCTAGCCCTTGATAGAAGGACAGTGCACTTATCTCCCGCTCGGCCATCCAGGACCCCGACCTTTCTTCCGCCGCCCCGGCGCCTACCTTTCTTTTGCGCCTGTCCAACGAGGATGAATTGAATTTCCACTTCACGTTTATACTCAGACAAACACAAACCGGAAACGTCGCAAGCTCTACCGTCAATGGAGTCTCCACTTCTTTGCCTGAAGTGGCCGATACGGTGCTCACCGGACTCACGTTTGCGCATGCGCCCAACTCGAAGGAATTAGACAATCTGATCACCAGAGAGTTCCATGCCAATCCAAATTTACAGAATAACTCCAACGTACAGTTTGTCGGGGATTACTCGACAGGAGGCAACCCCTCCGTTCAGTTCGATTGGTCTTGGAAATGGAAGCCCCCGAAGACGGTGGAGGACAAGGGAGGCGGATGGCGCAACAGCTGCAGTTTTCTGGACTATGACCAGAGAGCTAACCGACTGAACACTCTCGCTCATTTTTCGTTTTGGGTGCAGAATTCGGTACGCGCGTTGCCGAGCCCGCAAATACTGTCCCCCAACCTGGAACTCCTGGTCCCGCCCCGTGATCGGGTACCCTCCTCCCACTCTATCCTCACCCATTCCAGTGATGTAGACGTGGTGCCGAACCCCCAGAATCCGCCCAGCACGCCACCGGAAATGAGCGACTCGCCGATCGCAGCACAGGCTTCCGCACCTCCTCCAGTCAAGGTTGACCTTCCACATTCGCGGCCCGGTGAAGACATGAGTGTTGTTGAAGATGGCCCGCTTTTTCGGGCTACTATGAAAGCATTGGAGCAGAAGACAGGTAATATGCGCGCTAAAATTAAGAAAGTGTTGAAGAAGGCGGAGGCGGCCCAACAGGCGCAGACCTCCTGCAACGACGCGGTGGAGGCTTTCTTATCTGCCCTGAACGATGCATCAACGTCTAATGCGAATGCGATCCAACCGGCGCTCGATCATTACTTTGAGAAAATAGCGCGGCAGATCTTAAATTACGAGCGACTCAACACTCTGCAACTTCAAAAGCTTGTCATCGAACCGCTGATCAAGCTGTACCATAATGACATCAAGCAAGCTGAAGCCAAAAAGAAAGAATTCGAGGAGGAAAGTCGGGACTATTATGCCTACGTCAGCCGTTATCTTGGACAGCGACAGGATTCCTTGAAGGAGAAAAAACGAGCCGAAAGTGATTCGAAGTATCAAGCGAAAAGACGAACGTTCGAGCTGAAGCGCTTCGACTATTCCTCGTTTATGCAGGACTTGCACGGCGGCCGTAAAGAACAGGAAGTTCTCTCGCATCTCACCAAATTTGCAGATACGCAAGCGAAGAGCTTCCTTGCGGCCGCTAAGAAGATCGACGACATGACGCCACAGTTGGATGCTCTTATCCACGAGGTTAGTCAGGCCGACAAAGAGTTTCAGTTTCAGAGAACCGAGAGGGAGGAAAAACGGCGCGCCTTGGAAAAGAGCAGCAACACTTACGTCGAGCCTGACTCTTTGACCGGCTCGACGGCAGCGCCGGTGCTGTCAGGCAATGGCAATGGCAATGCCAACCAGAAATCCGACGGCGAGCTGGGACGCGCGGATAGCACAGGATCTCAGCTGCGAAACGTCATCAGCAACACTTCTTCACTATCATCACAGGCCAACCCCTCGAGCTTGAACCCTCCGGCAGGGCCGCCTTTAACGCCATCCACTGGCTCAAGCGGTATGTCTCCTCAAGTCTCACCGTGGGAGACATGGAAGACCTCCACAGGCGCTGACCATCTGATAGGCCAACAAAGGAAAGAAGGCCTTCTCTGGGCATTATCACGGCCAGGGTCCCATATCGACCCCAAGGGCATCAATAAACAAGCCTGGCACAAGTGAGTCTCGGCGCCCCGCACCATCTGCCACGTTTCTAATCTCACCCGCCCCTCTTCTCTCTCCCCATAGGTTCTGGATCGTGCTGGACCAAGGCAAACTGTCGGAGTATAGCAATTGGAAGCAAAAACTCGATCTGCACATGGATCCGATTGATCTGCGGATGGCCTCGGTGCGGGAAGCTCGGAATGCAGAACGGCGGTTTTGTTTTGAGGTCATCACCCCTCAGTATAAACGCATTTACCAAGCAACCTCCGAAGAGGACATGAACAACTGGATCCGCGCCATTAACAACGCCTTGCAAAGCGCCGTTGAAGGCCGGGGCATGTCCTCGCCCCCTCTTTCCGCCGACAACGATGGGTCACCTGGCGGCCGTGACATTGGCTCCGTCTTGACGGGCAAAAGCTCCTCGTATTCAGGGCAGCATGCCACGTCGACGAGCTCTAGTAACAGCGTGACTCGCCGCACCACGGTCGGGGCTCGGCCCAGTTACGTCCGTGATAGTCATAGTTTCGAGGAAAACCCTTCCAAGCTGCTTCAGACGGTTCGGGATGCCGACCAAGGCAATAATTGGTGTGCCGATTGCGGATCTACATCGAAGGTTGAATGGGTCTCCATCAATCTGGGGATCGTCTTGTGCATCGAATGCAGTGGCATCCATCGGTCTCTTGGGACTCATATCTCCAAAATCCGATCCCTTACGCTGGACGTCAACTCCTTCTCCAACGACATCGTTGAGATCCTTTTGCAAATCGGCAACCGGGTGAGTAACATGGTCTGGGAGGCGACCTTGGATCAATCTCTGAAGCCCATGGAGACGTCGACTCGCGAACAGCGGCTCAAGTTCATCACGGCCAAATATAGCGAGCGAGCTTACGTGCAGCAGCTGCCCTCCCCGCTATCACGCTTTGCTACGCCGGACGAATCGCTTCTTGCCTCTATCAAACGGAATGATATCCAGGGGGTGCTCTATGGAATCGCGCTTCGCGCCAACGTGAACATCACGGATCGCTCTCGTAATACGCATGCGGTTTTCCTGGCTCTGGCAGCCGCGGATCCGGCGTCCCCCGGGTCGAGTTCCTCAAGTCTTCCGCCAAGACCAAGCACCGCGACTTCCGTCAAGATCATCCCGTTTCCGATTGCCGAGCTTCTTGTCCAGAATGGGGCCGAGATACCCTCTCAGCCGCCCCCGATCCCTCTTTCCTCGGCAGCTCAACTGTACCTCAATCAGCGGACCGCACGAGTGCCTGCGTTGGGCGTCCCCCCTAGCCAGTCTTCATCTGGAAAATCAAGCGGGGATACCTTGGGCACCCTTCCCAGTCTACGGGGAGGGGGGAGTGATACCGTGTCATCATCCCAGGGACCGAGTTCCCTGGATAGCAAGGAACGCGAAAAGCTCCAGAAGAGAGGCAGCGCGGGTGCCAGATTTGCCGGCAAGGTCGCGTCTCTGGGCATCGATCGATGAACGGGGCTGGCTGCTTTACATCGTTGCTATATGAAGCCTTTCCCCTCTTTCCTCCTCCTCTTCTCTCCCTTCCCCTCCCCGGTCTTCCTTTCCCTCAACAACCATCTACCGTTTAATGACCCTTTCCGACCTTTCCCCTTCCGCCAACGCAGCGGTTTCGTTCTTAATAGTAATTATAGTGCATGAGGCTCAGGTGAACATGACGTGACGTTGGCACTCCGGATTGAATGGGCTAATGATTTCTATTCGGTGGGATGTCGGTTGGCTTTTGCATATTAGAGCTTGCATTTGTCTTGTTTTCGATTCTCTGTGTATATTCCCCCTCCCCCCGTTCTTCAGTCAGCTGCCCTGGGGATATGTTGTGAACGCACCCGAAGAGGTTTGGATCTGCATGCCCTTCTATATCATTGTTCTACGAACTGCAAGCATTTCCCAGTTTCCATGACCTGTATGTCGCTTCTCCCGGCGTGTCTTCAGAATGACCGCACCGGATGCGCCGCCTGTAGCTAGACCGCCGCTCAATTGTATCGTTTGCATACCCTCCCTCCGTGAGGAATTGGTTGGCAGTGATGTAACCGACGACTTGGGCATTACGTGGTCGTGGAATGGAGGGGGGATCTGAACGCCGAACAGCGTAGCCCGCCAACATCTGCAGAACCTCCAAGTTGCCGGAAGTTCGATCTGAGATGGGGCCGGGGCGGGGGGGCTGGGAAGAGAGATGACGAAGGTCACGCCACAGGCGCGATCATGCTGAAGATACTCCGTAGATAGGGACGGAGTACACACGCCCTCGACACGTAAACCCGCCAGGGTGGAGCGAAGTAAGCCTCAGGAGACTCCGAGGGGGCCCAGTTTCGCCACCGCGTGACCCAGGGGAGTGTGGGTGACGCTTTTGCGACAGCCACGGTGTTCAGCATTGCTTCATCTGACGGAGGACGGGCTTACCTCCGTCGAGACTGGCGAGGACGGCGAGGACGGCGACGACGTCATCGGCGCTGTGGCGGTGGCGACGGGATGGAATCGGTCTTGCCGAGTCCGGAGGAAGAATCCGCCGGCAGCGAGAGAGCGAGAGAGAAGCGCCGGAATGATTGGGTGGGATGTCAGCCGGTGGGTGGAGGAGAAAAGCTGCTGGTCCAGGGACTACCGTGGCCCGCCGTAATCCAGAGCCCTTCGGGCCCTAGTGGGAATGCACCGGGGGCCGCCCTTTCCCTTGCTGTCGCGTCTCTGAGTGGTTCATCGCGGTGGCAAATTCCCCCCCTCTCACGTTCCTCCGTCTTTCGCCCTGCAGCGCTCATCACGGCATCATCTCCATCTACTTTCTTCTCTCAACGGCTGCCACGGCGACTGGCTAAGAGGTAATTTAATTTATTCATCTACTCCGTACGGGGAGTATCATCATCTTCCACATTGGCAGTGTCTTCTTCGTCTTCTTTTTTTTTTTTTTTTTTTTTTTTTCCCTTCTATACTCCGTACATACATTTCTCTGTGATTCAGTCCTTCCCAAATAAAACATGGGCGGGGAATTGGGTCGAACCGAATTGATCCGAAATGAAGGATTGGGAATGCACAAGGGACGATGAGGTGCGGAAACAATACTGCGTACTCTTCGTTCTAGTATTTGCTCTTTTGCCACAGGATCATCTTTATTTATGCTTTTATGATCCGTGAGATCCATGCAGTCGAATCCCTCTTCCAACCACCAATTGCATAAATGCTGTTCAAGCTGTCGAAAAAGACCGGTGGATCCACCGGTTCCCACCAGGCCAGGGGATCTTTTCATGGTATCCAATCATGAAGGCCAATAACCACAGCCATCGATGCCACCAGTGCATATCAGACCGGTGCTCTCTGGACCGTTCTCCTGTGTTCTGCGTGTCGACAGCCACCAAAAAAAAAAAAAAAAAAAAAAAAAAAGAGGTCCCATGTTTCTAATTAAGAGAAGCCCGTTGCCTAACCTCTCCGGAGTGCTTCCCTCGACCCTCCCAAGTAAGTTCCTACGAAGACCGTCGTGGATGATCCTTTGTGGATCGTCTGCTATGTGTTTGCGCAGGCAGTCTTAGACGATCAAACACTGATCTTGGACCTTTTGACCGGCACTGACCTCGTTGATGCCCCATGATCCCTAAAAAAGAAATCCAATCAGACTGAGTTGCTTCTCGATTGGCATGTGAATCGTTCAAGCCACTGAAGTAAGGCTTCTTATTTCTGCTTTACCTACCTACGTGGATCATCTTAATTTTTTTTTTTTCCTCCCACACCTCTCTTCCTACTATAACGTTATTCCTGAGGTACCCGGTCGTTTGTCAAATCGTCCATGTTAGAATCATAACAGAATGTGAGAGGGTCGAAGGCGAGATCTCTCCCGCATTACCACGAGGAAAGAAAGGAAAGATTAAGCCCATTCATTAAATACGAAGGGAACGAAACGATGACCATAGGGACGAGGCACGCCAGACTTGGTCTTTCTCATCCTGGTTTGTCGACGGTCACCGAATCGCTCACACCTATATTTATATCCACCTGCAGGCTTAGGCTGACTGCCAGCTGTGTATACACCATCCAAACAGCAACGACAGTCCCATTACCTTCCATCTAGAGACCCCACGGCAACACGTCGTCCAAAAAGGCTGGACCCATCTTGTCAGACAATTCAATCCACTTCTAGATCTCTGTCGAGTCTAGATGGTCCTTGTTGATTCTCCATCATTGCCGCTTCAGTCTTAGTGAGCAGAAACCAGAGCAGCCACAGCTCTCGATGTGGATTTAGCACGAATCATTCACAGAATCCTTTTTCCCCCTTCCATTTTTCCCCTTGCCCCCTCCCCCCTCCTTTACGGAGCACTCTCGTCTCCTCTTTTCCTTTGACCCATTTTTTCCCCTTCTTTTTCTCCTTCTTCTTTGGATATTGATCATTATTCCTGTAATATCATTGCTTGTCAATTCCTCATCAGAGTCCAGCACCTGTTTATTTAGAGGTAAGTAGATTTCAAATATCCCCCCCTTTCAGCCCTTTTCCACCGTTATTTCTTGCAATGTCATTCCCCTCCTCCCCAAAACGGTTTCGTCTCGCACATGAGTTGCCTCGGGCCTGTATCGATATAGCCTGGGCCCGGGAAGATCTCAAGAGCCAAAAATACACAAATTCCTTGACCGGTCTGGCTTCTCGAGCCTGGAGCCATGTGTCATGCTCTTGTGGTGTGATGTAAAAGCCACGGAGCAGTGCTGCCCACACTAATCATACCCTATCTCAAAATGTCGCTTCGCCCCTTCCGTCCCTCATCTCATACTGGTTTTCTCTTCAGTACCTACTTCTTGTCATCTCTATGCTTGTCTATCTGCTTGCTCTTCTCGGTTTTTTTCTCTCTCCACCCCTTCCAGTTGTTTCTCCACTTCTTGAAATCTTCAACTGCTGGGTGTGGGCATCTGTGTGGGCGTGCGTGCGCGTGCGTGGCGGTTGTATATTCACAAACACATTTTCGTTTCCACACACACCCCTCTCAATTTGACAACGCCCGGCGCTGGCTTGGCTGGACGTGGTCTTCGCTCCAAAGCCCTCATCCTTACGTACCTTCGTGCTGTCCTTCGGCATGGTTTTTCAATCCCACTAGGCTAGCTCTCCTTGCGGCCATGACCTTCCCATTCTCCATTCAATCTCGTGAAAAAAAAAAATTTAAATAAATTCTCGTTCCTGTTTCTCCCCTGTATTCCATTTTCGCGAAATCTTTTTCATGATATGTTCCATTGACGACTCTTTCCGTTGCCATCTCAAGTGTCTGGTATTTCCTTTATTGCCTTCACACTCGCGCCTGATCATAGCAAGTCCTAACATAACTTGAGCGTTCTATAGGTGTTGTCGGTTCTGCTATTACCAGGGGACTGAAAAGGCCGCCGAAACGACGCAGGCAAGGTATGCCTCATGCTAATTGCTTTGCTTTTTCTATCAAGAGACGGGGTTACTCTCGCTGCAGGAGTAGTGCTGACGGCTTTGCAGATACCTAGTCGATGCTTGTGTTTAGAGCTTCCTCTCCTACTAGAATTATGACGAACTCAACGGACAAGGTGCCCGCGGGGCAATTGAATTCAAATGCGACAGAAAGATCGTCAACATTGGACAACAAGTCTGTCTCAGAATCTGCTCAACAAAGCGGTATGTGCGGTTGTTCTATCGACAAGTAGGGAGGGGGCCTCGGCTGAAACTTGCCTCGTGTTCAGTTACAAGTTCTTTGGGCGAGATTTCCTCACGGCCGGAAGTTATGCACCGCCATACCAAACCAACTACTTATACGACCCCGGACAACCACGGGACGGTACCGTCCATATTGAACATGAATGACATGAGAGCCATGTTGCCGATGCCCACATATCTGTACGACCACTATCATCATATGCCGCAGCAATTCGTCCCGACAGCTCATCCGCACGGTGTCTTGTACCCACTACATGCACTACAATCATATCCTGGCACACACCCAAACCCCAATCCCGCCCCCTACAACTATCAATTTCCGCAGGCGTATGCTCATTATGGTCAAGCACAGCCTCAAAGTGCACCCCAAACCCAGAACTCTGGATATCATTCGCTGAACACAACTTCTCCGACCCACTTTGGGATCCCGGTTAGCAACCAAATTGTCGGGCATGGACATCACTATCAACAGCATTATCAGGGTCCGACCCAAGCCTCATCGCCTGCACGTGGTCGAGATCCTCTGCACACCCCAGTCCATGTGGGAACACACAGTTCTCCCGTAACGCAAAAGCCGGCTACCACAACACAGCCACCTCCCGGCGCCAGGTTGCAGGCCCTGAACATGGACTACGACGTCTCCAAGACCATTGTGGACGGGTCGACCCCTATGAAGTCAGCATCAATCCATTCTTCGTCTACGGGTTAGTATCACACAGGCCGTGGCTTGCGTCGCTGGGAAACTGATGGGATACGCCAGATTCCACCTCGCTCCGCCCAACTCAGACCCCATCATTAATCCCACGAGGACCACCAAGGAAACCGAAACAGTCTGGCCACGCGTTGTGGGTTGGCAACCTACCCCCCGGGACCAATATCGTCGATCTCAAGAACTACTTCTCCCGAGATGCCACGAAGGACGTGGAGAGTGTGTTTCTCATATCGAAGAGCAATTGCGCCTTCATCAACTACAAAACAGAAACGGCTTGCATCACAGCACTAGAGAGATTTAACGATTCTAGATTTAACGGGACCCGTCTGGTCTGCCGGCTGCGGCGAGGCCCAATGACCCCTGCCTCCAATCTCGACCCCTTTGGCCCTTCGACTCTCGTGCATAATGGCGACAGCCGGATGGTCACGGATAATCCGGGGGGGCTAAGAAGTTCTACCGGCTCGAAAGGCACAACCGGAAGCGAGCCAAGTTCATGGGTTCCTAACCGATACTTTGTCGTCAAGAGTCTCACCGTCGAAGACCTTGAGTTCAGCCGACGCAGCGGGATTTGGGCGACACAGTCTCACAATGAAGACTGCCTGAATCAAGCGTACGAGGTGGGGCTTCCCGTCACATTTCCCCGGGAAACCGGCACAAGTGATCATCTTCGCTAACCATCACCTTCAGAGTGCGGATAATGTTTACCTGGTATTCTCCGCCAACAAGTCCGGGGAATACTACGGGTACGCACGGATGGCATCGCCGATCCAAGAGGACGACGCTCTGATGCTGGCGATGCCTCCTCGGCCGGACCATGTTCATCCGGAACCCCCGACACTCGACATGACACCAACCCCGGCGACGGAAACGGCGCCCACCGGACGGATTATCAACGACGCCGCACGCGGTACGATCTTTTGGGAAGCTGACTCGTCCTCGGACGAGGAGGATGTGAAGAGCGAGAGAAGTGGCGGAGACGTCGTCGAAGACACGGCCGAGCCGGGGTTTCAGTCGATCGGCAGTCCATTCCGGATTCAATGGCTGTCGACCGAGCGGGTTCCGTTCCATCGCACCAGAGGCTTGCGAAATCCCTGGAATGCCAATCGGGAGATCAAAATCGCGCGGGACGGCACGGAGATTGAACCGAGCGTTGGGGCGCGACTGATACAGCTATTCCACCCTCCTGCGGGTCGAGGATGATATACAGCGTACTTCCTGTTGGGCAGTGTGTGTGGATACAGTCGATATACGGAGTAGAGTAGTCGAGAGATAAGATAGATAGATAGATCTATGATATCCATGGTATATTACCTCCCATGAGTCGGACCGATGAATCATCCCGAGGCTAGACCCGTTGCGGCCGGTCAGCGGATGGGATTTTGTGGGGTAAAATCCCCCGTCGATCGGTGGACCGTTTCATCATCACTTCCTTTCCTCTTCTCTCTCCTGCCACCTTGAGTAGGAGGCCATCGCTCATCACTGCAGCTTCTTGTCCCATCTCTCTCTCTCTGTCTGTCTGTCTGCCTGTCTCGTTCTCTCTCTCTCTCTCTCTCTCTCTCTCTCTCTCTCTCTCTCTGTATCTCGCTATCTCTTTTCCCTCCCTTGTTCCTCGTCTTGCCTCGAACCCCCCAAGCTCCTCCCCCCGAGTCCTTGGCTGTCTTAAGCTCTTCTAGCTTCCTGGGACTTCAGCTGCCCGGGGATCGTCTCGACCAATCATCTCGTTCCTCCATGCGATTCGTTCCCATTGATTGTTTCCCTTCTTTTCTTTTCTTTTTTTTGCCTCCCCGCTCAACTCGGCCTCGACATCTCCCTCGTCTACGGCTCCACCCCCCCTCCATCCCATCCATCTGTCCATATCTTTCGCCATTCTTCCTTCCATCCATCCATTGATATTGTGGTCCCTTTACTCATTCCTTCGCCTCCCCTTGCCTCTCCCGCCCACAAACCTACCTCCCCCATTCTTTCCCATATCTGTCCATATTTCCATGATCTTTTCCCCTTCTCTCTTCCCCTTAAATCCATCTCCAGTCCGTCTTCTCCCAGGAATTCATTTAGGCTAGAGAAACCATTATTCTAGCCACGCTCTTTCAATTCTCGGTTGCCACCACCCCCCTTTCTTTTATAATACCTTTGCTTCGTGATAGAATAAACGATTCAAATCGTCTCCGCCATCCGGTAGCGTCCCTCCTCGCCATCCTTCTTCCCTTGTTATGGGGTTCATCGTATGATTGCGGCTCAGGAGCTCTGTCCAGTCTTACCCATCTCCTCCCTCCCGCGCGTCGGTTGATTCAAACCTGCGAGACGCAGCGGGCGTGCTTTCTTCCTTGAGTCAATCCCGACCCCTGACTCTATCCATCTTCTCTTTCAATTTGTTTTTGTTCCCTCCAATCCAAAGGATATCTGATTCCCTCCGTTTATTCTATCGCTCTTGCGGCTAGGTGTCATGTCTGACGACCGCTCAACCTCGCCCATATCTGTACCGTCTTCATCGGGACGCCAGAGGCGGGCCTCCTTGGCCTCCTCTTTCACCGATTATCTTTCAAAGTCTGCAAACCCGGGGAGCACCTCAGGTTCATCGACGGGCCCCATGGCTAGTGCAGTAGCCAACGCGCAATCCAACCAGGGCCGGAGGCTCTCGATCACTACGCTGGGGCTCTCGGGCTCTCCGACTCAGACTTCTTCACTGGGAGGCAGAAACTTCCGACAAGGCAGTGTATCCAGCTCTGCGGGATCCAACTCGGCAAACTACGAGGATGCGGTCACAGAAGATGGCGAGAATGGTTTCTCTGGTGCCACTCCAAATTCCCCATTCGCCCGCCGGGTCTCCTTTGGTGCACATGCCTTGCGCGATGCCCGCGCAGGAAGTATTAGCAACGGTAAATACCCCCCTTCAGAGCGAGCCCTTGCTGGCAGACGACGTCAAACCGCGTCCCCCGCCAGTGGCACCCCTTCTTCCGTCAATGCGTGCACCGGGTCACTTGCTGCAAGTATAGATAAAGTTGCTTCTCAGAACGAAAGGTCTAACTCCTCTGGGCGACCCTTAGGCGAAGGCTTTAACTGGTCCGAAGCCCTTCGAAGTCGAGCTGAGCGTGCTCCCTCCTTTGGTGCCGTTTCTCCCAACGCGCCTTCAAATCACCATGCGGCCTACGGAGGCCAATCTGCCCATCACCAACGCGCGGCTTCAATTGCCTCGATGGAGCAGCCTGCTCGGGAGCTACCGAAGCAACCCCGGCAGAACAAGCCGGATTTCTTCCAAGAGAAGATTCTTCGCGGCGATTTCATGGATTAGATCGAAATCTCGCCCCTCCTTGTCCTATTGTTTATATGTCGCTGTTCTTCGTCGTTTTCCCTTGTCACAACTTGACAGAGTTCTGCAAGTTGACACCGCCGAGGAGTTTGTCTTCCTCGTCGGTGCCACCAACCACTCAAAAGATTGTACGTCACATTGCTTTGGAGGAGTTCGGTTTGATGTTTATGAGCGGGTCCTATCTATCTTTCCAATTATTCTATGTGCTTTCGGTGTCGGGATTGATGGCTTTGGTGCGTGTCGGTAATTAAATAGCCTCAAATTGCATCAGAAATGGTTGATCTTACGGCTTTACATAGAGTCAATTCCGGACTTTGTATATATATATATATATATATATATCGGCCCATGTCCTTACGTTGTTCATCCGAAAGATCAGACGTGGTCAAATCCATTATGTAATTGACGGACCCGCAGCGGCGTTGTCGTCAATGTGTTGATGGCGGATGTCATCTTCGGGCTTCCTCTTAGTGGCCTCCTCTTCGCCCTCCGAATAGTTCTCAGCCATCCTCCGGTCAAGAACGTGACCGGTCGTGATGCGCTGGTCCGGGGGTGGCGGAACCCATTTGCTGCTTTTCCATGGAGCCACGCGCATCACGTACATCATGTCCATCTCCTCTAGCGTCTTTCCTTTTCCTTCTAAGACGAAGAAGTAGACTATTAGGACGGCGGCAAACAAACACCCGGCAAAGACATATCCATACGCAAAGTCGATGTCCCCCGCTATGAACGGAGTGAAGAAGCTGATCAGGAAGTTCCACAGCCAGTTCGACGCCGTGGCTAAGGCCATCGCTTTCGCTCGGTAGCGCGATGGATACAGCTCGGCCACGATAGCCCACACCTGGGGTCCCCAGGTACATGCGAAGCCTTTGGGGATTCGAGTCAGTATGGGCTCCTCCGCAGAGAGAAGAGAGCATGATCGACCTTACCGGTGATGAATAAACAGGCGAACACAACCATGGCTTTCCCGGCGCCCGGGGTCGCCTCGGGGTGGTGGACGTCCAGGGAGAAATGGCCAACCGAGGCGAAGACCATGAAACAGACGAACATCCAAATGCCACCGGTGATTAGCGACTTGCGTCGGCCGAAGTGCTCAATAATGTAGAGTCCGCCGAAGGTGGTGCCGAAGTTGACGCCGCCCAGGATCATCTGGGTGACATAGGTGTTGCTGATCCCGGCGCCGTTGAATACCACCGTCCCGTAGTAGAAAAAGTAATTTGCCCCGGTCAGCTGCTGCAGCGCTTGCAGGACGACCCCCAGGATGATGCGATAGGGCATGCGCGGGCCTTGGAACATCTCGATCCACCCGTGCCAACCCCCGCGAGAGTCACTCTCGGCCTCGAGCTGCTCTTTGACCTCGGCCAACTCGTCCTGGATTACTTGGTGATTTTCCGGGACGCCATACAGCCTGGACATGGTTTTCTTCGCCCGGTCGATGCGTCCGTGGCGGTAGTCGTATCGGGGGCTTTCGGGGAAGAAGATGATGCCGATGCCCAGGATCAAGCCCCAGAGGAACGTGATGCCAAGGGGAATGCGCCAGGAGGCGGAGTTGGCCATACTCTCGGTGCCGTAGTTGATGCAATACGCAACAAAGATGCCCAGCGTGACGAATAATTGATAGGAGCTATTCGATGGACGGTCAACCAGGGAATGCCCCCGAAGCAGCATCGATGGGGGAACGACTGACCACACCATGGCTCCGCGAACTTGTCGAGGAGCGCTCTCGCCCTGGTACATGGGCACCAGCAAGGAGCACGATCCCACCCCGAATCCGGTGACGAACCGGCCCATCATCACCTGGTACCACTTGGGGGCAGGCGAGGCTATCTGGATGATGAGTCCGACGTGAAGAACCACGCACCAAAACGCAATCGACCATTTGCGACCGATGCGATCCGCCAGAGGCCCGGCGAGCAGGGCCCCTAGCAACGTGCCGATGGACAGCTAGGGAGTGGTCAGATACGCCGCAGGGTCCAATCCAGGAATCCATGAACATATATGTATCCTCTGCACTGTACGTACCAAGGAAACTATCAGACCGGACCGCACGTTGTTGAACGCATACGTCCCGTCAGACTGCAGCTGGCCGAATCTTCTTTTGAAATTCTCCATCTCGAGAAAGCCCGAGATTTGGCCGGTATCGTAACCGAAGATGATGCCGCCGATGGAGACAAATCCCCCCAGAAGCAAGGATCTCCAAGTCACAAATGGGACGGGAGTTTCAAGGACCTCATCGTGCCCCTTTTCATGATCCGACGGTCCCGATGACAGGGCATAAGACCGATTGCGAGGAATCCACGAAGGCGACTTCATCGCAAGAGCAGATGCGCAGTGGACGAGCTGCCTGTTTATGATGGTATGGGATTGGGAGCAGAGGGGGAAAACCGTTGCGGCGGCCGCTGCGAATCGCGCCGGTCTTATAGGTAGGACCCAACCAATCTGAAGGACATTCTTGCCACCACGGCCGAATTGGATTCGAAGCCGTCATCAACTGTCCCCCTTCGTACCGGGGGAAAGTCGTGACGTCAAGGTGGACACGCATGATGGGAAGGAGGACCCGGAACTCGATTATCTAAACTATGGTTTACTCTATCTAGTACGGGATACCGTTCGTGAGCAGCTGGAACTGGTCGTATCCCTTGGTGGAAACGCTCATATAGGATTTGCGGACTAGCTCCCGCATGTATTCGGCCGCTTCCCTTTCGCTGCGGTCGAGGGCAAACCGATCACGGAAGTTCTTCAGCGTATCGGGTTTGAAGCAGGGCAGGCCACTGTCGAGCATCAAGGAGACGATGTGCGACAGTCGGGTGCTGTAGGGGCGCGACGCGAGAAAGGCCTTCACGACCAGCGACTCAAACCACCGGTAGGGCTGGGTCGTTGTAGGATTGTGAGATCCTCCACCGGCCAAACCAAACCCGCTCATGACGGCAACCATTTCGGATGTGAGCTTGAACGGCGCGCGTTCGAAGCGGACCCCTCCCGGGGCAATGTCAAAGCAAAACCCGAAATCGATGTGAATGATGTGGCCCGCATCGTCGACCATGATGTTTCCGTTGTGCCGGTCCTTGAACTGCAGGAGGTATGAGATGACCGAATAAGCCGCCATACTCTTGACGAAGTTGGTGCGTGCTTCCTGGAATCGGATAGAATCCTCCCCGCCGTACTTGGACACGAAATAGTCGTACAGGCCATTGACCGCTTCCCGGCCGAGCATGTCGCGCGAGATTGAATTGGGGAGGACATCGATCACACCACAGCCAGGGGCGGTCGAGGTGACCCGGTAGGGAAACACCCAAACGTCCAGCCCAACGCTCGTAAAGATGCTGCGGAAGGCGGCAATCATTTGTAGAGCCAGCATGTCCTGGCGGCAGTCATCGCCGACTTTAAAGATGGCCGACTGCCAAACCTCGTAGGTCTCTTGCTTCCGGTCATCCGCAGAGTCCGGATCTGGCGCATGAGCTACCGGGGTGGTGGGTCCGAGTGCAACAGGCTTTGTCTTTTGGATGCGGAATGTCGCCATGTACGGCGCTTTCGCATGGCTCTGCAGAGGCTTCCCGGATTTGCGGTCGATCCCAACAACAACTCCATCCGGATTGCTCGGGAGATAAACGCCAACCTCCACCTTGATCTTACGGAGTTCTTCTTCGATCTTCTCCTTCTTCTCGGGCTTGCTCCTTTTAATATACGGTCGAAGCTTGCCAGATATCCCGGTGATATCATTGAAGAAGGAGAATTCACGTTCGTAAAAGCTTCGCTCCTCGCTGGAAAAGCTTGCCACCAAGTCGTCCATGAATTTGTCCAGAGTCGGTTTGAGTGGATCCGGCTACAGATTCAAACTTAGTGACCAAGTCAATCAAGCCGAAGGGTCGTGGAAACTCACCACTTGGGAATCCTCGTCTTTATAGGAGTTTGCCTTCATGTTCCATATCACCTGGTGCGCGAATAATTGAGACAGTTTGGCTGTTTCCAGGATGTAGCGCTCCACATAGCCCAATGCATCATATCGAAGAGCCTGGACCAACTGCGGAACAAAGTAGAAGCGGACATCGATTGGATGGCTTTCCAGGGCCTTCATAGCATACTGCAAAATGAAGGGGTGATTGCCATACGCAGGAAGGAAGTACGTTAGAGCTTCTGTGGGGTTGACAGGTGCCCAATACAACAGATACTGCACATATCAGCTTCCAGATTGGAACTGGAATTAAGCTGGGGATAGGGATCCAAACCTTTAATTGGAACGACACATCCGCAGGCAGCGCTTCCCCGAACATGATCTCAAGGCCGCTAGGCTCATCGATGACCTTCTCGGGGAAGTTCAGCAATAGCCAACGAATGTCGTTTTTCAGCTTGCTGGATGGGAAACGGGTAGCCAGTTGAATGGCTAAGCCAGAACTTTCAGCCCAAGCAAGTCGCAGCAAAGACGTAGCCTCCTAAGAAGAGATTAGATGTGTCTTTTATGTCATACACACGAGTAATGGTGACAAACCTCCGTATGGTTCCTATTAGTGGGCGACTGAGATATATAATGCTTCCGATCCGGATCCAACGGATACAGCCAAACCTTGAGCCGAGATCTCTCGTTCTCCAAGAGGACAAGAAGAAGGTTTTGCTTTGCCTGTAGGGACTTATACGGTCCATGTGTGTCACATGAAATGCTGGCGGTTGTTCCCAAGGTAGAGATCACGTCACCAAGTATCTTGTCCTCGGTCTTAATTTGTAATCGATTACCACCAAAGGACCATCTGCACGGTTGGACTTTAGAAAACCACCCAAGTATCTCTCCGGGGGGAAACGTACCTGGGAGCGTGCTTAAACCAACTCAGGGCGCCAGAGAGAATCTGGTCCTTAAGCTTCCACAAACAGGGCATGCCAACTGAGTTAGAATGCCCCAAAACGTTCAGGCCAAAAAGAACAATGCGAAAGTGTAACTCTCTAGCCAGGGGGTGGCCACTGGTTTGCGCAAGACCTGCGGTTGTTCGGTCAACAAGGCGACAAAACAACCGTTGACTTTGCGCATTCCCCAATCGGATCGCACTGAAGTGGCTCTCAAAAAACCGCAGAATGTGCAGATGTGGTGCTAAATGAGCTTGGGCATCTTGTTGTTTGCTGAGAATTAAAGCCTTGTCGGTTGGCAAAAGTTCGATTTTAGCATACATTGGATCCACGTAACTAGCACAGACACTTGTTAACATAGGCTTCAGGGGAAATTATGTTATGTATGCACTTACTCGAAAGAGGGGTCAAAAAGCCCTCTTTTACGTTCGATCGTCCTTTCCCAGGCATTCAACACTTCCACCAGGACCATCGGCTCTACCCTTGGGTTTTCATGGATGGCCCCCATCCAAAGGGAAATGCCCATATTTATCGACTCCTCGGAGAAAGTTTCGAAGGGCAAAGATACTAGGTAATGGGGGATGGAAGGGTGAGGGTGGCTGCTACTGCACAGAACAGCGGCCGCACGTCGCAGTGTATCGCGTATTTCCACAAGGGACATGTCATTTCGCTGCTTGACCTTTTGATGAAGTTCGGATAGCACGCTCTCAATTTCCCTGCTTGACTCCGAAAGAGTGATTGAACTAGTAGAGACATTGGGTCCTGGATATGCTTAAATTAGCTCGCCGAGCACAAAAAATGCAACATGTACCAACCGATGTTCCCTGGCGCCAGCCTGCCGTTCCCAACCGAAAGCGCATCTGAGAATCGGTACTTTTGACGTGTAGAGTACTGGCCTATGAAATCGGAGGCAACGTTAGTTACCCCCACAGTATGCGTTTCCAGAGATCCTAAAAGCGCGTGAAAGTGTAAGAAACTGTTATCCATAGATGGGGCAAACAACAGAGCCTACCCAATCGCTGGTCACTTTTAGGAATAAGCGAGCCCATGTTTACTGCAAAGGAACGGCCCATTGAAACTTGACCGAAGCCAGTTCCGTCATCGGGCATAGATAGATACGTCTAGCTGCTGGTCAGCCGCTGGTTTCTGAATGATTAGCCAAGGACTTACCTGGAGTAGGCCTTTTATGTCTAACGGTGCAACGTTCATCACGGCTGTCACCCATGCTGTGGCTCGCTCAAGGAATACGTTCAAGGTCTTCCTTCGGTAAACGTAGTTATCGGGTAGGTCAACGGTGACAATTCCCATAGGCGAGGTGAATGAAGGCTTCCATTCAAACTCATCCATATCTTCTTCAAGACAGGAGTTCCACATCACAGTTAAAAGTTCCAGTAATGCAAAAAGCGAATGCTTTGCGCATAATGCGGACGGGCACTCGTTTATTATTTTGTTGGCACAAACCACAGCGACATTTTGCACCCTTTCTATGCGATGACAACAGGCCACAAAGAATCCGGCCAACTCTTTTGACAAGAATGGAACCGAAAAAATCTCATGTTTGCCCGAAAGAGTTAGAGAAAGGTAGTCGGAAATGATCTTTTCCGCAATGTCACCCATGCAACTAGCCATTTCAAAAGTGGCTACGGCCGGATCACGAAAGTAGTCCAGAATTTTGGTGCAATGCCCGGATGAAGCACGGAGACATTCAATCAGTAAGACCGCGTTGAGAAAAACGGATCTGGGGTAATTCAGACGTTTAATGTCCGACTCGCGGCTGGGAATTTCGGAAATCAACATCTTCTTTTGCTCCAGATGACGCTGTGGTCCCATTCCTCGTCTTAAGATTGTGTTAAGCTCAACATCGCTTTCTAGCATCTCCATGCGATCTTCGGAGACGAGTGGGGGGGAGTAAATGGCAAGTAATCTCAACACCTTGTGATGCTTTTGAACGACGGCTGAACTAAGAGACATCCCGTGGATGGCAAGGTTGAACCAAGCATCGCGGAACAAACTAGAGACAACTTGATCATACTCCACGACCACTTCGCCGGCTCCCGCGGCTTTTTCGGAAGATACAAGTAGTGCCAATGGTTTTAGCAATGGAACTATGTCGTTAGGCGCAAGGACAATATCCTTCTGTCGTTCGTTTTCGAAATCAGTAGCATCACCCTTGTTGACAATACTCTCAAGTAGATGTACTAGATAAACTCGATGGAGTGGAGAATCCTTTTGTAGGGAGACAGAAAGATACGCCATTGCACTTTGCACCGCTCTTGTGACGTTGTCATGGCCCTTTATGACTCCATCCCAGTAGATACGATCATAAAATTTGAGGAGGAGTTGAAACTCAGCCTGCCCAGTGCTCAAAGATAGCGAAGCGGTCTCCTTGATGATATATGCATCAACAGCCGCATTGATTTTCCCGATCTTTTGTAACAGCATCGACTGAGCTAGGGCACTGATTTTTTCATCACGACAGTTGGTCGCAATCGTCACAATAGCATGGACAACGCTCCTGTAGGGAATGACTTCCTCGCCGTCCAACGAGATGGAGGCTACGCTACCATTTCTTCGACGGGACGAAGGGAGACCGGTATTTCCATGCCCAGACGCTTCTGTGACTGGCTGGCCATTGTAGATGTTCTCACTACCCGACCCGGGACTCAAGACATTTCCCAGCGAATATAGCGTAGTGATAACTGCGTCTTGTGAGAGGATTCCTAGAACTTGAGCAAGGCACTTCGCAGAAATGGCGCTAGAAGATCGACTGGACACACCACCTTCGACAATGTACCGTAGAAGTGAGCGACTTCCAGAGGCGGCCCCACTCAAAGACATTTTTGCAACAATCGCTATACTTTTCAAAGTAGCAGTTGCTAGTTCGGAGCAAGACATTTGGTTCGGATCCATGAGTACATCCTCTAGCCAACCTTGGAAATCCTCACTATTGGTTATATTTCCACTCAGGATGACACATTGAAGATAACCGATGAAAGCATATGCTTTGACAGAAAAAGCGAGCTTTTGCTGCAAGGGTGAGCCGAGTTGTAGGTAATCGGATCCATCATCCAGAAGCTGGATTTGATCGGCGATGGCTTCTGTTAGGCAGTCGAGAAGATTAACCTCGGCCTCGTCATGACTTCTAGCAATACCAACTCCGTTCATATAGTCATCAAGAAGCTCAGAATCCGAACAATTTTGCGCACCAACCAGAGATGTAGCGCAAGCTTTAACGAATTGCATGAGACCGGCCTGCAGCAGCATAGCTCCTAAGGGTCGTCCATCAGCAGAATACCGCCGAGTGTATTTTCTCCAATCCCTGAGTCCATGTTCTGATGTTCCTGCGTGACGTACTGTAGATGAGGCAGTCTCGACGGCAATCATGAATCCCTCGGACAGAATTGATCGCAGTTGCTGGAGTATCTGCAGCTGTTTCGTGGCGTCCCAAAACGGAGTAAACATAGCCGAAGCTTCTAAGAAGCCAACAAGAGAGACAGCGATCGAAAGAACACCGACAGACTCATGAACAGCCCCCTGCTTTTCTGCCCCCGACCCATAATTCAGCAATGGCACTGCAACATTGATTGCCTCTGCACAATTATCCAAATATCCATTGACAGCAATGCCGACCTTGTCATGCAGTGAAGGATACTCTAAGCCGAGCCTTAAAAGAGCGGAGGTGATGTTGAAGGTCAGAGCCTCCCAAGGTGACGGTTTTACGTTGTGCAAGAAGGGCGACGGGCGGAAAAGCTGGCTGTGTGATTCAGGAAGGTATTGGGATAATTGCATCACTAGCCTGGATGCATGCTCAAGCCTGTTGACCGACGAGGATGCTTTGCATAGTGCCACAAGAACATCTAGTTCCCGAATGCCCTACACGATTCAGCTTAATTCCCCTCTAGAGGCTGGAGAGGCAAACCATGGGCACCCGGGATGTTGGGGCTTGGGATCTCAAAGTACCGTTCAATCCACTCGAGCAGTGTACCAACTGCTTGTAATGTCGAGATAATCGCGCGATATCTGATTCCTCATCGCTCGCGGGGGATTGGACTGCTAGTGTTGCGAGCTTCTCGAAGGCTGAGAACCTTATGTCCGCGGAGAAGCTATGGTCATTTAGAACATCAATTCTTGGACATTTTCTGGGGATGGACCTATTGGCACTCACTCATCCATGGATATAGATTGCTTTTGTCTTTGTTGTGTGATCGTCTGTTTTCAGATCTTGTATTAACTGGACAGTGAAAGTGACGGGGGATCAAACCCCTGGATGTCAGATGCCCACTTGATCTTATTATGCCGAGGCGCGGCAAGTACTCCGTGCAGTGTGTACATTACGCATACGCCGTAGCTCATGTGCGGAAATGGTAAAATACTCCGTATCAGACACCTTTTATGTCAAGAGGTGCTGCCCTCAAGTATCACGTACTGCTTGCAGATTATAGAGATCAAATCCAAGGCCAGTACTTCTTAGGATAATGCTATTCCCTTAACTAGGTATTACTTAGGCGTAAAGATCGCATACCCGACCTTGGTAGGTACCGGTACCTAGTGGTAAGGTGGGTATGTACGTGTATGTACACATGTGTATGTATGTACTGTACATACTCCGTACAGGTACATACCAACTTAAACAAGGAAGCCCTCGCCATTAGCCCATTACATACATGTGTGTACCATACCTCGGAGGTTAGCTCCTTCCTTACTAACACTTCCGGTTGCATTCTGTTAACTACCTACCTACCTACCAGTTACCAGGTACTATTGGAATACACTTTGACTTCACTCCAGACTGTGCCTGTTGAAGGGGGGTGCAACCAGCTTTCTCGCTGTCCTTGTCCTTTACCAATTATCACCCTCGGAATTTCTAGATACCCAGCACAGCTACTCAAGGATGAATTAATCCACTCAGAGAATCACCTCGGGTGTTTTAATTGTCCTGCGCACCAATCCTGTTCACTGGGTTCTGTCCGGCTAATTCGACTTCCTGTCTTCCAAATTATGACAAGGCATGAAAGGCTATCAATGAATAGCAATGGCACCTCAAAATGAGAAGAGCTCCCTCAAACGCAATAGAGTAAGTGATTGTAATCCAGAACGTTTCAACTCACTGACTTTGTCTTGGATAAGGTTAGCACCGAGGACGATTCACAGGATTTGAAAAAGCCGCGACGGTCACAGAGATTATCTCAGAGTCTATCCCCCAAAACTCCTGTTAATCGGTCCTATCTGCCCACTCCGTTGACTCAACAGAACTCAACTGCAACCGATCTTCAAAAGGAAGTAACAGCGACTCCGCCAACCAATTCCAGCCAGGCGCACCCGCAAAGCCCGTCACGCTCAGAACAACCTCAGTCATGCTCCTCCCCCCCCGATGATACTCAAGCCCTTTCCCAATTTGTTTATCCCCCCAGGGCATTTGCAGACGAGGTTGAGGACGAAGCTGCCGAAGGGGTCTGGGGTTACCTCATACCTCTCGATGACAAGGTTCGGGAAGCGCTCGTGCTGAGAAAACGAGACGGTTGTGAACGCAGAAATGCAAGCCCCAGGAACAAACCCGAGAGGCAACCTCGACGTCAAGGCGGGATTTCCGCAAATCAAAATCAATCGCCCGGGGGTTACTTGGTCGGTCGTCATCCCGAGTGCGGTAGGTCATGGGGTCTGCATATGTAACCTCGTTAGGTAGCTGATAGCATTCAGATCTCGTCATCAACATACCTACCATATCCAACCGGCATTTTCTGATATTCTCCGAAAACCGAAAAGGCGATTTCGTCGCCATCATCGAAGATTTATCCAGCAATGGAACATTTGTCAACGACGCAATCGTCGGGCGCAATAAGCATCGTGAACTTGAGGATGGTGACGAGGTCACGATATTGGACGAGGCGCGTTTTATATTTCGATACCCTCGGACACGCGATACCAATGGCTTCCGCCAGCAGTACAGAATCCTGCAACAGCTTGGTAAGGGGCATTTTGCCACTGTCTATCTCTGCGTAGAGCGAGCTACGGGAACTCGATTTGCGGTGAAGCTTTTTGAAAAGCGCCCCGGTGACTCTCAGAAGTCGCAGGCAGATCCTTTGCACCAGGAAATAGGTCTTCTAATGGGCGTCAACCACCCGAATTTGCTTTGTCTTAAGGATACCTTTGACGAAAGCGATGGTGTGTACCTTGTTCTGGAGCTTGCCCCAGAAGGTGAACTGTTTAATCTCATAGTCAGCAAACAAAAATTCTCGGAAAATGAAACACGACAGATATTTCTGCAATTGTTCGAGGGGCTGAAATATTTGGTAAGCAGCGTGGTTTTGTCATTCGTTCTTTATCCTGTGAACAGTGAAGCTAAGAACAGACTAAATAGCATGACCGTGGGATCGTTCATCGAGACATAAAGCCCGAGAATATTCTGGTTGCCGATACGAAGTTGACCGTAAAACTTGGCGACTTTGGACTTGCTAAGATAATTGGAGAAGACTCATTCACAACTACTTTGTACGTTCTAAATTTCGCTGGTACCAGATTGGATTTCCCCTCTCCAATATACTAACAACAATTTTCTGGCCTCATAGGTGCGGAACCCCGAGTTGTGAGTTGCCCATAAAACATCATCGCTACCATTGCCTACTAACTCTGTAGATGTGGCACCAGAGATTCTCCAAGAGTCGCGTCGTCGCAAATACACCAAAGCCGTAGACATCTGGTCACTTGGTGTCGTTCTTTACATATGCCTCTGCGGTTTCCCTCCGTTCTCCGATGAGCTTTATACACGCGAAAACCCATACACTTTAGCGCAGCAAATTAAAATGGGCCGATTTGACTATCCTTCCCCGTACTGGGACTCTGTGGGCGATTCGGCATTGGATCTGATCGATAGGATGCTCACAGTTGATGTGGAAAAAAGGATCACGATAGACGAATGCCTGGAACACCCATGGTTAACAGGGAATTCCCCCAGTGTCTCTGATAGCACGGATGGACTGACTGGCGCACTGGGGAAGCTAGACTTCTCGAAAAGGAAGATCGCTCGTGAGCGAACCTTGCTTAGCAGCATTAATGATGTTGATTTCAGCGAGTGCCAGGAAGGTCCTGGTGAGCCCGTGAAGGTCTTCCACAAGAACAGCGCCGGAAAACGCGTGCATAATCGCCCTGCAAGGGCTGTGGAACAACATGAAGAATCCGCGCCCAATGAGAACAGTGCTCCTAAGGATTTCGCGAATCTCGGAGAACGCGGCGATCCAGCGTTATTCGAGGAGGACCCGACAAGCCGTTACCAATAGGAGCCTTTCTTGGACCGTTCTTTCCTGGGGGTGATTTTTTGTATGACTACCAAAAAAGGGCCGTAGGCTGCCTTTTTTCCTTCTTTTGTCTTTTTGTCACTTTTCTTTATCCCGGCGCTCCCTCTCTCGCCTCTAGCCTAGTCTTTAATTCCATCAATATTCGGAGCTCGATGTGTTTATCCTAAGACAACTTACATACAAACCACGCCACTTTTAAAACTATACATTCACTTTTCAACAACCAAGATCTTTATCTTATTCCACTCGGCCACCGCTCCCGAGGTTGGACTGACTGACCAGAAGGTGAAAGATGTCGGAGCCTGCGGCTTCTAAATTGCCTCTGTGAGCCTAGCCTCTGCCTGCTCTGCTTTCTACATAGGTACAAATTCATCTCGATGACCTTCACTCATCACCTCTTCTTGAGTTTCACTTTTTCTTACACGTTGGAACCATTACTTCATGATGAGCGGAAAAGGACATTAACCAAAGATGTCCACCCCCGGTCACAACCTCTTGCTTTCTTCCATCACGGAGTCGCTCCGATCGGACATTTGGTCAAAGTAATTGTAGGGGCGAGGACGTGGGGGATTCATTCAACGATGGTTGATCGCTTGCCGTTGCTGGGGGTCTTGCTCAATGGTCGTTCCAACCTGAAGAGGTCCTCCGTAGAACCTGATCTACTTCAAGAGTATGGACTACCTAGCCTCCAGCAGGAAATATAAAATCCTCAGGCACCAACAATAAACAACGCGACTGATTGTATCAGAGTAGGTAGTAGCTTCGCTTCATGTTCAATATTGGGCCTAATGATTCAGTAAGTAAGCCTTTAGGGCTTGTATTGCTAAGGTCCCTATACCTACTGGTGTTGTGCATAAGGTGGACTAGGTCATGGTCTCGTTGTAATAGCTAGGTAGGTAGGTCGGTACCTAGGTACCACAAAGGTGTTACGCTTGCTAATTCACGTCCGTGACGATACAAGCAGCGCGGCGGGCTGCTGCGCCAGAGGAGGCAGCACGCAGGTGCAGTACACGTGGATCAGGAGAGAGGCCGAGGTAGGAGCTTGGGGTGTGGCGGCAGGTGAGGAAGAGGAGACATCGCGGCGGAGTACAGTGGAAGGGTAAGCTCTTCAATTGCTTTTCGATGTATGGTCGTGTGGCGACGATGAGCTGAATAGCATCAATTCAGGCGAGTAGGGAACACCCACGCAGCAGGCACTGGGCGAGCTATTTCAGGTATATGAAACCTACTCCTACGACTACTACCACTGCTGCTACTGCTACTGCTACTGTGGAATGATCAACAGCAGATATCTTGGCGATGCTTGGGAGCTCCTATATAGAGCGCCAAGTTCCAGGCTTTCGGCTTACGGAATGCATTAAGTTCATCGAAAAGAGGGGGCACGGGGTGGGTGGGGGGTGTATACAGCTAGCGTATACTAAAACAATATAAGATACCTAAAACAGTGAAGGTATCAAACCAAACTGGCTGAGGCCATTGACATACATAGAACTGTCCATAGTCTAGCATTGAATACAAACTGCTATGATGCTGTTAAAGCCTCCCTATTTGGAGATAGAGGAATAAATATGTGAAAGATTCTCTGAGGTTCTGCGATGTGAATGACCTGCTTACCTCGTCCTTCACTGCCTGCTTCACTCACCCACGCTGAAAATATTTCACTTCTCTTCTGTTATTCCCTCTTCTTTGTTTTCTTCTTCGTCCTCTTCCTCTTCTTCCTCCCTCCTCCTCCTCTTCTTTCTCTCCCCAGGTCCAACAACGATAGACTCGACGGCGATGAGACCAAGGCCAAGGTGCCCCCGGAGATACTTGTCCATTGGAAGCACTTGTTGGACAATGATCTCATTGTCCCGTGCCCTCGTGTTCTGCCCGGCAATGTCGACGACACCGAGAATACCACGGTCAATGCTGATAATAGCCGCGGTCTACAATGCTGATAATACCGCGGTCCACAATGCTTGGTATGATACCGTGGTCGACAGTCGCCCTAGAGTCGTCGATGATGATGTTGATTGGTGGACAAGAATTACTTCATGATGACCGAGAAAGCATCACAAAAAGGGGGAAAGGAAAAGAAAAAAAAAAGGAAAAAGAGAAGGTTTAAAAAGCCGCAAAATTTCATATCATGGGTCCCACATATCCAGGCCTGTATCAAGTTCAGTGTTACTTAGCTCCCAATTTCTCTTTCCTACCGTCACGAAACATCTTTGTGCTGGTTTCCCGAGTCTCCCTTTGTAAATACCTCTTGGTTGCTATTTCTATCCCTCACGGATCATAGGATCACCTTCCATTTTCGAGCTTTCGGGGCCTCCATCTTTTCATCTTTGAACACTTCCCCCATTTGCAGTTCTTCACGCTATTCACCATGACACCGTCAGCCATCTCTCCGTCATCGATCACTTACCACCCCAAGGCGTCAAACGCCATCCCAGTGGATTCTCCAGCAGTGGCACGAACTCACGTTGAGTCGTTCTTGCCCAGATGGAACGAGGGGAACTTGCAACTGAAGCTGTCTTCGGAAAACCTCACCAAGGACATCCGTTGCATTTTGCAGAAAGCCTCGGAGAAGAATTTATGCAGGTGGGAATATGACCCGGAGTATCAAATCTTGAAGGTCAAGGCTATGGGTTGTCATCTGCATACCGCCCTCAACTTATGCATCGATCGATCTCTTGCCAATGCGAGACATACCGTCCTAACTCCTGACGAGTCCAAGTGCATTTTGTATCAACCGTTGCCCACTCTTCTATCCAGACCACCTCAACCCGACCTCAGACTCACAGGTGGAAAGAAACGTGCAGCATGGCTCAAACATCCTGACGAGGTGATATTTTTCCAGGAGAGGGCCGGCAAAGAAAAGTTTCTACAAGTTGTCATCGAAAATGGGTTCTCAGAAAGTTATCATGATCTGGAACGTGACGCTAAACAATGGCTACTGCGGTCTGGTGGTCGAGTCAAACTAGTGATCATCGCCAAGATAGAGGAGGATAAGCGTCAGCTCGACATCCACCAGAAGACGGAGCAGTTCAAACGCACTCGGGATCATCTTGTTGCCAAATACGGAGATGACATGTCCCGAGAGATGTACGAGACCTACGACATCGAATGTGCCCCTCAAGATTCCTCAGCCGATATGTACGAGGCGCTCGGTTCTGAAATCGCTGCTTCTGATTGGGTTGGCCCTATTTCTGTCTTTGTTGAAGTCTGGCGCTTGAGAGACGGAGAACCTAGTCTGACGGAGCCACGCATTGTGAGTCTTCCATCGATGAAAAGGATAGTACTGACTAGGTCTTCAGGATATTCTTCCCACCCCCGCTAGCCCGCGAGACCTTATACTCAAAGTCACGGACTTGATCCCTGACGAACACCGGGCCTCGTTTCCCAACTTTGATGCAATGAGGACTATAACTATAGACATGGCATGCTTTCGTGTTGAGCTGGACCATGCGAGGATGGGCACAGCGCTCATCCGAGCTCTAAAGGTGATTCGACCGCTAGACAAGGAGGAAAGCGGCTCTGAGTACCTATCCTAGGTCAGGGTATTATCTTATCATTAAGAGAGACAATGTAATACCACGAGTCAGTCCTTTTTTGATTTTCCTGTAGGGATTATAACTTCTCGACTCTAGAGGTGCATGCATGAGTTTCAGGAAAGAGGGCACTGAAGGCTACATCCGGGCTTTATATATTTCTGTTTACTCATTTGGTGTACGCGCCGAGTGTATAAAAAGGCACCAATATCTATAACTAGAGAAATGGCCCTAGAACAAACTGGGTAGAGCCTTCTAGGAATGTTTGAGGCACTAACACGCAGCGCGGAAAGACTACGCACAACCATAGTCTTTCCGCCGTCATCGACAATTACTCCGTGCTCCGATTGCGCCGTAAGTAGGTACCTGCTAGTGCCAACTAGCGCCGACTTCCAGGCCCATGGAACCAGGCCCACGCGCGGGCGGGTCGGACTTTTTTTCCCACCTAACAGTTCGTATCCATCTCGTCTCCTTATCACTCAGGGAAATTGAATGCCAACAACAGTTCTCCTTCCACGCCGTTGAGCTTGCGAAGTTTTCGGAAAGTTTAGGAGAGTGCCTCAGGACGAGACACTCCTCCATTTCATGCTCTTTTCTCGTTAAAAGTTATCCCTTCCCTGCATAGCCATGGGCTTCTTGGCGCTCATCCTAGACAACCTTCATGAGCATTGCTCAGGTCTGTCCGTTGGAGCTCTTACTGGAGCAGGATTGATTACCCTGCTCACTGCATCTGTTGTTGCCAATGTCTTGCGACAGCTCCTGTTCCAAAACCCACGGGAACCCCCTGTGGTTTTTCACTGGTTTCCTTTCATTGGTAGCACGATAAGCTATGGCATGGACCCATACAAATTCTTCTTTGGCTGTCGCGCTAAGGTATGAAGATGAAGCCTTGAGTCTCAGAAAGCTTTCCTACCGTCTCCTCTCGCTCACTTATCTGACTTTGCAGTACGGCGATATCTTTACCTTCATTCTCCTCGGCAAGAAGACAACGGTATATCTGGGTACCAAGGGAAACGAATTCATTCTGAACGGCAAACTCAGGGACGTTTGCGCTGAAGAGGTTTACTCGCCACTTACGACGCCCGTGTTTGGTCGCCATGTGGTGTATGATTGCCCCAATGCCAAGCTGATGGAACAGAAAAAGGTAAACCGTTGTCTCCTTGCCCCCCTATCCTGTGAAACAAGACCAACACTTGCTGATGGGTACAGTTTGTCAAATTTGGCCTCACATCCGACGCACTTCGCTCATATGTCCGTCTGATTACCGATGAAGTGGAAGATTTCATTCAGAACTCCTCGGCTTTTCAGGGTTCTAGTGGTATCTTTGACGTATCCAAAACAATCGCTGAAATTACTATCTACACTGCTTCGCGTTCCTTACAAGGACAAGAGGTCCGGAACCGGTTCGATTCCACCTTCGCCGAATTGTATCATAATCTCGACATGGGTTTTGCCCCCATCAATTTCATGTTGCCCTGGGCTCCCCTTCCCCATAACCGGAAGCGCGACGCAGCCCAGAGAAAGATGACAGAAACCTATATGGAAATTATCAAGGAGCGCCGTCAGGCCGGAAATGATAAGAATTCTCTAGATATGGTTTGGAACCTCATGTCTTGTGTGTACAAGAATGGCGCTCCGGTCCCTGACGAAGAAATTGCGCATATGATGATTGCTCTGCTTATGGCTGGTCAGCACTCCTCTTCATCCACCGCTGCATGGATTGTCTTGCGTCTCGCTGCGCGCCCTGATATAATGGAAGAGCTCTACCAAGAACAGCTTCGTGTACTTGGGTCCGATCTACCTGCACTCACCTATGAAGGCCTGCAGAAATTGGATCTACATGCCAAGGTCATCAAGGAAACATTGCGCATTCATGCCCCTATCCATTCTATCATCCGAGCAGTGAAGAACCCGATGCCCGTGGAAGGCACACCCTACGTAATCCCAACTACTCACAATGTTCTTTCTTCGCCCGGTGTCACTGCAAGGTCAGAGGAACACTTCCCCAATCCTCTGGACTGGGATCCTCACCGTTGGGATGAGGTCACCATTTCCAATGCCGAGGAGGAAGAGAAGATTGACTACGGATACGGTCTCGTCAACAAAGGCACCAATAGTCCCTATCTCCCATTTGGGGCTGGGAGGCATAGGTGCATTGGCGAACAATTCGCTTACGTTCAGCTGGGCGCGATAACCGCGGCTTTGGTACGATTATTCAAGTTTCGCAATTTGCCAGGAGTTGAAACGATTCCGGACACAGACTATTCGGTAAGACTTGAGCGTATTCCCAAACCCCTCCTTATCCGCCCTAGCTAACCCTGCGCAGTCCCTATTCTCGAAACCACTTGGCAAATCCTTCGTGGAGTTCGAGAAACGAGGAGATGCCAAATCATAATTTGGGTCCTCTTGTTTCCTGCTTCCTTCTGCCTCCGCATCGACACATCAATGTTTCCCATACTTTATAGAGCATACAGAAAGGTGGTGGTTCCGGGACTGAATAAAATGGGCAAAAAAGATAAATTATCTCTTGGTGTGGCCATGCATGTGTATATAAATGCACGGTCCCTATACTCCATCCACTTCAATTCCTCGCTAATGCTTTAGCAGTAATGTAGATTGTCTTCATTCGTTGTTTCTCGACTTGACCGATCTTTGTTTGTTAACTCTCCTTGTTCCTTCCTCGGAAGTACAACCTAAGAGTATATATATGCCTTAATTTGAAGGGATTTAAGTCTTGTTATAAGAATATGGAGGATAAGACGTCGCAGGTCGATTTGTCGAGGAACCTCAACACGGCCGTCGGTTGAGATAACAGAGATAACAAGAAAAGAGGCATATCGTTCACACATTACATGTACCTACGCTAAGCAGATGGCATGGCATGCTTTGAAGAAAGATACTGTCGCCCAGCATGCTAGCGAAAAGGTTAAACATAATATGCGCTTAGATCCGATTTAAGTACAGTACATCAAAGGAAAGAGCTAATATACATTGCGCGAGACACCCGGTTCAAATAGGCAGGCTTTAGGCTGTTCCTTTCCTCCGTTCCTCGCTTCTCTGCTTAGCTCTGACTTCAGCGCGCCTCCTCTCCCCACCATCCACCTTATGCCCCAATTTGTCTTCCCACATGCCTTCCTCGGCTTGGATTAGACATGCCTGGCCATTTGCGCCCTTTATCGGCTGCAAGAACGGTCCACGAACCATGGAGCCGCGATGTATCTTCATGTATGCAAATTTCTTGAGCGATCTCGACGAGTCGTGCGAATACTCGGTAGCATCCGGGGGTAGATTAACGATGGTTTTTCTCATGCCGGGAGACAGGGTAGCCGAAGAACCCGGGAGCTTTGGGTGTACAGCGTCTTTGGAAAAGGCAGTGGGATCCAGGGGAACTTCGACGACTCTCAACTGCGCAACACCATCGACAACGTGGTCCAGGTCGCCACCGGGCCCGTGAATGCCCTGCCTGAACTTTTCTCTCTTGCGAAGTAGATATCGCCTCTGGCGTGCTGGTTCAATGCCCAAATCACGGAGCTCCGTCGACGTGAGTGCAAATAACTTGTCCCAGGAAGGAAACTTGCTTGCGTGCTTGGCCATACCACGACCAATCAACTTGAGAAAGGTTTGGACATCGGGAACAAACGGTGTCGGGGAAGGTACGGAGGGAGAGGGTGTATTATTATGGAGACATCGAACACACTGCTTTCCGATGGCGAAAGGTCTGATGATTCGAGATGAAAGATAGGCGCTGCGCATTGTCACGGTTGACCACGTCGCGTTCGAGGTCGTCGCAAAGCCTCGGTACACTCGGCTGGGATCTGTTCTGATGGTTGGCAGGCAAGGCTCGGGGGATTCGAAGATCAATTGATTGTTTTGGTTCGGGGCGAAGGGCGAGGGTATGCTTCCATCGGGCAAGCATCAATCTGCTGCCCTTTCCAGCCTGGGGCGGCCGGGAGAAATTTCGGTGTGTCCGAGGAACAATGAAAGCCCGAACGCCGCGAGGGCAACGCCGGAACTCACTGACCACTGCTTGTTCCGCAGAGCTCCTCGGGGGAGAAGGGAAAACGAAAGAAAGAAACAAAGAAAGAAAGAAACCAAAGGGACCTAGCATCCTAACTCACCCGATGGCCAGCGCCGGCTGACATCGAGTTCATCTGGCTTTTCATCACTCGCGGAATCATGCTATACTGATCGGATTAGTATAATTACAAACCTGCAATCACCCTCCCCTATAACAAAGCAAATAAAAAGATAAAAAATAAAAGACAAAATGGCCGTGTCACCTTTGGTGTCCCGCTCGCCTTCTGTTACCGTATCGTCTAACACTGCCGTGAGGTTGAGAAGCGTCGCTGCCCCGGACTCTCCCAGTGGGCAAGAAAATGGGACTCCCTCCAAGTCTGGCCAGTCTCCCGACCGTGAACTCACAGAACAACTGAACGATGATATTAGAAATCGATACGTCAAAGGTGCAGCTCTCTTCCTTCTACTGATCTACGCCCATGGCTAATGTGAGACTCTGCAGACAAGAAATTGGGCGAGGGTACCTACGCCATCGTATATCTAGGCCACCTTCGCACCGACTTGTCATCGTTCGTGGCAATCAAAAAGATCAAGGTCAATACTGAATACAGGGATGGTCTCTCGATGGATGCGATTCGCGAAGTCAAGTACCTACAGGAATTGTCACATCCCAACATCATCGCGCTGCACGACGTATTCTCCTCGAAGGATCAAAACCTGAATTTGGTTCTGGAGTATTTGCCTCGTGGCGACCTCGAGATGCTCATCAAGGATGTGAACGTACAGTACGGCGCGGCTGACATCAAAGCCTGGATGGGGATGCTTGCGCGAGGGGTGTGGTTCTGTCACGAGAACTTTGTGCTGCATAGAGATATCAAACCAAACAACCTGCTCATCGCGTCTGACGGCGAGGTGAAGTTGGCGGATTTCGGCCTTGCGAGATCGTTTGCCGACCCCTACTTGAATATGACTCACCAGGTAATCACTCGTTGGTATCGGCCGCCCGAGTTGCTCTACGGAGCGCGGCAGTATTCGGGGGCCGTGGACATATGGTCCATGGGGATGGTGTTTGCGGAGCTTCTCCTGCGGGTTCCCTTTGTTGCTGGGTCCTCAGATCTCGACCAAATCAGCCGGATATGTGAAGCCTTTGGCACACCCACCGAGGACAACTGGCCAGGAGTCTCTAGACTGCCCAATTATTTCCCCACCGACCCAGCGAGCATCATACCGGTACAAGGCCGGGAGTTTTTCCAGCGGCAGTTTTTAACGGCCGGGCCTGTTGGTGCCGATCTCCTCATGTCCATGTGCACACTCGATCCCAGGAAGCGGAGTACGGCATGTCAAATATTACAGCACCGTTGGTGGGTCAGCGAGCCGAAGCCAACGGAGAACGAGAATCTTCCTAGTAAGCCGGGGGGGACGAAGAAAATGGGCAATGATCTGACGAGAAAGGTTGGCGAGGTTGACGAAACGCCCTTCAAAAATGCCGCTCGGCAATTGGATTTTAGTACAATGTGAGCACTGAACTTTGCCGTCGGGGTCTTCCGTAGGGGGTGTACTAGTGTGCGACCTGTGCTCAAGGCCATCCGGGAACTCCTGGACTTCATACGCAGTAGTTAGATTGATTGCCCCTTGGCCACTGAGCTAGGTCCCAAGGGGGGGCAGGCCTTAGGCCCTTGGGCCCTATATACGTACGGTACCTGGTGCCTGGTACATGTACATACATAAGTACGGTACCTGGTGCCTGGTACATGTACATACATAAGTACTGTACCTAAGGTAGGGAAGGGACATGAGGTACCCAGGTCGGTATATACCGTACCGTAAGGTATCTCAGGACCGTATGTATGTATGTATGTATGAATGTATAGATACCCCCTCGGTATTCCCCTTACCCTTTGCTCCTCCGGATCCTCAGATCCTCCCCCGTCCGATAAACCCGATAAACAAACAACCGGTCGATTGAGTCGGACATGCCTGCTTGATTAATTTCCGACCAAGTGATATCAATGGATGACTCTGGCCCTTGAGGGGCAATGATATCCGTTCTTTATCCTCTTCTCCGCAAGGGAATCGACAGGGGGGATCCCCTACCACCACGCCTGTCCGTGCCGCTCCTTCAAGACGCGACTAGAACTAAAGAGCCCTCGGCGCCGCCTCTTGCTTTCTCCCCCTTCTGCCGTCTCCCATTTCCCTCCGAACAAGTCATCACCCCGTGGTTGCGGTTGTTTAGACGGACTTGGTATACCCTCAAGCCTTTGCGCCCACCTCTCGTCCTTCACGTTTGTATTTGTCTCTCCTTTCGCCCGTCTTTCCGCCTCTACCAACATCCTCTGGGTACTGAGACCCGATCCCTCTTCCTTCAGGGGCACCTCGTGCGATTCATCGTTTGATCTAAACCTGGACTACCGGCTGGGCGGCATAGGCGATTACTGTCTCAAACCACAACCAAAGGTTTCTCTGATTTCCGGCAAAAAGCAGGGGGGCGCGTTCACTCTTCTGCAAGTGCTCGCTGGGCCCTTTTTCTTTGTCTTCTTTTTTCTTTTCGTTTTATTTGAATCAGCGGGGCAGCAATAAAATCAAGATCTTTGCGCCCGATCCAGTAAGGCCCATCCCCCTCCCCAGTTTTGACTATTCCCCGTGGACTTTTTTGGAGATTTTACTTTAAGCCACTGGGGAATAGCCAAGACCCAGATTTCATCCTGGTATATCTATTCCCACCCAGTGCTGGGAGGTGGAATTTAGATCTGACCCCATCCTTTGATCTATCTACGTGATAAGTGTGTCCGTATAATATGCCGTTCATCTAACTCCATCATAGCGTGTTCTTTAGCTGGGGGCTTGACAGTCCGCCGTTCACGTCTTCCATGAGTTTGCGTATGGTCCACCGATCACCCAATCGATATTGTCTCCTTTTTTTCAAGTCGCCTTACCGGTTCGCCGCCGAGGGAATATTGGCGTGATCCATCATGTCCACAATACCACAACCGTCGAAGACAACCGGAACCCCTACAGCTGGATCACCATCTTCAATTTCCACATCGAAGTCACGGAGGAGTTTCCCTGCTCCCTCCGATGCACCAAGGGCGCAGTTTCAAACATCTACAAAAGCGCGCACGCCCTCTAGCCCCAAACTTCCATTGGGGAACAAGTCTCCTCTGAGCCACTCCGTTTCAAGCGCTAGCGCGTCTAGGTCAGTTTCTGGAATGCGCGCTCCGAGCAGTCCTGAAAAGTCACTGCGTCGAACTATTAGCATTGCAGCTTTCCCTCAGCCACCGAGAGCTGCGAGCCGTCCATCTACCTCGTCTTCTATGTCAGGGAATCAAAGTGTGCATTCGTCGGGGAGTGTAAAGGTGAAAAGAGGCTCCAGATTAAGCGTCGGAACGACCAGCAGCTACCGAAGCTCGAAAACCCCTTCCCTGCTGAACGGGGGCGCAGATGGGAAAGCCATATCAAGTACAGAAGTTCGGGACCCGGAGGCCTCTCCCTCGCAAAGCAGAAGCTCCTCCGCCCAAGGATCGTATTCTACAAGTGCAACTACCTTCGAGGACGCAGATGATATGTCCAGGTCGGATTCAAAGCCAAAGGAGGCCAAAGGCAACGTCATCGTCAGCGTTCGGGTACGTCCAGACATTAACGGAAACGATCCTTCAAAATCCAGCAGCGATTGGACACTGGACCCACGACGAAGTCTTATCTCACATCAGGGGAAAGAAGGGGGCGACTATTATTATGGTAAGGCCTCTGTTTTTACCGACTAAATATATGCGCAATTTCAACGTCGTGAGCTGACTCATTTTATTTTCTGTCGGCAGATAACGTCTTCACCAGCCATGAACACAATGCCAAGGTCTACGACTCCGCCGCAAAACGCCTTGTTCGAAGGGTAATGGAAGGTTATCATGGTACTGTATTCGCCTACGGCATGACGGGGACAGGAAAGACCTTCTCAATGCAAGGCATTGCCACCTCGCCAGGTGTGATACCACTAGCCATAACAGACATATTTTCCTTCATTAGGGAAACACCACATCGAGAGTTTCTGCTTCGTGTCAGCTATCTGGAAATATACAACGAGAAGATCCACGACCTTCTGTCCGCGTCCGGTCCCAATGGGGCTGCTGGCCCTCAGCAAGAGGAGATCAAGTTGCGTGAAGATAGCAAGCGAGGTGTATATGCAACTCCTCTGAAAGAAGAAATTGTGCAGAGCCCCACACAACTTCTTCGCGTGATTGCAAGAGGTGATCATGCAAGACGTACAGGCAGTACTCAGTTTAACGCCCGCAGCTCACGAAGTCATGCAGTCGTTCAAATAGTTGTGGAAAGCAGAGAGCGGGTCCCCGCTAATACCTCTCAGGACCGGCGATCTGGCATGGCCCCAGGCGGCGTGCGGGTATCAACACTAAGTTTAATCGACTTGGCTGGATCGGAGCGCGCCGCTGAGGATAAGGAGCGGCGCACGGAGGGTGCCCATATCAATAAAAGCCTGCTCACACTAGGCACTATCATTTCGCGCCTTTCGGACGACAAGGATAAGCCCGCCAGCACTGCTGACCGAGAGGGTAGGCACTTGCCGTACCGAGACAGCAAACTCACGAGGCTACTTCAACCTGCATTATCTGGCAATTCCCTTGTGAGCATTCTATGTACCATTCAACTTGGTGGAGCAGCCAACCTGCAAGTGGCTGAAACTCTTAACACTCTGAAATTTGCGGCACGAGCAAAGAACAGCATTGTTAGTCACGCCAGAAGAGCCGAGGAGGCATTTGGCAGTGGTGGCGGTGATGCAGGTAGTCGAGTTCTCCTGGAGCGTTATCGTGTTGAGATCCAAGCCCTTCGTGGCCAGCTTGAGAGCCAAACAAAAGCTCAGGCCGAGAAAGAGTTGAAACTGGAGGAGCAGCAATTAGAAAAGGAAGCGCAAACACGCCACGAAGAACAAATGCTCGAAATGCAATTGGCTCGGACGGCCCTCAAGGAACGAATAGAGCATCTCAATCGACTGATTCTCTGTTCCAAATCAACGGGCGTGAACATCTCCGGCTCTCTCTCTGCCCTCGGCCGGCTCTCTAGAATGTCCATTACCGAATCTGGCTCCCGATCCCTGCGTTCCTCAGCTAGCCAGTCCACCTTGGCAGCGTTCGGGCAGTCTTCTGCTCGTCCCAGTTCGTTTCTGTCACTAAATAGTAATGAAGGCTCTCCAAACCTTCCTTTATCCGGCGGTGTTGGCAATGACGACGAGGAGGATAGCATGGGTGAGTTTGCAGACGGCAAGGCGAGTTCTCAACGGCAAATTGCGGCCCTCCAGGCCGATCTGGGCGACAAAAACCGATACATTTCTACTTTAGAAAGACGACTACTACAAGCTCGACGCTCAAGTCATTCTCGGATGTCGATTGGTATGAAACCTGGAACCTCTTCGTTGGAGGGCCCAGATGTGATGGCATTGCTTCGTGAAAAAGATATGGAAATCAACGAGCTTCGGCAACAGTTGGATGATAAAGACAGAATGCTAGCTGCGCTCCGGTCCGCTGCACGTCATCGGGATCTCGCCCAGCTTACCACCGATGCGTACCCGCTAGAAGAAAAGGACAAGATTGATCACATTGACTTCCCCAATGGCGCCAGCCTCGGCCTGATACCGCCGCCGAGGGGAGATGAGACTGATCAGCGGCGGAAGAGCATGGATGAAGTTTCCCGAATCCTCGACGAAATGATCCAGGATCGAATTGAAAATGGCCACCTCGTCAAGGGCTCTCATGGAAGTGTCCAGGTTGCTACCGGCAGTCGTCGTGCATCTGGCTCTGTAGCCGGTGTACCGGGCCTGAACTCGGGCCCTGTCATTTCAGGAAATGGCCCGAGGGATTCAGGTGAAGGCTAGAATGATCTTTTGATTGTCTCGTTTCTGTGTCTTCACACCAATACCCTAAACACGGTGCTTTGATCCTCACCATCTCACCACATAAGATTGGCTCTTCACTCTTGTGAAGACTTGGCTTGCCTTTTGGTCTAATCTTTTTTCTTTCTTTGTTTCCCCCCCCCTTTTTTTTTGTTCTCATTTTTCTTTTCTGTTTGTCTTAATTCCCCCTCCTTTTTGTTTTCTCTTCTTCACAGATACCCAGGCTATAGCTTATCTTGCACTTGTACCTTATCAGACATTTTTGCGCTCATGACGATTGAATAAATGGTTGTGTAATTTGGAAGCAGTCAGTGCTGAATAGTCACAATACGATATGCACTTGCGTGATTTGATGTCCCTATGGATACCACTTCGAACAGGATGAGAGAGTATTTGTTGGGCATTAGGACTAACCATTGACAAGTCATCTATATCTAACCAGGCTAATTCTTTCACTTGCCATCGCCTATGGCTGTTGGGGTTTTTTCTTTTCGTTTTATCCGAAAGGATGCAAATATATGCCTTTTATGTGTAGCTAAACTATAGTATATATATTTAAAAGTCGCCAATACACTCAAACAACACTTGCTTCCATGTGGGTCGCTTATGTACCACATCAGTTCCGTCCCCTAAATCAAGAGAATAAATGTTCAAGAATCGTGCACCAGGCTGGAAACCCTAGCTTGGCAAAGCACGTCATGCAACAATCTCGAGCTCTGAGTTTCTGTCTTTGCCATACACGTCCTTCCACTGCTCCCAGAGTCTTTTCAATTCTGACACGTACTGATCATGAAGGGAACTGATGTAATTATCGTCGATTTTGCCTCTATCACGCTCTTGCATGACGGGGATGGGGCGGCCGACAACAATGTTGAGTGAACGGCGGTACGGCATCAAGCCCACGTCATAATTAAAAACCCCGCGGGCATGGAAGAGTGGGATGGTGAACCCCATTGTATGTTTTATCAGCATCTGAAGCTTGTGTATTAGAGGATGCCGGTCTGAGCGGACTTGTTCATAGAGATCATTTTCACCAAATGCTAAAACCGGCACCAAGTCAGCACCGGTGCGAATGGCTAATTTGATAAAGCCCTTTCGTCGCTTGAGAACAAGACGCAATGAGGATGGCAAGGCATCAAGGGATTCGCGAGCGCCACCAATTACAATCGTAATAGCACGGCCCATTCCTTCGCCATCAGCGCCGCCCTTTGTCAATATATTCTCACATGACTCGCGCGAGACACTGGCAAGGCCCATTGCCAGAGCATATTCTCTATAAAATGGAATCCGAAAGTTGGAGTCGAGAGTAAGCAAAGTGTTAGTGATCCCCGGGAAAAGCCTAGAGAAACCCAGAGCTTCCGTTGCGAATGCTGCAAAGGCGCCATGAGAGATGATTCCATGAGGGTGGTACCCAAATATGTATTTTCGGGTAGGAATGAGGTTTTCTGAGCGATGCAGGCGAGCAGGAAAATAAGAAGCGTAGAGTGACCATACTCTGAGCGAACGCAAGAAACTGCTTCGACCACTCAAGGATCCAGATGTTGCCGCGTTGGAGAACAATGAAATATAAACCAGGTATGGCAAAAGCAGTGGCCAGGACAATGGTAACGCGCAGGTGAAAAAGAAACAGGTAAGGAATATGGCAATTGTCAGGGTATGGCAGAGAACCACAAAGGTCTGTAGACGCCGTTCAAGGCCTATATTTAACGGGGCCCAGTGAACGCTAGATTCCAAAAGTCAGCCAGTTTGGACTGCAACCCTGATCCTTCTGGTCTCCCGCTTTTGACGAATGTGTTTGGGTGGAAAGAATAGAAACGACTCACGTCTTTTTTCCCTTCCTAGACCCACGGAAAGCATCTGCTTTAGTGCTCTCATCAAAAGCTGATGACCGAGCTTCAACGTTTGACATTTTGATGGATTTGCTTCCCTTTTGGGGATCTTTTCTCTGTTTTCCCAAGAGAAGCTGCGATCCGGATCATCTATGCTTTGATGCAAGGTCAATCATGTCTATCTAGCAAGTGTGCGTCAAAAAGCCAGCCTGTGCCGTGACCTGCTGGAAATCCTGCAAGGACTGACAATGAGAGCGTAATGATGTTGGATGGCCGTGGGACAGGAGGACGGAAGAACTCCTAGTGAGCAGTACTTCCTAGTTGGTTTCAAGATGGGGTTTCCATGAACAAATGATTAGCTAATGACCAGCCCATTGTTATCTTATCGACTACGCTTACGCACCTTACGAGGTACCGAGTACCAACCTAGGTACCTAGGTGCCTAGGTAATGAGATGTATTATTACCTACGTTACATGCACTACGGTATTAAACATCATCAGGTAAGGGTAATTAAAGACGTTTTCAGCACGATGCTCTATGTAAAGTAGGTATGTATATGGATGTATGTACGCGAGGTGGTTACGATTTTACCATGAATATCTGGGCAGAATTAGCATCAGGCTCACGAAGGCCTTGTAAGGCAAAGCATGGAGGGTGTTTATTCACCTCGTTCAGAGACTTATCATCCAACAGGGCTTTCTTCTTCTGTGCGATATGTCGACCTCGGAGCATCTGTCTCCCCAAGGGCCGGCGCTCCCTTGACGGCATAGCCGCTAGCGGTGGTTTTGGTCTACCATCGCTGGTAGCACTCTGTGACTCTGACTCTGACTCCGGTACGTCTTGGTCATGATTGGCAGAATCAGTCTCTCCATCGTTCTCCTTTCGCTTTCGTTTCTTTTCCTTTTTTTCCCTCTTATCCCTCTTATCTTTTTTATCTTTTTTATCTTTCTTATCTTTCTTATTCTTCTTATCCTTCTTATCCCCCTGCTTGCTCTTTTTCTCGGCTCGTTTCAGATGGCTGTTTTCAAGATCGGGATCCTTGTTGCTCAGGGAAGTTTGCGCGCCCGTGTCTGTCATATCGGCCCCGGGGCTACTCCGAATCTCACGCGCAGGCAGCGAATCCTCCTTTTCCTGTGCCAGCAAGCCACCACTGATGAATTGGATGGTCTGCCATCTTGTAGAAACATACCGAGCTAGTTTGGCATCATCGACCTTGCGCTGATCAGCCGCAATGTCGGTATCTGATTTGCCGTTCAATCGGCCCAGCAGCCCTCTAAAGGCGTCCAAGCCGGTAGGCTCGTCGAGAAGATCACGTTTCGGCCGAGCCCCAAGTCCAAGTGTATCATCCTTCAATGCAACTCTTATATGGGATGCACTTGCAGCCGTGAACATATCAGCATGTGCGGCATTGTGTGCGCCTAGGAAACTGCCTGGAGTCCATCCCTGCGCGCTGAGGATCTTGTGTCCGAAACCGCTCGTTGATCGCGCCCAGTTTGTATTGTTAGGGTCGTGAGAGATTTTTGTTCTTCTGAAAGTAGAGTAAATCGTCAGTTGAGCCTAGATTCGGGGGAGAAGACTGAGAGTGAATTTAGGCATACTTGCGAGGTGCCGCCAGGCCCATTTGTGCTGTGCGGAAGAGTGTGGGAGGGTAAATTCAACAACAATACACTCAAAGAGTGGCAGGGAGACTTCCAGGTTGAAAGAGGGAATTATCTAACAGTACTCCGTGGTCAAGGATTCTAGAGAAAGTCGGACTTTTTTTTTTCTTTTTTTTTTTTTTTTTTGCCTTTGGATTACCGCCGGGTCAAGACAAGCCGCCTACGCCTTTAAGTAAAGCTCGGAGTTCGGGGACCCGCATTGGTCAGGTACTGTACTGTATGTACATATGTACAGAGTGAAGTACATGTACATTACCTACCTACCTACCTGGTACCTACGTAGCGTATGTTCGTTCCAGCAGTACTGTGAGGTGTGCGGTACTGTCAGGTCCCCGTTCACCCCCCATAACTGCCTACTCCGTAAGATCATCCACGAGAGCTCCGAGCCTCCTGGTATTTACTCCACAATTTGGCACATCCTCACTCCCAGGCTGTCCAAACCATGGTCAATTTCCAGTCCTTTAAAAATGTCTAGCTTGCGAATCCTTGCGAGAAATCACCCTCAACGTACTCTAGCTTTGGCCACCACTGATTACGTTCTAATCTTCAAGCATAGCTCCACAATCTCCAAACCCAGCAGCCAGCGGCGAACTGATTCACCACGTTGTTTAGTTGAATTTGCTAGTCAGTCAGACGTAGATTTGAGCAGCTATCAGAAACTAGGTGATGGCTATGGCACGCTGGGATTGATTACTTTTGACGACGAGGTTTTTCTCTCCGTCGTCACCGCCCGTTCCAAAGCCGCAACGATCAGGCCTGGAGAGAATATTTCACGAATTGACAATGTGGATTTCTGTAAGGTTCTCGATGAATGTCCAAACGGGTCTGTTCTAATCGTGACAGTCTGCCTTAATCACTCAGAATACGAGGATGGCTTTGACCATGAGCTCAGATCGTCGTCCCCTGCAACCGAAGACTTCACGCATAATGTTGGCCTGGACTCCAAAGAGCTGGTTGCGGAACACCCCTTCCTAGCTCTGAAAAAGCTTCTCGGTGATGGCAGTTTCTACTATAGCCTTGATTTCAACCTTACAGACAGACTACAGGACCGGTGAGATGATCGTGATATTAAATAAGGACGTGATCAAGCCTAGCTGATATCTTGTCAGTTCGGACAAGTCGGCAACTTTCGACATTGAGTCTCTAGATGAAGACATGCTATGGAATTCATACATGATTCATCCTCTTCTTCTTTTCAGGAGCCACCTATCGTCCCGCGAAAAACAGCATCTAGACTCTTGTCAGATCCTCACTTGTGTGATAAGAGGCTTCTCTAGTACCCTAACAATCCCGGCTTCCGTCTCCATCCTGCCTCGGTTACAAACCCATTACCCCTCTACGCTAAGCATAATATCACGACAGTCCTCTCGACGTGCTGGAACGAGGTTCAATTCCCGCGGCATTGATGATGATGGCCATGTCGCAAACTATGTTGAGACCGAAACAATACTTTGGATGCCGCCTGGGATTACATTTTCTTATGTCCAAGTTCGGGGATCGGTACCTATATTTTGGGAGCAAGCATCAGCGTTCCTCCCCGGTCAGCAGAAAATCGACGTGACCCGATCTAGCGAGGCAACGCAGCACGCATTTGACAAACATTTCGAGGGGCTTGAATTAGAATATGGTGCAATACATGTGGTCAACCTTCTCAGTGAACTGAAGCCCGCGGAATCCGAGCTTTCGGCAAAGTTCCGGGAGCATATCAAGAGAAGCCCTTTGAATCAAAAGACGGGGCTGGATAGCATCTCAGATCATACCCTCCTACGTGCTACGGAGTTCGATTTTCACGCAGAAACTCGCGGCCCTTTAGGATATGCAGCCAGCGGCCTGGTCAAGCATGAAATATCGCATTCGATGGACGGGTTTGCATTCTTCTTGTCTGAAAATAACTCTGTGATGAAATTCTCAGATGACGGCCAGACAACCCTGATGGGCTCTTCCACTGTCCTCCAACAGGAGGGCGTTTTTCGTACCAACTGCTTGGATTGTCTTGATAGAACTAATCATGTTCAGAACATTATTAGTTCGATGGCCCTCGAATCCTTCTTTCTCCAACAAGGGGCAACCTTGGGCTCCGATGTGCAGCTGAGGCATTCGACTCTTTGGGCCGATAACGGAGATGCACTATCTAAGATATATGCCGGCACAGGGGCCCTGAAGAGCTCCTTCACACGTCATGGAAGGATGTCGCTTGCTGGTGCGCTGGCAGATGCTCGCAAGACTGCCACTCGACTTTATGTCAACAATTTTTCGGACAAAGCGCGCCAAAAAACGATAGACCTTTTGCTGGGGCGTCTTACAGGCCAGGTAGCGGTGCATCTTCATGACCCAATTAACGATTTGGTTTTGACGGAATTAAATCGGCGGGCGTCAGAATATTCTTTTACTAAATCCATCAAGATCTGGACTGGGACCTTCAATGTGAATGGGCGACACCTGGGAACAGATGTCGACCTTACACCGTGGTTGCTGCCAGAACTTGAAACCAACGACCCCATGATATTCGCTGTTGGGTTCCAGGAAATAGTTGCGTTGAGTCCCCAACAAATAATGTCCACCGACCCTTCCACTCGTAAGACGTGGGAGGCCGCGGTCGGGAACTGCCTGAATAGCTCTGCAAGGTCTAGAGGAACCACGAAGTATGTTCTTTTACGCAGTGGCCAACTCGTTGGTGCTGCCCTGATGGTATTCGTGAGAGAGGATGTTTTAAAGGAGATCAAAAATGTGGAAGGGAGTGTGAAGAAGGTGAGTGATAACTTGCGTCTACCACGATTAGTCTCATTTTCGTCTCCAGACAGGTCTTTCCGGAATAGCCGGCAACAAGGGAGGCTGTGCCATTCGCCTGGAGTACTCCAATACTCGAATATGCTTTGTTACCGCGCATCTCGCTGCAGGGTTTGCCAATTATGATGAAAGAAACAGAGATTATGAAACCATATGCCACGGGCTGAGATTCCAAAGGAATAGATCAATCGATGACCACGACTCTATCATATGGCTGGGGGATTTTAACTATCGAATCGGCCTTGGCAACCACAACGTCAGGGAGCTCGTGCTGCAGAGAGATTACCAAAAGCTCTATGACAACGACCAGGTATCCAACTACCTTCCACTGTTTACGTCAAGCAAGATAGGTCTGCTCACCGCTCGCAATGTAGTTGAACTTGCAAATGGTTACCGGGCGGGCTTTCCAATTTTATACGGAAGGGTCCATTTCCTTTCCTCCTACTTACAAGTACGATGTCGGAAGAGACGAATACGACACCTCGTAAGGTTGCACCCTTGCAGGCCGAGAGAAGACCTCTAGACTGAATAATCGCAGGGAGAAAGCACGTATACCAGCTTGGTGTGACAGAGTGCTCTGGAGAGGAACAAACCTCCATCAAGTAAACTACAAAGCTGCAGATCTGCGGTTTTCGGACCACCGCCCAGTTTGGGCCACTTTCCTTTGTGAAATCAGCACAGTTGATGAAACTGCAAAGAGCGAGCTAAGGCGCTCCCTTTATTATCAGAAACGGAGCAATTCAGGTGATCTAGTGGCATGTTCCGGGGAAACATTCGGTTTGAGTGATGAGGAACTCACAAGGTTCGATCCTATTATGCCAGGGCTTCCGCCAGCCAGTTCAGACCATCAGAAATGGTGGTTGGATCACGGTAAGTTCGCCGCTTTGGGACGAATATGATACTCTTTCCAAAGTTCCAACCCGCTGCCCATGATTGGGATTCGATACCATGTTTTCTAACCAAGCAAAAGGTGCCCCTGTGAAGTCAACTGTGAAGCCTCCCGATGTTGAATATACTCTCAGCAGCTACCGTAGGTCTAATCCTTTCTCGTCTAGTAGCAACTCCAACTGGGTTCTTGATCATAAAAAAAGCGGATCTGCTGCTTCCAGACCTCAGCCGTCCTCAAGGATGACTGTCTCCAGCACGACAAATCAGTCCAGGTCAAATAGTGACACCTGGTGTGGAAGCCACCCGGATGGGTCGGAATATGAAGATACCACTACTGTGCATGGGAGTCTGTCGCCCAACACAAGGGCTGCCCCACCCATTCCACGAAAGCCGGTCTTACTTACCACGGCTCTTCGGAAGCAACAGGGGGGCAGTACGGAATCCAATGGTCGTTTTCCTGAGAGTGTCGTGCATAGACCTAGCAGTCTTTTGGATGATACCGCCGATACCAAAATCAGCTGGAAGCCTCTTCTGCCGCAGTGATCCTTCTCGGCAGTGATCACATGTGAAGAGTATAAATATGCCCAGTGTGGAGCGGATATGCTCATATAGATACGAATTTCGAAGTCCACTGTATCAAACGGGGTTGTTATATACATGTTGAATATTACCAAAAGCTCTATTGACGCTAATAAAAAAAGATCATGACATTCGCATTATTCATTTCACAGAGGACACAGAAGAACTCCAGCCCTATAAATTTTAGCAACAACATAACCCAATAATGCTCCTGGCTCTGGAACAAAAAAAAAAGGTAGGGGGAAATAAAACAATTGTAAAACATCTATACCCATCTTTGCCTGGGGCATGAGAAACCAATCCCGACATGCGAGAGGAAAAGCCATGCCCCCTAGGGAAGCCCAAAACAGAGTGGTTTTAAACCTCTTGGCTCATTGCCCCCTTTGTCTCAGCCGATACCCTGAAATCGAATCACAGAATCCCCTTTCCTTTCATTCCGAGAGTTGTGCCATACGCATCCACCCGTCGGAAGTCTAGAATCTGGTGGGAGAAATCAAGTGTCATGATTCGACCCAGGGAATGCGCGCCAATCGGAGGCAACTGCTAGAGATCGAGACCCTACTCTATCACATCACGCGACAAGTATTCGCATGTTGTTGCATTACCCTAGGCTTTTTTCCCGCTTTTAAAGCCTTGTTTAACCTCAAGCGGTTACTGCCAACCATCCACATGGCAAAAGCGCCAGGGTCAGGAGCCTTTGCCCGCGGCTTTTTTGTGCCTACAAAAACGCGTTAGCGGTTCATACACAACCCGGAGTCTTCTCAGACGAGAGCGCTTCAAGAAGCCTACTTCGAGGAGAATCGAATTATATTTACATACCTGCTGAATCGGGCTTCTTTTTGGGCTCCTCTACCACAGCATCAACAGTCGCGTCCTCGGGCCCAGCTGGAACTTCAACGACAGCCGGTTCTTCTGCAGCTGGAGGCTCCGGGGGCGGTGGTGGCTCCGGGGTTTTGGGTTTCTCCGGGATTGGCCACATGTGCATAGTTATAGTCCAGTCCGGTTCAATAACGGTTTCCCAGACCTGTGGCAGTATAATGTCACCATTAGGGCCAATCAAATCAAAGTGTCCTTCAGCAACGTGAGGACCAATTACTTCGATGTGAAGAAATGCTTGCCGTATAAGCTCTTCCATACCCTGCAGGCGCCAGTCAGATACAGGACTCCGTTATTCAGGAGCCAAATCTTACCTGCCAAGTGCAACACAACTCAAACGGAAAACTGAACTTCCTTCCCACAGCGTCCTTGAATTTTATGGGCTTTTTCTTCTCCGGCATGGGTTGGTTTGAAGCCGCGGCTGTAGCTGCAGCAACGGCTTCAGCTGCTGCTAAGTTAGCTGCCTCGGTGGCTGCAGCCGCCGCCTCTGCCGCCGCCGCCGCTGCTGCTTCCTCGGCTTCTAGTTTTGCTTTCGCTGCTTCCTCAGCAGCCTTCTGCTCTGCCTCGGCTCTCGCTTGCGCGGCAGCTTCCTCCACGATTCTTTTCTCGTGCGCAGCTCGTTCTTCTCGTGCCGCTTGCTCAATGGCTTCTTGTTCTATCGCGGCTTGCCGAGCAGCCTCTCGGGCTTCTCGTGCTTCCCGTTCTGTCCTTTCCTCTAAAATCAACTTCTCTAGTCTCGCTATAGCCTCGTCCTTAGCTGTATCAGCAGGGGTTGGTGGGGGGGATCCACTTGATTCGACCTGGCTCGGAGACGGTACACGTGGATAAGGATTGAAATAAGGCGGCATCATCCCAGGAACCATGTTGTATGGCTCCCTGAGTTGATAGTACCCCCCCGGTGGGTAGGTAATCAGGTCGTGCGGGCTCAACGGGGTCCCACCATAAGGGGGTGGGCTATGCGATTGAAAAGAATGGGGGTGCGGTACAGGATGCTGGCCTGAAGGATGACCGTCGGCCCGGACGTGAGAAGATGGCTGGTGATGTGCGTGGTGTCCAGGATGATGTTCCAGGTAGAATGGTGGTATAGAGGGACCGTGGGACTGTTGCAATTGATGGTGGTGGTATGGATACATGGAGTTTCCGTACGATGTTGGTTGGTTAACCTGACCATGATGGCCTAATCTTATAAGCTGATCGGATGGCTGGTGGAAACCGCTTGGGTGTACGAATGGAGCATGCGGTCCAGCTCCATTTGGGTACATATAAGGACCGGGAGAAGAACTGTGAGGATAACCTGATCCTTGGGTGACGGGTGGCCAGAGCCGTCGTTCGTGGGCCGTCCGACCATAAGGAGCACCATATTCATCCGCCGAATCCACACTTTCCGGGGATTCTGGAGAAGGATGACGGCGAGGATGCCGGGAGTATTGCTCCCGTTCCTGTATAATATGGCGTCTCGGGGCGGAGTGGCGACGGCCCGATGACGAGCCATGGATCGGGTTGCGACTACGGGTTCGATTTGACGTTCTAGGTCGAGAGGCGGAATCGGATGGCTTCAATTCGTCAGGGTAAGGAAGGTGTGCCCATTCATCATATGGATCTTGGTAGTCATGGCTTCCTGAATCGGATGGCGGGGATACCTGCACGCCGGACGAGTCCTCTTCGTCGGAAAAAGAAGAATGATCCGAGCCATGCGGGCTTGGCCCAATGGTTATATTAAACCTGGCTCATGGTTAGAAGAGGCGAGTATTGGACATTGACATTTAACACACGTCATGGAGATGATCGATGCACTCAAAGCCCTGGCATTGGATGGCTCGCTTCAGTCAACGGATCAGTAGATGGGGCAATATCAATCAACTGTTTTGTGGCAGAGCGTTTCGGTAGGTTGAAGTAGGGCGGGGTAGGGACACCCCCATAGACTTCCAACGCCAGACAGTCGACAGTTGTTCGAGACGGTCCTCTGGCTCTTGAGTCAAATTTGGCGCCGTTACCATATATAATCTCCCTTTGTTGCGAAAGTCACACGGACCGGGTTGAGGAACGTCTGAGACGGGCCGGAAATATTGGCGACTTGAAAAAGGTCGGAAGAGCGGGAAAGATTTTGTAAAAAAAAAAAAAAAAAGAAAAAAAAAAAAAAAAACCAGGTTCTGGCCTAAATCACACAAATACGGCCTATAGAATTGCCCTGGTGACTATATCGTAGAACATAATCCTACGAGAAGGAGGATTCGGCCACACAAGGAACACAGCACTGGTAACTTCCTCGAGAAGAACGGAAAAGAGAAGAATGGGGGGTGGGAATCTTGAGGAAAGGGAAAGGGGGAGGGGGTACAATACTTACTAGTTGCCTGCCTAACCAGACTGGCAGACAAATGATGGTTGGGCGTGATGGTGGAGTTTGGGCACGGCAGTGAGGGATAAGGTATTGTTATTAGTCCGGGACTTAGGTATTGTTGATTATGGCTAGCATGGCCGAGTCTGCCCTCTTCTGAGTGGCTTCCTTTTCACTGAGCTGGCACCTTCAAACTACCCACCTACTTTAGGTAGGTACGACTCTGCTGCCCAAGTGCCCAATCAACAATCAACCCTCACCCACCTTCACAACCACGACTACAAAAGAAAAAAGGCAAAAAAAAAAAAAGAAGAAGAAGAAGAAGAAGAAGGAAAGGAAAGGAAAGGAAAGGAAAGGAAAGGAAAGGAAAAGAAATGAAAAGAAAGAAAGAAAGAAAGAAAGAAAGAAAGAAAGAAAGAAAGAAATCGAAGGTTCGGAATTGGTTAGTACCTAAGGTACTCGGAGGGCCTGAGGAAATACTTGTAGGACGGAGAAGGTTCTCCCACCACTCTATTTCTCTCTATCCACTATCGTTATACCTTACTTGCGCACGTCAAGTTATACTTACCTTATCTAATGTCTGTCACTAAGTCGTAGAAACTGAAGGTGCGGATACCGGATTACCTTCATGCCTAGTACGCCTTGGTTGCCGGTTTGCCGTCTAACCATGCTCAATCCCAGGCTGCCCAAATCAAGGTCGCTGGGTCCAGCGGCAGGGTTGAGATACGATGCCTCGTAGGTTGATTATATCAACTCTACATCATGTGACTAGCTACTCATGGGCGTTAGGACAGCCGAGACCCGGTAGGTTTCTTCCATTTAGAAAAGGCCCCGAATCCTCAAAATGAGAGGGTGGAAACGCTAAAAGTGTGTTGGCTACATAAAAGAAGCCTGGCTCTACTCTGAGCGATTCGAGAACGGCGATCGAATGGTTGATATTGGCCTATCTCCTTAACTGTAATCCGGCATCCTACTGATCAGCTCTTTCGCCGCAATGAGCTCACCTTGAGCATGTTCCCAAAGACTATGGTCCATTGGTCTTTTGCTGATAATGGCCTCTAGTCCTCGTTTTGCAAAGGCATTCAGTCTCTCAACTGTGTCTTTGGATGGTGGACTGTCTTCTACCGGGATTGGCTGCGCATCTGCCGGGTTATCTTTCGGGGAACCTTTCCCAATCAAATCGGAAGTGACCTAAATGAATGTCAGCGGGATGCCAGGGATGAGGCTAGCTAGAATATTCGTGATCATGACAAAAAGGCCAGAGCTAGGAAGGGGAACATGGTTGGTATTGAAGGAGAGAAGTCGGAAGGATAGAAAGACAGGCCGTCACCTACCAGAGTCAAGCCGTAGAACCCTCTCAGATAGTCTTGACAGAGCTCAATGCTTCTGCAAAAATACTGCATCGATCGGTATAAGCCCCGAGTGGAAATTTCTGGTGGCGATGAGCTAGCATCGATATACAGAAGTTCTCCCAGTCGAGCATGAATCTAAGTAGAGTTAATCATTATGTGCAAAGGGACGACGAGTGTGGTCTAGGGTCAGCCATACGTTCCAGGCATTAGGTGCTATCAACAAAGCTTCTTCGAGGCTAAATATTGCTTGCGCGGACAAACCTTGAGACTGGTATAACTCCGCAAGTTCACACCAAGCCTCTGCATCCGTAGGAACAGCCTTCAGAAAATCTATCAAGCTAGCAATTGCAAGAGCCGGTCTGTCCAGGGACCGTAAGACGGCAATGCGGCGCTTTAGTATAGGCTGTTAAGGCAATGTTAGCAAAGGTTCCGAGTTGCGAAGGCACCGATACAGACCAAGTTGACCGGGTTTTCTGAGAGCAAATGATCGTATTTCTGCAAACATGCATCAAGGCTGGGTTTATTCTCGGCGACCGCCTCTTCGTAGAGTCCCAAAAGACCCATGACTCTCTCATTCGAAGAGCCAAAGCGGAGTGTTAGTTGGTCAAGGCACAACAAAGCTGACTTGTCGTCGCCAGATTGCAGGCAGGAAAAGAAGAGTTGCTCAATCGCGCCATAGTCATCGAAGGTTTCCTTCTTGGAAATCAGAGACAGTAGTGGTTTCTTGCCCAGATGAGCCTGCCGATTCAAGATTACAGGGGCCTGTTGCGCGAAGTGGAGGGTGGCAATTAGGCTTGGGCTGTGAGTGTTATGCATTTCAGAGGCAGGATCCGCCATTTTCGCGGTACATGCTCGCAGGCAATAAAACAATAGCGGAGCTGTATTCTTCCGTGGGATGTAACCAATGTACTATCCAAACGGTAGGTTGTTGATGGAGGATACGTGCTAGTTGCGTACTCCGGAGGAGTACCTACCCAGCTAGTCCTTGATAGGTAACTAACTAGTAAGTGCTCATACTCCGAGGTCTCCGTGGAGCATGGATATAACTAATCCCAACGGGGTTTATTCTTCCGGCCCCGGGCCGCCAACAGAATACGGGGCACTTTAGATACCTACTATGTAACTATCTGACTGGAGACTCCCAACCCCCGCGGCGAAGTTAGTTAACCAACTCGTCAGCATCCATGACTTTTAATCCACTCCGTACTTACCGTGTTCTGCTCTAGGGTGCGAGGTCATTTTTCGACCCCAGACGCCTTTATACATACATGTTCTGCGAGCTTTCAAAGGCGCATGGTACTTGGGCTGGTCATGCGCAGGTGCTTTGATTGATTGAGACAAGGACAAGTATACTTAGTAGCCTTGTCTCTCAATGGAGGAGGGTTAATCAAGAGAATATACGTGCATCTGAATCCAAGAGCAAGCCAAGGTTTAGGCATAATGTCAGTGGCATTCCCCGAGGCTAATGACTTTTTTTCTGAGAATCAACCAGGTTTGAGAAATCTCTCTATGACCTTATCAAGGGCCTGCGAACCCATAAGGGGGCCGAGGAAGACTACGTACAGGATTGTCTCCGAGAGTGTAAGGCCGAAATCAGGCTGCAGGACATGGGTATGTATATCATGGAAAGGGCAACTTCCAGCTAGCAACTGACTTCCTTAGACAAGAAAGCTACTGCACTGCTCAAATTGATTTACTTGGAGATGTTTGGATATGATATGTCCTGGGCGTCTTTCCATGTACTGGAGGTTATGTCGTCCACGAAATATTTGCAGAAAAGAGCGGGCTATCTTGCTGCTGTCCAGAGCTTCAGGCCAGATACAGAAGTGCTGATGCTTGCCACGAACTTGTTGAAGAAGGTTTGAGCCAGATTTTGCTTCCGACGGGTCTCATTTTCTTACAGAACTATATTACAGGATTTAGCATCCTCGAATATTTCGAATATGGCGCTGCCTTTAATCGCTCTGCCGAACATAATTACACCTTCTCTAGCAATGTCTTTGCTCCCAGATGTGCTGTCACGCCTTTCGCATTCCCATGCTGTCGTTCGCAAAAAGGCCATTGTGTGTCTTTATAGACTCGCATTGGTATATCCAGAGGCGCTGAAACTGGCATGGCCTAAATTAAAGGATCGCCTGACGGATGATGAAGAGGAAACCAGCGTCACCACAGCGGTAATCAACGTAGTCTGCGAACTGGGATGGAGAAGACCGCACGACTTTCTGCCACTTGCGCCACGGTTCTTTGATTTACTGGTGGACGGGGGCAATAACTGGATGGCAATCAAAATAATCAAGCTGGTAAGCCTCGGTTTAGCATTCTTCATTTGTCCTGGGCTGATAGCGAACCCAGTTTGCGACCTTAACCCCCTTGGAGCCACGGTTGATACGGAAGCTCATCCGCCCGTTAATAAGTATCATCCAGACAACAACCGCTATGTCCTTACTTTATGAATGCATCAATGGCATCATACAAGGGGGTATCCTGGAAGACGACAATGGCCTGGAGGGAAGAGAGGAAATTGCTAGTCTCTGCGTTGGAAAGCTGAGAGGAATGGTCGTTACTGATTCTGATCCGAATTGTAAGTTGTCCTTATCTGCAATTTGACGACGCTGACGTGATCCCCGAAAGTGAAATATGTTGCGCTTCTTGCTTATAATCGAATTGTGGTTTCATACCCTGATCTGGTATCGACACATCAAGATGTCATCATGGATTGTCTAGACGATCCAGACATTTCAATAAGGCTACAAGCTCTCGAACTTGCCGCTCGAATGGTCCGGGGTAATTCCTTACAGTCAGTAATAACTCGACTCATTGACCAACTTCTTGATGCACGCCGAATGACCGAAGATGGGCACTCGGAAATTGGAGCAAAGGAGGGTCTAGGTTTAAACAGTCAAAGCTCCCAGAAAGCACCATTCATCTTGCCCCTGGACTATAGACTTGAAGTCTTGCATCGGGTTCTCGATATCTGCTCTCATAACAATTATGCAGAGTTGTCAGACTTCGAGTGGTACGTGGAAATCTTGGTACAACTCGTTGGGCTGATTCCTCCGCTCAATAATGGCTACCTATCAGGGCGCGAGGCTTACCAGGGGGCTGAAAATGATGCTGGGAGAAGCGTCGCTTTTCGAATTGGGTCTGAGATGCGCAATGTCGCCGTCCGGGTTAGAGATGTTCGTGCGGACGCCACCAGAGCTGCAGAATCTTTGCTCCTAGCTGGCAACAGGCAAACTATATGCTCCGGTCTGTCTGATGGGGTCGATGGCATACTAGCGCCCTTTGTTTGGATAGTTGGTGAATTTGCACAATACCTTTCGTCGCCTGGTCAAACTCTACTGTCATTGATTGATATGTCCACTACTTTACTGCCGCCAAAATCGCTTTGTCTTGTCGTTCAAGCTGTCCCAAAAGTCCTCGTGAGCAAAATTCGAGCTAATTGCGACAGCTGGGATGGCAGGCAGCAAAGCGAAATATCTCTTTTGTTGGCTCGAATCCTGGTTTTTTTGGAAACCTTGGCAGCCCATCCGGATTTAGCCGTTCAGGAAAGAGCTATCGAATTTTTAGAGGTGATACGCTTGGCAGCAGATGCATTACAGTCAGACTGCTATCGACCTGACGAGGTGCCGTCCTTGCTGTCCTCCATGATTCCGGGCTTATTCCACGGCCTTGAACTCAATCCAGTTGCTGCTAATGCTCAGAAGAAAGTTCCTTTGCCAGAGCACTTGGCGATGGACCGCCCATTCAACAATAACCTCGGTGTTATTTTTGACTGCCGCACAAATCAGAGTTCTGAACTGGTTACACATTTAGCTTTCCAGGATTTCTACTACATGGATGACTCGGCGGTGCCAAACAGACAACCCGATGAGCTCAATCTATTAACCGCGCAATCCGGTGCTTCATATCAGGACCCTATCAGTTTAGTAGGTGAGCCGGTCAATGTGGCAAGGCGAAAAGTGGAGCGCCGAGAGGGAAATTTTGACGACCCATTCTACATTGGCACAGAAGATGAAAACTCCGGGACCTCTACACCATTTCATCAAACCTTCGCCGCATCTGATTTGGATATTGATGCAATTCCTATAATTGATCTGAAACTAAGCGAAGGAGGGATCCCTGCCACAGATTTCGTCCGTCGCAAATATCGGAAAACGCCTGAACCGGAAACTAAGAGATATAATATTGTGTCCGATGAAACAATTGGACAAGACGATCCCTTACCTGCTGAGGTCTCTGATGGGGCAAGCAAATCCAAGAAAACCCTTCTGCAGGTCGACTCCAGTGGCCTGGGACGTCTCCCTTTCGAAAAGGAGGACGTACGCTCAGACAGCCCACGACCTTCTGGATCAAGTGGGCACGATGCAGAAATGTCAATGGCTATGCAGCGAGTTGAGAGACTACGCCTAGAGATGCAAAGAGCTTCTGAGCGAGTTCATACGGATGAGTTTCCTGTTGAAGGAACATTGATCAAAAAGAAGAAAGTGAAGAAGCCGATCTCTAGTAAACTCACAGAAGCTGATAGTCTAGTCGAGGGTCTCGATGCTGAGAGTATGCATTCGCCCAAAGTGAAAAAGAAAGTAAAGAGTCGGTCCAAAACTCGACAGGCAAGCCCCTAGAACAATTTGAAACAGACAGTTTTCTATTCAAGTACTGTAGACATGTGGACAGTCCGTAATTTTTGGGGGGGGGGGGGGGGGGGGAAAGATGATGAATAAGAAGCCACGGAAGGAAGTAAACATGACTAGGGTTGTTAGTACTGGAAGCCCATATGCACACCTATGTATGGTCTAGATTATTCTGCTAGCATAACAGTCAAGTACTACAACACGAAATAATACAGAAGAACCCTTGGTCCTGGGGCTGATGCGAACAGACAGACATATCAGGTCCTACAACCTGTGAGGTTTTGCCCTTGTATACAACCTCACGTCTGATATGCCGATCCTGGAAGTGATGGGCTATCAGCCGCCCTCAGAGAAGCGGTTTTGATAAGCATTGGACAAGATTTCCCATGGTATTTGGTCAACGGCGCCTAAAAGGCCAGGCGATTAAACATCGAAACAGCGCTTGACCAAATCTCCGGAACAATTCTTAGAAGTTCGAAGGCTAGCCCTCCACAAATCACAAATGCAAGAAGAACTAAAACAGCACGGTTAGCTTTGTCGATCTGGAAGCCCTATATTCCGTGTCAACATACCGACCCAGCCAACGGACACTGGGGATTTCGAGCTCTGTTTTTGCCGTGGTGTAGTTATTCCTCTTCCTCGCTTTGCAGCCTCGCTCTTCGCATATTTCTCATTCGCCTTGCGCTGTTGTGGAGTTTGTGCCTATCACCTTGGGTCAGCTAACAAATACAGTGCAGGGAGGAAGAGCTGGGTGGTACTCCCCAGTTAGTGGTAATAGCATACCATACTGTTCTTGGGGTGGGAATGTTCACTTGCGACCAGGAGAATAGAAATAAAGCACTTCTGGTGTTTTTCAAGGGTGGTGTGGCTGGGCTGCCAGCTCTAATATCTAGTTAATTGCAAGGGAAACAGTAGGTAAAGTCGACGGGGTATTAAAAGGTTATTACAGGGTGGTGCCAAACAGGCCACGTTGCTATGCTAACCAGGTAAGTACCATATCCGACGGGAAAGGGTACAACTGTCATTGGCGCGCTCTTCGTTGACCAAATCATTGTTTTTTACCAAGTACCTAGAGTAGAAAAGCAACATTACTGACTACTAGTAGTATGAAGACTTACTTACATAGGTTAGTTGATGCTAAAGATTTCTATTGGCATATAGATGCCGTGTTTGCGTTGTTGGTTACGCCAACATAAGTACTGTACATACTAGGTACACAGTTGAGGTTTGCAACGGATTGCGAGAGTGGTCCATGTGGCATTCCCTACGTTCTGCCTCTCTGTATCAATCAATCATCAATCAATCAAAGTTCTATTAGCCCGATAAAGCCTATCTATTATAGCAATAGGCTATTCGAGTGGTACTCTAGTTTTACTAGAAGAACTTTATTTTGAAATTTTACAATACCGCCAAACTGCAAGACTCTACTTTAACCGGTACAGCTTACTATTTTTATATATAAGTATATATATATTTAAGCCTAAAATCTATATTTTTACTAATCTAGCACATATAATGAAGCGGGAGAATAAGGAGGATTAGATAAGCTTATATATAAATAGGCGCATAATAGTGATGTAGTAAAAGCAAGTTTCTTAATATTTTTAAAGACTTTTTTATATTTTAAATATCTAGATAAAGATAGGGTCTTAAGGCCTCCCTCTTCTACTGTAAACTTGGTTAAATAAAATATTCAGAAGCGGCTACTTCGATCTTGTTCTTACATAAGGAATCTTTTATAAAACCCTTAATTATATAATATTTTAGGAGAGGACCTGATTCAGTAGTAAAGGATATTATTATAAAAGAAGATTATAAAAAAAGTTATAATAAAAATATAAAAACTTGATTTAATTTTAAAATGAAGCAGAGAGAGGCAGCCTAAAATAAAAAAAATAATAAAAATTATAAAAGTAAAATTAATATTAAAAAAATAAATTAATTATATTTAAGAATAAAAATAAAGATACAGTTAAAATTAATCCTAAAAAAGGAATGATAAGAAATCCTTATAAAAAGAAATAAAAAGAGAAAAAAAATAAATTAAAAAAAATAATAAGATTTAAAAAAAAGGTTAAATAATAAAAAAATTCGTCACAGTGCAGACCTAAAGGCGCTGCCAAGCCTGCCAGAACCAGACAGAACTGCTAAGCCGGAAGAACCTGTCCCTGATCCTAATCTCCTGATTATTTAAAAAGTTTAAATATTAAAGATTTTATTATAGCTTTCTGAGCTATATCTTGTTTATTATTTTATATATAATTTAATTATAGTAATAACTAAAGATCTTATAAACTTAATTTATTTAATCTAGCTAGACTGCCTGTTTTATTTACTTTATAGTATTAATTTTATTAACCTGCTAGCCTATATTTTAATATTATATAATTTTTACTTATAAAGCTAGTACTTATTTAATATATTTAAAATTTTAAAATCTTTATCTTTTCTTAAAGATTTTAAATTATTTACCTAGTATATTATTAAATATATTAAGAAATAATATATTTATTATAACTAGATTTATATATTTATAATAAATATTAATACTAACTAAAAATATTTTTACTAAAAAATTTTTTATTTTTAATAAAATATAAATATTATTATATAAATTATTATCCTCTAAGTAAATTATAAGAAAAATTTAAATTTTAAATTTATTTAGACTTTAATTAATAAGAGTATAATAATCTAAAAATAAAATTATATAATTTAAATTATTATATTTATAATTAATATTTTAAATTAGATCTTTAAATCTATTATTAAAGAATCCCTAGCTACTTTAGTAAAAATATTTATATTAATTAATCCTAGATTTTTTATTTCTACTTATTTTTCTAAATAACTACCTGACTTTAATAAATTTAAAAATATTAGATTAGATATTTATTATTTTATTTTTTAGATTAAAAAAAATAATTATTAATTATAATTATTTTTTAACCTTTTAGGCCTATATAGTTTATATTTTTAATTATTTTAAGAGACTTTTTTATACTTAAATTTTTTTATATATTAAAAATAGAATTTACTAGTTAAAAAATTATATTAAAATCCTGGAAATATTTAATTATATTTATAAAGATTTAAATTATATTTATAATATTTAAAATATCTTATATAATCTGAGATAAAAGAATTAAGAGTTTTCTATTTTTTTATTAAATTTTAATAACTAGTTATAAAAAAAAATAATTAAAAATAACTTTTTTATTTTCTTTAAAAAAATTATTAACTAAAAAATAAAAATTATATTAATATATTAAAACTTATTTATTAAAAATTATATTAATTTTATTATTTTTTTATAAAAATTAAAAAATTATTATATTTAGTATTTTTATAATTAATTTTAAAAGCCTATTCTGATTTTAACTAAAACTAGTACTTATTTATAAACTTTAATTAAAAATATTTAAAATTATTATTTTTAAAATCTAGTTAATAAATTTTCCCGGCTTACTATTATTATTTTAAATCCTAATATTATAGATTTCTTCTTAACTTATTACTTATTTTTTTATTTTAAAAATAATATTTATAAAAATTATAATAAATATTTTTATTATAAATTAAATTAATATATAATTAAGGATTATCTTAAATTAGATAATTATTTATATTAGATTAATTATATTATATATTTTATTTTTTTTAAAGTTCTATTTATCTCTTTAAAGATAATTTTTTTTTTATATTTTAATTTTATTTTATTTTATAAGATCTGCTTATATTATTATTATTTTAGGATTTTTAGTTTTAAATAATTTCTTAGATAAAATATTTATATTTTTTAGATTTAAGTAAGTAATTAAAAAAAATTAATTTAACTTAAATTATTATTAGATAGATCCCCCTACACGAGTTTACTAAATCTTTAAAATTATTATTAAAAAATTTTTTATTAAAAAAATTTTAAAAAATTAATTTATTAATTATTTTTATTATACTAAACCCTAATAAAAATAAAATTATTATTTATATTATATTTAATACTAGCTATTTTATATCCTGTGTTATAAATAAAAGTTAAACTAAAATCTAAAATCTAATCTTATATTTTTTAAAAAAACTTAAATTAATTATAAAATTTAATAATTATAAAAGTAAAATTAATATTATTATTTATTATATCTGTATAATTTTAAAGACTTATAATTATATTAAAAAAGATATTTTATTTTTAATTATTTAATTTATATATTTTTTATTATAATTAAACTTCTCTAGTTTAAGACTTATAACTTTAAAATAAATTTTAATTAGAGTCTTAATATCCTTATAAAATTTTAGGACTTTAATAATATATTTTTATTAAAAAAAGTAAAGAAGTTATTTTTATATAAAAACTATAATTATATAATTATCCTAAAATCTAATAAAAAATTATTATTTATTTAAATTTATTTCTTATAATATCTTCTATCTTATTTATTAATAAATTTAATAAAGATTTATATTTTTATATTAATTATTAAGCCTTAAACATAATTATAATTAAAAATTATTATTTATTATTTTTAGTAAAAAAAGCCCTAAATAACTTAAAAGAAATATATTATTTTATAAAAATTAATATTATAAATACTTTTAATAATTGATATATTTAGAAAAATTAAAAATAAATAATTATATTTTATATCTACTTAGGCCTATTTAAATCTTTAATAATATTATTTAGTTTAACCAGAGTCTCTAGGATATTCTAGTATTATATTAATAATATCTTATATAATTATTTAAATATTTTCTATATTATTTATCTAAATAATATCCTGATTTATAACTGAACCTGCTTTAAATATATTTATTATATTTATTAGATTTTATAAAAGCTGTAAGAAATTTACTTATTTATAAAATTTTTAAAATATAAATTTATTATTTTTAAAACTAAATTCTTAGACCTAATTATTAATTATTAACTAACTTGTCTTAACTTATATTATAGATATTTAAATATTTTTAAGATTTAATAATTTTTATTATTATTTTATTTAAAATTTTTTTAAAGTTAATTATTTTATTTATTAGTTTAACCTGTAAGAGAGTACTTTAAGAATAGATTTTATTTTATTAAAAAGTTTTTAATTATTTTAAAAATTTTTATTAATATTCTAGTTTTATAGTTCTTTAATTAAATATATATTATAATTTTAAAGATTAATATTTTTAATTATATTTTTATTAGAGTTTTATTTTAATATAATAATAATAAAATTTTATATTTTATTATTTTTTTTTTAAAAAAATACTTGCTTATAAAGTATAATTATAAAATTTATAATAAAAAATTATTTATTATTATTTAATATTTTAAAAAATAATATTCTAAATTTAAAAAAACCTTATTTTTAATATAAATTATTTTTAATTATTATAATTTAAAATATTTTATATTAACTAAGTTTTTAAATTAATAATAAGCCTATTAGTCTAAATTTTTATTTTAATTTAAATTTAAGATTATATACTACTTTAGAAAATATAAAATTAAACTAGATAATTTAATTAGAAAATTAAAGGATCTTCTTAAAAAAAATAAATACTTATAATACCAGAGTTAAGTAATATTAAAGCATAAGAATTTTAATATTAATAAACTTAAATCTAATCTAGTAAAAATCTTTAAATCTTTAATCTTATTTATTCTTATAATCTAAACCTGCTAAAATATTATTTTTAAAAATACATAAGACTTGTAATTATTATTTCAAATTTAAATAAATTTAAAAGAGATATATAAAAAAAATAATTTAATTTATAAAGTTTAGAAAGTTTTTATTATAAAAAAAAATATCATTTAAAAATTATTTTAATTATTTATAAAAAATAAAATAATTTTTTATTTTATAAGAATTATTTATAGATCCCTAAGAATAATAAACTCCGGGCTAAATTAATTTATTTAATATATAATA